GTCTGATAAAAGTTTATATCAATGATACTTAAAGAAGAGGTTTTTTTTTTTTTTTTTTTTTTTTTTTGTAATATTCATTCCATAAATCAATAAATCACCTTAAAATATTAACTCTCTCACTATTTTAATAAATCAATTATTTCTCGTTTCAAAAGAAAAAAGAGAATAATAATGATGATGATGATGATGATGATGATGATAATAATAATAATAATAATAATAATAAATACCAGTGAAAACGGGTTTCACAGCCTTTCTGCCTTGAATAACATTTTTTTTTATAATTTCTATGTACTACAGATTTGTTTAATTTGAATTTCTTTATCCTTATTCATTGAGCGATATATATTGAAAACTAGTTACTAAAAGTATATCGTAGTACTTGACTATATATTCTCTTTTTTTTCTTTTATTTTATATTTTTTTTTTATCAAAGACTTTTCTCTAAATTTTATTTACTCGTCTTCTAATTTATTTTTTTTTTTTTTCTATAACTCAAATCTTTCAAATTTGTGTAAAAAAAAATCATATCCGTTTCAATTTCATCCCATAACTATTTTACAAATAATGCATTCTCAAACATTTTATTTTTTTTTATATATATATCACCTGCCAACTTCTAACAGTTTTTTTTTATTTTATTTTATTTTTTCATTTTAAAATTACAGATATAGAGGCATTTACCTTCATATTATCGCATAGTAAACAAGAATCCGATTCATATAGGAAGACATCTACATCACATTAAAAAAAAAAAAAAGTTTGATTTTTTTTTTTATCCAAACGACCACCGTTGGTGACTCAGAGAGAGATATCACTTTTGTTTTTCATCAGTTACCAGTTGGTAATTGAGCCATTGTAAGTCACATGTCGTGTGACATTTAGCAATAGATTTGAGATTTGATAAAGTTAGGGATAGACAATTAACACCACTGCCAAAAATAACTTTAACATTAGATACCATGAGAATCAGATTATCTACATCGTGGAAACTAGCTACTGAACCAATTAAGACTTATTCTTAAAATATAATATCAAAAAGGTTAGTCATAGAAACTCAAAATCTACTCAAGGGGGCTTAATAATCGTTGATATTTATATTAATTCAGTGTGGCTGTAAAGAATGAAGGAATTACACATTCAACTCGAAATAATTGTTGTATGACATGATACAGGTATATACAGTATATATATATATATATATATATATATATAAATAAATAAATAAATAAATAAATAAATAAATAAATATTGTTACATTAAATTTTATGTTACAAATTTCAAAAATATGCTTCACCTGGAGAAACTTTTCCCCAGAACAATTTTCAGGGTAAGTCATTTTGAAGCAGCTCATACATATTTTTATTTTTATTTTTATTATTAATTTTTTTTTTTTATATTTACACAGCCTCGCCCTGAGTTGGACATTTCTTCTTCTCCTCCAACTTTCTTTGATTTTCAATCTCATCAAGATACCTGCGATATCAATATCAATCAAACACATTGATTGGGAATTAAAAATTCCCTAACAATCATATAGGGATATTTTTTTTTTCATACATATATTTATATATATATATATATAAACTTTTTTAAACTTGATTTGACTCTTATAAAACTGTTTCATAAAATGAAATACTCATCCGCCCCTAGGCCCGCGCCTCGCTTATTCATTATTTTTAATTCATGTACAATCATCATCTTATTGACTTTTCTTCTTCTTCAGGGTCTTGTTTTAAAACCTCTACCATCTATTTCTTTTATGCATATCGTCTTACCTGACCATACTCGTCATTATATCCACTCTCAAATTGGTATCAATGTGGTCCAGATTTATACAACTTTCTTTTCAACTTGCTATCGCTCCATCCCTACCATTTCTTCCCTTTCCGCAACTTATGACAATATCACTACTGCTACAACCTCTCAATATCCCATCAAACTAGACTGCTCATGGCATTCCTTTTACTTCAACTGGAACCATTTTGTTGGCCTCCCAGATGTTATCCATGACTCTCAATCTGCAGTAGCTTCCATTGACAGTTTCTCTCGATTCAAGTCAAACTACTACACCTCGATTGAGCTCCAGAAAATCGCTTCAATCGCTTCTGGTGTTTGTCTCATCGTTACCATCTCCTCTCGCTTTTTAATGGTCATTTTTTCTCTCTTCAAACCTGCTTCATGTGTCCAAGCAAGAAGCAAACTCAACATCTTAAGACGTCTCGGCTTCATGTTCTCTTACTACATTGCAGCACCAACAGGTCTTTTACTTGCTCCAATATGCATGTTCCGTTCTTCATTTCATATCTACAGTGAGTACTATGGCACTGGCCTTCACCCGGCACTTATCGAGTCTACTTTTAATCTTGGACTTCACGCTCTTCTTTGGCTTGTTTCTTTCTTTTCCATCCTGGACATTAAACTTGCCCAAATATACACCTTCCAACTCACTCCTTACCAACAATCAAACAGACCCTCTTTTGAAGATGCAGAAATAGATCCTCCCTGCATTGGGTGCTCAAATTGTGAAAACAGAATGCCTCCTCCAAACTTCTCTCAACGTCCTTACTCCTTTACTCCAGGACAGGCTGCTGGGTCTTCCACTGACTTGGTCTTTGGAAATGATGGCGACTGGTTCCCATTTAGATCCTCTATTTCTTCCAACCGTTCGATGGAACCTTCTATTCTTAGAAACCCATTTTTTGGTCTCTTTAGAACCTCACAGTATTCTTCTACACCTTCATCCAACCAACAACAACAACAACAACAACAACAATCCTCTCAATTATCTAACTTCCAACAAAAACCTTCATTTGAAAATAATCAAACTGTCATTACAAATCAACAGGTCTTCAATAATAGAGGAGAATCTTCTCACTCAAGAACTTCTGGTCAAGTTTCTGCTGCCTCATCGTCGTCATTGGATGATAGCTGGCCTGCACCCTGGACAGACGAAAAGGGCCATTACAAATACTCTCCTTCCCTATTTAAGCCTGGCTCCCGTCAAAACTTAGAGTCTGACTCGGAGTTATCCGACGACGACGACAGAGCATCTACCTCAGAGTCTCTCACTCTTAGTGACAATAGTAGTTTAAGAACTTCTATTAGTCGCACTGGGACTTTTGATGATGATAGCTCTGACGAGCATGGCCACCTTCATAATCAAAGAATACCTTATGATCGGCGGAACGAAACACCTCCCCCTTATTCATCATTACCTCTTAACTCTAGCACCCCCTCATTAGCTGCATCTTCTTCCTCCTCCCCATCCTCCTCGGGTCAAGTCACAGGTACAACTCTCGTAGAATACGGCCCAGAATTAGACTCCAACATTTCTGGCCCACCATCTTTAGTTTATGATAACGACGGCTCGTCAAGTTACATGAGTAGTAACCAAAGCTCTTCAAGCAGTAGCCATGCTCCTAGTATACATAACCATACTTCTCTCCTAACTGATACACCATTACGCATATTGGAAGACCAATACTTAGTTGACACTCCTACACATAGAAATCACCCGCCGCCTGAACAAGACCAATTAATGTTCCATCAAAATTATTTCGGTACAAACCCGAGGCAGCAGCAGCATTTCCAAAACAATACAACGGGTCATGATAACTCCCATCCACCTTACTATTATAATCACTCAGGATGCACCTAGTGTTTGACTAGAATTATTTAATAATTTTTATTAACTATTTTGAAATTTTTCCTTATTTTGTTTTTTTTTTTTGTTTTTCATGAAAGTACACATAAATCAAAAAAAAAAAAAAAAAAAAAAAAAAAATTTTTAATTATTTTTCACTGGAGCTGCTGGAAGAGAAGCAGCAGGCCTCCGTGGAGTATTATTGAAAAATAACTGTAGATAATAATCTTTTGTATCCTTATCAAAATAAGTCCAGAACCGGCCGTTTCTTTGATCTATTTCTCTCGCATCTATTTTAAATGCACAATTTTCATAAGGCTCTGCCGAAATAATCAAATACTGGAACCGTTTATCTGGAGGCAAATCCACGCGCTGTTCAAAAGCACTCATAAACCGGTACCGTGGGACTTCGTCCAATGCAATTTCCGGGAATTCCAAATGGAATGTTAACCCAAGTTGTCGCGTGAGCGGGTCTTTAACTTTCATAATATTATAACCAGGTCGACCAATCTTAGGAGTTTTGCGTTTCAATGGTTGTGATTCTGTACCAGTTGCTGACTGCTGTTGTGACAAATCCACGTCGTGTCGTCGTGACTCGCGTTCTTTGGCTTCGCGTCGCGCCAGGTTTAACTGATGCTTACGGCCTTGAGTATGTGAAAGATATGAACCATCATTGACATGAGTTGTTAAACAAAGTTTGCACTCAAATAATCCAAGATGGTTCTTAAAAATGTAAGGGTCTTTGGCCAAGTCAATCGACTCTAGTGCCAGTTTACGTTGACGTTCGCGAAGATTGGCATTTGTTTGACTCCAAGATGCGAGACCACCACCTGTTAAAAAAAGTTAGCTTGACAAAACAAATTGTTAAAATAAAAAAACACTTACCTCCTTTTTTGGATCCAACTCGGTTTTGATAATCCATGTTTATCTATGTTTTTTTTTTTTTTTTTTTTTTGAAAAAAATGAAATATTTGAATGTTCAAAAGTTAAGCTTTTGTTGAATTATTATTATTATTATATTATTATTATTATTTTTTTTTTTTTTTTGAATGACCGGGGCTCACTTCAAATTTGTATTAATTGCAACCGGGTGGCGATGTAACAAACCCTACTTCTGGCTCCGGTTATAACAATTGTAACACAAATATGTAATAATTATTTTTTTTTTTTTTAACAGAGAGAGAGAGAAAGAGAAAAAAATAAGACCCCGGCACCTTAAACTTTCAACTAATCCTGATAAACATTCATTATTCGTTCTTTTCAAAACATTTCAAATATACTAAACCTTTATAAAAATAAAAAAATTTAATCTTTTTTTATTTCTATTCTTTCATTGTTTTTTTTTTTTTTTGTCATGACTTTTCACATGTAAAATCATCAATATTATCACTTCCCATCTACTCAATATATTGTAATATTGTTCTTTTATACAAAAACAAGTAGGGTATGTCTTATTATCAAAAAAAAGAATATATATATATATATATATATATATATCATAAACACTACAACCATTTGTTTCAAGAATCTAACTAATACTCGATGTCACTTTAAATAGCCCTTTTACTTTGAGAATGCCACCGCAGAGGAATAACGATTATAACGACTATTCCCTTAGCCAATCTCAAGGTCAAGAAGATACCCCTCCTTCGCTTGTATACAGAAACGAGGACTCACATAGGTTTCAACAAACTCATCACACCTACAACTATTCCGGTAATAGAGTCGAACCAGAAAGATCCCCTGCAAATGATATGTACAATTCTTCTACCGGCTCTTTATTATACAACAGCCAGCACCCTAGTTCTACTTTCCGGAAAAACCCTTATACCATGGTGGAAAATCATCATTCACAACATGACAAATTGAAACCTTATGGAACTGCTTTTCATGCACACAATGCCCTTGAAAAAGGTTATAACAATGCTGATTCACATCGACATCATGAATACAAAAAGACTAAAATTTCTAACAAAAATATCAACCTTACTCAACATGGCTTCAATCAACCCTCGTCTCATCATCAACGTCATCACCAGCATAAATCTTACACACAATCTCCGAATGTAGATTTCTCAAATGAAATTCAATCGTCATATTCTGACCCTCCAGTTTCTTTTTCAAGTCCTTCTTACAAACCCACTGGCCACAATTTACAGACTGGTTCCAGGCAATCCAGTTACCCTCTAGTTAATTCAGTTTATGAAAAGGTCCCAGGGAAAAGTGATAATAATGATTATTATGACCGTGATTTATTTCCTGCATCAAGATTTTCTTCCTTCAATTCTAATGATTCATACACTGAATCTTTAATACCGGCAAATTATGAGTCTCCAGCGTTTCAAAAAACAAAACCACTTGTGGGGACCACTAGAAGCAAAAGAAAAGGTGGTAACAATTCCGAGGATCTTTTCCCAGGACATGAAAGAGATGCGTTGCGTGAAAAACTGAAAACAATTTCAAGCACCCAAATTCCACCAGAAGTTTATCAATCAGCTCTTAAGAGTACACATATAACGTCTCAACGATCACCAATTGAAATTCCAAAAAAATCTGATGAATCAAATCAAATATCGGAATTACAAAGAACTGGGCATCTTTCTATCCAGCAACAACATCAACCTAAAAACCAGTACCAGGAACATTCTGAAATCTCTTTTCTGCCGCCGCGACCTAGTCAGTATATTGACCCTCAGTCATATCCTTCAAATCATAAAATCCAGGTTCAAAGTTATTCTCCAAGTTATCAGATTGATCTCTCAAATACTCAGTCTCAGTCTCAGTCCCAATCTCAATCTCAATCCCAGGGATTGTATGCAACAAATACTCAAAACTTTTCAAACTCTTTCACCAACACTGATCCAGCATTAATCCCCCAATCATATTTGAGCCAGCAAATTGTTGTAAATAACATGGTCAATCAGCAGATTCCAACACAACCTTTGTTATCTTCATCAGTATTCCAAGCTCAATGGAATCAAACTATTTTGACTAATGCTCAACAGTTTTTACCAACATCTGAAGTATCATATGCCAATAACAACAACGACAACATCAATAACAATTACCCTCAAAATACTGGATTTAATCCATCTAACGAGTACGGATCCACAAATATTTCATATGTTTCTAATTTAACCCATAATGATTTACATATCGTGTCGCAAAATATAAACACCTCTGGCCTTTCTGAAGAAACAATCTGTGCTATCGACAACTCTACAGCCTCACATGCATCATTGAATATACCCCAGGATTCTTCAATAGTTTTCATTGGCAGCAGTACAGTTTCTAATCCAGAATCTATTACCACCACCTCTGTGCATTCTACAAATGATTCCAGTACTATTCCCAAGGTTGAAAAACTTCCCAAGGCCGCAAAACTTTCAAAATCCACAAACTTTTCGAAGATTTTAAAAGGTATAAGAGGTGAAGCCAATGAAACTAAAAAAGATGACCAAGAAGCTGAAAACTCTGGGAAAATAGCATCAGAACAAGCGAAGAAATCAGAACAAGCCGAAACCCTTAAAGTTGAAAAGGCTGAACCCCCATCTTCTTCAAAGAAAATTATTAATCCAGCTTCGTCTTTATCTTCCTCTTCTACTTTAAATGAAAAGCCTATAAAAACGTGGAATAGAACCAAAAGCTTTAATGAGTCTATCCTTAAAACAGCAAAGGTATTGATGGAATCAAATAAAGGTCAGAAGAAATCACAGCGGCTTCGTTCTTCTCAAACTGATGGTTTACCTGCTGAAGAAAAAATGGTTGAAATAGCAAAACCACGACCAGTAAGAGTCACACGTCGAACCAGCAGAGGTCAAGTTAATGATGATTGCGTGGAAGTTGTGGAGGAACCCTTGCCGGTCAAGAATAAAAAATTGAAGGAATCTAAAGAAGATAAGGTGGTCGTCTCGTCGGATTCGTTTTCCGAGTTGAAGGAAACTTTCCCTGTAATTCCAGGCAACAAGTTTTCTAAAATTTCAGCAGAGTCTCCAGAAGGTAATACCATCAAAACACATATTCAAAAAGAAGTCACCAAACCACAAAAATCACCTGTGCTTGTTGATTCCAATGCAAATAAAGATTTGTCTTTAAACGAGGTTGATTTGTCTCACCTCGGCAATGAAATGGAACCGTCTCCTATTTCAAATAGTCGAGATTTATCTATGGAAGTCGAGCCATCTGTGAAGGTTGCTTTAGAAAAGCCTAAAAAAAATTCTGAAAGCAAAAAGGTTGATGTTGATGTCAAGGGGTTGTTTGATTCTATAAGAGTCAGTGACGTCAAAAGGACCCTAGAAGCCAGAAAAATTGCTCTTGTTGCTAAAAAGGTTTGCGACGATAAAAAATTAGCAGATGCCAAAAAGCCTCCTAATTCTCAAAAATCCATTGAAGTTAAGGGAGCTGGTGATGTTAAAAAGACAATAGCGACTACTAAAAAAGTTGCATTTTCTAAAAAGGTCCTTGATCCTTCTAAAAAGGCTACTTCTGATTCCAAAAAAAATACGGTAGCCAAAAAGACAAAGTCTAATTCACCAGCAGTTGAAAAGTTCAATTCCATTTCTGAAGTTACTCGTTCTACAAAAGGTTCATATCGCAAAACACCACAACAGCGAAGCAAGTCTAAGTCTAAAACTAAAACAAAGGCTCGAAAGAAAGCCCCTGTTATTCCAAATATTGACGTGCCTATTCGGGAAGAGGCTTTGCTTAAGGATATCTATCCAGATATAGATGTGGATGAGGACCTTCCATTATTTGTGGTCTCCTCTTCGGACCAAAAATTACCGGATGACTTTAAAAAATTTACAGTTTGCAAATCTCCTATACCTGAAACTTCCATTTCATTATCTAAGAAATCAACAGATTACCAGGTTTCTCCTTTATTGAGTGATTATCCTTTAAAGCTGACTGAAAGCTCAAAAACTTTAGAGCTCGCTGGGTTTACTCATCTCTCTAAACATTTTGAAAATCAATCTGTTTCCATGCCATCTTCTCTTGAAGATGATGATTTTTACACCAGACATATCCCTGAATTGGTCTCTGTGCTAGATGACTTTTCTTACAATTTGGGTCATAACCATCAAGAAGGCGAGGTGTGTAATCGCGATTGTCCTTCTTTTGATACGTTGTTTTTCCCCTTGACTGAAGATACGAGCTCTTCATTTTTCCCTGGATTTAGTCATCAACTTAAGGTTGAGTATGACATGGATACTCAAGACCAGGAGTATTTAAACATTCTTAACCAGCGTCGAAATACGCTTCTTTCTCAATCCCAACCGATTGACTCCAAAAGTGAGGACTTTCCAAAAGAAATTTCTAATGAAGTTTTTGAAGTCACTATGACGCTTTTGGAAGTAGCATGGGTTAATCTGGAGCGCAGAATACCTCCGAAATTGGACAAAAGCTTGCAAAGTGTTCCTGCTGATTTTCATTCTTATACTAATGATTCTACTAAAAGCGAAAATCCCAAAGCTAAGTTAAATACTTCGAAATCTGGAAATAAACCTGAGGAATATATCATTACAGAAACCAAAGACGATGGTGTTAGCGATAAACCAAATGATGAGTTTCATGAACTTTTTGAAAAAGACAGTTGTATTTCCCATGACGATGAGAAATGCGATGATGGCCAAGTTTGTGCAGTCTGTTGTGGAGAGGAGTCAACAGAAACTAATGAAATTGTTTTTTGTGATGGTTGCGATATTGGTGTACACCAGGAGTGTTATGGCGTTCAGTTTATTCCTGAAGGCCAATGGCGATGTGACCGATGTTTACTTAAACAAAAACACTTGAGGAAAAAATATTACAACTACATTCGCCACCTGGCTTTGGAAAAAAGCGGGTCTAATAGCAACCATGAAACTGGTGTTTATGTGAAACAGGAAGAAACCTCTCCAGGTTTTGAGACTGGTGAATCTAGTCGGAGTAAACCTGAAAAAAAACAGTTTACTTTTCCTGACTTTGAAGTAAAGTGCATTTTTTGCCCCGACTTTACGGGTGCTTTCAAACCCACTGAGGATGGCCAGTGGGCACATCTCGCTTGTGCATTATGGCTTCCTGGTGTATCTGTGGAAAATACCTCCATGAAACCCATTATTGGAATTGATAGGATTCCATATTCCAACCTGCATTATAAATGCACCATCTGCAAAATGAATGGTCATTCCGATTTTTCTAACCCTCCTAGTCATGAGGCTTGCATCAAATGCTCATCACCAAACTGCACAGCAACTTTCCACGTCACATGTGCTCAAAAAGCCAAGTTATTTATGAGATTAAACCAAACAGTTTATTTTCCTGATCATCTAGAAAATTATGAAAATGAAGATTCACTTTCAAGTTCTCCCAAAACTTTTACATTTACTCCAGTATGCTATTGCAAGCACCATACTCCCAAAAATTACAAGCTTTCCAAGTCACTATCCCATTCAACTAAAACAGTAAGCGGCAACAATGAAGTTGGAATTGATGTATTGCAAGATTCATACAATGACAATGACGATGCTCAACAATATGAGTTTACTGAAGAAAATGAGAATTATTTCCGCCAGCAACATTTTTTGGAGCACCGATGGACAACATTTAATAAAAATCCATTGATTCCTGCTTGCATAGTTTCCCAAGTTGTTACAGGCCTTAAACATTTTGATATTTTGGGTTGCAGGGATTTTGTCGAAACTATGGCCAGATACTGGGCTCTTAAACGCGAGAGCCGTTGCGGTGCTGCTCTTCTTCATCGACTTGTTTCTAGCAAACTGAAGACAACTATTGATTATTCTCATGGAAATTTTACTGGACAAATGAATTCCTCTGCATCCAAGTTTTCTTCTGAATGTGAACCCAACCAGGAACTATGTGACCTGTCTTCGCATTCTCTTTTTTCCCCATACTTGTCAAACTCAGAAGCTGTTTCCAAAATTTCTCAAACTTGTATGCTTTTGGAACGGTATAAGAAGCTTTCTCTTATTTTACACCGGTGGTCTCATATTGTAGGAAACAATGTGATTCGTGAACGTGTTGGTGTAGAATTTGCAGAGGCTGGGTTCCAAATGGTCATGAGTCTAGCTAAAGAAGTATTTAATGCTGCCATTTTGCCTGTTTGGGCCATTCTTTGCGATTCGGACAAACGACACAATTACATGGACCTAGCATTACATGAAAATGTTGAAGAAGAAGGAGAAAACGAGTTTGATAATTATGATCATTATGAAGCCTTGGGTGGATTTAGATTTGTGAAGGAGAGAATTGATCTTTTGAAGTATTCATCTGTTAAAGAGTTTCAAACAGATGTTGATTCTGCAATCCAAAGACTTGAGCATTACTTTGAAACGCAGCTTCAAGAGCTTCAGGAAAAGGGGAAACGGGTTAAGGCTCGAGACCCTGAGCTTGTTGAAAATGCAGATGATGAGATTGATGAGTCTGTTTTCCAAAAGCTAGAGAAGCAAGTCATTAGAGAGATTTTAATTGTGGCAAAGCCTTTGCGGTTCATGAAAAAGTTACATAGCTTATTGGAACCAGCATACACACAGGCTTATAAAGAAGAGAGAAAAATTTTGCGGCAAAGGAACACTTTGAAAGATCATATTCTTGGAACCCTTGTTTTGCGTGAAGTTGAAAAGCCAGTTTCAGGGAAAAAGAGAGTGACTGTAAAGGAGCAAACCCCAATTGTCGAGAAAAACAAACAATCAAAGTCTGGGGTATTGAAAATCACGGGTAATCGCACTAAGCGACGGAAACTTATCCGTGATGAGGGGAAAGAAAAAGATAAAAAGAACAGAAAAATTAAAAAGTAATTTTTTCATTTTTTATTTTTTTTCTTCATCATCTTTTATGTCAAAAAAAAAAAATTTATGTAAATTTAGTAGTTACGTTTATTGAATAGCTGTGAACCTTTTTTTTAAGGAAACGAATTTTCGAATTCAAACATTGGTATAATATATCCAAAGAAATGTTCATTAAATTTAAACTATTTTACAAATACCCGTAAGCTAAGTGTCATGATCAGGCTCGACCTTCTCTTTCGTGTAACTCATCTTCAAGTCGATGTGCAGGTTTAAAAACGATTCGATGGTTTTCCAGAAGCTCGTTCAAGGATTGTGGTTTTGGTTCGAGATGGCTGAAGGAACCCTCTCGTCGAAGATCAGGATTTGGTACAGTGTTATCTGTACCGCCTAGGGATGTGTAACCGAGTTCGTATAAAATGCAGTAAGGGATACCAAGAACCCGCAAAAAGTTCCAAATATCTTTATAACGCCAGTCAATTACTGGATGGATTCTAATGAAATCGGGCCATCCTTTATCAGTTTTTTGGAAATGCTTGAGATGTTGGCCGTATGGATCTGTTCTTCGGATTCCGACAAAAATGGCTTTTAGTTTGGTATCTAACGGATCACTGGATCCGTTAAGTTGTGATGTGGAATTATTTTGTGATATTTTATTGTTGCGAATATCAATATACTGACTCAAAGCTTCTTTCATTGGCATCGCCAGATTTGTAGTATCGAGAGCATAACGAGCGTTGCATTCCAAAACAAAGGCATCAACTTGAGGGAACGCGGTGGTGCTGCGAACGTATACACAAGGAAGAAGAGATTGGGTGATAGGAATATATTCATTGCATTGAAGCCATCTCTTATAAATAGCTGCGAGAAAAAGAATAAGAAGAACTAGGCAGTCTTTACCGCCGTTAAAAGATAATGCAAGTTCTTCAAATCTGGGGAGAGAGAAGGAAAAAAAAAGAAAAAAAAAAGGGAAAGAGTTAGAAAAATGAAAACAGAATGTAAAATCATAGAATAAAAACTTACTTATATCGATTAAGAGCCTCTTCTAATACTTGCATGGATTCAACAACTCGTTCCTTGCACTCGTTTCTGTCACTTTCAAGCTGAACAAATTCACTTTTTTCGATATGTGGGTAAATAGAGCAAGGAAGTATGCTTTTGTTGACACCATTAATATGGCCATTTAGTGAAGTAGTTTTATGTTGTGATTCTATTATGTCAGAAAGACTTGAAGAACTTAAGTAAAGATCCACAAGCTCGAAGGCTCTTTTTGCAGCTTTGATGAGAGGGGAGTTATGTGAAAGAGCTGTTTGAGTCATTTTTTTTTAATTAATTGTGATAAAAATATATAACAATGATAATTATAATAATAATTATAATAATAATAAGGCGCGATCTGCTCTTAGAATACGACACAGGCTAATAACCAATAAAAGAATCCGCGGGTATTCTATGTGAAAATAAGTATAGTTTTAAAAATGAGATTTGTATGTGATTTTAAAATGAAAGAAATAAATTCAAAGAAATTTAATGGTATTTATAACGTTAGAGGGGAGGGAAGTAAAGACAAAAAAAAAAAAAAAATAAAATAATAAGATCCGAAGAGGGTTCAAAAGGGGAGGGGGGGAGTCGGAGATGTGGATTTGAAATTAAGTGGGGGAAGTAAAAAAAAAAAAATTTAAAATTTTAGAGTTGGTGGACCAAAAAAAAAAAAAAAAAGGTCCAGCCGCAGTATATACAAGGAATTTAGTCTACATTACGCACAAACATACTTGTTTCGTGTTCCGAATCACCGGCTCATTAAACCCGACAATAGAGAGTCGTGTTTGATACTATCGTGCTTAATAAGAGTCTGCATGGTTTGTAGTCGGAACTTATTGATATTTTCAATCCGCTCCTCGTCAGCTTGACTCCAAAGAGCTGTGCCAGTCTCAGCTGTATTGTTATCACTGGCAGTAGTGAGATTAGGCATTTGTAGGGCCTTAGGGGCCTTGATAGATGTGACGGCCTTGGAAATATCCCCAAGAACTTCTGCAGTTTCTGAATTCCCAAGAATACCATTCACTTGCATTTCGTTTATCAGAGACTCGACAAAATGCAGATCCTGAAATGCGTTCCACTTTATTCGAATAACTTCATTATAGACAGAAATGTTGCAACCAGCAACATACGTATCAATGCTTCCTCTCTTAGTTAACTCAAAAAGAGTAAGAGCATCAACAGGAGAGTTGAAATCGTCGGCCAGAATCCGCATACTTTCTTTTAGCAGAAAAGGCAGGGTGTTGTGATCCACGGGGAAATTTTCCAATGTCACATCCAGGGCTTCTAAGTCGTCGAGATCGTGGTTCACAAGGCTGACCTTGCTGTTCCCTTGAGCGGCTTTATTGTCTTTCTTCTTTTGTTGGAATCTAGAAAGAACCATAGTTTTGAAAAAATCAGAAAGCTCAGCATCTGTCAATAGGTTCTCATTCATGTGCTTTAAAATGGGCTCAAATTTACGTTTGAGGGTCGTCTGAATTTGGAAAACTCGAGTCAAATCAATAGAGGTAGATTTGGGCATATCCATAAATGGACCCATAGACATGGGATACTTTCGGATATCATCATTTGTAACTCTGACCCCTCCTTCGCCTCCATCATTTTCTGCTAGACTGCTTCCTTGTTCTGTTGCATCAAACTTCTTTTCGAAAATGGCCTGCATACTTGGTAAAAGACCTTCGGATTTTTTAAGAAGCTTAGAGTTGTCGACACCAGGACTGGAAGTTCGCGCTCTTTGTAAAATAGTGTCGAAAATCTTTGCAAAAGCAAGGCGCTCTTGATGTGTTGCTTGTACACCAGAAAAGGCAGAGTCAGATGTTTTATGCTGGCGAGGTGCTCGAAATACTTCATTCAAGTTTTCTTTGCTGAGACGAACCTTCTGGCCGCTACTAGTCTGTGCTGACTTTTGTGATATGGGATATCCTTCTGATGCATCAGAAATCAAAGGTTTCTGTTGTGCATAGGCATCACCTGCATCCGCGTTGAAAACCAGATCGTCTTTTGAGGTGTTATTAGGGGAATTGTTTTCACTAGAGTTGGACAAAAAGTCCCACCCATTACCAGGCTTGTTATCTGTGGTATAGCATCTCAAGGAATAATGGCTGCCATTCTTGCCAGCTCTTTTTAAAACAGAAGCTGTACAAGATTTTGCGTGATTTGATATCATTTGAAACGGTTTTTGATTTTGATGATCTGAAAAATAAAAAAAAAAAAATTTTAAAAGAAAAACCACAAAAAAAAACCCCATACACAATAGGTCCTGGATATACTCACAAACGAGTAATTATAGTCACGAAAACATAATATTCTTGATGCTTTTTCCCCCCTCCCAGTTTTTTTTATCTTCACCACCTAATATCTTTTTTTAATAATCCTGTTTTCAAAATCCTATAGAAAGCAGAAGATATAAATAACTAATGCCTAAAAGCATTATCCATCCATATGAATGGAGTATTAATGACATTCAGTATTTTGTGACTGTCAACTCTGATCGTAATGAACTGAATCTTTATCAATCAAAGTATCAAAACAAAAAGTACATCACTACAAAGCTATCAACTTCTTCAGATAGCATAACACGCTCAGAATCAGACCCTATCCAATGCTACAATTATTCTCCTACGGAAACTGGACTTTTTGCATCTGGATTATTGTCTGGTACAGTTACAATTTCCAACTTAGCCGCAGTACCTAGAGCAATTTTTCGATTACGACCAAAACAACAGCGTCCATGCAATTCAGTGTCTTTTAACTCACAGGGCCTTCTTGCAGTAGCTTTAGACAAGGTGAGAAATGATACCTCCTTGCAAATTTTTGATGTCAATCGAGTACAACAAAACGACCCCATTTCTTGCTACTCTTTGATGCCATCTGAAGTCGTCTCATCCGTATCTTTTCTTAGAGAATCACCATCTTCACTTATATGCGGCTCCTATAAATTTTTAAGAGAATATGATCTTAGATCTTCATCAACAGTATTTGAAACTGCTACAAAATTTGTTCAAGGTGTCACTATTGACCGATTTAATGATTACTTTTTTTCTACACATTCTGATAGTGGTACGGTGGCTTTTTGGGACCGCCGCCAAATCCGCACTGGTGTTTCTGGGAGCTCTGAACCAATCATGACTATTAACCCATTTGGTGAAAACCAACGTGGGAAAAGTGCTCATCCTTGTTTTCGAATCTCGTCAACGCGTCGTGGCGAATTTGCTACTCTTCAGGATGGCTATACAATTAAAAGATGGCAAACAGGCTACGTACCTCCTCATATCCAGCACCAATCCCAGAGCCTGAATCCCACAAGTGCCAATTCTTCGGAGCCACTGAAGATTTCCTACAAAGATATACCTAAACAAGGCTATTTATTTGTGACTTCAATTATGAAATCGGTCACTCCAACAAATGAACGCGTCACTTCCTTCGATTATGTCACAGACTTAGAATACAAAAATCGTTTAAATTTCATATGTTTAACACAGTCTGGATCTCTTGTTCGAATGAAAGCTGTGGAAAGCCCTACAGCCGTTAAATTTGATCCGTTTAATGTTGTTGCTTCAGTCGACAGAGAGCACATCACTTTTATTGGGCCCAGAGCTGGAGAATCACACAATATTGACATAAGCCGTCGAATATCATCAGCTTCTACTGAATCGATATCCGGCACATCTGATGAAGGCGAAATAAATGAGGGCGCTGGAAGCTCTAAAAATTCCAAGAGCGAATGTGCAATTTTGCCCTCTACATCTTCTGGAGCAGATACCACCAATAATTCCTTGTTTGATGTCAGTGATGTATTAGAAAGAGACGTTTCTTTTTCAATCCGTAAACTTGCCATGAACAACTACTCGATGGATTGCGAAAGCAACATTGCTCTTCTAAATACATACAGCCACCCCAACGGAACTAGAATAGAGCGGCTGAAAGCAGCGTGGAGTTGGGTTGACCGCGCACAAAAGTCTCGTCCTTCTATGGTTTACGGCTTGGTAGATTTTTCATATGAAGGTGTTCTTGGTATTTGGGAAGGATACAATTGGATTTCTAAAAAGGTAAACAATCCCAATTTTCATCGACAAGCTTTTGAGACTGCAGTATCCCGTATATTAGATCGTTCGAAACGCAAAATTTATACAGAGTGGTCTTCACCAAGTCCTGCAAAACGCGATCTTCGCCAATTGTGTTTACGTGCTGCTGGTTGGAACTTTGACATTTCGCAGTTGGAGAGATTGCTTGAGGAGCTAGAATCAGAAGGCAAATATGAACAAGCTGCAGGCTGGGCTGTGTTTCACGGAAGAGTGAACCGAGCAGTAAAATCTCTTGCTGCTTCCAAAAATGATCGTCTAAGAATGATGTCAGCGGCAATCGCAGGCTACGATGGCTACAAAAATACAACCAGAAACTCTCCATGGAAAGAGCTGTGCCGCAAAATGTCTTCGGAACTTGAAAATCCTTACATGCGAGCTGTTTTTGCTTTTATTGCTGATGGTGATTGGATTGACGTTTTGGACGAAGAGTCACTCCCATTACGCGAACGCCTTGGCATTGCTTTACGGTTTCTTTCAGATGAAGAACTTACTAACCGCCTTTATAAAATGAAGAACCAAGCCATTGAAAACGGTGATATTGATGGCATTATACTAACGGGAATTACACCTGCAGCCGTTGATTTACTGCAGTCATATGTTGACAAAACAGCAGATGTCCAAACTGCTTCACTTATTATTTCTTTCGCTTCGCCGCTATATTTTACCGATGAACGTGTTACACACTGGATCGAGTGCTACAGAAACTTACTCAATTCCTGGCGACTTTTTTCCAAACGAGCCATGTTTGATGTTGCTCGCACTCGTGCGTCAAAAACTTTTGATGACAGAATAACTAATACTGTTGTTCCTCCTCAAGTATACCTTCAGTGCCACAACTGTAAAAAGGTAATCCGGAGTATGGTTAACGCTACGGGAGGCGAATCAGGGTCAGATTGGAATGTTCCATCATCAGCTTCAGTTCCAGGTGGAGGTGTCCCCCCAGCACAGCGACAAGAAAGCATAAGCTCTTCACCGACTAATCATTTACTAATGGAGCCGGCTTCTTATCACCGATACTACACGAGCCAGACACGGTTTCAGAGCACTGCTGATATTAATATCCGTTGTCCTCATTGTAATTATCCATTGCCTAGATGTGCCGTTTGTTTACTTCCTTTGGGTGCGATGCCATCTCGAATGAACTATAACAACTCTCTAGAAGGGCTCCAGAACTTTATGGGAGAAAACAATGACCAAGATCCCCAACAAACAGATGGTGATCAAACATCCAAAAATGCCATGGAAAACAGAAATCTATTTGATCGATACTTTGTATTTTGTTTGTCCTGCAATCATGGCATGCATGCTGGCCATGCTCGGGAATGGTTTTCAAAGCATTCCATGTGTGCTGTTCCTGATTGCGAATGTAATTGCAACCAGTATAGATAAGAATTTTGTATATAAATAACCAATCTGATTACTTTTTTTTTTTTTGCTTAAAAGCTTGTAAAGTCGATGGTATTAGGGACAGGGAAATGCTCTTCAGGAAGTCTGGTTTGCTCTTTCCAAGAAGTTGTTATCCATGAGGTATTGACAAAGTAAATTTGTTTTGATCCAAAGTGCTCGATAATTTCGCCACGAAGCGCGCGTGCTCTATAAGGGTCTTTTGATGAACAAATAATAGTCGTCAAGTTAGGATCAAGCATGTTATTAGTGATTACAGCACCACCGTACTGTGCATAGTTTTGACATTTTGAAAGTTCTGTTTTAGCATCCAACTTGCACACAAGTTTTGATGGCATCCATGGATAGTCTTCGTCTTCGTCATCAAAATTAATCATTCCACCTTGCGAGATATAAGCTAAGGTGGTTTCTTCGAAATCAAAATACATGACAACATTTGCAAATATTAAGCTTCGAGGAGTAGGATCGGAATGGAAAATTTGTTGAAAAGTTTCTTGAAATGCCTTTAATGAGTTATGAAACTCATCTGGATTATTGGATAATTCAAGCTTTGAAGGGACCAACCTGCCTAACAAACTCTGAAAGTCAGAAATCGAAGTAGTGGTATTGTAATAGGCATCCCCATATCTATCCACATGGCAACGTGCATAATATAACTCTTGACCAGAAGAAACAAGCAAATGTCTAGGTTCCAGAGGCAAAAGTTCTTTGTGATTTAAAGACTCTGTAATGTATAACGGTCTAATGATAGAAAGCTGTGGCTGTTTACTTATAAAACCAGTGACAGCAACTGAATGTAGGTCGGCAACAATAAACACCGATTTTGGATCTGACTGTAACTGGTCTTGCAAATTTTGATAATCCTTTATGACTTTGCCACCGTTTGTTTGAACTAACTTTCCAATATCTTCTTGGGTCATATATGTTGGAGATCGCTGACTAGATAATATATAAAATGACCGGTTCTGAAGAATACTAGACTGTAAAGGACCAGTAAAATGTGTTGGGTCAGTTTTGGTAGTGATGACCGAAAGTTTAGCCTTTTTTGTATGAACAACAGCTGTTTTCTTTTTTTGTTTAGCCTTCTGGAGTTCTTCTTCGCGCTTTTGTCGATTCGAAATAGAATCTTCCTGAATAGAATGGACCTGGTTAATTGTCATTGCGTTGCGCCAATTTTTATCATGTCTGAATAAAGAATATCTAGGAAATCTCAAAGTCATGTTCGCACGATATGATGTAGTGTAATTAACTTGACTACCTTTAACTTCAATAACAATAGAATCCTTTGGGTGAATCCATATATCAGGTGTCTGGCTACCCATTTCCAAGCATGGCGGAAGGTTTGGATTTTTGGGGTCGTATGGAAATATCTTTCCATCAAACAAGGTGCGAATAAGTTCATATTCTTGCCCGGTAAAACCTGTTCCTACTTTGCAAAATGAGAAATATTTTGGCACACTTTGTTCATCCAAAAATTCGTCCTCTTCTTCCTTATTAGAGACTCTTAGACCGCATAAAAATGAAGATAGTTTGCCCGCTCGATTTCCATTTCCATAATAACCACCAATGATGAGAAGGTCTAAACTATCACTGATGGTGTCGATATATTCAGGCTTAACTTTAATCCAGGAGTTATCACGTACATTTAAACCATATGTAGCTTCAGGGTTTTTGACAACCAAACCTTCTCCACCCTTCTCCATAATTTCTAAAAACCTTTTGTCAATATCTTGTATTGTAGAGCCTTCAACTTGTTCAAGTATTTCCAGATAACGTGGTATGGGATTTATAACGGCATTCAGAGCTCTTCTTCTTTCGCGCAATGGATATGCAAGCAAGGATACACCGTTAAGATATAGCAGGTCATAAACCAAGAAAAATCCATGACGATTTGCTTTAAACATTGCTGTTTCAACAGCCCTTTTCCAGCGATCTACTACTTCATCTCTAGGTCTATTGTAGTTGCTTGGTTGAAATTCATCTTCTTCGTCATCGTCATCATTATCACGGTCATGTATTTCACTGAAGGTGAATGACCTTACACCTTTGACCCCAAATATTTCACCCAGATCTTGAAGGTTTACCATGGCGCCTTTTGCCAGGCCAAATCCTTCAATGCACCCTTCTGTTTCGTTCCACGAGACAAGCTCTCCATCCAATATAATACTTTTAATATTGTCATTTACAAAGCCTTTAAGAAATGGGGTAAAGGAGCCATTGCTGTTATAAGAATGACCGTAAGCATTTGTACGATTATGACCTCGACGTGAGTAAAATCTAAACTCGCCATTTTTCATGTGCAATTGTATTCTTTCGCCATCAATCTTTTCTTCAATGTAAAAAGTTCTAACACCAATCCTTTCTAGTAAATCCGTGTAATCTTTAAATCCATAGGCCGCCATCTGAGGTTTAAAGCAAAGAAATGGTGAAACTTCTGTAGTGCTCACTGTCACTGAAACGTCACATAACTGCCAGCAAACGCGTTTTAAATCACTAGTGATATTAAATAACTTATAAGCACTTGGATGCCAACAACTTAAGACAGTTTTTTCGGACAAATGAATTTTCATGGATTTGATAATAATCTTAATGAGCCAGTACATTTCATGTGCGTTCATTTGCTGAAGGAGCTTTTCGATGATTTTTTGTTGGGCATCTCCTTTTTTATCACTACTTAGAGCAAGTTGATCTAGGTAGTCGTTAATTTGATCTAAATCCAAATTACTATATTCCTTCTTGCCTTGTCGTTTGAATATGTTTTCACGGCATCGGCGTGCAAAATTTCCAACACCGACACTTGCGCCATCTTTCCACTTAAGCATGGCTTTGCCATCTTCAGACTTTGGATCAATACGAAGAATCTTGATTAGCTCAGATGCCAGCCGTTTTTCTTTAAGCTGGAAAACGCGTGTAATGTCTCTATCTGGTAGTAAAAGACGGAAACATGGGAAGATATCATTACCACATTTTTTACGCCAGATACCAACTAACTCGACAATAATTTCTCTGCGTTGAGTCGGAGTAACCTTATCAGCTTGAAGACGATCTAAAAAACTGACAAACAGGCGGAAAGGCATGGACGCCCGATTTATGGGTTGCTTTGGATAATCATTGTTCATAATATACTTTGGTGTTGTAAGGTACTCACTCGCACTTAGAGGTATTGGTGACAGTGGCAACAATGGTATTACAGCCACTGGCTTAGCAGTACTACAGTGACACAAGACTAAAACACAAAACACATAAAATTACCAAGACTCAAAATAAACCTTTCCCTTGACCACCATGTGCACAACTTATTTAACATGTCAATGTTCAACCGCATAAAAAACATTGGAGAAATCGATCTCTCCGAAGCTCTGGTTCCAGGGTTTTTTCGAACAGACGACCTTGCTCGCTATGGATTTCGTGGAGGGCTTTCTGCTTTTGCCTTTGACCCGGCTCAGGGCCTTTTTGCTGTCGGAACCAACAACGGCTACGTTCACATTTTTGGCCAAAAGAATGTGGAGTTTGTCTACTCGTTGGACCAGAACCTTGAAATTATTCACCTTGCAATCGTCAAATCTATTTACCTTACAATTATCGATATTTCAAATACTATCACAGTTTTTTCTCTTGACACCAAAGCGCGTCTTTATACTTCTATGATTCCTGGCCGCGTGTCTTCCATCGCATCTGACCCTGCGATGGAGTGGCTATTTATCGGCACTGAAGCCGGCCAAATATCTGTTTATGATGTAGACAGAGGTGTTATGAGTCCATATCATATTGCCAGTTTACAACGTTCGTTTTTACAAAAGAGCAAAGCATCTCCGGTTGTTTCTCTACAACTTCATCCTCGCGACCCTTCTAAGCTACTTGTTTGCTATACCGATTGTGCTATTGTCTTCAATATTGTTACACAGGAGATTGTTTTTGGCTTAAAATATGAGCTTCCTTCTGGTGCGCCAGGTGGTGATTTAAACCCTATAGTCATTCAACAATACCGTTTACCGCCATTTTTGCAAGCCTTGTGGCATCCTCATGGCCATCATATTTTGACATCTCACCTTGACGGCTCGCTAGTTTTTTGGGATGGTACGGAAGGTGTTTTACTTCAAGCCCGAACTTTGACCGATGTGGATGTCAATATTCCGAGAAGAAATACTCCTGGCGTGGGTGTGACGGGTGTTGACAACAATAAAATCACCAAGGTCGGATGGGTCTGCACACAGAACCCTGAAGAGACCGCCATAATTGTTGCAGGTGGCCACTCTTTTGAAGGTGCGATGCAGGGAGTCACGATGCTGGATTTTGGAGTTACACCTGTTGTTGCAATTACGTCGTACCAAAATATGGGCAAGTTTTATGCCAGCCCCAGACGTCAGCGAGTGTTCCCCACGCCTCAGGACTCATTTGTAGTTGACTTTATTCCTTTGCCTAGAGCCAACCCATTTTATGGTGGTGGATGTGATCCTAATGCTATTGTTTTCCAACTTTCTAGCGGAGAACTTACAACACTTTCGTATCCAGATGGCTTGCCGATCAACTCTATTGCTGGACTTCCTTCGGCTTTTGCATGGGTGGAGCCGTTTATCTGTACTCTCTCGGTGGCATCTGTACCGCATAACCAATGGTTGGGTATGATGAGTTCTGTACCAGTTGCGGAGCCTTTTTTTATTGGAGGTGCGCCAGCTCGTCGACACTTGCGCAAGTTTGATATGCGCAATGCTCTTTGTACAGGCCATTTAGATGGTTCTGTGAGAATTTGGGACGCGTCACACGGCGAACTTGATGATTCTCGAGTTATTGAGATTCAAGTCTCAGAAGCGGTAAATCGCCACGATCAAAATAAAGTTGACAAAATTTCTTTTGCGCCAACACCTGCTGAGTTAGCGGTAGCTCTTGAAACTGGTGATGTTATTCTTTACCGATTTGGTACCGGGAAAAGACTAGGAAGTCTTGAGGACCGTATGGCTCAAATGAAGTTGAAGGAGCCTACAGGTGTGGTCAAAGACATTCGATTCCGCACTAAGTTGTTGAAGGACGGGTTTCTGCCACAATCTTTGGTAAATACAAACAATGGCCCTGTTTCAGCTTTGGTTAACTCAGAAATTGGGTTTGTAGCTATTGGCTACAGAAATGGCAACATTACAGTTCTTGACCAGCGCGGACCTGCCATTATTTTTTCATCTCCTATTGCTAATCTGGCGGTTAAGAAGAGCAAGCTATTGCACAAGACTTATACTACTGGCTCGGTAGGAGAATACCCGACAGCTATGAACTTTGGTATTTATATGCTTGATGGTGAGAAGTTCAGTAGCGTTGTTTTATCTGTGGGTACATCTTTTGGAAAGCTACATACATTCCGTGTTATTCCTCTACCTACTGGAGCTTACACTTTAGAATATTTGGGAGTAACGGAGGCCAGCACGAGTCCTATATTAGAGGTCATACCTCTCGACACAGAACGTGGTGTTTCTGCACAGGCACGGATGGCTGAAATGAATAAATTGGCACAGGGCATACAAATCAATGGCGCTGTGATTACTGTTTCTCAATCGGAAATCAGGCTATATCGTCAGCCTAAGGAAAAAGTTTCATCACGGTCTATTTCATCATCGCCATTAGCAACAGGAGGAGTTTGTCACTTAAAACAAGCAGGAACTACTTGTTTGGTGACAATCACTGTGGCTGGTGAGATTGTAGTATACAGTTTGCCCAACCTAGTTGAAATTGTAAGCCAACGGCTTCCATTTGCTGCTTCTCCAGATTCGATTGGTGACTCGATTGTAATGCAAAATGGTGATGTTCTTGTGCGCCGCAACCAACTATCTGCGGCACTGATTAATATTTGGGGTCGTGGAATAAAGCAAGATGATATTTACCAGGATGCACTTTATGATGTGATGAAACCCACACCCCCGCGACCTACTATTAGTACTATGCAGTGGATTAAGGGTACACCTATTGCAACTATTGATGATGTTGATTCCATTATTGGAGGTCCACGACGACCCAAGAGTAAAGCCACAATTGATCAGGAACGTGCCCAACGCGATCAACAAAGCCTGATTCAACGAAGCGCTATGCAGCGTACCACGACTAGTGCATCCACTGGATCTAATGTGAACCCGTTCAATACAATTTCGCGTGCTCTAGACAGTTTGGAGGAGTCAACAAATCAATATTTAACTGATTTGAGTGACGCAATGACAGATACACAAAAGTCAACACAAAACAGTTTCTTAAAATCGGCCATTAAGTCCAAGTTTGGATTTTAAAAAAGTATAGTTTATTAGTTTTTTTATTGCATTATTTTTATTTTTATTTTTATTATTTTTTATTTAGAGCGCCTTGGGAGGAGCGTCGAGGTCATCTTCACTTTCTTCACTTTCTTCGCTCTCTTCAATATCTGACTCGTTGTATTTATTTACTGCTGGCGGTTTACCGATTTCAAGAATTTTCCCTTGGTAAGGATCTTCTTCATCGCTAGACCCTTCTTCTTCTTCCTCTTCTTCGTATTCATCTTCTGAGCTTGAGGGTGGCAGTTCACCTGGTTTTCCGTGACCTCTATCACCCGTAACTTTTTCCGATTTCATTTTAGCTCTTTCTTCAACCTCCTTTTCTAGCTCGTCTAGCCATTGTTGCTGTGCAGCCTGGACAGAGTCTGAATCTGTGCACTGAGAGTAAAGCTCAAACAGCTCTTCATTGATTTCCAAAAATGCATGGCCCCAGGAAAAATGAGAAAGCACCTCTGCGGCCCATTCCAGATGGCCAACAATGGCAAAGCAGGCAGCAAGAGCTTCCACGCAGTTGAGACGCCATGGCTTACCATAATTTACTGGGTTAGCAGCAACCAAATAAGGTACTTTAAACGGTTAGTGTAAATATAATAAGGTGTTTAATGTTTAATCACTTACAAAGTCGCTCATGTTTTCCTCCAATTTTTGAAAAGGGGACTTCGTCTAGACGCGCCCAGGAGCACTCGACGACAGCTGCGCCGTACTTTTCGACAAGTTCTCGGTCATTAGGGCACACAACACCTTGACCTTTGGGACTTTTGATAGGTGTTAGAACAATATGAGAGTATTTAATTTTAAACAAAACTTACGAAACTACTACACCATTGAACTTTTGGCCTACTCTGAGTTCTTGAATAAGACCTAATCGGCTAAGTTTCTTACCACTACATCGCTTGGGATCGCATTGATCAAAATCCTAAAAGAATGACCGTGGTTAGCCGTATACATGTTTGATGAGAGATAATTTACTAACCCACATGGCCATTTTAGCGGGGAAGTTTGTTTCCCCCGACTTTTGTTTAGTCTCATACTGACGGCCCTTTTTTGCTACTGGTCTTTTTCCCATTATTAACGCGGGTTGTTTTTTTTTTTTTTTTATGAAAGTTTAGATATATCACTTGAAGTCTAATTAAAAATGACCGATACAGTATGAAGAAGAATTTTTTTTTATTTTTTTTTAAAAAAATAACTACAAAACCCTTGCCCAAAGCCGCACCAACATTCTGGGCCACTGTTGATCTGGTGGGACGAGCGGCGTTTAACGACAAACGAGAGATATAAGTAGATTTGTTTAAAGAGAAAAAATAAGGGATTATATGTTAGAAACTTAAGAGAAACAGAATGAAAGAAATATATATATATATATATTTATATTTAATACCAAATACTTTAAGGTTTGTGGACTGGTTATATTAGGCGAGATTTGTCAGTTGTTTGATGTTAACTGGTACTAAAACACTTTTAATCTCGCAAACTAACAAATCAATTAATTAAGTTTCTTTTATTTCTTTTCTTTTAGGGCATGTAAAATTTGTTTTCTTTCTTTTTAGATTTTTTTTTTCCATTCATAAAGAAACCATTCCTTACTTTTATTTGAATATTTCAAGGATATTTGTTTATTTGGAAAAGCTAACATTCCTGTAAATTGAATCAAAGCAATACGCGTAAGGCTCACGTTCATGTGTAATATATAGTCCGACTGCGTATACTATAGCATTTACATAATTTCCCATTTTTGATTCCGTCCGTTTAGAAGAAAATAAAATAAAATAAAATCCCTTTTTCTCATCCTTATCCCGAACCATCCCTTGTCATCTACAATATACTATATATATTTTTCAAAATACATCTAGTTAATTTCTAAGAAGAGCCAAGTATTTTTTTTATAAATAATACCTATTGGTCTTCCTCTTTTTTTTTTTTCTTCATCTATTTCTTTAAACCATGGCACCTGTGAATCAACCTCCATCGTCGTCGCCATATGCCAATCTCTTTCTCCATACTCTTTTCTTCAATCCGGAACCCACTCCTATAGTTCGCAAACTTCGCACGTATTTTCAGGATCCCGGCCGGTTTGCTCGTAATGTTATTGTTGTTCCGCCACTTATTTTAGAATGGGCCGTTGATTCCGATTCTCACCAACCTTTTACCGACATTATTGCCACAAACGAGGATTTTATAGCATCACACGTTCTCATAATTCCACCAGATTCAAAATCAACGGATCGGTCACGTCGGCTACTGACTTTTAATAATAAAACAATTTTTTCATTCAAAGGGTTTTTGCAGACAAATGCAGGGTTCAAGATCCACTTCAACAGCAAGGTCCTTAATGAGTACATTATCACACCAAGCTCACCATACCTTCCAGCAGACAGTCAATTTGTTGTATATGAAGTCGCATATCCTCTAGTCGGTCGGCCCACTTTCCCAAGTCTTTCCAGCATAGATTTAACATTAACACCATCACAGCAAGAGCAGTTTGATTTGCAATTGATTCCTCCGCCAGAATATTTTGGCGTGGATTTGGATAAGATAAAAGGTGATCTTAAAACGCGCCGCGACTATAAATTACTTCCAATCGTCTACACTAAAGACATTTCCAAAGCAGATTTGGAACTTTTACAGATCATAAATACGTTTTCTATTGACGCTGTTTCGTCCACTCAAAACCTTGTAAACCTTTACAATACCACAATTGAAGAATCAATGAAAGCATTTTCTTCAGTTGGTAGTTCTACACTTAACAAAATCATTAATGAGACGGGTCTTTCGTCTCAGGATATTGGCCAAATGGTTGGGGAGTATGTCGAAACACAGTTACATCAGCAATTTTGGGAAAAAACAACACAATTACACCAAAAAAAAGATGCGGTTATTGCTGATTTGTGCTGGGAGATGAAAGACATTAGTGTGGAACAATTAGATATTCCTGTTTCCGACATGACAGTTTTGTTTGATTTGGACGATCTGGTAACTCAAGCAGTTAAACTTTTCTCATCATTGACATCGGTGTCGAGCGTCGCTGAAAAGGAGAAGGTGCTACTTTCTGTGGTTCAAATATTAAGCAATGGCACACCAGACCGGGCGATTACAGCTGAAAAGGATCTACATCACGTTACCAAGTGCTCTGTGCATTACAATATGGAGCTGAGCCATAACCATAAGCTGAAGAACTCGATGAGTGCGGATACGTTTGTGTCTCTTATGATTATGGTGATTGTGCGATCTGAGATGGTCAATATTCATAGTTTACTATTTTACATTCGAAAATTTTCATTCAATGAGGTGGAAATGGGTCACCTTGGGTACGCTCTTTCCACGCTTGAGGCAGCGGCGTACCATATTTCGAACCATGGAAAGAAGATTGCCAAATTGTCACATTTAAATAAGAGATTTTTCGAGTGCTTGCCATCACCATCGCAGACCAAAGAGTTTATAGAAACATTACGACATAACAAGCCAAAGTATTGGAAGTCTGTTATTCGAAGCCGATCTCACAATAATTTAACTGCATTAACAACTGTGCTACAAGAGTTGGCAAAGAATGGGACTTTTGTGGATGAGATCCTTGAATTTTTAAATTATTTGTTTGATTTACAAGACGACAATGGCGACGAAGTTTTTGATATCGGGTTTGTTATTGGAGACCGAGATAGCCAAGGATCATCGTTATTTTTATTAGCATTAGACACAGAGGATGCGGATGTGATATTTTCTGTGTTGGGCAAGATTGACCCCCTTAATGATTGCGAAATGGCGCAGTATTTTGCGCGTGTCAATAATATGAAACGGTCAGTCGGGCACTATATTTTCCATGCACACTGGTTAATTCCTGAGATTGGACACCTTGTGGACTGGGAGCAACGTGATCTTGCAGGTCAGTCGCCATTATTTGCACTGTGCCGGTGCTACGACCACCCCAACTACAGCGATCTTGTTGAGTTTAGTTTAAAGGCATGGGAAAAGTCACCCAAGAGTCAAAAGCCGCTGAATTTGATGGCACATCAAGATTTAAAAGATAATACACTACTGCATATTGTCAAGAGTCCTGAAGCTGTTAAGCATTTACTAAAGTATGAAAGTATAGATGTGAACTGGCCAAACGAAGCTGGGTTTTCCCCATTAATGGTCTACAGCAAGTTTTCGAGGCTGGAGGCGCTACAAGTACTTTTGCAAGATGAGCGGGTTAATAAGCTTCAAGAGAGTGCGAATGGGACCAATGCGCTTGAAATTGCAAAAGAATCAGATACAATCCGGTATCTTGAAAGTGAGTACATTCCTGAAGAAGACCGGAGCATGTCGTTGACTGCGGTGATGACCATGTCTTTAAGTCCTGGTAATGGGTTTAATGGTGGAGCCAGTGATACTGCAACATGTGTGCTACGAACTTCTTTGAGTAAAGGTCGGCTGTATTTCATTATTACAACGGGGAAGAGGGGAGATCCAGGAAGCGTGATTTCAGTTCGACGGTCTTTTGATGACTTTAAGTTTTTAGCCAAGTGGCTTGGGTACGAGAACCCTTACTCATGGGTACCACCACTGCCTGTTCCTTCAGGTGGGAGTGGGCCCAAAGTTTTGCATGGGAAAACCGTGTACCAACTTTTTCATGAGATTCAAACGCGGCTCAATGTTTTTTTGAGAACTTTGATGGCCCATCCGACATTTGGTGCGCACGAGTTGCTATGGGAATTTGTGCTTGTACAAGACATTTCACGAGATTCGGTGATTGAACGGTGCCGGAGGAAGCTGCAGAATGCACAGGAGAGCCAGATGGAGAAAGAAGCTGCGGCTGCGTCATTATCGTCTGTGTCGTCGTCCGCTTCGTTGTCGTCGTTGTCACCGTCGTCAATTTCGGTGGTGACACCTGTGACAAAATCAGGGGGGGCAGAGGAGGAGGAGGAGGAGGAGGAAGGGGAGGAAGAGGAGGGAGAGGAAGAGCAGGGGGAGAATGGTAAAGTGTCATCTTCAGGAGGACCTAGGGCCACGCGGCCTGGGGGGCCACTTGGACGCACGTGGTCAATTTCATCAGTATCTTCGGACACTGGGGAAGAGGAAGAGGGGGAGCGAAGGGCAGGTGAAAGAGAAGAAGAATTAAAACAGACGTTACTTGCAAGGAACCAAAAAACACAAGCTACGTTACGAGAGGAGAAGGCACAGCGAGAGCGACAGCAACGGAAACAGGGGGGTGGAGCAGGAAGCGCGGTATTTTTTTATCGAAGCGAGGACTTGGAGCCGATTTCGTATTTCTTGGAGTATGCTCAGGAGCAGTTGACTGGTCTTGGACAATCGACGGAAGCGTTACATCAGGGAGCACAGAAAATGTGCCTTGCAGTTGATAGTCATAATGAAGCTGTGGAGGAGTTTTTCAAAATGATTTCAAGATTTGCAGGGGTGATGAGTGGTAGTAGTAGTGGTAGTAGTGGTAGTAGTGGTGGAGGAGGAGGAGGAGGAGGAGGAGGAGTTGATGGAGAAGACGGTCATGAAGTTACTCGACGTAAAACAGCCATGCTAGGGTTAGAGTACCCACGACAGGCGTACTCTGAGCTGAGTGTGTCGCTCAATAGTCTTGCACAGATAGTGGAATCTGGGGCACGTACATTGGCGGCCCCCCTTGCGATGGTAAGTCAGTTAGGTGAACGAGAGACAGCTTTAGGGGTATTACACCGACAGGCTGAGAAGCTAGCAGGAGGGGCTGGGGAAGGTAATGAAGGATCAGGAGGGTCACGAAGTCCATGGGCAGCGCTGAGCGCTGGGATGAGTAGAGGGTTAATGTTTGAAGAGAAGCGAGTCCGGGAGATGAATGAAACCAATGACCGGATCTATGTATGTCAGAATGAGATTAATCGGTTGTCGACGGATATTCACCGGTACCATGAGACGCTGGCGTCGGAGGTTGGCGCGTTGTTGACGGTTCATGAGGCGGAACTGAGGAGACATATTAGAACATTTTCAGACCATGTGTTGCATTCACATAAAACTTCGTTGGACCGGTTACAACGGGTGCGGAGGGAGATTCTTGATGAGAGGAAGTGAATATTTATATATTTTATATAGTATAGACATAAAAAAGTAAAAGTAAAAGAATATTTGATATTTCCATTTTTTAAAATTTTTTTTATATATTTATATTTATATATATATATTTTTTATATTTTTTTTTTTTTTATAGTTATAGAGATTTGTATATATATTTCTGTGTGAGTATATATTGGTTTTAATTGGCAGCAATGGCACTGTTGGGACTAAGGGAGTTTCCATAATTGGAATTTGAATTGCTCTTATGATCAATCATCATGATTTTCCCCTGGGCCTCCATGGCTTCGATAAGGGGGAGGAGAGGTTCCATTTCCTTTTTATCAAGAAGATCAAATTCCTTACCAAAGGAGATAAAATGAGCAAAGAAGGAATTCCAGTGAGCTTCCATTGAAAGATGAACAAATTTATCAAAATGATTATGATAGATATGGGCAAAGATTCTAAACATTTGACGATAGATACTCTTGAGAACTCCAAGGAAATGAGGAGGGAAGGGAACACCTTGTTTGGTAGGGAAGAGAGTAGTATCATCAAATTTGTTTGAGATCCAAGTAAGAACAAGGTCAATATAAGTATTTGCAGGGAGATGGACTTGTTTTTTATTTGAATCAATCCAAGTATAATCAATACCAGGTCCTGCATTCATAGTTGGACAAGTTTGAGGAGTAACAAACTCTGCAATGGCACCATAAAAGAGGTTAAGATATTGATAGAATTCAAAAACATTAAGAACTAGCCATTCATTTTGATCAACATAACGTGGGACTTGGACAAGTGTTTGAAAAGAACCACGAACAAGAGCAGTACGAACAAATGGTTGACAAAGAAACAGTGGTTTCATGACGGGTGCGACTGCAGTAGAAGAAGAAGTTGTGGTAGAAGGTGAAGAAAAGGAAGAGGTAGGAGATGTTGTTGATGTTGCAGTTGCAGTTGCAGTTGCAGTTATTGAAGATGTTGTTGTTGTTGTTGTTGAGGTGGTGTTATTATTATTATTATTATTATTATTATTTATTGTGGATGGTATTTGTGCCTGGTTAGGGGTGAAGTTGTTTTGTGTGGTGGTGTTATTGTTGCCTTGTTTTGATAAGGACGATGAAGATGAAGATAATGCAGATTGCTTTTGTTGCAGTTGTTGCTGATGCAGTTGTTGTTGCTTCTGTTGCAGTTGCTTCTGTTGCATTTGCAGTTGCTGCTGCTGCTGCTGCTGCTGCTGCTGCTGTTGCTTATTGAGAAGACTTGATGAGCTTGCCGAAGGTAGCTGAGAAGAAGAAGAAGTTGTTGTTGTTGTTGCAGATGACTGCAAAAGACTATGAGAGCTGGAATTCCCCATGGAAAAAAGGGGTTTTTGTACTGGCTGTGCCAGGGGTACAGGGGGAGTGATTTGTTGTTGTTGTTGTTGTTGTTGTTGTTGTTGTAGACGAGATCCGGAACTGGAGGCCGACTGAGCGACCGACAGATTTTGAGTACTTGAATTTGTCAAGTTATAAGCAGATGCTTGAGGAGTTGTTGATGTTGATAAAGAAGAAGAAGAAGAAGTTGTTGTTGTTGCTGGTGTTGCAGAAGAAGGAGACTGGTTCTGCTGTGGTTGTTGATTGTAAGTATGAATACTTTTAACAGCAGAAGTAGCAGTTGGTTGTTGTTGTTGTTGTTGTTGTTGTTGTTGTTGTTGATGATTTTGGGAGGTTTGAGTGGCTGCAGGAGGTTGTTGTTGTTGTTGGGAGGAAGAAGAAGTTCCAGTGGTGGTGGTGGTTTTACTGGACTTTTTAGATGATCTACCAAAACCACGACTTTTAAAAGAAAGAAAGAAAGAAAGAAAAGAGTTAATAAATAAAGAAAATTTAATATTAAAATAAAAAATATAGAAAATAGAAATAATTTTCTTGTTTTTTTTTTTTTTTTTTTTTTCTTCTTCTTCTTCTTCTTCTTGAAAGAAATTGATTATGATGATGATGATGATATTCTTTTACTTACTCGGAGTCAAAAAGCACATACCTAAGAGTGTTGAAAAAAGACATTTTTTTTTTTTTTTTTTTTTTTTAATTTGTTTTAATTTGACTTTGTTTAAAAATATATATATATATATAAAGAAAAAAAAAATATATAGATTTAAGAATCTTTTTTTTTTAATAAATAAATAAATAAAATTTTTACTTTAAAATTTTCTGAGTTGAAAAAAAAAAAAAAAAAAAGATGATTTTGATTTTCAATGATGGTGGTGGTAATGATAATAATAATAATAATAATAATAATAATAATAATAATAATTGTTGTTGTTGTTGTTGTTGTTGTTGTTGTTGTGATGGTAGGTTTTTTTTTTTTTTTTTTTTTTTATAATTTCTGAATTTTATTTTATTTTTATATATATAATAATAAAAAATAATAGCAAATATAAAAATAAAAAAAAAAAAGAAATTTAAAGTTACGCGAAATTGTCAAAACAACTATTTTTATTATATTTATTTTAAAAAATATTCGCTAATTTTAAAAAAAAAATTAAATAAATTAAATAAATCAATTAATCAATTTAAAATCTCTTTATTTTAAAAAAAATCAAAATAAAAAAAAATAAAATCTTCTAAACAAACAAAAAGGATGATGATTGATTGATTGATTGATTGATGGTTTTTTTTTTTTTTATTTGTTTGTTTGTTTTATATATTTTTGACTGCTACTGTGGCAGCTGCAATGAAATTTTTTATGGCAAAGAATTTTTTTTTTTTTTTTTTGGAAACCCCTGGCTAGATTATATAATTTATTATTAAATAAGCAATGCCATTTAAAGCTTAGGTAATAATATAATAATAATAATATAAACATAAGTTTTAAGTTTTAAGTTTTAAGTACCGAGTACCGAGTACCGAGTACCGATATAAAAATAAATAAATAAAATAAAAAGCTTCCACTCGGATCTTCTAGAACATTTCAGCCGTTTGCTTATTAATTAAATCTTCTCTTCCAATTAAGAAAAAAAAAATAAAAAAAAAAAACTCCTCCTCTCATTTTACATATAAAAAATAAAAATAAAATCCAATCCAATCCATAAATCTAAAAATTTTCTTTCTTCAACTATTATATATTTACATATTCTTCATCATTATTCTAATTCTAATTCTTATTAACTCATATATATACATTTAAATTCACTTACCATTTAAAAAAAAAACTTCAACCTCTCAAATAATGTCCGTAGAAGCCCCAATCAACTGGTCATCTCGGCTCCTCTTCCGTTCAGTCTCATCCTCTCAATCGCCACCGCCACAACCACTACTCTCCAATCAACAACAACAACAACAACTCCCCCCACAATCACCTCCATCATCTACTGAAATCACTGCTCCTACTACTACTACTACTACTACTACCACAAATAACTTCTACTCATCACAAAAATTCTCAGATAAAATCCTCCTCCCTCCATCTGTCCTTGAATCTCTTGTCCGTCAAGCCCCCATACTACCATCTCCACTTACCTTCCGTCTCACTAACCCTGTCACTCGTCAATTCACCCATGCAGGTGTCCGTGAATTTTCCTCCGATGAAGGTGTTGTTCGTATCCCTCAAGTCATTGCAGAGCGTATTGGTCTCGAAGAACTAGGACCTGTAAACCTCCAACTTGTAGAACTCCCCAAAGCTTCCTTCCTCTCTCTTCAAATCCTTCAAGATGATTCCAATAATAATGATACTGATAGTAATGTCCAAGACTGGAAAGCCCTTTTGGAAGCTCAACTTCAATCTGCTTATACTGCCCTTACAAAAAATGATACCCTCTACATTAATGATCCAACAAACCCTGCCCATCACTACAAGTGCTTGGTAGCAGAAGTTAAACCTGCTGATGCCGTCCTCATTATTGATACTGACGTGGATCTTGAAATCATTCCTCCACTCTCTTCTACTACAAAATCTAAAAAGGGCAAATCTAAAAAATCTCCTACAAATCTTGCCCTAAAAGTCAACTTAACTGATAATTATGGCCAAATTACTATCCCAGAAATTACATCTTTTGAATCTTCCCCAGTCAAAATCACAATCTCAAATTATAATCAAAACCTCCCCCTAGTCGTTTCTCTCTCAAACTTGGCAGATTCTCCAACTGATTTATCAGATCCAAACCTTCTCAACCTCTATCTTGGTTCCTCTGAAGATACCGCTCGTGAATCTGTATTTCTTTATTCAACCCTTCTTGATACCAACCAACGAGAAAAAACAATCTTTATTCCTCCTAATGAACTTCAACCTTCGGATTCAACCTTATATGCTACTCTAACACTCCCTAAAGATCTTGATGTCATTTTTGAAAATCTCTCTATAACTTTCTCAACAGAACATTTGGCCTCTTCTCCTCTCCCTGCATTTGATGCTGCTGACTCTACACAATGTTCCAACTGTGGCCAATTTGTCCCACAACGCTCCTATCAACTTCACTTAAACTTTTGTGCTCGAAATAATATCCCATGCCCTCAAGGATGTGGACAAATCTTTTCTCGAAGTGCAGGAGGTGTCCCAGCTACTCACTGGCACTGCAACTCTTGTCCCCCCCGCGTCTTTGGTAACACTAAAGAGTCGTATGACTTGCACCAAAATGTCGCCCATACCCCCATAGACCATTGCGATGCATGTGGCCTACTTACAAACTCCCCCAACTTGATTTCATTAGCCCATCATAAGGCCTCTGTATGCGCTGCAAAACTTCACATTTGCCGATTCTGCCATCTCCGCTTACCCCAGGGCCCACAAGAAGCCTCGTCTTATGGTCTTTCTGGTCACGAAACAGTTTGCGGAAGTCGTACTGCTGATTGTGACATTTGCCAAAAGGCTATCCGTCTACGCGACATGCCTGCTCATTTAGCTCTCCACGATATCCAGCGTCGTTCAAACAGACCTCCACAACATCTTTGTGCAAATGTCAATTGTCAACGTACCCTAGATAACAATAACATAACCTCGCCTCTACCACCTTTCGGTCTTTGTGCAAGATGTTTCGGCCCCCTTCATAGCTCTGTCAATGACCCAACTGGTACAAAACTTGTTGCCCGAATCGAAAGACGTTACGTTATTCAACTTTCTAGAGGTTGCGGAAAACCATTTTGTTGTAACCGTGAAGCTTGTGCCACCGCCATGGGCTCCAAACTTCCAATGGCTCAAGTCATGCCCCGTGTCAAACAACTCATGACTCTTGATCCTACTGACCCTGATCGTTTCGAGCATGTAGCATTTTGCGTTGACGAAACTACAACTAAACGTAAAATGTTTGTGGATCTTGTTGCAGATATTGAGCTTCTCTATAGCCGAGAGTGGGCCGCAAAGGCTATAGACGTTGCTTCTGGAAACGAGGCTGAGGCCCGCCGTTGGCTCGAGCGCAATGCTGTTAAGCTTTCTGAAGAACAATCATAATGAGCTATATATATAGAAGTAATACAATTTATTATCATTATTATTATTATTATTAATTTTTTATTTTTTTTTCCATATATTTATTATTATTCTTTTTTTTTCTTCCAAGTTTTACTTTACTTGAAAAACTTGGCTTGTGAAATATGGCCCTCCTCATTCTTGGACATGACCTTAGCAACTGCCAACTCAAAGTCTTCCTGTGTAACATGGATACGACGCTCACGTAGAGCATACATACCAGCCTCTGTACAAACACCCTTAACTTCAGCACCAGAACTTCCACTCATCTTCTCTGCAATTTTCCGCAGATTAATGCCTCTTGTTAAGTTCATTGATCGAGAATGAATACGCAAAATATCCGTACGGGCTTCAACAGTTGGTGGTGGGAATTCAATCTTACGATCAATTCTTCCAGGACGGAGCAGTGCCGGATCCAAAATGTCAAGTCTGTTAGTTGCCATAATAATTTTAATGTCTTTAGAAGACTCAAAACCATCCAACTGGTTCAGAAGTTCAAGCATTGTTCGCTGTACCTCAGAGTCACCACCAGAACTGCCCTCCACACGCGAAGATCCAATAGAGTCAATCTCATCCATAAAGATAATTGAAGGCGCATGCTCGCGTGCCATCACAAATAACTCTCGAACCATGCGGCTACCTTCACCAATGTACTTCTGAACAAGCTCAGAACCACTAACACGAATAAACTTGCATTCAGTATGATGAGCCACTGCACGCGCAAGAAGTGTCTTACCAGTACCAGGAGGACCGTACAAAATAACACCCTTAGGTTGAGCAATACCAAGAGACTCAAAAAGTTCCGGGTGCTTAACAGGCAACTCAATCACTTCCTTAATCTCCTTAATCTGTTTGTCGAGACCTCCCACCATGTCAAATGTACTATCAGGGACCTTTTCCACCATCATCAGTGAAACAAGTGGGTCAACCTTATTGGGCAGAATCTGGTGAAGTTTATAAGAGTCCGATCTCAGGCACACGCGTAAGCTTGGTGTCACCTTCTTGATATCAATATCTGGGTCAATGTCCACCACGTACTTGCCCTCAGGGTGCACCTTCACAAGAACTTTACTCTTACCCATAACCTTCACAACTTCGCCCACATATGACCCAGGTTCTTGCAGTAGCTGCAGCTCTTCTTTTAACAGACGCACTTTGGCGTTAAGCGCGTTGCGCTGTGCCTCCAGTCGTCGCAGGTTCTGCTTCTTTTCATTTAGCTTGAACTCTGTCTCTTCAATGTTTTGAGAAAAGTAAGGGCCAATGCCACCTTCGTGAACAATGCCGCCATTGGGAATGGTTGATACTGATGTGTTGACTGCAGTGAGAGCCATCTTTAATATTCTGAATATGGGTAAGTTTTATTTCTTTAGTTTCTGTTGGTTGGTTAATTGGTTGGTTGGTTGGTTTAGTTTGGTTGATTAATTGATTAGAGTGAATAGTATCGTCTACTAAATGTAGGTGGCGGTTGTTATTATTTTGTTAGAGTGGCAAAAAAAAAAGGGAACTGAAAGAAAAAAATCAAATTTATTAGTAATGATTAGTAATTAGTTATATAATATACACTTCTTTTTTAATCACACTTTTTGAACACGCCTAAACTTTCAACTTTCAACTTTCAACTTAAACAATAAAACCATACACAACATTTAAAAAATGAGATTCCTATTTTCATCAAAATACCTGATATTCACTCTGTTTCTCTCTCTAGCATTATTTGCATCTCTTACTCAAGCATACACTCAAATATGTCGTTGTGATTGTGGCAAAAACTACACAATTGTAGAGCTCCCCGACGAGGGACTCTCCTATACAGCCTCGTGTACAAACTGCACCAAAAAGTTTTGTATTGCTCAAAACTTTACAATCTGTCAGGACGTTGATGAAGTTTTATTTTCAGCGTCTTGCTTTCAGCGCGAATCACTTAAAGAACAATTTTTCATCTATACTTTTATCATCATCACTTCTGGCTTACTACTCTACGCGGCTGTTGCTCCATACGCACAGAAAAGATTTGGACGTGGAGCACAAACAACTAACGGAAACAATTAGGATTTTATTTTTTTTATTTTTTTCCCCCTCTCCTCTCCTCTCCTCTCCATATTTGATTCTCATTTTTTTTTTTCTCTTTGTAAATAGATTTTATTTTTAATTTTTAAAAAAGCGACATAGAACCAAAAATATTAAGATACAAGTGGATTACCCGTGCTACTATATAATTTGCAATTAAGTGTTACTACTATTTGTAATTAAATATTACTGCTATTTACCCGTGCTACAGCTATTCGCAATTTGGTATTACTGCTATTTGCAATTAAGTATTACTGCTATTTGCAATTAAGTGTTACTGCTATTCGTAATTGTATACAAAAAAAAGAAAGCTAAGATAAGGAGGAATTAAAGCCATCAAAATTATTTAAGAATGATGTTAGTATTGGTGTTGACATTTTTTTTCAAAAAATGGTGGCTCGCTACGCTCACATCTAGGCTCTGTTTCCATGAATTTTTTGGGGGTTTACCCTAAAAATGTACAGTTTATACAGCTCGAAGAAAGAGAAAAAAAGAATGGGGAAAGGATTAGTCAACTATTTTTTTTTTTTTGTGAAATGTAAAGAAGAATATTAGATAATTATCTAAGTCTATCTATACTTATATAAGTATATGTAAACATCAAAACTATATTCCCTTTTTTTTTTTTCTCTTTCAAATTTAATCTTGATATTGATACTATTCCTACCTTTTTATTTTTCAGCAAAATAATTTAACCATGATTACACCACCTTTAAAAATCGACTTAACAACAATTTCTCAAAATATTCTTGACAATATTCCGCAAATAGATCGTGCGGAATTTGTTCACAGACTTTTAGACGAAGTAAAATGTGTGGTTAAAGATGAATTTCAGGTTCTTATCGTTAGTTACTCTCATCTTAAAAATTGCTCATACAACTTATCCACAAGCCCTCAGATTGTTACGTGGACTCAAGGATCTAAATCTCATAATTATGCTGTTTTCTTGATAGGAGAAGGCGTTTTTGATTATGGAAATAACCATAATAGTTTTGAACACTTGGCTTTTAGTGCTGCAAACATTTTCCCTATTCCTTGGGGGTCTCGCTGTAACAACTACTTGGTATGGGCGAATATGACCGATCGTATTGGAGGAAACGGTGGATACAATTTATATGCAGTTTATTTCCATAAAAAAAATATCGACCGCATTTTTGTGAAGAAGAATTTTGTCGATGGCGCTCATCATATCACTGCAATTCATTTCGAATTTTTCAACATTGTCAATCCTAAGCAATCCATTGGTCATGATCATCGTGATACTGATATTGTTGACGTCCAACCCAATGACACTATTGCCCATGTTTCTGTCAAATATGAAAACAGGTTTATAATCGGTATCCAATTTCACATTTACAGTGCTTATACGAAAGAGGTTCGTTCAACCGAGTGGCTTGGTGGCAATTACGGTCAGGTGCACACCTTTCCCCAAAATGCAAAGGGAATTTTTGGGCGCCATGGCGGTCGTCTAGATAGCTTGGGAATTTTTTATTAATTTTGGATTTTATATGTGTTTTTTATGTACTTTATACGTTTATTTAATTACTTTTTTTTTTTTTTTTTTTTTGACAATTGGAGATAAGTTAGTTGAAGACTCAGTTTTTAAACGATAATCTTTTCTAGCTGAGAATTGGGCATTCAAACAACAAACAATAAACAACAAAATTTTGTAATTTGACTTTTGGCTGACAATAACTAAAAAAATACCGATAGTTTAAAAAGATATTATTAACTAAATCAGACTATTTATTTGTTTTTATTCAAGTGTGAATTTGATTGTAAAATGCCTTTACTCAATAATAATAGAAGTGTAATTTTTATCATGAAAATTCGCTCCATGTTTTTCAGCAACCATCCCTTTTTTTCAGTTTCTATAAGGCTTGGAATCATATTAATATTTAAAAACTTTCCCGCAAAATGTCAATATCATAACTTTTTTAAACTATTTCAATGAGGTGAGACAAAATGTTACAATTTGTATAAAAGTTTGAATGAGTTGAGGACTGCAAAACTGCAAAATTAGGTTCAAAAATTTGTTAAAAAGTTGGAAAGTTAAAAAGTAAAAAAGTTAAAAAGATCAGAATCTGAAAAATAAAACGAGATTTTGAAAGAAAAAAATAATAATATTTTATATTTTTTTCATTCCTCAACTTGCCACTGGCAATGGAATGATCGTTTGGATTAAATGAAATTGTCATCGATGACATTGAACGGTTTTCAAACAAACCTCCAGAATAATTCCTTAGGAATTAAATGGATTAATGACTCTTTTGATAACTTTATCTCAAATATTTGGATTAATCCAAATTTAACAATATCGTTAAATTATAATACAGTAAAGAACCACATTCTTTTTTTTTTTTTTTAGGTTTATCACACTTAAGTTGAAGAGTTGAACTAAAAACTCTTTCCATCGTTTTAGTAATGATATAAGACAATTAATTATATCATGATCATGATCTTCTTTTCATTCATGAGCCTTGGAAAGGCCCCTGGTCCTAATAGGGTTTCTAATACGTAAAATGTGACCAAGGAAAGATTAGTACAACTGTGAAACCTATATTAAAATAATCTTTCTTTATATTTTCACTTCAAACTTATCATATATGATACGTTTGATATATTTTAAGACTGTTTTTAATTTTTTTTGAATATTACTGTAGAAAAAAAAAACCTTTACAAACACAGTAAAATAAACACAATGTCTCCAGGTCATATAGAGCCTTGTGGCCTAAGTGGTTAGGATAATGTACGATCGGTGAAAACATAACCTGAACAAGCAAAATTTTTAGTTAAAGATCCTTTAGGACTTTTAGATTGAGAAAAGATAGGAGGTTAGTTCCAAGATCATGATCTTGGAATTTTTGTTAGACATATTAACTGAAACTTCATTATTGAAATTAGTGGCATTACATACGCAATTTAATTACATAATACTTAACAATAAATTTACCGTTGCATTCAAACGCAATTGAAAAAATAAAAAAAAAAAACGATATAGTGCTAAGCCACCAAAGTACCTAAATCAGTATGTTGACTACGATATTGTTAAATTTGGATTAATCCAAATATTTGTTCATTATTGAAGTTGAGATAAAGTTGTCAAAAGAATCATTAATCCAAATATAAATATGCATAGATTTCTTCTCAAATAATAACCCTACTTATCTTTTATAAAGTGAGATACATCATAACTATCCGAATATCTTATCACCACTTTTTTTTTTTCAATTCATTCATATATCTGACATTTTTTATTTTTATTTTTATTTTGCAACTAAATATTTTCATTTAAAAAAAAAAAATTAAAACCTACTATAGTTTAACCTTATCGCTTTTTTTTTATTCGTTTCATAAGATACCACAATTGAAAAACTATATCAAATATCAACAAGAAGAATCCAAAAAGATGTCAACGAACGCGAACTTAAATCTTAACATTGATGTTAACGACCTTGTTAAAACGATTTTGAGTCTTGTTCAAAGAATTGGGCGTGCTGAATTCGTTCAAAGATTACTTCACGAACTCGAAAATAAAGTTCGTGGAAGATGCGATATACTTATTATTAGCTATAGTCAGCTTCAGCGGTGTCAGAATACACTATTGAACTCAGAACGTACACAGTCTGCTAGATGGGAACAAGGATTAGACGGCCATGACTTTGCAGTTTTTTTCTTTCACGGTGGAATGTTTGATCATGGTGGAGAAGATGGTGGCTATATCAATTGGGCATTTACTGGTGGTAATCGGTACCCTTCACCCTGGGGCTTCCATGACAGAGATTCATATGTCGTATGGGCCAATAGAACTAATTTAGTTGGAGGAAATGGGGGTGGTAATGACTACGCAATTTATTTTCATAAGAAAACTATTGATCGAATTGTTGTTAAAAAGGATTGGGACAGAGGGAAAAGAATTCACCATGTGGCAGCAATTTATTTCTGTTTCCGCAATATTGGTAATTCTCAACAAATGATTGGAAAAAACCAACGGGAATCACAGACGTTTATTTTTCAGCCAAATGATACTATTCAAAGAATTGGTGTGAAACATGAACATGGTTTAATCAACGCTATCAAATTTTATGTCAGAAACTCTTACGATGGCCATGAACGTGAATCTGATTGGATGGGCGGTAACGGTGGCCATGAACATGTTTTTGCAGAGAGTCCAAAAGGAATCTTTGGCCGCCACGGAATTTATCTTGATAGTTTGGGGATATTTTATTAAATTTATCACTTTTGGTTTTTTTTTTTTCAACTTATTTTTTAATCAGATACTAATTAGTTAGTTAGGAATCAATATTTTAGTAATAGAACAGCTAACCAAATATCTGTACTATAAACTGAGAAAGATTTAATTGGAGATTCATTAAACGGGTTTGATGTTTCTGTGATTATCCAATTCTTTTTTAATGTAATTTCCAGGTATTTTTTAGATAAAAAAAGTTGTAGTTATAACTACTTCATCGCCATTGAAAATATACACATACATGTGTATTATAAAAAAAAAGAATTACTAGACTATTTAATTCTTTTTTTTTTATTTGATCAATAATTATTAAAGGACCTCCGCTTTTACTACTGCTAAATTGGCGATTACACGCAATTCAAGATTTTATGTTCATAGGATATAGTGAACCAGCTTGAAAAAGAAACAAAAATCTTCTTAAGCATACCAAATTTGATGATTTGATCAAATGTTTTATAAATACTTATATAAAACAATATGGTTAATATATATTTTTCCTTTAAATTTATATATTTTCATTTTACCAATATTAGTATCCGTTGTATATTTTGGTATTGAATTTGTTTACTTAATCAAATTAAAAATCAAGGTTATTCTCATCACATGGGTCACAAAATCAAAGTTGTAGCTTTAAGTAGCTTAAAGTAGCCGTATCACATTGTCCGTGGAGTAAACAGTGATAAAAACCATCCAAAAAACCAAATTTTTTTTTCATTTTTTTATTTTTTAACTAGTAATTACAAGCAATTAAAAATTAAAAATTGAAAGTATACTTGAAGAAACTATCATGGCTTTTCTGCCTTTCAAAATACCATTTTTGCTACCAGCAACCAAACCAGTGTCTGATCCACAACTTGCATCTACTGAAGAAGAAGTAGAATCTACCCAAAACTCTACACAAGTCTCTACTGATGTCCCTGCAGTCGCTACAACCTTTTCACGTCCTATTCCTTTGAAAGATGTAACTACTAATGTCACTTCACAATCGATTAAGCCCAAGAAAAAAAATCCTATTGTTAGCACTTTTGTGGTCAATACAACCAAGAAGGCTACAACTTTTGCATATAAAAAAGTCAATAGTTCTTCTGCATTTATTTCCTTTAAGTTAGCCATGGTGGACTTTTTTGAGCACTTGTTTCGACTAGCATTTACAATCACAACAAAAATTGTGTTTTTGCTTCGCGACTTGCTCATTAATACGCTTAACATTTTATATTCTGCTGTTTTGATACCACTTGACCTAATTTTGATTGTAGCCCATAGCACATGGCTTCATTTTGCATATAGGATTCTTGACAAAAAGCGTACCAAACTTACTGAACAAGATCCATCAATAATACCTAAGGAAGAAGAAAAGCGTCGCATCCAACGGCAGAATCAAGAACTTGCTGATTTGACTACAACAAGAACACTTTTTTGGTCAGGAAAACCTCTTTCTATTCGTTCTTACTTTTTAGATTTTATGGGGAGTCGCATAAATGACGATGATAATGATGTTGAAGGTTCACCATTTATCAAAGAATCTATCATACCAAGTCAGCTATTTCCTCGTCATCTAGGACTTGACAATGGTGAAATTCCCAGCCAAATTAATTCTTCAATTAACCCAGTTCAGTCTTCAGTAGAACTAGAGTTAAACCATAATCCAGCAAGAGACAATTTAACTGAAGGGTTTAAGCGTATTCATTTTTTTGGTTTTTGATTTATAAATTTTTGCCTTTACTAATTACTTTAGATTTTGATTCGTCGAAACGGCAACTAGGGATTACTCAGTATACTAAGTTTAGTGACCAACTTTATAAGAGGCGGTTACAAGAGCTTCCACGAAAACCTCTGGATAATTACCGAAGGTTGTCTCAAAATGTAAATACAATTAATGAAAGGGGACAAACTGAAGATGCTTTAACGGACCAAGAGTTTAGCTACGAAGTGCCCTTGTTTGTGGAAAATAGTGGTGATCAAAGTCTGATGCATAATAGTAAGGCTACGCCATCAGCATACTACAAATCCGTTGAACCATTAAACATTAGTCAACACAAGGGATTTAGAAGAACTGGTTTACCGACTGTAAAGCCCGGTACTCGTCACATGTCTTTGTCATCTATGCCGCCAGAGTCCAAGCTGACGGGAGATGTAATTGTAAAAGAACGTTCAGAAGCAGATGTTAGACGTCCGTCAACGATGCAGTTTGGGTCAGGAGTCGGACCTTCTCGGTCATTATCTGAAGCAGCAGCAGCTAAAAAGAAGTTTAATGTCAATAATGCGGCAGATGAGATTTTAAAATTCTCTAATGATTTTAAGAAACTAATGTCAGAAACGCCAATCTCACCTCCAATTTTACCAAGCAGAGGTGATGAAAGCAGTGGGATTGATCCTCGAAAGCAGATTTTTTTGCCCAAAATTGATATGGTAGTAGAAGAAAAGGGAAATGATGAATTAAAAGCGTCTGAATCACAGGAGCCTACTGCACAAGAAGAAAAAGAACAGAAAAATAAGCAAATTCATAAAGCCATTGAAGCTGCTAATAATATTTCAATTAGTGGCACACGATCTTTTTACAATACCAATAACTCTCAAGCTGTTTCCTCATCAACAGGTCCTTTAGATGCATCAGGTAAAGGCCTTTGGAATAACTTGGCTTCCAAGATGTTTGTCAAGACTACTGAAGTAGCCCCCAAGCCAAATCCACGTCCTCGGTTACCAACTCTTGAATCAGAAATAAGTATGAACAGTAGTGTTTCTGTGACTGACTCAGATGTTGGGGAGTCTAAGGTGAAAAAAAAGGAAGAAATTTCAGGAAGGAAAAAGCATCGCAGGTGGTTTGGTGAGCCTCGATGGGTACATCAACTGGCTGATGAGAGTTCTGACGACTATGGCGACGTTTTGACTACGGGTACTGAAGATAATAATGAAGTGGAAACAGATGAGGGTAAGGCTATTGGTGCTGCCGTTTTAAGTGCTCGCAAAAAACGGGAAAAAACCGGTGGGGATGGCCGCACAGGGGTTCTGCGTGAGGCTGCTATTAAAAAACAACAACATCGTTCTAAAGTAGGTGATGCTGCTGCTTATGAAGAAGTGCCTGCGGTACACAAAGACCAACCAATCAGGTGGACCAATAATCAAGACTTGGGAACGTTGCAGCTCCCTCACCTTGGTGTCAGTGCCAATTCATCAATGGTTGATTTGGAAGCTTCTTCTGGTGGTGGAAGACTGAGACTTCATTCTGCTCACGAGTATTTGAATACCGAAGCACAGGCAACTGTCGAACCTAAACAAAGGACTGCTAATGAATACTCCATGCTTGAAGTCCCCATACTGTCTGGAGTTGTGGCTCGGTCCCCTGATTTCTTATCCATGTCGGCAACTGCAATCACTTTGAGTCCCGAAGAGACTACTGGCAGATTAGCACTGGGTCATCTTAGTGAAGACCATATTGATTCCGCTGCTACAATAACATTACCAACGGCTACGGCTGCAACTACAGGGGAGGAAAATGAAAATGGAGACGGAATGACAAGAGTACGGGGGGCACATATGAAATTATATGGACGACGGTTGGCTAACAAGCTTAAACGGCGAGCTCAACGTAAAGAAGGGGTAGATGAAAGCGAAGGCGGTGGTAGTGCTGTTGAGAGCAGTGCAACCATGCTTGCTAATGAACTAATTGAGGGCTCTTCAGGAAATAACATTGAGACTACTGGTGGAGAGAGTGCTTGGGTGGATGAAGAAAGCGATGCAGTCTCCATTGAGGTTTAAATTCAGTATTAAAATGTTTTTTTTTTTGTAGTTGTGAAATATTTAACTCTATAGTGTGGTAAAAGGGTTATTACCTTCAAAGAAATAAAAAACTATACAAATTTTTTATTATATTTTTTTTTATTTTTATTTTTATATTACTATCTCATGTCGAGTAGGAAAGAATAATAACAAAAAGAGGAAAACTAGTAATAACAAGAAAAAACTTTTAAGGTGGTGATAGATTTTTTTTAAATTATTTTCTTTTAAAAAGAATAGGGAGAAGACGATTTTATGCACAGAAGAGACAAACCCCCAAAGAGGTTGTTTAGGTATCAAGGAAGGGAGGCGGTAAAAAAAAAAGTATCATGAACAATCGTAACCGACATTATATCTTTTAAGAATAAAAAAAGTCGTTTCTTTTTTTTTTTTTTTTTAAAAAAATTTTTTTCGTTATTTTTTTTTTTAATTCTGTTGAGAATTATCGCCATCCTCGCTCAAAGCCATAAACGAGTTTCTGGTATTGTTTTGACTGGGTGCACGAGAGCCCTCAGAAGAAAGAGCAATGCCAGGAGAGCTGGCACCAATGCCCATTGAGCTGCCACCGCGCCTGCTGCCACGAGTAGAATTCTCACGGGAGCTGCTAAAGTCACCACGGTGCGAGCTACCCTGGTTATTAAAGTTACGCAAGTTGTCAAGACCCATAACGCTAAGGTGAGTTGAGGAGTTATTGACACGACGAGGACCATTACCACGCATGCTGCCACTACGGCTCTGGTTCTGCTGGCGTTCACGCTCAGCTTGCTTTTGAGCAACTTCCTCGTGAATCTCGGCAATGGTCTTAGGGCCCTTGTCCTTCTTGTTGTTCTGCCAGTGGTTGGCACGCAAGTCAGCAACATCCATAAGCATGAATTTAAATCTGCTGCCAAGGCCAGGTGTTTCCTGAATAGTCTTCATAACGGTGAAGTATTTGTCAACTATTTCAGTGCTCTTCTCTTCAAGAGCTGGACCAACAGTTGTCATGAGTTGGCAGAGAGACTCGATGATCTCCTCAGAAAAGCTTTCGGTAGTTAAAAGACGGTTAAAGCAGCGATAGATAATCTTCTCCGTAAGCATCTTAAGATAGAAAAGTTCGCCAATGAAACGAATCAAACCAAGACCATGTCTCTTGGCCTTCATGTATTCATAATACTCATCAGACATGAGTTCAGGGTCAATGGGTGTGCCATCTTCGTTAGTAGGAAGCTTGTCAGTCCAGCCACGTTCAAATTCTTCCTGACACCGGGAAAGGAGGTACTTTCTAAACAGAGCACCGCCCTTAAGAAACTCACCCTGAGCATCACGAACATTCTCGTCGTAAATAGCAGGGTCAGTCTTGGTAAGCATCTTAGCACAGAAGCGGGCATACATGTTGGACCAGTGGGCTTCATCAACAGCTTTGGCAAAAGTGAGCTCAATGATTTGTCTGAGAGTTCTGCCATCCTTTTCTTCAACAGATTTCTTAGAGATTTCAACAATCTGATCGGTAACAATGTCAAAGTTATCCAAAGTCATCTTGTTAAGTAGAGACTTGACCTTACGCTGAACAACCTCAGGAGTAAGCTTACTTTCATCGTCAGGGTTGACGTCCTTTCTGAGGGATCTAGGAACCCAAGCATTTGCAGAACGAGCAACAGGGGCGGGGGGAGGAGGAGGAGCGGAAGGCTCAGCAGAGGCTTCATCAGTCTCATTCTTATTGGAGGCGTCAGCATTTTCAGGATTGACGTTAGTGTTTTGACGAGAGTAAAAGCTACCGTGAGAAGAGTTGTGCATGCTACTTTCCCTGTTACCACGGTTAGAGCCGGTTCTTTCATTGTTTCTGTTTCTGCGAGAGGAGTTTTGTCTACCAGACTTGAAACCCATCGAGTTAAGGTTAGAGTTAGAGCCCATACGGGAATTCTTATTGAAACCACCAGCATTGGACAATGTTCTATCATTCATTGTGCGGAAACCAGAGCCAGGACCAAAAGATCCCATAGGCTGGTTGTTGCTAAAGTTATTTCTGCTAGAGTTGCTTCTGCCGCCGTGAGGTTTGCTGCCGTGGCCACTGTTAGAAGAGTTAACAGCCATGATGCTGCGAATAGCCTCCCACTTTTCCTTAGGGGGGAAGGTGACGACCGACTGGAACTGGTATAAGAACTCAGGATCATAAAGGTAAACACCCTCAGCCTTGGAAGCAACTGCAGGTTTCTTGAAACCTTCTGGGTATGTAAAGCTCAAAACTTCAGCAGGAGTGGGTTTATAAGCATTTTGAAGAAGACGGAGAGGGCTTGTGATGCGGTCATTGACAGAAGCAAGAGCAGCTTCAATGCGGGTCTCAACACTCGAGTCATCCTCGGGCTTGTTTTCAGCAGCTGCATCAGCGGCGGGTTTCTCGGGAGAGGATTCCTCCTGTGTAGGCTTAGATGTATCAGTCTCTGGAGCAGTAGGCTCTTCAGCGTTAGAAGCAGCAGCCTTTTCAGCTTCGGCAGCAGCTTGTGCTTCAGCAGCGGCCTTTTCTTCAGCAGCAGCTTTTGCTTCAGCAGCAGCCTTAGCATCAGCAGCGGCCTTAGCCTCGGCAGCGGCCTTAGCTTCATCATTTCTTCTTTGTTCTTCCATTTTGCGTTGAATGGTTTCCTTAAAAGAGAACTTTTTGCTAGCAGCAGCTTCTGATGACTCAGAGAGTGTGGACTTTGCACCTACGGGAGAACCATGGGTGGCGTCTGAGGTGGCTGCAGAAGAAGCCGAGGCAGCTGCGGAAGAAGAAGAAGGGGCGGAGGAGGAGGATGATGAGGAAGGAGCTGAAGTGTCCTTAGAAGCGGAAGTGTCCTTGGGAAGCACAACAGGCTGCTGAGTCTCCGGGTTAATGATAGTGATAGGACGGTGAGGTCTGGCCTGAGTAGGGGCTGGTGAGCTAGAAGCAGACGAATCTAAAGGGGGCATCTGTTGAGGAGCGTATGGAATATAGGGGTATGGTGCAATGGGGGAATATGTGTAATACTGTATACAAGTTAATTAAAGACTTTAAAACTTAGAAAATAAAAGATAAAGTTACTTACAACTTGGGATGAAGAAATTTCCGGTGTATGGTTATATTTTATATTAGGGCTTTGGGGATTATGTTGCATGTTTCCAGAATGCTGCTGATTTGAGTAATGGTTTCGTTGAGGTTTGTTTAATCGTTTCCTCTAGACATAAAAAAAATAAGAAAAAATATGTTAGAAAGGACTAAAACAAGAGATAATAAAAGGGTATTTGATAAAAAAAAAAACCAAAAAAAAAAGGAAAAAACAAGGGGATATCGTAAGGATTTTGTGATTAACATTAATTTGCGGATCATTTTCCACATACCAAGTACGAGAGAGAAAGGGGGTTTTTGGACTATTCTGGGTTTGCAGAGGTATTTCAAAAATCAAAAATCTACCTATTGTATGCTATCAAAAGCTCAAATGGGTAGAACAGGTATGAAATTTGGGCTAAATAGATGGAAGTAGGTCTTTTTTTTGAAATTTTTAAAAAAAAATCAAAAAAGCCAAATGTATATGTTGAAAATCTTTTCTCAGACAAGGTGAAAAAAAAAAAAAAAAAAAAAAAATTTTTAGGTGGTGGTGATGTAAAAATAATTGGTGGTGGGTATTTTTTTTTTTAGACCGGCTGGCTGGCTGGCTGGCTGGCTATTTGGTGGTGCTGCTAAATTTATTTTTTATTTTATTTTATTTTTTTTTAGGCGCAAATAAAATTTTTTTTGTGTGAAAATTTTTTTTTTTTTTTTTTGTAAACTCTATCATCAATATTCCAGATCAAGTCCCAAATTTACCCACATTAAGCGTTCATCTAGAAACGTTACCCGCCACTTTCTACCCGCCAGCATAAATAAAACTCATTTTTAATGCGCCGCATACCATCAAAATCCCGAAATTCCATGCAATGTTCCGCGTACCGAAACTTTTCTCTTTATTACAATTTCATAAACATATCCCCATGATACCAAAAAAAAAAAAAAATAAATAAAAAAACAAAATTGTACTTACTCCATGATCAGCATTATTATAAAAACCGTCATTAGAATGATAATAATGGCCACGGTGATGATGCGTCATATTATTATGACTGTTGATGTTAATGTTCATGGTGTAGTTTATGCCTGAAGAAACTGCTTGTCCAGAAGTCCCTGAAGCAGCCGCAGCTTCAGCAGCCAAAATAGAAGAAGGTGCACTCGGTGGATTTGCCATTGCTGGTGCTTGCAAGTGCTGCTTAGGCCCTCTGGGAGCAACCGGATTTGAATGAAGATTGGAGGCTGTCATTAATTATTAAAAAAAATTCCGATTATCTGGGGTTTAAAAAAAAATTATTAGCACGCGACAAAATTTTAAGAAAAAAGCGCGTCTTTTTTGTAAAAAAAAAAAAAAAAAACACACACACACAAAATATTCAATTTCAATTACTTACCTGATAATCGAGTCAAGTATTCCTGTTTATATAAATATATATATATATAAGTATATGTACAAGAATGGGCAGATCGGTGAAGAGATCTGTGTGGGGTGTATGTTGTGTCGTATAAATTATAAAACCAAACAGTAATAAAAGTTGTGAGAACTGCTAAATAAAAAAAACAAAAAAAGCAAACTTTCAAGTTTCAAAAAAAATTTAAAAATTTAAGGAAATCTCAAATCTTTTATACCCTTATAATTATAAGAGTTCACCAAAATATATATATATATATATATATATGACTTCTCATTTACAGGGAAAAATAAACATCTATACACCAGCATGACTTTATTTTTTAAAAAAAAGTCTCGGGAATATGAAATCCATCTCCGCATTCTATGTGGATCTCAATGTAAATATCCACACTATTACAAGGCTGCACCATATTGTGACTCTTGCATGATTCCCAATATACTCAACCCGCAACACAGCACTGAGACATTCCATCTAAATAAGGAAAAAAAAATTTTTTTGCAAATTTATTCTATAATACATTATATTAAAGTTCTTGTAATTGGAATCTTTTCATGCGCAGTTAACATTACCCTCTGCAAAACCAGGGTTATCCAAGTGGTTATGCCCATTACGAACACTGCACGAGGTCAAAGTGGCCATCACTTTATCAACATTAGACCCCAATCCAGATACCCAGTTCTCCATCACGGCTCGCATTTTCAACTGCAAATCAGTCTTTGCAAGTACCGGATGATGAAACACTTCTAACGCTTCCTTCACAATTTTTTTTGCTGCATCCTCTGCACTGATTCCATCATCGTCCCACGCTTTAATCACTTTTGGTGCAATCTGGTTCACAACAGCCAAGGCCACCTGCCCAGCAGGCTCATTTAAATGGATCCCAAAATGATCCTTCGATAACTGAGAATGCGTTGGAGTTGTGCTGCTAGCATTTCGCCAGACTGTCCACTGAGCCGGATCGCTTTCAGCGAATTGTAAACTAGCGTCTAAAAGTGACTTCTTCAAGCTTTGAACCAAAGGAATCATCACTGGCTGCATCAAACTAAGTACAAACATTGAAAATGCGTTAGAAAGGTTTTGATAAACCGATAAAACCATTGGACTACTTTTGTCCAAACTCTCATCAACTGCCTTCATAACTGAGTCTTGAAATTTGAATGCAGGTGTAATATTACTCAGAGTCTTATTGATCGAAGGTGGAGAGTTTGAAGCCGGATTTGATGGTGGAGTTTGAAAAATCTTGATAAATTGGTCAACTGCTTGTTTGACTACCTCGGCGGGCGAACTTGGCTTGCTGGCTGTAGAAATATTCATATCGGATACTAATCCAGCAATGTTCGATTGAATCAGTGTTTGTGTCGACGACGGAAGCATCCCCAAATACCATTTTAAACTGTCTGCAGAATACTTCCCTGCACCTATGCTCGCCTTTAACCCTGTTTCCAGGGTTTGCAAGGATGGTGCTGACTGGTCGAGTGAATCTTGTGCAAGACCCAAAAAGCTATGAATAAAATCAGATGCACCAAATGACCCTGTAACTAGAGGATAAACCCCAGATTTGCCTTTTAAATTTATCCGTGTGTGATTTCCCACATGCGGAAATACATTGGTGTGATTCATATCAATCAACACAAGCTCACAATAGTTGGAATGTGCCGCGAAATCTTCCAATGTATGCAGCGCTTGGCCCAACAGTCGCTCTGCTTCGTAAAGAGCATTTGAGTCCATATTTTGTGTCGCCTTTTTCCCGCTCTCAATGCTAGCCAGCAAGCTCTTGCGCACGAATTCAGCTGACGTGGTCCACCCTCCATTTTCATTAGCAATATAGTTCTTCATTCCAGTCTCCGGATCCACTGCAATTTCGGCTTCACTAACAGGACCTCGCAATCTCTTGTCCAGTATCCGTGCATCTAATCCTTCCCCATACCCTTCAGGATTGTCAATATGTTCTTCAGGACGGTAAACCCCCAATCGGTCGCTCGTCACTTCAAACTCGCCTGTTGCATACCCAAATTCAGCGTAGGCCAATGTTCCAACAGCAACACGAAGCACTTCAGGGTTGATACCCACCCGTAGTGCTCCAACATCCACCGCTTGGTTGTAGTCACGCAACCAGTTGCCAAAATATATTCGCTTCACATCTAAGTCTGAAAGCTTGTTGGTTGTCCGAAGCAGCCGTGCCAGCCGGCTTCCGTCGCGGAGGGATAGATCCACAGTTTGTAATGAATTTTCTAAATCACCATGTCGAAAGTTTTGACCCTGGATCGCTGATGTTCCGGGTATGGACCCAGAGTTAAACGCTTGCGCTAGTAGTGCAGATATAACTAAAAAAAATATTAATGTAGCAGCGTTCATCTAATGATAAATAAAATGTTTTTAGGTATAGAATCAAGAAAAGCCAAGGAAGAAGCTTCCCCTTTATAAATATTATTCGAAATAATTTCAAATTTCAAATGAATTCGAAATTAATGCTTATTTATGACCCCGCCTGATTTTTTCGCTTATTTTTTTCAGGCTAAATCTTGAGATTAAACCTTAGTTTATGCAATTTTTAAAATCTCAAAACAAATCCAAATCCAAATCCAAATCCAACAAGATGAGGTATGCATATAAAGAATTATTCGTTTTATTTTTTTGTATTTTTTTGTATTTTTTTTTGAAGATTATCTTCAGGCAAAGCAGTAGTACAAAAACATGGTATCCAACTGTGGGTTAGTACCCTCGAATTTTTTTTGTGTGATTTTGTTAAAAATTTTGGAGGTTCAAAGAAATTCTGGTATGTAAAGAAATATCATAAAGTAACAAAAACACTTAAAATGATTATGTAAGTATTGTAATTTCCTAGTGTAATTACAAACTATAAAAAAATCCTCATTTATGCTCATCGTCATAAATTAAGTCTACCTTCACTGAAAGCCGCCAGTTAATAACATGTTGAGCATTAGGCAAATTCTGACACCACGCGCCTCTTCCCAGGTGTTCAAACTTTGTATTTCTACTAGATTTTATTCTTCTGAGAATGTTAGCTCCGATTTAAAAACTCCATTGCTTCAGCATCTGCGCGAAAGAAACCTAATTGCTAGTGTTACCAAGTAAGAATGCAAACTTTTCTACTATCAGCCAACTATCTAATCTCTTTCAGTGAATCTGTTGAAAAGCTTCTTGAAACCCAAAAAGTTGCACTTTACTGTGGTGCTGATCCAAGTGCTCAGTCGCTACACGTCGGAAACCTTATCCCACTTATTATTCTTCTTCATTTTCGCGCTCGTGGTCATACATCCATTAGTCTTGTCGGAGGTGCAACCGGTATTGTAGGAGACCCCTCAGGCCGTACTACCGAACGCGCCCAAATGGAGGCCGATACCCGTGCAAATAATATTTCCAAGATTCGCGGTCAGCTTGAAACTTTTCTTGAACGCGGTCAGCAGTACGCGTCTACTCATGGGTACCCAGAAGAGGGTTTTGGACCCAGAGTTTCTACAAATAATGCTGATTGGTGGCGTGAAATGGGAATGCTTCATTTTTTGGGAACTTACGGCCGTCATATTCGTGTCGGCCAAATGTTAGCGCGTGATAGTGTTAAAAATCGTATGGAATCTGAGCAAGGCATTGGGTTCAATGAGTTTACTTACCAGATTCTTCAAGCCTATGACTTTTGGCATCTTCATAATAATTTTGGCTGCAGAATTCAGGTGGGTGGAAATGATCAATGGGGAAACATCACTGCAGGCATTGATTTGATTTCTCGTCTGCGCTCTGAAGTTCTTAAAAATGAAAAGGCTCAAGCTCAAAAGACTAGCTCTCTTCCCAAAGTCTCTAAAGATTCGGATCCGGCCTATGGTATTACCGTTCCTCTTTTAACTACCCCTTCTGGTGAAAAATTTGGAAAATCTGCAGGTAATGCTGTTTGGATTGATCCCGATATGACTAAACCTTACGAGCTCTATCAATACTTTGTTAAAGCCCCTGATTCTGTCGTCGAAAACTATCTTAAAATGTTTACATTTATTTCTCTGGAAAAAATATCTGTCATCATGGCCACGCATGCGGAAAACGAGTCTCTTCGTTACGCTCAGCGCATACTTGCGAAGGAGGTTACCGATTTTGTCCATGGAGCAGGAACCGGTGAGAATTCTGCTATCATGAGTGAAATTCTATTTGGAAACGCTGAATCTTATGATGCTGACACAATTCTTGCTGCCTTTTCTAGTCAAAATCTTGTTCAACAAATCCCAAAAGGCGAACTTATTGACAATCCATGGAGATCAGTCTTGGCCTCTGCTACTGGAAAATCTAAGTGTAAGTATACCTAATTTTTTTTATATTAGCTTTTCTAACTTTTACTTTTTAGCTGAAATCTCCCGTCTCTTAAAAGGTAAAGGCGTGTACAACGGTTTGCAAAGAATAGCAATCACTGAAGCCAATATTGAAGAATCTGATTTTATTGAAGGTAAACTTCTTCTTGTTCGTGTCGGTAAAGCCTCTTACTACATCATTGAAGCAATCAATTAAAAAAATAATGTAAATATGCTTATTTCATAGATCTTGTACATAATATTAAAGAAAAAAAACGTAACTCATAAATTCATAAAAAAATTAAGCTGGAACCTCTTCCTCTTCTTCTTCCTTATTTACTGGGTACCAACAATCAGGAACCATCATAATGTATCTTTCCATAGCTTCTCGGAACCGAAACTTATATTGCTTGGGTGAAACCACAGTGGGTTCCTTTACACCACCTCCAACAAGTCCACGTTCCTTGACCCAACTTTCTAACTTCTTATCCCAAGTAAATGTTCGAATAAAATCAATGATTCCAACAATCAACTCCTGCTTTTCGTCATCAATAGCAACAACCAAAGAATAATCCATCACATTCATCTTAGCCAAAAATAAAGTATCGTTAAACAAAGATAAACGCAACGAAGTCTTAGAATGGTTGCGTACAAATAAAGGTGACTCATAAATAAATTCGACCATGTTTTCATCTAAAAGTACCTCATTTTCACGACCTGTTTGTTGAACATGACGGTTGCGCATTGAACCCTTAAGATCAAAAATACGAGAAGACTTGCGATTATAAAACAAATTCTCCATAACCAATACGTCCATCTTAAGATTCTTATTACTCCTTGTGGGATTGCGAATCTGGATTTGGTAAAATCCAAAAATCTTAGCCAAAGCTGTAGGCAGCTCATGAAAAAATGCCTGTGCCATAAATTCAAAGTAATTAGGAGCAAATTTAATAAAGGCGTCCAACTCAGATGGAGACAATTGTTTCACAACAAGGCGATCATCTAAAGTTTTAAGAAATGCTGATCCTGATTTACCACCCGATGAATCCCAACTCACGCATCGAGATAAAGATTGAATAAAAGAGTCTTCACAATCACATTGTCTTCGAATGGCATCAAACTGTTCTGCATAAAAAATTTTGCAAGAAAGTTTGGCAGAGCCATCTTGAAATTCTAAAAACTGTTAGAAATTGAAAAATGAAATAAAAAAAATAATACTCACGGTATTTAAGATGAGTTCCAGTGTTTTTAAGCATATGACGCTCCATTTCGGCATTGGGCTCACGAAGACCTTCGGGATCTTGTGGAACAGATTCTTCTTGGCGCATCTTCCGTAGCTTTTCTTTATAATCCGGATATGATAAGCAAAATGCAATAAGTGAGTTTGGCTCATCTTCTCGAATTATCACATTTGATTCAGGAAACAAATGATCTGAATGAGTCCTAAATTTATGTTAGAAATGAAAAATTAAAAAAAAAAGAAAAAAAACTTACAAAGGATACTCAAGTGGACGCCAACCAGTAGCAGATCTATCAGCCCAAAAATTTGAAAAGTACTTCAAAAGTCCAATTTGAGGAATATTTGGCCCTTCAACAGGTGGTGGGAGTTCAGAAGATGGTGGGTGTTCTTGAGGCTCTTCTGAAATAATAGATGAGCCTTCGTCTGCTGGTAATTCGCTTGTATCATCAGGAAGTTGAGGGTTAGTCAAATCATTTTGAGTAGGCTCTTCACCTGTTTGATTAGCTACTCTATCAGCATTGTCCCCTGTAATATCATCGTTGGCTTTAAATGAAGGTGATTTAGGTGAAGGATCACCCGTACATTGATCAGGTAGAGTATCATTGGGCAAAGATGAATTTTTAGAGTCTGGTTCCAAATCACTGTCAGACTCTTCTTCATCTTCTGATTGAGAGAGCTCTTCAACAGCATCTTCTACATTTTTGTAAACTTCAACAATGGGTTTTGAAGCTGCAAGGGGAGCTGTACGGTATTGTGTTTGTGCAAGATGTCGGCGTTCACGTGCACGTTGATTCTCAAACTCTTGTGACAACTGTTCATAATGCTTCGCCAGCGAAGAAACTGAAATTTTGTATGGGTGAGTCCCTGCCAACCATTGTGAGTTGAGATCTCTGGGTGCACCAAAACGAGATCGATTTAAAGATGCTGAGTATCCAATATTCTCAAACTTATTCCTTGAGTTCAGATTGTTGGATAACGACGTTGAAGCCGAATCTTCCGAGGACTTGAGATTGGATCTAAGTCGCAGTTTAGCGAATTCAGCTATTCTATCAGGGGTCGATGAAGAATTCTCAGTTGAAGTTTGATAAAGATGCTTTAGAGTTGGAATGGTGCTGATTCTCGGCTTAAAGCTTAACTGAGATGAGTCTAAATCCCCAGAACTCACATTTAATTTGTCATCTTTTGTATTCCTAGACTCCATTAGTGAAACGACATCCTGGACTCGTTTTGAACTATCATTTCCACGAAGAGGACTAGGAGAACGTTCGGATGACTTTTGAGATGTGCGCATAGTAAGATCAGGAACAGACTCAGAGTAAAATCCTTTAGGCGAAACTTCCTTTGCAAATCGGTTTTCGATATTAGATACTGCTCTAGGAATATTGCTTGGTGTGTTGGCAGCTGTTTGATGAATTATTGAAGTTAACTCTTCAAGTGACTTGCACCGAGAGTCATGATCTTTAACCGAAGAATCTAGTTGTGGTTTCAAAGTGTCGGGAGGTGGAACCTTATCGGTCTTTGTCACAGACTCATTGCTCAAAAGCTGTTTATCTTCTTTTTGGTATGACTCATTTGGTGAAACAGATTGCTCGTTAAAACCCTGAATATTCTCTGTATCATTGTTTGATGTTTCTTTTGAAAGACTGGGAGCAATAGAAGGTTGATCACCAAATTCATATGTAGAGCCCGAAGGGGCGGATATTTCAGCCATTTCAATTTCGTCACTCTTATTCGATGATTCAGCTGATTCAGTTGCCTCAATTGGCTTTTCACTAAGAGAACCAGTTGAGTCTTTTCTTGACTTTTCAGAAATTAAACTAGAATTTTCTTCTGTATCTCCTCGAACTTGCGAGTTTTGCTTTTCAATAATATCGTTACGCAAAATTATGCGCTTCAAATGGGCAGTTGTAATACGTGTAATATCATTTTCTGAAAGGAAAAAATTATCTTCAAATTCTGTGAATTCGTGATCCCAACTGATTGCAAAATCTTGCATGACACGGAAAACTGCATTAAGAGGAAGATATGCTGTTGGATCTGTGCTGACAAATATTTGATCAAGATCATTAATAACATCCTGTTTTTCTTGTTTGGTGCGCAAAAGCAACTCTTCAATCTTAAGTCGGCATTCATCAATTTTTTCCGGCGCTAATTCATCCACCTTAATACTTTTCAAGCGGTCATCAACACTGTCAAAAAATTTATTAACACTCGTCTTGATGTCATTGTAACAAGAAACCTTTAGTTTGATACCACGTTCAGGCTGCCATGTCATGCGGGCTGATGGAACAACAACCTCATATAAAGTAATTGGTGTATATTCTATCGACACAGCAATGTTTTTGAAACCAAAAAATCTAACATGGTCACGATATAAATTGTGTGGGCAAAGATTTTCTCTAAAAGATAACTCAGAGCTCCAAAAAGAAAGTTCAAAATACTTTCCAAGAGAATATTTCCATGTGTCATCAGACATAGGAAGAATCGGGGTAGAAGCTTGGCAGATTTTGCAAGTACTCCACATCAAAATAGATTCAGACATGCCGGGTAAATTACAAGCATGATCACTTATTTTTATTGTTATTCTGCCCTTTCCATGAGCATAAATGCGAGTATGTTGCTTCAATGTTCGCCCACATCCCTCAGAACATTGGATATTAGCGTCTAGACAAAGACGCTCAATAAAATGCCCTAATGGCATATCCTGTTTATCATTGTAAAACCGAAATGTTAAAACATCAGGGCCAAAACAAGGAGTAAGAGTTTCTGTACAAACTGAAGAAAAAAGTAAAACAATTCTCAAATGAAACTCTGCTGTAAACATATCTTCATCGCGAAGATGAGCAAGTTCCCACTGTCGATTCTGTTTAAACCAAGTGTCGTATAACCGCTGATAAAGTTCCTTGTATAAAAATTCAGACATTTTTTTAATTGTTTCTTCGCCTCCAGGAACGTTTTCAACGGTGAAATGGTCTAATTGAAGCATTTGAAGCAAACGGTCTCTTGTAATAACAGAATCCTTATCTTCATCCATCGAAACTAATTGATCTTCGGATTTACGTGCAACTTCAAGCAAGTATGGAAGGCCATAGTCCACAAAAGGGGAAGTAGACAAAATTGTCATGCCATAATCCTCATTAATACCCGACGTATCAGCGTTGGAAGCCTTTTTATGCTCGGCATTAGCTCGATATTTAGCAATTTCTTTAAGAAGTTTAGGAGACTCTGGAACTAACGCAAATTCTTCACGGAGCAATGATGTTTCAAGCTTTAAATTGAACATCACGTACACCATAAACTGAACAATCCGTTTAATAATACCTAATGAAGCCAAATCAGCACCACGAAGCAAAACAGTGCAACCTAGCTCCTTTGGAATTCCTGAAAGAAATATATATTTCTTGAATTCATTTTGGTAACGATAAGTTTTCACTTCAAATCTATCGCAATGGCCAAGTGTTGTATTAACAGAAAGCGACTCGTAAGTTGCAATAGATGCCTGGGTGTATCTTGAAGTACGACCAATAACAGACTCTTTAACATTTGTCATAACTGCAATTCCCATTTGATCAAACTTTTTAAGAATAAATCTACCTGCGCCACCAGTAGTCATAATTATATTAGGCTTTAATTGAGTTACTCGTTGAACAAGAGTATCAAATCGAGAAAGTTCTTGTTTTGAAATTTCTAAAATTTTAGAAACGTGAAGTCTAGGGTGTTCAAACAAGTTGTGAGCAAGAAGAATCCTAGGATTTGAGATAAGCTGAGGCATAGACTTTAGTGTCAGTGTTTGAGAAAATACAATTCCATCAATATATTGAGAATGGGAAGGAAGACCTCCTGGAATTCTTTTAAGCTTCACATAAGATCGAAAATCAGACCCTTCAAAAATTTTGTTATCAAGATCAATATGAGATGTGCATTCTAAAAGTGGTAACATGAGTGCATCAATCCATTTCCCCAAATTCCCAGTAATCCCCTTTTGCTCAAGTATTTGCCGTAAAAATGCTTTTGAATGGGCAATGCTGGCTCGATTAAGATTAAGTAAAGGAGGTGAAATTCTAGAAGATCCAATAATTTGGTTTGTTGTTTTAGATAGAAATAAAGGAGTTGTTTTTGCAGTAAAACTTTTTTTCCGTGATCCTTTGCGCGAAAATCGTGGTTGGTCAAACGAGAGTGAAGTTCCACTTCTATGACGTCTAAAACTAGCCCTACTCCGAGATGGGCTTCGGCTATGATCTTCTCCCCATTTATTTCCTCTATTATAATTGGAATTTTCAACATTGTAATGAATAATGCTATCGGCATCAAATTCATCTGAAGAACTATCATCATCAGAGTAAAACAGAATATTTTCTAAACCAGTTCTTTCATCCCTGGAAAACTTTCTTATTTGAGCACGAGGCGAATCTGTATGTAAATCCGAAGTGCTGCCAGTGTACTTAGAGCTTGTATTTGAATCCGCAAATGTTGCTTCTCCAAATTCAGACATTGCATCGTCAATATGATCATGAGACTCATCGTCTTCATCAGAAGATTCAAACTTTTCAATATCAGCATAGCATTTGTTGCAAACTCTTAACTTTGACTTAATTAGGACACCATCTTTTGAAGGATACTCGCAATCGATTAAGCTAGTACATTTGGAACAGAAAATTTGGCCACAAATTCTGCAGTGATGTTTTCGTCGAAATGCTAGATATATAAAGTTAATAACAATAAAAATGAAATTTCAACAAACATACTCGTAAATTTAGCAGTGCACCCAAAACATTCAGTTACATGTTCGTCTTTCATCCAAAATTCTTTTCCTAAACCGCCGTTTTTTAATGGAGTAGGTCTGCGATCAACCCTAGAATTAAAGTATCGTTTCGCAGTAGAATAAATGCTCTCGGCATCACTGTTATAATCCTTTTCTAAAACTGAACCATTTTCTCGAAAACTGGAAGGATACGAAGAATCAAGGTTTGAGTCGCCAACAGCATTGATAGTTGTGTCGGTGGTAGATGATAATGAAAGTTTAGATTGTAAAGACTCCATACCTTGTGATATGGTTCCTAATGTCGAGCCAATAAATCCTTGGCTTGGAGAATTTCGAGTTTGAATATTTTGTTGATTGCTTTGGGTCGCAACAACAGTGGCAGATGGGATAGGAGTCATTGGATGAGGCCGATGATGTGGCTTATGCGTACGATGATGGTGGTGAAGATGATGGCTTCCACTTATATGGCTATGATGCGGGGTATGGTGATATAAACTAAGTGAATTATTGGTCTGGCTAGAAATAATAGGATTTTGAAGTGGGCTATTTTGTTTAGAAGAACTCAACTTTGAATTTTGCTGGCGTAAATTAAAGATTTCTGCAGGCTGTGGCGTTGTAAAAGTTCCACTGGCTGTTACATTTCTTCTATCAACAGTCGCATCAGAAGTAAGTTTACTGTTTTGCAAAGATAGAGAAGATGCAGATGGTGTAAAAAGAGCAGCAGCAGACGCTGTTGTAGTGGCAGGTGAGGAAGAAGAAGTAAGAACTGGTTGGAGAGTATTTACATTAACACCAGATGAAGAAATGATAACGCTAGATCCTGAGCTAGAATTAGAATTATCTTCATTTCCGGATAGAGTCCCTGGAAGAGTCAAAGGAGAAGTATTATCTTCATTTTTATCGTGAATTAAAGAGCTGTTACTTGGTGAATCTAAATGATCATCAGTAGAAATTTCTGGAGAAAAATAATTATGGTCACCATTAAAATTCGTGACTTTTATTAGTGGTGGGGTATCAATAGAGGAAATTGATTGCATGCTATCACTAAGAGATGCGTTTGTGGTGTTTCTCCCAAGACTCACTTTTCGATTATGTGAAGAAACATTCGTAGAAATGTCCGAACTGGAAGCACCATTTTTAATTTTAAAACTTCCACCAGATGAATTTCGTGAGTGGCTAGCAGATCCATATTTTAATTCTTTCAAAGCCTGAGGATGTGAACGTGCAGGCAAGCGTACTGGCGCATGATTGGATAAAAGTCTCCCCGGGCGAGAAAGTTGTGCAGAAGCAATAACTGTATGTGCATTTTCAGGTGTAATTAAAGGATCATGATTGGGAAGAGGTAAGGCATTGTGCACAACATTAGATGCAGCAGACGTTATTGACTTGACTTTATTAAAAATAGAAGACACAAAGTTGGAGTCTTCGTTCGATTCCGTAAAAGGATGATCAGGAAATGTTGTAAAATTACGGTCAAACTCAGCCATTTTTTTAAAAAATGTATATGAATATCAAATAAAGAGAGGGCTGAATTGCCGTAAATCTCTCTATTTTAAATTGAAAGTTATATAAATTAAATTTCCAATATGTAAACACTTGTATAGGATTAAGGATAGGCTAGTGCAAAGATAATGATTGAAATGTTTTGGTGGTGATGACTACTATCAAGCAGCAACCTACTATTTTTGTTGTAAAAACAAACAAGAGGTTGGGGTTAGGGTTGTCCTATCTTAAATTTCAGATTTTGATTACGTCGTTTTTATCTCATACGTTTTGTTATTAGTCAAAGAAAAACTTCATTCTCAAACTTAAGCTTGTTAGGTTTTAATGGGTTCTTTTTTCAGAGCCTGTTATTTTCAAATTATTCATTGTGATATTAACTTTTTAATAATCTTTCATTGTTAAACTAGCATATGAAATCACAAATTAGCGGGCGCCACCTAATACCATTAAAAGCTAAATACTATTCCCGAAGTAGCCGGTCTTCTTTGGACAATCAAATCACTAGAATGCTATGCGAAACATTTGTTTTCTTGAACATTATCATTAGTATATTGCTATTACCTGTACAAGCATATACGACACTTCACCAAAAAGAATACCAAAAATTACAAGATACAAATACAGCTGAAACACTGCTAGATCCAAAAAACAAAAATGGTTTACTGGAACCTGTGTTAAAACTGAGAATTCCAGATACCCCCGGCTCTTTAGAAGTGCAGGCACACTTTCAAAAATTCTTTAATGATAGAAATGCCGATTTAAATCAAATTAACATTAATCGAGGCAACCCTTCTTTAAACACTAGTACGTGGCAATTTGAAATGGACAGCTTCCAAGAAGATACACCAAGTATTAAAAACGTGACATTTACAAATTTGATATTTACAAGAGATCCTCCTCGTGCGACTGCAGGCTCAACTGGTAGGCTTTCTCTTGTTGCACACTACGACTCCAAGATTGAACCTAAAGGTTTCATTGGTGCTATTGATAGTGCTTTTCCATGTGCATTGATGATGTACGTTGTTCAGGCACTTGATAGTGCTTTAACTGAGTATTGGGATAATAATATTGATTCTGAAACCGGACTACAAATCATTTTTTTAGACGGTGAAGAAGCATATGTTCATTGGACTGATACCGATTCTACATATGGAGCCCGTCATTTAGCTGAACTTTGGGAAAAACCATCATTCACTGTCACATCACCCAGAAGATCACAATTAGAATCAATCGATTTGTTTTTATTACTTGACCTTCTTGGTACAGAAGATGCAACTATTCGAAGTTATTTTAGAGATACTGATTGGCTTCATGAACATTTAAACTCCCTTGAAAAGTATTATAGAGGGAATGGCATTAAAACAAAGAAAAAAGGAGTTACTGGGTCACCAAAAAAAAGATCTTCTCTTCAGAAAAAACCTTTTTTTCCAAGAAATGGCGAATGGTTTCATCTTGCATCCTTTCTTTCAGATGATCATTTACCTTTTATTGCTAGAGGGGTACCAGTTCTCCATTTAATTCCACTTCCATTTCCTAGTGTTTGGCATAAAATTGAAGATGATGCCGATCATCTTGACAAACAGACTATTTATGATTGGTCTTTAATAATGACTGCTTTTGTTGCCGAGTATATGGAACTAAGTGGATATCTAGGAATTGAAACAACTAGAAGTGATTTATGAAATAAAGCAGAATATATATTTTTAAGGAAAAAATTTATATAACAAATTTAGTGATTAAATTATAAAAAAAACATTTAATGTGGTCAGAGCATCAATTTCGAACTATCACTCTTGAAAAATGAGCCTTGTAAGCCATGCGATGAGCAACCGTATTTCCATGTACTCCAGAATGTCCCTTCACATACTTTACATTAACTGTCGCTTGTAATTGTGTTTCAATAAATTTTTTTTGTGAAGAATCCTGAGCATTAATAACAGCAATTCCATTATCTGAATATATGTTAAAAGTTTGAAATTTTGATTTTTTTCTAGGCATTCCCGAAATAAGTGTTAAAGCTTTTTCTATTGCGGAAAGCTCTAGTTTCATTGTAGATCCTTGATAAGTTGACATCAAAACTTGTTCGGTTAAAGTAAAGTACTCATAACTATCGCAAAAGATGGCAATCGTTGCATGTCCGTATCTGAGGGATGCATCAGTATAAATGTTAAAGACCATAGTTGGTTGTGGATTTTTACTTTATAAATCTTGCACAATATTAATTGAGTGATTTCCTTTTTTTGTTATTTTATCTTAAAAAATAAAAAAAAACTGTAATATTAAGAATTCAGAAATTATTTATAATATTGAAAATATTTTGATCCTATAATTTTTCTGATAGGTAATAGTTAATAGATTATACTGTTTTGCTAAAATTGCTCCTACATTACTCCTACAAACTGGTTCAAAATCATATTTTTTTTTTTGTTTAAACAAAAAAGTTTATCAAAACAAATCTGTTTTGATAATAAAGTTAAAATATTTATTTTACCTGCAATATATTTCATATACAAGTTCGTTTTTTTTTCGTATTATTTGTGACAGCATACAAATATAAACTATATACATCAATACACTTTATAATCTAGGTATTTTATAAGACAACCAGTGTCTATTATCCAATAAAAACAAGATTACTTTCTTGTAAATTAAAACTCTATATTGTGAATTGGTTAAATAAAAGAGACATTAGGATACTGTTATAATACTACATAGATAATAGTGTAATATTTTAGCAGGGCAAACTGATAACTAGTTGTTACTATAAGCATTTTGCTCGTTATAATTAATTAAAAATTACTTTAATAATGAAGACTTTTTTTAATGAAAACAAATTTTGTAAAACAAAAGAATTAATAAACTTTATCATGATAATATTTATTCACTCTTTGCTGTAGTTATTCCACCTTTTGTATGCCTATAAAATTTCATTCCCATCCAAGATATGACACACCAAACCCATGAAACAATAAATGTCATGAAAAAAAGACAGGCATAATACTCCGATATGGGATAGCCGGTTTTCTTTTCGTAAGAAAGGGAGTATCGGACTGCAGACGAATCATATCCTAAAAAAGATTTCCATATGCCAAACATACTCCCAATGCCTCCAATGACCACAATCCATGTGCAGAGCAAAATGGTCCAGCCAAGTTTTTCTAAAGATTGTGGAGAAGGCTGCCGTTTTAAAATAGGGCTGGAAGGTCCGGACGAAAGCTTTAGTTTTGGTGTGTTAATACGTCTTAAAGGGTCACGCGCTTCTGGGTATGTTGGCGCTTTGTTATCTTCCAATGCCGTTTGGATCGCAGTTACTTTGTGCAATGTGTGATCACTCTTATTAGAATAAAGACTGTAAAATTGAGAAGGTGATGCTGAACGTGATGGTAATTGCAACCCAGAAAGACCTGTATCAGACCTTGAAATGGGAATTTTTGCATATTGCTTAACTGTGTTATATCTATTTCGTATTTGATTGATATTAGGGCTTCTGTTACTACTTCCATGAATATTTGGCAAGTTTTGGAAATCTGTTTGCAAACCTAAAGCAGCGCTATCATAAGTGCTGAGCTGTATATGCGGATGAGTAATGTTTTTTTCAGTACAATTAGGTAAATTTAAAAGATCATTAACTTTTAACAAGTTACCAGAATTGCATTGATCTAGGTTAATGTCATGTTTTTCAATGCCCTTATGAGAGCATGGAGGGGTCGAATGTTTTTTTGAGCAATATAATAACGTTTTTGAAGTACTTTGCTCAGAGTTAACTATAATAAAATTTGGTATATTGGGATATATATCGGGTGTATTGATGGGTATACTAGTTTGCCTATTTAAGGCTGTTTTATCTATACTGTTGGAGACGTGTGGCTTACTGACGCCGTTTGATAACGAGCCGACTTGTTCATAAAAAGTGACGCGAATATAAGTGAAACAAATAGCCAGTGTATTAACTAGCTGATTCAGTTCTATTGGGGTGTATTCAAATTTATCTTGTCCAGGGTTTCGAGTGTGATTTTCGGGATAAATGGCGGAGATTTGAGAAGTCGAAAGTCGGACACACAATGGAAATTTGAGATGAAAAGAAGATGCAATAAAAAAATATACTATTTGTTGAATAAGCCTTAAAGAAGGTAAAGAAGAGTCAAATAAAGTAACTTGATGTGATAATGTTTGCGTTAAAATTTTTGTGACAAAAAAGACGACATTTTTCGCGTTACTTACAATCTAGCTCAATACTCATTGATAAGGTAAGTGCTAGGGACTCTGCTAACTCTTGAATAATATGAAGATCTTGAGATGAAAAGGGGGGTTTAAAAGCAATTCGTAGATATTTTAAAGAGTCTTTTTCAGATTCTATTGGTTTATTAGAAACACTCCACTGTGTGACGACCTGATTCCATAGTTTGATAAAGTTGTTTTGGTACCGATCAAGCTTTATAATGTTAGTATGTGTATAAATGTGATGCATATAAATATGGACCTAATACTTACAATTAGCCTGTCCACAATGAAAGGGTCTATGGCCAGTGAAATACCAAAAGAAGGGTTTGCGGTAGCTTGTAAAGATCTGTGCGCATTGGAAAAGCTTGTACTTGTAGTTTGAATGAGAGGCGGAGCCGTCACCATAATTGAAGAAATAAAGAAGGTGCCACTGAACCGAAACTCTAGAAACAAGCTGACAGACTTGAAAACTCTTAGTACTGACTGACTTTGGCAAAATTTATAGTAATACTGCTACTCCTTCGCGTGATAGACTTTTTTTTATTATTTTGCTGGTTGTTAAGTTTCCACAGTATGAGGTGTGATATTGTACTTGTGTTACAAACTATTTTGTAACACCCATTGTATGCACGGTCATAAGCGATGGTCAATTTAAAACACCTTAATTATAGTTAAATCTTCTCGATAAATTGATGTCCAAAGTCAAAGGGATTAGTAGCTTTTACCATTTCTGCCACCCAAATCAAAAAATCAAGCTAGAAATAAAAAAAAAAATGGATCCACAGAGTCTGTCAAAAAAAATTGCCACTATTATTTATGTGGATCAAACAGCCAAAAGTCCCTTTGCGAAACAACTCGCATCTCTATCAGAATCCCCAATGGCCTACGAAAATGACGAATTGCTAGACTTGGCCTTAACTAGAATCCCTTTGGATCAAATTTATGGGGCCGCAGAAGAAAAGTTTAAAAAGGATCCAACTTGGGGAGAACATGATTATTGCATTCAAGAACTTGTTGTGTAAGTGGCCATCTTATACCTTTGTCCAACGCTAATTATAGTTAGATGGTTTAAGAACCATTTTTTCACGTGGGTTAATAGTCCTATTTGTGATATTTGTGGAGTAAGTGTGAACATTTTTAGTGTATAAAATTTTTCAATTAAATGTACTAACTTGATTAAATAGGGAGAAACACAAGCAATTGGAGCACAAGCGCCAACAGAAGAAGAAGCAAAATACAAAGCATCAGTGGTAGAAGTATACAGGTGTTCAACATGTTCTGCTATTGTTAGATTTCCTAGATATGGAAGTGTAAGAAAACTTCTTGATACACGTAAGGGGCGCTGTGGCGAATTTGCTAATGTGAGTGAATTTTGTTTTGATTAAAATTTCCAGGGCTGACAGAAATATCTATATTAGTGTTTTACATTCCTATGCCGTGCGATGGGATCTAGAGTCCGTTGGGTTTGGAATAAAGAAGATCATGTATGGACAGAAGTTTACTCGGAACAACAAAAACGATGGGTTCATTATGATCCTTCGGAAGGAATTTTTGACAAGCCATTGGTATATACAGATGGTTGGGGGAAAAAGATGTCTTATTGCATTGGATTTTCAAGTAAGTAGACTCAGATTTTTTACGAAAATGTACCACTTGATTAGGATGTTTCTGGCTCCGTTGACGTCTCTCTCAATAGAGATTCCACACGAGTCACAATGGTAGACATGCTCACACAGCAACAGCTTGGCTTTCACTGTCCCTCAACTGTTGCATGTCTTACTGGTATCATTGACTAACAGTTTTTTAATTTTTTTAGATGAAGGTGCTTGCGATGTTACTCGAAGATACGTTCGTGATCCAGCTAAAGCTCTTCCCCGGAATCAATGTAAAGAAAACGGTTTGGTATGGGCTCTGAAACTTATCACGAATCGTCGTAGAGAAAACCTAGGACTGAGCCCAGACGATTTAAAAAGGTTAGATGATGAAGAGATTGCTGAACAAAAAGAGTTGCAAAGCTATGTCTCCAAATCTGACGCTACACCTACTGATCCTAACTTGGGTCCGCGCGAAAGCGGTGCTGGTGAATGGACCCATAACAGAGGCGAAGACGGATCCGGAACCAGATAAGCGCCGCAATTTTTACTTCCTAAAACAGAAATATCTTTTGTTTGCCTTTGGTTAAGATGTTACAACTTTTGGGTTTCTGTAACAAAATGTTGCGGCGGTACCTTGCTCGCAGCCTTTCCTCTCCACCTTCTTTCTTTTCCCACGCCTTTTCATTACCACTTCAGTCTTTCCTTTACAAATCCAAATATTTTTCTCTTCTTCTCATTGTTTTTTTTTTTCTTTTCTTAATCAATATTCTTTTTTGTTTCTTCTGATTTTGTATATATACTGGCTTTGCTTAACTGCTTGCGACAACAGCAACGTGTAATGAAAAGCCTTGGTAATTTTCTCAGTTATTCCCTATTCGCGCTTACATGCGTGCAACCTGTACTGGCCAACTCTGGCCACTCTGGTATGGTTTCTGACGGTCTGATAAATGGTTTACCTGTCATTGACTTGGACGTAAAACCCGATAAATGCCCTCCATGGTGAGTTTTTCTTTTTTTTTTCTTTTTTTGTTATTTTCGTCGTATTCTTGTTTTTTTTTGTTGTTTTCTGTTTTGTTACCTCTCCCTTTTTTTTTTGTTTTCTACAAATCCTTATCTCAATAAAGTCCAAAAAAAAAAAAAATTGAGTTGCGGATCATTGCTATTGAAATGACATATATGTTCAAGACGCTTAGTGTGGTGGAGTTAGCATTATCAGAAATGCAAATAATTAAAACCTAAAACTAAAAACTAACTTGGTATTTTTTTAGCTTCAATTGTATGCTTCCCGCGTTTTCTTGCAAGCAGTTTGCTAAGTGTAATGAATTTACTGGTAGATGCGACTGTCCCCCTGGTTTTGGAGGTGATGATTGTGCGTCCCCTGTTTGTGGTGGCTTGAATGAAGGACTTAATAGGCCTGTTCGCAATGGCACTGAAGAGTGTGCTTGTGAAGATGGATGGGACGGAATCAACTGCAATATATGTACAGAAGACTCCTCTTGTGACGCTTTTATGCCTGAGGGACTTAAGGGGACGTGCTATAGAGGTGGAATTCTTGTTGAGAAAAATTACCAGATGTGCAAGGTTACAAACCGCAAAATTCTTGATATTTTGAACGGTAAGATCCCCCAAGTTACCTTTAGTTGTAACGCCACCTCTGCTGACTGTAATTTTCAATTTTGGATTGACCAGAGTGAAAGTTTTTACTGTGGTCTTGATACATGCCAGTTCGAGACAGAATTCAAAGGCGACACCAACATTACCCGGTACTCTTGTGAAAATGCTTATTGCAAGTGTATTCCTGGTCGCATGCTTTGTGGTGAGGCTGGCTCTATTGATATTTCAGATTTCTTGACAGAAACTATTAGGGGACCGGGTGATTTTCAATGTGATTCAAAAAAGGGCGGCTGTAGTTTTTCTGAACCCTCGATGAATGATTTAATTAAGTCTGTGTTTGGCGACCCATCCATTACTTTGGCTTGCAGGAGCAGTGAATGTTTACATTACACTCAACTTCCTGGATATGTCCCTCCTTCTCAATCTCTTAACAAGCGTTTGGTTATTGCCTCTCTTGTTGGTGCTCTGCTTATTATTGCTGGAGGAATTGCTGCTTATAGACTTCTTATCCAAATTACCCAAGAAAAGTCAGGTTTTATTGCGCTTCCTACGGAAGACGACAGCAGCAAGCTTATGGCTGGTCATTTGCCAGCAACTCTTCAATTTTCCGATGTGTCTTATAATGATAATGAAAAAACTATTATTAGCGGGGTTATGGGAACTGTCAGTCCAGGAGAAATTATGGCCATTATGGGTGGTTCTGGTGCTGGTAAAACAACCCTTCTTGATATTCTTGCCGCTAAAACTAAGCGCGGTGTAGTTAGCGGAAGGATTACTGTCAATGGCCACGAGGTTCCCAAAAAGGATTACAAACGAGTTATTGGCTTTGTCGACCAAGATGATTATCTTATGCCCACTCTTACAGTTTACGAAACCATTGTTACCAGTGCTCTTTTACGTCTTCCCAAGAGCATGTCTACTGACGCCAAGAAGCTTCGAGCTATTGAAACCATGAGCGAACTTGGGATTTTAGGAATCAAAGATCAACTCATTGGTAATGAAGAGAACCGTGGTATTTCTGGCGGTGAAAAAAGACGAGTGGCCATTGCTTGCGAACTGGTGACTAGCCCCTCTATTTTGTTCCTTGATGAGCCCACATCTGGTCTTGACGCTTACAATGCTTTTAACGTTGTCGAAAGTCTTATTAAACTTGCACGCAACTACAATCGTACTGTTGTTTTCACTATTCACCAGCCTCGTTCTAACATTGTTTCCCTTTTTGATAAACTTGTTTTGTTAGCAAAGGGCCGTCTTGTTTACTCTGGCAAACAATCTGAAGCTGCTCAATTCTTTTCTGAACTTGGCTACGACTGCCCTCCTGGATTCAATGTTGCAGACTTTTTGATTGACTTGACAATGCTTGCCACCGGCTCTGTTCCTCTTGATGACAACGATGATGAAAATGTCGAAGACCGGTTTGATGGTTGGCTTGGTACCCGCAGTGCTCGTAATTCCGTGTCTACTGAGCCTGTTCCTTCTGCTGCTAATCCCCCTGATGAAAACCTTCACAGTCCTATTCCTCGCACTGATAGTCTTGGAATTGACAGTACTTCTGAATGGAGACATTATGCTTCTCATAGAGATGAAATCATTGCTCCTACACCAGCGACTCAGCTATCGAAACCTAGCATTCCTAGTGGATTTGCTACAGCAACCTCTAATCGACCAATCACTTTGGAATCGCTTGTAGAATCATATGAATCGAGTGCTCTTGCTGGTTCTCTCAGAAACGAGATCGAATCTTCTCGGTCTAGTGAAGAAGAGAGTGTTGACGGTAATGGCTCGAATCACAGCAGTATTTCACTTAAAGGTCATTCACGCATTGGTTTTGTTGGTCAGTTTAAGATTCTATCTGTTCGCACGTTTAAGAATCTGTATCGTGACCCTATGCTTTTGTTAACACACTATATTATTGCCACCATGCTGGCCATGTTTTGCGGCTTCTTATATTACAATGTTGCGAATGACATTAGTGGTTTCCAAAACAGACTTGGTCTCTTTTTCTTTTTGCTTGCATTGTTTGGATTTAGCACATTGACTACACTTAATTTGTTTGCAGACGAGCGTATCATTTTCTTGAGGGAACGATCCAATGATTACTACCGTCCTATTTCCTACTATGTCGCTAAGGTTATGTTTGATATTGTCCCATTGCGCGTCTTTCCCCCAATAATCTTGGGACTTATTTTATATCCTCTTGTTGGTCTGACGTTTGATGATGGCGCATTCTGGAAATTTTTGGTTATTTTAACCTTATTTAATTTGACTGCAGCTGCCATTTGCTTGCTGATTGGCATTCTCATTAAAAATTCTGGAGTGGCCAACCTTGTTGGAAGTTTATTTATGCTTTTTAGCTTGTTGTTTGCTGGTCTCTTTTTGAACCACGACAGCATGCCTGCAGGGACTGTGTATCTTCAGTACCTATCAATTTTCCACTATGCATATGAAGCTCTGGCAGTCAATGAAGTGCGCTACCTAACATTGACAGAACGCAAGTTTGGCTTGAGCATCGAAGTCCCTGGTGCTACTATTCTCAGTACTTTTGGCTTTGATAGTGGCGCCGTGTTATTTGATATTATGGGCCTGTTTGGCTTTTTTATCACGTTCTTAGTTGCTGGATATGTGGCGATGCATTTTATTTTGGTGGAGAAGAGATGATGAGAGTAATTTTTTTTATTTATGTTGTAATGATAGCCTTATAAAATCGCCCCTCTCTTAATATATACTAATTTAATAATGATGAAAATTTCATCGAATAGACTCTTGATTAATTAATGAGATATTTTATTTAAGATACTTGAATAGATGCCTAGAGAAGGCCTTTGTGCCGTGATATTTCAAAATTCTTCGATATTTTTGGAGGATATAACGTCATGTAAATCCAAAAATTTAAGCTGGCTCTACCTTTTTTCTTTTGGTTATTGTGTTTTACAGAAAGAAGTCCCTGTTATTCTGTGTTTTGTTTGAATTCTTGAGAATGTTTTAATTATCACTTCCGTTTCCAAACATCAACAAAAGGGTTACTTGGTCTTTTTAAAAAATTTTCTGAAAATTGGGAAAACAATTTAATTCTTCACTTCACAAATTCAATAAACCGATTTCTTAGAAGACTTTCTTTTCTTTTAGAACTCCCCACACAGACATTTCAAAATAGTAAATAAAATTTATAAATAATTTCAAGTATATATTTAAACCAATTAAATATCCATATACTGTTTACAAACATGATTAAAATCCTCCTCATCATCATATTCCTCAATTCTGGCTATCGTACCATCGCTTCTCTGGTATTCCTCCACAAATGATGGGTCTACAAATATCGATAACTCTCCATCATTAATGGGCCAAACAGGGCATATAACATCTCTAACTTCGATAACACGAGAGAGTGGTGAAAAAAATTTTGATGGCTCACGAACAAAGTCTTTACTGTCAATGTAATAACCAATAATCGAATAGCCACTACTTTTATCACTGCTTCCAAAAAATTGCAGGTTGTAATAGCGAGGCTTCACAACACCCTTTTGAAAGTCCTTTACCACAGCAAACTTGGTGAGAATTCCAGGACCCAAAGGGTTAATTTCAACAATATCTTCAATCATTACATGACTAGAAGAGTTGTTTTTATTTCTGATCCGTGCATATTTATTAATGTACGCAGAAAGGTCTCTTTGAAAAAAAAGGATCCTTTTGTAAAACTTAGCCTTAACATTGTAATTACGAGATTTATCACAAGCTGCTAGAGTTCGCTCATCATTTTCAAGATATTTCGTGATCATTTCAATCACTTCAAATTGCCTTGGGTCTTCTATCGAAGACTTTGGCTTAGCTTTAGGGTTTTTAAGCAACTTGGCACCTATTGAAATTTCATTGACTGAGTTGGCAAGATTCTTAAGTGTTGATTGATAAATATAGCGATTAGAAAGAGTGATATGAGGAGCCTTTCCGTATTTTACTTGAGATCTCAAAATTCCACTAGATTTTTCATTAGCGAAACACCATATCGCTCTAACTGGACCAACTTCTTGAATCACCTGGGCCATATGCCGCAATGTATGTAAAGGTAATGACAAAAAGTGTAGATTTTCAACATCTCTTAAATAAATATTCTCAACAAAGTTAAGAAAAGGATCAATTCCAAGTTCTAACCTTTTCAGTAGATTTGCTGAAAATCTTGGCAAGGAAAGTAATCTTAAAAGATGTACCATTTCTGTGACAAGAATCAGGTATTCAAGACACTCAATTTGATATTGAGACCTCATAACAATTCCAAACAAAAAAGAAATAAGTTGTTTGACTTGCTTTTCTTTTAAATTCACTGAATTTGAAGTTTCAATCCCTTTTTTTATAGCCTCAATATCAAATCTTCTTTCAAGAAATGAGTAGTCTAATTTATTCAGACCTTCTATAAAACTGACGATAGAATTTTCTCCCTTTGATTTAAACTTAGAAGGGCCATCTTTACCGAAAATAATAGTATTTATAAGTTGACTTCCAATGTTTGCGTACGATAAATTCATCAAATCAGGCGGTAATGACATATCAGGTACCATTGACCCTAAACAGAATATCGTTGAAATTCGGCTTAACCCCTGTTTAGTGAATTTGTTGCGATCTGGGGCAGCTTTTGCTTCCTCATTTAAGACTTCTCTATAAATCTTATTATACCACTTAATATCACGAGGTTTGGAGTCCTGAGATGTCTGAGTTTTAGGCAAAATCAAAGTAGGATTTTTATATGAAACCAAACCTTTAACTCGATTTGAAGATTTGTTTTTGTTGACTCTGAAAGCTGATTTAATTTTTGACTTTTTCTTGGATGCCGACCCTTTTCTTAAGGTAGGAGGAGGAACAATATTGGGGGTGGGCTCTAACTGTGTAGATATTTTTACATCAAGACAATATCTGCAAGGTGATTCAGATATGTGCCCACACAACCCTGACAACTTGCAGCTTGCCGGCATATCTGTACTAGATAAAACAAAATGATGCCTAACAGTTCTCATGATCCCTTCGTCCTCATCATAAACTGTGTACCCTAATGTACTGGCTAATGCACTATCTTTAATAAAAGGGAAAAGAAATGAATCCCAGTCCTTTACAGCTGATTTCTCTTTTTTAGCAATAGGATTAACACCAGAAGGAAAAGACATTAATATTATTGAATTTGACTCCTTATTGCGCTCTTCCGGTGGTAAATTTAAGCATCTGGCAATGACAATGCTGTAGGGATTATCTCCAGGCCTCTCTGGTACGTCATCAAATGATATCATAAATGCTAAATCGGCTTCATTTTCAAAATACTTTAGTGATATAGTTTCTTGATAATCTTCCCCTAATTGAGCATTTTGAATTTTTTTTTGTGAAAGGAGTTTATAAAGCTTTCCATCAAAAAAATCATTTATTGAGCCGTCAGTACTTTGTCGTTTATGAGCATCTTTCATTATCCTAGACAAAATCTTACTTTCAAAAAAGTCTCTAACTTTTTCACGAGGTGAAAAATAATAAAATCGATGCTTGGGATCACGCGGACGCCCACACTGAATACATTCAGCTAATTCATAGTATGCACCTGTAAAGGCCATACATCCATTGGCGCAAAAATCAACAACTTCATCGCCTGTAGTCCAGTCGCCACGACGGAACATTTCGACATTGGGAAAGTCAATGAATTTGGCATTAGGAAATAACTCTTTAAGATTTTCTCCAGGGATTGGAATGGGACATCCTTTTAGTGCACTATTTGTTTTAGAAAAAATTCCTACTTTTGTTGCCTCTTTTGGATTTTTAGTAAAAGCAAGAACTGGCTCAGATTTTGGGTTAAGTTTTCCAGTTTGGAAAGTCAAATTGCAAATTTTCTCTATCATGCCCAAAACCTCCTTAGTGAAAGTGCTAGATTGACCTAAGGATGTTGAAAGCACTAAAATCTTTTTAGATGCTTGTTTAAAAGATAAAGTTTCATCAGACTCAAACATAAGACAAAGAGTATTAAGAACAGAAAAACGTGCCTGCAATATTTTTTCTTCCTCTATGGATTGAAGAAAACCTTTGCGAAGAGTTCTTAATTGGGGTTGCCTAGTCCAAAAATCATTTGCATATCTTTTCTTAGTTTTGTTAGCTGGAAGCCTTCCAATATCAGAAGCCTTATTAGAACGAAGGAGAATCATCTTAGCAACTGAAGACAAAAGCTCAGAAACTTCATCTTCAGAAAAAGTTTTGGGTTCAAAATTTTGAGGTTTGTCCGTATTACAGAAGCTTGATTCTGGTGTTTCCATATGCTGTAGGTCGTTTTTTTCAGAAAAAGTAGATTGGTTATTAGCCCAAGTCTTTTCAATGATGCTAACTACATCCTCTTTTAAATGAAAGTTTTTATTAAAAAGTTCGCGTAAGTTTTCTTCATGGAAATCGATATTATTGTTAAATTCAATTTCACTATCATTGGCATCGGAGTTATCATCATTAAGGTGAAGTTCATTCTCATAAGAAGAATCAAAGCTGTCTGGTGGAAAAATCGGTTCAACTTTTTCAGTACTTTCCTCCAATGATTCTTCAATCGGGTCTAAAAAAATAATGTTAATAACCATAAATTCATTGAAGGTTAATTTACTTACTAGGTCCATAAATAGACTCTTCTAATGACGAAAAAGATGTTTCAATATTTTCAGGATCCAAATTTGCCAGTGTCGTGTAATATTTCGTAGTTTTTTCACGTATTGCAAATTCCTCTGGTGTTTCAGGTTTTCTAAAAACTGCTCGAAAAAAAACCTCGGGTGGGCGAGTTGATTCTAAGAAAGATTGATCTCCAAAAAAATTCAACAGCTCTTGGGCCTTTTCTTGCCTTTTGTTTAATTCAATAGGATCATTTTGAAATAAGCCTTCCTTAATTTTAGCAGCCCACATTTTTAGTTGATCAATTCTCCATTCTTTATCAGTTTGAAACCCATGACGGAATTTATTACGCTTGCCTCTGGTCGTCAACATTCGTGTGCAGATATTTTCAATCCGATTTTTATTAATTTTGTATCTCTCAGAGTAATATTCTAATATTTTTGCTGGTTCATAAATTCCAAGATCTTTATAGAAGACACGTTTTTTAAACCCAATATATGGTTCACCTGCAGCATTTAAAAGAGCAAATAAAATTTTAGCCTTTTCAATATCGCTCAAAGGCCAATTTCTTTTTTCAATGCCCATTTTTTTACGGTATTCAACAGTATGACTTGAACTGCAGAGCCAGGTATTGATATGATCAAAAATTGCAGTTTGGTTGGCAATAAATAATTTGATTGATTGGTCCATAACTTCAACGTGCCAGTGGCTTGAAAATTCTTTGCCGCAAAGCTCTAGTAGCATCTTTGGTGTATATATCTCCCGCCATTTGTCGACACAAATAGAGGAATATTGTGGGTCATTGCAAGGGTTCAATAAAACTTCCAAAGAATAATGTTCTTTTGGAGGGTCAACCGAATCGATACATGACCAAATGTCTTTCAAAAAGGTGTTAAAAAAGATATTAGATTGATTTAAATAATTAATTGATTAATTTAAAAAAGAAATATATAATACTAACCTATTCCTGAGTTAATTTGGTTTTTTTTTCTTACAAAACCCTTTTGAGGGCCCTTTTTTCTTTGCTTATGTTCATAATTCATTTTTTTTTTTTAATTTATGAGTGTTAGTGTTGTATATAGAAAGAAAAAAAGATTTTGTGGTGGAGAAGTAAAATAAAAAAAAAGATAATTTTCCCCATATCTAATTATTATAATAATCATCATGATGATTATTAACAATTGTTGGTTTCTTGCATAGTAAATGAATTCCCATTGTAGGTTTATTATATAGGGGTTGACTAATTAGTCTAATTATAATTATAATTATAATTTCAAATTTCAACTTGACTAATTAGTCAAGTTGAAATCAACCTTATAAGGTTGAGGAGGCGTATAATTATTGTTACCCTAACCCAGATGCACAAAGTGCCTAAAAGCCAACATTGGTTTAATTTGTTTTAAATATCGAAGAAAAAAAACCTCCCAATCTAAAACTCACTTTGAATCGGTCAAAAGTCAAGACCTTTTTTTTTTTTGTTTGTTTTTTTTTGAATATCAAAAGTAGATATTATGATTATTCCTTTTTCTTTTTCTTGCTTATTTTTTTTTTCATATTAAGGCTACTTAACCCTGCCACGCACTTTAGAATATAATGACACCCTCTACAATTACGAAACATAACGACGTCACTGGTACATCATCATCACCATCATCACTATTATTCCCACTGCCGGAATCACCAACGTTCACCAATACCATCGCGCAATATATTGGAACTACTAAGTTTGAGCCTGACCCACTCATCTCATCAATTCTACTGACAGGCGGTTTAGGGTTCATTCCTTCATGGCTGGTTCGACACTTGGTTTTTACGTACCCAGAGTACCAAGTCGTGTGCATCGATAACTGCGGCTATTGCTCTTCTTTAAACAATATTAATGAGTGCAGTACCCAGCCCAATTTTGTTTATGAGTACTGCGACGTCACAAACCGTGAGGAGGTGCTGAGGATTATGCGGAAACACAAGGTGGATGCCGTCATTCATATGGCTGCAGAAAGCCATGTGGATCATTCGTTTGGGGATCCAAACAGATTTACTCGTACCAATGTTATTGGAACACAAACCATTCTAGAAGCTACCAAAATTATAAATGAGGAAGTGGCGGCTTCTCCAGATTCTGGACGTAGACACATTTGCAAATTTATTCACATGTCTACAGATGAAGTGTATGGTGAGGCCGTGGGATCCGATGAAGATTTGCTCGAGAGTGCTATTTTGGTTCCTACAAATCCGTATGCTGCGTCAAAAGCTGCTGGGGATATGTATGTGAGTGCTTATCTTAAGAGTTTTGGGGTTCCAGCCATTATTGTACGTTGCAACAACATTTACGGACCTATGCAGTTCCCTGAAAAGATCATTCCTCGCTTCATCCGCTTGTTACAGCAAGGCAAAAAGTGCTCGCTTCATGGAGATGGCTCTAATCTTCGTCGCTATCTTTATGTGGTTGATGCTGTTAACGCATTAGATACTATTTTACATCATGGTATTGTGGGCAAGATTTATAATGCCGGCTCTGATAACGAGCTTACAAATACAGAAGTCGCTAGGGTTCTTCTCATCAAATTTGGGAAACTGTCACCCCAAAGTACTAAACAAGACATGTTACCGTTTATAGAATTCACTAAAGATCGGCCATTTAATGATGCACGATATGCCATCGACTCCACTAGACTTCGGAAACTGGGCTGGATGCCTACGGTAGACTTTAATACAGGAATCCAGTTGACTATAGATTGGTACAACCAAAACACCGATGCATGGTGGGAAGCTTAAGTATAAATAACTTAGTTTGTTTGTTTGTTTGTTTATTTTTTTGCTACCTAATATTTATTTACTCTTTGTCTTCTTCTTTGCCGGCTTTTCATCTTCCGAATCGCTAGCACCACCATCTTCATCATCCGAATCACTGCTTTCATGGTTAGAATCAAACTCCTCTGCAACATCACTTTCGGATTCCGCTCTGAAATCTTCATCTACACTTTCCTCATCCTCGTCAGCAGAGCCTCTTCCAATCATGTCGAGGTCGCCATCGGAATCCGAGTCCACAACCATACTGGTCATGATGGGTTGGTCACCCATGTCCATTTCAATGTGGATACGCTTGGCCTTGATGTAGGCAGAAAGCTCGTCTTGTTCTTCACGGCTAATATTTGAGAACTGGTGCTCGCCGCCGCCAGGGCCCAGATGCACCGTCATGTCAAAGGTACGCGAAGAAGAAGTCTTGCTAATACGCGAAAAGGTCACGCTGGAAACCTCGGTGAGAGGAATATAGACAGTAGGCTTAGGGACGAAAAGGAAGCAGTTTTCCAGAGGGTACAAGTAACCCTCACTGGCCTTGAGAGAGCAGGAAATGCCTGGTTGCTGGCTTGAGAAGGAAGGCCCAGGGACAATCATCTTGCGGCCCGTCAGGCCATGGAACAGATGGGCGACGGCTTCGTCAGTAGCTTCATCGTAGCGCTTTTTAATCTTATCCTTGTACTTTGCTTCGTATTCTGCATCTTCGATATTAGGCTCGACAGTGAGTGTGTCGTTACGGTCAAACTGTGTGACCAAAAACGGGTATCTTGTTTGACCCTGGCGAAGTGGGGGGTCAAGCTGCAAAATGAGCATGTTGTGGATCTCATCAGGCTTGGGCAAAAGAAACAGGCGCTGAATATTTTGGTACTGAATCTTGTAATCGTAAGTTTTACCACGAAGTCTAAATGATGTTGGGTACATGTCAATGTCGTAACGACCTCTGGGTGTTAAGAATAAAATCTCAGTAAGAGAAACAATGGCTTCACCAACAACATCGCCGAGATCAGCCTTCTCTTTGAGAGCCTCATAAAAGGCACTGGCAGCACTCTGTTCGCCTTCAATTTCCTTAATTTCGTCCTCATTATCTTCGCCATCTTCATTTTTGGTAGATACGCGGCCTGGGACATAAAAGCGGATTTCAACAAGTTCATCGCCAGCCTTGACGCGTTCATTACCAGTTTGGAGATTGAATTCGACTGCAACTTCATCATTTTTCCCGACAAAGTTGGAGTTTGCGACATCTGCGTAAGCGATTTCAAATGCGGGTTTGCCACCGACCTCGAACGACATTTCGTTACGGCCAAAATCGCCCTTGCCCCAATTCCAGCCCTTAAGAGAGTGGTCTCTATTCTCAAGAGGAACATTGTAGAGCTTGCTAAGATCAGATTTCAAGCCAGAGAAATCGTCAACATCAAAACCATCTAGTTGGATAGCACCCTTGTTTTTCGTTTGCACACGGATTTCGTATCCTCGAGCTGCTCGACTCCAATAAGCAGCATGAATTTCCTCTGCGGGGAGAAGGAAAGTCTCAGGGACTTTAATACTTCCACCACGGCTTTTTACTTCATTGGCTTTCCAACCTAAACCTTGGTTATTTAATCTAACCAGACCAGGAACTCTGGATTGGTTAAAGTAAACGTTTTCGTATTGTGAAGACATTGCTTAGAGATTGTTTGAAGAAAGAAAGAAAAAAAAAACAAAAAAAAAAAAAAAAAAAAAAGAAACCCTCCTTTCTAATTGACAAAAAAAATTAAATATTTATAATGTAAGGTTTATATTTTCTTCAATTAATGGATATCTTTTGATTCTCCAATCAAAGATATAAAATAGAAAAAAAAAAGTTCTTCCTTTAAAAAAAAACAAAAAAAAAATTACAGTCCTGCTGCTGTTTAGATAGAAATATTGTATTGTTGTTATTTTTTTTTTTAATTTTTTATTGTTTGTTTACTTTAAAAATTTCAGAGGATTGTGGTGGTGATACATGTGCACTTACCCGGCCTTTAATTGATTTGTTTACTGACTAGAAAAAATAAAAAAAAAGAAAAAAACTTTAATGTTTACGTGGGTTAGGGTTTAAAATGAAAAACTTTGGCCTCAAAATGATGATTTTTCCAAAGAGATAGGAGTGTAAGTAATAATTGTGAGAATTAAATAGCTTCTGTAGAATAACAATCATAGAAAAATGAACAAAAATTTAAGGTCAATCAATGGGGATATGATTAACAATCTGGGATATATACAATCATAGTCAATGGTAATAACTATTTTATGTTTGCTTATAGACGGATATATTGTTAAAACTTTCAATATGTAAAAGCCAAACCTGGTACTTTTTTTTTTTTTTTTTTCTAGAGACAGGTTTATTCTTTTTTAATTTGTTTTTATCATCAGAATTTGAATTTAAAATCTATTTTATTGTTTGAAATTTAAATTTCATTAAAATAAATAAGCAAAAAAATTGGATTGTAACTACTAATTTAATATCGCCTTAAGCTTAGCAATTTTTAATGTTATTCTAGATAGATTGTATTTGATTAATCATTTAATGATTTGAGCTTCATTTTCAATTGCTTTTTTTTTCTAAGACCATAAAAAAACACCAAAATTTGCCACATTTGTCGTATGCAAGTGCTTTAAACAATTAAGCATTTAAAAGAAGGAAATACATATATGTATAACTTTTTTTTCTTTTTTTCTTTCTTTTGATAAACCCGTATAAGAAAAGTTCTTTTCTGTTATTTCTATTGTTAAAACTACAAACATTTATTGTCCAAAAAAAGTATTATATATTTATATATTTATATATTTACCCGGATAATGCATAATATATATTTTAGAAGTTGCAACATCTTTTTTATAGACAGGTTTTACTAGTGTACTATCTATCTATCTATCTATATATCGCTCAAGCAAACAAACTAAATATAAAGTAACTTCAATCTTTCTTTCTTTCTTTTTTGATTCTCTTAATTTGGTTAAAATGAAAAAAAAAAGAAAAATACAAACGTTTTTTTTTTTTTTTTTTTTTTTTTTTTTTTTTCAAGCTATGAAAATAGACTATCTAAAGAATCTAAAGAATTTAATTTTTTTTTATTTTTAAACAAAAAAAAAGAAGAAGAGGGTTTTTTGGAGTCATATTTAAGTCAAAGCATCGCATACTGAAAAAAAAAAAATTAATAAATATATATATAAATAAATAAATTTTGTTTAAAAAATAATTACAAATAAAACTTTGTTCTGATCAATTGGAACCTTATCACTAAAATGTTCACCATTGAAAAAAAAAAAAAAAATTGATAAAAATAAAAATCTGGGGAAATGACTTTTTATCTTTTATTATTAAACATTGTAAGGCCGCCAAAGGTATATCCAATTAGTTCCTTGTTTTTGTTTATACTCTTACTTATTATATTAATCTTTTTAAAGACTTATCCCAAAAGTTGAATCAGAGGGGTTTTTTTTTACTGCGGATAGACTAAACCAATTGTTTTTGTTTTTGTTTTTTTTTCAGTTCATCCATATTGCAATATCATTTTATTTTTTTTGTTGAATTAACTTGACTGTTAAAAAAGGTCCATTCTATCTCATTTTTAATACTACTACTAATAATACTAATAATAAAAAATCTCTTCTTCTCTCTTTACTTCTTCAACAGTTGCATCCCTCTGCATTTACTGGAGTCTTATTCGTATCAATGCTCACATCAATCACTAAAAAGAGTTAGTTAAGATTAACAAAAAAAAAAAAAAAAAAACCTCTCAAACTCACATTCAGGCTCTTCATGACGATCAGTTTCCAAGCCAGGCAGTTCAGCTGCCACTTTCTTAAACAGAGCCTTAACATTGTATCCAAGTTTTGCACTAGTTTCCATAAACAAAATCCCAAGTTCTCTAGCTTTAGCTTCTCCTTCTTCCACTGTAACCTGGCGCTCATCTCTCAGATCCGTCTTGTTACCAACTAGCGCAATAATCACTTGGTCGCCACGTTCTGTCCGTACATCTTCAATCCACCGCGCAGCATCGTTGAATGATTGACGACTCGTAATATCGTAAACTACAATCGCAACATGCGAATCCCGAATGTAGGACGGAATCAAGGTCCGGAACCGTTCCTGGCCTGCAGTGTCCCACAGTTGGAGCCGTATTGTGCGGTCGGCAAGGTACATGGTCTTTAAAAAAAAAGATAAACGTTAGTTAGTTAATTAATCATCAGTGTCATGATGATTTGAACATGGTGTATATAACTAAACTCACCTTGGACATGAAATCGATACCAATGGTGGCCTTATATTGGGAATCAAACGAATCGTACATAAATCTAGAAAGCAGCGACGTCTTGCCGACTGTAATCCATTGTTGTTAAACGTCTATTAAACCTCCAAAGTTTTCTTTTTTTTTTTAACCGTTTTTATCTTTTATCTTTTATTTTTGATTTTCTGAATTTTTGAATTTTTTTGCCTTAGATCATTTTTTTCGTATTCGCGTCACTTACCGCTCTGTTCTCCTAAAAGTACTAATCTAAAGATCACACACAGGACTTGTTAATCATTTGTTTTTTTTATGTAATTTTTGTATTTGTTTATATATTTATTTTTTTTTTTTTAAAAAAACTTCTTTTTATTGATATCTCTAGTAGAAATAAAAAAAAAAAGTAATAGCGTGGCAGATATCTCATCCTAGAAATCAACACTTCTTTTTATTTATTTATTTTTTTGTCTTCTCTTTGGTTTCTTCATTTCCAACTTACTTGTACTTTTCTACTGCATCATTTCTTGCTGCCATTATATATAGATAGATTTGTCTTGTTTATTGTTTCGTATTTTCTTTTTTAGAAGAGTTGGAGGAAAATTTGTTGATAGAAAAAAAAAAAACCCCCTGAAAATAATTCTAGGATCGGTTTTTTTTTTAAAAGGGGGTGGTGGTGGTGGTGGTGGTGGTAGTGGTACTGGTGGGGGTAAGTGTATTGAAGGGTTTCTAAAAGGGTGGTGATGATAATAGTCTTCTTCTTCTTCTTTTGTGAATATCTTTTGGTTTCTTTCTTCTGGCTACGTGGGTTGTGTATGGGTTTAAAATTAAAAAAAAAAAAAATTAAAAAAAAAAAAACGGCTGCCTAGAAAATGAGTGGCGCTCTGCCAGCCACCACCACCGCCAATTTTTTTTTAATTGTCTCTTATATTTTTACATTGTAATGTAACATCAAGAAAAAAGAATCTATCACGTGCCCGATAACGGCTTCAGTTTTACAATCTTATAAAGCTCAGACTTTAAAAGTTCAAAAAGTTCAAAAAGTTCAAAAAGTTCAAAAAGTTCAAAAAGTTCAAAAAGTTCAAAAATATAAATGAGAAGTAAAAATAATCTTCAAATGTTACAAATATACATTATTTATCACTAAATCTCCTAAGGAGATTGTTTGCCTGTGCTTGAACTAGATGGAGCTGGTGGTGGTGAAGACGAAGATGAAGCTGAAGAAGCTGACGGTTCCCTTGCAACATTTGCATTTGCATTTGCAGCTACAACAGACTGGGCCTCTTGTGAAACTACTTGCTGCTGCTGTTGCTGTTGCTGCTGCTGCTGTTGTTGTTGTTGTTGCTGTTTCTGAGCCAGCTCTTGTTCTTGCTGCTGTTGTTGTTTCTGCTGCTGCTCAAGAAGCCCAGCCGCCGTCAACGTTTTGGCCACCTTTGGTGGAGGAATCATGGGAGGTGTGCTACTGCGCTCCTTACGTCGTTGTTCACGGTCAAGTGCAGCTTGCCGCAACACTGACCTCATATCATCTGCTGCACCACTGGGTCGCCGGCTGCTACTACCGTTGCCATCATCACCTGTGCCCAAAACATAAGTCCCGCCAATCCATCCGCCGCTATCATAAATCTCCTCCATGCCAAGCCCGAAAAAGTCGCGTTCATCCACGTTATCGCCTTCCGAGTCATCGCCTGCTACCTTGAGCATTGGGCCGTCATATCGCTCGCCTGCAAAGATGGTGCGCCCGCGCTTACCAAATGGATCAAGATCTACCACTTCGCGTTCCAGCTTGTGGAAAAGTGCCCAAAACTTTTCGTCATGTTCGTCATGGATATTGTGTGCAAGTTCGTGGCACAAGACTTTACGCACGTCCTTATACTTGAGCCAGCCGTCATATGCATCAGTGCGTAGCCGCAGCTCAATGACTTGTCCTCGATTCCGGTTAAGTCCCAGTAACCGTGTTGTTCCTCCAGTACCGCCGCCATCTGAGCGTGTATTGGAAGCTGGATCCAGTTCTGTTAGCACGGGGATACTCCACTTGTACTTTTCCATAATTGCGCGGATACCACGATCTTCACGGAGATTGTGTAAAACACTGCGAGATTTTTCAGGATTATGCAAAAATGGTAAAGGAACGAGTCGATGAAAGGTATACTCTGTATTAGGTGCATCAGCGTCGCGTTCTTCTGAAAGCCCTGCAAAGGCTCCATTTCTGGAAGAGGAATCCGAGAGTGGTAGGTTGAGTGATGAGAATGAAGAGGGTGGGGTATTATTGTTATTATTACTATTATCTATGCTGTCATCGTGTCTAGAAAAGCTGCTACCAGAATTACCGGAACTTCCACTGCTGCCACTGACACGAGATCGGCCCCGCATTTGACGTTCGCGGTATTTTTGATAACGCAGGGACCTGCGGCGTTGTTGTTCAAAGTGTTGTTTTTCAGCAACTTGAGTTTCGTCCAGCTTGTCTTGTGGGGTTCCCATGAGAATAATGCGTTTACGGGACTGTGGTGCAGAAAAGACGGTGGCAAGTGGGGTTTCTTGACCCTGGGCTAAAGCCTGGGGTTTAATAAGCCCAATTTTGGGGGCCAGGAGTTTTTGAGCATCTGGAGGGATGTTTGATTCGTCGAAAATTATTTCCTGTAAGTCGCGATAACTCAAATCTGATGGGAATGCTCGCGAAATAGTTTGGCCTTTAAAAGTGATTGAGAGATCTATAGTGTCTTGTGAAGAAGAAGAAGAAGAAAAAGAAGAGGAGTCTTGTGTGCACATAAGTATTGAATGGATTTGTATGTTTAGTAGATTGTTTATCAATGTGTTTAATTGTTGAAGAATAATAATGTATTTGATTTAAAAAAAAAAAAAAAAGAAAGAAAGAAAGAAAGTTAAGTGTTGAGTGTGTTAATTTATTGGAGGGGAGAAATAAATAAATAAAAAAAAAAAGTTGGAGGCCAGCTAAGAGGCGGTTAACCTGCTGCTGAGATTTTTTTTTTTTTTATTTTGGTCAGTGGCGAATTATTTTTCCCTGTTATCGAAATTCTATTGTTACAATTAAGACAGAAAAAAAAACGAACGAACAAACAAACTAATTCCAACCTTAACGGATAGCTGACTAAAAACAAAAAAAAAACCCCTCCAATAAAAATAGGAAATATCTATAGAATTATCGAGAAAGTTATGAAAAGTTTAAATAATTTTTTTTTATTTATTTTAGTCAGATTTATTTTATTTCTTTTTGAAAAAACTTTAGGTTGAATAATGAATAATGAATAATGATGATGTTAATGATGGTGATGACGAAATGAATCAAAATGGGTATTGATCTATATATTATATATAACATATACCCTATGTTTTATGTCAAATGTATTATATCTTAAAATAAAAGTAACTCAAAGTTAATATATGTATAGAGATAAGAATATATTACTAATGATGACTAAGAAACCGTTTGATTTTTTTTTTTTTAATTTCATTGAATTTTTATAAAACCTTTAATTGAAATTTTATTTTTTTATTATTTTAATTCTTATTGTTACGAACCATATCTATATATATCTATATATATATTCATTGAACTATTTATTGTTCATGAACAAACAAACAAACAAACCTGATCAGCTTTCTATACTTGTGGCAATTTTCAAAAAAAGGTCACCTGTCTTCTATTTCATAAAAAAAAAAAAGGCTGCTGTTATCGATTAGAAAAAAGGTTTTAAACTTAAAAGGGCAGTATGATAATAGTTGTTATGAAAAAAAATAAAATACAATAAAATAAAATAAAAATAAAAATAAAAATAAAAAAACAAGCCTTTGAATTTAGTGATTGGATACAAATGAAAAAAAAAAAAAACGTCTCAAATTTGAAACCTTTTAGTAATTAATAAATTTATTAAACTTATTTATATTGATTTCTGAAAAAATGATTTTTTTTTTTTGATAAATCATTGTAATACCCTCAAAATTAATTGAGTATACATTCTTATTAAAGGAAATTTATTTATTTTTTTTTTTTAATTCTTGATCTAACCTATAAACACAATTTCTATAAAAATATACTATTCACAGTCAATTTTTTTTTTCTTTTTTCTAAACCAGTTATCTTATATAAAAAAAAATATAAAAATTAAAAAAAAAAATGATAAAAAAATGACAAAAAAAAAAAATTTTAAAATAAAAAAAAAAAAAATGCAAATTGAAAATTTAATAGTTCGTTAAAACCAACCTTTAAAACTGTAAAAACTCATCTTGATTTATCAAAGATTCTCCCACAGATGATCCCTTATTAGACATCATCATCAAATCACCATTGCTAGTTTGCAATCTTACACTTGTAGATGCAATCACAGAAGTCGTTGGGTTAGCAGCTGCTGTAGCCGCAGCCGCAGCCGCAGCAGCTGCAGCAATACTATTATTATTATTATTATCACCACCAAGTTTCCCATTCTTAAGACTAGCAGCAGTATTCTTTTCAACACTTGACTTACCTGCCTTAGTCCCTGTCTTTTTATTACCAGCTACCACTACCGTGGTTGATTTTTTTTTAGAACTCACTGTGGTGTCTTCAGCCTTTGAATGCGATACAAACCGGCGCAGCCGTTTGTTGGTTGTTGGCTGAGACAAATTAGTATGAGTAAATCTAATTTTAAATTGTCCTTCTTTTCCCCCATTGTTATTATTATTGGGTCCTCTTTTTTCCCCATCTTCTTTACCACCTGCCTCATTTCCATCACCCTTATGAAACGTTGTATTTTGCCCTGTTAAATTGTTTTGCGTGTTCCCAGTTTTACGTAGACTCGACCCAGGTAGTCGTTGCTGGTATTGGACTGGTGCCGTTGAAGACATGTTAATCTGATGCTGACCAGGTTTTTTGGCCACAGGAGCTGCACGCAAAGGAACTGCAGAAAACGAAAAAAATTGACCCGCAGGCTGTGGCGGTGGTCCAAAATGATCACAGGGAGGTGCATGCAGAGTACTATGCTGCAGTTGCATTGGAAATGAAATAGCAGTTCCCGCAGACATTGAGCCTAAAGGTGACGACGATCGTACGCCAAACCCGTGGTTGCTAAAGCTAGTGGTAGCCAGAGTTGTGGTGAGGGGAGACCGTGGCTGTTGCGATACGGGGAACTCAAAGATGAATTCCAAGGCAGGAGGTCGCGGGTTATCATTTCGCAGCGATCTAGCCGAGGTTGAGGGGTGGATTTGTTTGGTATTATGATTAGTAGTAGTTTTCGTAGTAGTTGCTTTAGTTTTGGTTTTAGTTTTAGTTTTAGAGTGGGTGAGGTGGGTATTAAGCTTGGTACTTGTGGTGGTGGTATTAGCACTTGCTGGTGTAGTAGACGGGTTGTTTGCGGTAACAGCAGCATCAGCGACTACAGGCTTTTTAGTTCCTGTGCGAGCGGGTCCCGTGACTGGGAAAGAATGCTTGAGACTTTGATACTCATTAAGAGAGCCGAATTTTTCCGATGACGGCTGCTGAGAAGATTTTGGAGAGGCGTGGCAGGTTGGCGGGATAGTTTGCGGCTGCAAGGGTGGTTGTTGTTGTTGTTGTTGTTGTTGTTGTTGTGGTACATTGATCGGAGCAGTAATCGGATCCCGATTCATTTTCTGAGCTACGTGCGGCTGAGACTCGGCCGGCTGTGATTGTTGTTGTAGATTTTGTGAGAGTGCAGTGACCACCGGGAAAACCACTTTAGAGGTGGGACTTGAAGCGAGGGTTCTGGAAGAAAACATAGCCGCAGCAGAAGTTTTTTGACTACAAGCAGTTGCAGTATTGGAAGATTGGGATTCGGATACAGGGTTGGAGCGTTGTTTTTTAATAATTGGAACTCCAGCTGGGTCCATAATTGGAATCTTTCTGCGCCGGCGCTTTCTCTTTTTGCGTTGCTCTGGGTCTTTATCTGCCATGGGTTCGTTGTTCAAGTATTCGTTATAAGTTTCTTCCTCTTCTTCTTCTTCTTCGTCTTCGTCTTCCTCCTCATCTTCCCCTTTTTCTTCGACATCTACTTCTTGGTCATTTTTATTGTCCTTGTTTTTATCCACATCATTGTCATCATCGTCATCGTCATCGTCATCATCGTCATAATCATCATCATCCACACTGTCATGTTCCCCATCAGCATCATGGACATGCTCATCATCAATCACGTCCACCACTCCGTAGTGAAATTCCTTGGGGTACGCCTCAAATTCAAATGTGTAGTTAAGTATGCGCAGATTTTCACGAGATAAAATGTGTTTAAGAGTAGAGCCCATGCGCTGCTGGGTGGCTATACCGCGACACACTTTTTCGACTCGTGCAACAGTGGGTCGTTGAAGTGCACGTTGGATGCTGGGTAAGGTATAGTCAACTTCTTCTATTACAGAGGAGTTAATGTTGGAACAAGTAGAAGAAGAAGAAGAAGAAGAAAATGGTGGTGGTGTGGTTGTTGTTGTAGGTGCGCTAGTTGTGCTAGTTGTGGTAGATGTAACAGTTGTGCAGCAGCTGCTAGTTGGGGTCTGCGCACAAGAAGAAGAAGTGGGCTCATGTGGAATTGTTGGGTGGTCCGATGGTGTGAGTGCAACCGAAGTATATGTTCCTGGAACAACAATGTTATTATTATTGTCATTATTATTATTGATGATACCGCAGTTGGAGGATGATTGTGAAAGGTGTTGAAGATCTGGGGATGTTGGGAAAGCATTTATTGTAAAGTTATCAGTTGTAGTTGTAGTGATAGAAGTAGTGCCTATAACTGGCGACGTTATTACCTCCGAATCATGATCGAAATTTTGGAGTGATGATGTTTGACTGTTGGATACACTAGTACTACTAGTTGTGTTGAGTTGTTCTGCGACATCTTCCGAAAGTTCCATCCCGAGATCTAGTGGAAGATCCATCGGGAGATCCAGGGCAGAAGGGTGACTTTGTGTTGGCTGGGCAAGGGTTATATTACCATTGAGAGAAGGAGGAGGAGGAGGAGGAGGAGGAGGCGGGGGTTGAAGTGACACCACTTCTAAAGACATTTTTTTACTAGTGCTAGTTGTAGCAGCCGCCCCAATGACCGTGTTACTACATTTCGCATCGGTGCCTGGAAATAGATCTTCGGCTTTAGTAGTGACTGATTTTTGGTTTAAAATTTGATTTGAAGCTTGTTGTTGTTGGGATTGTATAAAAAACGGTTCTTCTGGTGTTATCAAAGGCACATCAATCATAGAACAAGATTGCGAGATTACTTGAGATTGTTGTTGTAGAATTTGCTGTTGTTGTTGTTGTTGCTGTTGCTGTTGTGGTTGACTCACTACATATTGTTCAAGATTACATTGAGATGATGCTGAAGGTCCTGAAGGTGTCAAAGGAGATTGAAACATTTGTGGGACAATTTGAATAAAATCTGATTGTTGAGATTCTCTTGATTGTTGTTGAGGAATAAACTGGTATATAGCTGATGGATCAAATACTTGTTCAGGGAATGCTGTTGTTGGTATTGACTGTACCATATTTCCAACAACTGATGCTGCGATTGCTGCTGCTGCTGCTGCTGCCGCTGCTGCTGATGGTGTTGTTGTTGATATTGTTGATAATGTAGAGTTGACAATAGGACTACAGTTTGAATTATTACTGCCACTAACACAGAGAAAGGGAGCAATGGCAGGGTCATGGGACGCGTCAGAAGTGAAATCCGAGTCTATCAACCACATTTCTTGTTGCTGCTGCTGCTGTTGCTGTTGCTGAAGTTGCTGTTGCTGCTGCTGCTGCTGCTGCTGCTGTTGCTGCTGAAGTTGGAGTTGAAGTTGAAGTTGTTGAAGTTGTTGAAGTTGTTGCTGCTGTTGTAGGAAAAACATTTCGCCATCCATGATTTTTTTTTTTTTTTCTATTTTGGGTTGATGTAGGATTAAGAAAAAGTCCTACCTTGTGACTTTTATATATTAAAGTCTTGAAATTTTTATATTTTATATAAAAATAAAATAAAATAAGAATAAGAATAAGAAGAAAAATAAAAAAACGAAGGAAATATATATAGATATAGATAAATAGATGAAAATTTAAAAGAATGAATGAAAAAAAGAAAAAAGAAAGATTTTAACTTGTTGTTGTTATCGTAGTCTGATTTTTAAATAGAAGAAATAAAAAAATTTAAAAAATTTAAAAAAAAAAAAAAAAAATATTGAAATCATCAAACAAAAAAAAACCTCCCTTTGAGCATTTTTTTTTTTTTTTTTACTTCTTTTAATAAATATTATTCTTCTTTTTTTTTCGCTTCATTTCATACAAATTTTTTATTTTTTATATTTTATTATTTATATTTATTTTTTTTTATTTATTGGAATTTTATTTTTATTTTTATTTTTTTTTTGTCACTCCACCAAAGACGGTTTTGTTACTTTAAGTATCTTTTAGAGTCTCTGTTTATTTGATCATTGAACTTTATTATAATTATTATTTTAATTATTTTAATTATTATAATTATTATAATTATTATAATTATTTATAAACTTATGTAATCATAATAATTATTTAATATAATTTCATTTAATTAATTTTTATATAAACCCTAACCCTATAATCACATGATATTTGCTTTAACTTACACCTTCCCCTCCTCCCATTTAGTCACCCACTAAAAATATCACCCTAAAAACTTAACTGGGTGCTGCTGCTGCTACTATTTCTGTTGCTCACTTGCCAAACGGACCACAGCCGCCGCTGCCGCCGCCACATTAGGAAAAAAAAAAGAAAGAAAAATTGCTTGCACGCTTATCTTAAAGCAACCCAAAAAAAAAAAAAAAAAGCCCTCTTTTATTATTTATTTAAGAATAATATTAGAAATAAAGAAAGAAACCTTTAAATTTTTTTTTTTTTTTTCTTTTCAAATATCACCATCAACCATTCTATATATTCATTCATTCATTCATCCATCTATCTATATCTTTTTCATCTCATTTCATCCCAGTCCAGTACAGTCCAGTCCAGTTTAGCTCAGTCCAGCCTAGTCCAGCTCAAATAATTAACAACTAACTAAACCCCAGAATCTTACTTCAGCATCTTTTCAAATTTTTTCAAATTTTTTCACCATCATCATCATCCAAAATGAAACTCTTCTCAATTACTGCCATCATTACACTCCTTTCGGCTGCATCTTCCTCTTCAGCTTTGGCCATTCCTGGAGTCCTTAACCAAAACCCCTTTGGCTCCAGCGGTCTTTCAACCGATGATAAACCTGTTCCTGGTGACTCTCCAGTTGAAATTTGTGACCCCTTCGTCCCTAAACTTTTGACTGTCGAACATGTTGACCTCTCTCCTAACCCCCCAGAGCGTGGTGCTAACCTTACCATTGTGGCCTCTGGTGTCCTTCATACTACAATTAAGGAGGGCTCTTATATTGATGTTGATGTGCGTTACGGCTTTATTCGCCTTTTGACTCAAACTTTTGACCTTTGTGAACAACTTAAGGAAGTCGACCTCGAATGCCCTCTGCCTCCTGGACCCCTCCACATCACTAAAACTGTCGAACTTCCCAACGAAATCCCTGCAGGAAAGTATATTGCTGTTGCCAGAGCTTACACTGATGCTCGTAAACCCATCACTTGTCTTTCTGCTGAAGTCAACTTCCCCATCCCTAATATTCAATAAATTGTTTTTTTCATTTTCTCTTTTTACTAGTCTTTTAGCATAACTTATTATTATTATTATTTTTTTTTTAATTTTTTTTTTCATATATATATAGAAAACCCAGAGTAATAATACTTTAATTATAATAAAACTATAAACTCATCATTAATAACAACTATTCCTCTTTTATCGAACAATTAATGGTGTCTGACTGGTTTGAGAGTCATGCGAATTACGAGGTCTTCCTCCCGCACTGCTTGCTCCAGTAGGGTAATCCCCCAGGCTTTGGTCTTCATTTGGCAAGCTTCCTTCACCACCTTGAGTATACAAATAAGTTGCCTTATTCATAATCCGACGAGCCTCCTCTGGTGTATAGTTCAGCTTCTTAAATCCCTGCTTTTGATACTTGCGAGGAATCAAAGGGAAATACCCTGTAGTTTCGCGGTGCCATCTTGTGTAGAAAAATCCTATTACAAAGACCCAATACAAGTTGTACGACAAAACCGACAGCTTGGTGGCACTATTCTGCCACCCAAGTAACGCATTGAAAATCATCCACCCACCATCAGTGTCCGGATTGCAGCAATTCACATGCCACACGCTCCGCGTAATGTCATACGACCCTGGTCCCGACCCCATCTCAGAAACGTCCGACCCCACATGGTTAATAAAATTTTGTAATTCCCAATACCAAACTCCGCGCGACATAAGTCCGGCAGCAACAAGGTACAAGAAACAGGTAGAACCAACCAAAAAGTATTGGATCGACATGTGGTCACCCGTACGGTACATGAGCCAGCCCAACAGTGAGCCCAAAGCAATAGCAGAGATGGTTGGTAATGGGAACGATGAGGCCGGCTGGTTAACACCAAGACCACCAAGGAAAACTACTGCCTCAAGACCCTCTCGAAGAGTGGTGACAAAGGGTAGAATACCCATGGCGTATTTGCGAGAAAGGTATTTTACACCCCAAGAGCCTTTGCCCTCGTGTGTTTCAATAATGGCCTTGGCAAGCTTAACGCGCCATTTTTCCTTCATCTTATTGATACGCAGCATGGCTGCACCCATAAAAGTGATGATGAGCGATGCAACAATTGAAAAAACAGCCTCCCACATCTTTTCCGTGGCCCCCCACAAGTCTTTCCCCAGGTGGTAGAATGCAAAAACGAAAAAGGATCCAATGAAAAGACACACCACAAGACCAAGAAATGCTCCGACCCATACTTGAATCACCAATCGACGGTATAAGGCTTTGGAAGTTGTAGAGATTTGGTTATTATCCTCCTGGATATCGTTATAAATAGTTGGTGTTGTTGCTGTTGTTGCTGTAGATGATGAAATAGAAGAAGAAGTAGCAGCATTTGATGTTGGTCGTACAGCAGTTAGACTAGTACTTTCGTCGACAACGGAATGCTCGTCGTCATTGTCATCATTTTGTTCTGGAGTATTGAGAGGTCGACCTTCGTCGTCAATAATGTGATTTTCATGAAGTGCCTTTTCACCAAATCCGCGATTGAGAAATGCCAATAAAACAGACACAATGATGACTGTTTCGACTGTCTCACGGAAAATGATGAAAAAGACTTGAACTGAAAAGTATTTTTCAATCCAAACAGAGGCCTTGAACATGGTTGTGATATAGGACTGTAGAATTAAGAGATTTAATAATAATAATAATAATAATAATAATAATAATAATAATAATAATAATAATAATGAAAAATAAGCAAGAAATTAAACAAGTTTAAAAGAGAAAAGAAAGAATTTTTATTCCTTCTTTTTGACAGGTAGATGTCAAAATCAATGAAATGACTTCTTTTTTTATTTATTTATTTTTTTTTTCTTTTGATTTGAAATATAGATGGAAAAAAAAAAAAAAAAAAAAAAAAAATTAAATAAAAAAGAAAAAGAACTTTAAAAAAATAGAAAGAAAGAAAGAAAGAAGAAGAAAGAAAGAAATTAAAAAAAAAAAAGGAGGGAAAAAAAAAATTCACAAGGTTGGTAACTTAAAAAAAAAAAATTAAAAAAAATTAAAATAAAAATAAAAAAAAAAAAAAAAAAAGGTTTTTTTTCTTGTATGTTAAAAAATCAAATCAAACCCGTGTGTAGTAAAATGCCTAAGCCCTTTTATATAAAAACTGGTTATTACAAAATCATGTACAAAAAGAAAAAGAAAAAAAGAAAAAAAAAAAAGGCTGACCACTACAGTTAAAAAAAAGGTTTTAAAGCCAATCAATCTACTGTAGATGGAATGACTTTAAAATGATTATTTTTTTTTTTTTTTTGCTACAAGAAAAGAATTCCATTTTTTTTCAATAATTTTTTTAATTCTAAAAGATGATGATGATGATTGTTTAAGAATCTAAAAGTCCGATAGGTTCTCCGAAGAAACTGGTAAGGTCTATTTGTATTTGTGCCAATGTTCCAACCAAAAAAGCAACCAAAAAAAAAAAAAATTTAATCAAAAAGCAACAAAATAACAAAATAACTTTCCATTACTCTCCCCCCACTCCAAAGGCCGGAAGTTGTATTGAAAACCAGTACACAAAAACGAAAAAAAAATATGTCAAACAACGTATTTGCTCGTTTTCTGTAAAAACTAGTCGTAATATATATATATATATATATATATATATAACAGCAATAACAAGTCAAGTCCATGGAGATAACTAAGATATTGGTTATCAAGATATAAGATTATTACAATAACTATTTGATTTTTGTTTTCTTCTTCTTCTTCTTTCTCAATTCCACAAAACAAGTAAGATTAAAATATATATATATATATATCCAATCCGTTGCAAAAAAAAAAGGAATTTATGGCTTGTCGATCAAATATTTAATCCATGTATATACTTAATTCTTTAAAAAGTCATCATTTCTAGAAGAAAAAAAAAAGAAAAAAAAGAAAACGGGTTAACCAGGTCGTAAGGCTTTAAACTAGTTCAAATATTACTTTCTATTAAAGGCAATAAACCATTCATTACTATTTCTATCAGCCTCTGAACCATCAAATCTAACAAAATTTAGTTATTTGATTTTCTTTCTTTTTTTTTTCTTTTGTTTCATTGAAACAATAATTGATTCGGTGTTCAAAAAAAAAAAAAAAAAAACCTTTAAAGGTTTTGCATGAATTGTCTTTTTTTTTTCTTTTTTTTTTTCCTAAACATCCACTTAAACTAAACTGGGTACTTTAATTCCGATATATATATGACCAAAGAGTTTAATGTGGAATATATAAAGTCTATGAAAATTTTCTTTTTTCTTTAAAAAAAAATCTTTACTTCATATCGTATATTTAATATTAAACAAAAAAAAAAACCAGAAATGAGTATTTCTTAAAAGTTTTGAACCAATTTATTAAACTAAAAAAAAAAAGTTGTTGCCTTTACTCTTTTGAGGAGTATATAATCCAGTATAACCTTGGACTCATTTTTAATTTTTAATTTTTAATAGAAAGAATATATATATATATATATATTTTTCATTCTAATATTTTTCCACCCTGTTAATTTATTTCTCTCATAATGGTAGATAGTCCAAGTTTGGGGGTTTAACGAAATCAACCTTATTAAAGATATCATTTGAGGTGAAAAATACAATCAAAAAAAAAATTAAAAAATTAAAAAATTAAAAAATTAAAAAATTAAAAAATTAAAACCTTTTCAAACAATTGTGTTATTTTTTAATTTCAGAGTTAATAAAAAAAACCATTAGTTTTAAGATAACAAAGTTCATAGTTCTCATTTTTGGCAAATTGCAAGTGATATTGCATTAAATCCGAAATAAACATTCTCAACTCACACTTCAAAGACCTCAAGTTTCCTCACTCAGTAATCTAAAAAAAAAATAAAAATAAACTTCCACGGTGAGTGAGAGTAGTGTTTTTTTAGCAACCACCAATTAAAAAAACAAAAAAAAAATTATTTGGTGTAGTAGTACCCTCATAATGGGAGATGAACTTTTTTTTAAAAAAATCAAAAAAAAAAACACAAACCATCAAAGACCCTTATTAATTAATCAATCTCTTATCGAGATTTAAACTTTAAACTATTTTTCGTTTGGTGACATTATTATTTTGTTTTAAGGTTGAAATAAAGTATAAATGTTCCTCGAAACTATTGAAAAAATTTCCAGTTTTCATTGTTATCTGATTTGTAACCTCCTTCCCAAATTAGGAAATTAATTGCTCACTTTTTTCTTTTTTTTTTTCTCTCTCTCTTTCTCTCCCCAATATCTTGTCCTTATTAAGAAAAACCGTTTTTCACATGACCAAACCATACTTCTGTTTCCATTCAATTCTTATCCTTATGTCTTTAAAATCTTTTGCAAAAGTTTTTTATTTTATTTTTTTGATATTTTTCCTTTTTTTGCTTTTTTTTTTTCATCGCATAATCAAGGATTCTAGAATCCACCTCAAAAAATAACTACAACTTTTGAAAACCTTTTTTGTTTTTAAACCACTTAGAAATTCTATTCCATCAATCACAGGTAATTTTTTTTTTTTTTTTTTGCATCTAATGAAAAAATTAAGGTGGTGTGTTTTTAATACCCACATATTCTAGTCCATTGTCCAATAGTTGCTTCATCATAAACACACAAAAATTGGCTTAGAACTTTCATGGTAAGACATTTAATAAACAGAAACTGATATAGCCAGATATCTAAAATTCAAACTTCAATAATGTAAACTTTTTAGTTTAAAGTCTTTGCAAGAACCCTCACAACCCTAATGGTCGGGATTCTAAATCTCTGGTTTATTATAATAACGTCATTTGTGTACTTTAAAAGTGTGGGCTCTCTTTATGACTACTGGAAAGCATGTCAATCCAGTTAAAAAAAAAAAAAAAAAAAAAAAATACCAATGAATACACTACTCTTCATTCTTAATTACTATAAATGTTCGTACTCAATTCTTTTCCTTGAAGTCTCAAATTGTCAAATGATAAATTGCTTACTTACCATGTAAACAAATCCATACCCCTAACCCATAATTTTTATAACTAAATCTTAACCCTAACCCTTTCCATATTTTTTTTTTTCACTTTATACATCTCTATATACTTTACAAGCCATTTTTTTTTTGTTCAAACTTTTTTGTCATTTTCCAGGTATTTTATTTTTCATATATATACTCTAGGATTACAGTTGAATGCGGAATCGTAAAAATCATAATAAACTAATAATAATAATAAAAAAAAAGATAATCATAAATCGTAATGTTGAAATAACTTCAAGAAAGAAATTCTCTCCCTTTTAAAACAAACCCTCAATCTCGCCCTCATCATTGACCTCAACGTCCATGAAGCCGCAGTGAGTGGGGAGACCAGGAATAGTCATAATCTCAGCTGCAAGAGCATAGAGGTAACCGGCACCCACAGAAGCGCGGACATCGCGAATGGGAACAGTGAAACCAGTGGGGACACCCTTAAGAGCAGGGTCGTGCGAGAGCGAATACTGGGTCTTTGCAATGCAAATGGGGAGGTTGCCAAAACCCTGGCGAGTATAAGTCTCGACCTTGGACTTGGCAAGATCGGAAAACTCAATTCCAGCAGCACCGTACATCTTCTGGCAAATAGTTGTAATCTTTTGCTCAACAGATTGACCCTCAGTCTCGTAAAGGAACTGGAAGTTCTTGTCAGTCTTTTGTGATGCCTTGACAACACCCTCGGCAAGAGCAACGGCTCCAGCACCGCCCTCAGCCCAGTGGTTGGCAACAATGGCATCCTCAGCACCATACTTGATGGCCTCCTCACGGATAACTGCGTGCTCCGCAGCAGTATCAGTCTCAAACTTGTTAATGGCAACAACAACGGGAAGACCATAAGTCTTAGCATTAGAAATGTGCTTGCCCAGGTTGGCGCAGCCGGCGCGCAAAAGTTCCACATTCTCCTTGGTGTATTCCTCAGCAAGAGGAACACCAGGCTTAACATCGGGACCGCCACCGTGGACCTTAAGAGCACGAACAGTGGCCACAATGACAACAACGTCAGGAACAAGGCCAGAAGAACGGCACTTAATGTTAAAGAAACGTTCACCACCCATGGTGAAATCGAAACCGGCCTCAGTCACAACAAAGCCAGACTTGTCCTCAGACTCACCCTCACGAGTACCAGCAAGCTTGAGAGCCATCTTGTCGGCAAGAACAGAGTTGGCACCAATAGAAATGTTGGCAAAGGGACCGGCGTGGACAAAAACTGGGGTACCCTCAAGGGTTTGCATAAGGTTAGGCTTGATAGCATCCTTCATGAGAGCAGTAAGAGCACCACCGCAGCCAATATCGTCAGCGGTAACAGGTTCACCAGCCTTAGAAGAAGCAACAACCATGTTGCCAAGACGCTCACGCATATCCTTGAGGTCGTTGGAAAGGGCCAAAATGGCCATGCACTCACTGGCAACAGTGATATCGAAACCAGTCTCACGGGTGAAACCCTTTTCGGTGGGAGCCTGACCAATAGTAATGCCACGGAGGAAACGGTCATTGCAGTCCACAACACGCTTCCAGGTGATAGTATCAGCGTCAATGTCGAGACGAGCAAACTTGGTGATTTCCTCAGGAGTAAGGTCATCAGGGTTGGTCTTGTCAATGCCCAGCTTCTTTAAGCGGCGGAACATAACGTTGGAAAAAGTGCGAACACCCTTCTTGGCAGGCACCAAGCGCTTGTAAAGAGGACCATCCTTCTGGGTAGCCTCGTGGAACATACGGGTGTCAATTGCAGCAGCAAGCAAGTTTGTTGCGGCAGAAATGGCATGGATATCACCAGTCAAGTGCAAGTTGAACTCATCCATGGGGATAACCTGGGAGTAACCACCACCGGCAGCACCACCCTTAACACCAAAGGTGGGGCCCATGGAAGGCTGGCGGACATTGGCAAAGGCAACCTTGCCAAGGTGAGCACCGAGGGCCTGGACGAGACCGACAGTGGTAGTGGACTTACCCTCACCCAGAGGGGTGGGAGTAATACCTGTGACAAGAACGTATTTACCATTCTTGCGATCCTGGAGACGGTCGAGAAGACTAAGTTGAACCTTGGCCTTATGAGCACCATATTGCTCGAGCTCGCTGGGGAGAATGCCAACCTCAGAAGCAACCTGGGTGATATTCTTAGGCTTTTGGGCGCGGGAAATGGCAAAATCAGAAGGAACAGGGGTTTGGATATTGAGAGGAAGAGGAACAATTTTGCGGGACTCTTCCTGGGCGTAAAAGCGCTTGGCCGAGTCAACGACATTGGAAAGAAGCATGGCCACAGTCATGGGGCCAACACCACCAGGAACAGGAGTGATTTTAGAAGCGACTTGGGAGGCAGTCTCAAACTCAACATCACCTACAAGACGTTTACCGCTCTTGCGAGTAGCATCGTCAATGTAATTGGTGCCAACATCAATGACAACGGCACCAGGCTTAATCCAATCGCCCTTGACAAAGCCAGGCTTGCCAATTGCAGCGACAACAACGTCAGCAGCCTTAACTTCTTCTTCAATGTTTGCAGACTTGGAATGGAGAACCGTGACGGTTGCATCGGCGTTTTTAAGGAGGTAAGAAACAGGGGAGCCCACAATGTCAGATCTGCCCAGGACCACGGCCTTCTTGCCGGCAAGATCGACATTGGATTGCTTGAGCAGAACGAGAATGCCCTTAGGAGTGCAGGGGACAAAGAGCGGGGAACCACCACGCTTTGCCAGCTCACCAATGTTGAGTGTGCCAAACCCATCAACATCCTTTTCAGCGGCAACAGCGTCAGTGATTACAACTTCTTGGATATGGCTGGGGAGAGGGAGTTGGACGAGGATACCGTGGACTGAAGGGTCATTATTAAGAGTGGTGATTTCGTCGAGGAGCTGAGAAGAAAAGAGAAGAGATTGATAGTTAGTTAATTGCTAATTGATAATTGAATGATTGAATGATTGAATGATTGATTGGTTTGAAAGGATGGTTACAAACTTACCTCTGCCTGGGTGACTGACTCTGGGAGGTTCTTGAGTTGACAAGAAATGTTTGCCTCGGCAGCAGCCTTCAGCTTCATGCGCACATATGTGGATGAATCTGGTCTATCTCCAACTTGGAAGATGACGAGGGAAGGCTTAAAGTAAGGCTTTTCAGCCTGGATGGCCTTGATTTCTTCATTAAGTCCAGTACGGATGGACTTGGCAATGGCGTTTCCGTCAATGAGTTCGGCAACCATTTTTTTTTTAAGAGTGGGGATGGTAAAGGTGATTGGGTAGTTTTTGTTAAAAAAAAAAAAAAAGAGTAAGAAGAAAAGTAAAAAATAGAAAAAGAACTTGAAAAGAATTTAAATAAGAAGAAAAAAAAAAAAAAAAAAAAAAAGGGATAAAAAGAATTAAGAAGGAAAGAGTCAGAAATTAAAAATTAAAAAAAAAAAAAAAATTTCCATAAAGACTTTTTTGTTTGTTTTTGACCGGTCCAAATAAATTTTTTTTTATTTTATTTAAACACGGGGTTTTTTTTTTTTTTAAAAAATATAAAATAGAAAGACTGTGGAGACCACCCGTTTTTTACTGGCCACAAGAATTTAAACCGCCGTGGCGCAAAGCACATGCAATTTCTGGGGAAAACTTTTTTTTTTTTTGACTCGGGTTTGTCTTTAAAAATTCTTGGGAATCCCCCTTTTAAAAATCAATAAAAAAAATTTTTAAAGTCCCGAGTCAATCCAGCCACACACCGAGCACCCGCCACACTCGGGTTCTTTTGTGCGGCGTTAATAAAATATTAATTTCTAAATTGGGAAATTTTCAATCTGTTTTTTTTTTTTTTTTCTTTATTCTTATTTTATTCTTATTATTATATATATATATATATATATATATATATATATATTAGGACCGCATTTGCAACAGGCCAGCCTCGAGCTGCGACGAAAGACTTAAAAAAGAAGTTGTTTCCATGGCCGCATAATGGTTTAATGCTTCAATTAGAATCTTCAAATGGTGATCAAAACTCGCCTCGTACTGATGTAAAGAAGAATTGAGCCATGCTAAAATCTCTGCCTCTGTCATCTCTTCGCCATTCTTGCTGGTAGGCCTTTGCAACTTCTCACGCTCAGCTTCACTCAGCATCAAACTATCCAAGTATACTATCGACCTTTCACGAGACGGCAAGTACTCGGCAAAAAGTCGGCAACTTGTGTACAACTTTGATTGAAGCCGCAACAGCTTCGGGTTGGTCAGCATACATTCCTTCATACAAATACTCAAAAATGAAACATGCTTAGCCATCAGCCAGTCTGCATTCTTTGCTTCTCCCAACTGCTCTATGAACCGCGCCCACTGTCGCTCATTAATCTCGGTCGTACAATAGTATAACACATTGTGTATAAAATATAACATTCGTTCACGCAGCTTCATAACACTTGCTTTCCATTCCTCTAACTCAGGTATTTGGCTTCGATGCTGCCACACCTTAGACTTCATCTGCTCTACCCACGACTTGTTGAGTGTCCGCTCAATATACTTAAGTTCTACCAAGTGTCGAAACATGAGTTGATACACAATCATGGTGCGTCGTGAAAATACAAGTGACAATGGGAATGGGATATTAAAGTCCAGCTGCAACCCGAAAACACTTTGAAAATGCTTCGATCCATTAGTATTATTATTATTATTATTATTATTATTGCTGTTGTTGTTGTTGTTGTTGTTTGCTTGGTAATGATTGCTCGTCATGGTCCCGCTACTTTCCCCAGCCATTGAACCAATCCGGTTGGGATCCATGCCAGGCACTGTCGCAATCTTTAGCAAATTCTCCATGTTGCTCATATGAGAAACCTCAACAAGAACATCGTCCCGGTATGGGTCTGTCGCTGAAATACTGCCTGGTTGCCGCAGCGCCATGTCCAGCAGATACTGCAGCTTGGTCTTGGATGCTTCGCTTGTCGGTTTGTTCAGCTCCGCATCAGCAATATCCATAAAATTTATTAGATAGTCGGCTTTATCCAAAAAGAAAAAATGCTTTAAAGACCGTAATCGTTCAGGTAGCTTATGTGTGTGGATTAATAGCGAAAGCAAAGTCTCATTTGCATGACTATACGCTCTAGCAAGTGTCATCAAAATCCTACTGTCTTCAATAGACTCGTATTCTTTATCATCGTCCTGGCTCACATCCACTCCTCCACATTCTCGGACTACATTTAAGTACTTACCCGTCAATAATATCCGCTCATAAACCTCAGAGCTCGAGAGTTGCAGCGGCAAGTCGTCCTCCCTCACCGTGTACCGTTTATCCCAGTACTCATCTGTATAATAGAGCGTGTCTTTATTTTTGCGTACACTCTTTTTTTCACAGATTAAAAACTCATCATAAGGATCAGTGATAATCCCCCGATGGATCCACCGCTGGAGCATCACCAAGTATGGTTTTGACGCGTCTCGAAGTAATGTCTCCAATAGAGACTTGGTAGGCGGGTCTCCTGAAAGTGCAATTAGTCTTTCGGCCAAAATGCGTAGAATGGCGCCGCCCTTGCATACCATGGATTTTTCGCGTGATGTCAAGCCCAGCTTGCTAAAGTTTGTGCCTTCGTTAACCTTGAGCGACTCAATCACTTTTTCAATATCACTACTGCTGTAGAGCTGTGCAGCTGCCTCCTCGCTCCGCCGCGTGTTTTCTTGTAAAATTACCTGGCACAGATCATATATTTGTTTGAGAATGTGTGCCAGGGGGGCTAACTGAAGTTGCATTGTCTGTAGGGAAAAACTTTGATTATAATAAAGCTCATTTTCTAACTGTGCAATCAAAATATTGTAGTCTTTGAGTACTCTTCTAATACTTGCACATAATGCCTGGTTGACCTGGCCATAGTCACGCTGAGCATGCACATCAACAAACTCGCTAATGGCTAGGTGATGGCGCGCAGTGTCAGTAATACTTTTGACTGCATCACGCATGCTAATTGGTACTGATCGGTTTGTTTGGTACTGAGGTCCGCGTAATCTGTCAAACTTAATATCGACCTCATAAGTCTCATTGAACCGAATATATATGCCTTCACATCCAAGGAGTACATAAATCAAATCTTCAATCACAATTGCTTCTTGTGCATTTAATGAGAGTCCTTCGAGACTCATGTACTTGCGGTATTCTGAGGGTGCATGTGAGTATTTAGGAAGGGGTTTAAGTGACTTGGCAAGTGCAGAAGAAGTTTCGCGTGCTAGTTCGACGCGTGGAATCCAGTTTTCGTTATCACTAGATCCATGATGTTGATGTACTCTTGACGGATTTTGTCGCTGAGAATTTGTGCTTCCAGAGACTCCAGCTTGTTGTTGTTGTTGCTGTACTGGTGGTGATGAAGAGGATCCCATTGACCTTCTTGTAGATGAGCTGAAATGCTGTGTTCTATAAATCGAAGTACGTGATTGAGATGCAGAGCCTTCATATTGGCCAGAACCATCTCTCCTTGAATAAGATGATGCCATGGTTTGATCTCGATATGTTATGTGAAAAAAAAAAAAAAAAAAATCAATTCTTCATTCAAAAGTTTCAAGGGGATGATGATGTTGGTTTTGAAAATATTAGTTAGTTATAAATCTACTAAATAGACTGTTAATTTAGCAACCACAAAACCCTCCACCATTGTATATTTTTTTTTTGTTGCCACCAAAGTCAGCCAAAAAACCTTTTTTTTTTCTTCTGTCTCTCACTTGTTTTGCCTTCTTTTTCTTTTTCACCAACAAGAAAATCATCAATCTTTCCATTTTCATTCAGTCTTTTTTTTTTTTTTTTTTTCTCTTTCTTTCATAAAACCCAGTTAAAAATGTTTCTTACGCGAAGCGAATATGACCGTGGTGTCAGCACTTTTTCTCCTGAAGGCCGTCTTTTTCAAGTCGAATACTCTCTGGAAGCCATCAAGGTATGCTCGACCCTCTTTCCATATATATATATATAAATATAAATGTAAATTTTGGTCACTAACACTCTAATAGCTGGGATCTACTGCAATTGGAATTGCCACATCTAAGGGTGTTGTGTTGGGTGTTGAGAAGCGCGTGACTTCTTCTTTGCTCGAACCCTCATCCATTGAGAAGATCATTGAGATTGACCGCCACGTTGGCTGTGCCATGAGTGGTCTCACTGCAGATGCCCGTACTATGATTGATCATGCTCGTGTTGAAGCAACAGTATGTTTTTTTTTTTTTTTTTTTGGTTTATTATTGATTATTTATTTTATTCAGGTTTATCTAACATTCCCAAGAATCACTCTTTCCAATATGATGAACCCATTAAGGTGGAATCTATAACACAATCTGTTTGCGATCTCGCCCTGAGATTTGGCGAAGGTGCTGACGGTGAGGAACGCATTATGTCACGGCCGTTTGGTGTTGCTCTTTTAATTGCTGGCTTTGACGAAAATGGTCCACAACTATACCACGCTGAACCTTCAGGAACCTTTTACAGATACGATGCTAAGGCAATTGGTAGCGGTAGTGAGGGTGCACAGGTTGAACTTCAAAACGAGTACCATTCATCACTTACTATGGAAGAGGCTGAGGTTCTGGTTCTCAAGATCTTAAAGCAGGTTATGGAAGAGAAACTTGATGCTAAGAACGCACAGTTATCGAGTGTCACTAAGGAGGAAGGGTTTAAGATATATGATGACGAGATGATGAAGGCTGTGGTTGAGAAGATGGAGGCCGAGACGACTGCCGATGATGAACTTCAAGCTTAGAGTTGTTGCACAGATTTATATGATTTATATGATTTATATGATTTATATGATTTATATGATTTATATGATTTATATGATTTATATGATTTATATATAAATATATAAATATAAGTTACTTATAATATATATATACTTAATTACCTATTTACCTATTTACCTATTTACTTAAAAGATAACTTACCATGAGGTTACTTTATTAATATTTTTTTTGCTAACAAAAGATTGTAAACATTTATTCAGTCCACTTAAATAAGTTACCAAAAATAAGATAACTTTAATTTTTTTTTTTTTTTTTGCCGTTCCACCGCCAAGTCATCCGCAAATTCTTAATTTCCCACACACACACAAGCAGCTTTTTTTTTTCTTTTAACTAAAATTTATTATTTTTCTCTCTCTCTCTCTCTTTTTTTTTTTTTCCTTTCGTTTTAAAAAAAAAAAAAAAATAAAACATTCATTCATTCCTTCCTTTTTTTTTTTTCCATCAATCACACGATCCTTCTGCTCATAATGAATTCCAGCGGCAACTCGGAGTCTTCCTTGGCTGCTAATCTTTCTTCTTCGTTGTATGAGCCCACAGATTCTCCAACCCCAGCTGTGATCGGACCAGCCACCACCACTACCAGCACATCTCCATCTTCTTTTCACTCCTCCTCTGACCCACTCCAGATCCCCACCATCACTGCAGCAGTTGCCACTGCAGAAGCTACTCCAGCTATAGCGACTGCAGTTCCACATTCAGATCTCTATTTTTCATCATCTCCAACCTCTTCTGGATCCATTTCTATGCCTATATCAACCTCTTCATCCTCTCCACCATCAGCACTCTCACTATCCCAACTTGAGTCCCGAATCTCTGGCCGTAGCTCTTCTTCAACCTCTTCACCTGGCCATCCTTCTACTACTTCTACTACTTCTACCACTAGAACTCGAAGTAAATCGCCAACTCACACTTTCTCTCGTAACTACGCACGAGGATTTGCATCTCCACCTTCGTTAAGTAACCCCAATACCACCACTACTACTACCACAAGCACGGCTCCAACTTCTAATTCATCAATAGCCGGCTCTAATACCATGGAAACCACTGAAAAAAATATTCCCTCTTTAAAGGTTCCGACTCTTCGATCAACTCGGGGGTCTAGGGCCCGCTCTTCTTCTGTCACAACACCATTAAGTGAAGACACTATGAAAAACATTGCAACAAAACCTGCATCAAGTCCACTCCAGTCTCCTCGTAGACTTTCTCCAAGTAAAAATCGAAATGATTCCAAATCAAATAATACTGACGAAACTTACTTTCTTAATACTCGGACTATAAATGCTAATGAATCAAACATTAGTGGATCTGGGGATTCAACTCTTAATGAATTTCAACAACCACCACCACCACCACAACAACAACAACAAACTTTGACTGCAGCAAGTGTTAAAAAAATCACCGGAGAAGAAAAAGAATTCTCCGAAACAGACGACACGAATACCAATGACCAGTGGAAACGACGAGACTTTCAAATCGCCAATGGTGAAGGCAATTTTAGTTCTGAGAGCGTCAAGGAAAATGTAGATGACAAAACAATTTCCCATCACCGCAAAAACCCTTCTGCAGATATTAAAAATAGCACCCTCAAAGCAACTAGCAATAACACTGAGGTGATCCAAACCAATAATAATAGCCAATCTTCCAAAGGTCGCAGTACTATCAGTGGCCGACGCGCTAGAAGCAACAGCAAAAGTGTCTCGGCAGTGCAGATCCTCGGCGAAGTCACAGAACTCTCACTAACTGCACCAGTGACCAAACCTGGTTCTCCTCTGAAATCTGACGATCCAGGGTTGAATAATATCCAGGGGACTGTGACCGATAATTATAACCCCAATTTACATTCAGACTGGGCCGATCTCCGGAAACATGACAAGAAAGATCAGACCGAAGAAACCTCAGAAAATCAACAGCAATGGTTCCAACAAGAGTCCACTGCTAATCACATCATCGAGCATACTCTTTCAAACCTCAAAAAGCTTGAAAATACATCTCCAGAACCTTCTACATCTCAAGCACTACAACAGCCATTTGTTAGCGACGTACCCAACGACGCCCCAATCCCCACTTCTTCTTCTTCTTCTTCCAGCCCCACAATAAACACCGCCACAATTGGAAACCAAAACACAAACACAAACACAACAACCACAACCACCCTTTTGAAACATCTTGATAACTCAGACGACATGCGGGTCATCTTCGGGTCCGGAAGCGTTGATCAAGATAATCAAGATAATCAAGATAATCAAGATAATCAAGATATAGTGGATATCACTGATCATGTAGAAGCTAAAGACGACGACGACAATGGCAGCCTTAAGGATCGCATCGATATTGATGACGAAGAAAAGTTTGGCTCCCTCCTGACTTTTCTTTCAGAAGCCCAGGTCAAGGACCTTGACTACATTGGCAACGTATACAACAACATTAACTCCATCTTTGACTTGGAGCGCTATCTTTCCACTCTCGTGGCCAACGAGTCCACTCTTAACTTTCTGGTGACGCCACCTGGAGTGGCAACCCCAGTCGTTTGGACTTTCTTGCATATTAAGCGACTAATTAAAGAGCTCAACTGGCTGGCAGTTGCCATCTCACTTGATGGATGCGGCAACCCAGCAACCCGACCTGATTGCACTACTATGGTCCGAGGCCCACCAGGGTCGCCAACGGTAATGTGTGGAAGCGGACACTCACGACCACACCGTTGCAGTGCCATGGATTACGTGTGGCATACTCTTGACTGGGCCATGGATACTGTTAACATTGGCGTCATTGACTTGGACCGACCACTGAGTACCATTATGCCGGCGCTGACCGTGCGTACATTGACAGTGGCATTCAAACGACTTTTCCAGATTTTCGAGCATGCTTGGTACTTTCACGAACGTGTCTTTATTGCATTTGAAAACGTTACAAATCTGTATCAACGAGCTCTTGCCTTTGGATTGTTTTCCAAAATGTTAACTCGAGTTCCTCTTATTCCTTACAAGTTGGCATTCAAGCCCGAAGAAATTACAGGGCTAGACGAGGAATCCTACATGAAGGAACTCACATATCTGGTTCAAAATGCACATCGCAGCATGAATCCGCATTCATTTTCAATGGCACACATGCGGGCCATGGGCATGTAACTGGTTGAGTAAAATGAAAGATGAATGATGAATGATGAAAGATAAAAGATAAAAAAAAAAAAAACATAATACCTTAAATAGAATACAAACTAAGAATCGAGTACATGGGCATATTCAGGATAATCCTTAATCTTGGAATAAAGAAACTTTTCAAGTTTTGTCGCGTGCTTATAGTACGTTGTTGTTTCGTTATTGTACTTGCGGCAATTATTGAAAATAAGCCGTGCATCGTAAAGAAATTGCTCCAAAGTGGCATACGCGTCTGCCTCAAGACGTTGCTCCATTGTGAACAAATCCATGGGCTCTTTAATAACTTCGTAATAATCAGCAACTTCATCCTTGTTAACTGGCTCAGCAAAGGGCCAGGCAGACGGGTGGGCCTGCATCTCATTTAGCAATGCCTGCATCACAGCATAATGAGGTGATCGTTTAAGTCTGCGCGCAATTTCATCCATTGCTGGAGTCCATCCAGCCTCTTTAAGTCCAGGGATAGTAAGTGGGTCAATCTGTGTCACTTCTGGATTTTTAAAGACTTGGAGACCCGGTCTGACAATATGGGACTTGGAAATTTCGCGAATCTTGCGCATAATAGCTGCCTTTTGCACCAGCAAAATCTTATTTGCGTCAAGATAACGAATTTTAGGGAGCATAGTACATTGCATAATAGTACCACCTTCATAATCCTTAATATAACCCATCCAAATACTCTTGTCAAGGGAAATTTCTTTGGTGAAGCCCTGCTTCTTAAAGTACCCAATGGCATAATTATCAGCATATGTCAGAAAGTTTTTAATACGACCAGCATAAGCATTCCGCACATAGTCCTTAAGATGATTCATCAAGTGTGCACCATAACCTCGAACTTGTTCTGTAGATGAAATTGCACAAAATACAATTTCAGCAAATGTGCGTGATTCAAAAGGTCGGAAAGTAATGCCACCAACAACTGTTAATGGTTTTCGTACAACTGCAATAGAAACATGGGACCGATCATACACTAATCGTGCAATATATTCTCTCGGCATCTTGGGCAATTGCTTTTGGAAAATGTTTTTAAGACCTGTCAGTACCATCATGTTTTCTTTTGAATTATCATTGTTTACTACTCGAAACTCAATTATCCCATTCATTTCTTCAAGTACCGCTGGCCGTTCCTTGTAAGGGTACTCCACACCATCAAAAACAAATTTGGTAACCAAACCACCATCTGTGGTCTCCTCATCCCCAGCAGAGGTTCCTGTAACTGAGGTACTATTATCTTTATCACCATCTTCTGTTTTATCTTTATTATTGTCATTGGCTCCAGAATCTGAGTTTTTGCTTTTCAAAGAGTCATTAACAATTACTACATCCGAAGAGACTGTTTTAGTAGGTGCGGGCGATGCCCTTTTATCATTGGTATCATGTTTCTTATTGTTTTTAGGGTCATTATTGTCATTATTATTGTTATTATTATCATTATCTGTCTTGTTTTTGTTTTTGTTTTTGTTTCTGGTTGTGTCATTAGTCGTGTCTTTCAAAGAATCGCCAGTATTCTGCTTAGTAGACACTCCTGATGATTTTGTGCCTGCAGAACGTGACCCATGTTTTTGTTCTCCTTTCCTATCTCCATAGCCATTTTCAAGAGTCGTGTTTTTTTCTAGCCGCGTCCGTTTTATTAATGGTCCTTCATCTTCGTCGTCGTCGTCGTCATCGTAATCTATGGCCTTTTTCCGTTTCGGAGGTGGTCCTTCTGCCATTATTGAGAAATTTTTTTTTTCTTTCTATTTTTTTTCCCCCCTAATTTTGAGTGGCGGTGGGGGAGGATATTATCCTTAAATGTGTATGTTCAAATAAAAAATAGAGAGGAAGAAAAAAGGTTTACTTTTATTTTATTTTTTTTAACCCTGAGTTGGTGATGATGACCTAACTTGAATGGAGGCTTGTATTGTTTGAAAAATTTTAACATAATGGATTTTAAAAAATTACCTAACCCTAACCCATATTATTTATATAATACTAAAAAAAAAAATTACAACACCCAGTTTCATTTTGGGAAATTCCGTTAAATTTATTATAAAGTGAAAAATTAACTCTGATCTAATGTTTTCAGGATCAAATATTCTATTGAAGATGCTATAATATAAGTTTACTATTATTGAAAAAAAAAAAAAAAATAAAAAAATAATTTAGGATATGAAAATCTTAAAAGATTTAGTTTTAATGTTACGTTTTATTACAAATATTTTGATAAAATAGTATGAACAAAAATTATTCTATTAAAAATATGATTTTCAAAAGATAATAATATACTTCTAAAATCCAATTATACTTGTGTGAATATGTTTTTATCAAAGAAACCATAGTATCTTAACCTATTATAAACAGAATTTCAGTTTAGTGAATACTCATCTGCTGAATCTTAATTTGTTGAATCTTTACATGTGGAGTTTTCAATCAAATCTTTTACTGTTGACCTTTTGTTGGTAATATCAATTTATATATTGAGTCTTCACCGTCTAAACGTGTGTTTCAATAACTTTTCATTTTGCTAGATCTATTGTGACCACAGTGAGTACATTAATTACACTACTTATATATATTGTTCACTTACTACTGTATCACTTTGTAAACCTTGAACATTGTCAATTATTAAAATTATTTACTTTCTAATTCAAATAATTATTTTAATTATTATAAATGTATATATATCTTAGATTAATTCATAAATTTGGCATTTTAAAAGCCAAGTTGGTAATTTCAACCCCTTTATAACATTAAAGGGAAGTGGATAAGATTTATCACATGATATTCTATTTTAGGGAATTAACATAAAAACGTGACTTGCAGTGATTTTTGATAAAAGGGTGTTTTTTTTTAAACAATGTTCACGTGATTTAACTATAGCTTTCGTGGCCTTTGGCAGTAATTTAGGCACCCCTGGCATGCCCACCAGCCAAATGGAAGTCGCACTTTTTCTTTTTCCCCAAAGATCCAAAGATCCAATGAACATTAATAATAATACTTTAGGAAAAGTTAAATGTTTATTTGAAATAATAATTGATTAATAAAAATTATTTTTTTCTTTCTTTTTTTTTTAAATCTTCAATTGTTTTTTTTTATATATATATATATATAAAGCCCACCTGTTTAAACTTCATGTTGTTGTCTCCATGGTGGCCTCTAATTTATGTTGAGTGAGTGTGTGTGGTGTGTGCGGTGTGTGCCTGAAAAGTCCATATTATATTAAAGGGTCACAACCACTGTACATCATCATCACCTTAAAAAAAAATAAAAAAAACACACACACCCCCTTTTATCTGAATATATTTTTTTTTTAAAAGACAAATTCTTTGTGTATTTAACTTTCTTTTAACAGCACTTACTCCTTTTTTTTTTTTTTTTTTAATCTCTACCTTTAACTCATTTTTAGAGCTATTTATTAAAACTAAAAAAAAAAAAAAACTATTTCATACTTAGCTCATCTCTAATGATTAAGCGGCGTGCTTTCCTCTTCTACTCATTCATTGGGTTTGCTCTGTTGTACTTAGTGTACAATATGAGCAACACCTACTCATCAGATCACTACGAAATTAGTAATGATGAACAACGGATCCAGACTCCATTCCAAGTCCCTGATCCATTCCCCAAGGGTAAGCCTGATTTCCGGAAAAAAAAGCCTGAGGAATCCGATTCTTCAAACGAAAATAATGTAGAAGAACAGCAACTTGCTGAACAACAAGAACAGCAGGATGAAAAGGAGATTCAGGATAAGGCTAAGGAAAGTGAAGAACAGGCTAATACCAACCCGAAAAATAAAGAGGGAGAAGAAGGTGCCACTCCTGAAGAGGAATCTAAGGAAGAATCCAAGGAAGAATCTAAGGAGGAATCCAAGGAAGATGATAAAAAGGAAACTCCTAAGGAGGAGCCTAAGGAAGATGAAAAGAAGGACGAAAAGAAGGAGGAGAACAAGGACGAAAAGAAAGATACTAAAAAGGAGGAAGAAGAAAAAGAAGACGACGACAAGAATGATAATTCCCCTCCTCTTTATGACAAATATCGTGCCAGCTCTAACCCTGATACCGAAAAGCTCAGTCTTAAAGAACGTGTTGCTGACCGTCACAAGCGCTATCTGAACTACATGAAGATGCACTCCCAGCTTTCAGAAAAGAAGCAAAAGAAAGAATCTAGCAAGCTTCAAGGCCGTTTCCTTGGTATGGAACATGAAGAGCTTAAGAACTTTGAATCACCCGTTGCCTTTTTGCCCGAGGACTTTGATGAGGGAACTTTACACCCTGCTGCGAAAAATATTGTCATCTTGACTGCTTCGGATGGTAAAGGTAACTCTGAGATTGGTGGTGTACTCGAGGCTGCTCGTGAAAACCGTAAAGAGTACTGCTCCTACCACGGCTATAATGAGATTTTTGTTAACCTTACTCGTCATGTTAAGCCTGGCTGGCATCCCGTCTGGTCTAAGATGGGTGCCATCCGTGAAGCTTTTGAGACTTTCCCCGAGTCTGAATGGGTCTGGTGGCTCGACACTGATGCCCTTATTATGAATGCAGAAATTGATATCACCAAGCACATTTTACACAAGCGTGCTCTCAAGGAACGTATCACCTATTCAAGACCCCTCCGTGACCCTGAAGCCAATTTTTACAATGGTGCCTACATGGAGAAAGGTGAGGTTGATTTTGATAATATTGATGTGGTCATTTCCCAAGACTTTTTCGGTCTTAATGCCGGTTCCTTTTTCATCCGTCGTTCTGCCTTTTCAGACTTTTTGCTTGAAATGTGGGAAGATAAACTTTTTGAAAAGCAAGAATATATCCGCCGCGAACAAGATGCTCTTATTCATATTTTCCTTAACCATGAACGGTTCCAACAACATTTTGGCTTGGTCCCTCAGCGTCTTCTCAACTCTTACTTTGATGATCCTAAGTGGGTTTGGTCTTATCAGCCAGGTGACTTTATTGTCCATCTTGCTGGATGCAACACTAAGGGTAAGTGTGAAAGTTCTTTTGTTGATCTTTGGAACAAGCGCACTCAGGTCCCTGCTGAGCACCAAGTCAGCGATAGAATTGATCTTAAAAAATATTTCAGAAACTCTGATCAGGAAATTAAGAAGGAGGAAGATAATTAGGGATAAATAAAAGAAGAAGGAAGAAAGAAGAAAAAAAAGAAAAAAAGAAGGAAAGTCCATGATATTCTCATGGTTTGTTTTGTTTTGTATCATTAATATATAATTGCGTAATAAAGGTAAAGTTTTCACACTCGTGGTTATATACTTGAATGTAATAGACTTAATTAGCCTATGCTTATATTAAATTTATTTTTACACTCTAATCTGACAAGGCCCAATCATCTCCATCTTCACCATCACCTCCAAGATTAAGCTCCTCTGCTTTGCGTTGAACTTCAGCTAGCCCACTTAACTCTTCAACGTATTTGGGATTGTTGAGTGCATCTTTTACAAACTCCCATCCGCGTGTGATCCATTCTTCCCTCACAGGGGCAGAGCATGCAGAACATGAGGGGTATGCAGCACCAGTCACCTTCATGCTATCAAATGACCCTAAAAATCCACGAATCTGGTGAGGAATCTGGCTTCCAAACGCTCCAGTAGCAGCTGGGCTTCCCGAATGCTCCTTGTCTTTCCCTGAATACTCTGTAGATGGTGCCAGGCCTTTGTTTGGATGTTGCAGCACTGATACTAGTAGTTCTACCGCATTTGCACTAGCTAGCATGGCCACACCGGGTCGTGTCACCGTGCACATTTGATCCAGTGTACGGTTTGATAACGAATCAAGTGGTGCTACAACATCGTTACAGAAATAGCACCCAAGGTTAGGCGTTGGAGCACCCTCGGCAACAACACCATGCCGCATCACCACATAGCTGTCAAATCCTAATGCTGCATTAATCACCAGCTTAGACTGCGCAGCACACATGACTGTGGGCAACCATCGGCTTTCCCGCGAGTCCATTAGCAAAAACACAACATCATGTGCTTTAATGAGCTCTTCAAGCTCCTCGTAGTCCCGCCGCTGCGATGGTTCGTCATGTACAGCATGCCCGGCCATTGGTATTTCCAACTGTACACCGCGAGCTTCGACTGAAGGATAAATCTCACGTAGTGCTGCAGCAGCACACTCTGCTTTAGGCTTACCACCATCGGCACAATCCCTAAAGGTGTAAAGAGGTTGTCGCACTGGGTTGGAGTATGACACGCGACCACTATCAACTAGTGTCACCGTACGTACCCCCCATCCTAAAAGCCCACGTGCAATGTATGATCCTAATGTACCGGCACCGAGCAGAAGGCATCGTGAATTTTTTACAACTTCAAGGTCAAGGTCTGGGGCTACCCGCCACTTCATCAGTTTGAGGTTAAGATCAACAGCTTGATCTGCCAGTTGAACGGGGTCAATCAGTGCACCGAGGTTTGTGTGTTTTGGTGCTAGCTTGTTAGTGGTTGGTAGCCGTTCCCACCCAGTGGCCTTGGGCACTGCTTCGAGATATGCCGTCAAACTCGCGTCATCCAGTGGAGATTCTAACCCGCTCAGTACAAAGCTTCGTGGTTTATTGGCTCCGGGTCGGCCACGGTAAGCTAGCACTTTAAGATGTGGAAATTTCTCAAATAACTTATAATGAAATGCTAGCAACAGCAAGTTTCTTAGTGGCCAGCCTGCTATCAATTCATGGGGTGACGGATCAACAAACGTCAAGTATTGCTCTTCAGTTTCTATTGTTGACAAAAATGTGTCGTATTCACTGAGTTGGCCGACCTTCCAGCCTTGTTCATCATCTGAGCTTTGGTCCTTTTTGAGCAGGAAAAACCCCCATTGTTTTGGGTCCACCTCACCACGCCAGCTCTCGATTGCTGTCAAAACGTCCTTGGTTACTTCAAAACTAGCTTCTACTTTTCCCGCACGCCAATCAAGTAGTGGCGCGGGGAATGCAAACCAGTAGTAAAAGTTATACTTTTTAAGGTCGGAAAACATTAAAATTTGATATGTGCACAACAAGGAGGGATCCCTCAGCGCCTCTCCAGAAAGTACTGTAGAAGTGATCTCTTGCATGCGTGTACGCAAAAGTCCAGCCCGGTCATACGATTTAAATGACTCTATCGTATTGAGGTCGAGTAGCCGGCCAGGTGCGCCCACGGCTGGTGGAGCAGTATATGTCAGTGGTGTATAGTCAGTAGCATTGAATGAAGTCCTTGTCACGGAAAAACTCGCATACGACACGGCTGTAGAAGGTGCTTCGGAATAGCTCCCCAACACAGGGATGGGTGTTTCGTCCAGTTTAATATGGTCGAGTTTGCGGGCCGACAATTCGTGGAAAAAGGCTGAGTCGACAAAAGACCGAAAGGTGGCGAACTTGAGTGAAGATGCAAGATGCTGGGAGGTTTCTGAACCAGAAGACGAGGGAGCCTGCTGGTCAAGACCTTCAGTATTTGGTGTATTGTCCATGTTTATTGAATTGTCATATATAGTGATTAAAGATGAATAAAAAAAAACCAAGAATAATAAAAGTAAAGTAAAGAAAAGAATAAATAGAAAAAGGTGGATTTAAGAAACAAAAAAGAGGTCACGATTGTCCAAATGTTGGGTTTTTTTAATTGGTGATACCATTATCTCAGTGTCCTTCTGATTAATAAAATTATATAAGCTATGACATAATAAGCACGGCTAAACATTGCAAAAACGATATTGGGGATTTTCAAATTCAAATTCAAATTAAAATTCATAAAAAAAAAACCTAAACTAAAAGAAACTAAAGTAATAATAATAAAAAAAAATTAAAGAAGAAGATGGCTCTTGACATTGTTAACAATTTTTTCAAGATCAAAATCATGATCAGGGTCAAGTTTCTTAAGAGTATCAGATACACTCTTTAAAAGGTCCTTGTTATCAGGAATGGCGCTTCGAACAGCCAAATGACTCTTGACATTGTTGACAATCTTTTCAAGATCGAAATCATGATCAGGGTCAAGTTTTTTAAGAGTATCAGACACATTCTTTAAAAGATCTTTGTTATCAGGAATTGCACTTCTAGCGGCTAAGTGGCTTTTAACATCACTAACAATTTTTTCCAAGTCAAAGTCATGGTCAGGGTCCAGTTTCTTAAGAGTATCTGACACACTCTTAAGAAGGTCTTTGTTATCAGGGATTGCATTGCGAGCAGCCAGGGTTCCATCAAGGGCAACAATAGGATAGGCACTGACAGAAATTACAAGTGCAGAAAAAACAGAAAAGAAGATTTTGGAGTTGACCATTGTGAATATAATAATAAAAGGATTGTAAAATAGTTGGAAAAGTAGATTGAAGTAAATAAATTGAAATGAATGAATTGAAATGATTGAATGATAGTGATTGTTGTAATGCAGAAAAGAAGAATAAGAAAAAAAAACAGGAAATAATGGAAAAAAAAGCCTGTATTTATATTAAAAAAAAATTTCAATTCAACGTATAGTATATTGACATTTTTTATAATTGAAAAATCAGTATCATTGACTTTTTATTTTTATTTTATTTTAATTTCCTTTTTTTTTTGAATCATATTCTTTTAAAGATGTGTTTTTCAATTGATATGGCCTTAATCAACGTCTGCATTAATTTTTTTTTAAAAAAAATAAAAAAAGAAATCAGTTTAAAAATTAAGGAAAATAAGCATTAGCATAAACTAATTTTTCCAAACGAGTTAATTGACTCTTGAAAGATTTGATACATTAAAAGACATTTTAAAGGGGAAAAAAATTTTTTTAAAAAAAACCAGTAAGACTCAATATTGACAATTCTCGGTATGAATTTGCATGTCCATTGACCATATATTGCATAGAGAGTAGATACAAAATAGGTAAAATATTGGTGCAAATAACAAATTCTATATAGTTATCTTTGAAATTGTTTGACAGTTTGTAAAATCAGGGAATTTTTCTTGTCATCAAAACTACGAGAGTAATCTTATTTATTTTTTATTTTTTTTCGCTTTTCTGATTTTCCAAAAAAAAAAAAAAGTAAAAAAAAAAGTCTTTCAAACGCCGTCATAAATCATACATATACCAAGTTATCAAATCAAAAAGTTTTGTGAAAAGGGAAGCTCCGAAGTGAATACAAGTCAAAGACTGACCCTACAGCAATTAAACCACAGGTCATAAAATTTCAAATAAAATCCCCCTCCTATATGAACCAACATCTTAAATTCATTTTATCGGATGACCTTAACTACTATAAATGTTTAAAAAATTTCAAGAGACTTGGAATAATTCTTTTGATTTTCTGAGTTAAGAATTTGTACGTTTAAATAAAATGAAAAGGTGACCATAACTTAATTTTGTAGTCTTTTGAGCGACTTTTTTTTTTTTTTTGTTAATTTCAAAAGAAGAAAAGCACGGAATGGTAGTACCGTTTCAAAAGTCGATGGTTCAATTACAATATATTTCAAATGTTCGTGATGTATAAATAGAATAAAAAATAACGTGAAAAAAATTTTTTTTTCCCATATTTATCAATAACTCAATTCGCTCAATCAATTTAAACAACTAAAAATAACAAAATAAAATCCTTCCTTTTTTTTTTTTCCTCCAACTAATTCTTCACTCGTTTTTTTTTCTTTTTTTTTCCTTAAAAAAACAAAAATCTCAATAAATTTCATAATGGTTAGCACCAAAATCATTTTCACCGCCTTTTCGGCACTTGTTATGTCTGTCAGTGCATATCCCATTGTTTCCTTCGAAGGTCACCTGGCAGCCAGAAATGCAAATCCAGACAATATTTTTAAGGACATAGCAGATGCTTTCAAGAAACATGAACCTGACCATGAGTCTGGTATTGATAAAGTTATTGACGATATTAAGGATCATTTTGTTGCAAGAAGTGCAATTCCTGATAATATTTTTAAGGACATAGCAGATGCTTTCAAGAAACATGAACCTGACCATGAGTCTGGTATTGATAAAGTTATTGACGATATTAAGGATCATTTTGTTGCAAGAAGTGCAATTTCTGATAATATTTTTAAGGACATAGCAGATGCTTTCAAGAAACATGAACCTGACCATGAGTCTGGTATTGATAAAGTTATTGACGATATTAAGGATCATTTTACTGCAAGAAGTGCAGTTGCAGCTGAGGATATTTTCAAGGACATATCCGATGCATTCAAGAAGATTGCTCACGATGTTGATATTAAAAAGACTGATTAAAGCCTGAACCAGGAGTAAATATTAAAATTTAGATATATATATTTTTTTTCTGTCATATATACACGTGTAAAGCTCAATTTAGAGGGTTGGTCTATTGATCAAAATAATTTAAGAAAAAAAAAGTGAACTCTTGTAACAAGTAAAAAAAAAAAATACTCCCATCCATAGTACCCACTCAAAACGGTGCATGAGTTTGAACCGGGTCTTAAAAGTATATCTGGATTAAAGTCTTTTTTTTTCATATCTTTCATTAAAAATCCCAAGTGATTGATTGAATATCTTTAAATCGAGTGTCTTAAATGGTTAATGCTAGAAAGTTTAATTACAAAAAAGAAGAATAAGAAGAAGAAAAAAAAAACAAGGCAATTTTTTTTTTGGGAATCTTGCAGACTTGATATGATGGTTCATGGTCAGGAACAGTTTGGGAGAGTAGTTAAATAATGAGTAGTAGTTAGTACTTAGTACTTGAGAATACATAGAATCTGGGGAAGTTTCTATGACTGACTTAAAAATAAAAAATTAAAAAAAAAAAAAAAGGTTTATATACAATTTATATAACATATTTTTTTTTTTTTTAAGATAAACCTTTTGATTAAACTTGTCTGTGAACTTTTTGTTCCTGATGATGGTGTTCTTCAAAGTCCAGACTGGTTACTGGTTTTTCATGCTGAAAATGGGTGACCGTGAAGATTTCTTTTTTTTTTTTTCATTCTGAAGAGGCTTTTTATTTTTTTAATTTTTTAACTCTCAAGTTTTTTCTGTCAGAGTCTTTAAAATAAAATAAAAAATTCTTTCCTTTTTTTTTTTTTAAGCCTCTCCAAACACCACCACCACCACCACTAATTTACACAACACATCATGGGTATGTTTTATTAAATATAAAATTTATCAAAATGGCTTTATTTGTCTGAACTTTTAAATAAATAAACAATTCTTTTTTTTTTTTTTAAAAAGACTTTTCAATTCAATCTTTTATTATTATTATAAAATCACTTTGAGCTCATCTATTTTTTAAACTGAACCAAAAGTCCTTCCCCCCCTCTGACGTTGTTGGACAGTCGGCCTTTTTGACGAGCGATTTTCTAATACCCTTCCGGTACCGGTTCTCCAAAAAAAAAAAATAAAATAAAAATAAAAATAAAAAAAAATTTTTTTTCTCTTAAAGAGGGCTCTCATATTTTATTATGTCCGCCATCATCATCTCCACCTTCATAGAGATTTCCATTTCACACAATAGTTATATATAATATATATATATCAGTTTTTTTTTTTTTTTTTTTTGCTAATATTTTTTTTTTCTCACTCTATCTCCCCTATTCATTAGCCCCTTAATACCTTATCTTCTAACCACATGGCCATCTCATCAAATATAGGTATCTCATTGTGGCTCGAGCCTAATCCGGCTTCCATGATCAACTCGTCCTTGCAAAGCACCATCTCATCACTACGGCCATTGTTTGAAGACGCGCCACGGTTCCGACCCCATTTGACAGTCACTTCACAAATCGATATTGACCCCAACTCACGTACCCAAATTGATGCAGTTCTCAATGGAGCTAAGGCTGCTGCATCAGCTGTAGACTCTATTGATGTTTTATTTGCTGCTGTCGCATATGGTTCCAAATATACAAAAAAGGTCTTTATTCGTGCTGAACGATCACCAAAACTTTTATCACTTGCTCAAATTTGTCGTGAAGAGTTTGTAATCCTACCTAAGCTGCTTCGCATCAAACGTAAACGCTCATCTTCAACTACAACATCAACAGTCACATCTCCAACTACGGAACAAAAAAACGGTATCCCGCTCCCGGAACCTGAAACCCCTGCAACAACCTCAGAAACAAACTCCTCAGAATCTAATTCTTTAAATAATCCACAACCATCTCTTCCTGTATCTTCAGATTCTTCGCGCAGCAGGCGCAGTAATAGTTCTTCGAAAAAGTCAATGTCTTCAATTCCTCCAGTACAACAAACAACCTCTTCACAACCACATTCACATTCACAATCACAATCACAATCACAATCACAATCACAATCACAATCACAATCACAATCACAATCACCATCACAATCACAACCACAACCACAATCACAATCACAACCACAACCACAATCACAATCACAATCACAATTACAACCACAAAATAAACCGGAAGAACTGGCGCCACGATTGTTACCATCTTCTCCTGAATACCAAGAAGCTGCAGCCCAAGCTGCACGCGAAGCTGCAGAATGGCTTAAGGCTGAGTTTGACCCCCACGTGTCTCTAGTGTATTCCAATCGTTACCCGATTGATGAGGCTCTGCAACAGACAGTTAAATCACGGATCTCAGATCTGTTTGGAGAAGAGTTTATTGAGCGCAGAATTGGGTTCCGTGGTACTCGGTTATCTTTAGTTTTGTGCGAAGGACCTGTCGAAAACTGGCGTGTTTTGGGACATCGTGACTTTTAACAAAGCCCTCTTTTCGCATTGATAACATATTTTTTTTTTTTAAAAAAAATCTATCTTTATTATATTTACTTGTATAATTCTTTTTTTTTTATATATATATATATATTTTAATGTCTTAGACTTGACTCTTTTTTTTTTTTTTTTTTTTTTTTTTTTTTTTACTTATATTCTTTTCCCATCATTTGTGACTTTGCTTATTATTATTATTGTCCATCCTTTAGGTGGTCCACATTCTGGCAGTTCCATCAGCACCAACACTAAACAGCCAAGCTTCCTTGGGATGCCAGACAACAGACAAAACACCCAAAGAGCTCTTAACTTCATGGCCCTTTAAGATCTTCAATGGCACAAGCAAAGGATTCTTCATCAAATCATCATAAACAGTGCCATGATACACATTAATGGAGCCATCATCCGAAGCTGAACAAAACAGCGGCAGACCACCCTTATGAAATGCAACCTGACGAATGGCCTTTTCATGGTAACGAAGAGTCTTGTACGGCCGTGCCGACAAATCCAAATCATGCCAAGTCACACGCTTATCGTAAGACGACGTGATAACATTGTCACCAAGAGGGTGAACATCAATAGAACTGAGCCAGGTCACACCGGGCAACAGCTTCTTGGTAAGAATCTGAGCCTGCAAGTCATACACACGAATATAACGCTGTGTAGCAACAAAAAGTTGCGGCTTGGTCGGGTGGAACATGGCGTCCTGCACAATGCCCTTGGACCGCTTAAACGGCGACTGCGAGCTGTGCTTCGACAGCTGGTGCACAAGAACTGCAAGGTTCTGGGCCTTAGGCGATACCGTCACAAAGTAATCGCCCCGGCGGTGCCAAGAAAGTTTCTTGACAGGCTTTTTGCATCGCACAATTGCCCCCACACCATTATCAACCAATTTGGCTCCAGCCTTGGACCATTTGGCAACCTCCTTCTTCTTAACATACTCGGCATCTCCATCTTCTTCTCCATCCTCGCCCTCTGCATTAAATTTTTCTTCCTTGGTCTTGCGCAAATGTCCACCTGTAGCATAACCCCAACCGGCCTCAATCAACTCACGGCCCTTATTCTCCTTTTCAATATCAAACAATGGCGGCACCAACAGGTATATGCTTTCACCTGCAGCCACTGCCAAAATGCCACTTTCCGCGTTAGGATTCCATTGAACTGCATCCACATGATCATCCTGACTGCGGTCCTTCTCCTCATCACTGCTTTCCTCTTCATCATTGTTTTCCTCCTCATCATCATGGTTATCATTCTTAACAACATTCACACGCCACAACTCACGACCAGTCATAACTTCCCAAATGCGAACAGTACCATCATCACCGCCAGTGGCCAAGTATTGGCCAGTAGGGTCAATGCTAACTGCACGAACACGACCCTTATGGCCTGCGTAAATGATAGAACACTTGATAGGAAACGGTCTAAGATCCTTGGGTGAAGGCAGTTCAGGAATAAGAGATTCAGGGTCAATGTCTACCTTGGGTCTGCGAGCACGCGGGGCCAAATACAGATCGAGATTACGTTCGTAACGCTCGCGAACAGCATTGCCGTAGCCCGCAACCTTGCGCAGAGAGTCATATTTCTTGGGCAAGAAATTACGTTCACGGTCCTCAGGAGCTGTACGTTCCCATTCAGCACGTTCTTCATCATCAGGCAGGTATTCCTCAGGAGGGTTGTAAGATTCGTCATTTGTAGGTGGGGGGAGTTTCGGAGCTGGTAAGTGATCTTCACGAACACGGACCTGTTCATTTTCATTTTCAGCCCAAATGTCGTAGGCTTGGAAATCCTCATCCTCATTGGCTTCCTCGCCAAACTTGGGAGCCTTCTTGAGAACAAGTTTGCCCTCACGAATGGCACGAACAATCTTCATAACACGCTTGGCCTCATGCTTTGATGGCACAAAACGGCGCTTGGGTTCAGGACGAGCCTCCAAAGGTGTGATTGTTTTTTCGTGGGTGAACCAGTCCACGTAATCCTCATAAGGGTTAACAGAGTCGTCAGGGTTTTCACCACGCTGGATACGCTTGATAATCTCCAATTCTTCCTTAGAAAGGTTAAGAGAACCACCGGTATCCTTGTCGATTAAGCCAGTCCAGCCTGTAGGAAGATCAATAGACTCAAGAAGTGAATCAATAGCGCTTTTGTTGGCCGGACGCATGATACGTTTGCCGTCAATGTCGTAGCCAATATGAGGCATGGTATCATAGGCAGAAAGAGGCACATTGCCAATCGTATTAACATCTTCATTGTCCGTGTCATCTGAGTCGTAAACAGGTACAATTTCAGGAAGCAGTGGTCGCGGTTTTTTGTCAGCACCGGTAGTCCATGTCACATTGTCGCGGTCCTTAAACCGTGAGTATTTGCCGTTTGCCTCAGGATCACGGACCTCAATACCCATGGCCTTAAGTCTACGAGGGTCTGGTGTATAATCTTGCTCTTCTTCGTCGTCTGAAAATGCATGTGCGTCAGAGTCTTCTTCTTCTTCTTCTTCTTCTTCATCTGAGTCTTCAATATCGCCCTCTTCTTCGCGAATAAGTTTCTCAAGCTCCGCGTCAGAGTTATCATCAGAATCGTCCACAGGAGGAGCATCTATAGCAGTTTCTTCCTCTTCATCTTCGCTTTCATCCTCGTCAAAAACAAGACTAGGAATGCTCAGTTCATCCGTGTCGCGTGTGCTAGTTCTTCCAAGAGCACGTTCTTCTTCTTCTTCGTCTTCTTCTTCTACCTCCTCTACCTTGCGCTTGGTCTGGGAAGATTTCATGGATCTTGTGACTCTCTCAGAGGTAGAGGTATTCTTGGCTGTAGCGGTGGTGTCCTTCTTAGGCGTCGCCTTTGCCTTGACAGTTTTTTTCACCATTTTGTATATGGTTATTATATGGGTTGGTGTTTAAAATGAGTATTTTTTTTTTTTTATTTTTATTTTATTTTTTTTTTTTTTCAGATCCGAAGCCCAAAATTAATTTTTTTTTTCCCAAAAAAAAAAAAAAAAAAAAAAAAAATTTTACGTAATAACCTGATTAAATGTAATATATTTTGTAACATAAATGTAACATAAGTGCAATATAAGTTTTTTTAAATTTTTCATCTGACTAATTCATTACGTCACTTGCACTGTTTGCAAACAAACCAACTTTCTTCCGTTTTCCTCCTTTTGTATCTCCAATTTTTTTTTTGGCTGCGTACTGCTTGCCTGCCTACCTGCTAAGCCTCTACACAAAAACGGCTTGTGCCTGAAAAAGTGGCAACGTCACCTCCACCTCAGCCAGCCAGGGTTTTCAACAACTTTATCTTTAACTTCAATCTCAACATCAGTCCCATCATCAACTCTTTAATAGTTTACACCTTAGGTGTGCTAAGCTTAATGTAAAGGTTTATCCAAAGTAAATAAGTGTCATTAAAAAAAAATCTATATACATTATTAAAAAAAAAAAGGTCATATCATCCATAATTTCTTCTTCCCTTCTATCTCATAAGCTTGCTATTTCTATTACACCAGCTCAATATCTTTTAAACGCTGGTGGTTGCATGGTAATAAGTTTGGCCAACTGGCTCTTTTCTTCTTGATTCAAGGACATAAAATCCCTTTTTGGAATTTTCCGACTACTTTTAACTTCTGCAGCCAAATGCGAGTCCATTTCAAGGACCTCATCTATAAATGCCATTTCACGCTGATGTAATATGGTGATATGGTTCACTGACTCAAACATATCGTATATATGATCGCGCTCGCAGTACACATTTTCATGCCCATCATAAGGTGTCTCTGATGCAGACTTGACAATGTTGTCAAGAAATTCAGTCCGCGTGCTGCTTTGGTATTTATCTTCAAGCGTCTGCAGGTGATCACGGCGCACGCGACACATAAGCTTATTAACCCACAAATTGATTTCCCGATTATACATGTAGGTCTGGAAAATAGGGAGTTTCCAACGGTCATACTCATCATCAAGAATCTTTTGGTATTCATTTGGAACGTAAATGGGAGCGCCTTCAAAAAGTGTTAGGCGAAGCGGGTAAAGTTCCTCCTTTTTGTAAAAATGATTGTTTTTGCATCCGTAGAGAGTAGTATCATTATTGTTTTGGGCAATACCAGTAATGTCAATAAACATTCCAGTTTTGGTATCAATGAAACGAGCGTCAATGACATTTTCCTTATTGCCCATGGTGCGATCAATGTAATGTGGAGAGACATCCAAAAGGTAAACTCCACGGCCAGTAGAAACCTCATTATTGTTTTCATCTATATTTTTATCTGAATTAATGGTCTCTTCATCAATAATAAGGGTGTTGTTGTATTTCCTTGCAACTCTATCAAGCTCGGCGATACTCATTTGAATGTCAAAATCGTTATCCCAGGGCATACTGATACCATTCCAGTACCAGCTGATAAGAGTACCATGAGCAAGCCAAGAAACAATACCTTCTTGTTGAGCAAACTTGGACCATGCGCGGAACAAGTAATGCATATTTTTTTGTTTGACAGGTTCTGTTGGTGAATGATGATAAAAGCGAAAGTCAGAATGGAAAGCGTCACTGCCTCTACCGTATTCATGGAAATACTTGTCGGCAATTGGAGCCTTATCATGCTCCTCTTTAACTAGACGAGCATGATACAGATCTTCTAGTTTGGGTTCCTGCGAGTTAGATCCTTGAATACCTTGAGAGGTTAAGACTTTGTAGTTTGGCATTTTCCAATTAGATGGAATAAAATCGAGGTAAGGTTCTGCCATTTCTTGGGTAATAAACATGCGCTCTTCAATAGCGGTTTGTGGGACAGTGAGTTCAGGGTGTAAAGGTTGAAGACTAGCTTCTTCATCAATTGATTTCTGGACACGATAGACGAGCTCTGATTCGGACATGCGGTAAAGGTTTGCGATGCGAGGAGAAGGTAGCCAGGGCAATGACTGGCGAAGATGTGCGAGACTGGATGAAGGGCTAGATTTGAAAAGCCATGAAAAAAATCCAGTGCTTTTTAGTTTCGCTTCTCCTTCTCCTTCTTCTTCTTCTTCCTCTTGATTTTGGTCAAGCATATTAAGAACAGCAGCCAAGTTGATTTTAGGGTCGAGTTCATATCTGTTTTCCGGGATTGGTAAGAAATGGTAGTCATCTATTTTGTCCAAAGTAGTGGTAGAGGTAGTAAAGTTGCCTTCAGGACCATAGCGTTTAGAGGTGGATTCTTCTGCTCCATAAAGAGACTCATCATCTATAAGTGCTGGGAATACGTAGTTTGTGTCGTCATCGACTTGTTTGATTTCTGGTTGTTGATGATGCCTGATTTGCGGATGAACACTTGGGTTTAATAAAACCATCCGAGCCGGTATTGACGAATGGAACTGCAGGTAATTATCACCGTTACAGTTGACAAAATAACCAGTGGTGCGAGACCCAAAAGTAGGTCGTTTTTTAATGATACCGAAATATTTTTCATAATCACAGATTGGTGAAGACTCGACTGGGGTTTTTCGGAAGCGGCCCGAGTTTTTCTTTTTTGATTTAGCATTGTCGTAAAGGTGAGATAGATCAGCCCAGTCACCCCATTGGAAAGAATATTGTGATCCGAGGGTTTTTAGTGATTTTAATGATTCTGATGGATCGAAAGAGTATAGAGGAGCCGGACGAAGAGACTTTTCTAGGAAGTTTGTATATTGTGGGCCTAGTGGCCAGAGTAGATATATGAAGAAGTTGATGCAGAATATAACTATAATGGTTTTCAATCGAAATACTCTATAGCTATGCCATAGGAGGGCCTTTATGAATGGCATTGTAATTTATAAAAGATGTATGAAAAAAAAAAAAAAAAAAAAAAAAACTGAAAAACAAGAAATAACTGTCAAAGATAAATATAAAAAATTAAAAGATAAAAAAAAAAAAAGAGTCAGGATAGACTGCGATATTTAAATGTTTGAAAAAGAAAAAAAAAAAAAGTTACATAGGTGCAAAAAAAAAAAAAATTAAAATAAAATAAAATAAAATAAAAAATGTCCGCGTCATAGTAGTGAAAGGGGCCGACGACAACGCACACACCCAGTCGCTAAGCTTTTCTACGTCACCAAAAGATTTTAAAAAAAAAAAAATTTCCAACTACGCAAACGAGATCGCGTGGATATGAAGAAATAGTGAAAGTTATTATATATATATATATATATATATATATTTAGATCGGGCCGAATGTACAGGTGATAGGATTTAATAATTTAAACTAATACAAAAGAGGGGATGGGCTTTTTACAAGTTTTTAAATACATCAAGTTTAGACATTAAAGACTGTATGAGATACCATTGTAATACAAATGACAAAAGGAATGCAGAAGATAAGGGATAAGAAATATAGCTTTTTAAAAAATTAAAAAGATATTTTAAAAAAAAAATCAAACAAACAAACATTAATAAATTAAATTTAAGCTCTGGGTAAGATTCTAAAAAGAGGGTGAACAAAAAAAAAATACAAAAAAGATTTTAAATTGAAAAAAAAAAAGCCGTTAGACATTTTGATGAAATGATAGTGAAACATATATTCGGGTACAGTTAAAAGTCTTTTTTTTTTTATTTTGTCTAACAAGGAGGGGCTTTAAGGGTTGTTTGTTTGTTTGTTTGCAGAGATAAAAAAAATTTTTTTTTTCTTCTTCTTCTTCTTTTTCTAGGAAGACTAGGAAGATAATCAAAAAAAAAAAAAAAAAAAAAAAAAAAAGAAGAAGAAGCCGCACTAAATTTCCTAATTAAGAAATTGAGGGTTTTTTTTTAATAAAGGGAAAAAGCCAAGACCAAAGTTTAAAATTTTCAATTTTTTTTTTTCACCAACATTTAGACTTTGACAGCTGTTTGACTGATGATGACTACTCAAAAACATATTTTTTTTTTTATTTTGAGCTCGATTATTATGCTTAAAACAAAGTACGACTATCAATGTTAAATTATATATATATACAAAAATATTAAAATGTTTTACGAGGTAAATAAAAAAAATTTAAAGTTACCTTTGTTTTACTTGTTTGCTCCGATATGCTATCTATAAAAGTTTATAATTGTGATGATTCATTTTTTAGATAATACTAGCTGCTAATTTTTTTTTTTTTTGAAATTACATAATCTATTTAATTTCTGCCTTATTTCTACTGTACTACAAAATATATTACAAAAAATTAAATGTCTTTAATTTTCCCTAATTTATTATGCCAGCTGTGAAGGCGCGTATACTAGCTGCTAAGTCATGGTGATATAAACACAAAGAAAAATGTCACGTGCTTAATTGCTTTCTTAGGACGACGTCAACCTTTTTAGCTGGAAAAAAAAATTCTGTAAAAAATTGAATTGCTGAGCCACTATTTTTTTGGTATTTTTTTTGGCCCACTTAAAGTTTATTGTTTATTTGAGTCTTCATGTTTCCTCAAGTTGAGGTCAAATAAATCTCATCATTCAAAAAATAAAAATGAAAATCTTAATAAATTTATTAAATAACAAACCTATTATTTGTTTTGTTTAATTGTGTTTGCTCACGTTCATAATATTATATAATAGCTAACTAATTAGTTAGTAGATGAGTGTATTAGTAGTAGCAGTAGTAGTAGTTTAGTAGTAGTTTAGTAGTAGTAGTAGTAGTAGTAGTAGTAGTAGTAGTAGTAGTAGTAGTAGTAGTAGTAGTAGTAGTAGTAGTAGTATATATATGTATCATCATTATGTGTATAAAAAAAAATTCATTTTGTTACCCCAGAAAACATTAAACCAAAAAAATAAATAACTAAAAACCCCAGTTTTATTTATTTTTATTTCTTTTTTCTCTTTTCCCATTAATTTTATTTTAATTTTTTTTTCCCCTCTCCCCCACCTCTCTAATTGTTTTTCTTTTGATTTTCTAGCCGACGAATCCATCCCTCATATCTATCCTTTTCTTCTCCACTTTGTATTCTTTCTAAATATGCATCATCATCTTGTTGTGACATTCCAGAAATCACATCACACTTTTGTTCTGCACGCATCCGGCGAATTCTTTGAAGCAAAAACCCTGAAATTGCTCCCTTGCCTCCTAACTTTTCATCACCATCAACTGAACTAATCTTAACATCTTTAAATACTGGCTGACCCAAACGAACAGCATCATCCATTCCACAAAACTTATCTTCAGGAAGGTACCGCCAGCTTAAACAGTCATCATAACTCTCGCACATGTTGCGGCAGTTGGATTCTGAATACCATGGTCTCTGTTCGTCTTTTTCTCCTTCTTTTCTCTTAACAAACATTCGAGTTTTTTGTTGGTCATCAGGTTTGACTTCTTTAGCCTCTTCTTTAGTTTCTTCTTTAGTTTCTTCTTTATTCTCTTCCTTTTCCTTTTCTTCCTTTTCTTCCTTTTCTTTTTCTTCTTTTTCTTCTCTCTCCTTTTCTTCATCTCTTCTATCATTACTCTCACTAAATTGCCATTTTTGTGCAAAATTGTTCCAATTTACCATGCGTTCATCAATATACGGTGAAACAAAGTCCAAGTAAATGTCACCATAAGTGATATGTTTGCGACCTTGGGGCCCCAACATTCTCTCATACTCCCATAAAATCTCAACCTCCACGGGAGTGAGATGATGGAAACTAACAACTTTTTGACACCATGTCTCACTGGTTGAATGTAAATTCCAATACGGCTGACCTTGGAATTTCCATCCAGTGGTCGGGTAACTATACCCTCGTGAAAGCTCAATGCCAGCCTTTTCAAGCAACTTTGCAACAATGTAATCACCGCAGCATGAATTACGTGTTTCCGTTTCCAGATCAAATTCCCATTCAGGGTGGATACCCAACGTCGCTTGGAGCGCTGCACGAGACAAAACTACGCCGGACCCGCCGTGAGCAAATATAACATCATTGTACATGGCCCCTGATCCTAAATACAACTTGTCCTTGGCATCAAGAGTCTTTAAATAATCGAGCAGATTGTCCAGGAAAAAATAAGTATCGCCATCCATGAATGCAAACCATTCAACATGAGGTGGGGCCACACGCAAAGCGTGAGCAAGCATTGGAACGTTTTTATACTTGTCAAGGTCCCAACCACCTTCAAGGTGAGCATCTTTGGGGTTGAAAATAGCATGAGAGTCGCGCATCTCGCGCAGCTGATGATATAATCTGAAATCGTGACTCTCACGGGTTTTGGTAGTGACGTTGGCCAGCACGTCAATAACTTCAAACCCACCAATGGATGCTGGTGCATCTGCATAAATGGCAAAATATGGCACACGCGTGAAGGTGGTTAAAAGATGTACAGGGATACGATCCCAAAGTACAGTAGCACCTTCTTTCATCATGAGGAAAAGTCGCTCGGTTCCTGGAGCATAGTCGGCGACAAGAGTTTGGCGCAGGTATTCTCCTTTGCTGCGGTAAGTATTAAGTTTAGGAGCCAAAGGTCTGTGATGTTCTGTTCCAGGGGGTTCTGCGTTATTATAAACAGATTCAGGTCTCCATGGGTCAGTAGAGACATATCTGTTTGCATTTTTGCCTGTGTGATGGGATAGGTAAGTTTTTGCGTCTGCAAAATCACCTTCTGTAAGAATTGGTTGGTTGTTGTTTTTTTTACCTGAGGTAGCATAAGATCTTAATCCGGAGAATTGACTGTAGGTATAGTCAGATATAGAGTCGGAGAAGACGATGAAGGTGATAAAGATTCCAGACATGAAGACGAGTGCTAGGAGCAACGTCATCATGCGGCGGGCACCTAAACACTGGACGACGTGGCCACGAACAAAAGCTTTTGCGTCACCCAAAATCATGTAGAAAATAAAATAAATCTGTGGTAAGTGATAAATACTAAAGCCAAATGGGTGTATAGGCTTTTAAGGGAACGGGGGTTGGATGGATTACTGGGTTATTAAAGAGCGGAAGGTTTTTTTTTTTTTCAGCATATAATTTAGAAAAGAAATAAAAACAAAACTGGATATAACTATACTTTTAAAGAAGAAGAAGAAGAAGAAAAAAAAAAAAAAAAAAAACAGGAAGACCAAAGTAGCTGATTTCTTTTTGTTTTTTGTTTTTTTTTTTTGATGTAGTACTACAATAGAATGCTGAGAATTGGTACAATACAAAGGGGTAAAAAATAAGTTGGGTGTTGAAAACCACGTGAACTTCCTAGACGAGAAAATTCAAGCAGCTGGTTGGTATGAATGGTGATCATAATTATAATTAAATATATATTTATATATAGATATATAAATAAAAATCTAAATATATATATATTGATATATATAAGTAGCTGAAATTTCGTTAAAAAAAAACATTGTAATGTTTTCTAAAGTTTGAATATTTTGTTTTTTCTTATTTTACTTTAAAGTTGAAACTTTGAGATAACCAGACAAACAGACACTTTTGGATTTTTTAGATTTTTTGGATTTTATTTTTTTTTTTCGGAGTAAAATATAAAATGTTTAATCTCAAAGTTTTTTTTTTTTAAAAATATTTTATTTAATATAGATTGAAAAAAAAAAAAAAAAAGGTAGATCAATTGTAAATATTAAAATTCCATCTTATATGTTTTATGCCCAGAATACTGCCCTGGAGAGTAGATTCGAGGAGGATACAAAACTCTCGCCAATCACCTTATGAGCTTCACAAAACAAATATATAAATAAATTTATAAATAAATATAAATATAATGATAAATAATTATTTAAAAAAAAAAAAAAAAAAAAAAAAAAAAAAAAAAAAAAAAGAAAAGGTTATCAAGCAAGGAGTTTTGAGAACGCAAAGTTTAGTAGCAAACTTATTTAGACGAAATTAGTTAGTGCCGTTTAACTATAAATAGAGATATTAATAATAGTGATGACTAAGTATTATGTCATTTAAATAAATATATCACGTGAATGTTTACAAATACAATTTTTTTAATTTTTATTTTTTTTTTTTGCTGAATAAAAGCGATAACTAACCTCCCATAGCCGTTCTATCATTCAATTATGTGGGTTAGAGATTTCAGGAACAAAGTCAAAAAAAAAAATTATTAAATAAATTATTAAATAAATTATTAAATAAATATATATTTTCTTGTAAAATCTTATATAAATTTTGTAATTATGTCTGGACTCAAAAATATAAATATCACCTCAATGTCTATACCAAATAACAATTTTTTTTTTTTTTTTTTTTTTTTAAAAAAAAAAAACAAGAAGATTTCTATCTAAAATATAGAATATATATATATATATTCTAAATGAGCTATGATATCACTACCAAAGAAAAAATAAAAAAAAGAGGCTTAAAACATTAAAAAAAAAAAAGAAGGTTCCGGAAGCAAGGCATATATATATATATATATATATATATATATATATATACAAGGTTTGAGCCCCTACACAAAGTAAGACAATTCTTTGTCAATTAAAGTTGCTCGGAGGGAATAAAAAAAAAAAAAAAAGGGAAAAGTGGAAATAAAATAAATGTGAAATTTTTTTGTTTTTTCAGGATCTTTTTTTTTTTCAGGGTTTTTTTTTTTTTTTGATATTTTGAAAAGATAGATCAATAAATGTTGTTACAATTTATTTGGATATTCAATTGATTGATATAATGTGAGAAAAAAATTAAAATTATATTATAATATTATATTAAAAAAAAAAAAAAAGCGAAAAGAAGAGACGAAAAAAAAAAACAAAGATTAATTAGTTTTGATTAGTTGGATATTTTTTTTTTCTTTTTTAGTTTTCTGAATAAATGCTATTTGAGCTTGCTTTAAAGGATCATGGCAATGGACCCAAAAATAACAAGTCCGGCAAGAGCTGTGTTAACAGTATGCTCATTGGAAGCACCAGAAGATGCAGTCGAAGCACTAGCAGTAGCAGAGGATGAAGGTGTTGAGCTAGTAGTAGTATTGTTAGCAGCAAGAGCAACAGTAGCGGCAGTAAGAGAGGCTAAGATGACAGAGGACTTCATTGTGGAGATAATATATTTATATTTATATATATATTTGATAATAAATGTTCTGATGTGTAAAGAAGAATTGATTGTTAAAGATAGAAAAAAAAAAAAGAAAGAAAGAAAGAAGAAGAAGAAGAAGAAGAAGAAGAAGGAAAAAAAATTCCGGAGAAGAGGAGATTTTTCAATTTATTTATACTTTTTTTTTTGACGTTTAGGGGGGTGGTGGTGAAGGGAGTTAAAGGAAGAGGGGATGGGAATAGAATAGAATAAGATAGATGATTATTTATTTCTAAGGGACATTTTATGTCTACGTTATTAAACTAATTAAACTAATTAAACTATTGATAACGTAGACCTTTCAATAATTGTTGTAATTGATACAACAAAGCAATTATTATTATTATTATTATTATTATTATTATTATTATTATTATTATTATTGTTAATTTTTTTTATTTTTTTTTTTAATATTTCCCTTTTGGCCCTGAATATCTTTGGTAATTTACTATTTCGGTCTAAAACTTACAAAGTTACCCTTTTATTTTTATTTTTATTTTACTTCCTTTTTTGTTTCATTTTCCTCGGTGGTATATATCGTTGTTTTTCCCTATTTAATGGGAATTTGAGCCGTTTTATGATAATTTTTTTTTTATCTTTATTCATTGATCGCTATATCTATGAAAAAAAAAAACAGAAAGACGCAAGCTATTATAAATAAAGTATATTAAGTATTAATTATTACAAAATCAAAATCTTTTCTTTCTGCGCCCCGTTTTTTTTTTTCTTCTTCTTACTAAACTTTACTTAGTAGTATATATATATATATATATATATATATATATATATATATATATATAAATATATATCTTGATTAACTTCAACTCATAATTATTTAATCTGGTAAAAGTTTTTTTTTTTTTTTGACTTTTGTTTTTCTTCTTCATTTCTAATAAAAAAAAAAAAAAAATAAAAAATAAAAAAGTATTTGAATGTTATATAGTAAAATATATCCTATAGATGAGCCTCGTTTAAGCCACGCACTTTTTTAAAAAAAAAAAAAATTATCCGAGCCACTTCCTCTTCAGGTTACAATATTGTAACTCCATTTAGATAATAGTAGTAGTAGTAGTAGTAGTAGTAGTAATAATAATAATAATAGTATATATAGAGTAACCATCAAATAAGTCGAAAGCCAATTCAAAAAAAAACAAAAAAAAAATAATCTTTTATATAATAATTAAGCCCACTATTTCCCAAAAAAAAAAAGCCCATGACAATCATTGGCGCAGCACCAACAACGCAATTAAGAAAAAAAAAAAAAAAAACTCACTTGCGCAATTCATAGTCATCTGAAACTTAACTTTTATATACTCACTCAGTTTTTTGTAAAAAAAAATAAATTAAAATAAAAAAAATTCAATTGCTCATGAGCAATTGAATTTTAATCATCGGAGCCACAAGAAGGCACGTTCTCACATGTCTTATCATTGATTTCTTTTTTTTTTTTTTCAACATTAAAGTTTTAAAGATATCTTATCTGAAAATAATTGTTAAATCTAATTCAATTAAAACAGCATTTTTATTTTTTATTTTTAATGTTTCTATTAGAAATCCCATTTAAAATTAAACTATAACATTATGAAAAAAAAAAACAATAATAAAAATAAAAATAAAAATAAAAATAAAAATAAAAATAAAAATAAAAATAAAAATAAAAATAAAAATAAAAATAAAAATAAAAATAAAAATAAAAATAAAAATAAAAATAAAAATAAAAATAAAAATAAAAATAAAAATAAAAATAAAAATAAAAATAAAAATAAAAATAAAAATAAAAATAAAAATAAAAATAAAAATAAAAATAAAAATAAAAATAAAAATAAAAATCACAATAATATTATTATTATAATATTAATAAAAATCTATCTTGCTTTTTTTCTATTTGTTTTTTTTCCAACTTACATCATTGCTTTAATATTTTGGTAAATCATTATAGAACATACATTTATTTTTATTTATTTTACCAATGAATCATAGCAATTATTATTATTATTATTATTTCCATCATCATAAAGAGATTTCTGTTTGGTACAATTCAACGCATGAAATCATTGCCACCAACCTTTTTTTTTTATTGCAAGACCTAAATAATTTTGGTTTATCCATAAAAAAAAATAAAAATAAAAAAATAAAAAAATAAAAAAAAAAGCAAAGCCGCCGCAAAAGTCTGCCGATAAGTTATCTGAATAGGGTTGGGGTTAAATCATTTATATTATTATGTAACATTATGTAATTCTGGAGGGGGGCTCTACTTATTACTACTGTAGCTTTAGGGCGTTCTTTTTATTTTTATTTTTTTTTTATATTTTTTTTTCCCTTTTCCCCACCCACATGTTGAGTCTTTTTATCTTGTCTTGTCTCGTCTTGTCTTGGAACATCTTATTTATATTTCATTAAACAATATCAAGCATTTTTTTTTTCTTTTATATAATAAACCTAAAGAGGTCATTGAATAAGTAATGGATAAAAAAACAAAAAACAAAAAAGAATCTACTTTAGACGATTTGAAAAAATATGAATTTCTTACTTAAAAAAAGTATTGTTTATAAGTATTAATACTAAGTTGTTAGAATAAGATTTCTTGGGCTTGAACAATATATATTACTGATATTGATAAATCGACTTAAAAATATAAATCAAAAAAAAAAAAAATAGTCTAAACAAAAATTCAGTACTTTTAGGGCTTCATTTATTTTCTGTATATGATCTTTAATGGACGGGAAATTACTCTGCAAACATTGACCCCACAAATTATTGCTGTATCATATATATTTTAGTCTGTTTTCCTTTTCTTTAAAAGTAAGATTATAATCGTTATTTAGAATCTTAATTAATACCTCAATGGAAAATTACATCTAATATCCAAATGTCCCCCCACATTTATCATAATATGTTTTTTTTTTTTTTTTTTTTGAGTACTAACATGAAATTTTTTATCTTTTTTAAACAATAAATTCTTATCATTTATTCCCAATATCCTTATAAAGTTAGACTTGATTTTCCAGATATTAGCGATTATGAGCTGCTTTTAAAAAAAAAAATTATTAATTATGATACTTCAAATACAGCAACAATATCGATAACTGAGTCTAAAAGGTTTCAAATGACTTATTTCATTACCAATAAAACATCTGGAAGACATAATCAGCTGAGTTATTTATTCTAAGATTATACATTACAACAAAAAATTGATTTTCCAAATTTTTCAATTTTATCGAATCAAACTTTACAAATACAAACAGTGTTGGTAAAAAAATAAAACTTTATATAAAGGCGCATTTCCTAATTATAAAATAAAAAAAAATTACCACAATTAATGATTTTTGATGTGTCAACAACCAATACCTTTCTAAGATTTATGTTCTATTTTTTGATTTGCTGTCTTTTTTTTTTTTTTACCTACAACAAATGGGAAAGATTATGAGTTTGAAATAATATGGGAAGAGAATGACATTTAGAAAAAAAAAAATTCAATTTGTTTGGTCATCCTAATCTTACACTAAGCTTCATAAGGCTTGAGAGTTTTTAAATACCTTTGAAGATACCTTTAAAATACTTATGGAAATACCTTTCGATAAACCTTAGGAAATATTTTTGAAAATACCTTTAGAGATTCATTTGTTGATGACACACCTTTTTATAAATTCTAAAAAGAAAAAAAAAAAAAAAAAAAAAGGTTCTTTAAAGATTTTTTTTTTGAAAGTATAGTAGCGCTAGTATTTGAGTAAACACGGTTTGTTGTGGTATTGGATCAATGAAAGCTGCAAATAATTAAAAGAACTTAAATAGGAGTTTGATAAAACCAAACTGATATTAATAAAGTATACACAGATCTTCAGGCACTGATTTTGGAAGCTCTTATAAAAAGAAAATTCTCTATAAACTAGAATTATTTAAAAAAAAAAAAAAAGAAACCTTATTCAAGTAAATCCTTTCCTTATTCAAGTGAATCCCTTCCTTTTTCTGGTAAATCTCTTATTTAGACATTTTCATTGACCATAATTTTAAAGTTTTATATTCAAAAAAAAATGAAAAAAAAAACTAGTGTACTTATTCGCTTGTCTTTATTCAATTGAAAGTATTGCATTGTACCTATACACTCTACATCTTTATACTTTACCTTATCCAAACCTAACTCTTACTTTCAGAAACCCTAATCAGATTCCGGTAAAGTGCCCGGTCCGAAGCCAAGATTCCAAGTATTAAAATCAATATTAAAAATGATAGCTGTTACTGCTGATGCAGTTGTATCGAAATTTCGATTAAACCAATAGAAGAGACTCTAGCATTTATTTATTTTTTTATTGAAAAAGGTAATCATCATTGTGCAATATTCAATTCTTAAACATAAATCTAGCAAGCCGTCATAAAACTGAACCGATGTCTAATCATGATAATTTGCATGTAATTATAAAAATGTCTAAACCATGGTTCTCCAAAAAAAATTAATCATTTTCTTTTAAAAACTAAAACTTTATAAACTTGACATGATTGACTAGGGAGGAAAATAAAAGCTCTTGAATTATCCATAAAAAAAAGTTTAAAGAAAAAAAAAATAATTATAAAAAGTTATAACGTAGTATGTGATTGTTAACGTCCAAATTTAAAGTCTGCCTGGATATGGTAAAATTCCTTTTACTTCGTCATATGAATAATGTTCCTTTTCATCCAATTTTTCGATAACTTTTTTATAATTATCATAATACTCGTTAGTCAGAGTTGCAAGTAGTTCAATAGTAATTTCACCACTTTCTATTCCCGCTTCTATCAAGCCTTCTAGTAATGCTTCAATGACTGCAGATGCTGCAGCATCACCTCCTGCTTGGGCAACAGCTGAAGCAACAGCTGCAATTGGACCATATGCACCTGCTGAGAATGCTGTTAAGAAAATATTGCCTAGATGGATGGTTGTCAATGCAATTATTCCCCTGCGCTTCTTTTTAAATGCAGTAAATGCATTCTTTGCCTTGTAAGCACAATGATGGTGCCACTGTTCGCCAGATAATCGTTTGGAAAAATCGGTGATAAGTTCTTCATTTTCGTCTTGCTTGGCCCAAAGTTTCAGATATTCGTAGTCTTCGTTTAATAATTCTTTCATATATATATATATTTTTTTAATATAGTAGTAATAAAATGATTTATTTGAAGTGGGCTTATATTTGATTGTTGGAAAAAAAAAATATACAAAAAAAAAAAAAAAAGATGAGACAAACGAAGAATCTTTGGTCATTTATATACACATAGAAAATAGTGATTTGGTGTTGCAAAAGACTATCGAGATCGTGGCGAGTCCTTAAACAAGCCTCCTCTTTTTAAAGTGTAATGCTAAGGTCCCACCAACATTTGTTATCTTAAAAATTATATAGTATATAAATACAACCAAAAAATAGTCTCAAGATAAATTACCATAATAGGCGCAGTTAAAATAGTTAACGGTACTGATATTAGGAAATCAAATTTTTTATAAAAAAAATGTGACCAAAAAAAAAAAAAAAAAAAAAAAAATAAAGTTAGAATAAAGTATTAAAGAAGCTTTTTTGTTTTTTTTTTTTGGTGTTTAAAAGCCTAAAGTCATAACACCACCAGTATTTCATAGAGCGTCGAAGATAAATTACCTGGTTTTTATAGTGGACCGTTATCATAGCCTCTTGAGACTCATTTCAAAGCCACAATTTTTTCACCTTCCTCGACAGCCACCTTGACTTTCATATGACTTTGTTACTTTGTTTTTATATTTTATTTAATTTATTCTATTTTTCAAAAACATCTCTACTATTTTTCTTGGTTTGATTTGATTTATTGAATTATTATTATCATGGAAGCTTTTCTTGTGGTCTAAAAATTAGTTGCTTATCTACAATACAATTATGTGCTTAGTCACAGATAAGATATGAAATAAAGATTATATATAAATAATAACCTTAAAGAAAACCTTGAAGTTGTACCAACTTTCAAATAATCAACTATTGACAAATATGAAAAAAATAGAAACAAGTAAATTTAAAAAAAAAAAAAGTAAGTTATAATTGATTTAACCATATGACTATGAATTAATCTTGTTTTTTATTTTTGATACATTGAGGCTATGGGTTTTGTTTGTATGGTTAATAAAAGATGTGGGGGGTACAAAAACTTAGTATTTTTTTTTTTTTTTTTTTTTTTTTTTTTGAATTAAATATCTAAGTAACCTGTTTATTTTAAAATCACCGTTTACACTATATATAATGGCATTCATTCAACAAGATATTTTTTTTTTCTAATGTGGCAAGACACACTAGAAATTAAAATATCTTGTAGAATGATAAAAAAAAAAATTTATAGATATTAATTATATTTCACAAATATATTTATAAACTCTGACATAGCCCACATTTTTAATAACTAGAAAAAGAGAGATTGTTTGTCGAGGAAATAAATAAAAGCCGTTAATTGAATATCTTGGCTTTAACATAATACTCAAATTTATTTCGTTTAAAAATAGAAAAAAAAAAAACAAGGTTAAGTAATCTATATATACCGTTTATTGTGATACTAACTATAATTTAGAATAACTCAATAACAATCTTTAATTATCAGTTTGATTAGATTTTGAAAAAAAAAAAAAAAGGGTTTACAAAAAATTTCTTAACTTGCAAGTACATACCAGAGATAATAAAACAAAAAAAATAGTCATCTTGTAAATATTTATAACCAAAATAAAGTAAATAGTAGTAACTGTAATTAACAAGTAAGAATGTCAAGATATTTAAGAAACTATCAATGAAGTGACATGCCAATAATTTTTTTTTTTTCCACTCTGATTTATGCTTTTAGAGTGTCACAAATTGATGAAAAGAGAATGTAATCAATATTAGAAATATAATAGTTTTATTTTATAATAATAGAAATAACATTAATGGTACAAGACATATAGCAACTGTCAATGCAATTGTATCAAATCCAATGAAGACGAAACTGGAGTAGAAGCTACTGGCCAAGTATCTTCATTATTTTTTTTGCAGTACCCAAATTGTTGGTCTTAAACACATTGGTCGCATGTAGTTACAAGAATGAATTGAGTTCACTTTTTGATAGCTTCAATGTAATTATAATAATGCCCAAACCATGGCTTTCGGAAAACAACCCCATTTTTATTTTTTTTTTTTTTAATAAAAATTTAAATTTAATAAACTGTGATTACCAAGTGAGAAAAAAAATAAAATTAATAGTTATATAAAATTGTAAAGTAGTGTGTGGTTATCAAAATGAAAATCTAAAGTCTATCGGGATAAGTTAAAATATCTCTCACATCTGAATAAGAGTAATATTCATCTTCATCCAGAGTTTTGACAACTATTTCATAGTTATGGTAAAATTCGTTGGTCAGGGTTGCAAGTAGTTCACCAGTAATTTCAAATTTTTCCAATCCCTGTTCTATCAAGCCTTGCAGTAATTCTTCAAATATAACAGTTAATGTAATATCACCAAGTGCCTCAGCAGCTACTGAAGCAGCAATTCCAACTGGAGAAAAAGTTCCAATTGAAAAAGCAGATAAAGCAATATGTCCCAGATGAAATGTTGTTAATGCAATTCTAGCATGACGCTTCTTTTTGAATGCCTTAAAAGCATTTTTTAGTTTGAAAGCACAGTGATTTTGCCATTGTTTTCCAGATAATTTTTCGGAATGATCAGAAATAAGTTTTGCACTATAACATTGTTTAGACCAAAATTTTAAATAATCGTAATCTGCAATTAATAATTCCTTCATTATTTGTTTGATGTAGATAAATGATTTAATTGAATTGTTTGTTATTGAGTTTTGAAATGAAAAAAAAAAAAAAAAAAAAAAAAAAAAAAGAAGCAGAAATAAAAGATTTTGGGTCCTTTATATATACAGAAATAGCAAGTATTTAGTATTCATGGAGCGATCTCATAGATTGTAGCACTTTTCAACCGATTAGTTTTTTTTTTTTTTTTTTTTTTAAAATGAAAAAGTTAATGTCCACTATATATTTCATCGTTAAATTTTCCGGTATCACCAATTCAAAAAAAAGAAAAAAAAAAAACTCAATTGGAGTTAAGATATCAAAAGCGACAATTAATACAATAAAAAATATTTGTTAAAAAATAGAATCACATTAAAAAAAAAAAAAAGTAGGAATAAATTCAATGCCTAAAAACTTGCTCATCATTTCATATATTCCTTTAATTATAATAGCTTTCTTAGAATCATATCAACGACTTCTTTTTTTTTATAAGCCTTAGAGAAGGGTGGAGCTTCCATTATATTTTTTCCTTCTTTTTATTTTCATCTTGTCTAATAAAAAATCAATTTCATAAGCTTCCACAATTCAGTTGGACATAATTTCTTTAGTTATACACCCGCTAATCTGTTAATTTTTTATTCCAATATAAATAAAAAAAAATTCCCAATGATGATGATACATAATTCACATGTTTAATTTTAATTTTTTTTTTTTTTTATGTTTAACTTTATCGTTATTTTTTTAAGGTAGAAACTCAATTTAACAAAATAAAAAATTAAAAGTTGTTGTTATTATCATGAATGATCATTCAATTTTAATTGGCTTAGATAATAACTTAGATAATAATCAATTTTTTAAAAAAATAAATTTCATCATTACATAATAATTATTAATTACAATATATTGTTGTAATATATATATATTACAAGTATATTTGTTACAAAACAATGTTTAATTGTAATATTTCTTTGTTTTATGTTTATTATGTTTTTTTTTTTTTTTGCAACGCCACCAAATTCTAAAATAAAATAAAATAAAAAATAAAATAAAATAAAAAAATTAAACCATTTTTATTGGTTTGTTATTTTGAATAAAATTTTTTTCCAGTACAAATTTTTTTTATTTTTTTTTATTTTTATTTTTTATTTTTTATTTTTGAAAACCATGTGGGTTATAAACAGCCTATTACTGCCTTTATTAAAAAAAATATATATAAAATAAAATAAAATAAAATAAAATTGTGTACCTTATGATTTGTATATATCAAACAATCAATCAATCAAATTAATTTTTTTTTTTTTAAGGTTATCGAGAAAAAAAAAATATATATATTAATTTGATTGTTTATAAAAAAAAAAAAAAAAAAAAAAAAACAATATATATTTATAATAATTATAATTATATAAGTAACTAACTCATCTCCAGCTTTTTTTTTTTTTTATTTTTAAAAAATAAATTAAAACGTTTTTTTTTTTTTTAAATAAAGAAAAAAGAAATAACTTCAAAATATATATAAGCTTATATAGAATTATTAGTGAAATTAAAAAAAAAAATAAAATATAAAAATACAAAATAAAAAATAATTTTTTTTAATAATAATAATAAAAAAAAAAAAAAAAAAAAAAAAAAGAAACGAATTTATATTTATAAAAAAAAAAAAAACTCGTCAAGATCTATTCAGATCTAAATTAAGCCGTTCCAAAGACTTTATTTTTTTTTAATTCTTTTTCATTTATTTTCGCATCTTGTTTCTTTTTTCTTTTTTAATAATTTTTTTTTTTGGCTTTACAAAAAAATCAAAAAAAAAAAAAATAAAATAAAACACCTTCTTCTTCTTATCCTTCTTTACACAAGTTTAGAAAATTTGCTCACTGAAGACAAATCCTGTGCATACATATCATCATGCCAAAATGATGATGGTACTGAAGACGACGTAGTCGATGCCGATGCCGCAGAAGCTCCAGCATTGGCTGCCGCTGCTGCTGCTGCCGCCGCCGCCGCCGCTGCTGCTGCTGCTGTAGTAGCCGACATTCCTGAAGAGTTTAAAAGACCAGAAGATGCTTGTGGAGGTGGTGGTGCCCCTCGATGAGAAAGAGACCCACTGCTATCTTCACCAAACTCTTGCTGGTAAGTCCGCTTGCGAGAATTGCCATTATTGTGAAGATTATATGGACTATTGGATCCATCTCCATGTCCATTATTTCCATCAATCCCATAAGGTTGCTGCTGCTGCTGCTGTTGTTGTTGTTGTTGTTGCGGTAGCGCACCATATCCCGCTGGAGTCGCCATCATAGACCCATTAGAACTTCCATCAGAACCATACAACATGTTTGCCGGCTTATATTGTTGTTGGCGGTGATGTTGTTGTTGTTGTTGTTGTTGTTGTTGTTGCGTAGCGTAGCCATATGGATCATTTGGTTGTGCTGGGGTTGGGACCCCGACAGAGCCCGGAGGCAATGCACCTGAGCTCATGGCACCTACTCCCGAAGGATTGGGTGTGAGAGGAAGTGCCGGTGAGCCAGTTGACGACGTGACTGCCGGACCCATTTGTGGCTGTTGTTGTTGTGGCTGCTGTTGATACTGCGAATACAAATATTGATTTTGTGAAAGAGGTGGTGCATATTGGTGGTGCTGTTGAGGTTGTTGTTGTTGTTGTTGCTGATGCTGCTGCTGCTGTTGCTGAGATAAATCAGACTGTGGGTCCGAGTAATACGCATTTTGCGGCATCCCCGTGGTAAAGTCTTGTTGTTGCTGTTGCTGTTGCTGTTGTTGTTGTTGGTCTTGTGTAGGAGTCACATTATTGCTGACCCCATTTGAATCCTTTTCACGCTCAATAGAGTCCTTGCGTTGATAAAAATCAACTCGTAGTTTGGCTAACCGCTTATCACGGAGCTCAACCTTTTTTAAAGCCTCCTTGGCATTTGTTAAATGTGCAAAGTACCCGGGGACTGTAAAGTTTTCAGGGAGCGGAGTAAACATATTGAGATTGAAACGTGCAAGAAACGCCTCATACTGTTCTCTCCAGTGTTCTTGGACAGTACGAATCGTAAAGAGCCTATCATCATTAGGAGGACCATTTTCAGAAGCTCCTGCTTCTGCCATAGCTGCTGCTAAAGCATCTTCAGTAGTAATGTTTTTAATAATCTGACCAGTGCTTGAGGGACCTCCAGTGATGCCACCACCGTTGCCATTAGGAGAGCCGCCGGAACCAGCCGGCAAGCGTTGAGGAGGAGAGTAGCTAGAAATATGTTCAAGCCAGGACACATCGCCGCATTCGAGGGCATACTGGTTACAAAGATGCCATGCATCATCTCGAAACTTTTTAATTTCCGAGATTGTTTTGAGCTCTCGCTTTTGGAGACGGCGTAAAATTCTGTCCTCCTTGTCATAATCGCCAATGAGGAGTTCAGGAATAATACTGATACCTTCATATGGTGGTAAAACAAACATATTTCCAGGAGTCATTTGCTGGTGATTGGTTTGTTGTTGTTGTTGTTGAGGCGGTGGTGGTGCTGCTTTTTGTTGTTGTTGTTGTTGTTGTGGTGGTGGTGGTAGTGCCTGTGAAGGCTGAGGATGTTGTAACAGCTGAGACTGTGGTGGCAATTGGTTGGGATGCCTAGAATATGGGTCCTGTTGGTAGTGGACGTGAGGCTGTTGCTGCTGTTGTTGTTGTTGTTGTTGTTGGTCTGCAGAACCCAAGGATTCTTGAATCCGCATGTCTGGGAGATTAAGAAGCGCGTTTATATTATTCATTCCAGGACCTGCTCGACTATTTTGTTGTTGTTGATTATGGTGATGATGTTGTTGCTGTTGTTGTTGTTGTTGATGATGAGTTATTGTAGGAGAGGTCAAAGGATTATTATTGGTAGTAGTGGAAGACATGACCGAAGAGGACGAAGTGGCTGTGTGTGGTTGAGCGTCAGTATAATATCCCGATTGTTGAGAAGAATGAGAAGCTAGTTGATGGGGTAGATGATGATGATGATGATGATTGGTTGATGAAGAACCCGAAGCAGAAGACACAGAAGATGGAGCAGCTGCAGATGAAGAAGAAGAAGATACAGCTGCAGATGAAAAAATACTTGAGGAGGATGAAGACGCGGTGGATGGGCTGCTGGTAGTACTGTTAATTAGATTATTAATACTACTAATTCCCCCAAGTCCAGTAGAAATTCCTTGAATCGAGCCTAAAGTTTCAAGTGCCGAGGAAGCAGATGGTTGTTGATGTTGTTGTTGTTGTTGGTTATGGTGAGAATTAAGATGATGATAAGAAGCGTAAGGGCTTTGGTTTGGATGTTGTTGTTGTTGTTGTTGTTTTTGTTGTTGTTGGCCTCCTGGAGAAGAAGACGAAGAAGACGAAGAAGAAATCGCGGTGGCGGCAGAAGAAGCAGTAGCAGATATTGAAGACAATGGAGAAGTTGAAGAAGAAGGGCCAGAGGAGACGCTCTGAGCGATAGATCCTTGAGGAGAGTTGAAGTAAAAGTTAGAGTTCATGAAATAGTCCAAAGCTGGGAGTTTGTTTGGATGGCCATTTAAAGTGAGATAGATAATTGGTTGATGATGATGATTTAGTATCTAATATAAATCTATCTATCTATCTATATATATATATCAATATTATGTTTAAAAATTAAAAAATAAAAAAATAAAAAAATAAAAAAATAAAAAAATAAAAAAATAAAAAAATAAAAAAAAATAAAAAAATAAAAAAAAATAAAATATAAAAAAATAAAAATAAAAACGAGGTTTCTTTCTTTTTTTTTTTTTTTTTTATTTTTTTATTTTTTTTGGTGTTATTTGGTGGAGAAAATAAAAAAAAAAAAAAAAAAAAAAAAAAAGAAGGTTAATATTTTTATGGTGGTGGTGAAAAAAAAAAAAAAAAAAAAATTAGTTTTAAAAAAGGAGAGAGAAAAAAAAAAAAAAAAAAAAAAAAGAAAATATAAAATAATCGATAATTTCTTTTTAACTTAAATATTATAATTATTATAATTAATTTATTATTATTATTATTATTAATTAATTATTATAATAATTTAAAAAAATTTATTTTTTTTTATTAAAATACTTTAAATGTTAAGGACCCCTCAAAAACTAAAAATGCCTTGTTGTTATGCAAAATAATAATTTCAAACGAATTTGGTGGTGGTAGTGAAAAAAAAAAAAAAAAAATTTATTTTAAAAAAGTAATGTTTATTTTTATTTTTTATTTTTTATTTTTATTTTATTTTTTATTTCTATTTTTTGTACTTTAAAAAAATAAAAAAATAAAAGATTAGTCAAATATTACATTATAAAAGTATATTTCATCATAACTATGTATATCCTATACTGAGGCTCATTATTGTAGAAATCAAAACAAAACCTTCAACAACAATATTTAGGTCTCCAGAAATATATAAAACCTCTAAAAATATATATAGATATACATGTATGCCAATGGAATTAAATAAAAAAAAATTACTAATAATACAATGTCTGTCTCTCTTTCCTTCCTTCCTTCCTTCCTTCTCTCTAAACTTGATTATCTCCTAAAGTATGACCCTCTCCTTTAAAAGAACCAGCAGTCGCTTCAATCGTACCACTTAATGGGACCACAGAAACAGGAATTGGCGACAAAATTCCACTGGACCCCGTCACAGGTGGTAACGATAAAGAACCTCCTGCATCAGCCACCGAAATTGATCCTGTTCGGACCGGCTCAGATCCACCCGAACGGATCGGGTTAAGACGAGGTAATGGCATAGATGGAAGATTAGCTGTAGGCCCACCAGAGGCTGCAGAAGATAAATTGGCCAGGGGGAGAAGACCACCACCAGGCTGAGTCGAACTTTTACGAAGTTCAATGGCCTCTGATTCACGAATATATTGGATCTGACTAGGAATTAAAGAAATGAGACGCGAAAGTTTGGATTCAATGAAAAGAACAACCTTTGATGGAGGATCAGTCATAAATCGAAGTTTACCCAAGGCCACTTAAAAAAAAAAAAAAAAAAAAAAACTATGTTAGTAAAAAAAAAAAAGCGCACATAATTTAAAATCATGATAGAAAGAAAAAAAAAAAAAAAAAAAAACATACACAGCCAGCCAGCAATTACTCCAAGAAAGTGGCCAATAATACTAGATCCAGGAACTAGAATTGCAGTAATCATGAGTAGCATAACAGGTTTAGCAATGGTTGGGATCCGGATCCGTTGGGAAATCGTCATGTAGGGTGTATGTTTTGATTCCTGATATGAAAAGTAAGCGAGGAAAGAAAAGACCCAAGCTGAAGAGCCCAGTACAGAGCTATTGGGGAAAAATACAAAGCTTAAAAGAACATATGCAACACCAGTTACAGTTCCAAGAGCATTAAGAACAATGCCAGTCCGTACTGTACCATTTTGAAGTTCAAATGCAGAGAGTAGTGGCAACAGCATCCACCCGTTCATTACAAGATGTAGCAGAGACAGGTGGAGCATTGGGTAGAAGGTAAGTCTGTTGACTAAGATCAAAGAAGAACAACAACAAAAAAAAATTATAAATGAATTAGCTTTGATATCAAATAACAAAAGATTCTTTTTAACTTACGCTCAAAGTTAGCAAAAGTACTTCGTTGAAGCTTTAATGAATCGTTAAACCCAGGAACAAATACTCCCACAAAAAACAAAATTGTCATGAATATCAAAAGCCCACCCGTCAGCGCAGGAGGAATAACCTTCAACGACGCCACCATCGAGTCAAGGGGATTCTTACGTGCAATCACCACCATCTCTTATCTTTTTTCGTCGTCTTTTTATTAAAAAAAATTATTTTTTTTTTGTCTTTCTGTTGATCTGTTTTTTGCTGGCTGCTTGTTGTAATGAGCTGGCAATAGGAATGTAAGGAGTATATATATATGTATAAACAAGAATGAGGGAGAAAAAAAAAATTAAACTGTCCATCACCAAAAAAAAAATTAAAATAAAATAAAAAATAAATAAATAAATGTTAAACAACCCTCCCCACAAACATAATATTCCTTACTCTTAAATAAACACAAAACATCATATGTACATTTTTTTATATATATAACTATATAATAACAACTTTTTTTTTTAAAAAAAAAAACTTGGACTTTTCTCATCCTCTACTTCTGTCCCTGCTGCTTCTGTTCCTCCTTAATCTTCTGCTCAGCTGCAAGAGCGGCAGCTTGGATCTCCTCAGGCTTGGGCAAACCCTCAGTCACAAGCTTGTTGAGTGTAAATCGCTGCTCGCTCAACATCTTCTGCTCATAAGCTTTTTCATCAGCCAACATCTTTTCACCCTTCTCAGCCAATTCATTTTGGATGAATTCATATCTCTTCTGGGCCTCCTGGCGAATGTAATCCTGAGGCATCATGGGTGCGGCCTGAGTAGGAGGCTTAATACCCAAAAATGCAGAAGCCCAATCGTTCTTTTGACGCTTCGCTTGCTCAGCATACCACTCATCCTCAAACTTCTTGCGCACAATGGATTCACGACGCTGGTACTCGTCAGGAATATACTTGTCTTCAAACGACTTGAGGATCGGGCGCACGTCCTTGATGGGTTGCGTGGCAAGCCACTCCAAAAATGGAATCAGCTTGATAAGTTCCTTGTCATCAGCATTGCCCTCCCAAGGCTTGAGAGGAATAGCATTCTCTGGCTGCAGAGCATACGAGTCCTCACGACAGTCAATCATAATCACCTTTCCCAAATCACGGTTCAAGAGAGAAAGATCCTTAATGATTTTGCCATTGCGGTAGGTAGTTCCCTCACGGTACAGTCTGTAGGTGATGTAAGCCTTGTACTTATCAATGCCTTCTACAACCTTTTCGGAATTAATCATGTAGTTGGATGAGAAAAGAACAATCTCATAGTATTGGCTAAGGTATCCCAAAAAGTAGTCGAGACCAGGACGTTTGGCTGTTCTCCAGCCGTACTGGCGTGACCATTCAGAGTGGACAAGAACATCATCCAAACCTAAAACAAGAGTCAAGGGAGGGGTGTATGGAGCTGGGAGGGGGTCCGGAAGAAGCTTATCAAACACAGGTTCGTTGAAGAACCCAAAAACACCACCCAAACGGGTCTTGAAACGAGCCCAGCACAGGTCTGCAGAGTATCCGTTAGGAACGTCCTTGTGTTTCAGCTCCTCTTCGGCATCGTCCCAGTCACGAGTAAGGTATATACTGCCACCCACAAGAGCTCCCAGAGATGCCAGGTAAAAGTAGTTGGAATGTTTTTCACGCTTCAAGTCAGTTGTAGTCTTGTTTGATGCTCGCTTGGCAGTATCCTTCCAGTGCTGTCGTTGTTCCTCAGATGTGTGGGGTGAAGAGTCGGATTCAGGGTCCTTTGTTTGACTGCTGGTGTTGCTGGTACTATTGCTGGATTCGGCCTTGCTGGAAGAATCAATGCCGGCTTTGGCCAGAATATCGTCGGAAAGAAGAGAATCCTTAGAGTCCTTGGAATAAAAGCGGACTGCTGCGGTCATTGTTGCTGGGCGAGCGGCGGTGACAGACAAACGAGCAGTTGCCGATGATCTGGCAGCAACCATGCGCGAAGTCTGTCCCAGAGATCTCAGCAATTGATTCATTTGAGATTTAGTTAAGAGATATTTATACTAAAAAAAATGAGGTGGTCCTTCCTTAAATGAATGGATGGATAATGAGGGTTTTGTTTTTTTTTCGTTTTTTTTTTTAGGTTGATGATAATGAGCAAAGTGAAAAGAGAGGGAAAAAAAAAAAACCTTTCTGTGGTGGTGGTGGTATTGCGAAAAAAAAAATAAAAAAATAACCGCTTTGGTTTCTAAAACTGGAATTAAGAAAATTTTAAACAAATAATTATTAATTATGTTGTGTTTAGTCATAATTAGTAATCTTTTATTCGGTCATTGCTCGGGTTCCGTTTTTTTTTTTTTGTTTATTTTTATTGTTTATTTTTGATTGATGATGATTTGAAATTTCTTAAAAAAAAAAAGGCCTAAATTTAGTCCTCCATACCACCCATCCAGACTTGATCCTGTTCTCAATTACAAATGGCCGTGACCAGGAAACAAACGCTCCGGTCTAAAAACGTTCCAGATCCAAATGAGCCTCCCCAGTCTTTATCAGAGTCCTCCAACGCTATTGTTAAGACCCGTAAACGGTCACTATCCCCTGATTCTTTTCATAATCAGTCAAATACTACTACTACTACTATTACTGTAGATACCCAAAAACGTAAACGAACGAGCAAAAAACAAGAAAATACTAAAAATGATATACAATCAAATACCACCCCAGAAAACCCCCAGACACGCAAGTATTGGCTCATGAAAGCAGAACCAGCAACGCGTCTAGTAAATGGACACGATGTCAAGTTTAGCATTGATGATCTTGCGTCTTGCTTAGAATCAGATTGGGATGGGGTCCGTAACCACGAAGCCAAAAATAACATGATGGCAATGCGGAACGGTGATTTAGCATTATTCTATCATTCAAATGCCCCTAAAACCCGCCCAGATTTGGGGCCTGGAATTGCAGGTGTGATGGAGATTGTGAACGATGAACCTGTGGTGGATTACACGGCGTTTGATAAAACACATCCGTACTACGATCCAAAATCCCAAAAAGAAACACCAAAATGGTTCATGGCCCGTGTCCGGTTTGTACGCAAAATGAAACATGTTATCCCGCTGCATGAAATTAAACGGTTGGTTAACCAAGAACAGGTAAAGCAATTGCAAAACTTTGCGTTGGTCAAAAGATCACGCCTAAGTGTGGTTCCTGTCACAAAGCCCGAATGGGATTATATTATGAGTATAGAAGAAAAACAACAAGATTGATAATGTTGAATCTTTTTTTTTTTTTGGTCCCTAAACATGGGAGCTAATGGGGTCCTTGACAATAAGCGACTCAGGTGCTCTCTGGGCCCATTCCCTAAACATTGAATGTTAGCAAACAAGTTGAAAAAAAAAAAATTTTTGTTCTTTAATACTCACGTCCAAGAACCATCGTAAACTCGCACTGGAGCATCTTCTGGAACCAATTCCGCAATACGAAGTGCTCGTTCGAGTGCACAAGCTGTAACTCCAGTTCCGCACATGACCACCAGTTGTTTTCTGGTACCTCGTTTGCCCTCTTTTGTGATTTCCGGTGTAACACCGCGTGCAGCAAACACCGTACGCAAGGCGTCCCGGTCCTTAAACCGGTTACCGTGGTCTGCATCCACTACCTCAGAAAATGGTACAGATTGGGCACCTGGAACATGGCCGGACGATAGGCCCTCGCGTGGTTCAGGGGAAGCCCCTGTAAACCGGCCAGTGGGTCTGGCATCCAAGATAATGTGATTGGCGAGCTTGGCGGGGTTGGTCACAATGTCACGGAGTTCTTCAAACGACAGTACGCGACGTGCATCAAGACTCAAAGACTCAAAAGTGGTAGCAGTAGTAGCTGAAGAAGAAGAAGAAGAAGATGATGATGATGATGATGATGATGATGATGATGATGATGATGATGATGCAGAGTATGCAGCAGCAAGACTTGGGTAAGAAGTAGTGTCAATGGCATCAGTCCCGTACTGGGCTGTGTACTCGGGGAAAGTATCGAGAAGAAAAGTGCTTGGGTGGTTAAACAGTTCGAGCATCCAGGCCATTCGTGGGGCAGAGAAGTTACCCACAACGTCGTAAACCACAACCGTGTCCTAAATGAGATAGCAATATTTGTGTTTAGTATTTATATATAGATTTTTTTTTTTTTGCCAATTGGTCAATTGATTTTAGTATGACTTGTAAAGGAACTCACGTTGCGAGTAATGCCCAGTGGAGCTTTAATATAAGATGGTTAGTTTTGTTTAAAAAAAAAAAAAAAAAAAAAAAAAACATTCAATCAAGGTTCCTTCACTCACCAATTTCTTGATTAAACACTGCAGCGGTTGGCAGCATATGCGGGTACGGTGATGTTTTATCTTTGATTGCATCAATGTCTGCAAACCGTGTCACAGCAAAAGCCCCGGCCTCCACGGCCTCTTTGGGGAGCTTGATACGGGATGTCAAAAAGTCAGACTCGCCGCTACGTGGGACATTTGGAAGGTACCAAGAAGCATCAAGGAAAACAAGGCGGGAAGAACCTGAAATAGCTTTGGCGAGTGGAACAAGTTGAGCTGCAGAAACAAGGCGGGTAGGAGAGCGGAAAAGTTGGTCGCGGATAGACATTTTGTGAGTGGTTGAAAAAGTTGAGTTTGGTGGTTAGGAGGAAAAAAGGAAATAAAATAAAAATAAAAAAAATAAAAAAAATTACAAGTCAACCTTGTGAAATATACAGTTTTATTATTATATATACACAAAAAAGCCACAAAGAAAATACAAGATATAATTATTAAATAGGGATATTTTTATATATATATTTTTTTCACAGAAAAAATATAGAAAAAACGAATTAAAAAGAAAAAAAAAATACATACTATAAAAGAAAAAAAAAATGAAGAATAATAAAAACAAGTTTAAGGTGGAGAGAAAAAAATGCATATGATGACCATATATGCTACTGATGATTGTAACCCAACAGTAAAAACATAAAGGCAGAACAAAAAAAAAAAGTCTATCGAGAAGGAATAGTGATGTTTATAAGACAATCAGCGGTAAAGTATTTTTTTTTCTTGTCGTACGTTGGTTATAATTTATACCAAGTTTTTTGTTTCTTTTTTTTTATTCTTTTATTTTTTTTTAATACCGCTCGCCAGTCATCAAAGGTTCCGACTCAGGAGTCCCTGCTGTTCTGTACGATAACGTCTCGCGGTGTGGAATCTCTGGCCGTGGCACTTCAACATTAGCCTGGCTTGCATGACGAAGAGTCGCCGGCACAGTTCCTGCTGCTGAGTTCACGTCATTTTGATCTGTTTGAGCCGTTGTATTATTGACCGTGACTTTAGGTACCGCTGGGTCTGGCTTGCGTTCTTGGATCGTCGATTTCATAAAGTTGTAGAACCGCGAGCCGTACTCCACCGCTGGAATTGCAGAAATGGTGATGCGTTCGTGAGAAAGCCCCTTAACAAACGTCTCCACTCGCTTCACAAATGTATACGGGGTCAAGCAGTCAATCACGCCTAAAAAGTAAATCTCCGAAAGAGGCTGGTTATTGTCGTCAGTCGACTGGAATCCGCCTTGATCAGCATAGAAAACTAAGTTGCGATTTCCATATCGGAAATCCTCAATGTCAAGGGCATTCATGGCCGTTGGACTCGCCATTGTGACAGCTTTGCGCAACTCGCCTGGCTTGGGATTCTCACCATGGGCAGGCTCCACAACGTAAACGCTTTGGCGCATGGGCGCTGTTTTGTTGAGGTCATGGATACCAATGAGCAAAGAATAGTCCATAATGTTTAGACGCTTAAGAAGCTCCACGTCGCGTTCCAATTGTTCTAAAAATAAACGCGTTTTCTGGGGCCCTAGAATCAAGTGCTCGTTATTGCTCTTCCAGTTGAGATCCTTCTTAACTGCAGTCGAATGATTAGGATCCTCACCAGGTTTGAAAACATGCTCACGGCCTAAGGACGAACCCTTCAAATCATATGTGCGGCACATATCATAATATGGTGGGAACAAATTGTTCATGACAATAAAGTGGACTTTTTTACCCCATGGTAGCTTGACTCTATGCAGCCCATAAAACTGGGATATTAAAGTGTTTGGATTATTCTTAATATGGTTGTAGTACTCCTTAAGAATCTTGCGCAACATTCGATGTTCGGAATGGTGGATTGTCTTAATGATGAAGCGGAAATCGCGTGAAAAGTAAAAAAATGATCCAGACTTGCCTGGAGAACTAAGCTCCGACAAAATGTACTTGCTAGTAAGCGACATGAGGTAGTCAGCCGGGTCGAGCTTAAACAGTGCGCGCAAATGACGGAAAACCCAAGGCGAGTAATCCTTAAATTTGAACTCGTACTTGGACGAGGGGATAAGCTCATTGCCAGCAACGTCAAAAGCTAATTTCTGCCGCGCTTTAAAGTCCTTTTCAGTCAGTTCACGATCCACCTTGGCATTGCAGCGAGAGACAGAAACACGGATGCCTGTGAGCATGTAATATGCAGTTGTGTAGTTTTGGTGACCCTCAGACACCTTTTTACCCACAAGCACTCGGTCGTCCTCCTCGAATTCTTGTCGCCGACGTTTAAGCTCCCGCATGGCCTTGACCTGCTCGCGGTAGTAGTCGGTGCGTTCTTCTGCAGATGCAGACGCAATGCTCTGAGGTTGTAGACTCCGTCGACGCATAAACGTCATAGAATTTGTACGCTGGGAACCAGTAGCGCGGACGTCCGGTAAGTCAGTATTTGTGGATGTACGAGAGCTCGAAGATTGCGGAGCAATGACAGGAGTATTCCGTCTAATCACGGGAGAAGAAACTTGTTTAGCTGGATCTCTTTCAGCATCATCTGGTCTTGACTCGGAAGAGTAAGTTAATGGAGAGTGTGCCGTAGGGAGGTATTGCTGTCGAGGAATTGATGGAGGGGCATTTTGTGGTTGCGGGGGTGGAGGGGCTGGATGTGATGGTTGAGATGTAGCTATGGTAGCAGGTAGGTTAGCAGCAGAATTAGGGAAAGGTGCTGTATGGAACGAAAGATTAGACTCGTTTGCAGTTGTATAGCCAAGGTCCTGTGAAATGAAGCTTGAATTATTTGGGGGGTGGTCAATGGCCATACCGAGAAGTTCATTTGGGTTAGCAGAAGAGTGGATAGGCTCATTGTGAAGACTTGGTGGTTTTGAGCGAGGCCTGCTGAAGCTTTTTGAAAAGGATGAGGTGGAAGCCTTGTGGTTGAGAGAGATGGAATTTGAAGAGTTTGAGACAAGAGAAGCGCATGACTTGCGGTTTTTTAGAACGTGGCCGGGTTCATCTGGTAGGGGGAAGTTTGTTTCTGCAGTGGTAGCAATTGCAGTGTTAGGACCAATAGAAGGATTGTCCAGAGGACTTTGCTGGACTGGAAAGCTATAAGTAGCGGTTGTTGCAGAGTTTGAAGCTGTGACATCATTTTGAGAAAAAGGGGGAAAGGAGGGGGATGTTGTTGATATTGTTGTTGCAGCTGTTACTGCTGCTGCAGAATGTTGTTGTTGTTGTTGGTTTTGAGAAAATGACGAAGATGAAGATGAAGATAATGCGTGGGAATCTTCATGGATAGCGGATGAAATGGGGGATTCTGGAGTAGAGGGAGAGAATGAAAAAGAGTCATTGTTTGAAGAAGAGCCTGCGGTTGTTGTTGAGTTTGAATTTCCTGGTGAAACCAAGGCTGCAGATGGGGAAGATGATGAGGATAAAGAGGAGATAGGAGGATGAGGTGAGGGAGAAATAATAGCTCCGTTTGACGGGATAATTATTGGTGCAGTTAGAGTGGGGCCAGTTTTTGTATCGTCAAAGACCTCATAGAGGTGTTTCTCCGAGTAAACCTCAACGTAAGTTTGAGTTGAAGCTTGTGGCTGTGATTGTGATTGTGATCGTGATTGTGAAGGCGGCGGCGGCGGCGGCGCTGGGTGTAAGGGCTGTGTGAGGTATGGTGTGCTGTTTGATTGTTGTTGTTGTTGTGAGTTTTCAGGTTTATTACCAAGGTAGGGGGGGGTAGTACTACCGTTGGTAAAAGAGCCGGCGCCAGCACTAGCAGAATTCTTATTTGAACCAGAAGCTGCTGTTGCGGCTGCTGCTGCGGCTGCTGCTGCTGCTTGGGGAGAAGAAGAGGAAGAAGAAGAACTGACTTCGGCTAGCAAGTCCGGGACATAGTCAAAGGAAGTTGCGACCGAGGACATGGAACGGAACGACGAGTTTGTAAAGCGGTTAGTAATTTCGTCGTCGCTGGTTGAAGGGTTTCTACTAATTGAATGGGAAACGGAAGACCGGGTACTATTAACTTTGGAGATGGCAGCTGGTGTGTTGGTAGTAGTTGATGTTGTTATTGTGGATAAGCTAGCAGGATTATAATCCTGAGATAGAACGTTAGAAGGCTGCTGCTGTTGCTTCTGCTGCTGCTGCACAGAAGTACGTCTGAAGGTGGTGTCTGTCAAAGACGAAAAAGAATGTTGTTGTTGTTGTTTAATACCAAGAGCAGCTGGGGTCTCTAAAGGGTTGATTGAAACTTTGTAAGATGAGGTTGAAGACAGCGACGAATTTGAAGAAGAAGAAGAAGAATAAGAGACAGTTTGTTGTTGTTGTTGTTGTAGTTGTGTGTTATGGATTTGGTTGTGATGGTGGTGGTGGTGGTGGTGCTGCTGCTGCTGCTGAAGCTGTAATTGTTGTTGTTGATGTTGTAATAAAGGAGACCGTTTTGTTGTTGTTGTTGTTGCTTGGCTTGAAGAGGAGGAGGAAGAAGAGGAGGAGAGAGGTTTCGTAACACTGAGGACTGGAATGTAGGCAGGGCTGTTGCGGCTAACGTTGACAGTTGTTGTTAAAGGGTTACTACTACTAATACCACCACCAACGATATTATTATTATTATTATTATTTTGATCAACAAGAAACAAATGCTGATTTATAAGTTCCTCTTGGTCCTTTTCAGATAACAGTGAAGTAGTTTGTGGATACAAATTGGAATATGGTTGCTGCTGCTGCTGATGCTGATGCTGATGCTGAGGACCTCTTTTTATAAACGATGATGCAAGTGCTTGAGGTTCGTCTTGTCTTGAACGAGAGGAAGTAGAATTATTTGTCACTGGTGAAGATGAAGAAGAAACAGCGCTGGGAGGAGACGGAGCTGACGTGTTTGTGGTATTACTGGAAGATGTGGCAGATGCCGAAGATTGGGAAGATGCGCTGCTAGAGCTGCGAGTAGAACTACTGCTGCTACTACTGCTTCGGGGATTGGAGGAAGATGAAGAGCGGCAGTTGTTGTTGTTGTTGTTGTTGTCACCAACAATGGGGGCCAAAGTTCTAAGAGAAGATGGAGGTGGATTCAAAACAGACAACTTTTTTATTTGACTTGAAGATATCTGGTGATCCTTTATATCGATGATGGGGGTAGCAGCAGCGGTAGTATTGCTTGAATCATTCAAAACTGGAGGACGAGAAAGTTTACGCTGAGACTCAGAAGCAATGACAAAACCTTCAGACATTTCGTAAAGCCAGGCTGAGGTAAGTGATTATACTGGGAGTCAACAACAAGAAAATATAAAGTGTATATGAATGAATAGAAGATTCGTTTTCTATCTGAATTTTATTTGTTTAACAATGTTTAAAGTGGTGGTTGTGGTTGTGGTTAAAGTATTAGAATCAAAATAATGAAAAAAAAAAAAGAAGAGCGGGAAATAAAGCACTCTAAAAAAGCATTTAGCAATAGTAAGTTAAGACTGTAAGATAAAGAGATCTTTTTTTTAAAAAATAACCACTAATAGATTTATAAAATATATATATATATATTGGCTGTAGATTGTTGATAAATATATATATATATATATATATATTAAAAAAGTGGTGATAATTTTAAACGTGATGATGGTGGTGGCGGTGGTAGTGAAAAAAAAAAAAAAAAAAATGGAGGGAAAAACACAAAGCCGCCTATTATCTTAGAGGGTGAAAGCCCTTTTTTTTTTTAAATTTCTTCCCTTTTTAAAAAAAATAAAATAAAATAAAAATTAGAAAATAGACAAGCACCTTAAATTATTGTAATATAAGTTGTAACATAATAAACAATGGATTATGTCATTACATTTATAAATGGTACGTAGTTGGAGTTTTTTTTTTTTTTTCACAACATATATATATACAAATAATAATAATAATAATAATAAACAAGCTGGTTTAAACTACCCGACCCGAAAAGAAGTTTTAGATAATTTATTATCATAATAATGTGAAATAAAATCACTATAAAGAGATTTTTTCATTAATGCAAAAAAAAAAAAGTAAATCATTTTCACAATAATATAAATATATATTACATTGATGATTTTCTCAAAACTAAAATATCACTTTAAATTCTATATATATATATATATATAAAGATCTTCTTTAAATGTTGAAGTATGTTTTGATTGCTGGTCCCCTTTTTAGTTCTGTTCTATATATATGAAAAACAAAAACAATTCATGTTGCCCCAGTTACAAAAACAAAAACTTTCTTCTTTTTTTTTCTGCCCGAATGAAAAGTATAAACGGAATCCAGTTTTTGTGTTTTGTGTTTTGTTTTTCAATCTACATTCTTACAATTTTATTTTTGACCATTAAAAATCTCTTCATTCTTGAGGGAAAACTAAAATAAAAAAATAAAAAAAAACATTGGTGGTATGGTGATGGCTTATTCTTAACCTTCTCTAAGTTTATCCGTATATCTCCACCCTTTAAATGATTTTTGTAAGAAGTGGAAGAGAAGAAGAAAGAAAAAAATAAAGCAAGGGAAGATGAAAACAAAATTACCGGAGATTGACCAAAGATCGGCAAGTTGTGTTTTTTTTTTTTTTTGCGTGATTTATATATTTATCAACAAAATGTTTCGTCAAGTTTTCACTATTCATGAGTATTATATATATAGACATTTATTTTAAAGTTTCTAGAATGAAAAAATTTCAAAAAAAAAAAATTTTGGCTTTTACGTTTGACGAAATAGAGAGAAAGAAGAAAACTAAAAAAAAATAAAAATAAAAATAAAAATAAAAAAATAGAAAAGGAAAGAGCTGAATTAATTAAAAAAAAGAATCACCTTTAATTAAAATGAAAAAAAAAACCTCTAGTATTAGATTTATAAAAAAATCACTCTTCTTATATTATTTCATCTAAAATAACCTCACAGTCTATCATAATTATTTTTTTTATTCTTTTTTTGCTAGGACAATAGTCCATTTTATACTTTTTGCTCATCACCATGACAAGTTCTCTAATTCTCTAATTATCTTTCTAGTCATTCATTACATAAAACATTAAAACATTTATTATAGGTTTCATTCAATGTTCTCCTTTTAATCTCCTAAAAAAAAACTCCCATGGAATATTTGAATTGAGTTTTTTTTTTTTCTTCTTCTTTCTTCTTTCTTTCTTTGTTTGTTTTGTCTTATCTTTATATAAATATTACAAGACATTAACTCCGATTATTCATTATGAATAAGTCTAGTTTAGAGACACCAAAAAAAAAAAAAATTTCGTTTTATAATTGTGTGCCGGCTAGATAGCCTAATAAGAATGTTTTTGAATAGTTTAATTTAGTAACAGTTTTATTAACTTATTCTTTATGACTTAAAATCCCAATCAAATGGTTGAAAAATGATTAAAAATGGTTAAAAGACCAATAGAAGGTTTTTGATAATATTCGTTTCATATTTATATGTTTATAATTAAACGACTTTGTACGATAACTATTGTGTAAATAATGACTAGAAAGGTTTTTGTTTTTTGTTTTTGTTCAATGCAATTTTTATATTTTTTTTTTTAATATTTCAACCATTTTTTGATTTCCCATATGACAGTTGTTTATTAAAGTTGTCTATTAAAATAATGTAAAAAGGGGAAAACATACAATGATAAATTAGCTCCCATAAATGAGTGAGTTTTTTTTAACTCTAGTTTGCTTTACATTAAAAATGATGTATGAGATAAAAAGTTCAATTATGAATATATATATATTTTTATTCAACAGTTATAATTATATAACATCAGCATCACTGCTATCATTTTCGTTCTTACTATGTCTATTTATCTTTTCGTTTTCACAATAAACCTTTCATTTTGACTTCAACTTTGCATTTCCAACAGCTCCAAAATCAGTTGTAATTTTAAATTATAAAAAAAAAAAACCTAGAATAAATTTTTTAAACTTATCTCAACTAAAAATTTGTTTGTTTGTTTTTATTTAAGAGTTTATTTCAATTAAAAATTGTTTGTTTGTTTGTTTTTATTCAAGGGTTATAGAATTATATATTTCAACTAAAAATGTTTGTTTGTTTGTTTTTATTCAAGGGTTATAGAACTATATAACATCAGTATCTGGGCTATCCTTTTTTTTTTTATTGTCTGACTATGTGACTTGCCGGTTTTCATTTTTACCTTTTTAGTACGGGTGGTTTCTGTTCTGTGCGTCTCCTGTAGCCCGGAAGATGGGCCCTGATGCCAGCTTACGAGGAACAGGGAGAACCAGTCTGTCGGTCCCAAAACCTTCCCAACCCATTTCCACTTATCTTCACGGACGCCCGTGTATTTCTTAATCTCTTCCGTCAGAGATACGGCCCGCAATCACCTGCAGGTTATTTTGACTGTACGGAAGAGTCGGCATTCCTGTAACCAGGGTAGCCTGTGGTTTTTTCAGTCTAGGTGTATACTCCCGTACACATTCTCAAAAAAAAGGGGGCTTTCCCTGACCTAAATTTCTACTTATTAATAAAATATTATAAATGAACCATATATACTTTTGAAAATTTATTTTTTTAAGTATTACCGATTTATTGCCTTGCTAGCTCAATCGGTAGAGCGTGAGACTCTTAATTACTAAGTTATCTCAAGGTTGGGGGTTCGAGCCCCCCGTAGGGCTTAATTTTTTTGGGGGTACTTTATAAATGCATCTATATATATATTTGTAGTAATTTAATTTTCTTTTTTTTCTTTTAATGCATTAGACCTTTTTGTAATTTTTTATTATTTAATTTTTTTTTTTTTAATAGTGTTGATATTTTAAAGAAGCTTTGAAAATTGAAAAAAAAAAAAAAAAAAAAAAAAGACAAGAATATACGTTATTGAGAATAAAAATTGTGTAAAACTCCGATGAAAAGTTATTGTTTGAACCAAAAATTAAAAATTAAAAATCAACACTAAAAAAAAAAAAAAAAAAAAAAAAATACGGATAAAGAATGTGCATAATTTCTTTGCGTCTTTTTCTAATTAAATTTTGTCATTTCCTCCCCTACTATTTTCTATCATAAATATAATCTTGTAGTCTTGATTATGTCTGAATTAACCAAAAAAAAAAAAAAAAAAAAACTAAAATACAAAAATTTTTTTTTTTTCTGCTTGACTTGGAAAATTTCCATTTTTTATTTTTATTTTTTTTTTATTTTTAAATATATAAAAAAAAAATAGAAATTTATAATAAAAAAAAATCTTGAATATATATATTCTCTAAAATATTTCTACAATCATTTTTAGTATATTTATAAAAAAAAATTATTTTTTTCATTTAGAAATAATAAAGATCATAATCATCAGACCTTTTTATTTAATTTCATTCAATTCAAATCATATTTAAATCTTGAATAATCCGGCCATGTTTTTTTTGTTAAAATATTAATTATGAATATACATTAAATTATCTGGAGGAAAGGACGGAAAATAAACAAAGTATCAAAACAGAGGGATAAAAATAAAAATAAACATACTTGACGGAATAATGAATTTTAAAATATTTGAAATAATGAAATAATGATGATCCTGCAAAGATTTTCCAAAAATAGAACAACATATTAATGGCGGGGGAAGAAAAAAAGGGTTTTTATTTTTTTATTTCTCCATGAAATAAACTCTTTCCTCTCCTTTCTTTTAAATTATTTTGACAAATTTGACTACACAGCCAATTTAAATTTATTTTTTTTTTCAATGAATTTTAGTATTAAAATAGAAATTTATGGATGAAAGATATAAAAAAATTTTTTTTTTTCAATACTTAACCAAAATGTGCTATTAATATATATATATATATATATATATATATTGATGATACGTACTTGGCGTAAACGTATATATATATATATGACCATAATATGAGTGAATAGAATACGTTTGAAAAAGGAAAGGGAGAAGAAAAAAAAATGGTGGCTCAGTCAGTCAAGACAAGATCTTTCAATAAAAAAAATAAAAAAAATAAAATAAAAGCTGGTGTGATTATTATTATTATTATTATTATTATTATTATTATTATTATTATTATTATTATTATTATTCATAGCAATGCATTTTACTTATAAGTAAGCAAGATGGAAAAATAGTGGCAAAACCAGTTGCACTGGTGATTTTTTTTTTTTTTTTGAGTATATATATTAAGAATCAAAAATGATAAGTAACTTAGTTACTTAGTTATTAATATATAGTATTTAGATGTGTATATCTTAGTATTTCTTTGGTAGAACATCAAGTATATATTCATTGTAGTAGGATTTCTTTTAAAGTTGGTCAGCTTAGATTTCTTATTTTATTGCTTGAATAAATACAAGAGTGGTAGGTATCGAGTACAATTTTTTTTTTTAATTTTTTAATCCGAGGATAGTTTTTTTTTTTTTTGATTTTAATATTTTTATATTACATTTGCCCCACACAACTACTAAAAAAAAAAAAAATAGAGCATTTTTATCCCCACCTCATTTTAGTTTAAAGAGAAAATGGTTTTTTTTTTCCCATAATTGTTTTAAAGACAACATTTAAACATTTTCTAATACCTTACTAATGTTTGTTTAAATAGTGCGTGCTACTATTATATATATATATATTTAATATTTTATCGCTAAACATCCCCATGTATCTCTCAATTCGAATGTTCCGCCACAAAATAAAAAAAAAATAAATAAATAAAAATCTAAGCTTATAATAATGCATTAGCAGAAGCAGCAGAAGCAGCAGAAGCAGCAGAAGCAGCAGAAGCAGCAGAAGCAGCAGCAGCAATAACATCAACAGCCACAATAAAGACAAGGGTGTGTAAGAGATTTTTATTTTATTTTTATTTTAAAGCAGTGTGGAGAAATTTTTTTTTTCTAATTGATTAAGTGTGATTTGAGAATGTTTACTGATAGTCAACCTTCTCAGTGCCAATTGCCAAGCCGATAACGTTGGTATGTTCATAATAGTGTATTGTGGTATATACTTGGGGGGAGGGGGGTATGCAGCAGCAATATCAGCAACACCATTAGCAGTGTTGCAACACATACCGGCAATGAAATCAAGAATCTAGGTTTTTTTTTTTTTTTTTTTTTTAAAAAAAAACGAGTATCTACGACCAAAAAAAGAATTGAAAAGTTTAAAACTTGAAAATTCAAAATTTGAAATTCAAAAACTAAGGGGAGGGGAAAGGGTTTCTATTTAATTTTTTTTTTTTTTAAAGAGAAAAGATTTTATTCGTAATGACCGTATGGGAAAAGATTTGGAGATGATCAAGATAACGTTGGGATTAAAGAGATTTTTAAAGGAAAATAAAAAATAATAAAGAAAAAACAAAAAACAAAATCTTTCCAAAGTGGGGGAGGTTTTCAAAGTTTTTTTTTTTTTTTAATATTTTTAAAATAAAAAAAAAAAATAATTCTAATAATTAAAAATGGAAAAAAAAAGTATTAATGTTGAAAACCCATCGTTATCGCTATTGTCGATATCTGAAAATAAAAAACTCAAAGATTATGGTTGGATAAGAATTCAATTGTTGAAATTAAAAACGAGAAAACACGAAGAAGGCAAGTTTTGAAAATTTATATTATTTTATTTTATTTTATATTTTTTCAAAATGAATCACCACCGACTTTAATGCGCACCGATCTTTGCTCCGTCACAGTCCGCAACAGCCGTATTGACACTACATGGTTACAAAAAATTAGTTACAAATTCTTTTGAGCCGCATTTGGTAGTGAGGATTTTGTCTTTAAAAAGTAAAAAAAAAAAAGTTGTTGCAGCAGCAGCAGCAGCAGTAATAGTAGAAGTAGCACACCAAAAAAAAAAAATTGAAATAAAAAAAAAAAAAGAAAAGATGGATAAGCCAAAATGCGCATTTCTAAAAACGTTTATGTGCGTTAGTTAAAAAAAAAAATAAAATAAAAATAATTGAAAAAAAAAGAAAAACCTATAAAAATCAAAAAAGTGTAAAAATATCCATTTTGGGAAATGTGCATGCATATGCCGACGTAAGCCTTGCAATGGGAAGAAAAAATAAAAAAAAAATATTAACAAAAAATTTTGTAGACACACACACATACAAAATCTTAGCAGTTGAGGATTGAGCCTCAGTTGGAATTTCAAGCTAAAAACTAAAACCAACCAAAATGGTCCAAACCAGGCCCGCATATAAATATATATATATATATGGTAATAGTGGTGATGGTTAAGATGATAATGATAGTGGTAGTGATAGTGATAGTATATTAGAAGTGGTGTGGCATTTTATAATTTTTGTGGAGAAACAACGTGAAATGAGGATATGTATATCTAAATGAAAAATAAAATTATTAATGAAAAAAAAAAATAAATAAATAAAAAAACAAAAAAAAAAAGCAGCTGATTGAAATAATGATGAAAAAAATAAATAAATTAAAAGCTTTGAAATTAAAATCAAAACTTGAAAAAAAAAAATCCATTTAAATATCATGAAGGACATTAATCTTTAAAGTCTGAAATAAATAAATAAATAAATAAAAAAATAAAAAAAGGAGAAGTCATCCTGTATGTTTGTTTGCACATTCTTAAGAATCTCTTCTCTCTAATGTTTTTTTATATATATATATTTTTTTTAATCCTTTAATACTTTAATGCACTTTAATGCTGACAATTAATAATAAAAAAATAATGGATATTTCTTTTTTATTTTCATTTTAATAATTCATTAACACACAAACACTTTTTTTCCATATATATATATATATATATTTTATTTTTATCAACATAATAAAAATCTTTAACATAAATCTCTATTATGGCTAATACAACAACAACAACAAAAAACTCCTCCCTCTTCCTCTTCCCCCATAAACACACACACACACTCTCTCTCTCTCTCTCTTAGACTTTTATATAAATACTTTGCCATTTCCCACTTCCTTTAAACCTTTTTTTTTTATTTTTTTTACTTCTTCTTATTTCTACTTTTTAATTTTTTAATTTTTTTTTCTCTCTCTCTCTCTCCATCTATACAAAAAAATAATTACTTACATACTCTTCATTTAATACTCTATTTAACTTATCTTCCATTTCTTCATAATGTGCATATATCTCAATTACAAGTATCCATGTGGCCATAAACATACCGTCATTGTCAACCGCTGCGAATATGGATCTGCAGGACTCGTTGATCACTGCGTTCCTGAAATCATTTCTCACAAGTACGAATTCAACTGCGGCCAATGTACTCCTACAACTCATAGCTCTCTCTCAGCAAACAAACCTCGACCTCCAGTAATCAATACTGCAGTTGCCAATTCTATAACAACAAACCCTGCTTCTGCAGGCTCATCTCCAATCACTCCAAGATCATCTACAGCTTCATCCATGGCTCCTCCTACTCCACCCCCCTCGTCTCCAATTATCTTTTCTACTCACTACAGACCTCGACGATAGAATTTTGTTTACAAAAATTAAATGAAAATTTACTAAAAGATGCTAGAATCTAAGGCGACCTTACACAGAAGGAGGAGATGTTGAGCCTATCAACATTATTATTATTATTATTATTTTTTTTTGTCAAACACTAGAGAGTTTCACCACTTGTGCATTATAACGAGAGATTAAATATCCACTGACAAGAAAAACAAAAATTCTCCAGAATTTGTTGCAAAAAAAAAATAAAAAAAATTAATCACGGATTCATTCATTTATTCACCGACAAACAATTCTACACCTGTCCAGCAAGTTCTTGCCAACCACTGCCCGCCTTGATGAATACATATAATTTTTTAAACTTTGGAGTCGTTTCGAAAACTTTACACTCTTTAATAATAACACCTGGGCAAAGAAAAACAATCATTATCAGTTGTTACTTTGTTATCCCGGGTTTTCACTCCACTCCATTTACCCGCCAATGGAAAATGATGCGGCATGTCTTAGATGCTCATTATTTTTTTTTATTTAATTTTTTTTTTTTTTTTTGGTCCGAAATGTCTTGAATGACGTCTTTTATCCATAAGAAGCTTCCGGCTTTTTACGCCGTTGAAGCTATGCAAAAAAGGATAAGAGAAAGAAGAAGAAAAAAAACTGGAAGAGGAGTAGAGTTTTTTTTTTTTTCTTTTGAGTCTTCTAGGCTTTAAATGGGAATTGTCTCTGTGTTTTTGATAGAGATTGCCGCTAAGGACTAGTTGGCGCGCAACCTATAATGCACCTGCGCAATCACAAGCGCCAAACTGCTCCTTATACTTGAAAAAAAATAAAGAAGAGAATGAAGAGAAAAAAAAAACAATTCATCTAAATTTAACAACATGGCATTAATTTTTTTTTTTTTCAAATTTTTTACAAATCGGGTATCTTTTTTTGCATATTACTTTTTTTTTTTTATTTTGCTCAAACGACAAGGATGATGATGATGATGATAATAACGACTGTGATGACTTTATTTTATTTATTTATTTTGGCCAAAGAGCTTTTTAATACTTTCCTTAATGTTTTTTATTTATTTCTTCTCTTACTATGTTTTTAATATTTGTTTTTTTATTTTTTTTGATAGACTATAATAACCTTAATTTAATAATGACCTATGATTATGATGATGATTCAAAACTTGATTATTCATTGAAAAAAAAAACGATGATGAAATAAAACTTTATATAAGAAAAAAAAAAGACTTTATCCAATTTTAACATTAACGGTTTTTTTTTTTTTTTTTTTTTTTAAAAAAAAAAAGATCAAATATAAACCCCATTGCTATTTCACAAAATTTAAAAAGAAAATAAAATAAAAAAAACAAAATTGATATTTTTAAAGCCTCGAGAATAAAGAAATTTATTTCTTTTTAATTAAATTGTATCAACGGCTTTTTTGTCATTTCCGTTTTTGTTTTTTTTATTTTTTTTAAAAAAATATTGCTCCTCCTCCTACCCCCTATTTTTATTTTTATTTTTATTTGTTTTTTTTTCTTCTTCTTCCTAAATAGTGGTTTATATGATCAAGATATATTTATTATTTCTTTTTTATAAAAATACAAAAAAAAAGGGTTAAAAAAAAAAAGAGAAAGAGAGAACAAGAGGTTTTCATTTTTGTATAAATAAATTATAGATTTGCAATGAAATTTATTTTTTTTTTTTTTCATTGAAATAAAAATCAAAGAAAATAAAAAAAAAAAAAACAAGTATCATCTATTCAACTAGTAATAAACAAAAAAAAAAGGAAGATAAAGAAAATAAAACAAGATTAAGTAGATATTATGATTTCATATACAGCGGTTATATTTTCTTCTTTAAAAATCTCATTTTTATTTTTATTTTTATTTTTATTTTGTTTTTCAAAGACTATGAGCAAGAAAGAAAACACATAAGAATGTCACACTAGTTTATGATGAAAAAAAAAATAAAAAAAATAAAAAATATATATATACCAAACAATATACAAGGTATTTTGCGTTTAAACTAAAAAAAAAAATTGTCTGTGGATATTGTAGCAGTTGATTTTCTTTTTTTTTCATTTTTAGTTCATCGGATAACAGTACTTTAATCAATTCTTTTTTATTTTTTATTCACAATCTATATATATATATTACACGTTTTTTTTTTTAAAAGGAAATCTCTCTGGAATGCTTAAAGATTATGTGTATTCAGATGCCGTAGCTAATTTATATATATATATATATATATATATATATAATATACTGACACGGGGGGTTAACCTTTTCTTTGGAATGGGGAATATAGGGAAAATGAAATCCATAAACTAGTTATGAAAATATTTCTTTTTTTTTTTTCTTTCTTTTTTTTTAAAAAAAAAAGCAATCGAGAAATATTTTGAAAAAAAATAAAAATAAATAAATGAATTATTTAAAAAAAAATAAAAAAAATTAAAAAAAATTAAAAAAAAAGTTTACTTAGCTGGTTATTAAACGGTTAGAAACTTTAATTTCGGCCATCGAGTTCCAAAAATATCTCACTTAAACACTTTAATAACAATTTTTTTTTTTTTTTTATTTCTTATCAAAATTTTCATTTAAATCAATGTAATCTTACGTCCAGTAAATAAGGGAAGAAAAAAAAATAATAATAATAAAAAACCGCAGTTGTTATTTTGTAAATATTAATCCGTTCTATTATTCATTCAGTTTAGTAACCCTGAATTAATGCAATATTGAAATATATAAAAAATCTTTCTTTTGTTTTTTTTTTTTTCTTACTATTTCTCCTTTCCCTATCAAATGCTAGAATAAATGAAATTTTTCAAAAAAAAAAATAAAATAAAAAAAATAAAATAAAATAAAAATTTTTTTCGTCCTTTGTTGTATTCTAATTAGTCTTATTGATTGATCTTATGTCAGGGCCTTTTGTTAAAAAACCCCTTCTATCCAAATTTTTTAAATCGCAATGTTAAACAACAATGAACGCCCCTTTTTTTTTGGTTTCTTTTCTTCCTTTGCTTTCTTTCTATTTTGTTTGTCAATGTTTGGCTTGCTTTCTCATCAAATGATATATATATATATATATATATATATATATATATATATAGAAATCTATTCTTGGAACTTCTTTTTGTATGATGAATCTTGCTCTCGTCTCTTACTGATTTTTATTTTTATTTTTTTTTGTACGCGTTTAATTATTCTACGTATATTTAAAAACTTCACCCTGATATTAGTCCAAAGTCTACGTCAAATTACTTTTAAAAATAGTTTCTAAGAAAAAAAAAATCAATAATAATAATATTATTATTATTATTATTAAGCTCTATTGCTAGTTATATCTCATATAGAAAGTTTATTTTTTTTTTTTTTGTTATTTTTTTGCCGATATTCAAATTTCTTGTTTATATGTTTTTTTTTTACGTTGGAATCTGAGTCATTGGTATATTTTAAATACCTCCATTCTTTTTTTTTAAAACGAAAACCGATAGACCGGTTACTTTCCTTTATTTTCTTTTTTTCTTTTTTTCTTTTTTAATTTTTTTTTTTTGTTAAAGTATATTGGTTGGTGTCATTTTTTAAACCACATGTTTGTATGAATGATACAACTCAAGGTGATATATATATATATACATGTTCGGAATAAATTTTCCCTGTTTTGTTTGTGTGTACATATATGATATGTTGATAATTAGGTTATTTTATCGAGTCATTTTGATCAAGTTAAGTTAACAATGGCACGCGACAAGTTTCTTTATTAAGACACCAGCGTAAGAAAAGCTTTTCAACTGAGACTCACGCAAATGTATTTTATTATTTCACATCATGATGAATATATATATATTTTCATAAAAGTTCTTTTTTTTTTTTTTTGTCAAAATTCTATTGTAAACTCATATTACATTTCCATTATTAAAAATGATTAAATATTTTTTTCAATTATTCTACATTAATAAAATATTATAAGATATCTTATTTGATATAAAGAAAAGAAAAAAAAAATTTTTTCTACCATCTGATCATTCTTTTTAATAATGGGTATATAAAATTTTAATATTCTCAACATCACCACTCGTTCTCGCTTCCACGTGCGTTCATAAAAGCCAACCATTTCTAAACCATTTTTTAAAAAAAAAAAAAATCTTATCTTCTTTTTATTCTTTTTATTCTACTTTTTTATGTGGCATGTCCTATATTAAAAATTATAATTGGTGTATGTGCAGATTGTTTCCAAATACATGGCATTTTCTCTTTAGAATAAAACGGAAAAAAAAAAAAAAAAACAAATGAGAGAAAATAAAAGAAAGTTTTTTTTTTTTTTTTTATTGTCACAAATGAATAAAAAATATTTCGGCAAAAAAAAAAAAATGCAAAAAAAGTAAAAAGTAAAAAGTAAAAGTAAACAAAATATCAAAGGAAAACCTTTTTTTTTTTTTTATATCTTTAATTCTTGTTTAGTTGTAAGATTTTAACATGATATAGACAATATTTGAATCAGAAATGCGGGGAGGGAGTTAGAAAAAAAAAAAAAAAAAAAAAAAAGATATATATTAGATTAATAATTTTTATGTCGTCATTTGATTTCATTATCATCATCATCCACCATAATCAAGAATCATCATTTATCACATACAAAAAAAAAAAAAAAAAGAAAAAGAGAATATTGTCTTGTGTTCAAAGTTTCTTGAGTAGTTTAGTTATAATTAAAAGTTATTCAATTAATATAATAATTTGAATATATTTATTATAATTATATTTCACTTTTACTTTTAATTTTAATTTTAAAAAAAAAAAAAAAAAAAAACATTTATCTCTTTTTAAATTTGATCTTCAGATAAATTTCCCTGAGTTGTGTTTTTTTGTTTTTTTTTTCTTGTGATAGCCCATTTTGTTGTCCAAAAGGTGATGTAACTTTTTCCCAAATTTCTATTAAATCCGCGCCACCAATCATGCATAACCCTAACCACTAATATCACGGGGTCATGTTTGTTATACAACGTGATGACATACATAAAAAAACAATTCCTTTTATTTTTCTTCTTTTTTTTTAGTATGAATTCTCTTTTATACCCTTTATTCTGACAAAAAAAAAATAGAATTTTTGTTTTTTAATTAATTAGATAAAAGCTCAATCAAAAAAACAAAAAGTTAAGTGCCTCGAGCCGGATTCGAACCGACGATCTCGTCATTACTAGTGACGCGCCTTACCAACTTGGCCATCAAGGCTACACTATACAGAATATAAATCTTCAAAGAATTTAATCGTGCTACAATTAAAATCGTAATATTAGTGTGCAGGGTCTGCAAAAGGGTTTTTTTTTAAAAGAAAAAAAAATTTAAAAAATGAAAAAAAAATGAAAACATTAAAATTAAAAAGAGGTTTTTGTAATAAAAAAAAAAAAAAAAAGTCTTGCAAATTTTTAGAAGCACTAAAAAAAAAAAAGGACCAAGAAAAAGTTAAAAAGTTTAGTCAGACCAATCTGTATCGCAACGCCCATGGATTTATATCTTCCATTAAAATAATTGTGAGGTGGAAATAAATTAGTTGTTATATTAGACAAGTAATACAGAAAATAAATAAATAAATAAAGGTATATTTCTTCTTCATAGACAAAGATTCACTGTTTTCGCTAGACATATCTCCAAACTCTAACCACTGTAAACCTTGTGATTAAGGCACCGGTCTCTGCGAGAAGAACAATAGTGTACACAACCGTTCTCGTGCTATTCTATGCAACAAAGACAACAAGTTGCACCTATAATACCAAGTTATAACGATCGATCGATCGATGATGCCCTCTTATAGTCGAGGCATTTCTACTTCTCCACAGTTGAAATTAACAACTTTTTTTTTTTTTTTTTTTTTCAAAGTAAACAAAGTCTGGAGGAATTTTTTTTTTTTTCATGTTTTTTAAGTCTATTTTTTTTTTTTTTTTTTTGATTTTAACATTTATATACATATATAAATATCACTAACAATCACCGTACACTTTATTTCAAATTAATTTATTCCATGCAGTAATATGTAAGTGTCTTTTTTTTTTATTATTTTTATTTTGGTTTTTATTTTTATTTTTGGGCTTTTATATGAAAACCAAATAGCAATAATTCCGCCTCAATTGTAAAAGTTTACTTTAAATTTTTAACAAAAAAAAAAAAAATAAAACTTTGATTGTAAAGCTTGCCATGTACATAATTTATTTGTCATTTGATAAGACAAGAAATAGAATAGACCTAAATAGATTACAACCTGACTTGTTTTTTTTGTTTTTTTTTTTTGTTTTTTTGTTTTCTTATGATATCATCATCCATCACCAATTACCTTCCACGGTACAACTTGCAAAACTCAATATAATCAATCTGACCGTCATCGTTATTATCCACCTCACGAATCATGGCCTTCACCTCATCTTCTGTCAACGTCTCGCCCACAGTCTTCATGATAGTCAGTAGCTCCTTTGCAGAAATGTATCCATCGCCATTCACGTCAAATTCTTGGAAAGCTCGGCGTAGCTCGTCTTCTTCTTCCTGAGCACTGTTAGGATTACTTTGGTTACTGCCGCGGCCACTACCACCTCTACTGCCACTGTTATAACTGTTACTGCTGTTACTACTGTTATTGCCGCCACCCTCACGGAAACTGGCTCCTCCAGTAAATGCAGGCATCAAATTGATAAACTCGTTAATATCAATCACACCGTTTTTATCAATGTCTGCGCTATCGATAATGTCCATGATCTGAGTCTCAGAAGGTGTCAGACCCAGCTGTCGCATTACTTGCCCTAACTCGTCCCGAGAAATGGTTCCATCCTTGTTCTTGTCAAATATTTCAAATGCATCGCGGACCTCTTTCACTTGCTCGGGTGTGAGTTGACTAAGTGGTGTAATTAATGGCATTGTTGATTGTTTATTGTGGAATAATGATTGAGTGTATAAAAAAGAAGAAAAAAAATGTTTGATTATTGTCAGAAGGAAGAAAAAAAAAAAGAAGAAGAAAAAAAAAAAATTAAAATGGCAATTACACAAAGTGACTGAGAAGCGCCTCCTTTAAGTATTTCTCTTTCCTCCTTTTAAACGTGTATATATACCCTGTATACTTTCAGCCTCTTTATTATTTATCGTACGGCGTTTCATATGAACCCAATTTAGGTCTCACAAGGCACTTTTTATTACTCTATTCTCTGATTAGACATTTACTTTATTTATTTCTATTTACAAAGGAAACCACCACCTCCGGATCCTCAATCACTGTTTCATCATATATTTTCAACATCATTCATTTACTAATCAAGTTTCCGCTTCTTCGCCTTCTTCCTGCGCAGATCCTTCTTTATTAACGTTATTTTCCTTTTGCGACACAAGCCAGCTCACCACCGCATTCAGATTATCTGTCTCTTTGACTGACACTGAGTAACATGTCACTTGGTGGTTCTTAATCCCCTTGATGTCCATCTTGGTTACAAAGTCTTCCAGTGGCAATGCTTCCGCCAAATCGTTCTTGTTAGCCAACACAAGCACAGGAATGTCGCTTAACGATGAATTATTGCAAACCGCATGAAGCTCTTGCCTAGCTCCTTCATACGTGTGTGCGTCTGCAGAGTCCACCACAAATCTATTTTGTCATCATTAAAAGTTAGTTAATTTGGTTAGTTGGTTGGTTGGTGTCCTGGTGCAATCTAATATAGTTGAAAAAGAAAATAAATTCCTACTCACACAATGGCATCGACTCCCAAACAGTACCGCTCCCACATGGTCCGAAACCTAGGCTGCCCTCCAACATCCCAGCTACAAGGAAAGGGGTTAGCAACTGAAAACAACAACAAAAAAATAAAAAATAAAAACAACCAGGAGAATGTATTCTACATACCATTTGAGTACTACACTACCCTTTTTCACTCGTTGCATTGTGAAGCCCACAGTGGGTATGGAGCTTTTTTTTTTAAAAAAAATAAATGGATTAGACTGGTCCAAAAAGAAAGTGCAAATACAGAAAGATAAACACACTCATTACACACATCACCGCCAACTTACTCTCGTGTAAATTTGTCACCTGCAAGTACTCGCAGTAAAGACGTTTTGCCTGCATTTTGTAATCCCAGGAGCGTAATTTCCAGCTAAACAAGAAACCATGATAAAAGAAGAAAAAAGAAAAAAATAATCAGCCATTATCACCAAGAATGATTGTTGGAAGATTGATGTTAAAAACGTACCTCTGCGGCCCTAAAAAGAGAATGAGATAGATAAGAAGAGAGAGAGATAGAGGTTAGAGCAAAGTTTGAAAAAAAAAAAAAAAAAAAAAAAAAGAATAATGTTGTTGATAATTTATTTTAACAACAATCACTGTTAATTGAATAAAAAAAAAAACTTACCAGAATCTGGCTATTAGGTAGTCATAATATGAAACAATCCAATTCCAAAGATCAGTAAACATTTGATGTTGGAATTTTTTTTTAATGATGATGATGATGATAAAAAAGAACGCACACACTCAATTAATGGGTAGGTGGAGAGATACGTAAGAAAGAGGTATTTATTTATTTATTATTTTCCCCCCCAAACAATTAGATTAACCTTTGGGTATTAATATTTAAAACTGATATCAAGGTTGAAATGGAATTCTTCAAGACTTAGTGAAAATGTATAGAATAGAATAGAAATAAAAAAAATAACAACAACAAAGGTGAAGGAAAAAGAGAAAAAAAAGAAAGGTGGTGGATTTTATTTTAATTTTTTTTGACGGTGAAGCCTTTATATATATTGTGTGGCAGAAAAAAAAAATTAGAGGAATTTGACAGGTGCAGCCAACAGTTAGCAGCTCACACAGAAGTTTATCTTTACAGTACCAACCACACACATATACATCACACTAAACAATAGGCAACAAACAAATTTCCAAAAAAAATATAAAAAAATAATAGCACCCACGGTGGGACTCGAACCCACAATCTTCAGATTAGAAGTCTAACGCCTTAACCATTGGGCTACGCGGGCTTCTTGTTGTAAAAAAGTTAATTAATAACCTATATTAAAAGAAACTTATAAAAATAAAGAAATCAATAAAATATTTTTTTTGTTAAGGCCTTGAATAAAAACAAACAAACAAACAATTTTTTGTTAAGGGGGAAAGGGCTGGATGGTGTAAAGGATAACACGTTCGCTCGATAGCGGAAGATACTGGGTTCGATTCCCAGAATACCCCCTTTTCCTGAGGATGTGTACGGGAGTATACACCTAGACTGAAAACCATAGGCTACCCTGGTTACAGGAATGCCGACTCTTCCGTACAGTCTAAATAGCCTGCAGGTGATTGCGGGCCGTATCTCTGGCGGAAGAGATTAAGAAATACACGGGCGTCCGTGAAGATAAGTGGAAATGGGTTGGGAAGGTTTTGGGACCGACAGACTGGTTCTCCCTGTTCCTCGTAAGCTGGCATCAGGGCCCATCTTCCGGGCTACCGGAGACGCACAGAACAGAAACCACCCGTACTAAAAAGGTACAAATGAAAACCGGCAAGTCACATAGTCAGACAATAAAAGGATAGCGCAGATGCTGATGTTATATAGTTCTATAACCCTTGAATAAAAACAAACAAACAAACAATTTTTTTTGTTTATAACTTGAATAAAAACAAACAAACAAACATTTTTTTGTTTATAATCATTTAAAACCAAAAAAAAAACAATGGAATTTTTTTTTATTTTTAAATTCAATTTTTTTTAATTGGGTGCTTGGAATTTAGAATAAAAAAAATTAAACTTAGGCATGGAATAAAGTCCTTTATCTTATCTTACACTAAAGAAATATTTATCATTATTAAGCAATTACATAAGTTAAATATAAACTTTTGCGAGATTTCAAAATAAAATAAATAAATATAAAAAACAGTGTACACTTATAAAGCACCCTAAAAAAAAATAAGTGGAGTAAGTTTGAAAATATTTCAATCGAAAGGAAAAAATAAAGTTTAATTATTGTTAAGTGTACAAGTGTATGGTCTCAGTTTTTGTTATAGCCATGATCATGATTATCACACATTAAATGCTTTTTCTTATCCCAAACCCTTTAAATTTAAAAAGTTTTTAAACCAAATAACTATCAATAAAAAATAGATTTTTTATGAATAAAATGAATCTACTTAAGCTATGGTTCTGATTTTTTTTACGCTGTGTAAACTATTCAAGTGGCAGTTTTAAAGTCTAATAAGTTGTAAAAAGCAGCAAAAAATCGTCAAGATATTTATAAGATTAGGATTTGGAATTAAAAACTTTGACCCGCCGTTAAATTTTTTTATTTCTTCTACCAACGTTTTTTTTTTCTTGCACTCGTTTTTCTCTTTGATTTTTTTGATTTTTTTTTTTGATATTAATACATACTAAATCAATTGAAAATGGACCATTCAAACAATAATGATTTCCCTCTTCCAGAGGTACATTCTACAACAAATCAAAGGGCTTCGACTGTCCAAAATGTTTTCCCAGTTCGCCGTACTAATATCAGTTCTTTTCAATCTTCTTTACAACCTCAAAATACTGGAAGAGTTTCCAAAGATAGACCTCATATATATCGGTTTCGCATTTCACCGCCACAAAGTAGCGGTTTCGAGTTTCAGGAGTCCGAGTATACAGCACAAGCTGCAGCAGTGTTTCAATCGATACCTTCCACTTCAGCCTCTCAGCAAAATTCTGCAAATGTAAATAATTCTTACACCATAGAAGATGTCTGTCCAGAACCAGCAGATGCCACTGATATTCTTTACGTTGAACAATGTAGTAAGTAAAAATTATACAATTTATTCAAATTCCCAAATTCTAACATTTTACAGAAAAATCATGCGATGCTGCAAATTCCAAACTAATAGAAGAAGATATAATCGATATTTTGGCTACAATCTACGACAAGGATAAATTAGAAAGTTTATTTGCGGAAGACATTGACTGCTTGCCCAACACAGTGGATGATCTTTTTGTATTTGAAAACTTTTTAGAAGAAACTTCATTGAACTCGGAAGCCTCAAAGATGGTAATAAATTGCCTTAGTGTGCTTATCCAATCGAATAGTAGCAAGTCGACTTGTGAGGTCGTTATTAACGGCATCTTACTAAACTTGCAAAAATTGGGCCACCCAGTAAAAAAATCGTTAAACAAAGATATTAAGAAATATTTGGTAGATTATTCCGACTCACCAACAGATCCCAATTTATTTGGATCAGGTTCAAAAAAGGTTTTTTTCTGCGTAAACTATTGTTGTGCTTTCACTGGAGACCACAAAGATGATAAATGTTGCTTCCAATGTTCTACTCCAAGGTCACCTAACAGTTATGGATGGTACATTTCTCCAATTCCTATGATCCGCAAACTCTTTCTCAATTCAAAAATTTGTGAAATTCTAAAGTTCCCCCACAGAAAAGACAACGATTACATTCGTGACATTTGGGATGCAGAATATATACATGAGCTCGAAAATAAAGGTATCAAAACCAGTCCTTATAAAACTAATTTTCTTGGTAAAGAGATGGACGTTGTTCCTCTTTTTTTTGGTCTCAGGGCAGACAGTGGTGACGTATTTCGAAGTGACTATTTTGAAATTATGAACACTTCTTTACAGCTATACAACCTTCCTTCTACTATGCGATCATCGACAAAGTATCTCTTCCCGGTAATGCCATACCCCAAGAAAAAAATTAATAATAAACAACCTCCAAATCATTCTTCTTTTTTGCAGGCAATAGTTGATGATTTCAACCGTATGAAAAACGGCTTTATTGTGCGCGCTGGTAGCGACTGGAAATATATTATTGTGACATGCCACTTAGTCTTTTTTAATGGAGACATGATAACACGGTCTGGTGCATTAGGCATTGTTGCTCCCTCTGGAAACTTCAGTTGTTTAAACTGTTATGTGCCTACTTCAAAGCTTGGAGGTAAACCTTCTTTTATTAAGCCTGACCCTTGCAACCCGGGGCAATTTTTTCCGAGCGGCAATGGCCAATTTCTAGTTCGAAACAATCAGACTCACCAGAGGGACCTGCAGAAGGTCAATGACTTGGGCTTGATGTCTGACTCCGACAAAATAATTACTGGCATACGTGGAAAATCGTCTTTACTTTCACTAGATTCTATATCTCTTGAAGATTCTTTCCCTCCAGATGCTTTTAATCTTTTGTTTGAAAATCTCGAGCGTGAGTTTCTTTACATTCTCATTGGCGTTCCTTTAGGAAACATTCTACGCCCTTGCAAAAAATTTCCAAAGAATTTCCTTCTCAGCCATGAAGCTCGAGCCATACTTAGAAATTTCTTTACTAGCTTTAATGAGCTGGGTATTGCTTCTAAAATGATGGGTCAAATGTTCGACCTAGACTCTTTTTTTAGCGGGAAACTATTTAACTTAACTAGTATTGAACTCAAAACTATTTTGGAGATTTTCCCAGTTTTTCTTGTTCTTTTAGTCAATGAACTAACTCCAATTCAACGTCAATTCATTCAGCTTTGCTGTGATATGTTTTGCGTTTTTCGTGTTGCTTGCATGACAGCGATTCCACGCATTGTTTTGAAGCAGCTGGAGCCATGCATTAAAGACATGGTACAACGATTTGAAGAACTAACTACGTTTTACCATACCGAAGGTAGCAACTGTTGCACTTTGTCTTTGCACACACTCCTCCATATTGTGAAGATCATTGAAAGAACTGGGAACCCAAGAGTTCATTGGACTAGGGACGTTGATGGCCAGGTCAAAATCATAAGGGGAGAAGTTACTACCTGTTGCGATTTTCTTACCGAGGTTTCCAATTTAAGAATGCGGAAATACAGCTACGATGTCTTTTTACCTCGGGAACTTAATCTTTCTTTAGGAGCCATCAAGCTAAAAAATCTGTATAATGGCCAAGATCTCAATTCTATTAAAAATGGTCGAATTTCTCATTTAGACAAAAAAAAGATTGAGAAACTTATTATCCATAACGCTGAAAATCCAACAGCATTTAGGCAATACAACGAATGCCATTTTCAGACATCTAACATGACTATTTTATCTGGTAATTATGCTCCGTTGGAGTCGTTCTATCAAAACAAATTCTCGTCTATTTGCCTTGTTTTGGATTTGATTTCTTACAAGAAAAAAGATGGGAATCTTGCTGAGATGGCTGTGATTAAACATGTCAAAGTTTCTTGCTTGGCCTACGTTAAGGGATCTAAAGAGAGCTTTCCATTCACAGACAATGGGATAGATCTCTTGCCCTACAACATTGACCAGATGACATTGGAGAATATCATGTTGGTGAATATATCTAAGTTGTTGAATCCTGTTTATTGCATTGATGCCAATGTGAATTTCCCAAATTATTCTAAGGCTTCTTCAGTCAAGTTCTTTTTGGAAGAAAATCGGTTTGCTGCGTACACTGAACCGAAGGGCATTGTAGAGTTGTTTTTATACGAGAAGGAGGAAAAGGTGAATGAAGCTTATAAAGATATCTCCTACCCCACTCCTCCTACAACTAGGCAAACATTGTTAGATTACCGCAAGGACTTGAAAGATAGCTTAAAGCAGTAACATAAATATTTATATATTATATATACAAATAAAACAAAATGAAAACCTTGACAAGAATTTTTGAAAATCGAAAAAAATACATTTTAGAATTTGAAATTTGTTTAATTTTTTTTAAACAAAAAAAAAGGGAAATAAAATATCTAAGTGTTTTCGATAAATAAACGGTAAATAGAAATTATGCATAGAGACACTCTTGGCTTTACTAATTAGTAAGGTCAGTCAATTGAGTTGTGGTAGCCAAACATTAGAAATGTTAATACCCATACAAAAAAATAGAAGACAACCACCAAAATTTGTTTAGACATCCCAACATACTCCAAAAAAAAAAAAAAACTCCACCACTTTTTACCAAAATTGTTTTTTAAAAAAAAAGAAACAAAGTCAAGAAAAAAGATAACTCCCACTAAGGGGCTCGAACCCTTGACATTTCGGTTTACTTGCAACTGTTGATTACTTGTAAAAGCCGAACGCTCTACCGACTGAGCTAAGCGGGATGTTGGAAATTTGATTTTGAATGGGTATAAAAGCACACACAACAGTATACTTTAAAAATCCTTAGTATACTGGCAAAATTGGTCCTTTGGGACATATGGTCAATTTGAAACGATACAGAGAAGATTAGCATGGCCCCTGCATAAGGATGACACGCTTTACAAAGAGATTATAACAGTTTTTTTAGAAGCTAGTATGCTCATGGACCGAAGAAAAGGATCAGTGCAAAAAATTAGTACTGGAATTCCGCAAGGCTCACCTATTTCACCACTACTTTTTTTGATATATTCCACACCAATGTATCATGCCATTAAAGAATGGGGTGGAACTCCTTTTGGCTTTATTGATGATGTGACTATTACCGTTGAAGGTAAAATTGAAGAAAATACCAAAAGCTTAAGCAACATATTAGAAAAATGTTGTATTTGGGCTAAATCAAGAATGACCAAAATTGATTTGGGTGACAAATTGGGTTTCATTCATTTTACAAAAAATGTGAAACTTAAAGATGAGAAAGTGCAACTTACTTTACCTAATGGAGAACTTCGTGAACCCCAGAAGGAAGTTAAATTTCTTGGAATTACTTTGAACAATCTGCTTGATTTTAAATCTCATATTTTGAATAAAATCAATAAAGCAAGAAAAGCTGTTGGTGCTATTTGGCATCTTGGTGGCGTGCAAAATGGTATGCGGGGGTCTGCAGTCAGATCACTGTATATTGCTTGCGTGAGACCAATTGTCGAATATGGCTTAGAAATTTGGCATCATAAAGTCTTGAAAGGAGAAATCCACAAGTTGGAAGTGATGCAGAACATGGCTTTAAGAAGAATTGTTGGTGCTTATCGCACAACTCCTATTGCGGTATTACAAAAGGAAGCTGGCATTATGCCATATAGTATTAGGCTAAAATTTATGGTGGCATGAAAAGCTATTCGTTTACACCTAAATATTAGCAAAACTAATCATATTAATGGTCATTTGTTAACATTGATTGAGAAATCTCCAATTGCAAAGCTAACCACGCTTTACATGTTGGCGAAAGATGATAGAGACTATATGATTAAAAAGGATGAAAAACAAAAATGCAAGAGGGTTGAACCTCTTACACTGAAACAACAACAAAATCAGACGATTGGAATTTTGAAGAAACAAGCAATGGAAGAATGGCAAGAAATGTATTGGAACAGTAGTAAGGATCTGTGGTATCATAATATCACAGTGGAGTCGAAATGTACTGATAATCTTTCCAAAATGGTTACGGGAGTGATCATGAAGAAAGATAGTCGAAGGATCTTGAGTAATATTACTCAGTTTCGCACAGGCCATGGCAACTTTGGCGCATGGTTTAAAAAGTTTGGAATTGAAAAGGATAGTTACAACTGCAAATGTGGAGAGCTGGAAACAGTTCATCACATTTTAGTTGAGTGTCCTTTGCTTGAAGAGGAAAGAAAAGGACTCAAACGGATATCTCCAGAGATGGACATGTCGACTCTCTTAAACAGTTTAACTGGCTTACAAGAGATTGTAAGCTTTATCTCTGCTTGGAGGGATTAAGAAATACAATTACAGCGTTGATGAAGACAAGTGGAGACAAGTTGGGAAGGTTTGGTTATTTTAACCCCCTGTTCCTTGTAAGCTGGCATCAGGACTTATTTTCGGGCTGTTGGAGATGCAATGTTGAAGCCAAAATTGAAAGTTTATTATTAAAATGAAAAGATATATAGTATGGACAAGAAGGATAGCGCAGATGCTGATGTTATATAATTCTATAACCCTTGAATAAAAATAAACAAACAAACAAACAACGGCAAAATTGGAAGTGATTTTTTTTTTTTTAGTTTTATTTTTTGTAAAAATCTACATTTAAAAAATATAATATACCACTGAAGTTAACCCATTAAAAAGCTAGAATTGGTACAGATGGTATATTCTTCTGATTCTTTGAAAAAAAATCTTGTAATTGTAAAATTTCTTGTAAAAGCACAAGCCAAACACTCAATTGAATTTGCTAAGCAAGATATTAAATATTGTATTTACCAAAAAAAATAAGTAAACAAAAAGTTAACTCCCACTAAGGGGCTCGAACCCTTGACATTTCGGTTTACTTGCAACTTTTGATTACTTGTAAAAGCCGAACGCTCTACCGACTGAGCTAAGCGGGATGTTGAAAATTTGATTTTTAAAAGGTATAAGAGCACATTCAAAATAAATTTAAAAAAATTCAGTGTACCGGCGAACTTTTTGAAGTTTTAAATTTTGATTAAAAAATACAAATTTAAAAACAATTTGAACTAAATACTAGATATTTTTGAGTAAATAATGGGAAACATTTGTATCCAAATCATATTTTTACTTGAAAAATCTTTAAATTTCTTTAAATTTTTTTAATTTCCTTTTTCTCATCTTATTTTCATCTATAAGATGATAGATAGAATAAATTCTATTTTCTTTCAAGCGCTTCTTTATTTTTATTTTTTTCGAAATTATTATTATTTTTTTTTTTTTTTTTGTGTGTGTGTGTGTTTTTTTTTGTTTTGTAGATGCGATTCCTGCATTATATTTACATGTCTTTGAGCTTATTTACTATCACTCCTAAAATCTTATCTCTTAACTCTTTACTATCCACCACCACCACCACCACCACTACCACCATCATTATCGTAGTCTCTTTTGCAGATTTCTTTCTCCCCCCAATCTCTCTTACCTTTATGCGCAGCAGCATGACGACGTGCGCCGGAAGAGGCGCGTCAATTTAACCCATACCCTAGAGGAATCCAAAGATATCTGCACGGGGCCCATGCACAGAGCCTATTGACGCGTCTAGTGGCTCTCAAAACATCAGACCGCGGTATGCGTAAGACTGATGCGCTCAAGCTTAAAACCATATGTTTGCTTCTAATTAAAAATAGATGCTTTCTAAGTGTATTCTAATGATGATACTACAATTTATCCCTTTAGATCTACTGCCATGCTAAAATACTGTATAAGTTTAATATCATCAGCCTTTGTTTTTTTTTTGTTTCTTTTCTAATACCAGGCATACTTGCCGTCAAACACTAAAACCTGCTGTGGACTACCACCCGACTTGCGACCCCCTAAGGGTCGTGCTGCAGGCCACGAGTCTTCGCGCTCAGAAATGGCTGCGGGGAACTTAGCATATTGAGAGTCATTTGGCTGCGAGTTCCATGCTTCCACAACATCTTCTAGGGTCAGAAGATCAGCCCCAGTTACTGGGTCACGAGGCAAGTCCTGGATCCACAAAGTGACTTTTGACAGGTGCCATCTGCGTGCCTCTGCAACAGCTGCCTGCAGCAATGTAACAAGATCCGCCGCAAGAGCCTCCTTGCTTGACACCAGCTTGGCACCTTCTGGAGGCTCAACAAGTGAACGTAAAATGTTGAGCTTGTTGTTGCCAATGTCCTGGGCCCAGAGAATGCTCATGTGTGATCCAGTCTGGAGAGCCGCACCAAAATGCTGTACCGACCGGAAATCATTTGGCACCGGACCTTCTGGGTGTGTAACACCATCGGGAACCTGATCTGGACGCAAAAGTGGGGCAACAAAGTGTGCGCGCGCATGGGTCATAATGTGCAAGTCTGTTGATGGCAAGATAGCTGCACGGGGGGTCCCATCTGCCTCTGTCATGTAGTCAAGTTGCTTAATAAATTGGGCCGTATCCTTAGCTGCAAACTCAACCTCATCGGCCTCTGTAAGCAGCACAGTTCCATCAACTGAGCCAGCTAAATCACTGTCGCTTGGCGTGAGCTTAGTGATTACCATTTCCAAGTTGGATGAGGCCTTGTAACCAAATTTTTCATAGTAGGTGCCAACGTCTGACCAAAGCACAGAAAAAGAATTTAACACGCGATCCTTACGAATGGCTTCGTCGTCTTCAATGGCAAAGGGCTGGCGGGCTAGGTTGGCATATAAATCACAGAAAGGTGAATCTGGCGCGTCGGTTTGATCAAACTTCTCAACAAGCAGAGCTAGCATGCGACGTGCGTGGCCTTTACCACGATGTGGGATTGGAGTAAAGACTGCTCCAACACTATGGCAAATTGTTTGGCGCACAGGCGAGCCCTTTGTCTTGTACAAGGCTGGGCGTGTAAGAGATTCGCAGCATGAAACCATGGTCCAAGAATTGTCGTTCTCGGAGAGCTCTTCGTAAGACCAGTAAGAGATGTGGCCGTCGAGACAAGGCGGTTGTGATCCAAGATGACGCTCGCGCGCAGTGTACTGATCGTGAGTCAAGCCGCGGCCCCATTCGAGGTAATTTGCGGAATGATTTGTACGGATATCAGTAGGAGATGAGACTTTCCGAAAGCGGTACTGGGTCATTATTATGGAAGAATTAAGATTGTTTTGTATATTTAAAAAGAAAGAGAGATAAATCCGAGACAAAGATAGGGGGGAAAAAGGGAATAGATAACAGGGTTGAAATGGAAAATATAGTAATAAAGAGAAAATTCTAAATGAAATTAAAATAATTGGCTATAAAAAAATAAAATAATAAAAAAAAACTGAAACCCCAGGAAAATGACCGCAATTTATATCTTTCCAGTTTGCCGACCTGGCGGGATTGATGATAAAGAGGTGAGATATGCTTTTCCAGGCATTGTGATGTGATTTCCAAGTGGATATCTGGCGCGCGCGGTGAGTTGACGTTAGGAGAAGAAAAGAAGACCCTTTCTTTAAAAAAAAAAAAAAAGGTCCTTAAAAGAGATTTTGGGAAGAGGAGGAGGAGGAGGGAAGGACAAGCTGCTACTGCTACTTCTACCGCCCGCCGTACCATAAATATATGCTTATTTTTATAACAAAAAAAAAAAAACCACCACCAACTTCAAGCCCAAGCGGGGAGGAAGGATAACAGCGGATAAGCGCGGGAGGGATATGGAAACTTTGGGGATTCAGTTATAAGAACTCTAAGAACTTTAGGAAGTTAAATAAAAGTATATATATTGATGGAGATAAATGGAATATAAATGAACAGAAGGTTTGAAAATAAAAAGAAAAAAAAAGGCGATTGACAAACAAACTTTTAAACATTTTCAAAGTGAAGAGAAATTGAAAGCCGTTGCAAGATTGGATGGAGTGTCTTATTTTGGTAACCACAGAATTTAGGCGCCGAATTAAGACATTCAATTACACTTGTAACGTTAACTTTAATGTTTTACTAAATCGAATATAAAAATTAAAAAATAAAACTAATTTTAAGCCCCAGCGCAAATATTCAAGTTATTACCAATTATAAAAGCTTAAGAAAATATATACTATAAATATTTTACTTTTATAACAAATGCCTTGCTAGCTCAATCGGTAGAGCGTGAGACTCTTATTTAACATCAAGTTATCTCAAGGTTGGGGGTTCAAGCCCCCCGTAGGGCTTAAATTTTTATAATTTTTTTTGCCAAACATTACTACCACGTGTGGAAATTTATTTATTTTTTTTTTCTCTTAGAGATCTATGACGTAAATGTATATATATATATATATATAAATATATATATAAAACGTATCCTTGTCAATATTCTTATGTTGTTTGCTGTTGCAGGGCATATTCTCTTCAAGAAAGCACTGTAGAAAACAAACCTCAACCGGTAAAAAAAAATAAAAATAAAAGAGGGGTTTAATATTTAGAGAAGATATATTTATTAATTAACAGGGCAAGTTAATTAATAATATTTATATTTATATTTATATATATTTATATATATAAAAGGGATATTTGTTTCTATTTTTGTGGTTGTAGTGATTGCTAGTTTTGAAATGACTAAGTCACTGCCGTATCTGCATAGTCTAATTAAAAAATAAATCCGAGACCAGGCTGCGGCTACGGAATATAAAAACTCTCCAAAAACTCTTTAAAAATTCTCTCATTTAATTTTCTTTTTATCTAATTTTTATAATTTTTTTTTCTCGCCACTCTCAACAACGTCTAATATCTCTATATTCTCATATAAGGATTTTCTTTCAAACCTCTCTATCATAATGGCTGGTTCTATTGATACCAGTATCATCTCCGGCCGCAACCCTATCGAATATGCGTCGTCCAGTCCTTTGACGCTCTTCTTGGTTCAGGTGTGTTAATCTTTTAAGCATGATTTCTCCGATCTAAACTTCACAAGCTAACTAACGTTTACTATAGGCATTTATCATCATTGTATTTTGTCGCCTCATTCAAATCCCCCTTTCCTTCATTCGCCAACCAAAAGTTATTGGCGAGGTTATCGGTGGAATCATCCTTGGTTAGTACTTAATCCATAACTGTCTTCTTAATCTAACACTCACACTAAAGGCCCCACCGCCATGGGTAGAATTCCAAACTTTACCAACTCTATCTTTCCTGAGGCTTCCATGCCAAACATTAACCTTGTTGCCCAGCTCGGCCTAATTTTTTTCCTCTTCATTGTCGGCATGGAAATTGACATTCCATATCTTCGTAAACACTGGAAAATCGCTGGTAGTGTCGGCATCGGCTCTATCATTCTCCCATTTGGCCTCGGTTACGCAGTCGCCATTGGCCTATACAACCAGTTTATTGATTCCACCCAACACTCCTCTTCCTTTGGCGTTTTCGGCCTCTTCATAGCTATTGCAATCTCCGTCACTGCTCTCCCCGTTCTAGCTCGTATTTTAACGGAGCTCGGCCTTTTGCACGACACCACCGGAATCGTCGTCTTGGCAGCCGGAGTTAGCAATGACATTGTTGCATGGATCCTCCTCGCTTTGGTAATTTCACTCTCCCAGTCCGGTGCTCCTATCGATACCCTCTACATTTTGCTGGCGACTATTGGATGGTTCCTTCTTTTCGCATTCCTTGTTAAACCCATTCTCTTCAAATTTCTTAAGCATACCGGGTCTATAGACAAGGGCCCTACTGAATTGGCAGTCATTGTCATCATTATTCTCATTTTTGTCTCTTCCTTTTTTACCGACATTATCGGTGTTCACTCTATCTTTGGAGCATTCATTGTCGGTGCAATCATACCCCGAGAAAACTCGTTCCCAGCAAGGCTAACCGAAAAAATTGAAGATCTCATTTCAGTCATTTTCATTCCCATTTACTTTGCCATCTCCGGCTTTAATGCTGATCTATCAGCTCTTAACGATGGTGTCACTTGGGGCTATACTATTCTTGTCATTGTCGTGGCCTTCTTTGGGAAAGTTGTTGGTGCTGCCATTCCAGCAAGACTGTTGGGCTTGTCGAATGGCGAGGCCATTGAAACCGGTATTCTTATGAGTTGTAAAGGTCTTGTCGAAATCGTCATTCTTAATATTGGACTTGAAGCAAAAATTCTTAATACTAAAATTTTTTCGATGTTTGTTCTTATGGCTATTGTCAATACCTTTATTACAACCCCTCTTACTTTGATTTGGAGAAGCCATATTGAACAAAGAGCCAAGCGTAAGGCTCTTCACAACCATCATAACCATTCCCAATCAAATCTTTTCGATGTTCCCAAGGGCTCTGACTTTAAACTCAATAAGGTTGTCCTTGCCTTTGATAATGTCGAAATGCTCCCATCTAATATGATTATCACTCAGATGCTTGCAAACCCCCAGAAGATTGTCTCACTACATTCTGGCCATACTGATGATAATGAAAATACTGGTTCTCCCAGTCATGATGAAATTGAAGATACAAATGGTGCACTTTCTTCTCAAAGTTCATTTGCCACTCTTAATAAAAATTACATTTCTTCTCCAATCCACAAGGACATGTTTGTTTCTGCTGTTCATCTCGTTGATCTTACAGATAGAACAGCAAATCTTATACAAGCAATGTCTGGAGACTTTATTCCTGGTAATGAGGATCCTATAATGAAGGTTATGACAACTTTTACTTCAATTAACAGAATCCCCTTCGAAGGTTCCATGTCTATTGCGCCGCACGCTGATCGTATCCGAATCATTATGTCTCTTTCTGAAAATCCATCTGACTTGCTTCTTGTTTCTTGGGATGACTTTAAGGGCGATATCTTTTCAAACCCTAGACTTTTTTTCAAGCCTGTCAGCGACTTTTCAATGCGTGAAGGTCTTCCTACTATCCAAGCAAAGATTGCTCTTTTTGCAAATCTCTTTTCCGAAGCCCGATCTCATGCTTGCGCTTTTATTGATCGTGGATTTTCTGGCTCTTCTTCTGATTCCAATACTATTCGCCAAGTTTTGGTACCCTTTTTTGGCGGTAATGACGACTGGTTGGCTTTTGGAATCGCTACCTATCTTGCCAGAGATGAAAATATCCATGTTACAGTGCTAGTTTCTTCTCCTACCACTTGTCTGAAAACTGAAGAAATACCAAACACCAAATTAGAAGTTATCCATTCGGCAACGTCTCAGACTCCTCCCTTAAATGCCAAATCACCTTCTATTTTTTCAAAGTTTAACCGTACGGGCAACACTAGTGAACAATCTGATATTCCTACACCTACTGGAGCCAATGACAGTTCAATGCTCAAGCGAATCAAACAAAAAAAGGACAAGAAGGTTCACAAGACTGTTCATCAAGAAGAGATCCCTTTAAATCCAATTTGGGACTCAATTTATAGTGTTTACGAAACTCTTCCTATGCAAGTGCAGTCATCAATCTCTTTGGTAAAGTTTAATCTTACTCAAGAGGACTCGGTTAAAAAATCATATACCCAAGCCCTTAAATGCTTTGACTTGCACCCCCATGACTTAGTGATTATTGGCCGTAGCACTGGCGAAACTGATAATGATTTTGGCAGCAATTCTGATTTCTTACCTTCAGCTTCTTCATCTGCTCCTATGGCACCATCAACACCCGACCAGCAGTCTTTTAGTTTTACTTCACCACCAGGAATGGTACGTGCTTTGAGCTCCGGTACTTCTATATCTGGATCCAACGGTGGACCTCCCTTGTTTGGTCGCGTAGCTACTGAAATTGTGACTGCACCTGAACTCTCTTGTTCATTTATTGTGTGCCAGGCTTTACATGCACATATTGGATCTGCCGGAGTATCATCAGGAACCGACAACAATATGGGGAATAATGAACCACTTTCAGACGACGGAATTGACCGAAGCAGTGATGAGGAAGTGGGAGAGGCTGAAACTCGCTTATGAACGAATATTAATGACAAACAAAATGCTTATGACTGACGAATATATATAATAGGGCAAAAAAGTGATTCTGCCTATTATTTGCTTATGATATTTTTTAACGACCATTTTTTTTTTTAGATACATAGATTTCCTAGCTTTAATGAGAAAAAATCCTACACACATGAATTTTAAATGAAATCTCTTTTTTTCTAGCTTAATTAAAATTTTTTTTATCCCTGAATACCACCATTATTAGATAACACTTGCCAGAAATTTAAAAGCAACCAATTTTTGAATTTACCGGAGGCAATTTTTTTTTTTTTTCAATTTATTTATTGCAATTTTTTTTCATTATATGCTAATTTGAAGTTCCCTTTATAAATGAAATTTCCGTTTAAACCGATAAAAAAATCTGTTTCAATAGATTAAACAAGGGATTTTGGAAAACTTTGTCTATTATTATTTTAAGAAGTAGCATGCCTATGTCACTGTAACTTGTTTAGATGAGTGGCATGTTGTCCTGTTGCATAGTACAGAGTGCTCGCACATCTGAATGTCCCAGTGTTATCTCATACAATGACCAGCCCTTTAATCATACATAGTGGGGTTAGGGTTAAGGGATACATCTAGTTTATGGAGAAGGAAATCTTTAATGCTTATAAGTAATTACGCGACGTCCTGTTCAACCATCCATCTATCAAATTTCTTACTTAATCCTCTCGACTCGCGCATAGTAATCAGATACGAAGGAATTGTGAAACTAACAGACCATACTGGACTTTTTTTGATTTCAATATATTTGTTTTACTGTCTTTGAATCTATCAATAGAATAAGGGGTTTCTAAAACTTTACTATGCATAGTCATATCAGAAAAAAACAAAAAAGAGGCTCCAGGAGGCCTATACCCTTTTACAAGCATCGGAGTAAACGCACTGAAACTACTATTCATATCACAAAAACCAAGAGCTTTGAAATTTCTACCGAAACACTCAAGACCATCATCAAATTTGGTATCAAGGATATCGCGGTCCCATTAAGCCTTCCAGGGTTTGAATCAAAAATTCAACCACCGGAAAACCTAGATTTATTTGTTGATCGGATTTGTTTCAGGAATAATATCCCATTCAGGGACCCCCCTTGGACCAATAAAGACTACAAGGAATATGCCCCCCAAGCGACATTCAAATTTCTGACCACAGCATTCAAGAGTACACAGACTTACTACAGCTTTCTACTACTTCTTATTTCTTGAGACATTTAATCTATAGCTCTGATCATGAGCTTGAAATTTACACCTGTGCTCTTTTAAATCACCTGGAAGTACAATGTTCAACGGATTCCCCTGTAAAATTCTTACTACTCAAATTTTCTGATCCGAAGTTTCTCCCCGAGACTGATGCGGCCAGCAAATGGGTCGACAAACGACTAGACAATTCTTCTGATTTGCAACCTTTAATATCAGCACTTGAAAAGATTTTGGAGATGAACATACCCAAAGCTTACAGGACAAACTTCACTGACATATACAAGTCAGCTTGTCACAATATCTTCAAATCTTTTAAAAATTACCCTGACCTTCACTTCACTGAGATTAAAGGGGCTCTCACAATCTCTGACATTATTCACAGAGTCAGCTCCTTCAATGTCTTTCGACGTGACAAATCTATAATCACCGAGGAACTTTGTGATACACAATTTTTACATATCTCAGAGTATGCTCTAATGAACATGTCACCTGCTTCAATCTTTGCAAAGACTTTCAGTTCGGCATTACAATACTGCAAAAACTACGACAAGTTTTCAACAACCAGACAGAGCAGCTTTGAAGCAGCTAAACGCGCCATGTCCATAATACTTGAATGCAACTCGTTTGCACCTTACGAGCCCTAGTTTGCCAATTTGATTGATTTCCTTGACATTTATAGCAGCTCTGGTGTCGGTGAACTCGAAGATCTACACAGAACTATTGATAAAACCACTTCCACCTTGCCAAAATCTGTGCCCGCTGGATCTTCTCACAATACTCGAATTGACTACGAAAGTGGCGACTCCAGTAGAGTAACCGAATCGAAAAGACCTGCTGAAAATAGCGAAACTTACGACACCCAAGACGATAATAATAGGAGGAAAAAACGTCGTATGTCTTATACCAGCAGTAATGAGCTCCATGGTGACAATAAAGTTTTTTATCAAGCTCCAATTTCTACAGTTAGCACCGGGAATCTTTCTACTAGTGACAAGTCTGGATGCAGAGACACTCAAGTTTGCGACCATGAGAATCAGAATGCCCACGAACAACCAGATGTTAGCGAGTCCATACCCGCTAATACTGACTTTCTTATTACCACAGGATCTTCTTACCACTACACTGGATTTCTCAGCATCCTGTGTAATGTGCGCAAGGTCCCAGATTCTTCTAACATTTCCAACAATTATGGCACTAATTTGCCAGCTGCTAAACTCATGGGCGATGTAATCATTGATATTGACTACCAGGGAAAACCTTGCTATCTCTACAATGTTTACTACTTTCCCGGTACCACGCTAAACGTATACTCAAACACACATAATTTCTCCGATGGTTCTGGTAATGAAATTAATTTTATCACTGATCACTACAATCGGTCTATCATTGGAGCAAGATCCGCTTATACCGGGCTCGAGTTCCAGTTGTGGACCAAGAACCGTCTCCAGTTCTTTCGCACACCAATGTTTGACGCTGCAAGCATTCTTCGTGCATCCTGTCCATTGGGTGCAGAAGTTGACCTGCTAGGCATGGGGTTTAATGACGAATTCGATCCTGATCTGTCTGTCAATGACATTGATCTTGACGATTACATTGATCTTGACGATTACATCGATATTGACGACGATGACAGTAATAGCTCTACGACAGCCTCTTTAGACACCTCACCTCTGCCCCTTCTTACTGAAAGACACAGGCATAACAAGGCCATCGGCAGTATTTGGCATATACGCTGCGGCCATATTAATGATAAAAAAATTGACCTTCTCGCTAAGCACAAACTCGTCACTGGGTTACCTTCCGATATCTTTTGCCTAGATCGGTGCTCCACATGCATTCAAGCAGAGCTATCTTTTGGTGCTTTCATTCGCAATGCCAACTCTAGGAGTAATCCATTCGAACGCCTTCATGCTGATATTATTGGTCCCTTTGCAAAAGGTATCAATTCCTCCCGCTACTGCCTCGTAGTCACTGACGAGATGTCTGGTTACCTCTTCCTGCGCCCACTCATTTCGAAGAGCTGCCTTGAGACAAGCGAAGCTTTGAGCTCCATCATCACTGAAATTATCAACGTTTTTAAGCGTAGACCCAAGTACTTTTTTTCCGACCAAGGTGAAGAGTTCCTTGGTTTGGAAATGAAACAGCTTCTCTACAAGCATTCAATATGTAAAGCTGATACAACTAAGGACACTTCGCAGACTCAAAACTTTATTGAAAGATACGTACGAACAGCAAAAACACACATCCGTTCTCTGCTATTTCATGCTCATCTACAAGAATCTTTCTGGGACATTGCCTGCGCTCAAGCGGAATTTCTTTACAATGCTACTCTCCTTGACACCATTAATGGAAAGTATACTACCCCATATTATATTGCTCATGGCAAACCCGCTCGTTTTGGGAACCTTCGTATATTTGGTTGTGATGTTAAATACAGGGAACTAGGTTCCGGCAACAGTCGTTCCACACCAGAAGTTTTTGGAATTTACCTTGGCATGCCGCACAATGACAGGAAATGCTTCTTCGTGTTCAATATTGTTACTGCGAAAGTAATAAAGGTGCGTGACATCGTTTTCTATAAAAGCAGATTTGTACAGCAATCCATGATCAATTGGAAATCCCAGGCTCCCTCAGCCCCGTATTTCGATATACTCGACACTACTGCCTCAAACTCTGATGAACCAACCATCACGACTCATAGTGAATATATTCCTATCCCTTACTCATCGCAGGCTCAAAGGTCAACGTCGAGTGCATCGACTTTAGCAAGATCCGGATTGGGGCGGATGCCATTAAATATACAATTGGCACGCATCGCCTTGCCATCCCGCAACTCTGCACCACGACACACTGGCGCACGACCGGGTTCCAAGTAAGCAGCCCTAACGAGTTTGCAAAGAAGAGCTTTCCCCGATTCTACTGACTCCTCTGTCTCAATACCAATAGTCTATTGTCTCGAACACTCACTTCATCTATTCCCCCGATCCGATTCTTAGAATCCAAGGGATACCTTCCCCAGACCACAAGCTCCGGTAACCAATACTATTTTATATATATGTAGGCACTTGTAGGGAATAGGTAAGAACCATTTCAAGTACAGGTAGACATAAGTGGGCATAGTTGTAATGTAACAACTAGACCCCTTTCACATGCTAAATATTACTCTCTCAGACCGTGAAATTCTTAAACTATCTGGAAAGCTTATTATTTTACTACTTGAATAAGAAGGAATGCATAACTGACGTGTTGAAAAATAGCCAGTTAATATTGTACCAGTTTATTTGAATAACTATTCAACTATTAATTATGTGTATCATAAAACCTTTCTTTTAATTAAATACAATTTTTTTTTTTCAATTCGCAAGCATCATGGCAGGTTCCTCAGCTTCCGATACGAGTATTATCTCGGGTCGCAATCCCATTATTTACTCGTCATCGAGCCCTCTTACACTTTTTTTAGTTCAGGTAATTTTGATTTTGTAGTAACTTCCCCGCATTTTTAACAAAACTTACAGGCTTTTATCATCATTGTTTTCTGCAGGCTTATCCATTACCCACTTTCATTTATTCGCCAGCCTAAAGTTATTGGTGAGGTCATTGGAGGAATTATTCTTGGTAAGTAAATTAAGGATATTTTTTTTTCTAGCTCGTTAACACAAAAGTGTAGGCCCCACAGCCATGGGTCGAATCCCCAACTTTACAAATTCCATTTTTCCCCCGGCCTCGCTTCCCAATATTAATTTGGTAGCCCAGCTTGGTCTTATTTTTTTCCTCTTCATTGTTGGTATGGAAATTGACATTCCCTATCTACGAAAACATTGGAAAATAGCTGCCAGTGTGGGTGGTGGTTCTGTTATTCTTCCATTTTCTCTGGGCTATGCTGTCGCCATTGGACTTTACAATGAGTTTGTGGATAAGGATACACACATCAGTTTTGGAACGTTTGGGCTTTTCATTGCTATTGCCATTTCCATTACAGCGCTTCCAGTGCTTGCCCGTATTTTGACGGAGCTTGGTTTGCTACACGATACTTCAGGTATCATGGTTTTGGCAGCAGGTGTAAGCAATGACATTGTTGCATGGGTTCTTCTTGCCCTGGTGATTTCTCTTGCTCATGCCGGAGCTCCCATTGATACCCTTTACATTTTACTTTGTGCTATAGGGTGGTTTCTTCTGCTTGCCTTTGGAGTCCGTCCTATTCTTTACAGGTTTCTTAAACGGACAGGCTCTATTGACAAGGGACCCACAGAGTTTGCTGTTATTGTTATTTTACTGATGGCTTTTGTGTCATCTTTTTTCACCGACGTTATTGGTGTTCATTCCATGTTTGGCTCTTTTATTGCCGGTGCCATTATTCCTCGTGAAAATAATTTCCCTGCAAAACTTACCGAGAAAATTGAAGATTTGGTTACAGCCATTTTCATTCCCATTTATTTTGCAATCTCTGGCTTTAAAGTGAATTTGGATACCCTTAACGATGGAAAAACTTGGGGATATACTATTTTGGTGATTGTGATTGCATTTGTAGGCAAAGTTCTTGGCTCTGCGGTTCCAGCAAGACTTCTTGGACTTGGGAATAAAGAGGCAGTTGAAGTTGGTATTCTCATGAGTTGCAAAGGTTTAGTTGAGCTGGTCATTCTCAATGTTGGCTTGGAGGCAGGAATTCTGAATACAAAACTTTTTTCCATGTTTGTTCTCATGGCCATTGTGACGACGTTTGCAACAACCCCGCTTACTGTTCTTTGGAGAAACTACATGGCCAAACGTGAAACCAAAAAGCAAAAAGACCAGTCATCTCTTTTATCTGACAACAAAAATGGAGTTCCACGTGGCATGAACTTTAAGCTTAAAAAGATTGTCCTTGCCTTTGACAATGAAGAGATGCTGACCTCCAACATGGTTTTGACGCAAATGCTTGCAAACCCGGAAAAGCTTGTTTCTCTAAAATCTACTATATTTGACGACTCACTTTCAGCCGTTAGCTCTCGGTCTACGATCAACCATCAAAGCTTTTTTTCATCTGCGTTACACAAGGACATTTTTGTTTCTGCTGTGCATCTAGTTGATTTGACTGATCGTACAGCCGATCTTATTCAAGCTATGGCAGGTGATTTTCTACCTGCAGCACACGATCCGTTAATGAAAGTTATGAATACATTTACGGCACTAAACCACATTCCTTTTGAGGGTTATATGTCGATTGCTCCATATGCTGACCGCATGCGTATCATCATGTCCCTTTCAGAAGACCCATCGGATCTGCTTTTTGTGTCATGGGCCGATTTCCGAGGCGAGATAGCAGCCAACAAGCGGCTTTTATCAAAATCAATGGCCGAATTTTCAGTACGTGAAGGTCTGCCTGTCTTACAAGCAAAGATGGGTGTTCTTTCTGGGTTGTTTTCTGCAGCCAAATCACACACCTGCGCTTTTATCGATAGAGGGTTTTCTGGTAGTTCTACAAATGCACTTCAAACCAAACCACAGGTTGTGGTTCCATTTTTTGGAGGGAATGATGACTGGCTAGCTTTTGGAATTGGGCTCTATTTGGCGAAAAACCAGAACGTTCAGGTTACTGTTCTTGTTGAGACGCCTGTAACTATTTGTAAAAACGAAACCCATGAGATACCTAATCCTCCAGAACGCGCGGTCTCGCCTTCAAGATTTGGACTCAAGCGCGGGTTTGGATTCATGGGTAACAAGATTGTGGATTCGCCAGATTCACTGGATTCTACAGTATTCAATGTCACAGTTTTGAAGGGCAAAGAGAACAATAAGGGCAGTCCCGAAATTAGTACTGAGTCAGTGTGGGACACAGTTACCGAAGTCTACAATGAGTTGCCTACCGAGCTTCAAAGCTCTGTTACGCTGACCAAGTTTTCGCACTCGCCACAGCAGCAAGAACAAGAAGAACAAAGTGATTTAACTTATACAGAAGCCCTCAAGCTGTACCGGTTAGGACCGCACGATCTTGTAATTATGGGCCGCAGCACTCGTGGGACTGAAAACAAGCCCATGTTAGCAGAGGCCCCTCATGCCTCTTTCCGACAGGCAGTTTTGTCTGAGGGCATTGATGTTGTTTCCGCTAATGAGACTAGGGATGAGGAGAGCGAACAGGAGTGCTTGTTTGGAACAGTAGCAGGGGAAATTGTGGGGTCCAGCGAGATCCAGTGCTCGATGATTGTGTGCCAGGCTGCACAGACAAGTGTCAGTGTTGTTGTTGCAGGCAATGACGACGCAGCGGATATTTTACCAGCAGGCGTGGTATCTGTGGTTTCTGAGCCTTTGAAAGATTGAGCAAGTGAGTTATGTTTACGTAATTTTTTTTGTACACATGAAGTAAAAATAAAGTCGCAACAATACTGTTGTGGAAGACAACATGAGAAACGCAGGAGTTTATGTTTTCCCAAATAGGAAAATTAGTTGATTGAAGGTGCAAGTATAAATATATATCAAAGAATTGCCACCCCTCTCTTCCTTATTTTTTTTTATTATAATTCTTTTTTGAAGCTCTTTTAATTTATTGAACTCCACAAAAGGTCCTTATTATTATCTTTTTTCTTACTTTTTTCCGCACTGCTAATTTGAATAGAAATATCTTTTATTTCTCAAGGCTCATTGTTTTTTTACAAAAGAAAAGAACAGAATAGAAAAAAAAATGAAATTTTTATCCAATTTAAAGAAGTCCCAACCATGGACATTTTCTCATTCTGTTTTGGATGGCTCATTTTTTGGGCCTCTGTTGCTGTTGTTCCTGGGAACTATTGCAGTTGCACCTATTGGAGCGACATTTACCCCCAACCTGGAGTTTGGTCTTTTAACAATTAACTCTGGAGCGCCCGTACATTTGCTTGGGTTAAGTATCAATGAAGACGGGCGTCTTGGGTACTTGTCTAACAGTCGGGACCCGTTTATTGGCAAGTTTGCCTCGGACGGGAGGGTATATGTCCCCGGACAGCCATCGACTTATCTGACTGTGGGTGGGGTGAACCGCACGTCACTTCAAATTGTACGCAATTCCAATGTGACGACAACTTTTGACGTGAATTCTGAAGGCCACTTTTTATATCGCAACTCATCACTGTTTATTGCAGTTAATGAGGGCTCGGGTCAGTCGGCAGGACCTGGGTCACCTGGCGGACCCACTGGTAGCTTGTACCGATACTATGTGTATGACTCGCAGCTACTATCTGATATCCGAGGAAAGGAGTATTACACGGTGGCGTTGCGAGTACTTTGGAGTCAGAGCGGTAAGGGCATGGCGAGTCTGGGCAGTGGTACTGATAATGATGACGATGCGTCTGCCACGTTTGCAGGGAATGTGACTGGATCGGCTTTGGCGGGGAATTTGAGTGTTGTTGCATCAAACTACACTCTTAATGGCTCAGTCTTGTCGCAGGTGAGTGGCAGCGGACTCGGCAGCAAGAGTTGTGCATTGTCGTATGCTGCTGTTGCTGGAATGCTTGCTGCCACGGTTTTGGTCCTTGTTGGGACCAATATTGTTTTTGTTTTCTAAAGGGTAATGGCAACAAGTGAAGAAAAGAATAATTGAATGGATTGCCCCCAATGTCGTTTCTAGACTAATATAGAGGAAAATAAAAATTAAAGAAATCTCATTTATTCAAAAAAAAAAAAAAACAATCTACATTCTAAAGAGCAAGGGGGAAAAATGGGGTTCTATAACAGGGAAAATAAGATGACTAAAGAGCGTAGATAATGTTTTCACGGAACGCGGTGACATTAACTTGAAGTTTGTTTCTGACTCTACTAGGAGGTGAGGGTTTAGATGAAAAGGACTCTTTTGTAAGTCTGAGGTAATGTTCAAAAGGTAATTGATGGGCAGTTAAAGCGGTGTTTGAAGGAGTTTTTGATGTTGGCGGTGTTGTTGAGGATGTAGGGGAGACAGTTGCTGCAACTTTAGCATTTAGGCGGAACTTTGTGCTGTAGTAAGTGTAATAATTTTGGTAAAATTTGAGTTGGGCATGGAGGTGGAACCGGTGAGGATATCCCTGCTTTGGAGAGTTGTTGGAGTGCTTCTGAGGAGCATTGGGAAAAGTAAAGGCGGCAGAGCGAAGGGTTGGATGAGTGTTGACGAGAAGAGCAAAACGTGGTGAGTCGAGGAGGTAGGGCAAGTTGGCAAAAGCTAAAGTTTCAAGGAAATGGAGGTTGCGCAAAATACACTCGCAAATGCATTCGACGTATGCCAGATCCAGACACACACTAAGAGCAAAGAGGAAGAATTCATGTGAATGTGCGTCTTTGCGGGGGTTTGGGAAAGCAAATGTTGGTGGAATGGATTGATCTTGATTTTGATTTTGATCTTGATTTTGCTCTTGCTCTTGTTCTTGCTCTGGTTTCAGGAACGTTTCAATTAGACCAAGAGGGTCACATAGAGAACGAACATAAAGAGCTGGAGGAAGAGCTGGGTACTTTTGGGCAAACTGGGCTAGCAGATTTATGATGAGGGACTCACGCAGGGGGTCATTTTCGAAAGGGTTGCCAAACAAGGGAGCGTTTTCTGGTAGCTTACAGTGTTGTAGAAGTTCAGCCAGCTGAGCAGTCATTGCTGATTCCTTTTGTTCAAGAGTAAGAGTTTGATAATTGTTTGTAGACTTTGGAGAGGTTGAGGGAGGGATATCGTGGTATGTAAGTGGGAAACGCATGATTTTTGTATCGAGGACGAGATGTTTGAGGTTTGACATTTGAGCAAAGAGAATCATGTAATCTGGGAGATGTTCAAAGTCACATATGGTAACTGATAAAGAGGTGATTACCTTGGTATTAATGACTGCCTTAGGAGTAGACAATTCTGGTTGATCTTGTTGGTCTGGAATGACCTGTGGTGGTGGAGAGAGGCCTGTAGAGTGGAGGAGTTGCACGCAGGACGAGTCTACACCATGAAGAGCAAGAGTGAACACATTTGGAAGAGAGATGCGTTCGAGGTGGTAGATAAGAGAGGATGGGACATACGAGGCAGTGTAGTTGATGTGGATGGAGAGTTCTGTTGCCAGATCCAGAGCAAAGGGTGGGATGATGGTGATGTTGTCGTTGTTGTTGGTTTCGGTTGTTTGATCGTCTTGTTGCGTTGTTGTTGGAGAATTGACGGACTCGTCTGAGACAAGGGTGATAGCGAATCGGGCGAAATCTTCTTTGGGTGTGTGCGGCTTTAAACGTTGAGCGGTTGTGTATGCAAAGTCGTTGGTTACCAAGTAGGCCAGGGCGATGTTATCCAGACATGGCAGGGAGTTTAGGTCTGTGATAAGACTAGCGTACCAATCAGAGAGTGAGAGGGTAGAGACAGGAGAGACGGGAGAAGGACTAGGCGCAGAAAAGGAAAGAGAAAAAGTTGTCAGGCTCCGGAGGTGGGCTAGCGGTGGTGGCCGAGAAGCTGTCAGCGTTGGAGGGAGGTGCAGGTGGAGGACGCTAATGTTTTGCAAGGCCTGGACATGAGAGGGATAAGTTGTAGTTAAGGAGAGATGTGGAACGGAAGCCAATAGATAAAAAAGGTTTGAAGGGAAGGGGGGATAAGATGCTAAACACGAGGCCGAGAGAGGTAGAAAGACTTGAGTTAGGTTAGGATAATAGGCGAGAAAGGACTCTCGGGAAATGTTGTCCGTGTTATTTGGATGGTTAAAAAAGGACGATGAAGGGGGTTGTTGGATATAGAGCTTGTGAACTTTGGAGGACTGGAACCATGAGTAACGATAAGGATGGAGGAGGGCTTCAAGAGGAATAAGACGAGAGGAAGAAGAAGAAGAAGAAGAAGATGATGATGACGATGGAAAGGGAGAGTTTAAAGTAACAGATGGAGATGTTGAAAGTGAAGATGAATAGAAAGAAAGTGGAATATAGACATCCCTGAGTTTTGAGCACGTTTGGCTGAGAGCGATAAGATCAGAAGCCGAGAGATATTCCACGAGTGCAACGTGGAGATCTACAGGAAGGGAGTTCATTGATTAGAGACTTGGATTTGAAAAGAAAGAAGAAGGAAGAAGGGAGGATATTTATATTTATATATACATATTTTTATTTTTTTTTCTAGTCTATATTTATTTCATTATTTAGTTAATTATTTATTTATTAATTTAATATTAGTGATTGACAAGACATATTTTGTACGCAGGGTATTAAAAGACTAGTGGCCGTAGTCCGTAACGGACTTAGGGATAGAAAAGTTTTGAATGGTAATTATTATGATTATGATTATTATTATTTGATTTGATTTGATTTGATTTGATTTGATTTGATTTAGTTTAATTATTATCATTTTTATCCAAGATAAGATTTTGACATTTTTCAAACAAATCAAGTAAATTTCCGTTTAATCTTAAATTAGTGCTTCTTTTGACTTTTGGACATTTCATCAAAGCTTAAAAAGTCTTTAGGCCTTTAATCAAAAAAAAAATAAATAAATAAATAAATAAAAAAGAAAAAAAGAAAAGAAATCGGAGGTTAAAAATGGGATTATCTTCTGTCAAACAAAGAAAAAAGAATAAGGTTCACGGGTGGTTCAGGAGCGGAAGCCCGGCAGGTATTGTTACATTGGAAGAAGGATTCTTAAATATATATATAGTCTACTATCATATGAATGAAAGAATGAATGAATTAAAATAAAATTTAATAGATAGATAAATGGGTATTACTTTAGGTATTTCACAAAAAAAAAAAAAAAAGGGGGGAGGGAATGTTATGTCCATTTAAAATATTTTGATGATTTCCTCAACTTTTGATGATGATTTGCAATTTGCAATTTGTAATTTTTATATTTTATTTTATTTTATTTTATTTAAATGGAGGTTTCAAAAAAAAAAAAAAGTCGTGGCGTGAGGATTTCTTATTAATGATGACTAATGGTTATATAATCTTTATGACGTATTTCCTATTTTTTTTTCTTTTCCTCTTTACAACCACCATTACTATCACCATCATTGCCCAGTAGAATTTTTAGGAAGCTCGTGATTTCCATCACAAAATCTAGCAACAATGTCATTAAGAGAAAAAAAAAAGTCTGCTCGAAGCTTCTGTAAATTATTTTATAAAATTTTGTTTTTTTATTTTTATTTTCATTATTAAAAAAAAAAAAAAAAAAAGCCCTCAGAATTTCTCAAAGCACAACCAAAAATCCTTTCACATCTCGTGGTGGTGTTGGAAAAAAAAAAAAAAATAAAAATGCACGCTTTTCATTTATGCATACAGTGTTTATTTATTTAATATTTATTTAAATACACCACTGCGTAGATTCGATAACAGACCCCGTAGATTTGAGTATTTTTACAGCCGCCTTGCCTGTGCTTTTTTTTTTTTTATTTTTTTATTTATTTATTTATTTATTTGTTTTTGTTTTTGTTTTTTTAAAATTTATCAAAGCAATGTGAAAAGGTCTTTTTTCATTCTTGTCAAATTTCAAATCCTTTTTTTTTTTTAAAAAAAATAAAAATAAAATTTTCTCATTTTCACTTTCTTTTTTTTAAAAAAAAAAAAAATTACATTTTTGAAGTTCATCAATTGAACTTTTTCATTATTAAATTATCTTTTAACCTCAGTTTATCTTAATAGATAATAATCATCCTATTGTATATATATATATAATATATATATTTACTACTACTACTACGTGTGGCCTTTCTGAGCTTATTTCACACTTTACACTTTAATATACACACACATACATCCCACTTATCACAGCCACTACCACTCTTTCCTCCTACTACTATTACTACTACTACTATCCCGCCACCAAAATCCTTCATCACCAGTCTTAAACTTTTTTTTATTTCATTGAAATATCTTCTTCTTCTTTTTCTTCTTCCATTAAAGAAATATTTGAAAAAACTTGAATATATTCTAATAAAATAATAAGAAGAAAAAGAAAAAAAAACAAGTATTTTTTTATCTGTCTCAACAGCAATACTTTAAAAGCAACTAAGATAGCCCTTTTGTCTTTCTGTCTGTCTGTCTGTCTGTCTGTCTACCCATCTTGAGTAACAATAACCAACTTTAAAACCTTTTTTTTTTCCTTCTTCCATTTTTTTCCTTTTTCAATTGTTTCCTTTTCTCTTTCTTATTTCTTCTTCATTTCTTCTTTTTTTTATTTTTTTTTCTTTCTCATTCTAATATATTATTAAACTCTTACTTTATACAACCTCCATCTTAGGCCTCTCGGTAGACCTAATCCTCTAGTACGTATTCTTCTTTCGTTAACCTCATGTTTCCGTGACTTATACGATTCTTAAAAATATCTTCTTCCTCTTCTCTCTCTCTCTCTCTCTCTCTCTCTTTTTTTAATAATAATCCTTGCATCCACTCATTCTCCATACCACCTTTTCCCCCTCTCTTGTTCTTCCTCCACTCATGGACTTTTTCCGCCAAAAGAGAGCAATCACGCCCTCATACCTTCTACTCACTCTCCAGCGAGCTTACGAAGATGCATACCAATCTTCTGTCCGCGCAATTCTTCTTGAAACTCGCGACCAGCCAGCTGATGCTCTTGCCGCTTGGAAACGTACTCTCAAAACAATCTCAGCCCACATGGCTACCGTCACTGAAACCCCCAAGGCTCCTCAGGAAATTGATCTTATGACAAATATTATGAATATTGAAAAACAATGTCATGACCGCATCTCCTTCTTAGAACGTGGGTGGCCAGACACAAACCCCTATGCCTCCTATTCCTTGATTGATTCAGATGAGTATATTGCTACAAACTCGGGTCTCCCCATGGCTAGAGCCTCAACAACAAATGTCAATTTGGCCCCTAAACCAGCAACTACATCGTCTCCAGTATCTCCAGTTTCAACTAATTCGTCGTCTCCATCTTCGTCTTCTTCTTTTTATTCAATGGCATCCTCTAACCAACAAAAGCAGCAACTCCGCGCAAAAGTGGTTTCTAACCCAAATGTGTCGGCCTCATCAGCATCTACTTCCAAAGGTACCTTGAATCCATTTTCTACTACAGCTCCCGTACTCTTCCCCATTTCTTCCACTACTACTAATACTAGTCACTATTCTAAACCATCATTATTGACTCCTAACAATACTGACCCGGAATATTCTTTTTCCTCTTCTTCTTCTTTTTCTTCTTCAGATCACTATTATTACCCAGAGCTTCATGAAGACTCTCCCCAAGACCAAAAACCTCCTCCAATCCCCCCTAAAATCTCCCTAGACTACTCGGACAACTCAACTACAACAGATTTTAGTGCTGAAGCCTACCAAAGCCGTCTTGACCCAGGTTCCTCTTCTGCTTACTTGATAGACCTTTCTTCTACATCAACAACTCCAGTAGCTTCTACCTCAGCCCTCCCTCTCCCCCAGAGCATTAACCCTCCTCAAACCTCTCGCGCTTCCCCTAAGCGTAAACCTGTTGATTCTAGTGAAAACCTTTTGGACATGTCTAGATTGGCCTCAAATGGCCAGTCTACAGCTACTCTTGGACATCTACCTCATAAATCACATCCTCCTCCTCCTCCTCCTCCTCCTCCTCCTCCTTCTTCTTCTTCTTCTTCTTCCTCTTCAAACAAACCTTTAAAGTTGGCCCATCCAAAACCTGTCCAAGCAAGTTCTACCCCAATTTTGGCTCATCATCCACGCACAGCCACACCTCCGAAAGCGGCTTCTACCTCTTCTCTTTCCAGCACAAAGTCAAGCACCCCTCCTACTCCCACCAATGTAGACCAGCAGTTTGCAAATCTTTCTTTGGGCTCTCGCAGAACCCCAAGTCCTTCATCCCATGGGTTTTTCAAGCACAAGGAATCCCAGGAACCTTCTGCTGCTTCATCAGCTCCTCGAACCATGCTTAAAACATTGCGTAACCACCAAAAGCTCCCCCGCAAAATCATGGATGAGCGCAAGGCTGCATCTGCTCATGCAGCAACTCTCGCATGGGGACCACATAAACAAGACCGTGCTGCTCATAACCAGCAAATCTCTCTTATGGCTGCGAATATTTCGTCGACTCAAGCAAGAAACGCAGGCTATTACCCACAAGTGTCATCATCATCGGCAAATGGGACAAGTACCAGTAGCAAAGTTTCGTATAATAAGCCAACCGTCTTTAAAGCTCCCGTGATTCATGCACCCGTGACAAAACAAGCGTCCCACCAGCGAACGTCTTCGGCAACTCATGTGAAATCGACAGCAACATCAGCATCTACGCAACATCACCAGCAGCAGCAGCAACAGCGCCGTGCCCAGCCAAAATTTATTATTGATAAAAAGCCGCAGACGCCCCCCGCGCAACCCAAACATGCTGCGCCCACCACAAAGGCCAAAGCCACACGTACAAATGGGGCAGCTAGTGGTAGTAGTAGTACTAATACTAATACTAATACTATTATTGCATCCACTACTACTCCCACCACCCCCGCACACAAACAAAAACAGGATACCCCAGAACCTGCCCAAGAAGAAACTAGTAGCTCGTCTGCCAGTGACGATGCCGAATTTGATTCTGACGAGAACGACGAGGACGAAGAGGAAGCTTGGCTTCAAAAGGCCCGTGCTACTGTCAAGAAAATCAAGGGCATTGACCAAAACGCTGCAGACCAAATCTTTAACGATGTGGTTGTCAAGGGTGACCCTGTTGTGTGGAATGATATCGCTGGTCTTGAAAAGGCCAAGAGCTCACTTAAAGAAGCTGTGGTTTACCCTTTTCTTCGACCAGACTTGTTTTCTGGGCTCCGCGAACCTGCACAGGGTATGCTGTTATTTGGCCCCCCAGGAACCGGTAAAACCATGTTGGCACGTGCTGTAGCCACAGAGTCCAAGTCAACCTTTTTTTCCATTTCTGCATCTTCTTTGACATCTAAGTTTCTTGGAGAATCTGAGAAACTAGTACGTGCCTTGTTTTTAATGGCCAAGGCCCTTGCTCCCTCCATCATTTTTGTTGACGAGATTGACTCGTTATTGTCTGCTCGATCAGACACTGGGGAGAATGAGTCGTCTCGTAGAATCAAGACTGAGTTTTTGATTCAATGGAGTGCACTTCAACACGCTGCGGCTGGTAAGGAACACGATGACGTGACTCGGGTGCTTGTTCTTGGAGCCACCAATCTGCCGTGGGTGATTGACGAAGCTGCGCGACGTCGCTTTGTTCGTCGTCAATACATTCCTCTACCTGAGCCCGAAACACGGCGGTACCATTTGGAGAAGCTACTAAGCCGTCAAAAACATTCCATTTCCGAAGTTGAAATGAATCAGCTGGTGGAGCTAACAGATAGCTTTTCCGGGTCTGACATTACTGCTTTGGCCAAGGATGCAGCCATGGGTCCACTTCGTGCTTTGGGTGAGGCACTTTTGACCACTCCACAGGACCAGATTCGTCCATTGGGATTTGCAGACTTCAAGGCTAGTCTTGAGACAATCCGTCCGAGTGTTTCCAAGGAAAGTCTCAAGGTGTTTGAGGACTGGGCTGAAATGTATGGCAGCTCGGGTGCCTGATTTGAGCTATCATTTATTGTTTATATAAATATTGGGGTCTCTTTTTTTGTTATCTTTTTTTTTTAATTCAAATAGGTCATTTTTTTTTTCTCTCTCTCTCTAATTTTTAATATATATATATATATATATATATATATATATCTATCTATATACCTTTTCTTCCATGAATAAAACAAACAAGTAAATCTTTCCTTTCCAAGTATTCAAAAATGGATTTAATTTAATCAAAGTCTTCGACTAGTCGTGTTGATGCGGCGCAGGTTGTTTTCGTATCACACGTTAAAAAAAATTTTTTTATTTTTCAGAAAACCTTCACCTGATTTTTTTTTTTTTTTTAATATCTTCCCATAATTCCATTTTTTAAAAAAAAAAATTTTTTTCCCCCTTTTTACCCTTTCCTTCTTTCTTTCCTTCTTTCCTTCTTTAAAGATCCCAATTGATCATTTGCTCTTTATCATATAATTTTTTTCAAGAATGACCACAGAAGCTGCTGCTACTACTGGCGAGAAACGCAAGATTCAAGATACCGATACCCAATCGGTTCCTGCTACCAAAAAGGCCGCGTTAGAAACTCCTGCGGCTCCAGTCTCTGAGGAAACCCTCAAGGCCAGGTTTTCATCCAATTTGTTTGAAGAACCAACTCGTGAATTACTCAAACAACAGATTACAGATTCAGAACCTTACAAACATGGCGTAATTCCGGAGCTTATGAATGATGAATTACTGAGGCGAGTGCGAGATGAAATTAAGGCTAGTTTACACTTTACAAAGAAAGAAACAGATATTTACAAACTGTTTCAAACTGGCGACCTGCGGAACTTATCTGGTTTAGATGCAGAGGAAAAGGCTCAACTTACAGCTTTGGGACAATTACGCGAAGCACTTTACTCTAAACCGTTCCGTGAACACCTCGCTTACGTCACAGGATCCGGGGCATTGTCTGGAACTAAACAAGATTTGTCAATCAATGTGTACCAACAAGGATGTCACTTGTTGAACCATGATGATGTAATTGGGAGCCGTCGAATCTCGTATATTTTGTACTTGCCTGACCCAGATGAGGTGTGGGAGTACCCAAAGAATGGAGGTGCGCTACGGCTGTATCCCACGGAAAAACCCAATGTTCCAGCCAAAGATTGGACCAAGGTTGTACCTCCTGCATGGAACCAGTTGGCATTTTTCACAGTTCAACCAGGACTAAGTTTCCATGATGTGGAAGAAGTATTTGTCAATAAACCTCGTATGTCGATTTCTGGGTGGTTCCATATTCCACAACGTGGTGAAGAAGGGTTTATTGAGGGTGAGTTAGAGGCTACAGAAGCTAAAAGCTCGTTACATCAGTTGGAGAGTAATGAGCTTCAAGAGTTTGACTACCCGAAACGAGTTTTTGTGAATGTGGATGAACAGGAAGTTGAGCAGGGTCGTTCACAAATTGCTGCACTTGAGGATTCAGAAGAAAAAACAAGCGAATTACTACTCCCTCTAGAATCACAAGAGTATTTAGCCAAATACCTGAACCCAACATTACTAAAGTCTGGACCATTGTTACAGCTTTCATCACGATTTTTGAGTGAAAGTGTGGTCGAGGTTCATGATTTCTTAAATGCAGAGTATGCAAGTGCTTTAAAAATTGCTATTGATCGTGTCGACATGGACGATGAAGAAGCAGGAATTAAGGTACCATTCAGATCAACTGATATTGAACTACCATGGAAACTTGCAGGCCCTCCTCACAAGGCTCGGTATATGTACTTGGATGGGTTGCGCACATATGAGGCTGAGGCTGCTGCAGAAACAGAGGCTGAGTCGAGTTCTGGATTATCTGGGGATGCATCTGTGATTGTTGATAATAAAGTGATTATTGAGGCTAAAGCAGCAAAGTCTTTAGAGTCAATTGCTACAAGCAAGTTATTGGAAGTACGTGAATTGTTTCAAAGCCCACACTTGCGAGCTTGGTTACGAGCTGTATCACGACTTAATCCAATGACTGCACGAGTACTTGTGCGTCGATTCAGACCAGGACTTGATTTTACATTGGCCACAGGATTGTATAAGAAGACAAAAAAGAATGAAGATGATTCCAAAGATGATTCTGAAAATTCAGAAGATAATGACGATGAGCCTGGTCAATTGTTAGAAGCCACTTTGGGATTGACACCAAGCAAAGGCTGGGATGATGGTGAGTTAGGTGGTTATGAGTTATATATGGGAGTTGAAGAAGAAGACACAGATACTCAATTGGATCCAGCTGTTTATCGACGCAAGGATACTCGTGTGAGTGCAGATGGTGGTGATTCTTATGGCAAGAGTGGGGCAGTTGGTAAAGAAGAAGGAGGAGATGAAGATGATGATGATGATGATTCTGTATTACTTACAACACAGGCTGGATGGAATGTTTTGACACTTGTTGTACGTGATGAGGGGATTCTTAAGTTTGTAAAATATGTGAGTGGGAATGCACCAGGTAGTCGTTGGGACGTTTCGTCTGAGTGGACTATTGAGAATGTTGATGATGATGACGACGAAGATGAAGATAAAGATAAAGATAAAGATAAAGATGAAAATGAAGAACAAGATTAAAAGAGACATTCATATATTTCCAATTAAATTTTATATATAATAATTTTTCAATTTCTTTAAATTCCAATTCCAGATATCTGTATCGAGACTTTGATTTTTCTTGCAAAATGTTTTAATAATAATTAATGACTACTACTACTTACTACCACAACTACTACCTACAGCTACACCTTTACTAAAGAGGCCACCTAAGTAGAAGCCTCACGTGCCTCTCTGTACTTGTTATCCTGGACACTTTGCAGCTCATCAATTTCCGGGAGAAGTTGGTTAAGAATCTCGACAGAAGCCTTGTGGTAAGCAAGTTGGGCAGCAATGAGGTCCGAAAGGTTACGGAGAGGCTCAGGGGTATCAAGAATGTTCTTCATGACAGAGACAGCTTCCTCAGTGGCAGCAACAAATTCGTCTTCAGCTTGTTCAACCTCGACACGGGCAGCAACCTGACGCTCAGGCTTTGCAGTTTTGGCAGCAGCCTTGGCAGCGTCAAGATTGAGGCGGGCCTTGTGGACATTTGCACGGGCTTTTGCGGCGAAGCGGAGAGAGGTGTTAAGGGTGGTAGCAAAGGCGGCATTAAACCGGCTGACAATAAGAGAGTCCTGAGACAGACGGGCGTCGCCAATCTTAGCCTCAGCAACGGCATACTTTTCAAGAGCAGAAGCAAGAGGATCAGCAGAGTCACCGAGTGCCTCAGCACCGGCAGCAGCAGCACGGCTCAGAGCATGGTGAAGGGTTTTGTGCTCCTTGTTTGAGGGGGCAGCAGTCAGAACGGCACCAGCCTCAGCGGCAGAGGAGACCTGTGAAAGGCCTGCGACCTTTTCAGAGATGGTCTTGGAAAGGTCGGTGAAAGACTCCTTAAGGTTAGGGGGGTAGTCGTAACTTTCATTTTCGTATTGGGATCTGAGAGGAAGGTTAATTAGTTAGTTTAGTTATTTAGATAAGGACAATTGATGATGATGATAATAAATAATAACAATAATAAAACATACGTGACAGAAAGGAGTTTCTGGTGGACAGTTTTGAGAGCGTCGACTCTGCGTTCCAATTCAAGATATTCTTCAGGAAGTTTAGTCTATTTTAAAGAAAAAAAAAAAAAAAAAAAAAAGAGAGAGAGAGAAAGAGATTAGAATATGAGAATTTAAGAGTGATGGTGAGGATTCAATTGAATTCAGGAGGTTGGTAGTAGACATACCTTTTCATCGGCACTGCCAATGGTTTCTTGAATCAGACGGGTAGTACGTCTAGTGATAGGGGTGACTTGAGAGCCGAGGCCTTGAAGAGAAGAAGTGAAAGAGGCAAAGCCTTTATTGAATGCATCCATTGTGAAATAAAAGAGGGGATTTAGAAGTGGGTAAGTGGGGTGGGATGGTGAAGTTGATGGAGTTGATGAAGTTTTGTTGATAGTTTCTAAAAGGGAAGTTTAAAGTGGTGGTGGTGGTGATATCAGGAAAAAAAAAAATAAAATAAAAATAAAAATAAAAAAAAAAAAAGGGCAGTTGATAAAGAAGGGGCAGTCAAAGGAGAGGGCAGAGAAAGGACAAGAAAAATACGGTGGCGGTGCCGACAAGAAAAATAAAAAAAAAATAAAAAAAAATAAAAAAATTTAAAAGGCCAACAATAATAAAAAAAAAAGAAGAGGACTTGGATATTCGCACGGCTAAGTATATCTTAGTACGATTGTAAGAAGAAGAAGAAAAAAAAATACGTCAGCGAGTCATTGAAGTACCTTAAAAGGTTTGGAAGTATTTAAAGATAGATAGATTAGATAGATTGAGAGATAGAAAGAAAAGTAAATTTAAATTTAAATATAAATAAATGAAGTTAAAAATAATTAAAATAAATTAAATGCTATTATACAAGGGTTTATTAATGGTACAAGTTAAAAAAAAAAAAATTCAATAATAATAACAAAAACAAAAACAGAGAAAAACAAAATATGCTATCAAAGGGTATTATTTGAACTAGATGAAGATGAAAATTCAGGGACTGCTATTCGTGTGACAGTTCGAGTGACTTGTTCTTCATCAAAAAGATCATTACCACAAGGTGAAGAGGGAAGTGTTGTGCGACACGTGCAAGGCAAAATTGGTGTTGTTTCGTCGACATCAGTTTCCTCCGAGTCGTGTCTACGGCTACTGTTAGGAGATGAGGGGGAAGAAGAAGGATAATGAGAAGGAGAAAAAGAAGTAGAAGTAGAAGAAGAAGATGCAGTACCGAAAAGACTGGATTGATGAGTTAAAGGTTTAGTTGAATGGCGACGACACTTTCGTTCGTATTCCTCTTCGGCCTCGATTTGACCTAGGTAATCAATGTTGACAAGTTTACCAGACTTAATGTTAGGGTTGATATGGTATTCTGGGGATTGAATGATGGTATCAATGAGATAATACTGAAGAGTATTCATAATGAGAGGGAAAACCTTTATTTTTTTTTTTTTTTGAAATGTTAGATTGTTTAATTGTTTGATTGTTTGATTGTGATGATAAAAGACTTACCAACATGACAAAAATCACTTGGAGTTCAGGGTTTTTATTTGTCCAAGAAAGAAGAAATTCTCCAAGATCATCTAACCATGGTACAGTTTGAGTGACAGAGTAAAGAATAGATTTCATACAAACCATTCCTAATAAGTAAAGACTTGCTTGTTTAATAAAGGCTGACCAACGAGGAGGATCACCATATTGACCTGATAAGATTTCAGTTACACCTATTCGAAAGGCAGTCATATGAATGATATAAAGGAAAAACCAGAGAATAGGGACACCTAAAGTAGTATCGAGGAGAAGGTTTAAAAAGTACCAGTTACATGGGTTATCATCAACATCAGGTTCGCCTGAATGGGATGAAAGAATAGATAGTAAGACATTAATCATGTGAAGTCCTAATGCACCAAAGACCTGCTTTGATACATCAAAGAACCAAATCCACCAAGGTCTTGGTGGATTTTCATAAGATCGTTTAAGTACAAGTGAAAGAATAGCTAAAGCACCCATTGAGCATTGAATAACTAAAGCTAAAGGACCTAATAGTTCACATTGAGGACCATTTTTTTCACCTGTAGAAGGTGGTGGAGGTCCATGTCTAGGAGGGGCCAAAGGTCCATAAGCAACAATGGCAAAAATAGGAGTTGATATTATGCGGCGGACCACAAAGGCTATAGCAGGGTGATAATCGTTTAGCATGTGTATTGTATGAGGGGTAGTAGTAGAGTTATGGCTGTTGTTGTAGTTGTTGTTGTTGTTGTTGTAGTTGTAGTTGATGATGATGATGATCAGTTTATGTGTAAGAAATTGGATGGATATTAAATGATGATGGGGTATTTTTTTTAAAAAAAAAATAAAGGGTAGATTTGGTGTGACTATTACTATGAGATATGATATATGATATATGATATATGATATATATAAGATTAGATATGAATAGATATGAATAGATTCAGTTAGATTGCTTTTAAAAAGAAAAAAAAAAAAGATTTAAATGAATTATCAAAAAATAAAAAATAAAAAGAGTTTTATTTTTTTATTTTTTTATTTTTCTTTTTTTATTTTTATTTATTTATTTAAAAGAGAGATTCTCTCTCTTTTTTTCTCTCTTTCTCTCTCTATCTTTTTTGAGGGCTTTGTTGTTGTTTGTTTGTTGGTGGTGGTGTTGGTGTTGGGGGGGGAGAAATAATTTTGTTGCTTTTTTTTTTTTTTTGATAGAATTGAAATCTTCACACACAAAATTCTATGTATGTGTATGTGTGGAGAAAAAGCCGAGCCGCAAGTGGTTGTACTAGTAGTAGTAATAGTAGTAATATTATATAATATATATAGTAAGTTATTATTGTAATTATTGTTGGAGGAGGAAGAGTTTTTTTTTTTTTTGTGTGGCAATGGAAGTTAAAAAATGGGCAATTACATAAATTACATAATTAATTGTTACAAAAATAATAATAACATTTGTAACAAATAATTATTTATATATATATGTGTAATGATGACAAATAATTATTACTAAGTTTTCGGATACTGTTTAAATATATCACGGATCGGAGTCCCGATAATAATATAACTATGTTTTTTAAATAAAAGGTCCCGTGACCTTTTTTTTTTTTAAATGTTCTTACTATACTACTAGCAGTACTGCTGCTGCTACTACTACTGTTGTTCTTACTGTTTGCTCTTGCGATCCCTCCCGTATAAAAGACGTGACAGCCCGCTGACTAATAACAAACGTCGGCCCATTTCGGGTCCTCCACAACTTCTAAAGGCCGCTACTGCCTTTCATGGCTTTTACACACACACATAATAAATATTATTATTATTATTATTAAGCCTTACGAAAAATTAAAAAAAAAAAAAAAAGTTTTTTAACGCCTTTTTTTTTAATTTTTTTTTAATTTTTTTTTTAATTTTTATTTAATTTTTTATTTTTAATTTTTATTTAATTCTTCTTTTCTTTTCTCTTTTTTTTTTTTTTTTTTTGAAAAATTCCACATCACCACAACTCATCCCATTCAATTATTCAATCAATCAATCAATCATTCCATTCAATAATTACAATGTCTGCCGTTACTGCTTCTCCTGCTGCTGCCATTCCTGCCACTGAGGCTCCTGGTATGTTAATTGTTAATGTTCCTTCTTTCTCCATCTTTTTTTTTTTTTTCTTTTCCTTTTCTTTTCATAATCCTTACAGTTTTTTTTTTATCCCGTTATTTATTTATATTACTAATGAATATATTATCTTTTATTCTATTTGCTAACTACTAATTTTTTTTATTTCTTTATAGCCTGCCATGTTAACAGTAAGTTGTTTTTTTTTATTGATTATTTCAATCCTAGATTATTCCTTTAAATCTATAAGCTTTTAAATGATGTCGTGATAATAATGATAATCCTTATTTGTTTTTTTGGACATTTTTTTTTTGTTCAATCTGACAACAAATATATCAATATTAAATCTTATTCACTTTCTCTTTCGCCACTCCATCCCCCCCTTCAAACTCCGAACCCAAATCCCTTAAATTCCGGAAATTGATAACTAAAAAAAAAAAAAAACAATCCACCAACTTATATATTCAACTTTTCATAAAACTAACCACTAAAACTCTTTTTTTTTTTCTTATAGAGCCCAAGCCTTGCTGCGTCTGCAAAGATGAAAAGTCTGTCCGTGATGAGTGCCTTCTTTTCAACGGCCAGGAATCTGGAAAGTGCGACGAATTTATCACCAAGTACAAGACTTGCATGAAGGGCTTTGGCTTTGAAATTTAAAGTCTCTTAAAGTCTCTTAAAGTCTTTTTATTAAGCATTGTCTTGTCTCATCTCTTCCCACTTAATCACTTTATATTGTATATAAATATTGTTGCTTGCTTTTTCCTTTTATTCTATCTGTATCATTATCACAACTTTTTTTCAACTCCTTTTTATCTGTATATATATCTATCTATCTATCTATCTATCTCTTGTTTTTTAATAAATTTCTTACCTTCATTTTCACTTTTCACTTTTCAAAAAAAAAAAATACAAAAGCCGCGTCTATTAATAATAATGAAAAAAGAAAGTCCCTGGGAAAGAACTTTAAAATCACGTTATTATGTTGTCTATTTAGATCCCATAAGATCTAATTTTTTTTTTTATTTTAAAAATTTTTTTTTTAATTTTGTAATTTTGTAAATTTATTTTTTGTTCTACCAACAATTAAAAAAATCCCCTTCCCCATCATGACTACCCAAAATCTCACTCGTCAAGATCTTGAAGAAGAATCAAAGTACCTCGCAGACCTCGTTTTTAAAAACTTACGATACCAACAACTATGGACAAAGTTAGAAACACATAAAATCACTTTACCAATTCCTGATTCATCATCATCATCATCAAAAGAATCTTTTTACCACTTTACAATTGTCTCAGGAACCCCCCCAGAAAAACTCCATCATGATGACCCTACATTCACTGAAACTCAACAACAATACACAGAATGGGTACTCCCATCAGTGACAGAACAAAAATGGAGTATACGAGAATGGGTCCAAGTCTTTAACCAAGTAGAGCTTCTTGCTCAAAATCTTTCAAATGAATCCTTATCTGTACTTCCATCAGTCAGACGAATGGTTATGGCCTGTCAAACAAATGATGGCACAGTCGTCTATTATATGATAAATAAAGGAATTGTTCCACCAAAGAGAAATTAGAAGAAGAAAAATACAATTCTATAAATAATATACAAAAGAAAAAAGAAAAGAAAAAAAATAATAATAATCCCTAATCACCTTTTAAAACCAACTGGTAACCCAACTTGAAACAGCATTGTACAACGTCGGCCGATCCTCAGGTTTTGTAGGTACAATATTCATCTGCAAATCATGCAACCCAGATACATTCCGTTCAATATAACTAACCAACTCTGGGAACTCGCCCTCCAGTAATGACTTAATTGGCGAAAACGGTAGTCGTTCGTGAGTCTGAATAATTAAATGTGCAAGCAATAATAAATCTGCAGATGATAACCGTGGGAACAATTGCCAAGAACTTTGATTGCCATCACTTTTCCTCTCACCATCATCATCACTACTGGAATCTTGTTTACCCAATTTGACAATATTGCGAAATACATCCTGTGCAAAAGAAAGCATTCGTAAAGATTGCTTGGCCTCTTTCATACTCAACTCTCGTGCTTTGCGTTGTTCCTCCAATTGCAACTGAAGTTTACTTAAAATTGGAGAGCTTTCTGGTACATCTTTACTATTTGATGATGTAGATTGTTGATGCAATCCAAGTGACAAACATTGTGCCTCTGCAATTGCCTTTTCCCTTAATGGCACTGAGTACTGCATAGGAAATGGAATTAATTGTGATAGCAATGGCCGCATCAGTTTCTCATAATTCTTACTCTGAACAAATAATAAATATTGCGAAATTGCTCCCAGATTTGTATCCAGATAAGCCAAGGTTGCTGGCAGTTTGGTATTAAGTTCCGAACTTGTTAGCACTGGTGCATCCAAATCAAATCCATGTGCTTTAAGGTATCTTAAAATTGATGTGAATCCAGAAAAAACTTTCCCACCATGAACGAGGGCTGGTAAAACACCAGCTGGTGATACATTTGTATTAGAAGATTGGTAGATTAGTACTTGGGCTTGTAGTTCTTCAGGAATTGCTTGTGTAATGTACCATACTGCAGCAAGACATTCGGGTGAAAATGAAGGTAGATCACCCAATGGGCCCCAGATATGCAATTCAAATGGTCCTTCAATGCTTGTCATTAATATGGAAGAGGAAGAGGAAGAGGAAGAGGAAGAGGAGGAGGAGGGTATAATAATTGATTGCGCTGATTTCTCAGAGGAGAAGAAGAAGAAAAAGAGAAAGGGGTTTGGAATGAATTTGATTTTGATTGACGACAGTGGAAGGTAGAAAAAAAAAAAAAAAAAATTTGGCCAACCACCTCCCATAAAAACCATAATAGTCAGGGTTAGGGGAATATTTAATTTTTATAAATAAAAAAAAAAAAAAAAAAAAAAACGCGTCTTATTAAATAAAATATAAAAATATATTTATTAAATATATATATATATATAAAAAAATCTTTCAAAATAACAAAAAAAAAAAAAAAAAAACTTTTGAAATCCTTAAAATTTTAACTTTCAAACTATCATCATCATCACCACCACCATTACCATCACCACCACCAACATTGCCACAATCATCTAATAACCTGAAATTCCTTTTAACTACCAACTCCTCTTCTACCTAGAAGTTCGTCTACTTCTTTATCTCTGTATATAGACGTTTTCAATTCCTTCTTTATGTATTCACAGTAATAAAAAATTATACTCATTTCCTTTCTTTTCTTCTTTTCTTCCTTACTTACTTACTTACTTACTTACTTACTTACTTACTTACTTACTTATTTCCTCCCCCCAATATATACACGTCTCTATTAACTTACTCCAGTTTTACAAATGTCTTCTTCTGCTACAGAGCCTTTGGGACAACCTGTCCCCCAGTCATCAGTAGTTGACTCTGATTCCAATCAGAATCCCCCCGATTCTGTGCAGAGCCCTGTAAAGGCCGACGTCGCCCCTACTCCTGTAGAATCCAGCGACATCAAACAAGTCTTTGATTCATCTGCTCTTCAAGAACAACATTCTCAGGAACCTGTTCTTCAGGAATTAGCTCCTCAGGAATTAGCTCCTCAGGAATTAGCTCCTCAGGAATTAGCTCCTCAGGAATTAGCTCCTCAGGAATTAGCTCTTCAGGAATCAACTATTCAGGAATCAACTATTCAGGAATCAACTATTCAGGAATCAACTATTCAGGAATCAACTATTCAGGAATCAACTTCTCAGGAATTAGCTCCTCAGGAATTAGCTCCCCAGGAATTAGCTCCTCAGGAATTAGCTCCAACAGATGCCACAGAAACTGAAATAGCTACCAATGAAGACAACTATGACCCAACAACCACTATTAAAACAAAACCTACAACAATTCTTCCTAAAACCCCATCTTCGCCTGCCCCAGCTCTTTCAACAAATAATACGAGTTCACACAGCACATCTAGCGTGACATCTTCAGATAATCCCCAACCACAAGCCCCTCCTTCACTTCCAAAGAAACCAGAAGTTTCTTCTAGCGCAGTCATAGCTAACACGGCTAATGCAAACAATGACCAACAATCCTTAAAGCCCCAAAAAAATGGTGCAACCCGTGGGAAATCTCCCAGCACTATTGCTGGCAAACGTAAGCGCACAGATGTTCCTGGAACCTCTCCTACTACTACTACTACTACTACTACTACTACTACTACTACTACTACTACTACTACTACTACTACTACCTCACCTTTCCTGGACCGTCTTGAAGAAAAAATCAAAAACAATGATATTCGTAGCGCTCGCTACTGGGACCAATACTTGCGCCACTTTGAAACTCTTGGCCAGTTTGAAGCCACAGAAGCAGCCTACGAAAGAGCAGTCACTGCTTTCCCATATGGCGCAGAATTCTGGGTTCGCTACATCCAACTCGAACTCAACCATAGCGAATTCCCTAAAGTTGAACAACTCTTTTCGCGCTGCCTCACAAAAATCCTAAGTGTCAAGCTTTGGACTCTTTATCTGGGGTACATTTTGCGCATGAATAACTTTAAAACTGGTGGTGATTCAGCCCGCAATATCATTTCAGAAGCATATGAGTTTGCCCTCAACCATATTGGCATTGACCGCGATAGTGGCCCCATCTGGGCACAGTACCTCGACTTTATCAAGTCTAAAAACACCCAAACCACTTGGGAACAACAGCAACAAATGGACCTTATCCGCAAAACTTACCGCCGTGCCATTTGTATACCCCTCAGTAATGTCGAGGCTCTGTGGACAGCTTACAATGCTTTTGAAAATAACATTAGCAAAACAACAGCCCGTAAATTCATCAACGAAAAGTCTCCAGCATACATGATTGCCCGCTCAGCATCAAAGGAAATGAATAAGTTCTTGGATGGCTTGTACCGCGAAGGCATGCCAATGTATAACAGACGTCGTATTACTGAGATTCGTGACAGCCAGACTAAAAAATGGTTGTCCCTTATTGACTGGGAAAAAAGTAATCCTTTGAATTTTGAGACAAGCTCACCAGATCTCCAGCAACGCGTCAAGTACGTTTACCGACAAGCTGCAACAACTCTCTGGTTTTCTGCAGATATTTGGTTTGAAGCTGCTGAGTACTCTCTCGAAGCAACTCCTGGTGACATTGACGATGGCGTGGAAATTCTCAAAATCGGTCTAGAAGCCACACCACTATCCTTCTTGCTCAACTACAAGCTTGCCGAAGTCTACGAGGCCAGCTCCAATAATACAGAATGTAAAAAAACTTACCAAACATTAATCAACAAGCTCAAGGAACGTATGGACTTTTTGGAAGCACAGAAAACATCCCTTTACGAAGAACTCGGACTTCCAGTATTAAATACAGAGGGTTCACCTGCAAATGGCTCTACACCAGTCCCAGGAGAAGGTGCTACGGATGACGCCGCTTTAATTGCCAACCTCAGCAGTGCAAACCAAACCAGGGTGACGCGAATCCAACAGCAAATCGACAATCAGGCCAAGGTTGTAACGTCAGCATACATGGCTTACATGAAATCTGTAAAACGCATGGAAGGCATCAACACTGCGCGGTCCATTTTTAGCGAGTGCCGACGACTTTCCTATGCTACATACATTATTTACGTTGCCTCAGCAATGATGGAGTCGCGTAACGGACGCCCGGACATTGCAACCAAGATCTTTGAAATTGGTCTTAAGCGCTACAATAGCGCAGAATATATTCGCGAATACCTTGAATTTTTGGTTCTCATCAATGACGACACTAATGCTCGTGCACTTTTTGAAACGTCCATCAAAAAACTTGATGTCCAGGACTCTAAAATTCTCTACCAACAATTTTTACAATATGAAGCAGAATTTGGAGAACTCCCAGCATTGCTCAGACTTGAAGCTCGTTACCGTTCTCTGTACCCGGAAGAGTCTGCACTAGAAATGTTTACGGAACGCAATGAAATTCCATACAAGGGATACCGACGTACTGATAATACAAGAGAGCTCAGAACTAGACAAAGTGGATCTGGTGTTTCCAAGGGATTACGCGTCAATGCTCGTGACGGTGGAAACACTATTTCGTTTGACGAAGAAGATATTTCTGGCGATGATGAAGAAGAGGAAGAAGAAGACGGATCGGGTCTTTTGAATGGAGGCCAACAAGGAAACCAAGCTGGCCAGCATGGTGCTGTGCGTCGCCCAAACAAAAAGACACGCCATGACGAGCCCACAGGTCTTGGTAGCGGTATTAGTGGCAGCAGTAACATTGGTGGTGGGTCTGGGTTAAACTCCAGTAATGGGATCAAATATCCTGGCTATGGGAATGGAGACTATGATGGAAGTACAGTTTCAAATAATGTTCTTAATATGCTTAAAGCCCTACCTCCAGCCCAAACTTTTGTGTTACCACCATTAGACCCTACTCGATTGGTGAGTCTACTGCGAGATGTTGCTATTCCTGAAAGCTTATTGCGATAGGTAGTAGATTTGAAAAGATGGGATTAAACAAAAAAAAAAAACACAACAACTACAACATAGATAAAAAAAAAAAGCATTTAATGCTTTTTCAATAATTAAAAGTCTTTTGTTGACTATTATCATTTTGTAGTTGATTGATATTCTCCAACTCTCAAAGTAAAAAAAAAAAAGAAAAAAAATTGTAATGCCAACAATAAATAGTAATAAATATAAAGATACTGTTAAACTGATTAACATAACATTTTATACAATAAACAATTGAAACTTTAGATGAACTAACAAAGTAATTGATTGAAAGTAATTAATTAAAAGTAATAATCTATATATGATTAATTTCCCGGGATCCGTCATCAGCTCAACTCATTCCATTTCACCTTTCAATCTTAAAATGAATGCTGTTCCCTCTTCGGTATCCCCAGGGGTTCTAGGCTTTCTCGGATCTTAGATAAAATCTCCAGCGACCTGGCCTTCATAGCAGTTACTTCTGCCCCAATTTCTGTCTCAGTCACGTCAATCACCTTAAACTTATCGGATACGGGTTTACATGCCCGTTTATCTCACTCCGATTTGCCATCCTCTGCAAACACATCCGTTGTCTCTCTTCAAACCCTTCAAATATGGGTACCTGGAATGGGCGGGCCCAGTTTCGACAGCCCCCTATCTTCTTCATTAATCTCAATTGCATCATGTATTTCCCCCCACTACTGGGGGTACTCCAAAGTTAACCAGTGTTTCTGGCAACTGTATTCTGTCTTCTCCCCACTACTGGGGGTACTCCAAAGTTAACCGGTGCTTCAGATACTCAATCAACTGTATCTTGTCTCCCCCCCCACAACTGGGGGTACTCCGACGCCAACCGGTATTTCTGGCATTCAATCAACTGTATTCTGTTTTCTCCCCACTACTGGGGGTACTCCAAAGTTAACCAGTGCTTCAAATACTCAATCAACTGTATTCTATCTTCCCCCCCATTACTGGAGATATTCCGACAGTTACCAGTGCTTCCGGTACTCAGTTTTTCTTCAATAGCCTCCCGGGCCTATAGAACTTGCTAGCCTCAATCACTGGATCCTCTCTAGTCCTGGGCACGGATGAAAACTTTCTCTGAACACTTCATACTCATCAGCAACCTTTGCTGCCTGTACTATCTTCAGTTCCATACTTCACAATTATTGTCACAGGCTCTACTCATGCGAATGATTCGTACCCTTAACGCATGAATCACCCCTATGCTTCTCAGCCTACTTAAACGCCGATATCCTCAGACTTTCGCCACGCTCCCAGGCGTGCCTCACCGTGGTTCCATTACCATAATTTGAGAAAACTTACTTGTTTCCCTATAATTCAGTTATTATTAGCACAATCTCTTTTTCCAGTCCAGATACTCTCATCTATTTGATCTGGAACCTCTCACGAATCGATTGTATTTTCATAACTCTCTCCAGGATTCTGTTCTTCATACTCATTCATCAGCTGGTATTTCCTTTTTATTGATTCTGTCGTGCCCTGGGTAGTCTTCAACTGCTTTTTATGCCTCATCCGGTTCCTGAGTGACTCACAACTCCTTTTCACTTCTACTTGGCAGGACTCCATGATGCCATCCAATCTCTTCTTTAGCATTCTTTTTTTCCTCGCAATCCGAAACGAACCCCAAACACCGTCTTTCTTTGGTAAACAATTTTGTATGTGGGCCAATGAGGTCATGGACTCGCTCCAACATTTTTTCTCTCCGAGTACTGTCTATCTCATAAATAGGCCCGAGGAAACATTTTGTAAAGTCGTGATTATCTTTAGGGGCCTCAGCCACTCGCTGGACAAATCGATAATATTTTTCCTCGCTTGCTCTGTCTCCTATATATAGGCTCATAGTGCTGTGAATCTCCATTAATCACTCATAAAAGTTTTCCTTGTGTGAACTCTTAAACTTGAGCTCTCCATTGTTGAGAACCATTTTCTTGAAACGTTTCCCATCCTCTTCGGAAAACTTATATTTCATAGCTGGATCCAGTTTCTCGAAGAGGGCAAAGTAGTACGGGGCCTGCATGTCCTTCTCATCCCTTCATTTTTATGACTTCCTCGTCATCGCCTTCTAGAAAATAAGCTTGTACCAATTCACTTTACTCTTCAACGGCCAATTTCACTCTATTCACCACGTGGTTCAGACCCCTGTTACCTTCTTTATCAGGGCATTTGCTGTGTTTATCTCTTCACTATCGCTCATAATAAAAGATCGAAAATTATTTGTCGCGGTATATGCACTTATTTTAATAGAAATCAGTTATAATTAAAAGTAATTGATTAAAGATAATAGTCAACATTTGATTAGTTTCCCGAAATCCATTAGCTCAGCTCATTCCATTTTATATTCAATCTTAAGATGGATGTTGTTCCCTCTTCGGTATTTTCCTATTATGTGGTTGCTGATGGTGGTGGTGATGCTCTCTGGGTTAAAGTTATTTTGCCACCTGGCCAACATAACCCTTAACCGCTTTGATCACGGGGCCCAGAAGCACCTCGCGACATATATTAATTGAAAATGATGTTGGTTTAAAGTACTAGGAGTCATACTAGACCGCAAGCTCAACTTTAAACCCCACATATCACTCAAAAAAGAACAAGCCATCCAAGCCATTAATTTCATCACCCGTCTGGGAGGTACAACGGATGGCCTCACGGGATTCGCTTTCAAGCTCCTCTACAACTCATGTATAGTACCCATTATCTCCTATGGAGTGGGAGTATGGGGTAACAACCCCAACACCGTCAAAAAAATGGGCAACTCCATCCAACTAACCCAAAACATCGCACTACGGAGAATGCTTGGTGCATACCGCACCACCCCAATCTACATACTTCACAGAGAAGCAGGTGTCCTCCCTCTGCACATTAAACTCGAAGATCTGGCGAAAAGGGCGGCACACCGCCTCTCGGACCCCACAAGAACACACAGGGATAACCCCACCAAAGCTCAACTCCTAAGCGGAAGCGTAGCTGCTGAAGCCAACAGCAGACTAAACAGCATCAACCGCATCATCAGCGTCAACCGACCTAGAATCAGCCCAGCCCAGGCATCCAAGCGCAGGGCCCTCATCCAGTGGCAACATGAACACGCCATTGCAACTACCAAGGCATCTAATAGCCCCCACCAACCATGGTACAAGGGAACTTACCCGAACAACAAAGTAGAAACTAACAACAACAAACTACAACTCAGAAGAGCCATGGAAGGCCCCAGACACATTCTGTCAGGAGCCATCCAACTCAAGACAGGACATGGTAGATTCGCCAAGTACATTGCAGAACGCACCAAGAACGAAGAAAACATACAAAACAAGTGCCCGCTCTGTGAAGCGGAACCGGAAACCCCCAAACACATACTCACAGCATGCCCATGCTATGACTTCATCCCAACTTCCCTTCGCACCGGGAACCCCTTTCACCTTTTCACGAACGACCTTTATGACATAATCTCACAAGTCGTCCAAACTGCAAAACTTGACACCCAAGACAGATTTTATTAAACGCCGAGTTGCCGTTGGGATTTCCTCCACGTTTAATAACTCTATCTTGGCCAAAGTTCTGGCAGACCAAAAACTAACTCCAAAACCACTCGCAAGCAACCACGCGCCTTCACAGCTGGCATAATAAATTAGGGAAAATTAAAGATATTAAATTTTTTTTTTTCGTAATATATTTTGTAGTACAGTAGAAACAAGGTAGAAATAAATAGATTATGTAATTTCAAAAAAAAAAAAAAAAAAGATGTTGGTTTTAGTAAAATAAAATGTCATGTATATACTACAGATTCGAACACCAAACAGAAAATCAATTATATATATTTTTTAAAATCAAAAAGTTTACTTTATTTCTTAAAAAAAATAAGTTTTGAAACATTTTAAATAAATCAAAGGTATTTCAGAATGAAGAGAAGATAAGATACTTTAAGTTAATTGTTTTTAAATATAACAAAATTGAAAAAAAAACTGTTATAATCTCTTTGTAAAGCGTGTCATCCTTATGCAGGGGCCATGCTAATCTTCTCTGTATCGTTTCAAATTGACCATATGTCCCGAAGGACAATTTTAATAAAATTTCACAGTTACTTAAATTAAAGTCTTTAAAATCAAAAAAAGTCATTTTTGAGCGAAATGTTGGTTTTGAAGAGACTTTAATTAAATATTTACATAATATTTAAGAAAAACTTATTTTTTACCTTTAGTTTTTTTGAATATATAGCACGCTGTTTGTTTACAATAAACTTTGAAACAGGTGATTTTTTTTCTTTCTATGGTAGAATTTTTGCTCAACAATCAAGCATTTCCTTTTAGGAATTCAGTAAAGATATATAAAAATAAAGACACTGATAGAAGTAGCCGCACTTATGAAGTCATATTTTATGCGCGCTAAACACAAGGGAAAAAATATATATCACCAATGTGTAGATGAACAAGAACGGGGCGGTTTCTTTCTTTTTTTTGTCTGCAGGAACCAAAAAAAAAAATAGGTGTGCACATTGCAAACCATATATTTAACTATGGTTTGCAATTTAAACGGTTGTTATTTGGTATACGCTTAGCACTTTGTGAAAAATAAAAAAACAGATAAACTGCTTTAGTTGTTTAAACGTTGTTTGATTTGTTGAGGAAAAAAAATAGAAGTATAGAGCACCAGATTCAACACAGTCCTTAACTGAACGGACGAGTCAACTTTCATGTTTGCCAATATAACTTGGGGGAGGGGGGAGAATTCAACCGAGGCGTGTACTCTCTCTATTACACTCCCTACAGGGGTAAAGGAAGCGGGACTCAGACTCATTATTGAGTTCCCTACAAAATATAATTATATCTTGTAGTCCGGTGATTATGCATTTCCGTTACACTAATCAGCATGGTTCTCCTCCCCCCTATTTCTAGTAAACTGGAATCAAAGCTCAACTTCTAGGCTATCCGAGCCGCATTATATACATCTAGAACCCTTGAGTAACAGCAGATAAACAAATAAAGTATAATTAAAATTAGATGAAGATGTATTGATAGATTTGAAACCTTATAAACCTATGGATTTGCAATCTTTACCAAAAACTTTGGTGACATTTAAGATTAATTTTTGATGTATGGTTAGTTGTGATAATTAAGGTCGCTTTTAAATTCCTCGGTGTACTGTGTTGTAACGAGAGAGAATTGCTCCTTACATATGTTATTGCTTTTTTTTCTAAATTTTTTCATCCATTTAACAGATTGTAAAGACCGAAATGTTTTACCTATGATTAATCTTTATTTTAATTCAAAAAAAAAACAACTAGTTAAAATTTCTTTTGAATTGTTAAATTCATTTATCAAAATAACAGATCTGTTATTTTTTTATTTTTTTTTGAGAATTTTTTTGACAAACAAGTTTGTATCTGCTTATTTTGTAGCCAAGATTTGTGGTTAAATGCCGGATTAGCCAGCCTGATCAAATTTTAATAATTGTGAGAGAGTTTTTTTTTTTTTTGACAACGTAACGTAACGTAATAGGAATATGTTATTATTGTTAAACTTACAGTATACTGTATGAGTACTAGTACTCATTTAATTTGGTAATTAATATTAAAGATTAATTAATCTTTACCTTATATGGAGTTCCTGTTGACGGGAATTTATTTTGGATAATTATCAAGATGGAACAGCTTTATCCCTTTAAGTGGTTAATTTAATACAGTGGGACCCAATGATGTGGATTAGAAGGTGCTTTAGTTATAACTCATTAGCACAAGAAAGTAGAAATAGTCCCTTTGAAAATTTTAGAGTTAATCGTAGACATTGTAGACATCGTAGACATTAAAACAGTTTTTTTTTTCAAATATATAGATTCATTTAGCTTACGAGTAGCATCCAAATGAAAAATTACTGATGAAACCGCTCACACGTCTTGCCATGTGCGTTCCTTATATACGTGGTGTACGTAATCTGATTTTCGCTGCGGTCGTTTTTTTTTTTCACTTGGGTGTGTCTTTTCACTTAGTAAATGAAAATTTCCTGGATTTTTGGAATTCCAATTCCAAGAATTTTGAAAATGAGGGGTTTGAAATAAAACAAATTGATTTTGAAAACCAAAATGAATTTTATAAATAGGTTGTTAAATTTCAAATCATCACTACCATAAATCATTTTTCTGCCCAGACTGAACTTCAAAACCTTTTTTTTTTGTTTCTTTTTTTTGACATCTCTAAAAAAAACAACAAAAAGACTTGCGCATCCAATTTATCAAACTTGTGGATTTTGCATACGTAAACTATCTCAAAGGCTTTTAAAAAAAGACCAGTTCTTCACCTAGCCAGAGAACTTTTTTGCACTCCACCGGGTGGGAAGTTCAACGTATTCCCATTTGGATAGTTTGTCGCACACCAAGCCCTTCTATGACATGGCTTAAGATGACTACGCAAGCTTTCTTACTAGGTTTACACACGCAATTATAAGCCCATTAATTGACTCTTGCGAGATTTTTAATATAAAGCTTAAGCAATGCCCCCCTCCCTTGAACATATATATATAACTTTTTTTCCCTTATTAATTTACTTTCCAATCTACATTTTTGCTTAAAAGAATCTTTCAATTTTTTTTCTCTTTTTTTCGGCTCTTAACTACTCTTTATAATGCTGAAATATCTACCGGCAACTCTAGTCTCACGAAATTTTCTGCGGATCCTTAGGGTCCTCGTAATCATCGTTACCGTCACTGGACTGATATACCAGTTTTCATTCACATTTTCCAATTACTCATTCCCCAAAAAATCCATCAAGTCTTTGTCGAATTCTCCACATATTCAAACAAAACTTCAATCAGACGAAGATGCAAATAGCTTAGATACTGAACCAGGTTACCAACGTGCCAATGCCACTTTCGTTACCCTCGCTCGAAACCAAGACCTTTTCGCCCTTATGGAGTCCATCCGATCCGTCGAAAACAGTTTCAACCGAAAATACAAATATGATTGGGTTTTTTTCAACGATGTTAACTTCACACCCTTATTCATGAAAACAATTTCAAATTTAGTCTCAGGCCAGGCTTCTTTCCATACCCTCGAAAAGGAATACTGGGGGTACCCAGAATGGGTCGACCAGGACAAGGCTAGAGAAAATAGAAACCAAATGGTCCAGAAAGGTATCATTTACGGTGGCTCGGAGTCTTATCGACACATGTGCCGCTTTGAATCGGGCTTTTTCTGGCGTCATCCTGCTCTTAGCAATTACAAATACTACTGGCGTGTAGAGCCGAATGTGAAATACTCTTGTCTTGCAAGCAAAGACTACTTCAAATACATGGAGGAAAAAAATCTGACTTATGGCTTCACAATCTCTCTTATTGAATTTGAGCAAACAATCCCTACACTCTGGCAGACTACACTCGATTTCATTAACCAAAATCCTCAATATGTTAACGAAAACAATCTTGCTGACTTTATTACAGATGCAAATAAGACATCTTACAATCTGTGTCACTTTTGGTCAAACTTTGAAATCGCTGATCTTGATTTTTATCGTAGCGAAGCCTATACAAAATACTTTGAATTTCTTGACGCCACAGGTGGCTTTTTCTATGAGCGTTGGGGTGATGCCCCAGTTCATTCTATTGCCGCATCACTTTTCCTTAACAAAACTCAAATCCACCATTTCGATGACATTGGCTACGAGCATCCTCCGTTCCAATCTTGCCCATCTACTCAAAAAACTCGCATAGAAAATAAGTGTATTTGTAACCCAGCACATAGCTTCACATGGAAAGTCAATTCGTGTGCACGCCAGTTTTACAGAGCACATGGAACAAAAAGGCCGGTTATTAATGGATTTGTTCCACACATTCCTCTGCCATTGACTAACCACAGATCTGGTTTTAAAAGTGCTGAAAAGATCATTAAAGAATTGGAAAAAGCCAAAAAGGAACAAAAACAGAATAATGTCTTCGAACAAAACAGCGAGAAACAACCTCAAAATGAAAATAAGAATGAGCAAAAAGATGAGAATCAAAATAAGGAGGGGAGCTCCAATGAAAAACAAGAAGTGAAAAAAGATGATAATCAGAACAAGAAGGAGAGCTCAAATGAAAACCAAGAAATAAAAAAAGACGAGAATAAGGAAGTAAAGAAAAGTGAAAATGAGAACAAGGAAGAACAAAAGGAAGAAAAAAAGGAGGTAAATACTGAAAAGAAAGAACTAAAAGATGAAGATATTATAGATGTGTGGAGACACTAAGGGGAAAAAAATGATCAAAAAAAAAGAGCTTTAAATTTATAGAGTTGAACAATATTTCATCCAAGTATAGACGCATTTAGTGGATGTTATTGTTTGAAAAGAAAAGAAAAAAAATCTCTTTTCTTAATAATATTAGATAGAAGGTGAGCCGGTACTTGCTAGATTATTCTAATAGAAATTTTTTTTTGTTTATTTATGAATTGATAATTTATATCAGGCTTTTTAAAGTATTTTTTTTTTCAATTTGAGCACTAAGTTTAGATATCTAAAGATTGTTATCTCAATAAAAGTTGTACATTTTTTTCTTCTCACAAAATTTAACCAGAATAAATATTCCACACAAACTAAATATTTGATTTTACTCAAAAAAGTTTTTAATCACTTCATCACTTTATAAAGTAGATAATTATCTACTTATTTTTTTCATTGAATAATCCTATCTTCTATAAAAATGATACATTATGCCAATGGCTCGCAAGCAAACTAAAAATACACAGTGGTGATCAGTATTCGTCATCATCACTATCGCTAATTTCACCCAGGCTCTCATCGTCGTCATCATCGTCATAATATAACACTTGCCTGAGGGTCGGAGTGGGTATCGGTTTGACTTCAGGTTTGGTTTCTCGCAGCTTTTTGCGAATAATACAATACTCAATGTACATGGGCACCAAAGAAGGTTTCTTTTTGTACTGCTCAAACCACGCAAGAACACAATCCAAGTCAATTCTCACAGGCTTGATTGTTGTTTCTACCTCAACAACATCATCATTACCTGGACTCGATTTACGGGCTTTGCGCTCGTCGTTTCCATCATCATAAACAAGTGCTCCCATATTTGTCAAGGCATTCATGATGTCGGCACCACTGATGTAAGTCCCTTGTGAAATATTATTGATTGACAATTGGAACTCTTTGGTGCTGCCGGAAGTTTGGTGCTCATGGTATTTTGTTGCGATAAACATAGATATGGAGTTGCTCCAGTACTTCAAGTACGTCAGCAAGCCCTCTGACGAAAGGGGACGCTCAGGCGTGCCTATAAGCCTCGATTTTCGCGAAAGATAGTATGAGTACTCAATGAGAAGCTTTCCTAGCCCTCGTTTTTGGAATGGTGGGAAGATTGTGATACATGCAAGATTATAACTATCCCATGAAACTTTTTCCTTGGAAAAAAACCCAAGCACTCTCTGCGCAGATAATGGAAGACTCACATCACGGCTTCCCGTTGACACTTGTTGGTCTATGTTTCTAGGACTTTGTCTCTTTATCGGTACCTTTTCCGATTGTGGAATGCCTAATATAAAAAATTAGTACCAAAAAAAAATAAACAAAAAAAAAAACAAAAACAAAACATCTTCACTCACCATTTTTAGGATTAGAAGCAAACTCATTCACACCTTCTATATTTGCAATTGATGTTGTAAGAATATAAAAATCAAAAGTCTCTAGCGCGTAGCAAATTGACTTATGATCTAGGAATAACTTGGCAAAAAGTGAAAGGCACTGCGCATATAACAGATGCCGTGCACCGTCAATCTTGCGGATCTGATAATAAGGCGAATCATACACAACCCGACCAGGCAGCTGCGTCCGATATTGGCATTTGGGCACATGTATTGCCATTTCCTTTGCCACTGAGGTATACTTAAAACAGGTGTCGCATACATACAGAGTGTCTATCAACACCCCGTCGTCACTATCTGGTATTCCATTCTTTATGGGTTCTGTAGCCGGTGCCGTAGATGCTAGTGCAGCTTGATTTACATCTTGATCTTCTTCAGCACTACTGTTAGACTTTGCACGCTTTGTATTTGCTTGTCGAATTGCTTGTATTTCTTTTGTATGTGCGCTCTTGACCTGTTGTTTTGTCAAATGTAGTGATGTAGAGCAATGCAGCACCCCAGACGGAGCTGATTCATCAAAGTACCGTGGAGATCTATACCACGGACTAAACTTAAAGTTGCAGTAAACCACATTTCTAATATTAGGCCGCAGGTTTAACTCGCGTTCGTCGTCCTCAGAGCCATTGCTGTCGTTTCCTTTGGGGCCTCCTTTAGGAGTTTCTGCTGCGTCTAACAGTGCTTCCTCTTCGCGCCGCCGCCGTTTACCTGGCTTGCTTGTCTTTTCGCTTGCACCATTATGTTGATCTTTATGAGGAATTGCTTTTTTGCTCTTGTTTCTCTGGGGTTGGGTTGTTGAGAAATCGTTTAGTATCGTTTCTTCTCCACTCATTAATGGCTTATTTTTTTTGTAGTTGTATGACTAATCCAAAAAGCTGGCGATGTTTCTAAGGCTTAAAGGGCCAAGGGGAGATGATGTTTTTCACAAGTCACAGAGACTAAAAGAACGCGAATTCAACACTTGGAAAAGGTGAACCAAACAAAAAAAATAAATATAAGAATCAAAAAAAAAAAGCTTTTCAAAGAAGACTATTTAGATGCTGTCAGTCTCTCCGGTATACTTGGATAACAACGCTTTCTTGTTCAAAAGGGAAACAGAAAAAGAAAACAACAAGAAAATTTTAGTTACAGTGACAAGTTTCACCCCTTACGTAATTTGTATGTGGTGGAGAAGCGCACCAGATGGTTTTTTTTTTCGCCCCTTGAATACAACATTTATTGAAAGCTCACAAACGTTAAAATCTTTTAAGAGTTTAACAGAAAAGAAGATTCAATTTTTTTTTGTTTTTTTACAAAATAAAAACAAATGCATTACGATGGCCGTGATAATTCCTCTATAATTTCAACCTCACTATCGGATTCAGCTTCTGGATGACCCGTGAAAGCTGTCTCTAGAGCGGGGCTTGGTGCAGATTTTATGACAGGTTCTGATGCGGGTTCTGGAACTGGCTTACGTACCGGCTCCTCACTTTTTTTTCTTGGATTTGCATTGCTTTTAGGTTCTTCAATATTCTTTTCTTGAGATAAACTGCCTGGTATTTCTACCGTATGAGTAGCCTTCTGCATTGTCGGGGTTTCTCTTTTTCTAGTTGTCATTCCACCAGATGATTTACTGATTCGTGCTCGCTTTACTAATCGCGGATCTGTTGACACAGTGCTGCTCGCACCAGTTATCATCAATGGCTTGCTATAATGGATAAGTTTTTTTCTCCGTAACATCACTTCCTTTTTCGCCACCAGCTCTTCGGAAGTATAATACACTTTGCGCGTCCTATACATGTTTTTGCGAACGTAATGGTGAATATTAAAAAAAACTTCAGCTGTTAAACTCTTAGGAGAAAATGAATTAGGCTCAAAGTTATTCAAAAACTTATACAAATCCGGATCTTCTAGTAGGGACTGGCCAAAGCATTGAATAAAATTCACAGTTACCGCGAACACAAAATACCCGACATCAACTGGATCTTCTACCGAGTAGTTTTCGTAAAGCATGCAGAAATGACACATGAGCTCATATAAACTGGCAAAACTGTAGTGGTATTCTAGTGGTTTTTTGGATATGAAATTGGGCTCATATAAATCTCCAAGAAAAATGTCTTGGAGTTTTTTTCGCGCAAAGAAACGAATTTCTTCAGGTGATAGTTTTTGATTAAAATGATGCTCTATCTGCCGAAACTGGTCGGTTGCATTACTAGATGATAGTAGTTTTAGTGTTTCTACTTTGACGGAAATTGAAAACATTTTTCTAATGACCTCGTCTAGTCTCTTGAAGCTCTCAATATATGTCGAATGCATAGTATAGTCATTTAAAATTCGTGATGCAGGATCCGACAAATCTTGTTCATCAGTTTTATTGTGATTTATTTTTGAGTATATTCCTGCCTTATATGGCAAAATCTTCATTTCGTTCTTTAGGGTATCAACTTCATCAGATGTTAAGTTGACGAGATCCCATGCAGCACCAGGAAGAAAAAATCGAAATCGTGCTCGCCATTCTAAGAATTGTTGCACAGACTGATCTCGTAGGAAAAGATATTCGCGAATTCCAGCATCAATTTGCTTCTCTAGAATGTCTGCTGCATTGTTAAGTTCTTCAGCAAGTTTCATGTAATTTCTACACCGTTTGGTAAATGTAATATTTTTAGTAGATGGTAATGGTGCTAGACTAGGAGTTCGATGGCCAATTCCATCAGAATATCTATTAAGCCCATCTTTTCTATAAATATACATGGCTCTAAGCTATTGAATAAAGAAGGATATTGTGTTTTTTCTGTAATTGATGGTTTAAAGGAAATAAAAAATATGAGTTTAAGAATCTTTAATTAAAGTTCTGTAACAAAATCTGTAACAAAAAAAAATTTAAAAAAAATCATCCGGAAAAAAAAAAAAAAAAAAATTAGAAAAATTATAAAAATTTTTTTATTTTAACTAATTAGTTATAACTTTTATCACCATCAACAATGGGAACTTACAGAAAACGTTTTAACGAGAAGGCCCGTACGGGTATGCTCGCTAAAAATGAAAAACTTCGCAAGATTAGACAAAAGAGGTTTTTACAACAACCTGACGGAACTGAAGATCAACAAGATCAACATGATCTGGAAGAAGAAAATGAAGAAGACTTTGATCCAAATGCTGAAATGCTACTTCCTATGACAGATGCTGAAAAACTTGAAAGAAAACGAAAAATGCAAGAGCAGCTAATGCCTAAACAAGAATCTTCTATGTCACGAAAAAAGAGAAAGAGACTTGAAAAATATATTGTAAGTTAAACAATCTTTTAACTGAATCACGCTAACAACGAGCTAGGAAAAACAAGTTGATAAAGAGGAAAAAAAGGTTCTTTTCGAAAAGCTCAAAGAGTCAAAAATCAATACATCTGTTCTTAAAAGCATGAAGACATTAGGCGTTGGTAACGAAACCAAAAAGGAACTTATTACCGAAGCTCTTAAGCAAGAGAGACAAGGAATCGTAAACGATAAAATCACTGATCTTTTATATCGCGAGCGAGAAATTAAAGACTGGGAAGATGATGAAGAAATGCGTAAATTTGGTACAGCTCCAACTCCAGCATTTAAAGACAGAGAAGAGGAGGAAGAAGGTGATGATAATGAAAGTGAAGCTAGCGACGATGATCTTCCCAAAATATCAGGAATCATTGATCAAAGACCTCGATCAAGTGAAGGATTTGGATTTGCTGGGCTGAAAAAGATACCAAAGACTACGAAACTTGAGACCAAGTCATATACGTGGAGAACAAAACTTGCCCTACAAAAAGCCAGGAAACATAAAGTAGACTTGGCTGAGATTGATGGTGTTTCAAGTTCAGAAGAGGAAGAGGAAGAGGAAGAGGAAGATCAAGATGAAAATGATAGCTCTGAAGAAGACGGAAGCGATAGCAATGATGGTGAGTCTGGGAAGGATGAGAGCAGTGATGAAAATGAAGATGACGGAGAAGTTTGGAATGGGTTCAGCGATGATGAGGTTAAAACAGCAACCACCGAAGATACTGAAGATGCCGAAAAAAAATCTGATGATGAAGACGAAAACGAAGCTGAAAATGAAAATGAAGAAGACGAGAAAAGTGGCTCTGAAGAAAGTGAGGTTGATTCTGAAGAAGAAGGTGATTCTGACGACGAAGATTCTGATATCGACATTGCCATTGAAAAGCCATCCAAAGGTAAAGAATTTTTAGAATGGGCCAAAAAGCAAAACGAACCAGAACATGAACGAATCGAAACTCCAATTTACAAAGGAGAATACAAACTTGTTGATAGACCTGAAGATAAAGAAGCGCTCCCCGCCGAAATGCTAATCAAGTCAAAAGATCCAAACCGCAAATCATACTTTGTTGAGGTCCAACGACCTGAAGAAATCCAAGAAGTCCGAATGAAACTTCCAGTTGTTGCAGAAGAACAAAGAATTATGGAAGCCATTCACAATAATGATGCGGTTGTTATTTGTGGTGAAACAGGTTCTGGTAAAACTACCCAGGTCCCTCAGTTTTTGTTTGAAGCTGGTTACGGTAGCCCCGAAAGCAATACCCCTGGCATGATCGGCATCACCCAGCCCCGTCGTGTTGCTGCAGTTAGTATGGCTAAACGTGTTGGGCAAGAACTGGGAAACATGGGCCATAAGGTTGCATACCAAATTCGATTTGACGCTACAGTTAAAGAAGATACCTCTGTTAAGTTTATGACTGATGGTGTTTTGCTACGTGAACTTTCCAACGATTTCACACTTTCCAAGTATTCCGCACTTATTATTGATGAAGCACACGAAAGAAATGTCAATACTGATATTTTGATTGGTGTTTTGACCAGAGTTATGAAGCTGCGCAACTCCAATCCTAACCAATACAAGCCTCTTAAACTCATAATCATGTCTGCTACATTGAGAGTTTCTGACTTTGCAGAAAATAAGACTCTTTTCGAAACACCCCCTCCAATCCTGAAGGTTGATGCCAGACAATTCCCTGTTTCTGTTCACTTCAACCGCAGAACCCCTTACAACTATCTTGATGAGATTTTCCGCAAGACCAAAAAGATTCACCAGCGTCTTCCCCGTGGTGGCATTTTAATTTTCTTAACCGGTCAAAATGAAATTACAACCATGGTAAAACGATTACGCAAAGCATTCCCATTGAAGAAGAAGGACAACAATCAATCTGAAGAAAATACACCCAAGGTCATCATTTCTTCTAAAGAAACAACAACTGAGGCTGAAGATATTGATTTTGGCATTGACATCAACAATGCTGAGGTTGATGACTTTGATGAAAACCTCGAGGAAGAAGAGGAAGAGGAAGAGGGATTTGAAGAAACCCTTGAGGAAGGCCAAGATGAAAACGATCCTCTTTATGTTCTTCCCCTGTACTCTCTTTTGCCTACTGCTGAGCAAATGAAGGTCTTCCAGCCCCCACCATCTGGTGCCCGGTTATGTGTTATTGCAACTAACGTTGCCGAAACAAGTTTGACCATTCCAGGGATTCGCTACGTGGTTGATGCTGGTCGTGCCAAGGAGCGTGTTTATGATGAAGCCACAAATGTTCAAAAGTTCGTTGTTGACTGGATCAGTAAGGCTAGTGCCCAACAGCGATCAGGTCGTGCAGGTCGTACTGAAGCTGGTCACTGTTACCGCATTTACTCTTCTGCAGTTTACGAAAATGACTTTGAACAATTTTCCAAACCAGAGATTCTCCGCATGCCTATTGAAGGTCTTGTTTTGCAAATGAAATCTATGGGTATTGACAAAATTGTTAATTTCCCCTTCCCCACACTTCCAGAAAGATCTGCACTTAAAAAGGGTCTCAAACTTCTCAACTATCTGGGTGCTTTGGATGAAAAAGAGCGGCTGACATCTTTAGGAAAGTCAATGAGTTTGTTTCCTCTCAGTCCAAGATTTGCAAAAATGCTGATTATTGGTAACCAGTTTGAGTGTTTGCCGTACATTGTTGCCATTGTTGCTGGTCTTTCCGTTGGTGACCCATTTTTACAACAACACGAAGTTGGAATTGCTCCTGAAACCAAAGAGGATGGCGATGAAGATGAGGAAAAACAAGAAGAAAGCATAGAGGAGAAAGAGCGCAAGCGTAAACTGAGAACAGAGTACTTCAAGGTTCAAGGCCGCTTTTCTTCTTTGGACACCAATAGTGATGCCCTTAAGTTACTGAGTGCTATTGCAGCATATGGTTGGAGCAAGTCTCATCAGGATTTTTCTGACAAGCACTTTTTGCGCTACAAAATTATGGAAGAAATCCACAAGCTTCGCAAGCAAATTGCATACATTGTGAGTGTCAACACTCGCATTGATTCAATAGATGCCACCACTACAATTCTGACAGCCAAGCTCAAGCCACCAAATGCCACACAAATTAAGGCAATCAAGCAGATAATTACTGCCGGCTTTATCGATCAAATTGCTGTTCGCGCCGATGTCGTGGCAACTGATATTCCTCTAAAGTCCAAAACAAGAATTATCTCTTTTCCTTACTTTACTTTGTTCCCATCGACCTTGCGAAAGTCAGCAAGAGAAGAGGTTGATCCATACGTTTACATTCACCCTGGGTCTGTTCTCAACATGGCTGGGTCTGGTGAGGTGCCTCCAGAGTATCTCGTTTATAATACTCTGCAACTGAGTCAAAACTCGTCTTCTGATAAAGTCAGAATGAAGGTGCTGACCAATGTTACTCCCAAGCAACTTGCCAATGTTGGCAGAGATACTGCTCTGATAACCTACTCTAAGCCTATTGGTGTTCCCAAGTATTTGGATGCTAATATGACTAAACGTGAGTGTATTTTGGTTCCACGGATGGGTGCGGCCATTGGTACAGGTGGTGTCGGTTGGGACTTGCCGCCATGCAAAGCCATTCAAGTCAAGAATGGCCTTCATTGGGTTAATGAATCGCTTAGGTATTAGTGATCAATAAAAAAAACGTTTGATAGAGAAATTTCATTACAATTCATTAAATAATATAGACAAAAAAAAGAATAAACAATGTTCATTATTTTTTACTGATTTTAAGTTTCAGTGTAGGTTGTGGTATTAAAGCAGGCTTAATTGCCTTGGTTTCACAGCCTGGGCAGTTGTGTAGGGTTTCATGGACGTAGAGATCGCAGTCTATGCAAAAAAAGTTGTTGCAATCAGGGCATGAGTACCGAGAAGTGCTTCCATCTTCTGACAAGGAGTCGTATAATGGGAAAGCAAACTGGCAAGAAAAGCATTGGTCATGAAGATAAGCGTATTGCTTTTCAACTTCCAGATAAGGTTTCAGTGGGAAAAGATGGTGATAAGATCGGGCCAGATGAGTCGAAAAGACTAATGTTAGGTCACAGCAAGGACATTGGGAGGGTAGGTTGCAAACTTTGGAGCGGCAGCGAGGGCAGATGTAGCCTCCTCGTGTGATTTTTGAGTGGCAGGAGCACAGTGTGGAAGTGACTTCTGAGATACGTGACGGGAACCCCATTTTGACAAGGGTAGAGGCACCTTGAGTTGAGAGCTTGTTGACAGCAAGAGGTGTTGTGGTTTCATGCAGCAGTTCTTTGAAATGAGCATCGTTAAGAATAATTCCGTAAGCTTTTTCGTCACCAAAGTTTGTCTTCATACTGAGTTCTTTGCAAACGGCAACTTGTGCTGCGAGACCTATGACCCGAACTCGAATTTGAGCCTTAACAAGTGCGTCAATAGTTTGATGAATGTCGCCTGGATCTGAGGAAAAAAGTGCACCAAAGATAATAAGAACCTCACGAGTTGAGTGACGTGGAGCATGATATAGTAATCCACGGGCCATTTCCAAGGCATTCTGCAGCGATGGATCGCCTTTAGGTTCTTGTTTTCTAAGTTTTTGCAGTGCCGAGATATGGTTGTGAAGAGACCCACTTAAATCAGAAATCAAAACTGCAAGACCTTCGCTCATGCCAACAACTGCCATTTGTGAAATCGGGTTTTGATTGTAAAATTCCTTGACAAAATCAATTGCATAGGTGAGCATTAGTTGGTATCTATTAGGGAGCAAGTCCTTTTCAAGCATGGCAAAGCTGAGATCGAGAATCAAAACAAAGTTGCGGATGATACCGCGCTGAAAAGGGATAGAAGTTTTGGTAATTCTCCGTTTCTTAGAAGCTTCAACCATCCCGGCAACAGCACCTTCTAAGCTTCCTTCGTCATCCTCCATGACAATATCCCAACTGCGTTGGTATTTGTCTTCCCAGGCATAACTGCCGTTGGCGCTCTTCAGCGACTTGATACTGGCGGAGCCTTCGGCATTTACACGACCACCAGAAGATGCCTTGGACGCTGACTTTGATGACTTAGACCTGCGCGAGGCGTTTGAGCTCTTCTTCAGCTCGGAACCTTCAGTATATTCGTCATCGGAATCGTCCATGATGGTCTTGTCTGAAAAAAAAAAAAAGCGGTGTGAGTGAAATGACGTGTGGGAGATTTTTAAGCTTGAAAGGCTGGTTGAAATTTGTAACCCTAACCCAATTTTAGGGCGTAGGGTTCTTTTATTACTGTGTACTTTGTATAGTGGTAGCTGAGTGAGAAAAAAAAATTTGTGTGTGTGTGTGTTTGTGAGTGTAGACAATTATTTGGCCAGTATACTGTTGTTATTCTATTTTGTGGTGGGCAGCGTTTAGCAGCACCACCACCAAAATTTTATATCCCTTCCGACTTTGAATTTTCAAAACAAGAAACCACCAAAAGTACCATCACCATCACCAAAGGTTTCCAGATTGACCTGATCTTTAAGGATTATTTAATAAAAGACACATAGTCAAACAACAAAAAACAATAATTTATCTACAACATATCACTAGCTATTTTTCAATTGGAAAATTTATATCTTTTTCTCTTTGTTTTGATTATATCTTACCTAGACTGTGCTTAATCTGCAGCTTTTCATCTCGAAATTAAAAGCTTTTAAAGACCGACGCGTTTGGAGAGTTTTTTTTTCTTTTGAAAAACTATAAAAAAAACTTGAAATCTTTTTATTATATTTAAAAACTCACAAGTATGTCAAGCATATCTGGTATTTTTAAAGTTTCATTCTAACTATCCTTATTCTAGTGAAACAACAGCAAAAAAACAACGCACCCTCGACCAGTATTAAGGACAAAATCCTGGCACTAATAAGCGATGTAATTCAAGTTGTCGAGTCGTAAGTATCTTAATTTTTTTTTTAATTTTACAATAAACTGGGTTGTTTCCACGCGTCTGGTTTGAATTTGTTTTTATTTTTATTTTTATTTTTTTCACCCTAAGTTTTGATTGCCACTTTGACGCGTTATTAACAAAAATAAATTCTAACCGTAACTTTCAGATCAACTCAAGGCTCACAACTAGTAACAGCAACAGCCGTTCCTGCAGATTTATCCACGCCCAACCCTGCAGAGTTTGTCATTCTCGAGGCTGCTGAAGAAGAACCTCGTGAAACCGATGTTCTAAAACGGAGCAGTAGAAGACTCAGACGACGCAGCAATGCCGATGCGGCATTGAGTAACGGTTCAACCGATGCAGCATCTTCACTTGTTGTTTCTACAGAGATAAAGCCCAAACAAGTGGTAAAAATCAGCATCTCCAATAAGTATCTCTCAGGAACATACTCTGAACGGATCGGCGAGACCATTTATCCCTTTTACAATGACTTGAGAATTGCATATATGCATACCATCAAGGACTATCCCATAGGATGCAAAAGCTACATTTCTCTTTCAGATGTTTTTAAGTTTACGGTAGACTTAATTCTTAGAGAAGGTGTTCGACTGAGCTTACTGACCCCCGACGAAATCGTTGCTACTGACGAGGAATCTTTTGAGTCTTCGGAAATTTCTGAACAAATGCTTGCAGATCTTGAAGAAGAATACGAAAATGAAATTCTCAAGGGATTCCAAAAAGTTTATTCGGATGTTGTAGAACAATATGGCGAATCTTTTGTGGTTTATACTAAAAATGGTCCTCTTTTTACGTCATTAAACGGCAAGTCTTCCCTTGACAATAGAGACACAATAACTGGTAGACCAAGTAATGTTGCCAACAGTGTCAGTACAACCCGAATTCTACCACAAATATCGCCCATGACCAATTACCAAATGGCATTTATTTCCCCTATAATATCATCTGTTCCACACCCATCAATTCCTCCCACTGTTTTGCTTTCCGGGTTTACACATCCCAACTCGATGCCCCATCCAGCGCCCAGATATTTGCGTTACCAAGAGACACAGAGCTTTTCTCCATCTTCTGATGCATCGAATTCACTGTTAGACAAAGACCTGGTAGATGCTTTATGGTACGAAAAGATCAGCCAACGACGAATGATTACTGAACAAGAGATGTTAGAGATTCTGGGAAAGAAAAAGGATGATGATGATGTCGAAATGACTGATGTACCTAACGAGGAGATCACTGAAAAAGAAAAGAAGACAGATAATAAAGAAGTGACTGAAAATGGCAGTAGCGATAAATCAAACCATAAGTCTGTGGAAGAAGACGAAGGTGGTGATATTGACTTCACACAAGCCTTGTTATGGTCTCCCACACACTTCATTGATGACGACGAGCTGGAGGCCGCCCAAAACGGTACGGAAGTGGAGCTCATCTCCGAGCTGATACTGGAGCTTCAGCGACTACAGAACCAGCGACTAGCTAAAAACGATGAAACTGAGTTTTTGGTAAGCATGGAAGAACGAAGGCTTGCAAGCAAGATCCAAAATGGGTTGGCACGAGTGTTGGAGCTGGACGGCATTACACCGCAGCAGCTTGGTGTTGAGCTAAATCCGAAGTACCCAGTTCTTCAAGCTGTGTACCAAGGTACGCTTCCTGTACCCGAAATTCAACAACCCAAGTATCCTGGCTTGAACGCCGGAGGTTCAAACACAGTTGGTGCGGTGAAGCATGGACGATACACACCTGTGCGCAGGCGCCGATGATTTCCAACTGATATTGGAATTTTTTTTTCTTGAAATACTGGCGTATCTAACACAGTAACTGTAACCAAAGTCTGTACAATATTAAGTGTAAAGATTGAAACTTTTATTTTTTTTTAAATCCAAAGGTTAAAAGATGCCGCGCAGTTATAAATTTTTCAGGATGATGTTGAATAAACTCGAGGGAAGTGGGGGGTCCTCCTAGTGGGGGCACGAAATAAAAAAAAATAAAATAAGGCCATGGAAGCCTAGAAGTTCTTTCTTTATGCGATGTTTTTATTTAATATAAAAGGACCCACAAATCTTCTCAAGTCCAAATTTTTTTTTACTTCTTTTTTCTTTCTCTCTATATTCAATTGATAGTCATTTACTATTTTCAATTCATTTAAATAATATGTTTAGACAATCCATTGGTCGTGTACAAACCGCGGTCGCAAGAAATGCTGCCGTCAAAAGACCCGCAACTGTGCTTCAACTGCGCCAGACAATGAAACGGTTCAGCAGTAGCAGCTCTTCGTCAGCTGGTGCTCAGAAATCTTGGTTTGGCTCAGGTGCAATGCTTTTTGCAGCTGGTGCTGTTTCTGGTGTTGCGGCACTTACTTTGTCGTCGTCGTCCTTTACCGAGTCTGCCCAGGCCTTCTCCGGAGCCTCGGTGGTTGAGACCTCCACTACCAAACTCGAGGAACTCGCAACTCCCAAATATGCCTTGCCCAAAGAGTGTGAAAAGGCATACACTGAAATTATAAAACTCATTGGAGCTGAGAATGTTACCAGAAAAAAAGATGACCTGGACGCGCATTCAGACACATTTTGGAACACGCACCATGCCAAGCCCAATCAGCGACCAGGGATTGTTGTGTTCCCTGAGTCGACTGAGCAGGTCTCGCAGATTATGAAGATTACGCACAAGTACCGCATCCCAATTGTCCCCTTTGCTGGTGGTACATCTCTCGAGGGCCACTTCACTCCCATTTATGGCGGTGTGTCTATCGATTTCACTCGTATGAGCAGCGTTGTTGCTCTCCACAAAAAGGACCTTGACATTGTTGTACAACCAGGTCTCGGGTGGGAGGAGCTTGATGACTACCTCGCAGATAACGATCTCTTTTTCGGCCCGGACCCCGGCCCAGGTGCCCAAATCTCCGGCATGGTGGGAACTGGGTGCTCTGGTACTAATGCTTATCGCTATGGCACGATGCGAGAAAATGTTGTTGGTCTTGTTGTGGTGCTTGCTGATGGTACCATTGTTAAGACTCGCCAACGCCCCCGCAAGTCTTCTGCTGGCTATAACCTTACACAACTTTTTATCGGCTCTGAAGGCACCTTGGGAATTGTGACTGAAGCCACGCTTAAGCTACACCCCAGACCTCAGAACGAAGGCATTGCCATGGTGACATTTGACACAGTCAAAGACGCTGCGGAGGCTGCGGCTGAGGTTGTGCAAGGCGGCCACCAGGTTGCTGCTATTGAGATTCTTGATGATGTTATGATGAAGGCCGTCAACGATGCTGGTGCAACTGAACGCAAGTGGCTTGAAAGACCCACCATTGCCTTTAAATTCAATGGTACTAAAGGTCTTGTTGATGACCAAGTCAAGATTGTCCGCGAGATTTCTGCCAAACATGGCAACAAGACATTTGACTTTGCTACAACCCCTGAACAGCGCCAGGAATTATGGGCCGCCCGCAAGGCTGCTCTGTGGTCCACTATCGAGGTTGCCCCTAAAGGCCACGATGCCTGGACTACTGATGTTGCTGTTCCTATTTCAAAGCTGGGCCAGATTGTGAACGAAACCAAGGCCGACATTGTTGCCAGTGGTCTTTTTGGCACAATTGTGGGCCATATTGGTGACGGCAACTTCCACACCATTTTAATGTACGATCCTGTTACCGAACGCAAGACTGCTGAGGGAGTTGTCCACCGCATGGTTGAGCGCGCGCTTTCCTACGAAGGAACCTGTACCGGAGAGCACGGTGTGGGTGTAGGCAAGAAGCTTTACTTGGCTAAAGAGCTTGGTCCTGAGGCAGTTGATCTTATGCGTCGTCTCAAGGAATCGCTTGATCCTTTGTCTCTGCTTAACCCTGATAAGGTTGTGACTATCAATCCCACCTCTCCAGAGCGTGGTGACTAGAGTTTATGTGCCCATTTTTTTATTTATTTCTATAGTAATTATGACATGTTTTTTCCCAAGTTTTTAACCGTATGATTGTTATTTGTATTTTTTAAAAGTCTAGTATTAGGTCCGAAGATATCTTTGTCAAGTGCCGGACCTGCAGCATCCTGTTATCATTTTCATCAGTTTCATTTTCACCAAGCCTCGGTCCTTCAGCGTTTGTAATCTCCAACCGCCGTTCGTTTTCGGATCGCCAGATAGCTTCACGGGTAAAAATTCTTAAGTACTCTGCAACAGCGTCCAGCGCTTCGGCAGAAATTCTTGTATCACTATTTCGAAATGCCATAGACGAAAGAATCCGGATAATAAGCTGAGGAGGATAACACGCTGGCTCCGTAGTAGGTTTAGATGTTTGTTCTTCTTGAGTTTCTTGAGTTTCTTGGGTTTCTTGGGTTTCTTGGGTTTCTTGGGTTTCTTGTTGCTGTTGCTGTTGCTTAGATGAATTCAGCTCGCGGTCCAAGTCTTTTTCAAAATCATTGCTGTTATATGAAGTAGATGTTTGTGTATGGGAGGAGTCTTTGAAATTAGTAGGCTGGTCAAATTCAAAATCACTGAAGTCGATTTCTGATGAAAAGCCGTCATTAGTGATGGCATCAACCTGTTGATTTCCCGGACTCATTTCACCTAATAGCAAGCGGGGTTGAAGTGAGAAATGGAAGGGTGTGGGTCAAAATCTTTGTTTATTTTATTTTGAAAAAAATTTAAGTCTTAAGTTATATGTTCTAAAATCTAGTTTTTTAAAAAAAAAACAGAAACTTAAAAATAAAAATAAACAAACAAACAAACAAAAAAAGAAATCTTTCATTTCGCGAAACTAAACAGTTTTTAGAAAAAAAAAACTCAACATCGGTATAAACATAACTCCAAACAGCATATTTACAAAAAAAAAATGGTAAGTAGAATATTACCAATATTACATATATATGTTTTTTTATAAATTTTTTTTCTAGTTTCTAACACTTATTAATTAAAGTATAATCGGAATTCTGCAATGGACAAAGATTTTTCCATCACATTGAGATTTCGAATGGATCCTTCAGACAAGTTTAATTTTATTATAAAATACAAACAAGAAAGGCTAAAAGCCTTGATTAGGAAATATACTTGGGAAGAAAAGCCAATTGTATCCAATGAAGTTTCATAAGAATCTATAAATCCTGTAGGCGGATTTTCTAGGGATGGCCATTATTCTCAGAAAATTCCCGTCAGACATAAAGACATTGAAAGGGAAACTAACAATCAACCGACAAAAAGACAAAAATTGAGTGGATGTAATTCAAAAAAGTCTAACAGTGTTTTTGATGTTCCAGTTAATAGCAAAAGACGGGAGCTTGATAGTCAAATTTCCGAGTTTAAAAAAATATGCAACTTAGATTTGCCGTCAATCAGTCAAGAAAAAAATAATGATGATTCGGCCAGTCATTTCAAAAGATCAAGTAGCGAACATGAAAAAAGTGCTAAAGAAAGAACGATTTCAACATCCAAATTATATGCTAACCTTCTCCGTCATGGTTTGGAAGAAGGTCGTTCTATCAGTGACATTAATACAATGGCAAAGTTGATGGACCACTTGGAAAACGATATCACAATAATAGAAGATAAATGTCAAAAAATTTGTCAAACAGCCGAAAACAATAGCCAATACAATGGCAGTGGCCCAAATTATTTTGGTACAGGAGTCACCAGATTTCACACTTGTTCTCAAGGGTGTACATGTATTGTTCCAACCTTACAAAATAAGACCTCGATTTGTGCAGCTTGCAAAACACCCTACAATCCCAATGTTCAGACAATATTATTATCAATCAGAGAGGTTTACCGAGAGAAATTTAAAAACAAAAAAGTTGCTGAGATGGAATGGCTTAATGTTAATCGATACATTGAAAACTTACGAGCACAGGAGACAGACAGAACCTCAGAACATTTACAATGTATGCTGAATGATGGTTTATTTGATTTAGAAAACTCCAGAAAAAAGGAGAAAGTTATTGACATTCCATTTGTTATTGTCATGGACTCCACTTCAATCTCAGAGTCGACTGATTTGGAATACAATGCGATTGGGGGGTTTAATCTTGCCGAGAATTCTCTGCAAATGAAATCAAAGGAAAATGTCCATCCGATATACATTTATCCTAAAATAAAATTACACGAACCTTCAAATGAACGGATAATTATTCAAGAAAACAATACTGAATCTTCTGATGACATTTTTGACCCAGGAGATTTATTAGATCCTGAATATAAGGACAAAAATGATAACGTTAATGAGGATGAGGGAGATGTGACAGCATGTGGCGTTTTTCAGCCTCTTGTTGATGAGTTTACTTCATTATCAAAATTTGGTTTTAAAGTATATGATGCTTTTAACAAGGAGGAGATTACAGTGAGAGTTCATTGGCTTTATACAATTGGAAACTTGGCTTCTATTTCTGAGTTATTAGGTGGGAGGGATGCAGGAAACTTGCGGTGCTGTGTCCGCTGTAATATATTCAAGACACCATTAATTTATAAAGAAGGGAAGTTTACTAGAAGCGTGCTGAGTTTCATTCATAGTCCTTGTCATCATGAGGAACTAAGCCCTTCGGAATTTATAACAACAAAAAAGAAAAATGGTGTTTATGATGAAAATGAAAAGATGGATTTAACTAATAGCTATTACAAGTCCGAGATTTTACCTTATTTTGATAAAAAAACTGGGAAAGTCTCTGACATTTTGATGGCTAGCCGGCGAGAGATACATGATCTTCAGGAACCCAAGAACAAAATGAAAAAATCAACCCACATTGGATTCAAATTAAAATCACCTCTTTTTGACCTTCCTTATTTTTCTTTACCCTATTCGTTTCCTCCAGACGTTATGAATACACAGGCAGTTAATATTTTGAAGCTTTTACTGTCAATTATTTTAGATCCATCTTGTGAAGGAAAACTAAAGGATCAAATAGGCGAGAAGGTTGTTATATCCGGATTTGTATTCAATGAAGAACAAATGGATGCTTATTTTGAATTTCTTGGTTTGTTGGATGAGCACACTCCACAAGCTTTCAGAGACAACATCTGTAAACCAGAAAAAAAGACGGCTACTCTAACATATTGGCTTGAATCTGCAGCTCAGGGTGAAGCTTTATTGAAATCATTATATTTACTTCGAGAGTTTATTCCCAATCTAACAGAAAGACAAGAATATTTACTATTTCTTTATTCGCAAATGGCAGTTCTAATGATGATAAACAACTCAAGCCATATAAATAAGGACCTTAACTTGGACCTTGTACAGGCATCTTGGAACAATGTCATCCGAACTTTTGAGAGGTTAGTGACTTGGGGGTATAACCTAAATGGATTTATAGGTACATTGCCATTGCACACCATGCTTCATACACCTAGCTATTTGAAAAAAGTTGGTCCACTTAAAACATTTAGCTCTTATGCTACCGAGCAAATGGTCAAACCAGTTAAAGAATTACAGCAAAAATAGTAGATATCCGATAATAGCACTCTGCAATTACCAACTAAAACACTACGTCATAAATCTTATTTTTATAGGTCAAGCGACACCAGAAATATTACTTCCTTCTATGAAGTTGTCTGGTAAAGCAGAAGAGTGTACAACTGATGACGAATTAAAATTACTTGACCTCTTAAAAAAAAGTCTAGTTGAGAATTATCCCCAATATGGGAATGGGAAGAATCAAATTTCATCTAATAGCCATACAAGCTATAGTATGAATCTTTTATATGAAAAGAAGACGAGAAATTTTATGAGCAATTCTTTAGATTCTGACACATATTATTATCGGCGTTATAGAAAGATTAATTGGAACACATCAAAATATACCGCGATTGCAAATAACTCTAAGTCTCGTAACGCCACAAACGAACTAGACACATTTGTCCGAGTTACTCAGTCAAGAAATTCATCTGTTTCTAAAAGTCCAAGTTACTATGCAAAACTCCTAGATTGTTTTTCTGTTCGCAAAGAAACAGAAAAAGTTAGTAACTTGTTTGTAATAGTTGAAAAAATCCCGGATAAGTCTTTAAAAAGTCTGGATGTGGATACCGATTACAACGGTGTAATATTTGGTGCTAAAATGAAACTAGGGTTTTATTGGGAAAATGAGTACAAGCAAGGTGAAAGGATTGTGGTACCCTTAAACCGAATTGCCAATCCTGTTTTTATAATACCACAGTACAATTTTCGGTTGTCAAATTCAAAAAAAACAAACAGGTTTTTCATTTTGGACCCAAATGTATTTTTTGAATTTAGTGTGGGATCAAAAACTTGTCAACTTTTGTTACTTGATGAACATATGAATATCAACCAAAAAGAGTTGGATTATATTAAAAAATTTCTTAAAAATAAGGATTCTGTTGTGATGAAGACAGATTTTTGTGTATGAGTTTTATTTTTTTTAAAAAAAAAAGTTGGTATTTAAGTATTTATAAATTCATACCATTTACCTTTAGGGATAAATGTCAGTGTGCTGGGAATTATTTGTTTTCGCAAGTAAAAAATAAATAAATAAATAGATAGATAATTATCTATTAACAGTGTGTTGAGAAGTATCGAAATTATTTTTATTTTTTAATTTTTTTAATATATTATAAGTAATTACTTAGTTTTCCACGTCAAGAGCTTTATTTTTACATGAAAGAATAAGACCAAAATATTTGTATCAAAATATTTAGTTTCCCACGTATAATAGTTATCTTGACAAAAAAAAAACCCCCAAGCTACCTTTATCAGTATTTTTGTTTTTGCTATGATTTTTTTTATTCAAAATTTTTTTTCAATTAAATCAATTTTCTTTTTTTTTTAAATAAAATTTTATTTTAATTTAATTGATTAACGGAATAACTTCTAAATTTTTAAAGTAAAGGTTTGAAAAAAGTATGAGTATTAAAAAAAAAAAAAAAAAAAAAACAAGTTTGACAAATCACCACCACCACCATCAAATTTTTTTTTCTTTTTTAAATACAAGATTCAAAGCCGCCCACATTTTCAAAAAATAAAATAAAATAAAATAAATCCAGCCGCATCATCAACTTTTTTTTTTATTATTATTATTATTATTTTTTTTTTTTTTTTTTTTTTTTCTTTAATAATTTCTATTTTTCTTTTTTTTGGTCTTTAATTGTAAAAAAAATAAAAAAAAATAAAATAAAGCAATTGATGGTCAGTTTTTTTGATATAAAAAAAAGTTACTTTCATTAATTTAATGTTTCATCTTTATTTAAAAAAAAAATAATTATAATTTTTTCTTTAATTCCATATATGGAATTTAGTATAACTAATTCACTAGAGTGATTGCCAATAGTTTTTTAACTAGTTTAAAAACTCCATTACAAAAAGACAAAAATTTATTATAACAAATAATTAGCTGCTGTGTCATATTCCTAAAAGTCTTTACCCCGCATTTAAAATTCAAGTTTCTTTTATTTAAAAAAATTTGTTAATATATATATATATATATATTTTTTTTTTGTATTTAATAATAAACATTGGTGGTAAAAAAAAAATAAATCATTTCATCATAACCATTGCTAGTATTACTTTAAGCCACTGAAACAAATCCCTTAAAATTGTCATTCGTTTCGGCAGTGACTCTCTTATAATAAGTAGGAATGCCTCCAATATAATTGAGAGGCCCAGTAATCTTCTTTCCAGGAATGTTTGTACCATTGTACCAAGAGCGGTCAGCCAAACCAACAAGAGTCTGCTTATGGCACTCAAGAACATGTTCGGCCCATTGCTGCTCCGACTCCTCAGTAGGCTGAACATACTTGTAATTGTTAGCATCGCAGTACTCAATGAGGCTAATGATAAAGTTGGACTGGATCTGGGCACATGTGGGGCCATTGGAAAAGGCTGTGGGGCCCTGGGGGCCATACATAAAGTACATGTTGGGGAAGTCATTGACAGCAACACCAAGATATGTGCGGAGACCTTCAGATTCCCACTTTTCCTGGAGGGTTTCACCGTGAATACCACGAATGTCAATCTGGGTTAAACCACCAGTGACGGCATCAAATCCAGTAGCAAGAACAACAATGTCAAACTCGCGTTCACCATTGGCAGTCTTGATACCCTTTTCGGTAAACTCAGTAATATTTTCTTCACGGAGGTCAATCAAGTCAACATTGGGTTGATTGTAAACCTCATAGTAAGCCTGCTCGAGACATGGGCGCTTGGCACAGAAGGGATTGATTTGCTTGGAAGGTGCAAGCTTCTCATACATTTCAGGACGTGTGAGACGCTCAAGAGTCTTGCGGCGCCAGAATTCGTATTGGTACTTGTCTGCACGCAAGTCAGTCCAAACATCAAAAAAGGTAGCGACCCAAAAGTGGAAGCCACCATCGGCATAGCACTTTTCAAAGTGAGCTTCGCGCTCTTCATCAGAAACCTCGAGAGCACTGCGGGGGTCAAAACCAAACTCAAAGCCTGCAGCGTTGGGTTCTTGGATAGTTTTTTCAAAGACCTTGTCGTAGTTGGCACGGCGTTCTTCTTGCTCTTCGTGGGTAACCTTGCGTTGCTGCATGGGGATAGCCAAGTTAGGGGTACGTTGGTAAACTGTCAAGTGGTCAACCACAGGCCCAATTTCTTGAATGACCTGAACACCAGAGGCACCGGTACCAATGACTGCTACCTTTTTATTCTTAAAGTCAACTTCATCGCCAGGCCACTCACAAGTGTGGTGCATGACGCCCTTGTATTTGTCAAGACCCTTAAAGTCAGGAATGTACTTTTTAGCCGCAAAGCCAGAGCAAATTACCAAGTGTTTGGCGACAAAGGTGCCAGCATCTTCGCCAGTGGTGGTAACAGTCCACTTTCCAGTTTGGGCATTAAAGTGGCATGCCGAGACAAAAGTATTGAAGGAGTAGTTTTTAGAGATTTGAATTTTCTTGTCAACATGAGCAAAGTACTCGCCGAGTTCCTTCCATCCAGGGAAGCGTTCCTTAAAGTCCCAGTCCTTGTAGATTTGTTCAAGCCAAAGCTGGTAGACAGGGACATCAGAGTCGACACGAGCACCGGGGTACTTGTTCCAGTACCAGATTCCACCAAGATTGGAGCCCTTTTCAAAAGCATGAACATTGTATCCGCGTTGACGAAGCTGGTAGGTGGTATAGATACCGCCAAAGCCACCGCCAACAACAATTGCATCGTATTCAGTAGGAGCCATTTTTGATTTTGTGTGTGTTTGAATTGTTTTTAATAAGAGTAGTTTGAAAGAAAAGAAGTATTTATTTCTTTAAGAAAAAAAAAGAGTTTTTTAAAGTTAAAGTTATTGGATTGATTGATTTAATAAAAGAATTGATGAGGAAAGAAAAAAAAAAAAAAAAAAGAAGAAGAATAGTTGAAGAATTTTAAAGATATTTATATATATATCAAACTTAAACTATGAAAGAATCTCCACTTTTATTTAACTTGTTAAGAGAAGAGAAGAAAAGAAGATAGAAGTTAAAAAAAAAAAGACCCCTCAATCAATCAAAATGGAGACGAGGAGTTATCATGAAATTTTTCAATCAATTGATTAAAGAGATTTACAATTATGAAGACTACAACTACTTTGAAATTAGAGAGAGACAAAAATGGGGTAGGGTAGTATTTAGTTATACAATGTATATAGAAAGAAAGAATATAAAGGAGGCTTTTTTTTTTCTTTTAGTTTTATGAATTTGATATTAAAAAAAAAAACACAAGCCGTGGAATCTTTTATTTTTATATTTTTTAATTAAAATTTTTACCATCTTTACTTTACTTTAAAAGAAAAAAAAACGGTTAGAAAGAGATGAAATATTAAAAGGTCCGTATTTTTATTTTTATTTATTTTTATGTTTTTTTATTTTTTTTGTTTTCAATGAGGGGCTGAAAATGTGAGGCCAGCAATGAATGACATAGAAAAAAAAATGGTGGGGAGAAAAAAAAAATCCATTTGAATGGAGGGAAAAGTAAATTGGAAATATTAAGAGTAATAGAAAATAGAAAATAGAAATGGTTCTATGGACATAAATAATAAATAAATTAATAAATAAATTAAATAAAATTATTATTTAAATAAATTACATAAAAATTCTTATTTAATTAAGTTTACAATATAGTTTTGAGCTTTGAAGAAATGATGGAAATTGTGGGGTAAAAAGGCCTCAAAAAAAAAAAATAAATAAATAAAAATAAAAAAAAAACACACACACAAGGAGAAGTCATTCAAATAAGAAAAAAATTTGAATGGGGCAATAAAATGGTAATTGCATAGCTTAGAACTGTTTATTTTTTAAATTTTATTTTTAAATATAAAAAAAAAGGTGCAAGTCAAAAATAGGCAAAAACTGCCATTTTTTTTTTCAATTTCAATTTCAATTTCAATTTTTTAATTTTTTTAATATTAAAGATTTATTTAGGTAAATATTTTTATATAAAATATATATTATTATTGTAATTACAAAAAAAAAAAATTACTAGAGAAGGCCCAAATATTTTCATATTTATATATTTATATATATATATTCTCAAATTTCATACTTTTCTTTCTTCTTCATCACTTAACAAATTACAATGATTATTTCGGTATTAAAACTCCGGAATTTCTTTGATATTCATTTAAATTTCAGATAAATAGAAAAACAATAAAAAAATATATCTCTCCTCTTTTATTTACAGATATTCTTAATCTTCAATCAATTAATCGATTAATCAACACATTTTTTTCCTACATTGAATTTCTTCTTCATTTTTTTGTTTTCTTCCCCGCCCTTTAACTCAACAACTGAACTGTATATATTTATATATATATAAATATACTTATTAACTTCTTAAATGCAACAATGCTTCAGCCGTTCTTTACCACATGTCTGTTTCCCGGGAAACAAAAACCGCTGACTAACCAATGACAAATGTTTTTTTTTTCTTTTCTCCTCCTTTTTCTTTCTAAAAAAAAAAAAAAAAAAAAGCCTCCACTTTAATTTTCAATCCTCCCCTCCCCTCCCTTCTCACCCAGTCGTTTACTACCACCAAAAAATTTCACAGACTCAACTAACAGTTCACCCAAACCATCTTTTACCACTCATAATAATAATAATAATATTATACCCAACCATCAACACTTATTCATTTTATTTTATTTTATTTTATTTTATTTTATTTTATTTATTTACATCCCTAAATTAATTAATTAATTTAGTCAATTAATCAATCAACCTTTAAATCTTATCCATCTAAATGGTCTCACTACTTACTATTTCGCTACTAGGCACCATGGCTTTAGGATTTTTTGGTGTTATCCCCCCACTAAAGTTTTACGTCCGAGTCTTTGTCTACCTTCTACTCATTGTCATCTCAGCACTTTATGGCGTTGTTTCTTCCATCATTTTCACGCTCACCGGCTACCAGGGCCTGTCGCAATGGTCTACTGCACGTGTCTTTTACTTTTTGTGCCATCACATTTTGGGAATTACCGTCATCATTAAGAACCCTAAAAATCTTACAATTAGACCTGCCGTCTTCATCTCAAACCATCAATCTGAACTAGACATTCTGCTATTGGGTGCAACTTTTCCCAAATATTGTTCAGTCACTGCTAAAAAGTCTCTTAAATATTACCCCTTCCTTGGTTGGTTCATGACCCTCTCCGGATCTGTCTTCATTGACCGTGTTAATCGTACAAACGCACTCAAGGCCTTTGAAGGTGCCATCAAGCAGGTCAAACGTGTAAACCAAAGTGTTTTCATTTTCCCAGAGGGAACCCGCTCATACTCTCTTACCCCAACTCTCTTGCCCTTTAAGAAGGGAGCTTTCCACTTTGCTACTCAGGCCGGTATCCCCATTGTTCCTTATGTCATTAGCAACTATTCCAAAATCTTTTCCTTCAAGACCCGTACTTTTGAGTCGGGTATCATTGAAGTCGAACTTCTTGATCCTATTGATACCACTTCTATTAAGGCTGAAGATGTCGGTGCTCTCTGTGAAAAGACTCGTGAAAATATGCTTGCTGTTGTTGAAAAGCTTCAATATGGACCTCAAACCCCACAAGACAAAAAGACTAAATAAAGCACACTTAACGGAATTACTTAAAACAAACCAAAAAAAAAAAAATAGTTGTAGATATATATATACCGGTTATAGAAGAAAAGAAAGAAGAAAAAAAAAAAAACGGAATAATAATAATAAAAATAAAAAAATCTACCTTTAAACTTTCTTATTTGAGCTCTATGATTCTATCCACCATCCAATCAAGCGTATGATACATGCTCCACCCCACTCCGGGTGTCTGGATCTTGTACTGCGAGCGGGCAACTTCTGTCAAAGGCGCACTTTCCAGCCACAATCCCTTTGGATCATCACCATTATTACCACCTTCTCCACCATTTTTTTGAAACAAATAAGCGTGGCTACGAACATATCCAGGCCACACCATATCATCGAAATACCCTGGTGGATCAGTCCAAAACCCCTCCAACGTGACATATCCTGAGCGTGCCTCACGTCGCCGCTTTAACTCTAAATACTGTGCCCGCAACAATACCGCCAAATCAAGAACCGGAAGCACTGCCTCGGGATCGTGGAACAACATAATACCATCCACAATCACATAGAGCACAGGTAAATTGTTACGCGTATGCTCAATAAACTTTGTCTTTTCATATTCAAGCTCAATATCCGTCACTTCTATCTTGCCAAGAGTGTTGGTTTCTTCCTTGGATTCATAAAGCGATTTCGCAAAAGAAACATCGCCTTCACATGTTTTGAGAGTCTTTAAAACGCGTCCTAATAAGTCCATATCGAACGCTTCAGGACAATCCCAGTCCTCTAGCCCAGTTTCTTTATTAATTGGGATATCTTTGTCATTCTGTATATAAACATTAGTAGTAATAGAATTAAAAAAAAAAAAAAAATCATCTCCATCATCATTCCTCCCCCTCCATCTATTTCAGGATAATGTAAAGACTTCCATCTCCCCGCCAAAAAAAAAAAAAATAAAATAAAAAAAAAAGAAAATTTCAAGTCTAACAACTTTAAAACTTTTGACCCCGCAATTTCATTATAATAAATAAAAATAAAAAAAAATAAAAAAAAGCCCTTCCAAGGCCTCTTTTCTTTATTTCTTTCCTTCTTTAAATCTTTCAATTCAAAAGACATTTAACCATCTTCAACATTCACAATCCTGCCAGATATTTCAATCACTCACTCACTCACCTTGTAGAAGTCATCTTGGTATACAATCTCCACGGCGTTTCGCGGATCGGCCCCTAATACTGTTCGTAAAAGCCGTGAGAGGGTCTAACAATACTAGTTAGTTTGCAGTTCCTTTTAGAAAATGAAAATATATATATAAACAAACACAACTGTTAAATAAACCAAAATTGAGTCCGGATATTTGTTATTTCATCTTTAAAAAAAAAAAAAAAAAAAAAAAACCTCTGGTCTTACACTTTTCCCGGAACTTGAAGGACCACTAATGCCAATAAGTTTTACAATCCGCTTCATTTCTAAATTTTATTGAGATAAGCGTGGACAGATATATCCGAATATGTCTGTAGTGATAAAATGATAAAATGTAAAAGATTATGTATGTCCAAATGAAAAGAAAAAAAAATAAATAAATAATCTAGTATTAGTATACTTAAGTGCGTAATATACAGAACATTATGCGTATATTATATCACTAACTAAAATTTTTCTAATTTTTTTATCATTGCTTTGAAATCAAAAATAAAAAAATAAAAAAATATTCTTTACTCATTTTACACCTTTTCTTATACATTCTCCACAACTCACCATGCCTTCAGACCCCATCAACGCAAATCCAACAGTCTTGGATCTTGCAGACTTGCCTACTCGTCTAAATGACGATAACGATGATCTTTTCTCCAAATCAAATACCGCCACTGTCTCTCCACTAGACACCTTTTCCAAAGATATCCTCACTGCTGGACTTTGGTCCCAGTACCATGAACAAGACAATGTCCTCTACTCTTTCACTGAAGACCTATCTGATCTTTCAGCTTCAGAAGATGACGATGACGACAATACTGAAATTGACGGAAAAGACCTGGAAACTTCTACAGATAATACCTCTCAAACAGACCCTATAGACGCTCAAGAAATTTACGACCTCATATCAACAATCAACGACCCAGAACATCCCCTCACACTTGGCCAGCTTGCCGTTGTAAACCTGCCTCATATTTATGTTACTGATACTGGTCGCCGCGACGATATGGCTGAGGTATTTGTGGAAATCACTCCTACAATCACTCACTGCTCTCTCGCTACTCTGATTGGCCTTGGAATTCGCGTGCGTCTTGAACGGGCACTTCACCCCCGCTTCCGCATTCTCATCAAGGTCCGACCAGGTACCCACCAAAGCGAAAAACAAGTCAATAAGCAGCTCAACGACAAGGAACGAGTCGCTGCTGCCTGCGAAAATGAACAACTTCTCGGCGTCATTTCCAACATGCTGGCATCTTGCAAGTGATGACGGGTTTATTTATGATTTATAATTATACTATATAGATAAAATTATGAATGGTTATTATTAATTCTTTATTTATTTATTTATTTATTTATTTGTATTTGTATATATCTAAAGGTTTCAGAAAAAGTCATCATAATTACAAAGGACTAGTTTCTCTCTTAAGCCAGGCCGTCGCCAACGAATCATGCTCAACAAAACTCAAAGTATCATTGTAAACAACCTGATGGTAATCATTGATCCAGTCAATCTCGTCCTGTGTAAGAATCTTCTTCTCAATCAGCTTTTGACAAAGCGGCACACGCGTCAGTGTCTCAAAAACAAAATTCTTCTTGCCAAACTCATTAGGTGGCACGCCAGACTTACTATCAGCCTCCTTCACAAGCACAACATTCTCAATACGAATACCATAATGTCCGTCCTTATAGTACCCAGGCTCATTACTCAAAATGTTACCTGCCTGGAAACTAGCATTCCCATAGTAGGATCGTAGACCAATTCCAATTGGCCCCTCATGCACAGTAAGATAACTTCCAACACCATGACCTGTTCCGTGACGATAATCCAGACCTTCGCGCCACAAAAACTGCCGTGCAAAAACATCAAGCATATATCCATTTGTTCCCTCAGGGAAAACTGTACGAGCAATTGCAATGTGACCCTTTAAAACAAGAGTGTATCGGTGAATAATCTCCTCACTAGGAGTACCAAAATGGAGAGTTCTTGTTGTGTCAGTTGTGCCGTCCAGGTACTGAGCCCCAGAGTCGCACAAATAAACCTCGTTAATGTCCACCATAAACTTACTATCCTTAGCAGGTGCATAATGAATCACAGCAGCATTGGCTCCAGACGATGAAATGGTTTCAAAACTCAGACCCTTATACTTATCCATAAGCGATCTAAAGTGTTCGGCCTTAAGTCCAGCATCATAGTCAGAATAAGTACGTCCATTCTTGAGCTCATTTTCAAGCCACGCAAAATATCGAATTAGCGCTGCGCCATCTCGAATCTGGCACTCTCGTGCACCTGCAATTTCAACCTTGTTTTTAATGCCTTTAGCGGTTTCTACCGGCGATGCAATAAATGTTACATTGTCCTCACCACCAAGTGCATCATAAAGCTCCCACGAAATGTCAGTTGAAGAAAGTACACGTTTGCGCAACTCAACGCTTGTGGCTTCAGCATTGTGCTTCAGTAGTGTAGTCTGTACCGTATGGAGGTCATCGCTAATAGCCTCGTAAGGCTTAACTGTAACCTGATTCTTCTTAAGATAAGTCCCAACTTCCTTACTAATCTTGTCCGGGTCAACGTAAAGCACGGCTTCAGTTGCAGACACATAGCCAAAAGATCGGAATACAGGATTGTAAATGATATCTGTACCTCTAAGGTTAAACAGCCATGCAACCTCATCTAGGGCTGTCACTACAAACCCGAGACCTCGCTTACTCTCAATTGTCTGACGAAGCTGTTTAATTTTTTCAATCGATGATAACCCTGAGTACTGAACAGGTAGAATAGTCACCAGGCTCTTAGAACGTGCTGGACGGGCTTCGCCCCATACAAGGTCAACGAGATTAGGCGTTACCGGTACAAGTAAATCTTGTAAACCATACTGCTTAAGATCACGGACCAAGGCAGAGTATTCTGAATAACTAATGAGTTTGGGGTCTACACCAATGTTGCATCCCGTTTTGGTTGCCTCTCGGACAACCCACTCCCGCCAAGTAGGCACTCCAGGCACTCCCTGCTTCAACAACGTCCAGTTGGAGTCCAGCTGCCTTTCCGCCTGTAAAAAGTATCGGCCGTCCGTAGAAAGCAATGCCTGGTCTTTGGTAATAATTGCAGTGCCGGCAGAACCGGTAAACCCTGAAATAAATTCGCGTCTGTGGTCCGACGCAGCGGGGTATTCGCTTTGGTGCTCATCCTGAGTCAAAACAACTATTTTAATGAGCATTTCAATTGAAAAAAATAAAAATAAATAAATTTAATTAATTTAATAAAAAAAAACATACTGTAAATGCCAATTCCATTCTTGTCAAATAAAGCACGAAGAGATTCGAGTCTCTTGGTAGTGTTTTCAGCTGCCATGCTAGATGCGGGGTCTTGGGTTGAATAAAAGCGAGCAGCAGACAAAAGAGGTCTATGGGGGTCCGAGTAAAGAAGCTTAGATATGTGCTGAGCAAACAGATGACGATTATACTGCCAGTAACGAATACGATAAGCCATATGGAAAATGAAAAATACGAAGAAAATTAAAAAAAAAAAGAGGAAAAGAAAAAAAAAAGAAGAAAGAAAAAAAGAAAGAAAAAAGTTTCAAAAGACTGTTTTTATTACAAAAAAGAAACTCTGATAATTAAGAAGAGGAAACTTACAGCTGGCGAGTGGTGGTGGTGGTAGTGGTGGATAGTACAGTGGTTGGTGGTGACATTATTGTTAGTCTAGATAAGCTCAAAAAAAAGCGGAGGCAGCCCTCCTGCCAATTTTGGCAGTCGCATGTGCGGCTCAAGTAGTTCTATTTACAAATTATCTCTAATACATGGATGGTTTACAATGATGTCGTAGAAGCAGGATTCTTAACCTCCTTAACCTGAACATCATAGTTTTCAAAATCAAAATCATCTCCATCTTTATCATCATCTTTCTCTTCTTTTTTCTTTTTTCTCTCCTCGTTTTTGAGAGCCTTGGCTTTGAGCTTTTTGCTCTTTTCAACCGTATCTCTATGCTCATTTTGGTCTTTGATAACACTACCACGTTTAATTTTTTGCATCTTTTCTTGACGTTTACTCACTTGGAACGCTTTCATGTGTTTAATAATAGGGGTTCTAGGACATATTTCCACGCCAGGGAGAGCGTACAAAGTCACACCAACACCGTTCTCAGGAATCTTTCCAGAAAGTGTCAAAATAACAGACGCATATCCTAAAACACCAAAATCAAATCCAGCACCATCTATGCGAACTGACATTACCTTCTGTGGCTTAAATTTTGCTGCTTGCTCAGGATCATTGATATCATATGGCTTGGTCAAAAACCAGTCTTGTTGACTATTTAAAGGTGCTGCCGAGATTTCTACTGCCTTCTCAACTGAAGAAAATCTTTGAACAACTTGTTTGCGGTTACCACAAACACACCAACAAATGAGGGTCACATTAGGGGGAGCATCATCCATTTGAACAAATACTATACCGCCAAGCGACAAAGCTGATCCGTTCTTGGTTATAGTCACAGGGGTAGCAGAAGGTAGACCAAGTCTCTTGATAAAAACACTACTGTTCACAGTAGTTAATAACTTCTTTGGATTGATATAATTGTAAACAATCCCCCTCTCAGCTTGCACTGCTGGGAGATCTGTAATACGTCGACCAGAGTTGATATAAGAAATGGGAGCCTTGGTTTTCAAAGGCAAGTGCGAAATTCCATACTTTCGCTGTCTCTGCTCAATTGGTAAGCTATCTTTTAAAAGTTTGGTCTTGTATAAATTTCCAAGTGAAAACGCCAGCGCAGTCTTGCCTGTATTTGGTAAACCCACTATATATGAATCCACAGGCAAATCTTGAAATAATTCTTCAACACCCCACTTAACCAAAGTGCTTACTGCATAAACATCGTCAGGATTAACTTTGTACTTGTCGTAAAGCTCTCTTTGTACATATGGTAAAAATCGCTGTCGGGTTTTAAATTGTTCGTCTACCGCCAAATCGCACTTAGTAACAACGTAAATAATTTTTCTGTCAGCTGCATACTTGGTAATTTCTGGAATAAATGATGCTGGGAACTCCTGTCCACTAATCACATGAATTATCACTCCGTCCTTAGGAATTTGTGCTAGTACTTCTTCAGTTGAAGGGTGGCCAACCTTAGTGTAATCGAAATACTGGCCACCCTTGGTCAAACGGCATGTCGTGCATAAACCAGAATTTATTTCGTCTCGTTGCGTGTCTTTAATACTTTGAATCAATCGTTTTTCGTACAAATCTGAAACAAAGTCCTCGATTTTTAAGGCAGGAGATGAATCTGCTTCAATAATGTGTCGTTCTTCTTTCTTCTTAGAATCACTACTCTCTACTTCTTCCGACCCTTTTGCTTCTGCAACCTCTCCAGTTACAACTGAATGTGAATAAATAGCTTGAGAAAGAGTGTCCATTTGTCCAAACAAGTTGTTGTGATGTTCCAGTTTCTTGTCCTGGATCGACTTAGTCCTTAACTTTGAATCTGGTTCATCATAATATCCAAGTGATTCAGGAAAAGTACGCTGAAAAGGTGTTCCACAGCCATTGCATTTAGGAACTAAGTCAGTAACTTTGTGAACAAATATTTTTGAATTTGACTTTATTTGCTTAGTGGCTTTTCTTGCCTTGGGATTACTAGCCTTTTGGGCATTTGGAATAGAAGAATGAAATAATGAGACCCTAGTACTAGATAGAACAATTGTGGATCTCAAAATATTTAAAGATTGTCTACTAGGCTGAATCAGTGGTCTTTTCGACAAAAGACGAAATGCCGACTTCATTGTGCTTAGCTTTTTTTGAAATCAACTAGAAGACTGATCAAAAGTAACTATGGCTTTTTCGGTGCTTGGTGGAAATCTTGGAAAATGAAAGAAAATTTAAACTTGCAAATTTTTAGTTCACGTGACACACATATATAGACTTAAACCTTACGTAATTTTTTTTTTGATATACGGTTAGCCGCGCTGATCAATTGTTGTATTTTCAAGAGTCAAATGAGTTTGACATACTTGACTTAGTTCAACTAATATTATTGAATTCATTAAAAGTTCAGTTTATTTATTTTTTTTTCCTTCAAACAATTTATACATAAATACCTTTTAATCGCTCATTTCCACATCATCATCCTCCTTCTCTTCATCTTCAACTTCCTCGTCAGATGAGTACTCAACATCGCTGCGGTCGTGAGCATCATCACCTTCTTCATCACTTTCAAAAGAGCCAACTGCCAAATCAGTGGCTGGCTTCTTTCCGTTGTTGCTTTCTTCAAGAGCTGCTTCACGTAAAAGCTTGATGCGTTCTTCACGAACTTGTCTTTGAACAGTAACATAGTTACCAATAGGAGTCTTTTCCCATGCGTAGTCCTTAAGGAAAACCGCAACCTCAGCTCTGTTTCGGGGGCCAAAGTTAACATGATTACGCTTTTGCTGAATAAACTTAGAGTTTTCCTCCAGTCTCTCAACCAGTCGTAAAAGCTGTTTGTTGAACTTTCCATTCTTGCTGCGCTTAGTGAAGCGTCGTAACGTAATGATTACTGGGATAGCAAGTTCAGGGAATGCAATGCTCTTGCAGTGAAGAGCAAAGAATTCACCCAAAAGATCAGTAATTTGATCGCAAACGCCCTCTTGGTAAATCTTGGTTCCCAAGTAAGACTTGCTAGCACGAATGTTATACTCAAAATCAAGAGCCTTGAGTGATGATCCTTTAGGACTCTTTGTAATAACTGTGGAATTGAAAATCTCAGTAATTAAAGGAACAATAGGAATGTAAACACCAGTAGTCTGAGAAAGACCAATGAGACTTCGAATCAAGTAGAATCTCAAGGGGAAATACTGTGCAGTGGGAATAAGTCTAATAGTTCCCAGTGTAACTTGAACAAGAGGATAGATTAACTCTTGTAATGGAGACACCGAACCACGGAGGGCAGTCTTAGAAATATCGCATTCGTAACTTAAAACACGAGCCCAAAAGTCAAGCGAGTGAACGTATTGCCAATTGTAGACAATTTTGTATGAATCAGGAGTCTTATTTGTAAGACTGGATCGAAGGTGCACAGCCAATTGTCTAATATATTGGAATCCCAGTCTGTAAGAAAGATTTCCATCTAAGCCGTAAAGAGTGGCTGCAGAGTTCTTTTGGAAATTAATGCCACCCATTGTGTGAATATTGCTCTGCTTGCTATATTTAATCAGAGAGCTGTATGTAGCCTTGAGAATGGGCTCCAACAGAACAGAATGGTTTTCTGCTGTAGTCTTCAAAAATGCAAACGCATAAAGTCGTGTTTCATCGTCTTCAGTGGTGCCCCAAAGTTTAGCAACAACATCGATTTGTGCCTTGATTTGTTTGCCAAAAGTCAAAAAGTAAGGAAGCATCTCGCTTAAACTCTTCAAAACAAGGCCAGCTACTGCCTTGTCAGTGACATCACTAAGAATGGTAACCAGACAGTTGGCCAAGTTTTTCAGAGGAGCCGATAATGCAGCAAGTTTCTTGTTCTCACCAGAAATATGCTTCGCTCCACTGGAAGAAGTGCTGAGAGGAATATGGTGTTGGATAGTCTCTGGTATTTGAACAAGAGAAAGGCGAAGAAGACCATTAAAAACGTTGGGATCAGAAATAACATACTTCGCTTTTGAGCTTTCAACGTTGCTAGAAGAATCAATAGCATCTTTTAAGGCTTGGATAACCTCCTTGAGTGTGGAAAGAGAGTTGTTAGAAACAAGATCTTTCTTCCACTTTTCGACATCGGCAACAGTGATCTCTTGTAAATTGGCATCGGGAATATCATCGTCAGAATATCCTTCATCAACTTCATCACCTTCATCTTCAGAGTAATCATCATTTTCTTCGACACCTGAACTGTCTTCTTCTTCATCGCCTTCATCATCGCTTTCAAGATTTTTGAGATCAAAATCTAAAAGACCTTCATCATTTTCTTTAAGGTACTTGTAAAATTCTGGATCAGTATCCTTAAGGCTTCCAAGAGACTCCTTCATGTCATCTTGATCCTTAGAAATAGACTTTTTAGGGTTCTTTTTCTTTTCTTTCTTTTCGCTGGAAGTCTTATCGGAAGTAGGTTCCTTGCTCTTTAAAATTTCCAAATCTTCATTGACATCCTGCTCAAAATAGCTTTCGGCTTCACCATTCTCAAAAATGCCCTTTGAGTTTTCGGCTCGTTTCTTCTTTTTTTCTTCTTCGGCCTCTTCGTCGACGTATCTGTCTTCCTTCTTCTTTTCCTTTCCGTGTAAAACCTTCTTCTTGTAGCTCTGCTCGGCTTTACGCTGATCGATAGTCCGCTTCAAATGGTTTTTTTGAAACTTCTTGGTAGATTTTCCCAAAGCCATTTGAAATTATTTAACGATTAACCACCGGATAGTGTTGTAAAAACCTAGCCTGTAAATTGATAATAAGCCGTGATGTGGGTTTTTTTTTAAGAAAAATTTAAGTGTGTACCCAAAAAAAATTTTTTTTTCAGTAGTTATCAGACCTAAATTTACATATATTTAAGAATATTTCAGACTATGTTTCACGTGAATCAAAAAAACTCCCTCTTGATGTGAAGCAAAAAAAAAAACAAAAAACGAACAAATTATCTTTTGATTTCATGCTGAGACGCGACCTAGATCAAAAGTTTTATCCATAGAAAAAACCTTCTTAAAAGACTTTATTTTCATCCTTTTTGTTTTATTTATAATAATACAATACACAATTTTTAAGTTGATTTGATTTGATTTGATTTGATTTTTTTATCATACTTATCCAACTTTTAAAACCTTTAAAACCTTCAAAATGGATTCCAGTACTGAATCTAATCCCCCTAACACCAAAGAACCCCTTATTGAAAGCGCGTCGCCACAGAAAATACAAACCAACATTCACGAAGATGTTGAAGCGACAGAATCAGCAACTAGAAACTTGAGTGTCTTTGATGATTTTTTTGAGCATGAAAGTGCGAATACGAGTCCATCAAAGGAAAAGCATGCTAAAAAGGCAATTGTATTAAACCAGCAAAACGAAGTCTTCCAAACCCCTGGAAGGTCCGAAGATGGAGATCCATGCAAAAAAAGCCCACAACTTCATCCAATTCAATCGCCATGCAAATCCCCAATTTCAAGAGTTCCACTACCTAGAGTAGTTTCTGGATCACTTAACATAATGAAGAAACGAAGGCTTGAGCCAACATCACCATCATTCACTCAAGATCCTAACTCACCCCCACACAACGTACGAATCACACCATCAAAAAATCGGTCATTTTCTTCTCCAATATATCCTGGATCAGCTATGCGCACACCTTCTTTACAAGATAAGCCAATACCTGTTCTTTCTCCTCCTTCTCCTACAAGCTCAGCCCGATCGACATCATCGGCCTATATATCACCATACTCATTATTTAAAACCCCAAAATCCGAAAAGAGTGGTCATGATAATCTTCAACCTTTACCTGGATCTGCATCTTCCAGTTCTTCTGATGAATCTCATCCTCCCTCACCCTCCATATCTCCTGCCGTCGATTTGCCAAACGAATGCGTATACCCTCTACCACCCCGAGCAGATGAAAACAAGGTTGTAAAATCTAGTGTCACTTCCACAGAGCTAAAATCTATATTAACGCCACAAAACCAATTAAAATCATTTCATCGATTATCCCCCTTGGCTGCAAAATCAAAAGATCCCAAAATTGCTGAATTATCAAAAATTGATTTAGAACTTGATAGAGAACTTATGAAGTGGAGAAAGCTTACCGATACAGCCCGTCAAGCTCAAAAATACACAATTGCAAACGAAGATGAAAAGCTCAAAGACCTTGCAGAAAAGTGGCTTGATGTTGCTCAAAAGGGTGCTTTTTTCTTGTTTAGTGCAGCCAGGGAACGAATAGATCGAATGGGTGGGATGGAAGAGTATATCAGAAGGAAAAAAGAAGATGAAGAATCTAGAAAGCGGTCTGGGTTTGACGGTAACAGTTTTGATATAGATGAGTTATCCCCTGAAGAAAGAGAACGGTACGAAATTTTAAAAGCTGAATATGAGGATGAAATGCGGCGAAATAAAAAAATGACAAACGAAGACGAAGAAGATGAAAAGGAATTTACAATGAAATATATGCTTAAAAGTCTTAACCTTGACTACAACATGATTTTCCCTGAGGGGTATGACACAGATTTGGAGTTATAATAATTATTTACATTATAGTTAAATTTAATTAGCTATTTTCCAGCATAGTAAAGATAAGCTGCCATAGTTTTTATGCCTTGAATGTAGTTGACAGTATCGAGCTTCTCTGAGGCTGAGTGCGCTCCATCGTCACCTCTACCAATGGGCAACAATAAAACAGGCTTTTTAAGTTCTTCTTCAAAGGTTAACGCAATAGGAATTGATCCACCTTCTCTAGTCATGTCTGGTTCGACACCCCAAACAGTTTCTGTCGCTTTTCGAGCTGCTTCAAAATTCCAATTGTTTGGATCTCCGACCCACCACTTTCCAGCATGAATGAGTTCGACCTTTAACTTGTTTTTGGAATTCAGGGAGGCAAACGATTTTTCAACATGGTCAAAGACAAGCTGATCAAGTTTTTTTAAATCAATATCCGGAACAGTTCTTATTGAAAACTTACCAGAAACTTTAGCGGGAATGACAGTTTTAGCGCCTGGGCTGCTAAAAGCTCCCTCCACACCATGAATGGAAAGAGCAGGGTATCTCCAGCGACTCATAAGAGCTTCCTTAGGTGTTTCATGTATAGTAGTATCGTTTCCAAGTGCATCTTTTAGGTCATTTATTGTGAATGTAATTTTATCATAAAGGCCTGACTCTTCAGGTGTCAATAGTGCCACCATTTCATCAATTCCAGGAATTAAGATTTTTCCGTTTGGAGTGACTAGGCGCGACAATACATGAGTAAGGTCAATCATAGGTTCATATGTCGTACCTCCAAACAAACCAGAGTGTAAATCTTCACTGGGTCCAGAGATTGTAATGCTATAATAAGAAACACCTCGAAGTCCATAAGTTAAAACAGGTTGTTTTATTCCTACCCAGTAATTATCTGATATGCAGATTCCATCTACACCTTTAAACCCTTTAGATTTCTCTTGTTTTATGAAATCTTCTAATCCCTCAGAGCCAGACTCTTCCATTCCCTCAATGCAAAAAACTAAATCCACAGGAATTTCAACACCAGCTTCTTTAAAGGCTTGTATTGTGTTTATCCAAGCAATGACCGGACCTTTGTCGTCAGTTACACCTCGTCCGACTAATCTTCCGTCTGGTTTTTCAACTAATGTGAAAGGGTCGGACGACCAGCCGTCTTCAAGATTTGCAGGCTGAACATCATAGTGTCCATATATTAAAATTCGTTTACCAGATCCCGACCCTTTTAGCGTTCCTTGAAGAATAGGTGGTAAAGGTATGGGTTCACCCTTCGAAGTAGTAACACCATCTTGTAAACCTAACTCCTTTTGTTGTAAAGTCACACCAAGAGGTTCGGACTCGGACTTTATAAATTGAGCCATCTACAATAGTGGCTGTTAGATAACTATGATTAACTCTAAAAGTTGAAATCACTATTATTGAAAATCTAATAGCATTTCCCAAAATATAAGAATAATAATATTTATCAAATTTATACTCACTCTAAAAAGCTCATTTCTGCGATCTGGTTCTGAAGACACGGAAGGAATAGCAACAGCATCTTTAAGTCCTATAGAAATTTATCAATTAATTATCAGACAAAAATAAATGTTTTCAATTTTTAAGAAAATTCATACTTTTAATGAAGCGAGGTTTTAAATCATCAATTCTATTCAATATTTAATATTAATTTATGATTAGAGATTTTTGTAAAATCTTATTATTATACTTTACTAACTTGCTAAATACTCTTTTCAAGTCGCTACTAGCCTGTGAGTAAACTGTACGTTGATAGGCTAATCTTTTTGCACAAAACAACCTGGTTGAGGATCGTAAAGATAACATGATTTAATTAAGCTGACGGTAGTTATTATTTTTAAGACTAATGATCTTTTTTTTAAATGAACGTTAGAATAAACTATCCTAAATTTGGGGGAAAAAAAAAAATCCAAGTCCAGAAAAACTACGTAAATGTATATGAACAAAACTTATTTTAAGTTATTTGTTAATGTTAATGTTAATGTTAATGTTAATGTGGGTTAAATTCAAGATTGATTGGTTGGTAGCCTTATTCAGGGATTTTTTTATAAACACCTTAAAAAATATACCGGCTCTCTAATAATAGCTAAAAGGTCCGGCCAAACTAAAAAAAAATTTCCAACATTATCCTATTTCATGTATTTACAAATTTTATTTACAAAGGATTAAAACCCAAGCTTACAAAACTAAAAAAAAATCAAGCCTTTTTTTCGGTTACTTGAGAAAGATTTGAAAGTCTCGTTGGGCTGTGTTCTTCTCTTGAAAGAGATTGAATGGTAGAAGTAGGGTTGCTGCTGGTGAGAGAGTCCTTAGTTGGCTTAACACTAAGTTGAATGCTGTTTCTACTATCAACAAAAGCAGAAGAAACATAGAATGAATCTCCAGCACTGCCGTTGTAGTTAGAAACAAAGCCACCAATAGCAGCAAGATTCTTGGTATTATTGGCTCTTGGAGCCGAAATTTGTCTACCGGGAACAGGGCGATATAAAACAGGACCCTTGGGAGTATTCTTAATGGAGCCATGGAGAAGAAAAGATAAACCTGTATTTCCCTTGTGATTTTTGCGTAAACTTCCAAGAACGTTTGTGTTCTCACTAAGCCCATAAAATGTATTAATTAATTCACTGGCTGACTTTCTTTGTTGTTTGTCGTCTTTTGTGTTAAGCTTGGAAAATTTAAGAAATTCAGATCTTCTTTCAGGTGATTTTTGAAGGAGGTCAAGGGCTTCAGCACGCGTCAACCCATGAATGTTGTTATTAGCAGGCTGAGCAAATAGGGAATCATGGGCTTTGTTGGAGTTTCCGGAGCAAAGTGAAACACCCAGTTCCTGAAATCTCTTGTACTTAAAATGAAAAGAGCTACCAAACTCATAGGATGTCATTCCATACATAGTATCGAGAGACTGGACTGTAATATATGGAGTTTTGGAACCGGCAGGCATACATCTTTTCAAACCAAAATCCTTGCGATAAAGAGAAGATGGTGTAGTTTTAATGACTTGAAATTTTGGTGCAACATTATCAGCATAAGATGCATTAACAGGCTTTGCGACTGAAGCCAGTCGAGATGATCGCAACGTATTTCCAAATCCCTTTGAAGCTGACATTGATTCAATTGATTTTTTGCCAACCGAGGAATATGTTTTGAATTTTAATTATTTGGTGGTGGCTTGATATGGTATCACAAAAAAATTTTTTGTAATGAAGGTAACAGCAGTTTAATTGGTTACCAACATAACCCTAACATCAAAAATTTAAAATAACTTATTAGTCTATTTAATTTCATTTAATGTTAATTTAAATAAACGATTAAAAATCTCTATGCATATTTAAAAAATCTATTGTTTTTAAAAGGACAATGTAAGCTTATCTTTAAACTCAGGAACTACTACAGCAAATTGAGAATCGTTTCTATAATTTATTTCCATGGTAAATGAAACTTTCGAAGTCGATTGAACCATTTGAACGTCGACTCTTGGAAATAGCAACTTTCCAGTACGTAGCGGAATCAATGTTAGCTTGAAGTTTTGCTCATTCCCTTCACCATTTATTTCAAAGAACGATTTCTTTTTCCCGGAAAATGCCCAATTTTCAGAAATTCCAAGATCATAAATGAACTTAATGCGTTCGTTTAAAGAATTTTTAGACAGTGAAGGTGCCCAGTTTTGTACAGTTGCTATGCTTAAATCACAAGTAACCGATTTTCCAACAACAAAATGATCTTCGGAAGGTAGCAGCAGTTCTATGTTGTGTACCACGTGAACTTGAGGAATAGATACTGGAATTATTAAATTTCGTGTTATTGATTGATAGTAGTTCTCATTTTTTGGATCACATGAGCACGACCGAAGACATTTATTGACGTTTTTATCCAAGAGTTGTATTAGTTCTGTCTTTTCGGCAGAACCTAGCATACTGAGTGTGTCAAGTGTGCTTATATAACTCCACGAATTCTCAGGAATTATGACTTTTCCCGATCTAAGATATGCCATAATATCGAAAGATAACATGTGTAAGGATTTTTTTAGAAGTAATTCATAGCGACTATATTGCGTTCCGCTTATAATTTTAGAAAGTGCTTTTGCAACATCTAAAATGCACTCATCTTTAATATATCTATGTTTGATAACTAATGGAACACTTTCAACCACTGCAGGTGCGTCTGGATTCTTTTTAATGCAAAAAACGTATGAAACCGGGCCATTTGGATATGAAATCTAAGCTGTGTTAGTAAATTTTGATAAATTCTGTTAAAAAAATACTTACGCATGGTTTGTTGGTACCTGATGGGGTGCTGGTGGTAAAATTCTTGGTTGATTTTAAATTTGTTTCTAAAATTCGAACTGGTTTTTCCATGTGGTTGCAAGAAATCAAAAACTTCGAAAAAAGCTTGTCTCCCTTATAAAAATCCTGAACGTTAACAGAAAGTGCTAGTGATATATCTAGGACATCCTCTAAAATATGCTGAAACTCGCCTTTTTCTGTTTTATAATTGATTATAGCTCGAATTTTAACGCTCATTACGTCAAAATCAATGGCATAAGGGACCGATATCATTGCTTTTTGATCAGATCCAATATTAGTAAACGATATAACTGATGAACGATTGTCGCTAACATTTACTGTAGTTAAATTGCTAATATAAGTTTCATTTCTTGCTTTTTGAGGGATAAGCTTTAATCCAGGTGTTATCGATTTAAAAGCAACAGTACCTCCAATGACATCATTGATTCCGGGTTCAAGTAATATCCCAATTCTCCGTTCTGTTAACATGGATGTTTCCGGAACTTGATAACGTGCATGAAAATTATTCTTTGAGGTGTATAGCTGAAGTAAAATAGGTGCTTGATCACTATAGTTTTTAGTAAATGAAAGCTTTCCTCGAATCATAAATAACGCCGTAATTTTAAACTTGACTTGCTCAAATCTCCTATTTTCAAATTTAAGAGTAGTATTGCCAGGCTGAAGAATAATAGGATTAGCACCCTTAACCTCAAAAGAAAGGACATCGGATGAGTCGTTGACGTTTCTCATGGTTATTGTTGCACTATTAATAGGAAAAGGAAACTTTAAAGGGTTTAAAAAAGTGACTCGTAAGATATAGGTATCAGAATCAGAAACAGATGTGACATTAGTGTCTATGGTTGTAGTAAAAAAATTGTCAAGACTAGTAGAGCAAGAAACTAAATCAGCTAATGATTGAACAACATCAATTCTCTCTTTAACGTCTTCAGGTGCCAAATATGGGTGACAAGAAAGTAACTCTAAAGAGTGTATTAACATGTCTTCTTTTTGATCAAAATGCTTTAAACAATTGACATAAATCATTAGCAGCGAAGTTGAGACAAGATCCCAACCTTCACTTCGAAATATATCGGGAATTGTCCTTAAAAGTTTTGCTGTAGATTCATAGTTTCCTAATTGATATTCCAGAAGAGCCAACTGTGCCGTTAATCGGGTTTGAATCCTTCCTTTATCGGTCATTTTAAATTCAGCTAAAGCTTGTAGAGTCAAACTTCTGTATTCTTCAAAAAATATTGAAGAGCTCGTAAGATTGCTTTTCATGATTTCATTTGTAATTTTATAATTTTTATCCTTAACAAAATTGTCTTCCAATGAAATATCTGACAAAACACCTTCAATAACCCACCCTTCAGAAGCCGCAATAGTTTCTAAAGAAGTTCTTAAAATCACAATAAGTTCACCTCGGCCTTCAGCAACTTCTCTGACTACCGAACTTTCAACCCATGATGTTGATGCAAGAAACTCTTGTGCCACATTATAGATCCATTCAGCTACTAAATATTGGTTTTTTTTATTAGACAAAAGTAGGCCTGTCATCTCCCCCAGAAATGATCTAAGTCTTAAAAACAATTCCCCAATTTTCATAAAACCAATAGAAGGTGAAGGGGCTGACTTTGCAATGCACAAAAGTAAATAGGCTTGTCGTGAAAAAAGATAAGATTGAAAATCAAATAAAGAAACAGTGTTAGAAAGTATAGAATGTCGCATTGTCGTGTTGTTCTGAAGAGATAGTAGCGGCTCTGGTAGTTTTTCAAACCCTATGTCAGAAAAAAATGTAATTGCCTTCGATTGTTGAATTTGAGTGAAAGCCTCTTCTAATTCGTCGTAAAGTAACAAAGCATCTTCAAATAGATTCATTCGCTCAAATGCTAACGCCAATCCTTCCTTCATTATAAAAAATTTCCCAAAATTCCATCCCAAGACGTGTTTTTCTGTTTCAAGTTTATTGACTTCGTTTTGATAAAGGTCAACACGTTTGCTGAAAGAACTAAGAAGACCTTCCTTTATTTTTGTCATTAATTCTTTCCATGCTTCAGTTCTAGCTTGGTCTGTCGAATAATCTTTTCGGATTTGAAGAACGCGGTCTTGTTTAGAATCAGTGTTAAAATCAATCTTTATTTTGTCAAAAACACCATATTTAAAACGAGTGCTGGAAGATGTTTTTCCACCGGAAGGAACATAATGAACAATTAGCCACTCAGTGGGATCACGCACTCCTGTTACATTTTTTTCAAACCACTCGCGGATAATTTTCCTGATTGTTCCACGATAAGTATCGTTATCTTCACATTTAACAAAAGCAATTTTCAAATATGGCTCTGGAGATAACCCCAGCATTTGGTGCTTGGGTGTTGCCAAAGAATTAGCAGTTTCTTCAACTAGGTCGACATCTAATTTTTCTATTGTTCGAAGAGGACGAAGAGGGTGATTCCAATGAAGCTTGGTAAGAGGAAATTGACTAACAAATGTATCACGTATTTCACTTAAAACATCAAAAGGATCATAATATGCAATTTCTGTCTTCTTATCAAGAGAAGGAACCATATTAGCTCCAGACATTTTGGTTAAAGAAAACTAGTGTTATGTTTTGTTGATGTTTGGTGCTTCTTTATTTTTTTTACTGCGGTAAAAAAGGTTATGTGATTGAGCCAAATTTGGTTTACGTGGTGGTTTGGTAGACTTCTTAATATAGATTTACTGTTTCGCGAACCAGAAACACTTAAAATATGTTACTTTTTTTTTTATTATTATCCCCCACCTCTTTTCTTCCCTGTTCACTCATTTTTTTTAAACTGGATCGCGTCACAAATTTATTAAAAATTTAATCAGTCAATCAAAATAAATAATTTATTACTTGAAATTATCAATCACTGCTTATTGACTAAAAAGTAGTGACAGCGCACTACTTTTTTTTTGAAGCAATTCTAAGAAACAGACCATGTCTTACCCATCAAACAATAAATCAAAGCAACCAGTACGCGAAAATTCGTCACTAAGTCGACTTCACGAAATTTCAAACCGGCCACTTAGATCCAAGACATTTAAACAAATTGTTAGAGCTAAATTTCCAAATCTATATAGCTCTGCCGGAAGTATTGTATCAGTGAAAACAGCCAAAGGATCATCGCCCAATGAGTTAGCAGAATGGATGCGCTCCTTGCGAAAACGTGCAGATGCCGCGCTTCTACAAAATGATAAATTTGAAGCCGAAACTGAAGATGAGATTGCCGAAATGCGAGCTAAGTTACAAGATGAATCCGAAGATGAAGATGATTTTTCTCATTCATTTAACAAGCTTGGAGAAATTCTTGAGCGTAAACGGCAACATTTTTCAAACGTTTTTCCAAATAAAAAGCAAAGGGTACTGTGTTATATTTTAATCCTGCAGATATTATTATTAACTCTTATTAACTTTTTATAGATTTCTGAGGACTCGGAGTACTTTAATGATTTTATTGAAGAAGAAGAACAAACACCACTTGTCAATGATATTTCAAACCCTCTCTTCCATCGAAACGAATGCTATCCTGAAGAGACACCAGAATTTAAGTATTTACAATCTTCAGCAAATAAAAATGTTTTGACTATTGACAATAGTATGCAAAACATGTGCTCTACTCACGAAAACAAAAATCACGCGGACACTGATGACGACAGTGATGTCGAAATAATAAGTGACACTTCAGCTTCACTTGATAACAACGTTGGAAATGAAATTTCCAAAGATGAATATTTGGATAGTTTTAACAGGAAACCCGAAGATTTTGTTTTCAGGGATTCTCAGGAGCACTTGGGTAATACTGATGATGACTTCATAGATGATACCATAGAGAGCCCATGGATCGATGAAAGTCAAGAAGAATCTGAAAGCGAAAACGAATCTCAAGATACAACAGCACATACTGACAGCGACTTAGAGGAAGTTGATACTTATCACCCCTTTCAAGAACCTAGAAACAACGAAAATTCCTTGGAAAATGGTGAAGAAGAAGAGAGTGAAAATTCCGATGAAGATGAAGATGAAAATGGATATGAAAATGGATATGAAAACGAGGAAGAGAATGAATATGTGGATGAAAATAGTGAAGATGATGAAAATAATTGTGATCAAAATATATTAGAGGAAATCTCTCAGGAAGAGATTGGTCTTAACAGTCAAAAAATTCCCTCTGAATCAAATATTTTTGTGCCTAATTCAATTCCGATTCCTGTCGAAGATGCTGAAAACACACACGGCGATGATTCTGATATGGAAATGGATACAGGGCCCCTTGAACAATTTCATCACATTGAGGATAACTCTTCACATCAAAATGATGTCATGATTGATCAAAATGACCTTAAAACAATTTTTGATATGGTTCCTCAGGAACGACCCGAGCCATCGGATTCCCACGAAATTACTGGTGGTATATCAGAGGCTGATTTAGCCGAATTAGCTCAAATCGCTGTTCATAAAGGCCTACAAGATAATGCCTCGGTTCCCCATGACGACTTGTCCGAGGGCAAATTATTTGCCCAAAATAAAAACCTTTCTTTTATCGACACAAAAACTGAATCCACCCCACATCCAAATGCTTCACTCAATAATTCTGCCGTTAGAATCAATTTGGATCATCATATTCAATCCAACATAAAACATGAATCCGAAGTAGCACCAGTACTTGCTATTAGTGACATTAACCGTTGCCCAACTTCTGAGGCATCAATTAATCACGTAAGACTCGGCGAGTCTCTGGAAAAAAGTTCTGAGTCCGTCAATGAACTTGACCTTCCTTTAATTGATGAATCCATTGAAAAACCTTTTGATCGAAAGTCTACTAGTGAGATTGTTAACAGATCTGTTGACGAACCTGTTGATGAATCTGTTGATGAATCTGTTGACGAATCTGTTGACGAATCTGTTGACGAATCTGTTGATGAATCTGCAGCCGAGCCTGTTGCTGAGCCTGTTACTGAGCCTGTTACTGAGCCTGTTGATGAATCTGTTGATGAATCTGTTGACGAATCTGTTGACGAATCTGTTGACGAATCTGTTGACGAATCTGTTGATGAATCTGCAGCCGAGCCTGTTGCTGAGCCTGTTGCTGAGCCTGTTGCTGAGCCTGTTGCTGGGCCTGCTACCGAACTTGCAGATAAACTTGATAACGAGCCACTTTACAACCCTGTCATTGATGTTTCTACAGAATCCGGTTTTCTTTCATCTGAGCCTATTTCTAATGCTAACTTTTCTATTTCATCATTTTTAGATAAGAAACAACCTGTTAATTCTGAGGTTTTGTCTTCTTTACCTTCAAATACACAGACAGAAAAAGATTTTTCAGCACAAAATCCAGAAAATTATGCTTCTAAAACGAAAACTCTTGTCGGTGTAGGCCTTAATGGAGCTCCTGTTTTTTCATGGGGCTTAAGTAATGCTAATTCTCTTAAAAATGATAACGTCAATAGTAGTGTTGCATTTTCCTTTGGAGAAACATTTCAGCATGTTTTGGAAGATAAAACTGACAATTTAAACAGCGAAAATGGAAATACCCAAGATACAAAAGATATATCTGAATTAGCCAATTCAAACGAGATATCTTTTCCTGAGCAAATTTCTTATAACAAAAAATCCACTTTTGGATATAATAAAACCAATAATTCGTCTCAGTCAATGTCTTTTGTTTCGATATCTGAATCCGAATTGCCGCATACTTCACAGGTGGGCTATGATTTTGGCACCAATTTAGCATCCACAACATCAAACATTAATAGCGACGATTCAAATGAGCTTCATAATCAATTGAATGATTTATCTCCAGATGATATTGTTTATATGGGAAAAAAGGCTGAGTCCAAAACTAACCCTTCACAAAATATAAATGATTCTAATGTTATCACTGATGAGTTTGTTGATCCAAATCTATTTTCTTTGTCAGAATCTAATACTGTTAAAAATAGTCAAGCTAACATTTTGAATTCAGAAAAAGAAAATGCAAATGTAAATCAAATCTCTATTTCGGAAGAAAATTTAGATGTTGTCCATACAGTTTCTGAAGCTGTTCAATTGGCCTATGAAGCTATAAATAAAATTTCTGACCTTTCTTCTTATGCTCAAAATGATATGAGTGCCAATGCTGATACTTCTCACCACTTAGATCACAAAAACCCTTCATATGATCATAATTATAATAAGTCACACGTTTTCAATGAAGAAATTGAACACATAAACACACTTTCCAATAACACAAGTCTACAACAAATGGATATTGAAGAATCTCACTCAGCACATATTGATAGTGTTACACCGAAATCTAATAAGCCCACATCATCTGAAAACGAATCTGAAATGATCATCGATTATAATCGACAAGAAATTCACAGTGATTCTGAACACACAAAAAGCTCAGCAATTGAAATTAATCAACTTCAGAATGATAATGTTGTTAATTTTGACGAAGTTCACAACTCTGATGGTATCAATAATTCTGATGGAGTTGATCAATTTGATGACGTCCATAGTGCTGATGATGTTGATAGTACCGATGGCATTGATAATTTTGATCATGTCCATTGCTCTGATAATATTTGCGATGATTCAAAAGAAACGGGAAATGTTAAAGCTTCTGTACCTGGTCAGATTTTATCCAATATTAATTCTAGCATTTATGATGATGACAGTGTCTTTGTTGATTCTCATCTTATGAACTCTAGACAAAGCTCTGATCCTGATGTGGAAATGAATGCTGAAGCTGGCGGTTCAGATGTTGAAATGGTTTTTCAAGATGAACAAGAAGACATAGGTCTTTCAGATGCTGATAATGTTTTCAGTAAATCAGCAAATCTAATAAATACCTCTGAAACTTCTGGTATTGAGAAACCTGCAGATAATGGTACCGCAGTAAATGTCGAAGAGCCTTGTAGCATTGGACAAAAATTGGTTGATATCAAAGAGTCTTCAGATCTTCAAGAATTTTCCAACGGCCAAGAGTCTGTCAACGTCGAAAAATCTATTGGCATTGAAAATTCTGCTGAAACTCACGCTGCTGAAGTCGAAAGATTTGTCAACGTTCACGGATTTGTTGACATTCAGAATTCTGCCGATATTCAAAAAGATACACATGCCCAAAAGTCTAATAATGATGAAACCCCTACCCATATTCAAGAGGTTTCTACTGAAATTAAAGAATCTACCAACATTCAAAAACCTGATGACTCAAATAATATTGAAAAGTCAGTCGACATCGAAAACTCATATAATATTCAGAAACCGGCTGATAATGAATCTTCTGTCAGTGCTTCTGTTGAAATGAAAGAATCTGAGGTTGAAAAGTCTTCTGAAAATAAAAAGTTCATCAAAGTTGACGATTATGATGATCACCCAAAATCGTTTAAAATAAAAGATTCTGCTAACATTGAAATGTCTGATATCGAAAAGACTTCTGGTGTTGAATCTATCCAGGTTGAATATGCTGATTTTAAAGAGCCTGCTAAGATGGAAGATTTTGATGTTGAAAATGCTGTGGATACTAAAATATTACATGAAGACTCTGAAATCATTAATGTGAATAATCTGGTAGATTTAGACGAACCTATGGATATTGATACTCCAGTTGAAAATCACGGTCTTAAAAACTTGGACGAACAGATTGAAACTTATGAATTGATGGATATTGACAAAATCGAAAGTACAGAATATGTCAGTCTGTCTAAAACCGACAAACTTTCTGAAAACGAGGTTTCTCCGTCTATTGATTCTATTAAATTTTCCAAATTTAAAGAACTTGCCACTGTTAAAGATAACGAAATGAGAAGCTCTATTGGTGTTGAAGAGTCTATTGACATTGATGCTGATATTGACATGGACATTGAGGAGTCCACCAATGTCAAAGAATTTGTTGATATTGAAAAGTCTATTGGCGCTGAAGGACCTTTTAATGAAGAGTCTACCAATGTTGAAGAGTCTGTTGATAGTGACAAGTCTTCCGGTTTTAACGAAACTGCCGATATTAAAGAATCGACCAACTTTCGAGAGCTTGCTAACTCTCAAGATCCTATTTATACTGGAGAATCTGTCGATACTCAGGAATCTCCTTATGTAAAAGATGTCATTAACCTTGAGGAGCCTACTGATACTAAAATGTTGGCCATCATTCAAAAGTCAGATCATGTTGAAAAGTCGACTCATGATCAAAATCCCATTGGCATTGAAAAGTCTGTTGATATTGAAAAATCTATCAATTTTGAAGAGGTTACCAACGTTAAGTCTGTTGAAGTTAAAGTACCTTCTGATGTTCAAGAATCTACTAGTCTTGAAAAGTCTGCTGCTGATGTTGAAGGGTCTGCCGATGTTGAAGAGCTTGCAGATGCTGAAGAGCTTGCAGATGTTCAAGAATCTACTAGTCTTGAAGAGTCTGCTGCTGATGTTGAAAGGTCTGCAGATGCTGAAGAGCTTGTCGATGCTGAAGAGCTTGTCGATGCTGAAGAGCTTGTCGATGCTGAAGAGCTTGTCGATGCTGAAGAGCTTGTCGATGCTGAAGAGCTTGTCGATGCTGAAGAGCTTGTCGATGCTGAAGAGCTTGCAGATGTTCAAGAATCTACTAGTCTTGAAGAGTCTGCTGCTGATGCTGAAGGGTCTGCAGATGCTGAAGAGCTTGTCGATGCTGAAGAGCTTGCATATGTTAAAGGATCCGCAGTTCGGTTTGAAGCATCCGTTAATGTTAATGTTAATGTTAATGAATCCGGCAACTTCATCAAATCATCAGATTCTCTGCAAAATGTTAAGGGTGATAATCTTGCTGAAGTGTCTCAGTTTGTACAGCTTTCTGAGTCTGTCGAAGTTTTGGAATCCCGCGACGTATCAAAATCTACAGAAGTTGTGGATTCTTCTATAAATAACATAACTGAGCATACCTCAGCATTCACACAAAGAATCCACCAATCGACTCAAACTTTTACTTCGCATTTGAATTTTGAAAGCAGTAGAGATGTTGGTATCGAAAACATTTCCCATAATACCTCAAAATTTTCTGAGAGCTCTAATTCATATGAAGCTATTGAAGAAGCTGGGTTTAGCAACAAAAATTCTAATGATGAATCCGAATTTCTCACCCAAACTCAAGATTTAGTCGAGATTTCATCTGATGAAAATCCAGGGACCGAAGTTGGCAAGCAAGCTTATAAAGCTGATATTATCAATAACCATGACAATGACAATGACAATGACAATGACAATGACAATGACAATGACAATGACAATGACAATGACAATGACAATGACAATGACAATGACAATGACAATGACAATGACAATGACAATGACAATGACAATGACAATGACAATGAAAATGAAAATGAAAATGAAAATGAAAATGAAAATGAAAATGAAAATGAAAATGAAAATGACAATGACAATTACAATGACAATTACAATTACAATGACAGTGACGATGATGATGATGATGATGATGATGATGATGATGATGATGACGATAATGATGTGAATAATGGTGACGACGATGACTATGGCTATGACTATGACGATGACAATCACAATCACAATCACTATCACAATCACAATCACAATCACAATCACAATCACAATCACAATGATAATGGCAATAACGATGACAATGACAATGACAATGGCAATGACGATGACAATGACGATGACAATGACGATGACAATGACGATGACAATGACGATGACGATGACAATGACGATGACAATGACAATGACAATGACAATGACGATGACAATGACGATGACAATGACGATGACAATGACGATGACAATGACGATGACGATGACAATGACGATGACAATGACAATGACAATGACGATGACAATGACGATGACAATGACGATGACAATGACGATGACAATAGCGATAATCATAATAATTATCTCGAAGATAAAGATGATAACAATAAAGATAACGATAATTTCCTTGATAATATCCTTGACGATTTTATTTCACGTCATCCAATGACGTACGAGGAAAATACGAAAGACAATATTCGTCATGGCTCTGTTGAAAATTCCTCTAATTCAGAAGGTCATCATTACAACAGCAGTAGTGAAAACTTTTCACAGTCAAATATTGATGAAAGCCAAGTTATCTCTAATACAAGTGGTGGTTTACTACGATCGATGACATCTGTGGCTAATGAACCGGAAATTATCGTTATTAGTGATAGTGAAGATGATGAGCCATAAGTTAATGATGTTGAGATCACCAAGATTGATATGAAGATGACGATGAAGATTATGACGAGTGATAAGTGATAAGTGATGATAATTCCATTTAAGATTTTTATGACCAAAAAATAGCTTTTGTTATGTTTAATGATTTAAAAATAATTATTTTATTGTCTATCTAATGGGTATCTAAAATAGTAATGATAGTTTTGATTAATTAGGCGGTGATTTTCATAAGTTTTTCGTAACAGGAAAACATTGTCATTCCCAAAATACTAGTTCGAACTAGAGAAATCCCCAGACCACGGTACATTGCTTTATTAAACAAGGCAGAAAGTTCTATTTTCGGGCGCTGGGGGAAAGCAGGTTGGTTCAAGTTGGCGCCTCCTTCCATAGGTGCAGTCTTTAAAAATACGTAAGTCATTACATCACGTTGATATCTTGATTTAATAGTATCAAGGGGGTAAACAATAACCCAAGAACAAGCACCAGAAAGACCACCAGCTATTGCAACAGAAACTGGATGTGGTTCTGGTGTATTAAATAGAACTAACGAAACAGCTGTCCGAATAGAGTCATAAACTCCAAAATAAACACCGGAGCCAATAGCATCTCGAACAAACATATATCTGTAGCCTGAGTATAAGCTGAGCCACCCATTGTTTTTAATCAGTTTTCGAGCAATGCTAAAAGTTCCCGAAGGTTTGACTAATTCTTCAGGCTTCATACCATTTGGAAAAACTTTTGATGCAGCAGCAGTCGGAGAAACATGAGTTTGGCCAGAGACTCTTACGACCTCTAGCTCAAGCGCTCGTCGTCTTATGACTAATTCAATTTGAGACCCCAATTTTGTGAGCTCAAAAGGACTAGCGATAAAAGATGTACTGATACCTGCAATCATGCCGGAACAAAAAGAAACCGGGTATTGTCTAAGGATATACCCTATTTTAGAGCCTGAAAATGGTTGCGTGGTTTTCTCATCCGAGGGCTGTAGTTTCTCATAAGTCTTAGCTTGATATTCGATAAGTGGGGGTGGATCATACAACGCTGACCAAAAAGAGTGGGTATATGGTTTAGAGTAAGTAAACATTGACATTGACCAGGATCTCATAAGAGAAGAAGAAATCTAATTCTGTTAGAGAAATCATTTGAAAACATATTTTGATGATGTTTTAAAACATACCAATGGCGCCATTAGACCTATTTGAAATTTTAAATGATTAATGATTAATGATTAATGTTAGAAATATTTAAGATTTAGTTAAGGATGAAGGTGTCGTGACCTTTTGTTCAATCATTATTGGACAATAAGCATACCTCGATAAAATCCGAGAATTCCTTCATTCTTATAAGTATCAACAATACAGTGCCAGTTTCCGTTATACTTATAAGTTTGCAGTCTAGTTTTAACTGAGTCTAATGGGAAACCAAAAGCAACAGCAAATAGAGAGGCAAACCACGAGTTTAAAGTAGGTCGGTAAGGTTTCAAAGACTCTGGATATTCAAAAATAATATGCTGTGCTTTATTTGGTGTATCATTAAGTTGCTGAGAAAGTTCGCTGCTGTTCATTAAATTTCGTCTGGCATTGAGTGCACTTGCAGTTGTTGATAAAATGCTTTTACCGACCGTTTTTTCAGGTTGATTTAATGTTTTTTCGTGAGATTCAGAAATAATGGGCGATTTTTCAAGCTCTAAAGGAGAATTTAAAAAGAAGATTGATGAATATGTTGTATTGTTTGCGGTTAAATACTTTTCGGATATTGGCGGTATGAAAGGATGGCATTTCCTTGATTCTATACTTTGTTCTAATGCCTGTGAATTTATTTCATGATTCTCGCAATCCGAAATTACTCGAGGGTTTGTATTGTTAGCAGGCTGAATAGTGTTGTTTAATTTCATTGCTAGAATCGGAAAACTGTATTTTTTTGTACTTGATGTTCAAGGTACTGGTACTAAAGACGTTCTCAAACTTTGAAAAAAAAAAAAGGAGAAAAGCTGGAGAAAAAAAGATTAATGTTTTTCTAACAAAAAAAAAAGACTCCAGATATCTAAGTTCTCTAAGATTTCTAAGTTTTATTTCCCTCTCTCAGTGATTTATTTTTCATGTATTTTTTTTTTCACTGGTGTTTTTTAATGTGTTTGGATGATAGTGGAGATATTTGTTTCCGGTGACTGAACGGAGTTCTTTTCTGGGGTTGAACCGCCCTTTAAAACAGTTACCGTTGTCCAATCACCATTCCATTAGAGGCCGTCTATCCGAAATGTTACAAAAGTCACGTGCTATTTTTTAATTTGTCATATAGTGTAATTATTATTTTATTCAATTTGCTCAATCTCTTATGCTTACCTAAATAGATATTTTTTAGGAACAATAAATCAACTGTGTGTGTCCTGTGTCATATAAAATATACATTTCTAATATTTAAAAAAACACATATTCAACTATATGATTGAATATTTTTTTTCACAAATAAACTAGATTTTCATATTTAAAATTTAAACAAAATAGATTTAGAATATTGGCTTGGAATTTTTTTATTAAAAAATCAAGTTCATTGTTAGGCTGAACTTTTGTGAAAATAGGCGTTTATGCTTTGGCTATTTTGTTATTTTCCTAGTATCCAGTGGAAATTTACTTTAGCAACATAAAATATATTATTTGAATACTACCTGTTGCTTTTTCAGCTCGACTTTTTACAAAAGGTTTAAAAATACTTATTGTTTTTATATTTGGGGCTCGGTTTATCATATATGATAAAAAATTTTATCTAATATATAACATATGCTCTTTGCCAATATTTTGAATAGTTGAAATCACTTAATATGAGATGATTTCTTACACACAAATATCAATTGAAAATTTTGAAAAAAATATTCAAAGAAATTTCTAAAATTATTTTAGCAGCTTCAAAAAATATATTTTTTTATAAATTGTAAACAAACCTTACAAAGAACAACTGTTACTAAAATATTCCAAATGCAACTTTTATCACATTTTGTGACTATCTCGGACAGTGGAAATTATTGAATAATATATAAAATAAATTGCAAAATTTGGAAAATGAAATTTATTTTTTTTAAAAAAAGCTATGCTCATGAAGCGAAGGAATGTTTGGATTGGAGGATTGATATACATCATAAAAAATATAATTATTGATTGGAGTGCTAGTGCTTTGGTCATTAAAAAACGTTGCAAATCAATATGACCTGCAAGGCCTGCAATGCAAAGCAATGCTTGAATGGTCTTTGTTGCTTGTTGCATACCTGAAATCAAGTAGAAATTAAGAAAAATATTAAAAAGACTAAGAATCAAAACAAAAGCTTTAAAATACCATATACGAAAACAGGTGAGTGTGCTGATAACTTTTTTTTTTCTTTTTTCATGACAAACTGAAACATGTTTTTCAAGAATATCTGATGAACTTAAGGCTATGATGGAAGGATAATAAGGTGGAAACTCGTTGAATCCACATTGAAAATAAATAGTGTGATTTGTGCAGCTGATTTTTTTTTATTTTTCCAAATAAGCATATTGAGCTTATTAAAATGGTAATGAATTTTTTTAAGTATAAACCAAAATATGAAGCAAATGTGTATCAGATGTGATAATCCGATATTAAATGGAAGGAAAGGAATGTTTAAAGTAACCCGTGGGTATTTACTTTCTACGTATGTAACCTTTTCCTACTCTTTACTTTCAAGTAGAAAGATAGAGAGAGTTTGTTGCAGGAAAGAAAAAGATTGGAGCGAGATTAATTGAAGTAAATTGAGGCGAGAAATGGGACACGGTTGCAAGGGCATTGCTATGGGAATTTTTTAGACATGTAAGTTGATATTATTTCTCATGCGAGTCCATGGTATTATATATATATATCAGAGTATCGAAGCAGGAGAAGATAATTAATGCGATGAAAATAATATTTTTTTAATATTTTTTTAATATTTTTTGCAGATAAGAAAAAGAACTTTTGCCCCTTGGTATGATGATTGGCCCACTCAACTATACTGACATTTTTTTTTTTTTTTGGAGTAGAAAAGTTCTATTCGGTTATCTCTTCCTACTTGAAACGCTAATTATAACCAGATGACAAGAATGTAGATGTTGAAAAAAAAAAAAAAAACAAAAAGGAAAAAAAGAAAAAAAAACTACAACAACTAAAAAACAGAGTTTATATAAGATTTAAAAGTTTTTTTTATGTTAATGTTAATTAACAGAGCAAGCAATGTTGTGTTTTCTAAACCTTTTTGATTTTTGAGGGAACATATGATGTGAAATCTGGGCTGGTGGGTCTTGCGTTAACTAGAGCATAGAGCAATGAGCATAACTGCGTTGCTTGCGTTTGAAGTGGAAAACCGCGCCGCACAAGCCTTTTCTTTTACACGTGACTCAGGAACATTAGGTTTGGGAGTCGGCCCCCCCGCGGGAAAAATCAAATGGCAGAAACGCTTAAGAGAAAACGCTGACGTTTGAGATGAGGGATATGGTAAAGCAAGAAACGATTAGAAGAATATAAGAATAAGAATAGAAAGAATAAGAAGAAGAAGAAAAAAAGGTTTAGGACTGTTCTACAAGTAGCTCTGGAGCAAGTTAATCGCAGTAAGGCTATAACCTACTGTATATTTGTTATTACGCGCCACGTAGGGTAATTGCTACCTTGTTCTTTGTATTTTCAACGGCTGGCAAAAATAATAATAATAATAATCACCTCGCCCAAGGGCAAACAGAATGGAACATGCAGTGATATCACACATGGACTTCTTCTGTCAACCTTATCAGTACTACAATAAAAGTAGGAAGCATAGTAGGCTCTACTACTAAGTAGCACATTTTTTGTCAAACTGACGGGTGAAACTTTTTTTTTTTTTTGAAGGTTTATGAAAAATCAGGTTGTATAAATATTGGAGGTCTGCCCTAGGGAATTACCTTGTTTTGAGTCTTTTTTTTTTAATATTTTTTATTATCAATCTAGTCATCACCACCATAATTACCATTCACTTATCTAAAACCACTACCATTTCTCCACATTTTCTCCAACCATTTTTTTTTAAATAAATAACTTCATTTTTTGGATTATCACTTTCTGTCAAATCATTTTCATAAATGCAAACCCTATCGACAAAACCTACTAATAAACTGGTCTATTTGACCTTTATGGTCATAGGTAAGATTACTCAACTATACATATATATATAGATTTTCTAACTTTTTGATACATAGGTGGCTCCTATCTATGGCCCTGGAACTGTTTTCTATCTGCAATCTCATATTTTTATACACGCATTTACGATGATCATTTACGCAGTATTCTTTCCAGTAGTTTAATGACTATAAGTACAGTTACTTCGACCCTGGTGTTTTTGTACCTGGCTGATAAACAACGCTATGCCAACTATCCTCGTCGTATCGTCTATGGTGAAATCATCACTGCTGTTGTTTTCCTGTTTCTTGCGCTGTCATGCTTTGTAACACTGTCAAGCGATGCTGTTTACTTTGGGTTTCTCCTTTTTGCCATGTTTATGGCAACAGTTGGAACATCATACACCCAAAACGGCTCTATTGCCGTCGTCAGTTTATATGAACCAGTCTACACACAAGCCGTAATGGTGGGCCAGGCATTTGCTGGTATTGTTCCGCCTTTAGGCTCTATTCTTTCTGCTCTTTCATACGAAACCGGTGATGGCACCACTGCAGACTCTACTTCAACCTCGGACTCCCCAAGCGAGCTTGACTCTTCTTCTTCTTGGGCTCAGTGGTCTTCGTTTGTTTACTTCATTATTGCGACTGTGCTTTCTCTTTCAGCAGTTTTCCTTTACATTTTTTCTATCAATAAAGTCAAAGTCTTGCATGAACCTGATGAGGGCGACTATCTCAGATACCAAGATGAATTATCTGATGACCAGTTTGAGACTGCCGACATTATTGAGTCTCAAGAAGAACCTGCAGCAAGCTCTTCCGAGTACACTTCTTTTCTTGGAAGTCCCAACTCTAAACCCAAAAACCCCAAATCATCACCTCCTTCTAGCCCAATCCTTGCCGGTGGTCGCCCTCATTTACAGAGATCACAAACTCATCCTATCGCTATTGTAGAAGACGAAGAGGCTCTTGTCAAAGGCGAACATCACACTTCAGTTTCTCTTACCAAACTTTCCATTAAACTGAGAATCCCAGCTACCACGGTCTTTTTAGTCTTTGCAGTCACACTTGCTTACCCAGTTTTTGCCTCTACGGTTCAGTCCAACACTTTTGGAATCCCAGCTCATATTTACATTCCTGTTGTATTTTTCGTTTGGAATTTTGGTGACTTGATTGGAAGAGTCTTGTGCGCATTTCCATTCTTTATCATTAAGAGAGATAGCTACTTTTTGATTTACGGTATTGGGCGTGTTCTCTTTATACCGTTTTTCCTTCTCTTTACTATGTCTAAAGACAGAAGTGATATTTCCTACCTGTTACTTCACTTACTCTTTGGTATCACCAACGGTCACCTGTGCAGCTGTGCCTTTATCCAATTCCCCAATTATCTTGATGATACGGAGCGCGAAGCTGGTGGTGGCTTTATGACATTGATTCTTTCATTTGGCTTGACCACTGGCTCGCTTTTCAGTTTTGTTCTTTCTATTCTTGTCAACTCCATTTCCAAGTAAAGGATAACAGGCATAACTTATTTATGAATGATTTATAATTGGGTTTTTGTTAGATTTATCTAGAGTTTATTTATAATTACAGTATATTGGGTGTTATCATGATTTCTACGTAATATCAGCTATACTCATAGGCTTGATCAGTTTTTACAACACATATGTGTGCCTCGGGCAGTTATTATTTGAGCTTTTAAACCATAAGGAGACATTTATGCTCACAAAAAACATGCCATTTAATTGAACTCAGTTCAATACATAAAATTTATAGCTGGGTTAGGTTTTATCATAACTAGAAAATTTGTAGAAAGTAGTAATATCACATAAGAGCTTAGTTAGCATACTAATGGTTTAGTAAAATCAGTTTACTAGGCACACTTTACTATTCTTGCCTAGGATAGTGGGGAACAATCAGTTTTTAGAATATTTGGATATGAATGCTTTAGAGCATTCAATTTTTTTTTAATTTATTAGTCTTGTAAACCTCTGTAATTGCAATTTGAAGGTGTGGTGTTTTGTTGATATGCCTAGTGAAATAAATGATTCTTCAAATTCATTCATTCCACCAGCGACAAGCATATTAAAAATCAAAGATATTTATTATACGCTTGAACAAATTAGTAATAAAATTTAAGTACAATAGTAGTATAATATAATGTTTAACAATGTCTCCTATATCTTTGTTTCCCTTTCAAGTTTCTCCCAATTCTTTCATGGTTTTTTATGGGCTTTGGTGATCCAAACTTGATACGGAAAAAAATGTAAAGCTCACTGAACTTTCTGAAGTGCTATCACGTGATATAAAAACGTTTCAATCTTTGATTATCTGGACCAAAGTTTCTTCCCCACCTTTTCCTTAAAAACAATGAGCGCATCTCAAAAGACATTTCCATATTCATTGGGTCCAGTTTTAGAATACACCCTTAAGGCTTTGAAAAAATATCGCAGCGATCAGCATAAATTACCATCAGTAGCAAAAAATGCTAGCTCAAAGCTAAGACCTTTAGTCGTGGGAATCTCAGGACCTCAGGGTCTCGGAAAGTCTACTCTTGCTGCTGCACTTCAAACTGCTCTTGAAGCTCCACAGAATGGAAACTTGCATGTCCAAAGATTTAGCCTTGATGATGTATACCTAACACATCAGGATCAACAAGAACTAAGTACTAACAGCAATGGTAATCCATTGTTGCGCACGCGAGGCCAACCTGGAACACATGATCTTAATTTGTGTGTGAAAATGCTTGATGCATTGTGTGGAGCCTCAGGTCGTCGCGTGCAAGTTCCTATATACGACAAGGCAGCTTATAGTGGTGAAGGAGATCGAGAATTTGAAGGAAATATCCCTGAGACTAATAGTTTAGAGAAGGAAACTGGATACTTGGATGTTGTGATTTTTGAAGGATGGTGTGTTGGATTCCAAAGTTTGACAGCTGAGGATTTATCTGCTGGAATTCGAGAAAGATTATTGGGTAGCGCGCGTGGATCAAATAAATTATTTAATTTACTTGCTCAGCATCCGGAATACCTAACTTCAGTCAATGAACATCTAGCCGCATACCAAGCTATATGGGACTATTTTGATGTATTTGTACATTTGGATGCCGGTGACATTGGGTGGGTTTATGACTGGCGACTGGAGCAAGAGCACAAGTTAATTGCAGAACGGGGGACTGGTCAGAGTGATGAACAGGTTCGCGAGTTTATTAACGGATATATGTCTTCTTACTATCTTTATGTCCCTCGACTACGGGCATGCAACGCACGGGGACCATTGGTCGGCAAGCATGTACGGGCACACATCCGGTTGGTAGTAGACAAAAGCCGAAACATTGCACACATCATTAATAGTGAAGCTGATCGTGAAAGACTATAAAGGAAACAAAGATTGTTGACAAATGAATGTAAGTATATATTCCATATATATAATAAATACCATTACAAATTTTCTACAAAATCATTAAGATCAAAAGGACCGGGAGATGATGGAAGCAAACGACGACTATGAATATCTGAAAGTCTTGACTGAGAATTTTCGGAATCTGATAAAAGAGTTTCATCGTCATCATATAAAAGAATAGGCTGAAGTTTAGAGTCAGGCGATTTGGAGTTAGATACTGCTTTAAATAGTACCTTATCCATTTTAGCCGCAATTAATGCGATGGATTTGTTAGTCTGTTCTTGGTTTTTTTTCATACTCATTATCATATCGTTAAGAGCAATGACTTGAAACTCAAGAGAAGCTACAGTTTGTTCAATTTTTTGAACATCGATCTTAGCTTGATCAAAGGTTTCCTAAGTGAGTTAGTTTATGAGAACAAAAAAAACTCGCAAATTATCTGGGTACTAAAACGCGATCTTGCCATGATTGAAGATTTTCTTCACGAGATGCTTGAGATTCAGTCCATGTAGAAACAAGCTGAATAAAATTTTGGGTATGCATTTCAAATTCTTTCATGCGTGCTTGTGAGCGAGCGGAAACCGTAGATGCTTCAAGGTGCACTGAGCGGGCCCAATCCACAACATTGCTATGAGAAATAGCAGGTGTATAGTGAGAGTATTGACTATTATTATGTGAAGGCAGGTGATCCTCATCAAATACATCGCTATCTGTTGCATATCCCGAAGACGATGATGGCGGGAGAACTGAGCGTGAAAATCCAGAATTCATTGTTTATGATTGATGGGAATTGATGGGAAATTGGTTGGCGATTTGAAATTTAAGATGGCGGTGAGGCGGTAGTTACTAGAGCCGCAGATAATCAGTCCGGGTAACACCTGTTTAATGAAAAGTGCGGGGAGAGAACTTTTTTTTTTTTTTTTTTCAACTCCGCAGGCCTGACTATCACCGGAGCTTTTTTTTTTTTAATTTCTTTTTCTTAAAAAACCACCAAAAATAAAGAAAACGATTCCATGTACATCACACCGGATTCAGATATTAATCCACAAAAAGTTGAAAACAATAGAAATAGTGATGCCATGAAACCCACAGATGGCTCAAAACCTAGTCATATGAAGAGTATTTCCAACAACGTACCTACACAGACCTCAACAGCAGCGACTCATGCTGGAAGTTTAGGCAATAATATTTTTTGCCTGGGAGGTGCAAGTGAAAATACGAGAAACGATCCATCGCTATTTGGGAATATTGATCTATCGCTATTACAGTCGTCTGTTGTTGCGGATATGGGATATTCACATGAAGCTGCGATAAGCGATAGTTCAAGATCTGTAAAATCTAAAGATGGCAGTAAAAGCTCAAAGGAAAAAAATAAAAGTACAGAAGAGCTAAATAACGGTAATAATGAACATAGAGAAGAAGAGCATGATGGTGTAGGAAATGGATATCATATGAGTAATCAGGATAATTCACATTATCATAGTCACAATCCTCATAGTTCTCATAACTCAACTCAAAACACCCATGGCCAAGGAACAACTAATGTCAACCATATTCGTCAAGTAAATGAGGTTGTTCCACGTGTATGGGTGATTTCTAACTTTCTTATTCCAGTCACACAACAAATAGCGACAGAGGCGCTAAAAAAGGGTGATATTTTAGTGTTAGGGTGCAGCCCCGGCGGAATGACAGAGCAGGAAGTTTTGCGCAAGGCTGAGACTTTAAGGCAGCGATATCCTGATCGATGCCTGGTAGTGGAGCTGGACATTCGAAACCAGGCCTTGTGTTCAAGTACAGTTGCCCAAGCTGTTCACCATTTTGGTCGGATCGACATTCTGGTAAAGTGAGTTGTGAATAAAAATTTGAAAAGATTCATCCAACTAATTTTTTTTTAGTGCAACGAGCCGAGCATATGTTGGGGCTTTGGAAGAAGTAGAAGAGTGGCATTTCCGAAACCAAATGGATATTACGTTTTATGGTGCCGTGAATATGATCCAAGCGGTGCTTCCTCTGATGCGGAAACAGTTTTACGGGCATATAATCAATATTGCTGACGTTAACGGAAACATTGGAACGCCAGCACTCTCACTAATGGCAGCGGCCATGCATGCGCTAGAGGGATATTCTGAGGCACTAGCGTTTGAAGTTGCGCCTTTTAATATCAAAGTGACAATTGTGGAGTCGCCTATGGAGGTTAATCTATTTACAACGCCGATGGTGTTTGCGCCGTCTTTACCTCAGTATGGACCCGACACTACGGTGGGGAAAGTACGCAGAGTCCTTGGGGAGGCCAATGTGTTTCCAACGCAGGCGTTCAAGCACACGGTACACACGGTAGTATCGATAGGAGGGCTGGATAATCCTCCAGGACGTATTATTGTAGGGAAGGATGCTATTCATCAGATCAAGGATAAACTAGCGATGTTAAGTGATGATTTAGAGGAGTTTCAGAATGTAAGCTACTCTGCTGATTTTGCCAAGTATGATTTGGGGTTGTAGGTTTGAGTTTAGCAACAAATAAGCTAATACATAAGTCTTTAGTAATTATTAATCTTCAGATTATTATTATTATTATTATTAATTTTTTTTTTAAATGACATGCCAGAGATTTCAAAAAAATTTCTAAATAGATGAGACTGTGTCACTTTGGTATTTTAATATTTTCGGCCTGTGGGGATTTCAAGAGGGAGTTTTTCAGCATCTGTTTTTTTTTTTTTTTTTTTATTTTTTCTTTTGATTTCGGATATTTTACTGGAATGTAAACCAACCCCTTTTAGGGAACAAACAGACTTTACACAGGCGTGCGGCTCACGTACCAAATATGTGTGCGGCGCTAATATATGTAAGAAATATGTCAAAATATTAGTAGTATAGTATATTTATACATGCTTCCCTTAAGCGGAAGAAAAAAAAAAGAATACAATTCAGGCATTGAATCGAAGGATTTATGGATGATTTATCTTATATTGAAACCTTTAATCTATATTGTAATTGAATTTTATCATTTGATTTTGAAGTCCTCGAGGATTCTCCTGATTATGTCTTGTTTGAATTTGTTTAAGGTCTTGCGGTTTGTAGTTTAGCATTGAGTTACCGTGGAGACGCATCTCTTAGACTCCCATCACAACGACGCGTTTGTTTGTTTGTTTGTTTATTTATTTATTTACCTAATTTGTTGTTATTATTATTGTTGTAGACCCCCAAAATATAAACAAATAAACAAAAATTTCACAACCGCCAAAAAAAAGAAAGAAAGAAAGAAAATACTGAAGGTTTCTTTCTTGAGTATTTTTTTTTATTCATTGGGGAATCTTTTTCCTTTTATTTTTTTTCATTCCTCCTATAATCTGTCCATTCGTTCTTTTGCAATTAAGTATCTCTATTTTCATCTTTAATCCCTAACATTCCTTCAAATTGTACAAACATCATGGACCAGGTAAGTCCTTCTAAATTCATTCCTTATTGTTTTTATGTCCACTAATGACTCTCTGCTTTTTGTATAGACCCGACCGACCCGTCGCGCCTTGCGAAGAATCGGCGATGAGAACATGGTCAGGGCATCTTCTTCAGCAACTGCAGCAACTGCTGCTACCGCTGCTGCCAAACAAGCCCTCGCGTCTGTAGCTGGCTCTACAACGGCTCCTGCCTCTGCTTCTGTTCTTGTCGCTGAGAAGCCTTTTATGGGACCAAATTGCACCGATTCTTCTTCTCTCAGGAAAGACTCCTCCGCAACAAGCGGTCCTGCTTGTGCTGGTTCTACTGCAGGAACTAAACGTGCTGCTCTTTCAACTCTCACAAACACGGCTCTTTCGGCGGGCCCAACTATTGCAGTTGCACCCATCAAACCAGTCAGCGGATCCACAAGACCTAAAATCAATGTGTTTCAGCAACAACAACAACAACAACATTCTCGAGGCCTCACTACAACGCATGCGCCTTCAAAGTCAAAACACAACAACAGTAACAATAATAAGACCAGAGCCCTTAAACATGCTTCTGGAACCACGTCAGCCGCCAAGTCGTCTAAAAAGTCAAAGCATACCGTATGGGTGGATGAAACTATCGATAAGACAACTCTAACTACATCCTCACATGCCAAAAACAAGCACTATTCTCGCGCTCAAAAGCATGTTGCAACTGCTTCTTCCAATGGAACCAGAAATCTAGACAGTGCATACGTTCTCGACGAAGAAGAGGTCAGAGATGAGGAAGAGGAGGACGATGATGAAGAAGTTAGCAATCGCAGTAATGCCAGCATCAGCCACAATAAATTTAACCAGCACAAAGTTGATGAAAAAAATTATGATGATGACAATGATGGTGAAGAGGAAGAAGAAGAAGAAGAAGAAGTGGAGGAGGACGATGAAGATGACGACGATAAAAATATTGTGACCAGAGTTCAGTATAGACAATCAAGATATGATGAGAGAGAAGAAGACTATGACTCCGAAGATGATGAAGATGGTGAAACGGAAAACACTGAAAACTTCTTGCGTAACTACTCGTCTGCTGGCACACGAGCTTATTACAGATCTTCCTCCACATATAATGACGACACTGAAATTGAAGATGAAGTGGATTACAATGATGACAATGACAATGACGATGAAAAAGACGACGAACAAGAAGGAGAAGAAGAAGACCGAGAAAAGGTTCACTCCTCCAATCACCAAGTTTCACCATCTTCTGTCACAACTCTAGAGGAGCCTGTTCGGGACGATGAAGAAGAAGATGAAGAAAGTATTCACATTTATCACGATAGCATTGACTACCACAATCATGATGGTCACAATATCACCAGTCATGCAATTCCCCCTACATCTGCCACTTTTGCAGCTCCCAGTGCGCGTAGATTTGAGTCTCAGCAACAAATTAGCTCTTCAGACCTGGTAATAACTTCGGTCTCAGCTACTGTTACTGCTCCAGCCCCAATTTCTGCTGCTGTCGCGGGAACTACTTCAAGTGCACCAGCTGCCCAAGCTGTTGAAGAGGAACCAATTTCATCTTACACGGTTCCTAGGTACTGCGTGTCGCTTGAACGCAAACCTTCTCGCACTAACCCTCATTACGTTTTCCCCCTGTGGACTTCCGCAGCTCATGAGAAAATGATGCAAGTTTCAGAAACTGTGCCCAACATGCCTGGAATTTTTGACGAGGCTGACGACGATACTTATGATATTTCCATGGTGGCTGAGTACTCAAACGATATTTTCCGTCATTTGCGCAATCTTGAGTTTAAGTATCTCCCTGATCCAACTTATATGGATTGCCAGCTTGATATGGACTGGTGCAAGCGCGGAATCCTCGTTGACTGGCTGGTCCGCGTCCACGATCACTGCAACCTTCTTCCAGAAACTCTTTTCTTGACAATTAATTACATGGACCGTTTCCTTACCATGAAAGCTGTGGGCCAATCGCGGTTGCAATTGGTTGGTGTTGTGGCTCTTTTCCTTGCTGCAAAGCATGAAGAAATTACTTGCCCTTCGGTTCAGGAAATTGCCTATCTTGTTGAGAACGAGTATTCAATCGAAGAGATTTTGCGTGCAGAACGTTACATGATTAACATTTTGGACTTTAACATGGGTTGGCCTGGTCCAATGTCTTTTTTGCGTCGGTCTTCCAAGGCTGACGACTACGACTCGGACACTCGTACTTTAGCCAAGTACTTGCTTGAACTTACCATTATGGACGAGCGCTTTGTTGCGGCAGTACCGAGCTGGCTCGCGGCTGCTTCACATTACCTCTCGAGGCTTATTTTGTCGCGCGGCCCTTGGTCTGATGTTCATGTCTACTTTTCCGGATACACTGAAGAGCAACTTAAGCCTGCCGTCAAACTTATGATTGAATGCTGCCGAGATCCCATTGCTCATCATAAGTCTATTTTCCAAAAATACTCTGAAGAGCGTTTTAAGTGGGTTTCGTTACATGTTGCCGAGTGGATGAACAATAACAACTATTGAAAATAATAAAAAAAAAGATCAGGATTATGGCGAGAATGAAGGAATGAAGAATTAAAAAAAATTGATACCCCTTGTGTTTGAAGGAAAGCTGCATTATGACATTTGAGAAAAATTTGAAAGACAGTAAAAATTATCCAAAAAATGATAAAAAAAACAAAAAATACAAATGATAAAGAGTTTCGAGAGACAAAAGATTTGAAAATCTTTTTGATTCTGCCCACCGATGACTTTAAAAAAAACTAAAAAAAGAAAAACTAAAAATTACAAAAAAAAAAACTCCAAAGACGTTAGTTAAATGATTTCTCATTTTTTAATTTTTAATTTTTATTTCCAGACACTTGCTATATATATAAATCCCTTGTACAATAGTTATTTATTTAAAGTCTTTTTTTTTAAAAAAAATAATAAAACATTTTTTATCGTAAAAAATATACACAAACGCCCATTTCTATGAAATCTATTTTATGGTAAACTATTTAGTTTATATTTACGATGTTTTCCTCTTATTCAGATAAAGATTCGGTCTCTGAAAAGTCAGATTCATACTGTGAATCATCTTCTTGAGAGAATTCATCTTCATCTTCATCTTCTTCGTCTTCTTCATCTTCATCTTCATCTTCACCATCGTCTTCTTGATTGTCTTCTTCTTCATCTTCTTCATCGCCTTCAGAATCGTCTACATTTTGGTTGTCTTTAAAACCTTCATCTTCTTCATCTTCTTCATCCTCTTCATCTTGTTCGACTTTCTCTGCTTCCACCACAACTTCTTCTTCTTTCAAAACTGCAGGATTTACTTTAATTGCACTCACATCAACGTCTCCAAAAACCCGCATCCGTTGTACAAGCTCGCCACATCGTAAACACGTCCATCCATCCCCTTCAGCCTCCACTAACCGCGATGCAAGACACACATAACAGAACACATGTCCGCACTCTACACATTCGTATGGGTTTGTAATGTCTGTGTTCACACCGCTTCCATCACCACCGGAATCACCACCACCTGCAGAAGACATTGCCGTAGCTGTAATTGCACGTTCAGCATCCTTGTAGCAAATTGCACACGTCTTTTCTGGCAAAAAGTATAATTCGCCCTTTTGGTTTGACGAAGATCCATCATTGCTGCCACTACTGCTCCCACCAACAACATACGCCACTGCCTTTCCGAACCGGCGGCGCAGGCGCCCAAGATTGATAAGAGGTAGGGTAAAAAGTAAAAACTCTGTAAGCGCATTCCATACCAGCTGGCGGTTTTGGAACTCAAAAGAGACCTGACGTGTAAGAGCACGCGGCGATGAGCTTACCAAGCGGATCCTTAGCAGCCGTAAAATCAGTGTAGAGTAGCGACCGGAATAGAGAAATAAAACAAAGTTAACAAGACTTGACACAGACCACAAAGTGCTCAATGTATTTGAAAGACGTTCTAATCGTGCTACTGTAAAATGGCGGCCAAATAACCGCCGCTGAGGTCTTTCATCTTCATCTTCGTCGTCGTTATATTCATGTGATTCATATGAAAGTGCTGCAATTTTGCTTTCAATCTTGTTCCAGATATAATCTCCACCTACAACAAGTATTGCATAGCCTAGCCGTTGTGATTGTGACAGAGGTTTTTTTATTGAAGTACACTTGCGCCCATCGACAAACATGAGATTCTGGAGCTTTGCACCATATGTCGCTGAGTTATCCCATACAGTCAATTTAAAAATTAGCAGCTTAAGTATAAGTAGCATCTCTGGTTCATATCGGTCTTTAAATCCTGGCTTAAAGGTTTTAAATATGGAAAGCAGTTGTGTCTTGAGAATGTCATAAAGTTCTGCATCTAACAATGAGGCATCCAACTGGCCCACCCGGGGAGTTGGGACATTCCGAGAAAACATTAATGAAGACAAAAAATTGCCAAATTTATGAGTTGAATTATTATTTGAATCCAATCGCTGACCAGGCATTGTATACTTGAATAGTTGAAAAAAAGTTGTATAAAGAGTGGAGTAAATGTGGAGTGGAGTTTTTTTTTAAATGTCCCCTCCAGATCAAGGCTTTGTAGCCGAGGCGCCAACATTTCTCACCCTAACCCATTGCGCGTCAAACCCTTTTATTTTATTTTATTTTTATTTTTTTTTTTTTCAAACCTCCATTGCGAAAACGTTCCCACTCAACTTAACAGCAAACCACAAACAAGCAAACCCAATGGACAGCAGCTTTGCAAACGAGTCAGGAGACCACGACGCAAGTATTGATCTCAGCAGCAATGAAAATCTTCAGCAGCCTATTTTGCCAGACAATTCGAGCCATGAGCAGCATACTAGGTTCCCCGACGATGATTCTATTAGCGCGTCTTCACAACCATTAACATCCACTGCTACCCTTGAAGCGACAGAAAATAGCGCTTCCAATGGATTGAAAAAGAAAGTCCCTTACAAGAGTTTTAAAAAAAAATACCGCAAAATGGAAATCCAATTTGCCAAAGTTATGAAACGGTCTGAAGATCTTTATCGCCAGAATCTTCAAGCACGCAAAACATTTGATCGTCTTTTACGTGAGAAATCGTAAGTCCAAATTTAATTTATTTCAATTTTTTTTCTAAGCCTAACACAATACCAAAGTCGTTTACTGGATATCCTTTTAGAAATTTATGAAAATTCTGACCAACCAGATTTGGGCTACTCCGATGGTGTACCAAGAGAAGATCTTGAAGCTGAAGGAATTGACCTTTCACTATGGAACGACAATGTTAAACATCTTGCAATGCTTTACGACAACTCTTATGAGTTTTCAGAAGATGAAAATGCAGCACCGGTCCCCCGAAATCCCATGTGTCTTCTCGAATGGCTTCGCAGAAACCAACCCAATGTGTTTGCTCCGGAAAATGAGTTGCTCCCCACTGCAGAAGGCTCGTCTTTAAACCCTACAAGCTCTTCTGCGATAGCGGCTGCTACTGCTATAACAAATGGAGCGAATGGCGCAGCAGCCCTCGGTGCGGGCGCCGGGGCATCAGAATACGGTGAAACTAATCCAGCAATCGATGGCATAGGGATAAACGCCCCTTCGGCCATGACTAGTTCGCATTATTCTGCAACAGCAGCTTCATCTAGTGTGGGCTCTACATTAGATTCTGCAGCAGCAAGCGGTAGTGCTGCTGGAGCAAATTCGACTGGAAAACAACGGCGCAAGCGGAAAAACATATCAGTCATTCACAACTATCATACCTCTCAGCATGGTGGTGCTCTTCCAGAAGGTGGAGCAGTCCCTGCATCTGGCACTTCTACTGATGGACCAAAGAAAATAAAGCGTCCACGGAAAAATGCTAAAAACAGTGTGGCCACAAAAACAGAAATCACCACATCAATACCTGTGGCGCCTCCTTCTGTATCGACTACAAATTCTTCCTCTCAATTTCTGACACCCGCTTCTCCTGGAACTTCTCATGAATAATTTCTCTCTTCTCTATCTTTATGTATATTAGCATCTAATGAACTTGTCCTAAACCTTTTATTTACAATTAAAAAAATATTTCTCATTATAAGTTGCCAAATTATTAGTTAGACTTTGCAGCAGTTTCCGGAGTGGCTGAAGAAGTCTCAACGACTGCGGGCTCTGCCTTGGTGCCTATGAATTTAGCCATGACGAGATCCTTGAGGGTATGACCGTCTTCACGACCAACACGCTTTTCATAGGTGCCAAATGCCATGATTCCAACGGCAAAGCCAAAAATAGGATCCAAAGTTCTTTAAAACGTTAATAAAGTATTTTTTAAAAGGCGATTTACTTACTTGGAAATCAGGTAGGGGTACTTGATGATGGGTTGTGCGGCCATTGTTAGTGATGTAGATTTGAAATGAAATGAATGGTGGTTTTGCACAAAATTTATGTTGAACCTAACAAAAAAAATAAATAGGGGAAAAATAAAGGCCTGCCTTACCGTATTTACTTTTCTTACCATATTATCAACAAATGACTGAAATTAAATTATCACTAAACTCAGCATCTGTTTCTACAGAAAATAAGGCAAGAAAGGGAAATGTTTGCCATGTACTTCCTTGTCACATTACTCCCTCTGGACCTACCAGTACTGCATCCAAGTACTTTCATATTAAAGAAGTTGAACAACCCAAACCAGCAGAAAAGGATACAACGCTTACTACAACAATAACAGCAGAACCGGATATAAAAACTGAGAAAGAAACAGAAATCACAGCACAAAAAGAAGAAAAGGAAAAAATTGCACAAAAGGAAGAAACATTAGTTGCGACTGATAAAAAAGGGAAAAAAGTTTACGAGACATATTTTCGTGGAAGAAAGCTGAAAGGAGTTGAAGTATCTCTTCCTGACGATTTAGTTGGTATGAAGAAGTTTTTTTTTTTTGTGAAATATATAATAAAGACTTTACTAATTTTATCAATATTGATTTTTTGCAGGTGTTATTGTACAGGAAACTGAAATCAAAACGGTTATGGAATCTTCTAATAAGCGACCGAGGGAGGATGACTTTGACAATGACTTTATTGAAGAATATGATGACGATGTTGCATTGACAAATAGTATTGATATTGCAAAAAAAGTGAAAGTTTGGGAACAATTAGAACCTGAACTTGCTTTTGAAAAAATAATGGTCTGGGACCATGAAAAAGTACCAAACTCAGATACTAACCAATATATCACTGGAATTACAGACTGGGTAAAGTTGGCACATGCGGTAAGTACATCATTGTTAATTGTTATTTTTCGATACTAACTATTGGTTAAGATTCATGACCCAGTAGAAATCAATGATAACAACTAAATTTTTCAATTTTGCAACTTATTTACAAAAAATTAAAAAATATCTTTATCATATTAATATGCTATTGATGTTATGTTTTCAGAGTTCTGGTACTGTGATACTAAGTTTAAAAATAGTATGGCTTAGAAACAATTCCCAAGCAATAGTGTAAAGTTATGAAAGTTCATCTTTGGGCGAAATGAATTATGCTTGAATCCACTAACTCAGAGAGTTGAAAGATTCGCAAAATAAATATAGGATGTTTTGTTCTTAATAGGAAAATTTGAAAAAAAAAATATAAATAAAATAGTATTCAAATAAGAATTATAGATAATAAGAACTCTTAGTTCTTCTGGTGATGATTATAATTTGGCTTTTTGGCTGTTCGGTGGTGAATAAAAATCTTCTTATTCTTAGGAATAAAGGTTTTTATTTATAATTGATCTTTTTCAAGAGAAAAGAATCATTTCAAAGAGTATTTAACCTGTCACTAAATGACAAAAGAAGAGAGAAGCAAGGATTGCAGTATTCTTAAACAACTTAATTATGCTTTAAGAAAAAGTTACAAAGAAAGCTTTTTGATGAAGATGGAGTAATTCTCTGCTAATTATAATAAGCAATATTGGTATGACAGTACTAATATTATCACGTGATTAAAATATCATAAATCCTGAAGCCACCAAAAAGCATTTCATTTTATTTATTTACTTATTTTTTTTATTTTTTTTTATTCTCTTTCTATTCTTTTTCCTTTCAGCATGTCTAATTTTCAAAACCTACCACACGAGGTCCACGAATCCATTTCTGAGTTTTTAACTTCTTCAGAATTAAAAGCTATAAGTCATTGTTCTTATAGACTTCTACAAATATACCGTCGAAAATACTACCATACTTGCCGAACGTTTATTAGGGCAAATAAAAATAGTGTTCCTAGTTACAATTCATATGTCCCATTGACAGTATTGCAAAATCCTTCTCTATTTTCATGGTTCCCTAATCAAAGTGTTTCAAAATTAATTGTGTTTTCGGATCTTTCATACCAACATCTATTAATAGGTCTTTCACGAAAAGAGAATATATTAAAAAATACGCTGGCCATAAACTTTCAAACAAAAGATTACCCCAGCCTTCACACAATCAACATTAATTTCCCTCTAGAAATAAATCACTTATTTGTCGAATCACAACTTTATAGCTGTATAAAAACCTTCATCAACACAAACGACAATTTTTTGATATATCCATTTACTCTTAATGCAAACTCCTTACTATTGCTACAACCTTTTCATGATTCACTAAGTTGGTTAAAGTCAGTCAAAATTTTTATAACTTTTTTTCACCGTGAGACGAATTTTCTTTCAAATTTAGACTTTTTTTTACCATGTCTTGAAAATGCAGAATTGTCTGACGTTTTTAATTCTTCTAATATTAGCGAGACAGAACATAATAGTATTCTAATTACTGTTCTGAATTCTATCATTCGTTCACCAAAACTTAAAAGTTTTATATTAATTTCCTCCAACAAAAGTTTAGAGATCATTCGAGTTATTTTTGATGATTATGTTTCCAAACTCCGTGATGATATAGAAAAATGCAGCATATTAATATCAGGGTCTGAAGAAGAGGAATTACAGACTCAATCTTATTTTCAAACTATTGAACTACCCCAAGTGACAGAATTAATACTATCTTCATACAGCACTTTTATCCAAAAATACAAATTTCCACGAGCCAGTTTTGATATTTATGTTAATGTTAATCCAATTGATTACTATATCTTTGCTTCTTCTCTTCAATATTTAACTGTTATGAACTTGACTGTAAAAACAATTTTAAATTCTCATTTAATTGGTATTGGGCGCAATATATCCAAATTTAAGCATTTAAAACGTTTAAATTTTTCACTTGATTACATTGAAAATTTAAGGATTTCATCTCTTTTAATAGTCAAGGCTTGTCTTGCAATTTCAAAAAACTTAAACAACTCAATATCCCTTTCGGGACAAGACCTATTCAATTTAATTGAAAATGCTTTAAGCAATACAAAATTTCACAATAAAGATGTTCTCTCTAACACACTATTTGAATTTTATTCTGACCCTATTGGTTTTTTGGGCACCCTTGAGCAAAATTATGTTGATGAAAAACCTGGTTTGGATCCCTTAGTGTTTCTTGTTTTTCAAGAGGCTTTTTTCACAGCTATTTCAAAAATGAAAAGTCTGGAATATTTTGGCTATCGTGTTTATGACAAGGCCTTTTTCTGTTATTATATTGATGGGACAAGTCCTTTCCCAATGGCTCTCCATTTCCCTAATATTGCTCTTCAAAGGCTACTTGCATTTCCATCATCATTAAAGCAAGTTTTGCTTTATTACCAAACATTATACTCTACGTTGAACTCCCTAAAGCCTAGATATAATTTTTTTCGCAAGAGACATCGTGTTAAAACAGGGTCATTAAACAACAATGCAATTATACTTTCTAATACCTTTTCCATCACTCCAAGCCCATGCAAAATATATACTAACGCCTTCGACGATTGTTCCAGACTAAAGATATTGTTTGATTTTGGTTATCCTGATTTTAAAAGCTCTTCAAATGATATTTTTCTTTGCAAAGATTTAAGTATACCAAAGCCATGTTATAGACCTTACTTTGATGTGGCAATTCCCGGTTTTAGCGGATGGATTTAATTTTTTTTTTTCCAAATTATAAAATATATAAATATAAATAAATATTTTTGTGATATCTAGTTTTGTTAATAAAAATTTGTACTTATTGATGTATATGGATAATCATGTACATTATTAGTTTAAATAAAATCAAAAAAGGGTCGTCAAGTTATATTTTTTTTAAGAATAGATATTATTGGCCAATGTTTTATTAGAAAGACGTTTTCTATTCCATTCCATCCCATACTTGTATTCGACCACCAGCCCAACAAGTGAAATCCCACATATTCCAGAAAGAAGTGTCATTGATCCTCCAGTTCCTAACTTTCTATCCATGCGGTCAATAACGGCAGTTCCCACTGCACAAAGTAGACAACGAACTAGATTAACACAAGCCGAGGCACTAGAAGATTCTTCAGGAAATAAGTCGACCATTAATGTATTTGAAATAGTGACAAACATGACACCAGTAAGAGATATAAACAACGTCATAACAATCGGGACAATCCAATGAATTTTTTTTTCTATTGTCCATCCAAAAACTATGCAGCCGATCATCATTATAAATGAGAGATAAAATCCAGGTTTTATCCTCGTTTTGACAATATCAAACGCCAATGGATTAATTTCAGTTTCAGTACCATGCTCTTCAGCCCAAGCCTTTTTAAACTTTTGTGATTGTCTTTCGTAATAGTATGTCATTAAACGTCCTCCCCATATCGAGCCAACCATCGAGCCCAAACCATTTGCAAGATAAGAAAGACCAATTTGAATTATCGTAAAGTTGTATTGTTGAACAAGTGAAGTTGATTGTATGGTAAGAGTAACAAACCAGACAGTATAGTGTAACCCAACTGGTATAAGAAATAAAACAACTTCTTTATTGAAAAGAAGTTGAAAAGATCGTAATATTGAATGTCCTTTAAAAGACAAAAGCATACCTTTTCCAGTTTCTAAAGCCGTTTCATATGAGATGAGTTGCTTTCTGTGAAACATAATCATTGTGGGTGCCATATTGATTAGTCTGCGAGGAATAATTGATCCATTTCCCACGAGCGAACGGTTTGTTTCTGGATAGAGTATGACAACAAGAACCAGTGCAACACCAGAAGAAATGACTAAAAACCAGAAAATTGATCGCCAATTCCATGTAGACGCAATACCAGCGCCAATTAAAGGGCCTAAAGCATTTCCCAAAAGATTGATACCTCCTACAATTCCCATAAAAGTACCTCTATTTTTGCGCTGGGTTATATCACCAACCATACCTGCACCTAGCGAAACAGATGCAGCCATGCCTGCAGCTTGAAGGCATCGAAAAACTAAAAGCATTGCATAATTTTTGGCCATGGCCAAACCAATATTAGCTCCAATGTAAATAAGCAAGCAGAAAGGATAGATTGGCCTGCGACCATAACGATCAGCAAGAGGTCCCCAAAAAGCAGGGGCCAATCCCTGGAAAATTGAATATGTGACAATGGTAAGGTTAATCTTTTCCGTGTCAACATTAAACTCTTTTTTAAGCTCAGTAAGCACTGGAAGGTAAATAGGTACGGATATGGATGAAAACAATGCTAGAAACGAAGCAAATAGAGACAATAAGTACATTTCCGTAGTGGAAAAAATTGTATACGACTCAGAAGGGCTTTCGTTATTACACAAACTTGTTCCTAAAATTGGCTCCTCATTAAAGCCTTCCAGCTTATCGTTGGAGTTTTCTACAACAACTGATTCATTAACTGGAGACAAAACTACAAAATCATCTATATTTCTTTTCATTATAAATAAAGGATAATTTTTAATTCCAAATTGTTTTGAAAATGCACAGTTGAAAAAAAAAAAAAAGAAAAAAAAGGCTTATTGATAAAAAATACTTCTTGAGAAAAATAAAGAAGGAAAGAAAAAAAAGGGAAAAATACCAGTATATATATGACTATATCGATTATGTCAATATTTATGTAATCAATATAAAAAACTCTCACTAATTTCTATTTATAGATTTAATTTCCCAATAATTATAAATAATGGAATCTTAAAGTTCTTATTAAGACAAAATTTTGTTGATCCGCAATGTTATGTCAGTATGTGTCCATCGAGCTATCATGATACAAAAACTTTGATTCTGGAATAATCTATTCTTAAACAGGATTTAACACAAAACAATTTTGAATTTCTATATACTAAGGTAAATTATCAATTAAGCAGCTTTTAGATAAAGAAAACTGTGATAACACCCAACACCAATGTTATCATATGAACAGACGTCGAAACACCAGAGTTGACTTGTTCAATAACTGGATTGGTCGAAGAAGCAGGCGGCGCCTGTTCGATTGTCTGAATAGACTTGGTAGGTGTGGACTGAGAGGACTCAGTGCTACCCTCGGGTATATGGGACGATCCTTCAGAAGGAACTGGTGCAGCACTACCAGAAGGAACTGGTGAAGCACTACTAGAAAGAACTGGTGTAACACTACTAGGAGGAACTGAAGTGACAACTGTATCAGATGATGTAACAGTGACAATTTTGGAAGTAATAACAGATGTCAATGTAATAATGGTGGTCGATCCAGCAGATGTAGAGGGCGATTCAACAACTTCATACGTGGTTTCGCATGGTTCGGTAACAGTAACGGTAGCACCTTCGGACACGCTAGTGTGTGTAGTAACACCGGTAGCTGTTGTGAGCTGTGTCTTGCAATCAGTGCAAACATTTGTAACAGTGGCTGGTTTACTTGCCTCGGGAGCTGATGAAACAGAAACAATTTTAGAAATGGTTGAAGTGATAGTCTTAGCCATTGATTCGGAACTAACAGGAGATTCAACCATAGTATAAGTAGTCTCACAAGGCTCAGTGACAGTAACAATCTCAGTTCCTGAAGTCTTAGTGATAGTGGTAACACCGGATTCGACTGTAGTGTGAGTCTTGCAAACACTGCAAGTTTCTGTGACGGTAACAGGGATCTCTGAACTAGATACTGTCTTAACAATAGTGGAGGTGACAGTCTTGACAACTGAATCAGAAGTAACAGGAGACTCAACAACAGTGTAAGTAGTCTCACAAGGCTCAGTGACAGTAACAATCTCAGTTCCTGAAGTCTTAGTGATAGTGGTAACACCGGATTCGACTGTAGTGTGAGTCTTGCAAACACTGCAAGTTTCTGTGACGGTAACAGGGATCTCTGAACTAGATACTGTCTTAACAATAGTGGAGGTGACAGTCTTGACAACTGAATCAGAAGTAACAGGAGACTCAACAACCGTGTAAGTAGTCTCACAAGGCTCAGTGACAGTAACAATCTCAGTTCCTGAAGTCTTAGTGATAGTGGTAACACCGGATTCGACTGTAGTGTGAGTCTTGCAAACATTGCAGGTTTCAGTGATAGTATATGTGGTGGTAGGTTCGATTACAACAGTCTCAGTTGTTGTCTCGCATGGCTCAGTGATAGTAGTAGTAACAGTTCCCTGCGTTTTGACAACAGTGGTGAACTTAGTGACAGTATTTCTGAGAGTTGTTGTACCAGCAGCCAATCTGGAATCATTAGAAACACCAGCAGAAATAGCAGCAGACTCAAATTCAGCATCAGAAACAGCAGCAGACTCTGATGCTTCAGCAGAAGCTGCTGCTGCTGCAGATTCAGATTCGACGGCGGAAGCACTATTGGCATCAGACTCAGATTCAGCAGCGGCAACAGATTCAGATTTAGATTCGGCAGCAGAAACAGTAGCAGACTCCGATGCAGAAACAGACTCAGACGCGTCAGCAGATGAAGAAGCCTCTGGAGAAATTTCAGCTGAACTTGTACTTGTGGAATCGGGATACAATGCGTCAATGACCTCAGCAACAAGCTTGTTAAAGGCATCATAGAAATTTTCAGAGACAGTTTTAAACTCCTCACTCTGACTGATAAAATCATTGATAGTACTTTGAGCGGCCTCTAAAGTTGATGCCAAAGCTGATCTCACATTAGCCTCAACTTCACTAGGTGTGGCGTATGTGTGAATTTGACTAATACCCTGGAGGAATTCATCATAAGAGGATTCAGCAAACCACTGATTAAGGGTAGATGTGAAGACACTAAATGTTGTAATAGCACCTTCAATACTTGAAGCACGCTTAAGAATAGTTCTTCTATCAAAGAGAACAGCATAAAGCTGATTAAGGGCTTGGCCAATTGCGTCGATAAAAATTTGAATAAAAATGGAAATCTTTTCAGAAGCATCAGCACTAAATGAAGCTTGAAGAATAGCATCAATAATGGATTGAATTATAGGGTCAACAATGGGAGTTGAAGAAGATTCACTTTCCGAAACAACAGAAGATGCAGACTCCGAGATGGTAGGAGAGGAAATGACAGGAGCTAAGGATATTGAGGCAGACTCAACATCCAAAGACTCACTGGTAACAATCTCATCACTTTCTGTTGAGGTTTTGGAGCAAGAAGGAAGATAGCCATCAGGGGTTGTTTGCATCTCGCAAAGTTCAAGAGCAGGTTCAAGATAAGATCCATACCATTGCCATAGAGTAGCACCACAAGCAAGACAGTTTGGCATATTCTGAATGAAAGCACCATCAGGGTTGCAAACACAGTCCTTATTATAAGCACAAGTATCACGAGCATAGACAATTGCATTACCACAGTCAGAATGGCAAGAGAAAGAAGCGGTTCCTTCGTTAACGCCACAAGTGGGACCGGTTGATTCAGCTTCATTGTCAGATGAATAAGTTGAAGTGATAACTGAATCAACGTTAGATACTCCAGCATCAGAGGCAGTAACTTCGGCAGAAGTAGCTCCAGTTTCAGATGAAGAACTAGAGGTTTCGGAGCAAGGAGGAAGATAACCATCAGGGGTTGTTTGCATCTCGCAAAGTTCAAGAGCAGGTTCAAGATAAGATCCATACCATTGCCATAGAGTAGCACCACAAGCAAGACAGTTTGGCATATTCTGAATGAAAGCACCATCAGGGTTGCAAACACAGTCCTTATCATAAGAACATGTATCACGAGCATAGACAATTGCATTACCACAGTCAGAGTGACAAGAGAAAGAAGCAGTTCCTTCGTTAACGCCACAAGTGGAACCAGTTGATTCGGCTTCATTGTCAGTAGAAGAAACAGATGAAATTTCAACAGATAATCCAGCATCAATGGGTGAAGAAGAAACTTCAACTGAAGTTGAGACAGCGCTTTCAGCAGTCGAAGAGGCGTCAATTATAGTCGAAGAACTTTCAACCTCAGAAGAGGAAATAGTTCCAGAAGAAATAACATCTTCGACAGAACTTGATGAGGATTCTTCGGTACTGGTTTCGGGACATGGAGGAAGATACCCGTCAGGGGTTGTTTGCATCTCGCAAAGTTCCAGAGCAGGCTCAAGATAAGATCCATACCATTGCCATAGAGTAGCACCACAAGCAAGACAGTTTGGCATATTCTGAATGAAAGTTCCATCAGGGTCACACACACAGTCCTTATCATAGGCACAAGTATCACGAGCATAGACAATTGCATTACCACAATCAGAATGACAAGAGAAAGAAGCAGTTCCTTCATTGACACCACAAGTTGGGCCACTAGATTCAACAACCTCGTCAGTAGAAGAAACAGATGAAATTTCAACAGATGATCCAGCATCAATGGATGAAGAAACTTCAACTGAAGTTGATGATTCACTTGAAGAGAGTACATCCTCGGTAGTTGATGATTCGGTGGAAGAGGCAAGTATTTCAGTTGAAGATGAGGCAGCAGCACTTTCAGCAGTAGACGATTCGATGGAAGAGGAAACAATTTCTGTTGAAGAACTTTCAACTTCAGAAGAGGAAACAATGCTTGAAGAAATAACATCTTCAACAGAACTTGATGAGGATTCTTCGGTACTGGTTTCGGGACATGGAGGAAGATACCCGTCAGGGGTGGTTTGCATTTCACAAAGTTCAAGAGCAGGCTCAAGATAAGATCCATACCATTGCCATAGAGTAGCACCACAAGCAAGACAGTTTGGCATATTCTGAATGAAAGTTCCATCAGGGTCACACACACAGTCCTTATCATAGGCACAAGTATCACGAGCATGAACAATTGCATTACCACAGTCAGAATGACAAGAGAAAGAAGCAGTTCCTTCATTGACACCACAAGTTGGGCCACTAGATTCAACAACCTCGTCAGTAGAAGAAACAGATGAAATTTCAACAGATGATCCAACATCAATGGATGAAGAAACTTCAACTGAAGTTGATGATTCACTTGAAGAGAGTACATCCTCGGTAGTTGATGATTCGGTGGAAGAGGTAACTATTTCAGTTGAAGATAGTTCGATGGAAGAAGAAGAATTTTCTGTTGAAGAGCTTTCAATCTCAGAAGAGGAAATAGTGCCAGAAGAAATAACATCTTCAATAGAACTTGATGAGGATTCTTCGGTACTGGTTTCGGGACATGGAGGAAGATACCCGTCAGGGGTTGTTTGCATCTCGCAAAGTTCCAGAGCAGGCTCAAGATAAGATCCATACCATTGCCATAGAGTAGCACCACAAGCAAGACAGTTTGGCATATTCTGAATGAAAGTTCCATCAGGGTCACACACACAGTCCTTATCATAGGCACAAGTATCACGAGCATAGACAATTGCATTACCACAATCAGAATGACAAGAGAAAGAAGCAGTTCCTTCATTGACACCACAAGTTGGGCCACTAGATTCAACAACCTCGTCAGTAGAAGAAACAGATGAAATTTCAACAGATGATCCAACATCAATGGATGAAGAAACTTCAACTGAAGTTGATGATTCACTTGAAGAGAGTACATTCTCGGTAGTTGATGATTCGGTGGAAGAGGCAAGTATTTCAGTTGAAGATGAGGCAGCAGCACTTTCAGCAGTAGACGATTCGATGGAAGAGGAAACAATTTCTGTTGAAGAACTTTCAACTTCAGAAGAGGAAACAATGCTTGAAGAAATAACATCTTCAACAGAACTTGATGAGGATTCTTCGGTACTGGTTTCGGGACATGGAGGAAGATACCCGTCAGGGGTTGTTTGCATCTCGCAAAGTTCCAGAGCAGGCTCAAGATAAGATCCATACCATTGCCATAGAGTAGCACCACAAGCAAGACAGTTTGGCATATTCTGAATGAAAGTTCCATCAGGGTCACACACACAGTCCTTATCATAGGCACAAGTATCACGAGCATGAACAATTGCATTACCACAATCAGAGTGACAAGAGAAAGAAGCAGTTCCCTCGTTAACACCACAAGTGGCAGATGCAGAAACGGAATCTTGTGCAGCAGTGTAACTGCTGAAAGCTATTAAAGCCCCTAAAAAGGCTTTATATGAAATCATTATCTATTATTAACCACCTAATTAAAAAAAAATTTTATTAGAAAAAAGTCATAAACAGTTGGTAATTTGGCTTAATATTCTAATTTGCTTACTATTTTATTTAATCAGATATCCAATGAGGAGCTTTGCTCAGTTTAAAATATTATAATAATCCAATTATTAAATTTTAATGATAATGTAATTGAAAAATAAATATGAAACGAGTGTTATTAGTTGAAATTAAAAAATCTATAAATAAGAAATGATGGTGAAATAGTTTTTGGAGGAAAACTGGAGACATTTATAATTATTTGTATAAAAGATGGGGGGTTTTATTCCATTTCTAGTTTCCTTGTTTTTTGGGCATGTTCAAAAAAAGAAATTTCATCAGATTAAAATTTTTGAATTAGGAAATAGTTTTTTTTACTGTTTACATACGGGCATAGGAATGGAATTTATCTATTTTTTCCTCAATAAATGTTGTTTAAGAATAGTTTGGAACATACACTTAAGCTATTAACTGAAATAGTTTTTAGAATTTAATGATATACACTTCATTTTTCATTTCTGACATTAAATTACATAAATTATAAATTGTATAAAAAAAAAGTTAGTAATTTTTTTTTATATTATTCAATACTTTAATTTGAATTCATCTATAGTTTCTTTTTTATTTTGGAAGAGATTTTTCAACAATGAATTGTTGAATATCATCTTATTCTGATTAAACTAGACATTAATAAAAATCTTAGGAGTTTTTCTTTTTATTTTATTTTTTTGATAAAAAATAGCTGAGAACTTTAATATTAACATTTTTTTTGACTTAATTAGGCTTACCAAGAATTTTTTAAAAAAAAAGCTTTGAAGAAACAAAACCTAAGATTTATCAGTGTCACATTAGTGATTACTTGATCATGAACATTTTTTTCATGTAAGTGCCGATATGCTTAAATAGTAGCGCATCTGCTAATGGTACCCTTATTTTCCCCGCTCCAGAAACTAAATTTGTGCAAGCGACTTTTACGACAATAGTTATCTATATACTTTTTAATAACATTTTACTTTTTAACATTTTTTTTAAAAAAAATTAACGGCGCTACTTATCCATAGGATTTAAAGTCGGCCCGGATTTTGGTCAGTAATTTGTATTTACAATATTTTGTTATTATGCTTTCAAGAGTAATAAAGTTTATTTTTAAATTAAGCATATAATTGTTGATAATTTAAAGTCCTCGGTTAAGAGTTACATACAGCTCTCGTATGGGTTCGCTTAGCAATGGCAAAATAGAGCGCTAAGGCCTTACTTTAGAAAAAAAAAAGTAGCACTTGAAAAAAAAAAAAAAAAAAAGGAATGAAATCTTTCATTTTGTATTTTTTTATTCTTTCTCAAGGATAGCCAAGACCTCGTGTTGAATACTGGAGTGAGAGGACCGCTCAGAATGTTGCTGATATTTCAAGCTTGCCTTTTTTGATGCTTTTTTTCTTCTTTTGGGATTATCAAAAAAATCTATTATGTAATACCGCATACTTAGTTCTTAATTTAGAATAAAGAAGTATATATAAAATGATGAGATAAAGCAATGCTATTGGTCGCAGATGATCTAAGGCGGTCTAGTTCCGGATTTGGAATGATATGACCACAATATCTTGGGTTGAAATTTTAAACGAACTCCTAAATCAAAAGAACTTTGATAATCTGTCAATTAGACCAAGTCAAAAAGATTCAAATTGTTCTTTTAAAATATATTGTTTTTTTTTTCATAATTGAATTTACGGCTTATTTGTTTATAAATTTTAGAAGAGAAAAAAAAAACCTTTTCAATTAAAAGTATTTGCGTTTGGTTAGAAAACCTTTTTTGTCTTTGGATAAGACTCATCTTAATATGCCAAGATCTTTCTTTAAAAAAGTCTTAAGCGGTCATAATAGTATAATAGCTAATTAGCTATCTTCAATGAGAGTGACATTATAAGGAAATCTTTAGTATTAATTAGTACAGGAATCTAACCGGGTTATACGAGAATATTTTTGTTTTAATTGTGTTGTATGATATGTGATATTGTTGGTAAACGCTTAACATGCGTTACTAAACAAGCCATTTTCATAGCGATGATGATCTATTGAAACCAATAACTTCATTGAAAGTTGAAACTTTTTTTTTTCATTTAAAAGTATATTCTTTCAATCAATTGTTACTAATAATAATGAGATACTGAATGGTAGGGTTAAGTTTTAAACTAGGGTTAACCCTAGTTTCATATTGAATATAACGTTATATTCAATATGAAAAAAAAAATTAATGTAAGTGTTAAGATTTTGTATGTCGAGTTTAATGCGATACTAAAAACAATTTTTGTATCTGGGGGTATGCAATTTTCTTTATAAGAAAACTCCCAAGCCCTTCATTTTGTCTCTCAAATAAGTATATCTTTCATATTTTCATGATGTTAGATTTTTGATTCCATAAGAAGACATCAAAATAACTGATTTTTTTAACAAAACTTGGGCATCATTTTAAGAGTTTTATTAGAGCATTGTTTTAAGTAGCTGAATAATATACATAAATAAAAAGATGTTATTTTAATGAGCATATTATATTGAGAAGTAGCTTGCCTTGAAGAAAATTTTTATTACAGATTGCTTTATCATGACTCACTTCTGATTCACAGCTATTGTGATACTGACGGGCCATACTTGACCTTTAGCTTCTCTTTATAGGCTCGGAATCTGTTAACAAATTATATACGTGGAGAGGGAAACCTAAAAGCTTGTAAAGCAGCTTTTTAATAAACTAGGCAATAACCATTTTTTAAGTGGTTTATAAAAAAAATGAAAGATTGTAAGAAAACAATTATTCTTTCAACAATAAAACTCTACAATAATTCAAATAGTTTGGGCTCTAAGGTTTACTCAATATCAATATGGGGACAGCGTTTAATGACGTACTATTACAGAAAACAATCACAAAAGTTTAAAAAGGCTGGGTCTGAAGAAAATGGTACTGAAATTGAAATTGACCCGTTAGTGTTTGATATTGTTTTTTTCTTTTATCAGGATTGTGTACTTTTTTTTCTTTATTAATTTGCATTTACTTGCTTTTACGAGGACGTTGTACTTTTTTTTATTACTATATTTTACAATCTCATTTAAATGCTTAAGTCTTCACTATGCTTTTATTCATCATCACTAGGTGAATCATTATTTTGACCCACTGAAGCTTGTCGTCGGTAAAATTCAACAACCTGGTCAGATGTTGTTACATCTTCAATACCCTTGTCATCACGGACACGAATAAAACGGGGGAATCGTAATGATATACCTTTTCCTAGAGTGTCAATACCTGCCTTATATACAGGTGAAAGCGATAAGTCGGCTGTAAGTACCTCCCATATCATGGTGGGTTGAAACCAAACATCTGGCTGATTATTAGAAGCAGTATCGTAAGAATAGTATCCCTTGGGTTTTTCAATGACAGTTGCGCTCAGCGCCTTATAAAACTCTTCGAGATTTTCATCACTGAATCCAGTACCAATCTTGCAAATTGTTTCATACTGTTCCGTATCTGAATTATAGCAACCCAGTAAGAATGCGCCATAACGGTTTGTACGTTTGCCCTTACCATAATATGCACCTAAAACTGCCAAATCCAAGGAATCTCCAACTCCTTGAAGATAATCTTTTTTCAGTTTAAGCCAGTTGCGACTTCGTTTGCTTGGTTCGTAACCACTTTCATTGCCCTTTAATACCTTAATCATGAGACCCTCGCATGAATCCTTGACACTTTGGTCTAAAAATGTTTGAATGTCTTCAACATTATTGGAGTTGATGGACTTGGCAAATGCAAAGTGACCCTCTAGCGGAGTGAAGTGTTGTTGGAGAAGTTCACGTCGTTCCTCCAGAGTTTTATTAAGTAATGGCTGACCATTGAGATATAAAAGGTCAAATGCAAACAAACAAATTCTAACAGTAATCTTATCCTCATCAACATCCTTGCGTTTGCGTGTGGATAAGACTTGAAAAGGTAATAGTTTACTCTCAGCACGATCCCAGGCCACAGCTTCACAGTCTAAAATATAACTAGTGGTATTGTCTTTGTTTGCAAACTGGGCAATGCTGGACAAAATATCTGGGTATCTTTGAGACATGTCTTCCATGTTACGTGAGTAAACATGTAGTTTTCCATCTTCGGTTTGGTGCACCTGCGCACGCTCACCATCGTATTTGTATTCACATGTAAATTCTTCTCCATTGAAGCGATCCAGAATCTCAGTAATTGATTTTGTCGGCTTAGCCAACATTGGTTTGAGTGGTACCCCAGCTGAAAGTTTGCATGTTTCAGCAATATTAAAAATACCACCTGCAATGGCAGCATCAATGATAGTTCCGTAATTTGGGACTTGACAATGAACCTCGCGAATAAGATCTTCAGCCTTAGTAACTGTTTGCGAGTCTGGTCGCTCAACATGCTTAGAAGACACTGCTTTAGCCTTTTCATATTCCCATGAGACAAATGCTTGTGCAAGGCCAGTAAGAACAGATTTTTCAGCAAGTCCAATACGTAGCTTTCCTTCCAAACTTCGCACAATAAACTTTGCTTGAAACCCCTTTGCAGCAGTAAGAAGTCGTTTGATAATGGCGATCTTGCGTCCCTGACTGTCTTTACCAGTGGTTATTGCAATTTCATGAAGACCTTTAAAAACGGTCTCAATACTTAAAGGTTTGGGTTGAAACATTGTGGGTTGTGTTTTACGCAATTTGAGAGCAACGAGACCAAGATCGCCTTCTGTGCGATATTCTGCTTTGATCTGTGTATTCGAACGACCAGTGGATTCACCTAGAGCTTTGATTATGATGGACTCGCCAAGACCAAGCTCAAGTCCATCATACTCAGGACCAAGTCGATTGATGCAGAGGTAAACAATAGTAGTGAGCTCTTCTGGTTTTAGTCGTAGAGTGTTTAAAAATATTTCACATGCAAGTGATATAATTTTAAGACGTGAAGAATTTTCTTCAATTTCTTCAAACCCCTGTACAAGCATTTCATAAGGGATAGAATTATCAGGAAGAAGAGCAAATTTGGGTATAGATTTTTGTGATTCAGTGGATTTCTGTTCAGTGGATTTCTTATTTTTTTTTGTTTTTTTGGGAGATTCTGGTTCTTCTGGTGTAGTTTCTTTTTCAGAGTCTTCCAAGATCATCTTCTTTTCGGAGTCTTCTAATGTTGATGTCTCAGTGGTAGATTTTGGTGAAGTAGGCCTTTCAGACTCTTCAGAAGCTCCATCTTCAAAGTTTTGAAAAGCAGCTTTTAATTTCTTTTTGGATGGACTAGAAGATCGAGGTGATTTTGGCTCTTCCTTTGGCAAGGTTTCTTCGTCTGATTCGTCTATGATAACGCGTTTTCGTGATTTCTTAGGGGAAGCTTGTTTGTCAAAAGAAGAAACAGGAGTATCGAGAGCACCTTCATCAGATTTTTTCAGTTCATCTTGCAATTCCTCTTTCAATTCCGTTTTTTGTTCTTTCTTTTTAAGTGAAACTTTCTTCTTAGGTTTGAAAAAGTCCATCATGGACTTTTGCTTCTTGGTCGGGCCATTAGAAGAGGTCGAAGTTCTAAACAACAAAATGTTAATTTAACTAAAGAAATATATCAAATTAGCATACTTCAAGGCCTTAATTTGAGCCATAGCAATAGGGCGAACGAGAGTTTGATATGTTAGAGAGGATCGTAGTACAACAGAGAATATATGTTTGGGGAAACCAATCATTGCTGGGCTGTGGCGGTAGAGAATAAGAAAAAATAAATAAATAAGTAAAGTGTAAACAAAGATTGTGTCTACTATAAACACGAAAAACCCACGTCATATTAATTTTACGCGTTTATTAGTCATCTTTGACTCAGATAAAAATTTTGCTTCATGGTGAACGTTTTGAGCTTCTTAGAGGAACTTTTCATTTGGCTGGCTTTCCTCTTTCTCTTCTATTATGCTCATTTGCATTTCAGATCATTGAAAATCTATACAAAAATGAAATCAGTAACTACATATGCTCGTCAAGCATTGCGTCTTCAAGGCATTGCTGCCCGAGGACTTTTGCTGACGCGTTCGGTCCGACCGGCGCAACTACGTGTGGCAACAAATAACGCAGGATCTTCGGTCTGGATCAGTCGCAGATTCAACACAGGACTTGCTCCAAGTAATAATAACAACAGTAATAACAATGACGATGGTGATGGTGATGGTGATGGAAAAGCCGAAAAGCCTTCGTACCACTTGTCCTTTACGTGCAAGAAATGCGACACCCGCTCGGGCCATGTCATTTCCAAGCAAGCATATCACGGTGGGACCGTATTAGTGCAGTGCCCTGGATGCAAGAGCCGACATCTCATTGCTGACCATTTGAAAGTAAGTGTTAAAAGGATTTATTTTTATATATACAATGCTAACAAAACTACAAAGATCTTCTCTGACGAACGAGTCACTTTAGAAGATATTCTGGCAAAAAAAGGCCAGACAATTAAAAAGGGAGTCACTCATACAACCGACATTAAGACCAGAGTAACGCCCACTGGAGATATTGAGATTGAAACTGTCAAACCTGAATAAATAAATGTTAGTTAGCATATAAATAAAACTCAGACATAATAAAAAATCATGTAGCTTTATTCCTGTATCTCAGAGTCTATTCCATTTTTATGATCATTAAAAATTGCTTTTTATTTTCACACGACTCTTCCTATCTTTAAAAAAAAACGGATGTTTCTCATCATTTCAGGACGCTAAAAAAATTGCATTCATAAAAACTTACCTTGAAAGTGGTTGGTTGTGGGAAAAGAAAAATTGACCACCCAACTACCCATTTTATACCTGAAAATTTTCAGCCCTAACTTAACCCACCATGAGCAGCCCTAGTACGCACCCCCCACAACAAACAACACCAACATCTGCTACTACCCGGCCGGTACGCACCCTCGCCGCGGGCCACACTGGGAGCGTTCATGTGGTCAAATTCAATTCACCAGGATCCTATGTGCTTTCTGGAGGACAGGACCGCCGAGTTGTACTTTGCAATACCGATACTGGCGCTTTTGTAAAGTCTTACCAGCTACACGCGTACGAGGTTCTCGACATCGCCATTGCTCGCGATAGTTCTATGGTAAGTAGCAGCGCTCTGATTAGCATGGCGTCTTCGTACTATCTCTTTTTTTTCTTTTCTTCTGTTAAATAGTTTGCAAGTTGCGGAGGTGACAAGACCGTTTATCTTTGGGATGCTGCGTCTGGGAACACGCTCAGACGGTTTTCTGGTCACATGGCACGCGTCAATAGTGTTGCTTTTAATGACCCGGAGACTGTATTAGCAACTGCTTCCTACGATGGCTCTGTTCGGTTGTGGGATCTGCGATCTGGCACAGCTACACGACCGATCCAAGTGTTGTCAGAGGCGCGCGATAGTGTCTCGGCCGTAGACATACATGAACATATCATAGCATCAGCGTCAGTCGACGGCCGGCTGCGCGTGTACGACTTGCGCATGGGTCGCTTGACTACTGACACTGTGGCCGCTACTGGTGCAGATGTGACGCGTCCATCAGCCGGGACTGCGACACCACTGACATCTGTGATGATCTCGCCTGATGGAGACACCGCACTTGTCGGGGCATTGGACTCAACAGCACGCTTGGTTGATCTTGAATCCGGATCAACGTTGCAAGCATATGTTGGCCATGAGAACCGGGTATTTCGTATGCGCGCAGTACTAGACGCTGATGCTGGGCTTGTGCTTGCTGCCAGTGAAGACGCTAGTATATGCGTATGGGATCTCATGGCCGGCCAAGAACCACTTTCAAGAATTCGAATTAATACTTCAAGCGAGAAGTCACTAGCCCGTGCCCCTCTAGCATTCGATTATCATGCTATGAACCCGGATTCAAGTGCTGAAGTTGGGACCGTGGCAGCATGTGGATCCGGTGGGGTGATTGGAATCTATCATGTGATTATGTAAGTCCTTACGAAGGATACGGATCGGCTGTTTTTGTGTTTGTGTGTATAAAGTACTTAAAAAAAATCTCTCCAGAAAAAAAAAAAATACATAAAAAACCTCCTTTCTTTCCACACCATCACCTTCATCTTCATATTAATCAACAAACAACATCCCACCAAATATGCCCGCACAGACCGTTCCAGTTATCACCAAGGAGGAGCTGGCCGAGCAAATCTCGCCAACAAAGTGCTTGATTACGTTGCACCACCGTAAGGTCTACGACGTGACGCCGTTTCTCGACGAGCACCCTGCAGGCGGGGACATTATCATGGAGTTCAACGGCAAGGATATAACTGATATTTTGCGCGACCCAGATTCTCATCAGCATAGTGAGACAGCCTATGAAATGCTTGACGAGATGTACTTTGTTGCTATTCTTTCTACTGATGAAGAGGCCAAGAAGATTCTTACAAAGGACAATCGACACTCATTCAAGCTGGCCTCTTCTGGTATACTGACAGAAGCCACCCCTGGAGAAACTGCTTCGTCATCTAAGCTTACTGGAACTGCTGAAGTTGATCTCCATATCACCACCGATTTTGATAACGATTATAAGGAGCACAAGTTTATTGATCTTAATAAGCCCCTGTTCCCTCAGGTGCTTTTTGCAAAGTACAATAAAGAGTTTTATCTTGATCAGGTCCATCGACCCCGTCACTATGGCAAAGGTTCTGCTCCAATCTTTGGAAACTTCATGGAACCTTTCTCACTTACGCCCTGGTACGTTGTTCCGCTCATTTGGATCCCTTTCAACCTTTATATTATCTCCATTTGCTTGCAAGGATTGTCGCCACTGTATGTTGTTCCCCTGTACGTTTGTGGTCTGTTTCTTTGGACCCTTATCGAGTACATCCTACACCGCTTCCTTTTCCATATTGAGCGCTGGCTGCCTGACCACCCCTTAGCTTTCACAGCTCACTTTTTGCTCCATGGTGTTCACCACTACCTCCCAATGGACCGCATGCGTCTTGTCATGCCTCCTGCTATGTTTATCATTCTCTGCACACCTATCTACAAACTTTGCCACTTCCTCTTCCCTCAATACTATGTGGCCATGTGCATTTTTGCTGGTGGCCATATGGGCTATATCATGTACGACGTGACCCACTACTCACTTCACCACATTCGTCTGCCTGAATTTATGAAGGATGTTAAGAAGCATCATCTTGACCACCACTACAAAAACTATGATCTTGGATATGGTGTGACTTCCAAGTTCTGGGACTCTGTTTTTGGCACCACCATGCGCGATGATGTCCCATCTCGTCTTCTTAAAGGATACAAATAAATAAACACATTATTTTTATTTTATTTTTTTTTTTTCAAAACATGATACCAGATTGTTCCAGCTAGTTTATGCTAAATAATACCAAGAATAGTACTAATAATTATGCGCGAATTTTTAATATATATTTACCTCTATTCTTATAATATACAACGTACCCGTTTTACTCGTTTTCGTCGCTCTCGTTTGTAAAAACATGGAACGGCAGTGTCAGCCCCAGATTTTCTTGGTTTGCACCCACGTATTCTTGCTGAGCAGCCGGAACATGAGGAGCCCCGGGTACATCTGCACCTTCCAACACGCTCAGCGCGTTGGGATACCGTTCAGAAAATGCTTCGGAGTGCGGGTGCGGTTTCCCCATGCCCTTGCGCGACACTTGGAAGACAGCATGCTTGAGTGCGTTCGTCCCTACATACTGGCGCGCCCTGTGCTTATCAGGTGTCTCTATAAAGTCCGGCAGAACTTCGTATGGAGGAAGAACCACCCGTTCACCAGGTTTCCGTGGAATGTACGCCATAGTTGGTCCATCACGGTAACGGTAATGAATATCGTAGTACTTGTAGTAACGCCTGCTCACTGCCCTTTGCCGGCCTGCTCCCACACGTAGCCCTGCTTGTCGAGCAGCCTGAGTATTTTTAATTTTCTTGGAAATATCCAAGGCTGATTTAGGGACCTGGCCAGACATTACAGGAACATTTTCATCTTCAGATGAGTTCTCGCTTTCGTCATCAGTATTAATTCCACTGCTGGAATTGGTCAAACAAGCGCCTGTACGTTTAATGGCAGTATGCTCGTACGGTGCCCAGCCAAAAAATATTTTTTGTGTCCCGGAAACAACCCAGTCAGCAGGATACACTGGGGGATCCTGAGCCTCTCCACGAGCAGCGGCGGCACGACTTCGAATGTAATTGGCCGCAACGCCAGGAGATAACGGTCGGTACCGTGCGTATCGCACGACTTCACCGTTCGCCAGTCTGCGGATACGCCGAGCTTGTCGTCCTAGTTCTGGATCAATAGACTGCATCAAATGTTTACGACGCAATTTCCGTATTCTTTTATCGCGTGCCTGAGCACGTACTCGAGCAGCTTCCACTGTGACTGCTGTATTTTCATGCTCATTGTTAAAGTATTCGGCACCAAGACCATATGTTGCCAACAGCGAGTCTCGTGCAGAGGGAGCTGCGGGGTTTGCGCCAGGCCCAGCAGACGCTCCCAACGTATTGGCGGAGCCCGGACCTGTTGTTCGCGCCGTGCTAGGGGTCTTGCTCGCAGCGCACGCGAGCTCGGCAGCCGCACCTAGTTCCTCTGCTGGCCCAAAAACGGCAGCTGGGTTTACAAGTTCGGATGCTGAGTCAAGGCTCGCAATCTCTGGAATGGAAATAGATGCAAGAAGTTCTGGTGAACCTTTGGAGCCATCTTCTCTTACCGAGGGTCTTAGTCCCCCACACAAAGGTTGTGCGCCACTGGCCTCTTCTTCTGGCGGGAACGCATATTCCTCAAGCCCAAAAGTAAGATTTCCATTTGAATCCGCGAGTCCGTCCTCAACATCATCATCTGAAAAAACCAGCTCATCGGTTGGGTTTATCATTAAAGAACTTTTGGGGGGCTTCTCGTCGCCTAATACTTCACCTGTGTTTGGATTAAACTCAGCAGCAGGGGCGACACGAGGATCCCGTATCGGAGTGCCAAAAAGTTGGCGACATCGTTCGTAGGTTCGCCCCACAGTTGCAGAACCACTAGCAGCTACAATGTCTGCCCAAGAAACCCATGTATCGCGGTCTGAAGAAGCCGTCATGTGTGCCTGATGGCCTACACGAATCAGGGTTTTGTCAATGAGATTAAGGAGCGCCTCGCGTGCCTGAAGGGGCAACGCCGGCGAGCCCTCTTCTTCGTTTTCGTCTGCGCCTCCGACACATGGAACTGTGTTCACATGTCGCTTAAATGATTGGGTTGACGAATTTGTGTTTCCGTTCTGCGCCGCATCTACTGCTTGGTTATGTCTGCGTGTGCGCTCACGCTCTAGCAGGTTTTCGACCTGAATGCGGTCATATACTTGACGCTGAAAAAGCGCATTAAGCTCATGTGCAAGCATTTGTCGCGTATGTGCCAAGCGCTTTTCAACTACCGGTGACAGCGAATCGCGTGGCAGCCCAATTTCTGGGTTAAGCTGGTAAGGTTTAGGATTACCTTCAGCATCCAGGCGCACACGTGGGAACTTGTCATCGTGAGCGCGCAGCGAATCAGATACCTTGTAACGCCAAATATTTGCAGGAAGTTGTGATGTACCAATTGCTGCACGCTCATATGCGAGTCCTGAAGGGTTATCTGGATCTGTATATGTAAATGTAGGATTGTCTGGGTGAGCATAATCTATAAAGGAACGATCCCAATTTTTGCGCATTGAAAGTAAGTCGTCCTCTGGATTAGCACGCTCTGCTGAAGGCGCCACCTGAGTAATACCATGTCTTCTCGGAACTTTTGCATCATTGTTTTTTTCATCTTCAGAGTCTTGTTCTGTTTGTACTGTAATAAGTCCATGCTGTGTAATGTTTTTGCGTTGAAGATTATTTTCTCGCATAGAATTAATGTTTCCACGGGCCACATCAAAAGGGTCACTTTGTTCATTGATTCTTCGTCGTTTTCGGCGTAACAAGGTTGACGTCAAGCACGATGAATCCTCGCTTGAAGGATCTTTCCAACCAAACTTCATGACACGATGAGGACGCTGCTCGATATCAAGCACATCGTCCTCGTCAATGGGCAATACATCCTCAGGCCCGTCTTCAAGATCCGGTCTAAGAGGCCATGCAGCCCAGCGTGTAGGGACACGCTCACCAGCACGCCGGGCAAGATGTACTGCGTAAAGATGGCTAGCCAAATCACCGCGAAAGGAGTCGTCTGCAACACCAGCAGCATCTGCTGTGGCACGAAGTAAAGATGCTGCAAGGCCAGTATGTAGAGTTTGAGTAGGTTCTTGTGAAAAGTAGTCATTTACATCACGATCAGTGATAGGTTTGATATCTTGCGTAGGTAGGCCATCAGGAAACGAGCCCGGTGGGATTAGTATGTCCTGCAATGTAGAAGTCGGTTGCTCATCTGAGGAGCTATCAGAGTCATTCAAATCATAGGGTGTTGATTTCACTGGTGATGAAAACCGTTGTTGGTATGAGGTGAAAACATTTCGAAAACCTAAAGATCTTTGCGAGCTTTCAATTTTTGATTCATTGTCTTCATTTTCGCTATCGATTTGGCTATTATTTTCTTCTTCTTCTTCTTCTTCTTCTTCTTCTTCTTCTTCTTCTTCTTCTTCTTCTTCTTCTTCTTCTTCATTTTCTCCATTGCTGGTATCAACTGGGTTATTATTTCTTTTGTAATTTTCACTATTGTGGCTTTCATCACTACCCTTTTCTTTCTTGCTCTCTTCATCTTTGACTTGGTTATCAATTTCTTCTTGATGGTTCTCGGCATTATCATTTTCTTCATCATCGCTATCCTCTTCATCGCTTGAACTACCTGAAGGTGAAGACTGAGCTGGGGCTGGAGAAGATGATTGTGATGACAACATCGATTCTGGTGACGATGGCAGTGATGCTGGTGATGGTTGTGCTGACTGAGAATGTGTCGATGCTGGGCTCGAGGGCGGTGACTGGTTCTGAGGTGTCTGTGGTGTTTCGTTTTCTGGTGATGATGATGATGATGATGATTCAGCATCGCTATCATCTGCTAAAGCGAAAGACTCTGTGTCACTGTTTTCTTCGGAAGATTCCGTGTCGGCATCGTTGTCGCTGTCATCTGCCGCCTCTGCTGCTGGTGATGATAAGTCTGCTCTATTGTTTGAAGGACCATTATTTTGATTTTGATATTCTGACTGGAAATCTGTGAAATTAGATAATAAGACTTCATCTTCTTCTTCATCTTCGTTATCATCATCTTCATCTTCCTCATCAAAATTTTTCAAGTTATCACTATAGTCTTCATCTGCTTCATCTGCTTCATCTGAAGTTTGATCCTCGTGTTGAGAATCGGTTTCTTCATTGGTATCCTGGGGCTCCCCTTCACTGGTATCTTCCAACGCGCTGCTTTTGCTAGCATGTGTTTGAAGATCCTCTGAATCAGAGATTTCTTCATTTGGAATCTCCTCCTTAGGTTTGCGAGCCATTCTCGAGTACTGAAGAGAAGCTGACGGCCCTTATTTTATTTATATTTTTTTTAAACGTTTGTTTATTTTGTTGCAAGTAAAAAAAAAATGGGTCATGAATTTTTTTTTCTTCTTCTTCTTTAAAATACAATTAGTCAGTATCGTTAAATATTTACGTAATTATTTTAACACCTAACGGCCACTCCAATGATTAAAACGGCTTCTCAAAAACAAATTAACAAAAAACGTGCATTAACTAAACTTTTATAAATATATAAAAAAAAAATTCTAAATCATTAATTCTATTGTCATAAACTTCTAATAAATCTCTATTGTTTTTTTTTTTTAAATTTTCTCATCTTCTTCTTCATTACAGTTATAAATCCAAAACTGGAAGAAAATGATAATGTCCATGAAAAGGGCGCCAGCGCTTCCTGCAAGCCACGATCCATTGATCAAGAGATATTTCCAAGAAGTATCCAGTGAAATAATAGAAATAATGAAATTCAAATTCCCCAGACATGCAAAGAGGAAAAACAAAAATGATACGCCTTCCACAGACTTGCGTTTGAAATTGAGAACAATTTGTGGAATACGAGAGCTGAGGTAGATTGGGGCACAAGACCAACCAAAAACTTGACCCCAGAAGTTAAACTCGAGAGGAGCTGAAGGTGAAGGTGATGGAGTTGCACTGTGACAAAACTGAGAAACTGCCCAGCCAGTTATTCCTGCAACAATGACGCCGGTGACCAAAAGTAGGTTTATGAGGACTCGTCTGCGGAAAGAGATTTTTGCTGACTTAATGGAAGAGGCTGTGGAAGCCGTGCTATGATCGCAGCTAGAGTATTGGTCTTGTTCCAAATCAAATGTGCCGTGACTCGTGGACAAGTTAGTGTCGCTTGTTTTGCTGCGTGGTAAAATAGTATCTGTGGTGACCCCCGCACTATATTCATCCTCAAGAAGTGGTGTACTTGAGGAAATAATGGTGATCTTTTCCGAAAGAATTTTCTTTCGATTATAAAGGAAAATTTGAATAAGCAACACAATGTCAGCTATGGTATAATAAACAGCAAGTGCAATAGTAGTAGGAAGGACACCTTGAAGAATGGACCCAGCAACGTTGAGGATATCGCCAACAAGCCACATTAAGAGAAATGTGAGGGAAAGCCCAGAGGCACTTTTACGGCAAAACTGAATAAAAAAAGTTAGAAAAAAAAAACTTTTTAATTAATATCTTTTAAACTCACATTTTCATAGAGTTGGGGGGTAAAGACAATAATCCAACATGAGATTGAAATAGAGCTGTTCAAAGTTAGATGCAATTAAAAGTTGAATTTTTGTAAATAAACTTACCCAGTGATTCCACTAAGGGCTCGAGAGTCAAAAGCAAAAGCTGGAGGCAGAACCATTAGATATGAATTGGTTAGGGAATTGGAAACCAAAAAATAAAGATTTTGCTTGTTTTAGAGCAAAAAAAAAAAGAAGGAAGGAAGAGAAAAAAGAATTTTTTAAAAAAAAAAAAGTGCCAGACGTTTTGTTATTTAAACGAAGAAGAAAAAGAATAAAAAAAAATTTTCCTCTATAAGTCATTATCAGTTCCCTTAGTTGAGTGACTCTTCATTTTTTTTATTTATTTCGTTTAGCTTATTTACTCATTGAATAACAAGTAGGTCAAAAATAACAACAACAACAAAATAGCTTAAAAAGGACTTAAAACCCGAATTTTATTTTATATAAGCGGGGGAAGCCGTTGAATCGGGATAAATTGCCCATCACTGTTACTTTAACACTTGCCTCTGGCAACGGTTATTAAAGCTAGCATTAATATAGGATACCATCTGGTATACTTTGAATATATGTCCAAGGCACCACGGGCTCTGTTTTTTTTTTCTTATTTTTTTTTTCACAGCAGTAATGATAGTGAGAGAAAAAAAAAATTTCACTTGTTGCCGCGCGGGTATCAGTAAAAGAGAAGAAAATAAGTCATGTTTGTTATCTTTAGTCATGTGACATACCGGCGTAACAGGTGTTTGTAGCATTGGCACCACTGCCATATTCGGTCTTGTTGAAAAAAAATTTTTTTTTTTCTATTTCAATTTTGGCGCTTTCATCAATATGTTATTGTGAGAGAGAGGGGAAAATCAGCTGGTAATAAACAAAGAGAAAGAGTCAGGACATTGAAAAGAATAATAGTGACTCTTCTTAACAGCATGATACTGTTATTGTCGGTATTTTAAATGAATAAATAAATCGAAAGTCGCAAAAAGTTTGTTTTGAAATTCAGTGGGTTAACCCCTTCTTTTTTCCATTTTCACATGTTGGCCCGTTTTTTTCTATCAGCCATCTAAACATCTAAACAATACCTAGCATATGACATGGATCTTATTATTTTGGCGCTGATTGTTTGCAAGCTGTTTCTCTGTCGGCTACTCATTATTTAATTTTTTTTTCACGAATCTTGTTGTTAGCCTTACCAACGCTAACTATACCTTTTTCAAACAGTGTAAAAAAACGGTCATTCACCTGATGCTTTTTTTTTTCTCTTTCTCTCTCTCTCTCTCTCTCTTTTGCTCTGAGTTTCATACCTATATGATTTAAAGGCCTACTCCCATTAAATAAATGTGGTCGTTACTTATTGAATTAAAACTACCCTCTCCCCTCTAAAAAGATCCATATTCAAAGTTACTTTCCGTGCTAATATATATACTAAATTTGTCTCCACATTTGTGAATTCTTTTTGGTCTTTGGAATGAATAGTGAAGAGTCTCCCGTATTTAACTTAGGAAAGAAAGTAAGATATTACTCTCGGTAATAATTATTTCTATGATTATCGGGGAAACTGATATTTCAGTCTTTGAAACGTGCAGCTGCTGTTGCGACTATGGCTTCTATTTTTGCTTCGTAAAGAAAAGTCATCTTTAAACCGGCCATCATGTTTTTATGACTGTCACCCTGTTTTATGACAGGTTATGTGATATTGTAAGAAAACTGTTTTGAATGTAAAAGATAGTATACACAGCATATTGTTGATTACGTGACTGGAAAGTCTCTGTTTATGAGGACTCTGAAATTTCAAAACTTTTGGAAATCACTCAAGGCTGTCAGATAGCTGTTGATGACGAAAGCTATGGTCATGTATGCAAAGGACAAGAATGAAAAAAAGTATTATCATTCAAAGAAAACTACCAAGCTTGGTAGTAGTTTAAGTCAAGTAATCATGTCAAATAATATCTTTCAAGATATTCCTGTCTTCAAATGCAATGTGGCAGTTGTATACAACGTGGTTATTAATAATACAAAACCCTTTTACTATTATTTTTTTTTGGCTCATTGTTAAAATTTCAACAGGTATTTTTTAAAATAAGATATCAGGCATGAAATTAAGATTGGTTTTAATTTGAAAAACAAATAAGGGTTCATAAATCTTGTCCAAAACCATTTTTTTCACTTTCATTTTTTCAATTTATTAAAAAGTAATTTTGAAGAGTTATTGGTGTAAACTTAGTATAGTTGTCTTAAAAAAAAATTTAGAGAATGACTAGAATTGAAAAGGTAGAAAGAATTTTCTCAGTAATATGAGAGTTGTATTTATCTTATATATTTTAAAAAGAATTTTTTTTTTCAATGTTAACTTGATAATTTTCCAATCTGGGAAGTAAATATCCGAGATATAGGACACATAGGGGTAGATTTTTTAAAATAATGGTAAAAAAAAAACTTGTGTATCTTGTAATCTGATTATTGGATAGTTCTTAAGGATATGTAATTAATGATTGATTAATTGTTTCGGTTTATAAATGGAAAAGGTAAAACAATAGAAATAATTTTTTTTGTAATAAATTTAACAATACATAGCAGACCTTTAAGTTATGTGTTTTTTTTTAAAAGAATCTTTGATTCCTTAGAGATTGTTTAAATAACAGTAATAGTGATGGACAAATTCTATATAGTTATTACAGACTAAATCTATTGTTGATATTACACCTGCAATCTGTAATATCTGATAACATACATACATTGGTAATCTTAACAAGGCTTATTCTCCAACGTGTGCACTTGCCCAGAATTGATTTCGTGATACCTGTATCTACTATTTATCAGAACATTCTCTTTCTCTCGCTCTCCCCTGTCCTTCCCTGCTTTTTTTGTTATTGCTTAAAAAATAAAATTATTTCATTCAAAAAAAAATTGGCGGCAGAAGCTCAGTGCATATATACGTTTCTGGTAAAAAAAAAAAAAACATTCACACACGCGCGGGTAAATTTGATGGGAATAAAATATATATAAGAATTGAAGAAAAGAAAAAAAAAAAGTCCTGGGCACGATAAAAGTGTTTTTACATATAGTGCGGTGACATTATCTGGGGTATTTTATTGTTAAAAAAAAAAATTTGGAATTTGGTAGAGTCTGAAAAGTAATTTTTTTTATTGTTGCCTGATATTTATTTTTGGTATATCTAAGCTTTACTGACCCCTTTTTTTTTCTTTTCAATGAGATTGTTTATTTTTTTTAAGACTTTTAAATTCTTTTTTTTTTTATTTTTCATTGAAAAAAAAAAGTCATCAATCATGATAAAATTTGACATATTTCTTAGAGTTTCTTTAAGATATAATTGTTGAGTTCAATTATAAAACTTTATCTTAAGATAAATTTGTATATAATTATTTGAAAATCGCTCGGATATTAAATGTTTTAAAAGGAAATTTTAAAAAAAAAAACAAATTTTAACCGCTCAAATTGTAAAGATTTAGTATTTAAAAGATGAAATGTTATATTTTTTTTTTTACTCAAGAAACTCAAAATGATTAGTCACGGAAAATAGTTTGTTAGATGATATTGGTCTAATAACCATTCAATTCAAAATTGGATAGAAAAAAAAACGAAATCTATTTCAAAATTGTCCTTATTCATTTGTATATATATCTTCAATTGGTATTTCTTATTTACCATCACCACTTCTTACACCTTGTTTATTATAAATCCAAAACTGGAAAAAAATAAACACGTCCATGATAAACTCACCTAAGCTGCCAACAAGCCAGGAGCCATTGATAAGAACGTAGCGCCAGGATGTATCAAGGGCCAAAATAGAAACCATAAAGGAAAGGTTACCAAGACAAGCAAACAAGAAAAACAAAAACGATACACCTTCGACCGACTTGCGTTTAAAGTTTAGAACAATTTGTGGGATACTGGAGCTCAGGTAAAGAGCAGCACATCCCCAGCCAAAAATCTGCCCCCATAAATCAAATTCGAGTGGGGGTTCGGGCTCAGATGGAGGAGCTCCGGGCCGGTTGTGGTAGTATGTAGTAAAAAGCCATCCGAGAACGCCAGCCAAAATGACACCGGCGACAAGTAAGGTGTTTGTAATCACAGTTTTGTAAAAGGGAGTAGGAGGAGGGACGACCAAGGAAGGAACAGGTTCAATGGGGGGGCCAAAGGGGTCATCAGGGACAGTTGTTGGCTGATCTGCACCAGGGGGGTTTGTATTGACTCTGCTGTATCTGCGATGGGTGTTGATGAAGGTGAATTCTCTATTTGCTTCATCTTCCTGGACGGCTTCTTCAGCTTCTGCGAGGGCTTCTAGGAGCGGGGTAACAGCTGAAGCGACTGAATTTGAGCGAGGTTGGGAAGGTTTTTTGAGAGAGGCATTTCTACGGTTGTAAAGGTAAATTTGGATGAGCAAGATGATATCGGCAAGGGTATAGTAGATTGCGAGGATGACGACAGTTGGGAGTACACCTTGAAGAATTGAGCCAGCCACGTTGAGAATATCACCAAAGAGCCAGAGGATCACAAACATAAGAGAGAGACCATCTGCGCTTTGTCGACGAAACTGGAGAGATTGTTAGTGAATTGTTAGTTAAGGAAAAACAGAATATATATATATATATTGTTTGGATAAAAGACATACATTTTCATATAGCTGGGGAGTAAAGACAATGATCCAGCAGGCAATGGAGATGGAGCTGAGAGGAGTTAATAAGTTAGTTTAGATAGAGAGAAAGAGATTTGAAAGGAATAGGATAAAGACGTACCCTGAGATGCCACTGAGGGCTCTGTTGTCTAGAGTGTAAGGAGAAGGAGAAGATGAAGGTGAAGTTAAGGATGAAGACATTGCATTAGATAGTTTTTAGAAGATAAAGGGAAAAAAAAAAAAAAAGAGATAAAAAAAAAAAGAGGGATTTTGGTTTATTAAATAATTAGTAAAAAAATATTTATTTAATTATAAAAGTTATTTTATATAAACAATTATTTATGTTAGTAATGATATAGATATAGATATATAAATATACGTAATTTAATGTAGTTTTTTTAAAAAAGGACTGCTTTAAATATTCTTATTGTGTTATCTAAAGAAAAAATAAGTGGTGATTAAACAAGATATGGGAGACATAATTATATTTTATTTTAATAATTATATATTTATTTATATTAAATAATTTATAATTACAACAAAAGCTGGGCGAATCTTTGTGGGGCGGAGAAAAAAAAGAGGAGTGAAAATGAATGCATTTTTTATTTTTGCAGGTTTGATTGTTTGTAGTTATCGGATGTAACAAAAAAAAAAAAAAGTACGGAGATGTAACCATAACGATTTGTAATTTAGTTATATCTATTAAATAGATATTATATATATAGATAGTAATTAAATGAAGAAGAAATTAGTAAAGCAGATTATATAAGAAAAAAAAGATAACTATATAAGATGAATTTTGAGTTGAAAACTAATAATAATAATGATGATGATGAAAAAAAAAAAAAAAAACCCATTTTTAAAAATCAAAGGACCCTTAAAAAAAAAAAAACTAAACTTGATTGAAAAAAAAGGCATTTTTCTTTTTTTAATCTTTTCAGCAAAGACCTGCCCAAAATAGAGAGAAATAAAGAAAGAAAGATTCGGGTAAATATCTTTTCCTTGAAAGAATTTTAAAATATTTATATTATATTATGTCATTTTATACAATTTCTTATGTAACAAATCTCCAGATTTTCATAATAATTGTTTCATTATTAAAAAAAAAAAATCACACAAAAGGATTTCAATCAAGTAATTAATTATAGTAATTTTTTTTATTTTGTCACTTTTTTTTATTATATATATTTCTGAATAATAATGTACATTTTTTTTCATAAAAAAAAACAACTTTTACTTTTACTTTTACTTTTACTTTTTATTTTTTTAAAAAAAAAAAAAATTTCGAATAAATCAAAACTCTTCTTCATCTTCGTCATCTTCATCTTCTTCATTTTCATTTCTATTGTAAATCCAAAACTGGGCAAAGATAATAAAGTCCAGTAACAGAGTTCCAAAACTACCTGCAAGCCAGGAACCGTTAATAAGAATATATTTCCAAGAGGTATTAAGAGCAAGAATAGAAATGACATAAGTCAAGTTACCCAAGCATGCAAACAAAAAGAAGAGAAATGAAATGCCTTCAACCGACTTGCGTTCAAAATTAAGTAAAATTTGTGGCACACGAGACCCCAAATATAAGGCCGCACACCCCCAACCGAAAACTTGCCCCCAGAAATCAAATTCCAAAGGAGGCTCGGGTTCAGATGGAGGTCCTGAAGGAGGAGGTGAACTATGACGCAGTTGAGAAAAGGCCCATCCAGCAATGCCAGCAATAACTACACCTGTAACCATAAGGGTATTGATGAGAATAGTTTTATAAAATGGCATGGGAGGTTTTTCTTCAGATGTAGAAGAGATAGAGGTAGGTCTATTGTTTGTTGAAGTTGATGGAGAAGTTATATTTTGTTCAATATCAAAAGTTCCATGAGTTTGTTTGTTTTGATGATGATGATGATGGTGGTGAGGATTGAAAAATGAGTTTTCTTGAGAGTTTGTATTGTTATCATCATCATCATCATCTTCTTCATCTTCAAAAGATTCAAGAAGTGGGGTTGCTGGAGAAAGATGAGAAGGGTCAACTTTTTGGGAGAGGGCATTTTTGCGATTATACATGAGAATTTGGAGCAAAAGAATAAGATCGGCAATGGCGTAGTAGAAAGCCAGAGTGATCATGGTAGGTAAAACACCTTGAAGAATGGAACCTGCGACGTTAAGGATATCACCGGAGAGCCATAAGATTACAAACATGAGAGAGAGGCCATCTGCGCTTTGACGACGGAACTAGAGAAAGAAAGAAAAAGAAAAAGATTAGTTATAGATTTTTTCAACAAAAAAAAAAAAGTAAACATACATTTTCGTATAACTGGGGGGTAAAGACAATGATCCAACATGAGATTGAAATGGAGCTGGAAAGTAAATGGAAAGCAAAAAAAAAAAGAAAAAAAGAAAAAAAGAGAAGAAGAAGAAAAAGAAGAAGAAAGAGAAAAAGAAGAAAAAGGTTAGTTTGAAGATTTAAAATAGTATAAAGTGACTAATAATAGTGGTGATGGTAGTGGTGAAAAAAATGGAGATGGAGATGAGGATTAATAAGAAGAAAGGTTTAAAGAGCGTACCCAGTGATTCCACTGACAGCTCTGGAATCGAGCGTGAAAGGAGGAGGCGGAGCCATATTTTTTTTTATTTTTTGTATCGTTTGTTTTTTTTTTTTTTTTTTAATTTATTAGGTTACTGGATGATTATTAGATTGTATTTGTTGATAGTCTATTGTTCTATATATATATAAAGTAAGAAGAAAAGATGGGATGAGTATTGTTGGAGTGAAAAAAAAAAAAAAAAAAAAAATTTTCAGGATAGAATAAAAAAAAAAAAAAGAAGAAGAAGAAGATATTAAAAAAAAAAGCCTTATTAGTAGTAGTACTACTATTATTTCAGTATACTGAAAAGAAAAAAAAAAAAAAAATTGCGATTATAATGGAGACCTAATGGAAACTCACAACGAGAGAGAATTCACCTAGATTAATTTTTATTTTTATTTATTTATTTTTTTTTTTTTAAATAATAATAATTATTATTATTATTTCAACAATAAAATAAGAACAATTTGGAACAATAATATTTAAAATGAAAATGATAATTGTGATGATGATTATGATGTGTGCATGAAAAAAAAAATAAAAATTTTTTTTAAAAGGAACCCGAGACCCGACGGGTATTCAGACGGAACACCTCGGCAATTACAAATTACAAAAATTTAAATTTAAATTTAAATTTAATGTAATTATTATTATTATTATTATTATTATTATTATTATTATTATTAATATTAATATAAATAATTTATTTAATAAATATATTGTTACACTTTAATCTGTTACACTTTTATTTAAAGTTGCTACTTAGAAACTCAACTTTAAAAAATTATTTATTTTTCCGCAAGATAATAATAAAAACAATATATATATATGATGGTAATGAAGGTGATGATGGGTGATTATAGTAGGCCATTCTTTAAACTCACAAACACATATACACACATACAACCCCCCACCCACCCTCTTCCCCTAAACCTGAAAATCAATAATTTAACATAGACCACGATATACACTTTGGTCTGTAACTTACATTATAATTTTTTAAGAAAAAAAAGAAGAAAAGAAAGAATTTCTTTTTATATATATATATATATATTTTTTTTTTTTGGGGGTTGCATCCAAGACATAAAAGAAATGAAACAAAATTTGAAAAAAAAACTTGAAAAGACCTGTAATTGAAAAATGAAAAATTGAAAATAAATATTTAATGATTTTTATATAATAATAAAAAGTAAATAAATAAATAAATAAAAAAAAGAAGAAATGAAAATGTTTTTTTTATTAAAAATGAATAAATGAATTCTTTTTTTTTTTTTTTTTTGAACCACTTTGAACCAAAGAATGATTTTTCATCACAACCATAATAACCATAAACTCCATTTTTTTTTTATTTTCTTACCATCCCCCCCTCCCTCTCTTCTTTTTTATTTTTTTATTTTATTTTATTTTTTTTTTAAATAATAGTAATTACTATTAAATAAATCAATTCCATTTTTTTTTAAGTAATTTATATATAATTGTATTGTTAAAATAGATAATAGAATATAAATGAATTAATTATCCCCCCCCCCTCATATTCAGCGCCGCTCATTTGCCCCGCCATGTCAAATTTATATACTACGCCGTGCTTCTTCTTCTTTTTTTTTTTCTTTTAAATTCTTCTTCTAAATTGTTCTTCTTCTGTTAATAATGCTAACTACTAGCTGCTGCTATTACCACAACCACTAGCAACTACAACAACTACAAACCGACAAAATAAATTAAAGGTAGGTAACATTTTAATTTTTTTTTTCCCTCACTAACATTCCCCATACTGCTGCACATATTCATTCATTCATTCATTCATTCATTGCCTTTAAAAAAAAAAAAAAAATTATACACTGCCACTTTGACGCCGCCGCAGTTATAAAAACAAAAAAAAAAATTCAACACCACCACCACCAAAATATCTTCCTCCCTTCCCCCCCTAATTTTTGGATCCTCGAGAAATATTTTAAAAAAAAAAAAAAGCTCACAGCTACTCCCAAAGTAGAAATTCTTTGTTCTTAAATGGCTTTAAATTGAGCTTTAAAAAAAAAAAAAAAAAAAAAAAAAAAAATTTAAACATTTTTCTGGTAGTACCCATAAAAATAAAATAAAATAAAAACTCATATATATATACTGAAACCCCCAATTGAATGAATGATTGATTAATTGATTAATTGAATATTCAAAATAAAAATAAAAACTAACTGCGTAGTCTTTGTTAATTTTGTTAATTTTGTTTTTGTTCCTTTTTTTTTTTTTTAATTTTTTTTTTCTTTCTTGCTATTAAACTACGCAATCCTTTTAAACATTTGTGGCGTGTCTACATACATACAAACATCAATAACAACATCACCATCATCATCATTATCATCATTAAAATACCACAAAAAAAAAAAAAAAAAGACAATCGCCATTGCACCCAAAAGTCAATCATACCACCAAAAATTTTTTTTTAAAAAAATTATTAATTAAAAAAAAGAGATATATAAGACTAACAACAATTCAAGAAACAGCAAAAGAGTAGTGGCATCAAAAACAAAATTATTAAAAAAAAAAATTATTTATATATATTTCAAAAGAAAAAAAAAAAAAGGTATGGAAATCCTTCTTTCATTCTTTAAGCAGTAGCAACAGCCTCCTTCTCAACTGTAGGCTCCTCAACTTCAGGCTCTTCTTCTTCCTCCTCTTCTTCTTCTTCAAACTCTTGTTGACCTTCATGGCCCTCCAAAGAGTAAGCCTCCTCAGGTTCAGCACGTCTAATTGACAGAGTAGGCTTGACAGTGGCCTGGTCCAGAGTCCAAGAAGCAAGAGCATTCTCACAGTCAATAATAATCTGCTTAGAAGCCTCGTAGCCATCATAACCCAGACGTGACTCACCAGGAGTCACAGGAGTATCATCAAGCAGCTCAAGCAGAGCCTTACCATAGCCAGCAATAAGCGCCAGCTTCTCAGAGTGCTCACGGATAGCATCAAACTGGTAGTTAAAAGCAGCCTTAAGTTTTTCGCGGGTAATGTTGGAGAGTTGGGCCTCGGCAACAAGAGACTCAGCTTCAGCACGCACCAGTTCTTGTTCAAGAACAACAATCTTAGGGCTATTGGGGTCCTTGTACTTAAGATGAGCAATCTGGTCGGTAATCTTTTGTTTCCGTTCACGAGAAGGCTGGACAGAAGCTTCAATGTTGCGAATGGCCTTCAAAGTGATACGGTATTGGTCATACTTGTCAATAAATTGGTCTTCGAGTTCACCAATTTCATAAATAAGAACACCAAGACGATCAGTGACATCGGAAACATCCTCGTCACTCTCTTCACCCCAAGCAGAAAGTTGCTTGGCAACCTCACGACGTTCACGAGCAACAAGTTCAATAGAACGCATCACATTCTTCTCCATCTTAACGAGTTGAGCAAGCTTGCGAGCAAGCTCAGGACCAAGAGAGCCAGCAGTGGAGCGTCTAAAAGAGTGGGCTAAAAAAAAAATTATTAGTATAAAATTGTAGTGATAAAAATTACTTGTATATATATATACTCACCAATTGAGCCCTTGCCAAAGAAGCGACCAGACTTGGTGGTGGATGGAGGAGGAGCGGGGTTTTGGAGCTGGGCAGCAGTAGGAGCTCTGCTGTTACGGAGAGAGTATGTTCTGTGCATTGTGTATATGTGTGTGGGGGTATAGATTATATTTGTTGTTTAAAAAAATTTGAGGGAAATTTAAAGATAAAAAAAAATTGTTAAAAAAAGGGAAAGAAAAGAAATAAAAGAAACAAAAAAAAAAAAAAAAAGGAGAGGGGCGGAAAGCGGAGACTTTATATTAATTTTTTTTTTTTTTTTTTTTTTTTTAACCAGCAGTATATAAAGGAAACTTTTGTTTGCCTTGCCCTTTTATGTGTGTGAAGTTTTCTTTTTTATCCACTCTCCCCTCATACACACACACACACACACACAATTCTCTCCATTTTAATCACAGTGTATCTAAAGGTGGGTACTAGAAAGATTGTATTTAAATATATATAAATAAAAATAAAAATAAAAAAAATAAATTGGTGATTGTTATTGTTGTTGTTAATGGAACTTTTCTGGAAATCATAGCAAATTTTCAAAACTTTGTTAATGATCAATGCTATATAATTTATTTATTTAATTATTTTATTAACTATATTATTATTATTATTATAATTATTATCATAATTAAAATTAAAATGAATTGTTAAATATATATTTTTTTAATAATTATTAATTTAAAATTGAAATATTTGACATCATCATCATATAGTTGTTAACTGTAATTATGCCCAGTTTTAATTAAATAACAATCACACGGGACCTGTTTTTTTTTCTTTCTTTCTATATATATATATATTTTTTTTTTTTTTTTTTTTTTGATATTTGCCATTTATTTTTTATTTACTTTATTTCATCATAATCATCATAATCATTATTCTTTTCATTGCAATTGCTCTTTATTCATTGCAATTGCTATTTATTCTCTTTATTTTTAAAAAAAAATTTAATATAGTATTATCCTTTTCGCCCCTCCAAATTTTGCTATCTTTTTTTTTTTTTTTTTTTTTTTTTTTTTTTCATAAATGGCTGGCTAAGTGGTTGCCGCCGTCCGCCTTTGTTTGTTTGTTTGTTTGTTTCTTTTTCTTTTTTTCTTTTTGGGGGGGGGGGGGTTTGGGCGGGCGACGGGCGGCTGGAAAAAAAAAAAAAAAAAAAAAAAAAAATTCACAAAATAATAATAATTGCAGTTTTCGTGATAGATTATTTAAATATAATTATAATATTACGTTATCTTATAACTAGATATGACTAATTTCTTTCTTATTTTTATTATTATTATGCCGCCACGTGATGCACTAATTTTCATACTTTTTTTTTTTTTTTTTTTTTCTTTCTTTTTTGGTATTTTCAAATTTCATGAAATAAAATGAAAAGTCTTTCTTTGGCAATTGGATTTTTTGTTTTTTTTTTTGAATATCAATTCAATCTAATATAATTCAATTAAATTGGATTCAAAAAAATCATACTTGATATTATTATTATTATTATTATTATTATTATTATTATTATTATTATTATTATTATTATTATTATTATTATTATTATTATTATTATTATTATTATTATTATTATAAGTAACAATAAAAACTATTTACATTCTTTTATTTTAAACTCTTTTTTTTTTTTTACTTCTTTTAACTTCTTCTTCTTCTTATTCTTCCATTATTTATGCTTAAGTTAAAAATAAGACCGATCTATGTAAACTTTTTATTTTTATTTATTTTTTTTTTATTTTTTTCATTGTTTATCTTTATTGTTTATTTTTTTTTTTTTGTTTAAAAAAATCTCAAGTTTCATTTAAAAAATCTTTTTCATCTTCTTTTTCTATTTTCTTCTTATCAAAAATATATATATATATATATTCAACCCAGCCCTCGGATCCTTTTAGTCCATAAAGTGACACCCAAATTAGGACAATAGTTAGCTACTCAACTAAATACAAACATATTTATACACGCCTAGAAACCCAAAAACAGAAAAACAGAAAATATAATTTAAAAGAAAATTGGTTTTTAACCATTTTTAATAAAGAAATAAAAATATAAAAAAAAAATGGACGCGTCAATGTAGCCTTTCATCTTTTTTTTTAATTTTTTTTTTTTTATTTTATGGTGAAATTTCTTTCTTCATCTTCATCTTTTTCTTCTTTTTTGTTAACAACAATTCCTCTTAAAGTCAGCATTTACGTCATCACTTATCAATGACATCATTATATAAATGACCATCTCTCAATTCACATGCAAATATAATTAATTTAATAAAATAAATTAATAAAATAAATTAATAATAAAATAAAATAAATTTCGTCATACTCTGCAGATGGCTTATGTCATTTTCATAACTAACCTGCAACTATCTTTAATATTCATTTTAAAGATAGCCGTCATAGCAAAGAAACTCAAAAAAAAAAAAAAATAATTTAGTTTTAAAAGGTTTTAAAAGAGGCTTTTTTTTATTTTTTTTTTATTATTCAATTCTTTTCAAATCACTTTAATTTCCCAAAATATAATTAAAATATAATTAAAATAAAATTTTTTATTTTTTTGTTTTTCGGTTTTCGTTTTTTTTTTTTACAATTATCCACTTATTAATTATTAATTAATTTTTATTTATACCTCTTCTATATATATATATATATATCTCATGTGCTCAATTCTCTAACGTAAAGTTTCTATCTTTATTAAAGTTTTTTTTTTTTTTTTTTTTTTAAAGATATTTCAAATTTAAGTACTCTCAAAATCATTCATTCATTCATTCATTTCATTTACAAAAATATAAACATACAAAATAGAATGAACGTCAGGTGCTTATAGTTGCCATCACCTATATTACATCACAAGATATTTTCAAAAAAATAAAAAATAAAAAATATAATAAAAATAATCTATAAATATATAAATTTATAAATCAAAATTACAAAATAATCAATCATCAATACTTTAATATAATATGTCCTGATGACCAATAACTTAGCATCTATTATTTACAACCTACTTTTAATCAAAAGCCTAAGGTATCCACATTAAAAAAAAATTAATCAATTCCCAATTTCTTTTTGTTTAATCAATTAATCAATTAATCAATTAATCAATTAATCAATTAATTAATCAGTAACCATTCAATATTAAAATACATTTAATCATATGGTTATATATAACCAGCCCTTCCAAGGCTGTAACAGCCTCACGCTTTTTTTTAAAAAAAAATAAACCTTCCAAAACTTCTTCTAGAAGATCTTCTTCTTCTTTAACAAACCCAAGATTAGATTTTCTAAAAAAATCCATTCAGATAAACATAAACATACATAAAAAAAGGAAAAAAAAAGAAAAAAAAAGAAAAAAAAAGAAAAAAAAGTAAAAAGGTACATATATATATTCATTCATTCATGGCCACATCAATTCATTGATTATTATCGTAAATACAGAAAAAATAGTTATTCATAAACAGTTTTTATTTTTGTTTTTTTCATTTTTTTTCATTTTTTTTTTTTTTTTTTTAAAACTCTTCAGGAGCAAGATCAGTAACACAGCCGTGACTGGCATCAGATACAAGACGAGAGTACTTGGCAAGAGTGCCTCTAGTGTATCGTGGCTTAGGAGGGGTCCACTTACTCTTACGCTCTGCCAAAACAGCCTCATCAACATTCAAGTCAATCTTATTATTGTCGGTATCAATCACAATCTCATCTCCATCTTCCACAAGCGCAATGGGCCCGCCCTCTGCTGCCTCAGGCACAATGTGGCCAATCAAAAAGCCATGAGATCCTCCGGAAAAGCGGCCGTCAGTCAACAATGCAACATCCTTACCCAAACCGTATCCCATCAATGCAGAAGAAGGCTTCAACATTTCAGGCATACCAGGACCACCCTTGGGTCCCTCATATCTAATAACTGCAACTGTCTTCTCTCCCTTCTTAATCTCTCCACGCTCCAGCGAGTGAATAAACTCAACCTCATCATTATAAACACGAGCCTTACCCTTAAAGTATGTACCTTCCTTACCAGTGATCTTAGCAACAGCACTACCAGGAGCAAGAGTACCGCGCAGAATTTGCAAGTGACCAGTGGGCTTAATAGGATTAGACAATGGGCGGATAATCTGCTGGCCCTCGGGGAAACCTGCCAAGTTCTCTACATTCTCAGCAAGAGTCTTACCAGTGCATGTAATGGTAGAACCATCAATCAAGCCTTCCTTAAGCAAAAACTTGACAACAGCAGGAGTACCACCAATCTTGGGCAGATCAGCCATAACGTATTTACCAGATGGCTTAAAGTCTGCCAGGAAAGGTGTCTTGTCACTAATTCTCTGGAAATCATCCACAGTCAAGTCAACACCAACAGACTTGGCAATGGCAATCATGTGCAAAACAGCATTGGTAGAACCACCAGTAATAATGATATAAGTAATGGCATTCTCAAATGCAGCCTTGGTCATAATGTCACGGGGCTTCAGACCAATGCGCAAAAGATTCTTAATGGCCTCACCGGCATCAATGCACTCTTGGTACTTGGCCGCACTCTTAGCAGGGTTGGAAGAAGAGCCAGGAAGCGACATACCCAACAACTCAGCTGCAGATGCCATGGTGTTGGCAGTGTACATACCACCACAGGCACCCTCACCAGGGCATGCATGTTCAATAACATCCTCACGCTCTTCCTCAGAAATCTCCTTGGCCAAAACTTGACCATAAGACTGGAAAACAGAAATGATATCCAAAGGTTGGCCCTTGAAACGACCACAGGTACCCACACCAGGGTTAATGGTACCACCATAAACCATAATAGAAGGTCTGTTCACACGACCCATGGCCATAAGAACACCAGGCATATTCTTGTCGCATCCAGGAATTGAAATGTTGGCGTCGTAGTATTGAGCCATCATCATGGTCTCAATCGAGTCGGCAATGATATCACGAGATTGCAGAGAGAAACGCATACCTTCGGTACCGTTCGACATACCGTCAGAAACACCAATGGTATTAAATTGCATGCCCTTAAGTCCGGCCTTCTCAACACCTTCCTTCACCTTGAAGTTGAGATCGAGCAAGTGCATGTTGCATGTGTTACCAGTCCACCAAACGGACGAAATACCGACTTGGGCCTTGTCGAAATCAGCCTTCTTGAAACCGGTACCGTAAAGCATGGCCTGAGAAGGACCCTGATCGAGGGCCTTGGTGATGGTGGCAGAAACCTCGTTAAGTTGCTTATCTTTGCATCTAACCGCAGAGGTCTGGAGAGATCTGCATAAATTTGTTAATAAAAAGTGAATGGGAAAATGAAAAAATGAAAAATGAAAACTAAAAAAATAAAAAGACAAAGTGATTTGACAATGATAACCTACCTAGCGAGACGCTTACCGAGCATTTGACTGCTTTTAGCACGTTGAAATGCAAGCATTTTTTTTTCTATGAGGGGGAAAGATTAAGGGAGGATGGATGGATTGAAAAAGAGAGAAAGAAAAAAAAAAAAAAAAAGAGAGGGGAAAAAGGAGAAAGAAAAAAAAAAAAAAAAGAAAAAAATCAACTGGCTTTTGGTCTTTATTTAAGGGAAATTTTTTTTTTTTTTTTTTTGGGGGGTGTATGTTTAATACGGCCAAAATTTTTCAAAATGACTCAGCGACTGCTAGTAACAATATATATATATATATACATTTATTCTTCCCTCCCCCACCTCCACCATACATATATTCAAGCACCCGCCATTAAGACCGGTGCTTGGCCAGAAGAAAGGAGATTTGATCTGCATACCAATTCTGTAGATCTTTATAGCCTCAATCTTGAACGTAACATTTTTTTTTAAAGCCCATTTGCTATACAAGTACTTGAAAAAAAATTAAAAAAATTAAAAAAACAATCTTTAAGAACTTGATGGATTTTTTTTTTTTGCTGTGAATCTCCAAAATGGCCAATTTCGGGTTGTTTTTGGCTTGTTGAAAATTTTCCTCGCCGCTAACGGCAGTCAAAATTCTGACCAATAAAAAAACTCAGAAACGTCAGCATGTTAATATTCAATCATGTGACACCAACGTGACAATCACATGATAAATCACGTGGAATGCACTTGATTTTTTTAAATTTTTTTTTTTTTTTTTTATCTGTCTATCCCAAAAATAAATAAACAAAAAAAAAAAAAACACACCGCCATCAACACCAACACCAACACCAAAACCATCAATACCACCCTTTTAAATTCCTTATCAAACCATGCCATTGTCTATAAGCAATGAGCTTATCGCTATTGGTGCTAACCGCCATGTTGATTCATCCGATTGGGACGATACAAACGAGATCCTTGCCTTTGGAGGTGGCCATCTCATTAATCTCTGGAAACCTCTGGTAAGCTGCTTCACTTATTCTTCCCGATTCCGTCTTACCCTTTTTTTCCTATATTAATTAACTAACTAATTAACATACACAACTCCTCCAGACCACTTCCAACATTTACTTCTCTCTCAAAGGTCATACTGCTGAAGTCACTTGCGTCAAATTTGTCGAAAATGGTGCTCTAATCATCTCAGCTTCCGCAGATGGCCAGGTTAATGTTTGGCAACGAAACGATGCTACTCTCACATACTCTCTTCTACAAGAGTTTGGTGATCACCATCAACAGTCCGTCACAACCTTGACTGCAACAAGAGGTGCTATCTCTTCGGTCATTGTTTCAGGATCTTCTGATGGTCACCTTTCCTTTTGGGCCGTTGATCTTTCCATCCCAGATTCTCCAGTTTCTCTCATTAGTAACCTCAACTTTGGTGTTTCCACTCTCCCCCTCGCATCCGCAATAACCTTTTTACCACAGCAAAATTCTTCCTCTTCACCTTCACCATCACCATCACCACCATCTCAAGACCAATTTGCTGTGGCGGTCGGAAATACAAGCAAATACACCTACATTTATGTCGGCGGGCCCGACCAGCCCTTTACGGAAACTGCAAAACTTGAGGGCCAAAGCGATTGGGTCCGCGCACTCGCCTTTTCTCACGTCCAACCAAATGGATCAATTTATCTTGCCTCTGGATGTCAGGATAGATATATCCGAATTTGGAATCTTTCCCAGGGTAAGTACGATCCATTGGCTCCAACCGACGATGAAGACAATAATAAGGACTACGAAGATGAACAAACACGTCAACTCTCAAACAAGGTTTACCCATTATATACCTCATCAGGAGCCGCATACAATATGAAGTTTGATGCACTGATCATTGGCCATGACGACTGGATCTACTCTCTACAATGGCACCCCTCAAAGCTCCAGCTCATGTCTTCCTCCGCTGACTCATCCATCATGATTTGGTCCCCTGACGAGCTTTCTGGAGTCTGGCTCTCAAAAACACAGCTCGGTGACATCTCAATTAAGGGCGCTTCTACTGCCACTGGTGCTTATGGTGGCATGTGGTATTCTTCCTGGATCGGCTCAGACAATCGTACCATTATTTCTCTCTCAAACACAGGTGCTTGGAAGTGCTGGACTCAAGTCGACAATGAATCCCACATTTGGAAACCGGAACGAGGTATTTCCGGCCACTTTAAAAGTGTCACCGACGTTAGCTGGTCAACAGATGGCCGTTATCTCTTAAGTACAGGCCTTGACAAGACAACCCGTCTTTTCGCTCCCTGGCTTAAGGACCCTAACACCCCGCCGGGCACAAAACACAAGTGGTACGAAATGGCACGCCCCCAAATCCACGGCTACGATATGATTGCCATTGAGTCTCTCTCTCCCTCGGTTTTTGTTAGCGCCGGCGATGAAAAAGTCTTGCGCGCTTTTAATATTACAAAGTCACTTGCTACTCTTCTTAACAATACAATTGGTCTGACTATCGATACTGAGTCTCTTTCATCTGGCGCAGCCACTGTCCCTGCTTTGGGTCTTTCCAACAAAGCAGTCACTGGCGATGCTGATGTTGTTGACGATGTTGCTGAAGAAGACAAGGACTTGGGCACAGAAGCCACTGAAGATATTGGTATTGATGAAACTGCTCCACCTCTCGAGGATCAACTCCAGCGGTTGACCCTTTGGCCTGAAATTGAAAAGATTTATGGCCACGGTTATGAAGTTACCACACTTGCTATTTCCCACGACAGGTCTTTGGTAGTTTCATCATGCAAGGCCAACTCTAAGGACCATGCTGTTATACGGATAACAGATACTGAAACTTGGCAAAAGGAGTTCAAGCCGTTGTCATTCCATACACTCACTCCAACCTCTCTTAAATTCTCTCCTGACGACAAGTACCTGCTTTCTGTTTCTCGTGACCGTACCTGGGCTCTTTGGCAAAGAAACGGCACAAGCATTCAGGAAACCGGGAACTCCATCTTCGACCTGGTTGAAACCAGCAAGCTCCACACACGTATTGTTTGGGATTGCTGTTGGGCATACATTCCAGAAAACAAGGCATATTTCTTTTTCACAGCTTCTCGTGACAAAACAGTAAAAGTCTGGACCCAGGCTCCTGAAAACTCTGACAAGAAGTGGGAAAACGTTTTGGGTATTCAGTTTAAGGAACCCGTCACAGCCATCGATGTCAAGTACATACCGGAAACTGGTAAGCATGTTCTTGCGGCTGGTCTTGATGACGGCTCCATCAGTTTAGTTGCACTGATGATTAACCCGGTGGCGGATGAAAAGAAGGTCGAGGCAGAACCTGCCGTAAAAGTTGATGCTACCATCACACCTTCAGGACGAATCAGCAAGCTTACTTGGAACCCCCACCCGGAGAATCTTGTAGGTCTTGACGGTGACAAAACCCCGTCTAACCTGATTGCAATTGCTAGTGAGGACCGATCGGTCCGTGTTTTAAAGGTTTCTGTTTAATTTTTAATTAATAACTATTTTTTTTTTATTATGTAGAATATTTTCTTCAAGTGACCAAAAATAATCTTCTTATCTTTATGAAAGAAACCAAAAATTTAATTATCAGCTCAGACCCCGATTTGATTTGGGAGGCACGGCACGTGAGTCTTCCTAACAAAAAAAAAAGTAAAAAAAAAGTAATTGCGCTCTTATCTCGTTTAACGTGGAGACCGATAGGGTTCCCAAACCCACTATCTGGCTGCGCCAACTGATAAGCCCAAAAAAAAAAAAAATGACGTTTAGTCACACCAAAAGAGACCATCGGCTGGCGTATAAATAGCTCACTAATTCCCCTCTAATTTCCTTTTTTCTTTCTTTTTAATATCTACATCTTTTAATTCTTCTTTTTTCAAATTTTTTTTAAATTTTTTTTTTTCAAATTCATACAACTCCCTTTTTCACCCTCTATATAAACACATAACTTTTCTTTATAATTTAACTATGGGTAATACCGAATCAGTTCAAACTCCTAGACAATCTCGCCAATACAAGGCTCCCTCTGAGAAGCTTGCCATTGCGCCTGCACCTACCCCTGCCTCGGCTGACAATCTTGCTGAGGAACTTTCTCGCCTCATCTTGTCTTCCAAGACTAGAATCTCTAGCACTGCAAACCCCATTTCCACAGATAGCCTTAACGAATGGGAGACTGAGGTACTTGCTGACCCCAAAAACCGTCTGGCTCAAGCTGCTATTACCAAGGGCGCCATTGCAAATGTTATTAAGAACCCAAAGGTTTTCCAGAACGACTCAGTCCATGTATTTTCTGAGCTCATTGCTAATGAGGGTGCCCCCATTACCAACCAGCACTCTAGTGGTAGATGCTGGCTCTTTGCCAGTACCAGTTTGCTTCGTATTGGTATTCAATCTAGACTTAAAATTGACGAGTTCCAGCTCTCTCAGTCATTTCTTTTCTTTTATGACAAACTTGAGAAGTGCAATTACTTTTTGCAGAACTTGATTGAGACTGCTGACTATGACCTTGATAGCCGTCTTCTCACTGCTCTTTTGCAGGATGATGTTTCTGATGGTGGCCAGTGGGATTTCCTCATTAACATTATTCAAAAGTACGGTCTTGTCCCTCGCACTGTTTTCCCTGAGTCATTTAGTTCTGATAACTCCTACAAGATTGACTTTATCATTAGCAACAAGATTAGAGAATTTGGTCTTAACCTTCGTAAGGCCAAGCTTGAGCAGAATGCTGACATTACCACTCTCAGTGTGCTTAAGGAAAAGTACATGCAAGAGATTTTCAACATTTTGACCATCACTTTTGGCTCCCCCCCTAAGCCTAATGACACCTTCACCTGGGAGTACACTGATACTTATGGCAAGTATCACTCCATTACTACCACACCCTTGGGCTTCTACGAGGATATTGTCAAGTTTGATGTCTCTAGCTACTTCTCTCTCATCCACGATCCTAGAAACCCTTACGATGAGCTCTACACTGTTGATAGAAACAACAATATGCAGGGTGGCAAGCCCCTCGAGTTTGTCAACGTCCCCATTGATGTACTCAAGCAGGCTGCCATCACTGCCATCCAGAATGACGAGGCTGTATTCTTTGGCTCTGACGTTGGCCAATTTAGCGACAGTCTTTCTGGTATTATGGATACAGAGGCTTGGGATTACCAGCTTGCATACAACACCAAGTTTAACCTTGACAAGGCTGACCGTGTTCGTCTTGGTCTATCCCAGATGACTCACGCCATGCTTTTGACTGGTGTCGACATTGTTGATGGCAAGCCCGTTAAGTGGAAGGTCATGAACTCGTGGGGCACTGACGTGGGTGACAAGGGTTTCTTCACCATGTCTGACAAGTGGTTTGACGAGTACGTTTACCAGGTTGTCACCACTCCCAAGTTTATTGGCAAGAAGTACACTGATATTTGGAAGGCCAAGGACTTTAAGGTTTTGCCCAGATGGGATCCTTATGGCTCTCTTGCTTAACTCTTTGCATTTTCTTTTCTTGTTTCTGAATATTGCTGGCAATTATTTCATTTTCATTTTTTTCTGTAACTAATTTTTGTAACAAATAACAATCTTGATAAGTATAATAATTTCCCTTAAATGACGTTAGAACAACTTCTTTAATCATCTTTGGTCGTTTAACTTGCCAAATGTCTGATGATGATGGTGAGGGCTCTTTTTATTGCGAAGAGTCGTTAGACCAGATTAATAAACCCGAGTCGAAAGAAAAGGAATTACTGAAATCATGGCTTGCTACCAGTCCGTACATTTTATTCGCCACAAAATGCCTCCATACAGTTTTTGCAAGTGAAAAACATCTCTTCAACAAGCGTGAACTCAACTGTCTTTACTTTTTTTTACACGAGCTCAGCGATCATGGTCGGTACTTGTTTATGCGAATTTATCTTCGCAGGCCTGGATGGATCAAGACTGATGATTATCTTCGGTATGCCACTACATGCGATATAAGTAAAGCCCTCGAAGAGCTTTCTCGCGGGTACCATTTTATAGCTACGGACCCAAACTTTAACCCAGAGTATTTAAATCAATGTTCCAACGAAGATGATGATATTCATGAAAAGCTACAAGAAAAAATATCTCATATTATGACGGGAGGAGGAGGAGGAGAAAATTCATTCATCTTTCGGCATAATGTGGATTCTGCACCCATCAAACGCAGCTTGGGGCTCTTAACACTCAAAACACTCCGTCAAATATGCAAAGACTTAAAAATCTCTACAACCTCGCGACAACCTTTACGAGCTGCTATCACGAAAAGTAATGATAAACGACGGGAAATCAGTCGCAATGATCTCATTACGGAAATCTCCAAAACTATTACCCAACCCAGCTTGTCGTTGTTTTTCCAGACAAATAGCAACATCCAGGATTCATCACCCAAAGAAAAACGGTCTCAAGGGTTCCGCAAAGTCCTGGCCCATACCAAGGCTAATCTCGGTGATGAGCCTATTCATATCAACCCTGTGGTTTCTGCCATTTTCCACCGTGCGTTTCTTGCATATTTTCGAGCACGCAACTTTGATGAGGAATATGAGCGTAGCGCACTTCTTTCTGCGTTCCGGCTACGCAATTTCCCCGAGTATAAAATAGTCCGTACTCCAATGTTTTTCCCAGACCGTAAGGTTTTCCTTGAATATGAGCGAGCAAGTGATATTCTGTATGAGGCCGAGGAGATCCAAACTCTTCGTGCGGATCAAGGCAAAGAAACAAGAGCTCACAAACTTTATTTTGGACAAATACATGACGAAATAATGCCATCACTTTTTGCCGCATCTTTCTGTGACCCCCAGGAGGTTCGGAGCTTGGCCCAAAACGATAGCCGGTCGTTGTATTATACTCCGGAATGGATCGGTGTTGGTGCTGCAATAAAAGTCATTCAGTTCATTAAAGACCCAGAAGCAGAATGGACTTTTTACAAAGCATACCTTGGGCAAAAACTATACCATTCACGGCGGCGTGGTAATACTTATGACCGCATGGCTAAAGTTGAAATGAATGATTTAACTCAAAATTCATCTTTTGCGCTTAGTATTATGGATGACACACAATCCTCAGGATTGGAGCAGATTGCTAAACAGCTGAGAAATATTACAGAAAAACTAAAGTCGGCTGATCCACAAACAGCAAGAGGCTTGGAAAAGTCTTTGGAAGAAAAAACTAAACAGTTTTGGTACACAAAAGCCATGGAAACTTGTGTGACTGGACTACAAGATTCAGCGATTCATGAGGTGGCCCACATTGCATTGAAGCGACGAATAGCTAGACTTGAATCGCTATTAAAAGTGCCAGTTAAAGACCGGCTAGACTTTTCATACGATACATTAATGCAACCCACAATGCGCATTATTAGCTGGCCCCGTGCATCCGAGGACATTGTAGCTACAACCATAAGGATAGTTAACCAGCTTAAGCGTGATAGCCAGAATCCTTTGAAACAAACTCAACTAGGAAGCAAAGAAACTTTGGCATTAATTCCTCTTCGCAATGATCGTCGTGAAACAGGGCTTAGACCTCTTTGGCAGGACCTCGAGAACCCGGAAATGTCGCTCACTGTTGAAGGAGCTGCTTTACAATACTACGAGACCACGTTTGGATACCGCGGGTTTCACTCTGAAAATGCTATTTTGGCAACCCTTTTTGCACTGTTGTTTTGGGACATTTTGTTTAGCGATCCATACAACTCAGAAGAAAAAGAAGAAGAAGAAGAGAAAGAGAAAGCGAAAGAAGAGATTGATTCTGACGAATCATCTCAGAGTTTATCGAGCAATAATAAAAAAAAGTCAGTGTTTCAGCACCATTGTCAGTCAATGCCTCTAGATCTGTTTAGCTCGTCATTCTATGCAAATAGAAAGGTTGCAATTGATACAAGGTTGCAGCAAATCTTGGGCAAAACTGATTCTGGCAACTCGGCAACATTTCTTCTTGATCAGATTAAATTAGTATACGACAGAGAAAGTCTCCGGAAAACTGTTTGTATAGGTCTTGCATGGTATGAACTCGAGGATCTTTTAACTATTGCAGAGGTAAGTTTTCAACAAAAAAAAAGTTTTTTTACTATGCCAGGTTACTGATTGAGAAAAAAAAAATAGGGGCTGGGACCATTGGCGATGTTTAACATATGCTTGACACTTGCCAAAAACTATAGAACACTTTCTGCTGGAATGCCTGATTTGATGTAAGTTGAATGTTTGTGTGGGGATTTTGGTTATTTTTATTTTTTTTTTTTTGCTAATTATACACAGTTTATGGAATCCAGAAACCAAAGAAGTCAAGTTTTCCGAAGGTAAGTAAAGAAATAAAAAATAAAAAAAACTTGGAAACCTTCAATTGCTAACATGTATTAGTAAAATCAGAACACGACCATTTAAGCGAACGGCAAATGTACTGGATAGACGTGTTGAAGCGTGCTGGAGTAGAGGTTGAGCTTTGTAAAGTGTACGACCCAAAGACTTATGAAATTAAAAAGATGCGGAGCGAAAGTCGGGCTTCTAAGTAAAAAAAAAGTGCTTGGAAGGGTAAAAGAATATATAACACGTGACTTGATTTGTGAGGCTCATGTTTTTTTTCTTCCCTCGTCTATTTGTTTTGACCTGCTCTGATCTTTTCTTCCTTTTCTTCTTTTTTTTTTACAATAAACGCTACAAGTAGATTGTGGTATAGACTTTTTTTCTTCTCTTAATATAAAACATAATTTCAATGAAACAAATCAATTCACTCGATATATTTGCCTACGGGACTTTGGTCTCATTCTTCTTTGTCCGCCAAGTGGGCTTTGGTCCTTATGTGTTTCTCGTTTTAGGATTCAGTTATTTTCTTGGTACCCAAGAGTGACAGGTTACTTATTCAATTTCATCTAACTTTTATTTTATTTAAAGGAATTTATATGCCATTTCAAATATTCAAGCAACGGATCTTTACGCCAATTGACAAGCAGTCTATATTTGCACAGCGTACCAATTGGCTCGAATTTGGTTTGGCCCAGTTTTTGCGGTGGAGTATGGAAAGCATAAAACCCAACACTGCTGGATTTGTGTTTTATTCAAAAGAAGTTTGGATTTGGCTTTACAGGTTCCGCCGTTGGCGTTGTGGTGCTTCCTATATCGGTGATACGGTTTTTGAGCCTTTTGAAGACGTAAGAAAAAAAAAAAATGTCAAAAGGAAATCAAAAATTTATACTGACTGTTATAGGGCATGGCTAAAGGAGTTTGGATCAGATCTCCTCAACGTGGAAAAGAGTACGATGTGGTTATTTATTATGTTCATGGTGGAGGTATGAATTTAAAGATTCTTTTTATTAAATTGTTATAGCAGCTAACATATACTTTTTTTTCATTTCAGGGCACGTTTTTGCAAGTCCATATATGTATTTGGAGTTTTTTGTTAAATTGATTTACTCGTTGCAATTTCAGGGATTTCGTAATCCTGCTGTGTTTGCCCTTGAATATGGTCATATTCCTATGACAAGCTACGCTGGCCAGTTGTCCCAGGTGTCTCTTGGCTGGAATCTTTTAAAAAAAAAGCATGCTCAAGCAAATATAGTACTTATGGGCGACTCTAATGGAGCGAGTTTGGCACTAGGACTTTTGTTGCATATTACACGACCTGCGTATCATGTTACAGGTGTTGTTCCTGTGCAGCCCGATGCAGCAATTTTCATTTCACCCGTGTGCAAGTCATTTAGTGAAAATGAGCGGACCATTGAAACTATTAAACGTTCGCCCGACTTTATGTTGCCACATTTTTACAAGTCATATGGGAAACTGATGAGTGTATCAACAATGAGTAATTTGCCTCAAGGAATTTTACACGTTTATGAAAACCCAGGAATGTGCCGGTCTATGGAGTGGTGGAAAAAAGCAGTTCCATCGGGTGGGATTTTGATTATGCATGGTGAGGAAGAGTTGTTGAGCCCGGAGATTGAAGAGCTTTACAGTCTTCTCAACCAGGTTGGCAACTGCCGTATAGCGGCTTCCTCAGGCCAACTACACTCTTGGCCTATGTTTCAAATGATTGCAGGCCGTACGATTGAGGACCGAGAGCAAGGAATTGAAGACATTTCGCTTGCTATTGGACACATGGTTCTTTGGAAGGACATGGCACTTGTAGAGCGGGAAGAGAAGTTTGAGCAATTTGTTCTTAAAAAGCTTCGCGCTGCTAACATTGTATAATAGGAAAAGAAGGGATAGATGGGTGAATGCTTGTGATAAATAATTGATGTATACCCTTTTGAGCATATTTAGTACTTTAGTATAGTCTGCCGATTTCTTTTTTTTTTTTTAGATGCTATTTAATCAATGTTAGAGAATTGCCAGGGATGACTCTGCAGGCTTTAAGAATCTGTTACTGCAATGATATCATTTAGGGAAATGGTGGTTGTAGAGTGAAGCAGGAAATTTCTTTGGATTTTTTTTAGCGAGGCGAGAGGAAAGTTCTTGGTGGAAGTGTTCGTTGATGTCCCAAAAAGGAAATTTTGGATAATTTGGCCACACAAAACTCATTTTTTAGAAAAAAAAGACTGGGGTTTGTCGATTATAAAGAAATATTGATTGAAAAAAATGTTGAAATATATAAATCATCAGTTTTCTCTTTTATTTCCTTTTTTTCCTCTTTTTTTAATCCACTTTTAAGCCCTTTTTTCCTTTTTTTTTTGGGGTTATATTCATTTTGCTTTCAAAGAAATCAAAACCGTCTGCTGGAAAGACCTTTTGTTTCTTTAGTTATCTCTATTTATTTTTGATTCAAAATCAAAACTTTTCATCTTCTTTTAAAAAACATTTTTTCTCCTCCTCCTCTTCTTTTTTTTTTAAAAAAAAAAAACAAACAAAAACTATGGCTGAAATCTTTGTAACAGTTCTCGCCTTTTCCATCATTGGCGTAACTTCCCTCATCATCGTGCTGGCTCTGCAGCTCGGCCTTGCACAATGGGGTGCTTCTCGAGGCTCAACGCACCCGATGCCCAAAAAAAGACAGGTTGATGTGTTAATGATTTGGACAATTAGCTGCCTCATGTACCTCAACTTGAGTAACATTGTTGGTGCTGCCATTTGGAACGGACCTCTATGGGCTTATGTCTGGGATGGAAAGGTATACTGCGATATCGACAGTAGGCTTCAGCTGCTGGCTTCCTTTGGCTTTATGTGTGGTATCACAGCTATTGCAAGAAACTTGTCTTTGCTAATTCGAAGTCAAGGTCCACCTCTTTATTTCCAAACAAGTAAGAAAAAATGGATTGATCTCGCTATTTGTGCAACTTTCCCCATCCTTGTGGTTTCCCTCACATATCTCATCCAGCCGCGCCGCTACGCAATTGCCCAGAATTTTGGGTGTGCTATTGTTATCGACACCACCTGGCCGTGCTTGCTTCTCAACAGTATCTGGCTTCCTATCTGGTCACTTGCTGCAGCATATTACGCTTTGAAAGGTGCTTATGGCTGCTACCGCCGCAAAAAGGACTTTAGTGATATTCTCATGTGTACTGGAAGTGGTCTCACTACTCTCCAGTTTATGCGCCTTTTGATTTTTGATTTCATTGTTATTAGCGCCATGCTCCCCATTTCTCTCTACCTAGTCATTGGGAGACTCTTGTATGTACGCATTACTGGTTACGATTTCAAAGCTATCCATGCAAATTTTAATGAAATCATGTATGTACCATACGTATCGGCCAACTACATTGACCGCTGGATGTTTGCAACTTTTGCCTATGTTGCCTTTTTAATCTTTGGTTTGGGCCAAGACGCACGTTCCGCATACATGCGCATTCTTGATGCTCTCAGAGTTGGATGGATTGTCCGCTGGATCGGCGCTTCTATCAAAAAGCTTTTCTTAAAGTACCTCATCCCCAAGAGTCTCCAAGAACGTTGGGCCAAGCGCAAACAAGACAAGATGCAACTTCGTCTCCCCACCTATTTTACTATGCGCCAAAGAAAAGAAGGCAATGGCAGCTACGGGAATGGAAGTACTGATATTATTGGGAAAGATTTTGATGACAGCCAAGATGAATACTACAAGGATTTAAGCACGATTCAAGTCACAAGTCTTGATGACGGCATAGATCTGGAGGCTTATAACCATCTCGGAGGTCCCAACCGTGGAAAAAGCCGTAACAGTAATACAAGTAACAGCACAGAGTTCATTGATGATTCTCAAATTGCTGCATATTTTAACTATAGCGATGAAGAAGCTTTCAAAGCTGGTGTTTTGAAAAATGGTGCAGTCACTCCCCAAGAGGTCCGGTACCACATGGGATTGCCTCGCCATTTGCCCAATGTTTCACCCACTTCCAACTTGTCTATGTCTAACCAGGCTCATACCGAAGATGTCGTTTCTTATGGAAAAGACCTTCGGTTTCCACAACACACTTTGCAACACAGCAACCACCCTCTGTATTCCCCAGATTCTGCTATGACTAAATTTGACGCTGATGCGCAACAGCATGCAATTGCTGGTAAGACGCTCAGTGCAGATGCAGCCCTTTTGAATCAGCGGTTTCAAAACCTCAACAGCCTTGGTTACAACTTTTCCGAGGAACTGACGTCAGATGACATTTTTGGCACAGGCTCTGTTGCAGGAGGATCTGCAGCCAATTCCTTGGTTGCTCTCAATCTCAAGCATCATAGTGATAACGGTGCTATTTATGTGGGTCGCCATGGTGAAAGTAGTGTTATTGAAGATATTGAAATGAATCCTGTTGAGCGTCAAGAGGAAAGACATCGTGCACAACTTAACGCATTTTCTGATTCAGATGGTGGCGCCATCTACTACTATGGGGATGCACTGGGCAATCAAGACAAGTCTAGCGAAAAAGACACAGAAAAGGAAGAAGAAAAAAGCGATAATAAGAAAAGCGAGTCTTCCACAACTGTTAAGACAGTGTCAAGTAGTGACAAGTAAAAAAAAAACAATATAGGACAATTATATATTTCCTTTTTGGTAAATCATAAGAAAAACGTATTAATATCAGCAATTAATAAATGTTTCAGTTTTTCGTAATGTATTTTTTTTTAAATAAAGACTTCCATTAAAAACTAAAGCAAAAGGGGTTTAGAGCGTAATATATATAAAAATACAATTAGATGTCCAAGGGCAATTCATGGCCATGATCCAAGCCAGCGTCCACTCGGTTAATTAAGTTGTGTCTGAAACATTTAACAAAAAAGAAAACAAAAGGATCTAGAAATAGTAAACGAAAAAAAAAAGCAAACTGCTGCTATTAATTTTATTCCAAATTTATATTCACACAAAGGGAGGGCCCTGATTCCATGCCCATTTTCCTCACTTACCAAGGAGATTATTGAGTTACATTTATTTCGAAAAAAAAAATTCTCCCAATTAAGCGTGAGGCTGTTGTTCCTCAGACTCTGGATCCACAGCACCTTCAGCAGACTCGGCTTCATCGCTGGCAGCAGGTTTGGTTCTGATCTTAGTGATAGATTCTAAAAAAAAAAAAAAAAACATGGATATATTAGTTGACTGACGTCAGAATAGGAATCTTATAACATACGTTGAATAAGTTGCAGAGTAGTAACCTTTCTGTCATCTTCAGTGGTGTAAATCTGCTGGGAAGCAGCGGCCTCGACGTAAACAAGGTTTCTAAAAACAAGAGGGGAAAAAAAAACTTTGTCAGTTTATTCTGGAAAGTCAATTGCTTCATTGTCACGTCCAAAAAAACATAGTTTACGCGTCAAGTAAGACTTAGATTTTTTTAAGTGTTTAAAAAATAATCACTTACCCCTTGCGAACATAGTTCTCCATGAACGACAGCTGGTTTCCCTCAAAAACAACAATCTTGAACCAAGATGTGTGATCCTTGCCGGTGTTAACAGCAAGACTGTACTGGATATAAGAGCGGTTGGTGTTCTTGGAAGTGCTGATGGCAATATCAGTACCGACACGGCCAACGAGAGTCATGCGAGCAACGTTGCTACGCGCCACAGGGGTTGTGGAGAAAGCACGAGCAGAGGTCATTCCAGTGAATTTGCTAGCGGCCCGTGGCATTGAAGAAAGATTGCGGAAAAAGCTCATTGTAAATCTGTGTGAGAAAAGTTATGAAAATCAAAAATTGCTGACGCGTGTGGTAAAAATAAGTACTAGATGATTGGGGAAGAAGGGTTTAAACGGTGGTGATGAGCTTTTTTTTTGTGTGTGTTTTACAAAGCCACTCTCTTTGTATATATATATATATATATATTTAGGTTCTTTATACATCCTGGTTCGATTCCTAAAAGGGTAATTTGGGGGTTAGGGCAAATTTCTAGTAAGGTTATATGTAGACATTTTGCAACAACCTACCACTCAAAGTCACAACAAACATATCCTGCTACATTTTTTTTTTTTTTTTTTTTAATTATTTGCCTTTTATTTTCATCCTATTTTCATTCTAAAACATACTTGGAAACTTATTCTGTTTCATTGAAAACACATTATGATTATGTTTTGATTTTAGTCAATAATTTCCCATTCGCCAAACCGAGAGTTGCCATTCCATACGTAGGCTTCCACATCCCACATACTTTGAGAATTGTCAGACTTGGACAAACCTACATTTTCAAGATACTTGGAAACAGCACCCCAAACCTTTCCACCTACCCTTGTATTATCACCATCATTTTTTGCTTTTTCGACAACTAGCTCCACCTTCAGTTGTAAACGGCTAACTATTTGGCCCTCATCTAAAAACCCATCAAATGATTGTAACAAAGTATTGTCAGGTATATAAACTAAATATCCCTCTGAATTTTTTTGGAATTTTTCTTCTTCAGATAAAACTTTTGCATTTGATTTGATATCCGACCGAGGTCTAAGCGATACGTATGAATAATATTTGGGCATAAACTCATAATAATCTACTGCCTGAAACATTTTTGGTGGCGACAATGTTAAAAAAGGCTCCAGCTTTTCTTCCGGATTAGTTTTGGTTATATTCTCTTCATTTTTTCTTTTTTCATATTCTTTTTCAAATGTGTCTTTCATCGACTGCAAAAATGATCCTGAAGTTGCATGGCTAGGAACAAATAAAAATGCTGGGTGTGGCTTTATAGATCTATCTGGAGGAAAGTGAAAAGTATTGCTTGGCTTCTTATATTTGTGTTGCAAAATATCCAGAAACTCCTGATCATTAGCCATGAAGTCAGATCCCAAGTCAACTTCAGGAGCACTAATTGTTGATGCAAGAGGTTCAAAACTGTTGGAATTGTTGGAAAAGATGACTTCTTCCATTTTGCTAAAGTCGCGAGAGAGTCGTGGAACAAAAATATTTGGCTACTAGGAAGAAGAAGAAGAATGGGTTGGAAATATTCTCTATTTAAAACGATAAGAATGTTGTTCATCTTTTATATTTATCTCAATGTGGGGATTCTTTCTTGAGTTGGTCATGGGAACTTTTGACAACCATACCCATGTTGGCTTTTTTCTTAAATTGAGTGGATCAAAGCATGGAGTAATATTACCATGATTAATCTTTTATTGGTATAAACCGATGAATTGACAAAAGCTTGAAAGCCTCAAATTAGAAGACTTTCTGATTCAACTTTTTTTTTTTATTGTTAATTTATTGTTGAAATAAATTGATTTTACACTGATATACCAAGTCAATTACAACACGCCAATTATATAAGATAGAGTTGTTACTAATAAACATTAAAAAGATGTCATAATTTCTTAACCACGCAAGGCTACAAAAACAATTATATTTTGAGATAAACCAATATGTATATATATATATATATATGATTAAGAATCAAGAATAAATACATTGATGAATTAAATGTTACCAGTTATACCAATTTTTAATATTTCGACTTAAATTATAAGTCAAAACAAGTCAAATAGTGATAAAAGTTTTTTTTATTATTTTTGTTTTTGTTGTTGTTGTTTGAAAAAACTCAATTTAATTGGTGGTCTTTGAGTAATTTCTGATCAACAATCAATTAAATGGTAAAATTATTGATGCTTGATGAATTTTTATGTTTCAATGTACGAGAGGAACTGAGCCTACATAGTGAAATTTAGTTGGACTATGTTTCATATTTAAAAATATTTTTTAACTGATTGCAATAGTGTTTGTTATTCATTTTTAAATAAAGAAATGGGGCAGCTTAGGCCTATTTTTTAAAAAAATTTTATATATGGAAAGTAAATACATATATATGTTACCAAAATTTTAAATAGTTGAACTTATTGTCAAAAATTATACTATTTTTTAAAAAAGAAACACCTATTTAATATGCGCCAGTTTGATTTAATTTTTTTAAGTTCTTGCTCATACAGAAATGATGGAATAAATGAACATAGCTATGTTTTGATACCTATAGGTATCGCCAAAGCCCATTATACAATTTTGCTTTTCGTTTGTCATACTGTCTATATCCATAAGATATGATACATCACTAAATAGTTTTTTCTGAATGGTCAATATTTAAAATATTGTTAAAGTAAAGTTTTTTTTGGGTACCATTATTTTATACCTCAAATTTTTGAATTATATGATAACAAAAAACTATTTAAATTACAAAAAATCCTTTTCTCTTTTTGGTTTTGGGTTTTTGGTTTTTGGTTTTTGGTTTTTTCTTTTGTTCTCTTTTATTTTCTTCTATTTGTTTATTTACAGGATTAATCAATAATTTATTCTTGTTCTCTACTGTTTATTCTTTTCTTATTTCTTATAGTCACAATGACAAAAAAATACATCTGGATTGATTGCGAGGTAATTAGTCAATTAAGATATGAAAAATATAGTACTAAGCACGCTATAATAATAGTTTACTGGATTAGATCATAAAAACGATAAAATTCTTGAAATCGCCTGTTTAGTCACAGATACAAATTTGAAAATATTGGACCCAGTAAGTTTCAAAAACTTCAAATTTCTTAAAAAATTTAACAATTGTTAGACAGGATTTAATGCTGTTGTTCATTACACAGACATGGTTTTGAATAGCATGAATAATTGGAACCAAACCCATCATAGTCAGGTAAGAAGAAATACCAAGTAACTACCTAAAAAGTTATAAATCACTAACTAAAAAAAGTCTGGGTTAATTACGCGAGTACGGAATTCAAAAAATACTCCTCAAGATGTGGAAAAGCAGCTAATCTCTTACCTCAAAAGATTTATAGGTCGTGATAAGGGGATCCTTTGCGGAAACTCAGTTTATGTTGACCGCATTTATATTGAAAAAGATTTTCCTAAAGTAGTTGAGCTGTTATATTTTCGGCAAATTGATGTATCCTCCATTCGCGAGTTTGGCTTGGTTCATAACAACCTCCTCATGATGCGTGCCCCTAGAAAGAACAACAAACATGAGGCTATGGAGGATATTAAGGAAAGTATTGCAGAGCTGCGCTGGTATGCAAACAATTATCTCAAAAAATCTCCTCTTTATCAGTGTTAGGGTTTAAAAATTAGGCATAAGAATAAAATTTAAAATTTTTAAAAATTTTAGACCCGTATTATTTTCATTTATAACAAAATAATTATCATTTCGTCAGGGACAAACAAGTTATTCAGTTGTTCCTATTATGTCATCAATAATAATTTATATAACTAAATTTTTAAATCAATTAAAGGTACAAGTAACAAAAAATTTACTGAGTTTCCTAATTTTCTCTTTAATTGCGTGGTAGATAAAAGATCACATAAAAATGCCCTCTTTAAAATAGCCATTTAGCAGGAATTTACAAATCTGATTTTACAGTCATATTGTATCACCCGTTTTCATCCTTTCATGCACCCTCTCTAAGAAACTTCTTGAGCCAGCAATAAGTGGGCTCAAAAACAAATTCAATAAAGAATGTTGTTCCACAAGTGACTGATTTTATTCGCATCTCTTCTTTTGCAGTTTTTTTCCCAATTATCCTTTAGAAGTAACCTGATTTTTGCTCAACCCTGAGTGAATTGGGCTGATATCACTTACTATATTGTCCTATATGGGAAGCAAAAAGTTTGTGGAGTAAGAACTTTGAGAGTTTTTCACTAATAAACCCCTAATTTTATGACAACTCGCTTTAACCCACCACTTATTTTTGGTCCAATTTCTAGAAATTTCAAGATCCCGGATTAAATCAACTCCTCTAAAAAGATTTTATACGATAAGGTAATTTGATCCACTTCAAACTATACAAAAGATAACTGTAAAAACTCCCCATCTTTCGGTCTATTTGTGAAATATCGCTTTGGTTTATTTATATTCTTTGAAAAAGTAAAAAATTGACTGGCCGATGTTTATTTTTTCCAACTAGACTTTTATTAACCAGAGATTGTAATGAGCGATTTCTCAATAATAAGGGTAAAATTGCAATTGGTAAGCCGAGGACCGGTCTTAGAAACATTAACCAGTTCTCTAAGTTGGACTATCATTTCAGTAATAAGCTTCTCCGTATATTCTATCACTCATTTAAAGAAATTATCATCTATACTTTCAGATACTTTAAAAGATTAGCTTATGTATATATATCAAATGTATTTAATAGCCAAATTTAACTTCTCTAGCATATCTATTCCTCGATCAAATTTACCGCAAATCCTTGATTTTTTGAATGTTTAATGTTGTATCTTAGGTGTATATAATTATATTACAACGTTGTTACAAACTGGGATAGGGTTCACTTCTCTCTTTCCCAACGGCCTTATCACGTTCAGGAGAATACCTCGTAGTTTTTTTTTTTTTTTTCAGTGACCACGTATTTCGTTTAAGCCTCCCCTTTGATGAATTTTTCCCCTTTCTGCCACTTTGCACTCCAACTCAATTCCCACAACACATAATAGACATAATATAGATTCTCTTTTCTACATCACCGAGAATCTTTTTAATTGCCACATCTACATACAATGGTTGAAGTTTCGCTGACAGTCGGAAAACTGGACGCCTCGCTGGCGCTCCTGCTAACAAAAGAACATCACCTTATAGAATTCCCCACCATCCTGCTGCCTCCTGATGTTGAGGCCGGTTCCATAGTCAAAATTTCATGCGAACGTGATCACGACATGGAGGAAATTGATAATAAAAAGTTCAACAGTATTCAAGACGAGCTCTATGCTACGTTTGGCACAAAGTACCCACAAACTCCTCAGTTGCGCGTTCGCAATGTGACACAGACCTCAGTTGTTCTAGAATGGGACCCCATCGATATTGCCACGACCGACATTCTTTCTCTTACACTTTACAAGAACGGTTCTAGATTTGGTGTCATTCCAACACCACTTAAGCGCACAGCTACAAAGCTTTCAGGTTTGGCCATTGATACCAGTTACTCCTTTTACCTTGTTTTGGCTACTACAGGCGGTACTTTCAAGTCCGAGGAGCTGACCGTCAAAACACATAAAATGACGGACTTGACAGGTATCACCATTTGTGTTGGCAACATGGATGGAACTGAAATCACTCGCAGTGACCTTGAGGAAACGGTTAAGAAAATTGGTGCAAAGCCCCTTCAAGATACAGTCAAGCTTGACACAACTCACTTTATTTGTACTGTGGGTGAGGGTCCTCATTGGAAACGCGCTCAAGACCTTAATATCCCTATTGTACGACCAGAATGGATTGAAGCTTGTGAAGCTGAGCGACGCCTTGTAGGAGTCAGAGCATATTATCTCAATGCTGATCCTAAGTTACGTCCTCCTGTTAAAAGACCTCGTGCATCTTCCTACGGAGAAACATCTCTTGCCAACGCAAGTGCTCCCGACTCAGGCGCTACTACCAATGGTAGTCTTTCGGCAACTTCTTCAGCTGGGCCATCTAATCCCAGTGACCCATCTATAAACAACTCTGGGGAAGCTAAGACCACTCTTGCAAACTCATTGCCTCCTGTCAACACGTCTGGCCACAGACGTACTGTTTCTGAAATCCAAGACTCTCCCATATCTACTCCTGTTGCTACAACACCATCCATTGAGCCTCTAGCCGAGGAGCCGGAAGCTGAGGCTGAGGCTGAGAATGCTAGCACAGAGCTCGAATCTACTACGCCTTCCCAAACTCCACCTTTGCCCTCACCTTCGCATGATAAAGAAGCCGAGCCTAGCTCACAAAAGGATGAAGATGGTAAACCTGAAACTAATGGAATCACACCTACGCCTACAATTGAGGTCACACCCCCAGAGGAACATAAGGAGGAAATTAATAAGGAAATTAATAAGGAAGAAAAAGAAGAGGAAAAAGAAGAGATTAAAAAAGACAATGATGAAGAGAGTGAGTTAGATAATGTTGCACTAGATTCTGAAACCACTACATTGGCTACAACAAACACTGCCACAAAAAAGCCTGATGACGAATTGGAAGATGATGCTTTGGAAGATGATTCTTTGGAAGCTGAAGCAAGCATAAGTAACGACACATCTCGAATAAAAAAGGATGATGAACAGGAAGAAGCTAAAGACACAACAGCTGTTGTACCAGAGAGCGAGTCTAGTGGAGACTTAGCTGAGAAACTTGAGGAGAATTCTACTGGAGATGGGGAAGACAAGAAAGATGATTTTGAGGAAGTTCAGCTTGGTGATGAAAATAAGGATTAATATATAATAGGGTTATAATTGGGTGTTTAATACACATACTGAATTTTTTTTAATTGAGCCTTTTTACACTGGGAGAAAATTAAGGCTCGAAATTACTTCGAGCTTTCAATCTAAGATTGAAAAGGGAATTTTTTCCCTGATTTTAACTATGAAAGGCTTTTATCGTAGTTTATTAATATTATTAGAGAACAGGTTTAAAAAAAACAGGAGTGAGAAAAAAAAACAAATTGTACAACACTAAATGCGAGAATGAACTGGCTGCAAAGTAGTTTACTCGCCAAATAATCGTCGGACTCTTCTCAAGACAGAGTCCTTTTCAGGATCTAAAAAAAAGTTAGAAACTAATTTGGTAAGTTAAAAAATCTGTACTAACCATATGGGTGATCCTTGGATGGAATTTCCAATACGGCAGGGAAGGCCTGTGTGTAAGTGTCAACACGGTATCTAATTTTATCAGCGACCTAAACAATTTGTCAGTAAAGACTTTCAAGTTTTTATTTCCTTGTTTCTTTAAAAAAAAGATTATTTCTCTTTCCATTTTGTTTCCCACTTACGTGCTGGTTAATAAGCAAGACAGCAATATCCTTTCTGTTCTGAGTAAAGTCGTCAAAAGAAGCTTCAATAGCCTCAGGTGTAGTCTTAGCATCAACAACAAAGAAGTTCTTGACCTTCTCACCGCCGTCAGTCTCCGAGATTTGACCAATGCCGGCAAGCAAAAGTCCAGTGACAGAGTCCTCATCACCAATCACGGCGAGCAATTGACGGTTCTTATAAGTTTGCGAGCTGGGAGCAGACATTTTTCTGGTGTCGATATCTATTCAAAAAAAAAAAAAACCACTGGGTCTTCAAGAGTTCTGGTGATACCAAATAAAAATTTCAGTTAAAATTTCTTCTATTAAAATCTCTTTTAAGGCTGGAAAGACAAGAAACTGGGGTGTTTATAAAAACACGAAAAAACCATTTGAAAAATTCCAAATTTATGTATAAATCACGGTATATTTCGTGAAATAAAAATTCATACCCTAGAGAACAACCTCCCAAACAAATTGTTAATTCAACACGAATAAAAGCAATGGGTTTTGCATGAAGCATATCATGGAAGCATACCTAGTCTCTGTAAAAGTTACTGGACTTAATGTAAATGAAAGGAACAAAAAAAGATGTCCGCTGAACAGTCCAAAATAAGCAAATTATCCAAATAAGAAGACAAAAGATATCAAAGAAAATTCAAACACCAAAGTTTCCTGGGTATCTTTCTTCTCTTTTATTGTGGTTTTTTTTTTCCTTTGAGAGTGTTGATATTTGGTGATGGTGGTGGTAGTGGTAAAAGAAGAAGAAAAAAGAGGGAGAGGACACACACACACAGCGCGGGTGGCTGCTTCATCAAGAGCCTGGCTGCACATACAAAAGGTGAGCAGCAAATAACAGCCGCCTTTCTTTGTATGTGTGGCATCTAAGGTAATTTATAAAGTTGCAATATAATCATGTGACTTCATGGTTGGCATACCAACATTTATATGGTTTAAAAAAAGTTAAATAAAAATTAAAAAAGTCTTAACTCAACTTTTTTCAACGTCAATTAAGTTAACTTTCTGATATCATATGGAAAAATAATCAGTATTGAGTCCACCTTGATAAACTAAAACAAAGGACAAAAAGATAAAAAAAATAAAAAAATAAAAAGTAACGATGTTGACAGGACTCGAACCTGCAGCCTTCGGAAGATTCACACCGAAATCCGATGCGCTCACCATTGCGCCACAACACCCTGTATTATGTAATCAAATACACATTATTTATAAGTAACTGTTAGATCTCAAGTCACGTGCATCTATTTTCTTTCCAAAATGCTAGAATGAAAACAAACAAACAAATTTCCAAAATGTTGAGAAATCCCCAATTGCAAAGCTAATCACGCTTTACATTTTGGCGAAAGAAGATAGAGACTTGATGATTAAAAAGGATGAAAAGCGAAATGCAAGAGTGTTGAACCTCTTACACTGAAGCAACAACAAAATCAGACGATTGGAATTTTGAAGAAACAAGCAATGGAAGAATGGCAAGAAATTTATTGGAATAGTAATAAGGATCAGTGGTATCACAATATCACAGTGGAGTCAAAATGTACTGATAATCTTTTCAAAATGATCACGGGAGTGGTAATGAAGAAAGATAGTCGAAGGATCTTGAGTAATATTACTCAGTTTTGCACAGGCCATGGCAACTTTGGCGCATGGTTTAAAAAGTTTAGAATTGAAAAGGATAGTTACAACTGCAAATGTGGAGAGCTGGAAACAGTTCATCACATTTTGGTTGAGTATCCTTGGCTTGAAGAGGAAAGAAAAGGATTGAAACGGATATCTCCAGAGATGGACATATTGACTCTCTTAAACAGTTTAATTGGCTTACAAGATATTGTACGCTTTATCTCTTTTTTGAGGGATTAAGAAATACCATTATGGCCTTGATGAATACAAGTGGAAATAAGTTGGGAAGGTTTTTTAACCTCTTGTTCCTCGTAAGCTGACCATAAGACTTATTTTAGGTCTGTTGAAAATGAAATTTTGATGTCAAATTAAAAGTTTCTTTTGAAAATGAAAAGGTATACAGTAAAAAGGAAAAGGATAGCGCAGATGTAGATGATATATAATTTCATAACCCTTGAATGAAAACAAACAAAAAAAATTTTAAAGGGTCTTGCAAAATTACCCAATTGAGTAGTATTAATCAATTTTTCACAGGTCATGGAAAATTTGGTGCATGATTTAAAAGGTTTTGAATAGAAAAGGATATATCCTTTATAGTTATAACTGCAAATGTGGAGAACTGGAAACAGTTTTACACATCTTGGTTGAGTTTCCTTTGCTTAAAAAAGATATCTCCAGAAATGGACATGTAAACTCTTTTAAATAGTTTAATTAGCTTGCAAGAATTTCTAAGTTTTATTTTATTTCTACTTGAAAGGATTACGAAATACAATTGAACGTTGATGAAGACAAGTGGAGATAAGTAGGGAAGGTTTCGTCTTTGACTCCCTGTTCCCTATAAGCTGACATCTGGATATATTTTTGAGCAGTTGTGAATGTAATTTTAATGTCAAATTGAATGTTTATAGAGAAAAAAAAATGATATAGTAAAAATGATAGTATAGATGCTGATGTTATATAATTCTATAGCCTTTGAATAAAAACATATATACAAAGATTATTTTTCATTAAAATTGTAAAATCAAAAATAAAACCAACTATTTACTTATGTATCTAATATCCCATAGCTTAATCAATAATTACGATCTATTTAAAAAATTAAATGTTGTAACTAGACCCACACATTTTTTAACTATTAAGATTATAATAACAGAATAGTTATTAAAAGTGTTATTTTCTCTTTTTTTTCAATGTTCTTATAAAACTTTATGAAGTATACATTTTATTATGTATATTCAAATAAGGTGGTACAATTTCAAATATTTTTTTTTACAAAGTTGCTGGAAACAGTTAATTTTGATATCTCATTAACAATAAGCGTAAGCATTTTAAGGGTATCCATTTTTTTTTGTTATTTTTTTCATTTTGTGCATCGATTATAATCGATATCGATTATTTTCATTTCTTTTCATTTAAAATTAACAAAAGCTATCTTGGAAAATTCCTTTTCCGTTATTATTTGAATTTTCTTGAAAATTAAAAAGAGATATGTGGCTTGAGTTACACATATTGCGTATATTGGTGTTCATGAAGGTGATAGGTTTTAAACAACTCCGAAAATTGATAAAAATATATGCAGTAATCGCAACATTTTATAAGCTATATAGCAATATGTTGCACATTTTTTTGACTCACAATGAATTTTATTACCTATTTTACTGCCATGTTCAAAACTCTAGTCAATGTTGTGATTCTTTCAAAGGAATACATGTTAACATTCAGTTTTATTTTTTTTATTTAGATTAATTAAAAAAAATTAAAAAAAAACGGATTGAAAGCCAAGATTTAATTTGATGGAAGCTAAGATTCTTGGCCTTGGGTAGTTATGATAAGGGTTGGTTTTTTAAAAAAAATTGAAATATTTATTTTATTGTGGGGCAAAAAAATTTTATCAGTTATGGTTTGTCTCGAAAATGACAGAATGTCGTGATTAGGGATGCCTAAGCCACACTATTTTTATTTTTCTTTTTTTTCAGACAGACGCTTTTAATTTTTGGTTTCAGTTACAACATCATTATCATCATGTTTTCTATTTATTTTCGATTTTAGGCTCTACGTATACATATGAACTTTCCAATTCATTAACTTTCTATAGATGGACTTCGGACTCCATTTGATCACAACTATATGAATACTTATTTTTTTTCGGTAATTTTCCTTTTCTGGGTTAACTTTACAAGATGTGAAAAATCAAGTAATTTTCTTTATACTTCTTTACCATTTTAATATTTTAATTTATATTAGATAAATTCAAATAATCAAGAAAATATATTACTCATTATAATGTCATTTTCGTTTTAATCTAATATTTTTCACCACATTCCCGTCACAGCCAAACTTGTCGGAGTTCCTTTTTTTGCACTTACATTTTCATTGTTCAATTTTCAATTTTCTATTAACAATTTTTTTTTGTATAAATTCAATATCAATTCTCCTTTTTTTTAGTTTTTATTATTTATATATTTATTAAAATAATTTTTTATTCTGTCAATTAAAAAAAAAAATAATGTCTCACAATAGTCAGAAAAAAGACGAAGATTACATTCTTACTTCAAAGCAAGTTGACGACGTCTCCTCCGATGACGAACTTGCAAATAATGTTAACAAGTCAAAATCCATAGATCCTTATATTCAAACGGAAGAGGACTACGATAATGAATCCGGCAAAAAAAAGGGCAGACACCCTTTTTATGGCGGTAAAGATCATATTTTCACTGATCCTGTTGTTGCTGACCATTATCGTGAACTTTACGAAAAATCGACCTACGAAGGTCGTAACCATTTTGATCCAGATTTCACTTGGACCCCTGAACAAGAGCGCAAGCTTCTTTGGAAAATTGAGTTTCGTGCTTGTTTTTGGGCTTGTGTAATGTTTTTAGGTTTGCAGCTTGATCGTGGTAACATCTCACAAGCTCTTTCCGATAATATGCTTAAAGATTTAGGAATGACAACAAATGATTACAACACTGGTATGACTATTTTTTATGTTGTTTTCTTGTTTGCAGAACTCCCTTCTCAACTTATTTCGAAAAAAATTGGTCCTGATCGTTGGATTCCCGCTCAAATTACTTTGTGGTCGATTGTTTCTGTTTGTCAAGCCAAAATTACAGGAAAATCTACCTTTTATGCAACCCGTGCTCTTCTTGGTCTTCTTGAAGGAGGTTTTATTGCTGACACTGTTTCTTGGTTATCATACTTTTACACTGGAACTGAGCTTCCAATTCGACTCAGTTTTTTCTGGACAACTTTGACCCTGACTCAAATTGGTTCTTCCTTGCTTGCTTTTGGTGTTCTTCGTATGAGAGGAATAGGTGGCTGGGCAGGTTGGAGATGGCTTTTTTTCCTTGAAGGTTTATTTACTTTAGTTATTGGTCTTGCTTCCTTTTTTCAGCTTCCTCCATCTCCTGTTCAAACAAAAACTTGGTTTAGACCTAAAGGTTGGTTCTCGGAGTTTGAAGAAAAACTCATTGTCAATAGAGTTCTTCGTGACGATCCATCTAAAGGTGATATGCACAACCGTCAAGCAATTTCGTTTAAAGGACTTTATGAATCTCTCATGGATTACGATATTTGGCCCCTTTATTTTATCGGTCTTGTTGCATATATCCCAATGAGTACCGTGAGTGCTTATTTAACTCTTACATTGAAACAACTTGGTTTTAGTACTTTTAATACCAATTTGCTCACAATTCCGCCAAATGTTGCTCATATTGGATTCCTTCTTTTGCAAACGTGGATGACTGAATATTTTAACGAAAGAACCCTTCTTTGTACTATTCAGCCATTATGGTTGATTATTTGTTCTGGTGTTTTGGCATTTTGGAAAGATTCATTAAAGAATGTTTGGGGTACTTATGCTGTTTTAGTTGTTTATCTTTCAAGTCCTTATATCCATGCAATTTTGGTAGGATGGTGTTCTAGAAACTCGAACACTGTCCGAACAAGAAACGTTTCATCAGCTGTTTACAACATGTTTTGTCAAGCGGGTAGTATTATTGCCTCTAACATTTATAGAAAAAAGGATGCTCCATATTACAGAAAGGGTAACCGTGTTCTGTTTGCTCTTGGGTGGGTGTCTTTGGCTATTTTGTTTTTTACCAAGGCTTACTACGTTTGGAGAAATAAGTCTCGCGATAAAATCTGGGATGCTATGACTATTGAAGAGCAGCATGAGTATCGTAACACCACTAAGGACAAGGGTAACAAAAGATTGGATTTTAGATTTGCTCATTGATTTTGATATAAAAGTTTAGCTTGTAAAATTTTTTTGAATTTAAATCGTTTGTTGTAAATTTTTTCAATATTTTTTGTCTTAAAAATTAAAAATTAATCTTAATTTTGTTGAAATTTTTGATTTTCACCTAAAATTTGTCATTAAAACAGATCTATATAACAAAAACATTACCAAGGCTTTAATAAATCAATAACTAATACATAGGAATTTTATGATTCTTTTGTGGATTTTAAAAAAAAAATGGGGAGAGTGGGATACTATAGTATGTACTTAGTTAAGTATAATTCTCAGGCGATGGTATAAGGCTGTAAACGGTCATATTTGGGTGAGATAAATTATGCTGGAATCCTCCAACTCAGAGAGTTGGAAGATTCACAAAATCAATGAATAAATATAAGAGGTTTTGTTTTTAATAAGAAAAATCAAAAAATATATATAAATAAAATAGGATTAAAATAAAATTTATAGATAGAAAATTCTTTTCTTTAAACAACTTTTGTTCTTGGGGGGTTATGATTGTCGTTCTTGTTTTTCGATAAAGAAAAAAACTTCTTATTCTTGAGAATAAATTCTCTTATTCATAGTTGATCTTCTTCAATCAAAAAAAAAATTCAGATGAGATTTAGCCTCTTCATGAATTTATTTCCATTAGTATAACATTTGTTGTTTGCTTTAATTGAAAAATAAAGACCCCGGTAGTCTTGAACCACACTAATTTGTAAGTGGGTGGATTCCTGCGATTTATGTGAACTTTCACGAAATAACAAAAAGAGAGAGATGTATGTAATTGCTATTCTAGCTTTTTGATAAAGATAGGGAAAAGCAATACTGGTACAATAACAGGTTATAAAGCTCTGCTCATCATTATTATGGTAGAATCAGTACCAAGAAGTTGGTTTGTGTAGACGTCACATTCAACTTGAGGAACTAGTACTTTCATTATGCTGTTAAAAATATAACGAGCATTGTGTTTTTGTAAACTCTTTTCAATTTTGGGGCGCGAAATAAGACGTTCTTGTTCTTGAAAAGTGACAGCCATTTTGATATATTTTAGGAATAAGCAGTTAAGTAGATTTGTAAAAATGATTGATTTGATATTAAAAAAATAAGAAACTTAAAAGAATTTTCTTGCTTTTTATATTTAAGTTATAAATTATTTAATGAAATTATATTTGCTTTCATATAAACATATTTCTACCAGTAAAGTTATGTTTCGGCCTCATCAATTCATTATTATTGCTGTTTGATTCTTATTTTTAAAAGGCTTTAACTCGAGAATTTTGTTTTTGAAAATAGCTAATAGTCTGTGGATCATTTATTTTTCGGATATTCAAGGTAGACATGAATTAATCCGACTTAGTTGATACTACTGTCGTGTTTGCAATATTACTTTCAAATAAGCGTGAGTTTCCGTTTCAAAGGAGCCTAATACGGGGAAATTCCAGCAAAGGATGGTGACATTTTTATAAAATAACCGAAAAACCATTTTCAAAATAAGTATTTTCAAAATGTTTTACTGCAAATTTATAAATGTTCCAAATTAAAGTTCACTACAAATCCCAACTAATACATAATTATGTATAAATTGATTATAATCAATTTTGGAAAATAGAAATATACAATTATAGTCTGTTTAAGACTGTAACATTTGCTGTATACTAAAACATTTTTAAAAACTAAACAATGTTATTATTGAATTGTAAGTGTTTAACAAGTTTGAAAGGCATTTGGGCCTAAAGAAAGCTACACAGTTAATAATTTTGCACGCTGAACCTTCTTGTCACCAATCTTAAATTTTAACACAACGGTTCGTTTAGGCTAGGCAGGCTCGGTTATTCACGGGCCGTGCCTTTTATCAAGTTACAATTATACATTGTTTAAATATGATTATTTATGATCAATAAATACAACTTAAAAATGGTTTGATTAATTGAATTTGGATTTTGCGAAACAGACGGTCATGATGTCAAAAACCAATCAAGTGCTAGAGTTTGGTATGCTTGCGATTGTAAAAATAGTAGTTTGGATTGTGAGATTATTAAAAGAAAACATCTTTTTTCCAGGCTATTTGATAAATCTATGTGTTTTCAGCTATGGTTATATAACCAAAAAACATTTATTTCTATTAAAAATACAGACATTTTATACAAATTTCTCAACCTGCCAAATGGAATTAATGCAAACATCAGTTCCCAGTTTTTCAACTTGTAACAAGTACAATTATGTTACTTACATGCGTAATTTATGGCACGTGATTTGTTACATTTTTTTATTGTATAAAATGATTATGTAAGTTTGTGTTTAAATATTTCAGATGCACCCAGTGCTAAACAACTAAGCCCAGTGTAATAGTTTTAGCCGCGGGTTTTAGATACACGTATCCAAATCATAGCATTCTTACATAGATGTTTTTGGGATTTTAAAGATTTTTAATTTATATTTAATTCATTATTCTAAAGTAAAACTATCATAAAAACTGAAAAAACGTCATAAAAGTATTTGTCATTAATTGTTAGAGTATATCTGCTCTAGTGGTGCTGAGAGAGATAGACAGTATCGTGGTTAGGTGTAGCATACTTGTCACCCTTGGAAATATTCTCCGTCTCAACCTCAGGAGCAAGATGGTGCAAGACCTCGCTGAGAATATTGTGGTGATGGTGATGGTGCTCTGGCTGCTTTTTAGTATTTTCGTCGCACTGGCAGCTGTGTTCAGGAGCCTTGGTGACCTCCTCAGTGGCCTTTACTTCAGGGTTCTTGGCTGGTTCCATTGTGATTTATGTTTGAAATTATAGGAAATATAAGGTTCGGGTGAAAAAATAACTGTTGATGAATTTGATTTTAAGTTGAAAGAATTGAATAAAAAAAAACATAAAAGCGGGGAATATGACCGTTTATATACTAAAAAAATATTAAGCTGATGGCCACTAAAAACTTTAAAGAGAAATTCTTCTTTAAAATATGCCACACAGAAAACATAGTATACTAAGCCATCGTACCACTTAATAAAGCGCTTGTGATCCGTGCGTGCCAGGCAATTGTAACCAAAGCTTAGGACCGCCACTAGAAACAAAGGAATCTTCTACGTTTAGGCGATGAGGGTTCTCGGTCCTCGATGACTTTGTTTCCTTCATACAGTAATTTGCCAATAATAAATGGTCTTATTCTAGGATGAGATACCAAAAGTTATGTTGGTTTATGAAATATCGTATGATCAATCTATTCTCCAAAATGCCTTTCCCATTGTAGCAATCTGAAAACAAAAGACACCCCCACTTCTTTTTTAGTCTAGTCGATCTGAGATCAACCTAAAATCTCTGAATCAACGTCTAAATACTTTTTTTTTTTTTTTTTTTTTTTTGAAAATTGAATACTAAAAAGGTTTTCGTTAAATTTAAATATTTTGATATTGTGTGTACGTTTCTCTTGGCCAAATTTATACAGAACCCGGTAGAATGATATCATACTGTCTTATCTCTCAAAATTTCAAGATAAGACGTCGTAATAATAATTAACAGAAAAACTCTCGCTGTCTCTCGCATTTTCTGCCTTTTAATAATACGCTCAAAAGGGAAAGTGAAAATGCCGCTGTCCTTTTTACCGTTGTTGGCAAGTCGGAGCACGAGAATCAAACGGCACCTGGTGGGGGTGCCTCGATGAGTTTCTTATCTCGTTAAAACGTGAAAAGTTACCCTGAAGTACGTTATGTATCACATAAAAAATCTGTTGTGCTAGCTAAATGAGGATGTTATTGTAGACTAAAAAATTAAAAGTATCTCAAAAAATGAATGAAACAAAATTTTTTTCTCATATTTTAAAAGTGAAAAAATAATAAGATGAGATAAGTGTTTGTTTTTCTATTTAGTAATTTAAATTAAAAATCCTATAGATTATAACGTTTAAGGTTAGTTAAAAGTGCTGATCATAACTTACTAGAATAAGGCGTAATGTCAGCAGCTAACTTTTGGTCACAGGAAAGCCTATCAATTTCAGTGAGTAATCAGGACTAATTGATAACTTATCATGATAAGACCCAGCATTATTGCATTCCTTTCACAAATGTGATCATTTTCAGAATCACATCAAGATTCCACAAGAAAAAAATTTTTTTTTATAGTAAAGCGATAAAGAAATCTATTTTATTTTTTACAAATACAATAACAAAAAAAAGATATTAAAACATTAAAAATTATTTAAAAAGGCCAGTTAAAGGTGAGTGATCATAAGTCGTAAAAGTATATCAAATCATAAAGTTCCCTAAAGGAAAATTAAAAAAAAATGAGTTCGCAAGTGTAAAAAGATCCATTTAATGAGCCCTAGACATAATAATTGAGGCGTAGTTTCCAGAAGTAGCTGTGGCGCCACCTTCAACTTGGACTTGAGGGGCAAGGTGTCTAAGAATACTGCCAAAGATGTTGCGTTTGTGTTCTTTAGAAGAAGAAGAACGAACAGTTTGCTCAAAGGAAGAAGTAGCCATTTTTATTATTAAACTTTGTATATTGAAACTTTTGTAATTGAAGCTTAAAGTTAATTGTGGATTTTATTTATAGTGTGAATTGATTTGTTGTATATTATCAAAATAAAAAATAAATAAAAACCAGACAACATGCCTTCTTTTATAAGATTAAATGAGAAATCAAAAATTAAACTTATAGGCAGTTTTTTTTACATTAGAAATTTGATGAACGAAGTTTTTTTTAATACTAACTTGCTTTCAGATCAAAAACCAAATTGCTGTGCTGTTGTGGTTGACTCACGATCACTGAGTAAATAAATAATAAAACGGCTATTAGCGATGCTTGTAAACGGGCAAAGTTTTTCCGGTTAATTACTGCGAAGAAACATGGAAGAATTTCTTGTTTAGGCAGAACACCGTGTATGTTAAACATAATGATCCTCTAACGGCTTGCTCATGAGCATTAACAAGAAAAAAAATTTTAAACGTGTATTCTTACATTTTTGTCAAATGGGAAAATGTTACATTTTTTCTAGCCACATTAGTGTACGCTTACACAGCCTTGTATTATGGAGTAGGAAAAACAAAAAAAAAAATTATAGCTTTAATGGGAACTTTGACCCGCTGAAACTAAAAATAAGATTTCAAAATTAAATGTTCAAAATATTTCAAAATATTTTAAGATATTTCAAGTACATTCTAGAATTTTTGGCTCTGGTTTATTTATACTGTAAGACTATATTTTTTTTTTTGAAAATCTCTAGCCTAGATCCTTTGTCATAATAGCAATTTCAGAGTTAGACAAAACACTAATTGAAAGTTATGTTGATAGACTTAATTATAAGTTCTACCACAATTTTTTAAAGACAAAATTTTTTAATTGAGCAACTTAGAGCTAAATATTTGGTGACAATATTGTATTTTTTCAGTTATTTGTTATTTAAATAGAACCCCACCCTAATTATAGAGAGTAATCACTTTATTAAAATTGAATGATGACGGCTAACTTTGGATCTATAGATATCTAAATATCGATATTTTACAAAAAGTAAACCGGATAAGAATATTTATCATTGTATAAAGAACATTAAAGTATTGTATAAAATTAAAATTAACATTTAAAATAAATAGAAAGTATAAAAATACATAAAAAAAACATGAAGGATTAAATATTATAAAAGATTGTAAATTTCGTAATGTCATAACTTTTCGTAAGGATCGTAACAGTAGCTATTTAATATTAGCCAAAAAAAGAGATGTTTCATTTGATATGAAAGCCAGAAAAGCCATTTATTTAATGAGCCCGAGAAAGCAGAACAGAGGCATGATTTGAGGAAGTGGCTCTAGAGTTACCCTCAACTTGAACTTGAGGAGCCAGATGTCTGAGAATGCTGCTAAAGATGTGACGCTTCGACCCCTTGGTAGAAGAGGAAGAAGATGTAGAACGAGAGATTTGTTCAAAAGAATTGGTAGCCATTGTGAAGTCTTTAATAAGAGTTTTGTAAATTTGATAGTTTTTAAATAGTTACTTTAGAAGTAAGCGTTTATAATGGGATTGGAAAGTATTGAGTTGTTTGATGAAGAAAAAAAAGAAGGAAAAAAAAATTAAAAACATGAAGGGATTGACTCTCCTAATATACTCAAAACTTAGAATGAGATGGTTAGTCTAATAACCATTAATGACCATTAATGACTGTTTCAATTTTCAAATTGCTTCCAGATTTCATTGAAAAGACCAGTTGGTTAAGTGCAATAAATTTGGTCAAGAGCAATCAGCAAGTAGCAAAAGAACATCGGTTAACTGCGCTTGTCCCTCGTTGATAAATTTGCTTGTGCATATATGTCAAAAATTTCGGCTAAGCATACCGTTAACCGTAAGAAAAATAAACCACAGTTTCTAATTTAAGAACCAGCTTCTAATTACTTTTTAAACGTGGACAGAGAAATGACCCTTAACAGCTGGTTAACGCGCAAGGTGCTTTTTTAAAATTTTTTTTCTTCGGATACAAAGGGAGCAGATTAATAATTTTTTCAAGGAGGCAGGACTTCCATGTGCTAAAATTTTTTTTACTCGGTCCTCCAGATGCACTGTTTCAGCCGCATACCGGGTATTAGCAGCAAAACGGTTGTGCTACACTTAAACTTCTTGCCCTTCCAAACAATCCTGGTCAGATGACCAGAAATTACTCAGTGAGTAATATCCACTTTTTTGTTTTTTCACAAAAATAGTTTCATTTGAGGTTATAATCGTTTTTTATTAATTAATAAAAGTTGACTCTTGTGAAATTGATATGATAATAATTTCATACAAAATGAATTGCTTCAAGCAAAAAGATATTGCGTCAAATTGATAAAAGTGACATGTTATCCTAAGCTCTAGATATTTAAAAAACCATCCCCATAACACTACATTGTTAAAAATAAGTTTTCCAAACAGGGTAGAATTTGACAGGTACCTCAGATGTTTCTGTTATTAATTGATATATTAAATCAAATAATTAATTAAGATCATAATTTTGATTTATATATGAACATTTAAAACTCATTAAATTAAGATTAAGATAAAAAAATTCTATTATTAAAAATACAAATCTATAAAAGAAAAATAAAAATACTAGAAAACATAACATAATTAAGGATCGTAAGGTCATAAATTTTTTTTTGTGATATCATAAAAGGCGCCTTAATAAAGCGCGTTGTAAAGTTTAGCTTCCATAGAAACTATTTATTTTGATTAATTGAATATAATCAATTTTTAATGGGCTCTGGACATGAGGACAGAAGCGTGGTTGGCAGAAATGGCCTTGGAGTTTCCCTCAACCTGGACCTGAGGGGCAAGGTGTCTGAGGATGCTTCCAAAAATGTGGCGCTTGGACTCTTTAGTAGAAGAAGCAGAGGAACGGGTGGATTGTTCAAAAGAAGTGACAGCCATTGTGAAATTTTGTATGTGAAGTTTTGTTTGTATGTAGAAAGCTTGAGATAAAAGCAGATTGCGTTTGAGTGTAATGTAATCGAAGTGATTGATCTAGTAAAGAAAAAAAAAGAAGCGAACATTTATAGGAATATTGTTTTCTTTTATAGTTAAATTCTTTAAGCTTTTTAAGCTTCTTAAATTTTTTTAAATTAATGAAATTTATAAAATTGCTTTTAGATTTTGTCAAATAAATTTAAATTTAGTGGGCTCGTTTTAGTTGAGTCACGATTACAAAAAAGTAGACATAAACACACACATGGGGTTTTCCGAACACCGTTAAAGAAGCTTAACAGCAAATACAATTGTAAAAAAAAAAGAAACTTCTATTGCCGGAAATGCTAGTTAACAGCTCAGCTGAAAACAAAAAAGTAATTTTTTTCTTGCTCCTGATTTAATACTAGTATTCAATAGCCTTACAAAAAATTTCATAAATAAGTTATTATTAGTTTTACATTTTGAACATTTTTTTTTTAAAGGCAGCTTTAAAAAAAGAAAAAATCCCACTATTCTAGAGCATTCATTAGACTAAGCTATTTTTTTTGAAAGTTCCAGACTAGGAGGAAATATTTTTTTCGTGGCACTGATAGTTCCTAACAATTAATTATCTTCTATAAGATTCAAATGAAACTGCAGTTTTTTTTTAACATTGATATTTCACCATGAAGACTTAAAATTATGAGTTATAAAGTTTTACAATTTGAACAATATTATTAATTGGGCCAAGAAACAAAGGAGAAGACAGCTTTAAAATTTTTCTTTTAATTCATCTGAACTTAAGGAGAAGAGGGTACAAATTTTTTTATTGTTGCACTTTCCAAGAAAACAAGCCGCGTTCAGCTTTTTTCAAGCGCGCGGCTAAAATATCATTGTAAAGATGAGTTGGCAGATGGCTCAACTTGAAAAAAAGTTATTATTACTAAGAGAGCATGGCTCATACATTGGCATAACAAATTAAGCCATAAGAAAATTGAATTTCAATGAAAATTCTTTAAAAAAAGATTGTTCAAACAATGAGAGAGCAAATTTATGATTAAGGGGAATCTTAAAGAAAACAAAAGAACATGTTTTTTTAGTCATTATGGGAAGAGGCTTGATATAATGTTTACTACGGTTAATAACGGTTAGGACTGGGTAACAAGGAATCCGAGCACTCAAAAGGCTAAAGGAAAAAATAACAACAACAACAACAACTTTATTTCAATTATTTTTGATGTGAGCTCCTCGGATTTCTCGAGTAGCCATTGAGTTAGCCGTGCCAGCACATTCACCGAGATGGTTCCAGCTGTCAAAACACCGTGTAAACTTAAATTAAACAATAAGAATGAATCGGATACTTCACCGGCGAAGAGTTGAACATCTAATAGCAAAATTCAAGATCAAACAAACACAATTTAATTGTTAACAGCATCTTAAGTTAAAAATACATGCAATTTACTGAATATAATACAGATAATACCATTTTAAATTATGTACACAATTACAAAAGTTAAAGTGTATACGATATATCGGATCTGATAAATAATTATAATTAACAAGTAATTTAAAAGTAATAAAACAACATATATTTAAAAAAACAAATCTATAAACATAAACATAAAAACACAAGCATTAAATATTAAAGAAAGTCGTAAAGTTTTAGGGGGTAAGGATCGTAACAGGTGCTTTTCAGAAGAAAAGACTATTTTTTTTATAAGTTTTAGAGTTTGATATGAAAACAAACTGATTTAGTGGGCTCTAGCCATGATGACAGAAGCATGGTTAGCAGAAGATGCCTTAAAGTCAGGATCGACCTCGACCTGGGGGGCGAGGTGTCTAAGAATGCTGCCAAAGATGTGGCGCTTGGATCCCTTGGAAGAAGATGAAGAGGAACGAGTGAGTTGTTCAAAAGAAATGCCAGCCATTGTAAATTTTTGTATTGGGAAAAAGATGTATTGTTTAACTTTTAAGTTGTTAACTTGGTTTTCAAGCTTTAAGAAGCAGTGATTTGTGGAGGTGTAAGATTGATTGTTTGATGTAGAAAAAGAAGAAGAAAAAAAGGGAATATATCAAGAAGATTTGATTCTTTTTATACTAAAATTCCCACGATAGTCCTAATTTCAAATACCAATTCGATCATGAGTCAAAGTCCAATTTCTTGTATGTCTTGCCGTTAACAGTGAAGAATATATTTTGGAATAGCCATTGCGTTGAAAAAATTTTTTATTACTCCTTGTTCAAGTTGCTTTCATATTTGTTAGGGAGTCTTTATAAGGTAACTTGCTCAGTTTTTCCGTTAACTGAAAGGTTTGTGTTAAGTTTTTTTTTTGGTGTGTGTGTGGACAAAAAGTAGAAAACCAAATTTAAATACAAGTAAAATTGTTATTTTGTACTCTAAAGGAAACAGCAAGAACAGCAAATGGCTTAGTCTTCTTAAGGTCGTGTCACATTTTTCTAACAAGAGAAAAGAATTGCGTGCTCCACACCTTGAGAGCAAAAAGAAAAAAAAAAATTGAGCGTATTTTTTATGGGCACGGATAGATGCTGACAGTTGAAAGTAAAAATAGAACTTGCTCTTGAGATGTCGAAATAACAGGTGGGGGGATGGTTTCTGACTAACTGTGAGAGACTTTAAAAACTTTTTTTTTTTTTTTTTGTTTGTTTACAACGGATAACAAAGGTTACTAAAAATTTTGTCATTGGAACCCGACCTTTCAAAAAATTCAAAATTTATAACTAAAGTTGTTTTTAGAGTCACAATATATGATTTTTTTGCTGTTATAATTCTAAATATTTTTTTCCCTTCATTTACGTGATTTTCATTATAATTCAGAATTAGAGACTCGAGTCAGCTATTACTTGTTGTTTGGGACTAACCGGTATAGAATTCTTTTCAGGAAATAGAGCCGCGGAGGTTTTTAGCATTAGCCCACCTCAATTGCTAACTGAAGCTCATAGCGAGCACGTTTTTGAAGTTTAATGGCACTCACCACTCATTTTTTCCTCCCCCAAACAATCAATAGACGTTGCGAAATTAACAGGGTGAGAAAAGATCTCTATCTGAAACTTATAGCGAAAAGACAGTTCAACATCAAATAAAACATGCCAAATATTAGGTTATACTGGGGAGCTTTTTGACTACACGTCAATTATTTCTATTTTAAAAAAAAAAATAAACTCAGCCGCACATAAACTTTTGCGGCTCTGTGGCTTTTTCTTGAAAACATTCAAACAATTTGACTGATCAGAATAAAATTCCGAATTACAAACACTCAATTTCTTTAAAAGATATAAACTAATTAATATCAAATACTAAAATATTTAAACAAAAACAATAATATATTTAACTATAAAAACTAAAAACCACAAAACTGAAAAACTAAAAACAACAAATTTGTAACAGGATATTAAAAATCAAAAAGGATAGTAAGGTAGACAAGCACTTCAATGAAGTTTTGCAAAAAAAAAAAAAACAATCGTAACAAATAATTTCGTTAAACTCAAAAAAACAATTCAAATTATTTAGTTTAGTGAGAACGAGCCATAAGAACAGCAGCACGATTGGAAGCATGCTTAGAGTAAGTTGTGTCAAAATCTGTTTCAACTTGAGGAGCCAAGGCCTTCATGAAAGAATTGAAGAGCTGGCGAGTGGAGCGCTTTGAGGAGCTCTTGGTAGAAGAGGGACGGACAATCATAGGTTCAGATTCGTAGGTAGAGTAAGCCATTTTTAATGTAGTTTTAAGAGATAAAGCTGTGAAAAGAAGATTGTATTCAAGAATGTTTGTAAATTGTTTGATGAGAGTATTATAATGAAAAAAAATAACTGGAAATTTCCTCCTTTTTATATTTCACATTTGATAATAAAAATTAAAGAAAGAGTCAAATAATGACAGATTATTTCATTCTTTCGAATCCAATAAAGTACAAACAAATCACTTAAACAGTGCTTACCATTCAAACAAAAATTTTTTTTTTTTCATGTTGCAATTTCATATGAAAACACCTTAGCGGTAAGAAATACCTTTGACATAAAAAACGATCATTATTCATTTTAGCAATATACTTTGCTTTTAGATATTTAGTTTAATTGTCTACAAGTTCACCGGGTACATACGACAGCCCTACCAAAATTATGCCAACGGGGCGTTTAGAAAGAGTGGGGGGAATAGCAGTTAAATTTACTTCTAACAGTAACAAAGCGCGTTGTGTTTACACTACAACTGCGATATTGACAATTTAATCATCTAACGTTAAGAAGACGCGAAGAAAAAAAGTTAAAATATCAAGTTTTTTTTAAAGGATGACCCGCCCGATTGATAAAGATTCCAAACAGTGTCTCCAAGAGCTAAAATTCCACTTAAACTTAGAAAAAAACATATTTCTAGTAGAATACCGAAAATTCATGACCATGATAATAAATGAACGTATTTTAATGCTTTTCTAATACCCTAACAGAAAGAGCAGCCAGAATCAAGTTACACACGTGGATCACAGCATCAAAGAGAAATAGCAAAAAAAAAAAGATCAATTCCAAAATCAAATAAAAATAAGTATCCAGAACGTTTTTTTTTAAACTACTTTAGTGAAAGCAAATGATTTTTTCCTAATTTTTTTTTTTTTTTGCTTCAATAACGATTCGGGCATATCCTTGTTCTTGAAAAAAAAAAAAAATTGAAAAAAAGAAGAATAGGAATCGAAATTCCGACCAAAAATCAGCCGTACTAATTCCGGTTTAAAGTTCCAAAAGAAGCAGCTGGTTCTGAACCAGGAAGAACATATCCGCCGATTGCGGCTCCCGGTGCAGAAAGTTTCTAGACCTCCAAGACACTATCATGGATTTTAGATACAATCGATAAAATTTTTTTTTTCCCCTTTCAAAATTTTCAGGTTTTTAAAATTTCTCTCAAACTTTTGAAATCTCATAGCAAAAACAAAAAAAGAAACCCTAAACTATTAAATCGGAAACTTTACGGCACTACTTTTTCATATTTTACTGTTTAGAAAATAATGTGTTACACGGTTTTTTTTTAACAAGTTTAAAATCATTTTATTCAAAAAAAAAAAAAAATTATGAGCTTATTGTTTTCAAACGTTTTTCTCAAATAAATCCTTGAGCTTGTTTGGCTTTGACCAATGCTGTTTTAAGTGCATATGACTCGGCACGTTGCTCATAACGCTCATCAGTCCATCTCTCCGGCAAAAACTCATTAGCGTTTGTATTTCCTGCCTCGTCAATCCAGGATTCCAGCTCCCGGTAATAAGCAAAGTCACCAGGAAATTGAAACAAGTGGAAGTCAACTTCACGAGGCCCAGCCTTTTTTTCTTGTAACTTTTCATCGGCACGCATCTCACTTTCATCAGGAAGCATGAGCCTTTTGGAATATACACGTGCAATCACTGCACCCTGAGTCTCCGCCATGGGAAATGGAATGATTTGTTTCGGGGCTCCTACAAAACTCAACGATGGATCGGGAATGTAAAACATGTGCTTGTAAACTCTGTGTAGCCGTTGTCCAGATGGTTTCAATACACAGTCGGGGTTTTCTGCGTCCATGTAGGTACGAAGAAACGGGAGCGTGTAGAGATACCCCGTGCAGTATACAACCACATCAACATCAGCAAGTACTTGTCCATCTGTAAGCAAAATCTCATGTGTGGTTGGACGGTACTCGGCAATTACAGGCACATCTTGTACACGAGGATCATCACCGTAAGGCATAAGTGGCGGGCCTGCCACAGACCGGTACACCTTTTTGGCAAAATTAGCAGCTTGAAGTGAAATATCTACACCAGAAGCAGCGTTTCCAACAACAACAACAGTCTTCCCGGAAAAATCTTGAGGGTCGTCAAAATACTTTGCGTGCTGCACAGACCCCGGATACTTTTGCGACCACTCGGCAATGCCCTTAACATCTGGAATAAAAGGTAGATCATAATGCCCGGTCGACACTACCACAGCATCAAATTCCTCTGCATATGTAGTGCCTTGGGGGTAGTTTTGGGTGTAGTCCACGTACTCGATAGTCCATGGACCATTTCCATGCATTTTCTCCACACGCCGCACCTCTGCGTTGTACCGGATAGCAGATGTAAGCGGCTTTGCGTACTCTTGTATGTATGCCAAAACGTCACTTTTAGGTGGAAACACAGGCAGATTTTCCTCAAATCTAAGCTCATGATATTGCATTACATACTTGGGCAAGTTGGTCTCTAGGTACTTGTACATGGGACTGTAATATACGGCTCGCTGGAGCTTGTCATCAAGCTTAGTAGGCTCTTGCGCATTTGCGCTGACCGAGGGAACTAACGGTGTGTCTCTTGTTTGAGAATTGTAAACCCTTTAAACTCATCGTTAATATAGAAAATTTAATTTATTTGATGCGGAGATATGAACCAAACTTACCATACTCCGCCTGGCTGATTTTGACGTTCAAAGACTTTAACTTTAGAAAAAGCGCCTTCAGCCAAAAGAGCCTTTGCAGTTGCAAGACCACTTGGTCCGGCACCAATCACTGCCACAGATTTGATTGTATTACTGAATGTCATACTAACTGATTTTTGAAAAAAAAATAAAAGAATAAAGAATAAATAAAATGCACCGCTTACAAGGAATAAGAAAACAAAAACTCTTTAACACCCCTGGTGATATTTATATGCTCAAAAGGACACATTACACCTCGGCGAAATGGCCTTAGTGCGATAAGACTTTAGGCAGACATATTACGTAAAATAAACATGCGGGTTGGATTACGGATTCTGCTTTCTGCTCTCCGACCAAGATACCTGGTATTACTTTTCTTAGAAACTAAACAGAAATCATTCAATCTCATACAAAAAAAATCATAATTGAAAAAAACCGAAACAACCGCCCAGGTCGGTTCGCGGGTAAAAATAAAGGGTTCATTAATTTTGTCAGAATCTTCAGTTGTACCGGCCTTTGCCCGACATTTTGAGATATCATTTGCTTTGTTTTAAACGATAAGCGCCCAGGCAAACCCCAGCCGTACATACCACTCCACCAATTTCAATCTCATACTGTGGCCATTAAAATCTATCTAATTGGGTAAAACATGAGAATCTCACAGTTTCTGTTGTTGTTCAAGCTTTTTCTTCTCGGCTTTTTCTTTGATAAAGGATGCTTTTAGTTCAAACGACGAACCACGCTGATCATACCGCTCTTGACCCCATGGCTCAGCAAAGAATCCCTTGTCATGAGGTAGAACTTTGCTATCCTTAGTTTCTTCACGAACCCATTGTTCAAGCTTGCGATAGTGTTCCACATCATGTGGGAATGAATAGCTATGGAACCGCGCGCTATTACCATCAACTTTTTCTTCGGTTTCCTTCTCTTTTTCCAGCATCTCTTCCACACTTGGAAGTGCCAGCCGGCCTGAATATACACGCGCAATAACAGCACTTTCAAGTTCTGCAAGTGGAAACGGAATAATCTGTTTAGGAACTCCGACAAAGGATAAAGAGGGGTCGGGAATATAAAAAATATTTTCATAAACTCTGTGCAAGCGCTCTCCAGTTGATTGCAACACACTATCGGGGTTTCCAGGCTCCATGTATGTTTTCAAAAACGGGTAGGTGTAGAGGTATCCAGTGCAATACAAAACAACATCAACATCGGTAAGAACTTTTGGGTATTCTCTTGGATAGGTATCCTTATCCTGCGATTCATTCAGCACAATCTCTTTAGTTTCAGGCTTATATTCTGAAATGGTAGGCACATCTAAAATTCTAGGGTTGGATGCATATGGCATGTAGGACTTTGAAACAATAGAACGATAAACATTTTTGGCATATTCGGCAACCTGAAGCGATATATCAACACCTGAAGATGCATTACCAACGATAACAATATTTTTACCGGCAAACTCTTTAGGGTCGTTAAAGTATTTGGCATGCTGGATTGAGCCTGGATACTTTTTCACCCACTCACTCATACCCTTAACCTTTGGCAAAAATGGCAAATCGTAATGGCCATTTGATACCACCACTGCATCAAAATCTTCCTTGTATTGAGTCCCTTTTGGATACCCTTGGGTATAATCTGTATACTCAATTGTCCATTTCCCGGTATTTTGCGACTTGCTAACGCTCTGCACATCAGAATTGAATCGAATAAACTTTTCGATAGGTTTTGCATAGTTTTGAACATATTCAAGCACATCTTCTTTCTTTGGAAATGCTTCTAATCCGGTCTTAAAGTCATGTTTGTGGTAGCGCATGAGGAAGTGTGGGATGTTGGTGTCAAGGTTCTTGTATATTGGACTGGTATACACGGCACGCTTGAGCTGGTCGTTAAGTACTGTTGGTTCCCTTGCAAATGCATCGATAGAGGGCACAAGTGGCGTAGCTTGTTTTTCTTTGCTGTAATTCCAAACACCTCCAGGCTGATTTTGCCGCTCAAAGACTTTGATTTTGGAAAAAAGTTTTTCTCCAAGCAGCGCCTTGGTGACGGCAAGACCACTCGGACCAGCACCAATAACAGCGACAGTCTCAAATGTTTTTGCAACTGAGCTCATCTTGATATGATTAAATCTTTTATAGTCAAAAAAAGTAGGAACAAGCCACATTTATATATAAATTTTTTTTGTATTGTACCTGGACAAAACGCATGATATTGCGCGATAGGATATCCTTACGTAACCCTATTTTTTGCGCCGCGCTCTGATCCAACCGCGTACGGTTAAGTGAGTCCCGCGTCTACCCGAATGCTACGATTACGAGCTCGGGTTGTCTTTTTTTTGAGGACAGCCGGAAAAACCTAAATTGCCCCTAAAGTTTCGGAAAAATAATGTTTATCCCCCACAACTGCTCGACGTCTGCCGTATCAAAGCATTGTGTGTGATGTAAACTAATAAATGCGGCTCTGTAAATCTGAGCTTAGTCATTCAAACCATTAACTGGAACTTGACAATTTTTAAAGAAACTCGTTAATTGTAACAAATTTATTTTTATTGAAAATAAATAAATATATATATATCTAACCAAGTCGATTGAAAGATATTTAAACAACTATTGCAATGAAGTTTAGTTTAATTCCAGGCCTATACAAATAGGGTTGTTCTCTTAATTGAAATCCTTGAGAGTGAATTTAACAATTTCACATGACTTGATGTTAGGTTTATGCTACAAAGTTTGTAGAACTTGGTTGTCAAAAACTAAAGACTATTTTTCTGAGCTATCCCGCCGAACTTTGCAGACAATGTGACAAGTTATAAAAAAAAACTAAAGACTACGCAAGGGCACGGGTTACATATTACATAATCTTAAAATTTAGCTGGTTTTTTTTTTTTGAAAAAAACTCTGGATTTTATAAAAAATCTTGAACCAAATTGGGGTATTCACCATACAAAATTCCCCCCTAACCCTTGCGTATTTTATATTTTTTTTCAACAGCCATCGATTCTAAAACCCTGTGAATTCCCTTTTAGGCCATTTTTTTATAATTGTATAGAAAAATTGAAGATGATTAGTCATTGATATGATTCATAATAATTCACGTGATTAGATGTTAGGGTTTTGACACAAAATTTGTAGATTTTGGTAGCATCTATTAACAAAGCGGCCAAAATCGACAAAAATTGTGACAAGAATTAATGAAAAACTTAAAATTCCGTAAGGGTAAGGGTGAATTTATACACATTAATAATTTTGTAATTAAATAAATGGTAGGAGTTTGTCACAATTTTGAAAGGAACAGCTTGTGAAAACAATGTGACAACTATCAATAGAAATTATCAAAATCCACAAGGGTTAGGGCTAAATTAGTGTCTGATGACAAAATTATATTGGCTACAGGTTTTTTTGTAAGCCTTTAAATTTAAATCGATTTCCACATAACATGACATGCTTCGTTTCAGTCCAAAAGTTGAATATTTGACATTCTTGTTAAATTTCTAATCTACAATACCGAAAAATGAAAGTATAAAAATTTATGAAAGGGACTTTAGGTCTATTTTCTTTTAAACTCTTTAAATGACGAGAATATTTTTACTTTTGGTATTGCCTATTTTTGCGCACTGCTTTTCTTTTTCATTTTTTGAACGAGCTGATTCAGCTCACAGTTCATCTTTGCAAGTAGACGATTTACTATCGGAACTTGATTCGGATGATTTTTTTTTAAAGGGGGAAAAATATACCCAGGATGTTGGGCTTATCGTTTCAACTCTAGTTAACTCGTCCAACGCCCTTTTGGCATCATTAAGCACACCATCATCTGTTGCATGTGTCACGTCACTCGTTGATTCGCTTTATCCTCGTTGCTGGGATGACAGAAATACTCAGCAAAATTTACTTGATGAGGAGCGTCGTTATTATGCCATATCACTTTCTATATGCCAATGGAGGGTGTCTTATGTTCCATATCCAGAACAATGTCTTATATATGATCCTGTGAAGGTCAGCAATGATATACAAAATGAACAACATGTGCAAAAATGTTTAAATGCTTTGCAAGAATCTGTGACGTTATGGACTACATACAATGGCTATTATCAAGCTATTGGCACGATTTGCACCGAAGTTGCACCTGAAATTAGACTTAAAAAGCTTTTAAAAACATACAGCAAAATTACAACTGTTCAACATAAAATGGCAGGAGAGCTATTGTCTCTTGTTTCTAAGCTTCATTTAGACTCAGAAAATATCAGAGAAACTGTTTTGCAAACGGTAAAACAATCCAAAGATGCAGTCAAATCAGCTATCGAATCAGTTTTACATCAAGAGCTAGGGAAACACATGGAAATATTAAAACAGGCACAAACTAGCCACGCATATTCACTAAAGACTGCCGAACAAGAACACGCAGATTCATTGCGAGCTGTACGCGAATACCACGCAGAAGATATGGAACAGTTTGCAAAAGTGCTCGGAGCACAAATGGACCAAATGCAAGCGCAATACGCTCAGGCTATTCAATTGATGCACGATTCGACTGCTAGCTCTGTTGAAGGTATTGTTCAGCTGCTGGCCAGTGTGGAATTACAGTCTGCGAGTGTTGTTGGAAATTTGGATGCACTGGTACAAGGTCAACAAGACATGATTGTACAACAACGTGAACTTTTGCGAGAACAAAGCCAGACATTAGGGAAGCAGAAAATGCTGGCTCAGGGGATCCGCAAGTCAGTAGCCACGGTAGAAACAGATTTAATGCCACAGTTTCAAGGCCTTGTGGAAAAGGTTGCCAATGTGACGGAAAAACTTGAGTCTGTGTCAATTGAGGGCACGTTGCATTCATATATTAGGGAGACAGCGCAAACAATGACCATGTGGGCGATTTATGGTGGAATTGGAGTGCTTACTGTTTGGACGTTACTTGTAATGATTAGCATTGGCAATGTAGTTGGAGGTATGCAACGGATTGTTCCCTTTTTGACTGCAATTTTGGTCTGTTTTTTTATAGTACAAAAATCTACTGCAGCATGGAAAGATTTTGTCAATGTTGGATGCTTATATTTTCGACCAATTTCTATTTTGGTTTATCCTATTGCAGTAATTACTGGCTTGTTTCTTGGGGGCACTTTTATGCGCAAAAGATTACAAGAACGAGAGCTACAAAGAATGCTAGATTTACCTTGGGAACTTCCCGATTTTGAGGATTACTCTGATGACGAGTCACTATATTAATTCATGAAAAGAAGCCTGTTATTACTATAGGGGGAGAAATAAAAATAAAAAAAAAACAAAAAATCTATATGGTAAATTAAAACCATTTATGTACGTAACTTCATCAAAAATTACAATCTCATCTAAAGTTGAGAAGGTAAAGGTGCAGATGCTGGTTTTTGCTGCACAGAAGGCAGCTGCAGCGGTTGCGTAGATTGTAGGGGAGCCGTTGAGGGACCAGGGATAGTAGGAATCGGCTGCCCAAGCTGCTGGGCATGCAACTGTTGTTGTTGTTTCAACAGAGTCTCTGCTTCCAGAGACAGCGGAACGTGGCCTTCAAAAGACGGCGTTTCAACTTCTTCCACAGAACTCAACATTGGAGACGAGAATTTAAGAGCCTTGAAAAGATTCTGCTCACCATTTGACACGCCAAACTTTCCGGTAAGGGGAAGGCGCTTTGTAACCCAAGAAGCCAGAATTTTACCGCGTTGTTTCTCTCCTAGACGTGATCGGGGGAATTCGTCTTTGGCAACAAATGAAACAATATCAATCACAAATTGATGGCTTTCCAAAACTGCATTAACAACAACAGGAACAATGGCTGCCAAATTGTCACGGTTGCGCCGAGTACTTTCAATAACGGCAATGACAAGACCACCAGCTTGAAATACAGCACTGCCACCACGAACAATGGAAGCGTGCGAGCTTTCAATGGAATTCTCTACATCCATGGGGAAATGGTTGAGACCAAGAACTTCAAATGTTTCGCCAATGGTACCCAAAACAAATAGGGTTTGGAGTTCAACAACTGTTGACGTTCCTGGGATGGTACGATTAATATTGTGTAGGAAACCCAGGTCACCAGTCCGCACATATCGAACATCGGAACTTTTGGTATCGGGGTCTTGAATAACCCCACGGAACCTGTCATCATTGAACTGGTCCTTGGATTTGTAAAAGGAAGAAACATTTCCTTCACTGTAAATCCAAATCTCACCATATTCGCCAACCTTGCAAAGCTTGCATGTTTCTGGATTGACAATTGCCACTTGGGTTCCAATAGGAACCATACCAGAATCCTGGAGGTGAATGGCCTTAGGGGAAGTCTCTGGGTTAACCATTGTGACATAACCTCTGCGTAAGGCAATGGGATCAAGCCACACATCCACCGGCTCAAGAGACATGTATGATCTAGTGGTGACCATGGGGTTTAACACGTGGGCGTAGGACAAGTTGATAGAAGTGCTCTCAAGCCCAGTTTGAGAAAAGAGAATACGAATCTTGTTACAAATATCTGTGCGTGGACGACCTTCAAAGGCAATAATCAAGTTTTTTGTGTCTGAAAGACTAAATCCCTTTGGTCGAATGGTTGCAATGGCATGGTCAAGCATCTGCGGGGTGGAATAGGTATCCTTGACTTTATATCGAGAAAGCGATAAAAAGAAAGTGATTGGATTATTGGCGTAGTCTATCGGTGAAACAATATATGTCGATGCTCCGAGATACACACCCATCAAACAAGTGTGGATGAAGCCCAGACCTGAAACTGAACGAACACAGCCAATTATGGGCTTGGTACTTGACATTTGGCAAGTTTCTTTTTGGATTTTGGCCATGCCCATAATGGTAGGATGACTTAAACGAACCGCCACTCTTCGATGGTCCGGTGTCCAGTAGAGCCAAACAATAGCGGTATGATCTGGAGAAAGCCAATCTTTTCGGAGAGAAAAGTTTAGTTCCTTACAGCCTTTATTTATGATTTTGGGCTTGCTTGTGTTGTAGATACGTGGGAGCTGGAGCTTAGATACACTGGCAGTATCCTTGAGATGACGGGCCACAGTTTTGGTTTTGAGAGCATTATCAGTTTCATTATTGACAAGAATAGCTTTGATGGAGTAATCTTTGACAACATTGAGTAATGCAGGAACATCTTCATCAAGACGCCGTTCATTAATGGGAGAAATGGGGATAGGGATGATGCCCAAAACCATACAGGCATAGACTGCAACGACAAAATCCTCAGAGTGGGTGTGCATCAAAATGACATGGGAGCCTGCAGTTAGCATGAGCTTTGTTTTGAGCATGGAAGCAATAGTTGCAACCTTACGGTCAAACTTTTTCCACGAAAGCATGGAGACTTCTTTAGACTTGTTATCAATAGTACTGTAAGCCAGCTCATCGCCTTGGTGAGAAACGCGCCAGCGCAAAATATGAACAATGGACTCAAAATCTGAGAGTGGAGCTGAAGTACGGTCGTCGATAACAATATCACGGAAATCAACACCAGAGTATTGCTTTTCTGCTCTAAAAAGTGAGTCACTGCGCATTTGTGAAACAGCAGCAGACCAAATGCCTCCGTCCAAGTCAGGACCCACGGGGAGAGATCGAATGGCCTTTTCAATGCCAAACTTGACATATACTGCAGGAAGTTTGCCCAAGTCAAACTGGCGTTTGCACAGCATATTGCCAATTTCCGAGCGTCCGCTTCGAATAATTCTAGGGAGACTGTTTGGTGCTGTTATTAAAACACAATACACTCTGACTCTATGGCCTTCAAAAACTGAATCCATGGCCTTTTCTGAAAGTTCATTAAGAGCAAGATAGTCGTAATGAGCTAATGGTTGGAGTTGTGGAGGCTCAGCAAGCGTAGATTCTAAGATGAGCACAGGCAAAAATTCCCCATTGACACAAGTGTCGAAAGCAGAGCAGTCAAAAACACCTGGTACTGTACGCATGATGGTGTTGACGAGATGGGAAGTATAGTGGTAGCGGTATTGAGATATTCGGTTGTTTATAATAAGAGGAGGTGGAACTTCCAAAGCTTCTTCTCGGTTACTCCAGTCAATTTTTTGCCGTAAGCGGTCTTCATAAAGACCAAGAACGTAAACCTTGCCATTGTAAATGAAGCCCAGTAAACCTGTACGTAAAAATTCCAAGTCAACAGCTGACTTGTTTCCGTAACAAATGGCGTGAAACACAGCAGCGGTTTCCTCTTGAAGACCCCAAAAGCCACCACTCAATGAAGGACTGTCAATCCATATTTCACCGAGTTCCATGGTTTGGGCAAGAATGCAGGTTTCGGGATTAACAATGGCGAGAGTTGCGTCTGGAAGAGGGAAACCAAAGGCACCAACACGAATGTACTTTCTAGTATCTTCCGAAATACTATTTCGCGATGGAGATGATGCAACAATTTTAATTTTGTTTGTGGATAAGGAAGACTTGTCTAGCAAAACTTCAGATAAATCTGTAGGTCCGCAGTTTTCATCGTCAAATGAAGGGTTCTCCAAAGGACAGCCAAGTTTTTCTTGACCTTTTAACCAGTCGCGCATTGCAATAACCATTCCTCCATGTTCACTAATGGTTAGCATCGGGGCAACAATATCTCTATAGTTTTTATTGCCAAGGGGCTTAAACCATCGATCCTGCAGAACTTCGTGAAACTCTGTGTCAACAGTAAGAGCATCGATTAAGCACCACTTTACAGAAGATAAGTCAACTTGCTGCTTTTTGGAAAAATTTCTTGTAAGATGTGGGAATGATTGGTAATTGTAAGCTACTTGTTTCAGTCCGGGGTAATCGGATAAAATCAAGTCAATGCGGTACCTGGTGATTATATTTGCATAAAGTCCGTCCACCTGTAAGGCGGCTTGAGGAAGCCATATGGTGGTATTACCAGAATAGATTGTGAGGAGAACACCGATAATTAAACCGATAGATTGTCGAATATCAAGGTTGCACAAGAGAATTTCACGATTTCCAGTTGTGGATGATGATGATGTTGGGCGTTTATTAGAGGTACCTTCAGCCCGGCTGCGGCTCTTTAAAATGGAAGTGAGACATGTCATTTGATGTAATATTGTTTTGTGGGAAAGCACAATGCCACGAAGCTCGCCGATCGGGGACCGGGAATATTCAATATAGGCAAGGTCCGGAACCTGGAGTGCTGGAGGATCGGCCTTTTTAGAAGGTGGGTGATAGGAGCCAAACTCGTTAGTTTTCCACCACTCAATATTTTTAGGCCAGGAAAGCCGTTGAGCCGAGAGAGTACGGTTGAGATTTTTGAGGTTTGTATCAGTGGTGAGCACCAGATGTGCTTGAGTGTTTGTGAGAATGTAAGTGATGTCTTTAAAGTCAGAGTCTGGGTTCATAGGGACACCAACAAAGCCAGCAAGAAAGCAGCCAAGTAGGGCTACGACAAAATCAATAACTTCAGATTCGGCGTAAAGTAACCCAACTCGGTCACCAGGGAACAGCCCAGACTTGTCGCGAATAACCTGAGCCACTTTTTCGGCGCGGGAGGAGAGCTTTTCCCAAGTAAGAGACGAAATCTCTTTTCCCTTTGGGTCGAGGCACACAAAAGCATTCTTACGAGACATTGCAGTTTGACCACGGTGCCTCAGAATCGAGGGGATATTATCAAACATCGATATTTCTGCAGAAATTTCAAGGTCAGCCTCAGTATATTCACGAGGGTCAAGAGGCCGCAACAACTTAGGAGGTTCAGCGGTGGAGATGTCATTTGGTGTTGGGGCTAAGGAGAGGCCAGGCGTGATACCACTTTTAGTGGTTGCGCCAGAAGTCGAGTGGTGAAGAGAAACGGAGATTGCAGTACTTGAAGCTCTACTTAGTGACTGCTGTTGTTGTTGCGGCTGCTGTTGAGGCATAGTCACATACTTTTGGTAGGGCTGGTATTGTGGCAAGTTGTAAACAATAGAGCTGTTTCTGCTATGACTAGTATTATTATTATTTGTATTGGAATAAATTTCAGAAAAATTTCCAGCATTTGGAGAGTTCATATTGTATCCTTGTTCTGAGTATGCTGAGATAGGTCGATGAACTGAAAGTCCACCGCCACTGTTGTTACCTGTGCTCCCCGTGAAGCTTCCATTGTCTCCAGGGTGGTATGGTAATGATCCCGCAGCAGCAGTAGAAGAAGACTGGGCAGTATTGTTAGAATGCTGGGAAGATGAGTAAACGTTTGTCAAGGGCTCTCCATCAATGGAGGCTGAATCATTTTGCTGGGTAGTAGATGAAGTTCGTAACGAGATGCCATCAGAGCTTTGATCGGGCTGTAAGCTGTTAGTTTATGCACAACATATTAAGTAGTTAAAATCAAGTTTACATACATTAGGGCAAGACTGACTATATTGTCTTTGATCTATTAGAGAAGCTTGGTCAGAGGCGTAAAGAGACTGGTTGTTAGAATCGGGTGCTGGTGTATGTTCGTTAAAGGATCCGAGAGCGGCGAGGATTTTGGTGCGTTTCTTTAAATAGCCTTTCTCAGTAATATCGCCTTCCTAAATAGCAAAAAATAAAAAATAAAAATTAGGAAATGATCTAATTATAAAATGATATAAAATGACATAAATCATACATCAAAGTCATCTTTAAGCTCTACCAGCTTTTGCCGGATAGGTTCAGGCCATTCCGGCAGGATTGTAAAGTCCATGATATTGATTTATGTGGAGATGGTGGGTGGTAAAAGAAGGCAATAAGTTTTGGTGGTGGTAAAAAAAAAAGAAAGAAAGAAAAGGGTTTTGTTAGGCCTAAAGCTTTATAAAATAAAAAATAAAATAAAATAAAATAAAAAAAAAGACATTGGAAAGATGCAGATCCCCTGACACAACAGCTACTACCCAACCACAATTAGACAAACGTCAATTTAATATTTTAAATCCTCAAGATTTTTTATTAATATTACTACCTATCATAGGGAAAAAAATACAATATCTAATTTACAAAATAAAAAAAAATGAAACTAATATTCAATCTTGTTCATTTAGTTTGGTCGGATTCGTCGCCGAATAGGCAAAACTTTACGGCCAGCAGGAGGTTGTGAAGAATTGGCTTCTGCTTGTCCAGTAAACACAAACGATTGTGATGACGGACCATTAAAATTGAAAGTTTGGGGCTGTTGTTGCCCATTCTGAGCATTGTTGTTATTGCCAAAAGCATTACCACCGGTGAAGATGGGAGCAGAAGTGTTGGAGCCACCAAAGGTAAAGCCGCCAGCACCACCATTGCCTCCGCTCATGGCATTGAAATCAAACGACGTAGGGGCTGAGGAGAGTTTAAACGTAGAAACAGCAGGGGCTGGTGCTGAAGAAAAGTTAAATGAGTTGTTGGTGGGAGTAGCTGGACTTGATCCATTAAAGGTAAACCCTCCAGTAGTGTTATTATTATTGTTATTATTATTACTGCCATTGAATTTAAAGGCCCCCGCGTTATTACCACTGTTAAAATTGAATCCAGTACTTGTAGAGTTATTGAGATTAAACCCAGTTGCTGAAGACCCCACATTATTATTTTTATTGTTAAAATTAAATCCACCAGTACTAGATCCACTAGCACCCGCAGTAGTAGCATTGATACCACTACTTCCAAAACTACTACTAGTAGCAGAAGTTGAAGTAGCAGTTGTAGTTGTAGTTGTTGGATTAGTGCTATTGGCCCCTGAATTAAAGTTAAAACTAAACTTGGGCTTGAAGCCATCTTCCATTTTAGGTGTAGACGGGGTTGAGGATGTTGGTGTTCCAAAAAGAGATTTGGGTTCGCCACCAGTTGTCAGTGGCTTTTGAGTAGTAGTAGTGCCTAATGCAGAAGAGCCTTGTCCAAATAAAGGAGAGCTTGGTTTGCTAGAGTCATTAGAAGGTTTGTTGATACTACCAAACAAAGGTTTTGGTAGCACGTCTTTTTCATCAGTCTTGGTCTCAGTGGTAAATGCAGAATTGCTGCCAAAATTAAAAGCAGGCTTTTTGGGCTCTTCAGTGGAATCCTTGGTATCGGAACTTGGAGCTTTGGAGGCTCCAAATGTAAAAATAGGTGTTGAAGATGATGAAGCATCCAAAGGCTGAGGTGTGATTTCTCCAGACTTTTGTTTTCCTTCTTCCTCCAGTCGCTTTGTTTTTTCTTCTTCTTTTTCTTCAAGTTTCTTCTTTTCTTCCTCCTCTAGACGTTTCTTTTCTTTAAGTTCTTGTTGCTCTTTTTCGCGTTTTTCACGCTCAATCTTTTCTTTAAGTTCGCGTTCTTTTCTTTCCCTTTCTTCGCGTTCTTTTCTTTCATTTTCTTCACGTTCTTTCCTTTCTCTTTCTTCTCGAGCTTTTCGTTCTCTCTCTAATCGCTCACGTTCTTCCTGTTCTCGACGAAGTCTTTCTTGACGCTCACGTTCTTCGCGTTCCTTACGCTCGCGTTCTTCTCTCTCTAATCGTATTCTTTCCTGTTCTCGGAAAATCCGTTCTTCTTCTTCGCGGCGTAAACGTTCAGCTTCTAATCTTCTGCTTTCCAAAAGCTCTTCTCTCTTCTTTTGCACATCTGCCAATTCATTCTTAGGCTTAACATGTAATGGGAAAAACTTGCTTCCAACCTTACGCAGGTCAGTGTATCTTGTTAAAAAACTTGGCGTATTCGAAAAAAGTTTACGGGCCGAAGTCGTAGATTTGGGTTCGACAGAAACTTTTGCAATTGGTTTTGCTTGCTTGGGTTCATGGTAAGTCAGCAATAAAGGTTTTTTGACCTTGGCTTCCGCCTCTAATGCATCAAAGGATGCTGTAAAAAATCCATTATTCTGCTCATTTTGGGACACATTACCAATTGACTTTATTTCGCGTTCCGTGACTTCAAACTTTGGTCGTTTATTGCGTTGCTGGTAAACAGATGACGAAAATAAGGGCAAATTTTTTGAGTTTGACATTGAAGAGGATGACCGACTATGGCCATAATAAGATGGTTTTTCGCCATTATCCACGCGTTTTCTTTTAAGAGAATTTTCCAACGGGGCCTGTTCTAACATTAAAAGTGGGGTGAGACTTGCAGGCAAAATATTGCTATCTTGCTCACTTGCTTCCAACGTTAAAACGGATTGTGGAGATGACGAAGACTCCACCATTGATTCATTAAAACTACTGCTGTTGAGTGGTGAACTACTATTTCGGAATGTCGATCCATGAAATGGCGTTTTAGGGAAAATTGACGAGGTTGAAATGTCACCTTCACTGGCGTCTTCGAGAAGTTGGCTCAAGCCAATAAATGAGCCAGAGGGGACTATTGAAGAGCGACGACGGCGGCTTGGTGAGCCTTTAGGCGATAAGAGTTGTGGAGTACATGGAAGACTGTTGAGTTCGCTAAAACTCCTCGGAATCCTCCCATTTGACGGTGCTTCGAAACTTTCGTCTAAAAACCCATTTATGGCTGTTGAACTCGTACTTCTACTGAGAGAGCCTGCACGGTTATAAGGTGAAATAGCATCCTGGCGTTGTTGTTGGCGCAGAGATTTAAGAGACGGGGACTTTGCAATGTTCCACACCGAGTTGCTTCCGTGTCTAATGGTACCAACTCGAGTTTTGCGGTCTAGAGCGATTCCCGGCGAATCTTTCATGGTTGTAGGAGTATTTTTTTTATATAAATAAAGGAATAGTGAAAAAAATAGGGGATAAGAAAAAAAAAAAAAATTAAAAAAATACAAAAAGGCGTTGAAATTTTTTTTTTTAAAGCAATATTGGGACTTACTGCTATCCATCACAGTGACCGGGTAACTTTCATTTCGCCCCCCTCCCCTCTCACCCTTAAAAAAGATCTTTTCTCTCCCCAAACAACTCATACTTGCATCACCAACATCACCAATGAAGCGACTTTTCGAAAAGCTCAAAATCAAAAAGCGCCGTTCAAAACCAGGTAAAGGTCTTAAGTGCTGCCTGCCAATAGTTGACAAAACTATTCTGATATTGGGGTTTCGGGTCTCGCTTTTATCTTTGCTCTCGTACCTTGCCGACTGGCTCATTTATGGCCTTATAGCTCTTATCGCAGCTATTCTCTATCACTCTGAACCCCTTTTACAGGAATTCTCTCTCAAGGATCGTCGAATCATGTATTCATATTACCCAGAGATTAAGCTCATGGTTCCAGTCTGGGCGCTTATTATTTGTGTTTTGGTAATCCCCTTGATAATCAGCTTCTTATCAAGCATCTTTTCCATTTGGAAATGGCCCCGTAAGCTATGGGACGCCCACATTTTTGCTCTCGGCTTGATTGGCGCGTTAGCTTTTCAGTTTTTTGTGACAACAATTATAAAAAATGCCACAGGAAAGCCCAGACCGGATTTTTTGCACAGATGCAAGCCTTATGATTATACCCCACCGCTAGGTACTTTGGCCAATATAGCCATTTGTTCAAATAAAAACTTATTCATCCTATGGGACGGATACCGGTCATTTCCCAGCGGTCATTCAACAAGTATTCACAAAAAAAAAAAGATCTCTTTCAATACCATACTGACTTTTTTTTGTTTAGCTGCTTATACCTCCGTTGTATACCATTTTTTATACAATGCTGGACGGTTTCGCATTTTTGATGGCCGAGGACTTTCTTGGAAATTTATATTTTCTGTGATTCCTCTGTGTACTGCTAACTTTGTAAGTTTTGCAGGAATTTCAGACAATCGCAACTTTTTAGAAGATGTTTTATTTGGCATGTTACTTGGAACCATCATTGGATGGATATTCTACCGTATGTACTTCCCATCTGTATTTGATACCAAAAATGGAGGCAAGGCATATCCTCCTAGACGCTTTGGAATACCCTACTTTTCAAGTTCAGCTTCCTTTTATCCATTTGCTCAGGAAATGGCTCTAGTGAGCTCACAGCAGTCGGAAGGCTTGCCTATGGTTGAACTCAGACAATATTGCCCCCCGCCACCGCTTCCGCCACCGCCTCCGGTTCCACCACCCCCATCTCAAGCACCAGTTTTTCTCCCATCAATACCCATGGCTCCCAACGTCATTGTGAATATTAAGAAACACCCAAACCACTTCCACCATACCAAGGACCACGCAGAGCCATCTAAACATACCCATAATGGCAAACACATGCCTAAGGAAGATTTATTATTGTAGTTCTCCCATAATGTATTATTTCATTTCATAGTTAAATAGATTTTTTATTGCTTTTTTTTTCATTTAATCTAAACACGTTGTTTTTTAATTCCCTTACCCTTTAGATCTGTAGGCTTGCGCTTTGCAATGGGGAACACGATTTTGCTAGTTAATCTACGATAATCGTCCTTGAGAGCTTCAAATGTTTCCTGAAGCTTGCTTTTTCTGTCCTGGGGGGACATGTCGTCCAGGGCGTCACGATTCCGCAGGTATAAGCGACGCTTGACAAGTAGTCTGTAAAGTCGAATGGTTTCCTGTGACACATCTTGTTTATTTTCCAGGTAGTAAAGCAGAATCATTTCAATACACCGGTCAAATTGACGAACTGACATTTTATTTTCGCAGCGTTTATCCTTTACCCACTCGAGAGTAAATGAATTTTTCCCAGTATCGCTGATGACCTCTGGGAGTACTTTTGTGGCAGAAAATGTTGTGTAGATAATGGCGGCTGTTCCGGACTCAACAAGTCGCGTAAGATCGTTACGGTCACGAAGATCGTCGAAAGCTTCGCTAGGATCTTCAACAGAGATTTCTTTAATAAGAGGGTCCGCATAGAAAGTGCTGAAAAGAGTAGAGTAAAAATTGCCACCAACGCGCTTGCCCTGGAATAAAGGCAAGATGACAAACTGTGAAATGCGCTTACGCACATAAGGTTCATAGGGGTCTGTTCCATTTGGCTTGTCGTAGGATTCAGCATCGACGTACCAAAAGTAATTATATACAGTGGAAAACCCAGCAAAGATTGGTCGAAAATTTTCTTCGTGTGGAGAAGAGGTTTGATAAAGCGTGTACAGCACCCAACGATCGTCTGTGGCGTCAATATAGGAGCCTGCCTCGATGAAAAGAAGAATAAAAATCTGGATGCGCTCGTGAAGTTCCTTTGCTGCTATATTGGCAAACGTCGACTTGTAAACTGTATACTCTGCACCATCCTTGTCTTTGAAAGACCCCACTTTTTCGCCTGGGATTTCAAATTCTGGTGTACTTTTCCGCAGTTTATTCCAAAGAGTTAAATCCTGGACGGTGGATTCAGGAAGAAAGTCCAGCAAAACTGTTTTGGGGTCCGGAATGCTGTCTAAGGGGATTTTTTCTGTCCATGAGGTGGAGAGGTATGGTAACAGTGAAAGCGCATCAAATTTGAGTGAGATGGCCAAGTCGCGATAGCCGTAGATGACTTCGGAATCTCCATAGATTGGGTAGGTGAAAGCAGGTGAAAAATTAAGTTCTACGTCGTTTCCATCCACAAGAGCCAGTTGAAGAGCTTCGTTTGCGTTCTGAGCCCATTCTTCGGCCAGAGTCTCGATATTGCCTTCCATTGTGATGGTTGAAAAATTTATGGTGGTGAAAGATTTTTTGTTGTTATTGTTGTTGGTTGTTCAAAAAAAAAAAAAAAAAGTAAACACCACCAAATAAAAACAAATAAACAAACAAAACAAAAAAATCTATCTTTGTACACCATATTGACCAAACAAATAAGAAGCCTAAGATCACAATAATGGGACCTAAAAAGCGAAGAAGTGCGTTTTACAAACCGCCAATACCAAAGAGATCACGTCTATCGGTTGAGCCGATTGAAACTATTATGGAAAAGCAAGAGGAGAAAAAGAAATCACAGGTTTTATCTAGTCTTTCTAGCAAGACCCGTCCAACACAGTCAACGCGTCCAATAAACGGGAAAACCACTACCATAAACAATATCAGAAAGTCTGTTTTACAACCAAGGTCTTCGTCAGCGCCGGCATCACCTGTAAAGCCAGCAGTAACACGTACTCGGGCGGCAGCAGCAGCTAAGGGGGCAACATCATCTACAACTAAGACAACGACGGCGACGACTACTTCGACAACATCTGCGATCGCAGCAGCTGTGGAAAAGAGCCGTGCAGAACAAGAAAGCCTTGCATCGCGTAAAATCCTATACACACCCAGTGTTCCTGCACGGACACGGACACTGATAGAAAGCTCATCTGAAACCAATAAGACTGCGAGTTTCTCTGCGCCAACAACACCAGCGCGGCCTGGGTTAGTTGATGATAAACTTGTAATAAATCTTGAAGAAAGCGAGGAAGAAGAGGAAGTGGATGGGAAAGAAGAAGAGGAAGAACAAGAAGAACAATATGATGAAGGTGACGAAGAAGAAGAAAATGATGATGAGGGAGACGAAGAAACGTGGAAGCAAAAGTATTATGCGCTTGTAAAGTTACGGACCACAGATGCTGAAAAAGGTTTACAAGAGTACGTTGCTGCGCAGAAACAAAAAGAGTCATTATTTTCAAAGCTACAAGAATATGAAGCGCGTGTGCAAAAGACAGAAAGGGCTCGGTGGGATGGGCTCTACGATAAACTAGATGAGCTCAACAAAAGCCTAGGGAAGCCATTTGTGGAAAGCAAACCAAGATTTGGTGGAGAAGATGAAAACAGGCAGATTTTAGCATCTTTAGAAACAATCAAGGCCAATATGCAGAAACTACATACAACACTGGTTCCAAACGATTCTAAGAAACTTACTGATATGCTTGAATCGTTAAGGAATGATGTGATTGAGAGTCGGAAAGAATCTGATCTACTAGGTAAACCAGGAGGAGATGTCATGACAGAGACTTTACAAAAGGAAATCACAGCTGCAGTGAAGCGCGGGGTCGAGTCATCGTTAGCTGAATTAAGGATGCAAATGCGCAGCGATGAGGGATGCGTGGAACATCGCAACATCATCACATTGCTGTGTTTGTTTGCAGGGATAGCCATAACAAGTATTCGTCAAACGTCAACAAGTACAGTCTACGAATGCTTAAGTCGCGGCAAGGCAGGTGAGTTCGTGTACTGGTTATCGGTGTCTCGTGAGGCTCCGGAAGGTGTGGAAATCAAAGCTGGAGATGATGTACGGTTATATGAATACTGGGATAACTTTTCAATTGACTACATGCCGGTGGACGTTGCCAGTAACCGGGCGATTTTCCAAAAACTGCCGCAGTATTTTCAGGAAAATATTGCGTTTGGGAGTTTGGTGGTGAGTATTATGGATATTCTATGATATTTTTATTTGATTCTAACTTTTTTTTTTTTTTTCTTTTTTAGGCAAGTCAGTTTTTTTCACGAATCACAAATGCAGTCAACGCGACGAATTGATAAATTAGACAACAAAAAAAAAAAAAACAATGTACATTAGAACTTTTGATTTGATTTTCTTTTTTTTTTTTTGGTTTTATTAATTTTTATGCCGAGGGCTTAAGAATGATGCTACCATCAGCGAGTTTTTCAGCCGTAAGACCCTTGAGAATCTCTTTCTTGTCCTTTTTCGTTGTTTTTTCCAGTTTCTTAACAATTTTATAAAGATCTGTTGGACCCTTAATAAAGTCTAGTAGATCAGTTGATTCTTTTTTGTTATCTTTCTTTGAATCCTCCTTTTTAGGTTCAGTCTTGGTCTCTTTCTTTGGTTCTGGTTTAGGTTCAGTCTTGGTCTCTTTCTTTGGTTCTGGTTTAGGTTCTTGCTTAGGTTCTGGTTTAGACTCCTCATTAGGCTTAGTTTGATTATTTTGGTTCTGGTTTTGTCGGCCATTTTTCTTCTTGGGGTTATAAAGAGACTTTTCATATTTCTGGGCCTCGGAAATGCACTGGTTATGGGCGTTATAGTCGTTACCGTAAAACGTCTTGTTGCAGTCGAGACAGGTGAAGGCCGCGTTACGGCAGTAGTGGTTGCGGACCTTCTTTTTGATGAGAGTTTCGTTGCAAACCTTTTGATAAGATGTTAATTATGAGTTTATAAGTAAAATTATGGCATTAAATAACATACTTCACAGGAAAAGCTGACCATTTTGTTTTTGGAACTTATAAGGATATAATTTTTGGTTTGATTTTTTTTGTTTTTTTGATCAAGTTGAAAAGTTTTTTTTTTGTAGAAAAAAAAAAAAAAATTTTTTTTTTAAATCACGAATTTCCCAAAATGGAAAGAATTAAGTCATGTGACATGAATACACAAGGCTGAAGATTAAAAAGATCGAAATCATTTTTATCTTGAAAATAATACTAATTGGTAAGGTCAATTATGCCTGAGCTCATTTAAATTAATGATTGAAAAAAAAAAAAAAAAAAAAAAAAAAAAAAAAATTGGGAAACAATAGCACTAATAGGAAAAAAAATAAATAAAATTGAGGCTTAACTTCTCATTTTTCTTCTGTATCGTGTTGACAGAGAGAAACTGTGAATTCATGCAATGAAAGAGAAAGCTTATGCAACAAGTGTTTAAAAAAAAATAAAAATAAAAGAGAGTTTAATAAAAAGGTAAAGAAACGAGTAATTGAAGATTTCTTATTAGTGATAAAATTTAATATAAGAGAAACTAAAAGCAAATATTTATATTTTTGATAAGGAACAGAAACCATCAGGTAATGTCCAAACTTTAAAGCGTTAGTGTTGAATCTTGATCAAAAAAAAAAGGGGGAAAGCCTGTTTTTTTTTTTAATTTTTTATCAATCAATGCTTTAATATATTATATTATAATTAATTAAATAATTAAAAAAAAAGAGAGAGAGAGAGAGACATTTTGATTTCTTTATAATGAAATTATCAAATTTTAATGAGGAAAAAAAATGATAGTATCACTTTAGTGTGAATAGCAAGTTAGAAAGTGCAAATGATATGTTACATTATAATTCTTTATTTATATCCATAATAATGAAAAAGCATCAAAATAGTTTCAATTATTAGAATATGTATTATTTAATTGACTTTTTTATTTTTATTTTTTTTGGAATAAAAGAATTGAAATGGTCTGATTAGTACGATTGATCATCGTCTTTTAGTAAATTCTAGCATTATTGGGAAGAAGTGCCCGTTGCTCCGAGATGGGAACAGTTTGAAGAAAAAAAAAAAAAAAAAAAAAAAGAAGTCCGAAGATTAAGAAAAGTGATTTCTTAAAGGCCTTCAATTGGAATCTTATTGCACCCGATAATTATTTATAATTATAATTATAATAAACAAAGTTTTTCCGGAATGCAATTTTTTTTTTTTAGTGGGACTAAATAAAGGACCCAAAGATTATTCAAACTACAACTTTAAACGAGGCCACGTTTTGACCCTTTTCAACGTACCCAAAGATATATATATATATATATATATTTAGTATAATATAGATATATTATATATATTTATATTTATTTATTTTATTTTTTTTTTACACCAACGCAAAATGATTATCTCCAACTTCATACAAATCACCTTGGTCAATAAGCTCGCGTAAAACTTGCTCAACTGCAGGCTTATTACCACCGACCTTTGCTACAATAATATCCTGATGAAGTCCATCGGGAGATTGTTGAGAACTTAAAAGAGTTTTAATTCGCGAAGCCAGTGAAGCTGAGGAAGAGTCGACGCCTGCGCCGGCACCTCCGCCTGAGACGAAGAGATCATTATTGCCGTGCTGTTTAGGTTGATTAGATCCTTGATTATTTCCATTTTTCTTTTGACGTTTTGTAAAATGAATATGTTCTCGAATTGCTTTGAGTTGGGAAAAGGCTACTTGAGAGAAATCTGTTACTGGTTGCATATGGTTGACTGTGAGAGAGTTTGAATTGTTGAAGCGAGTGATTGATGCCATTATAGAATAGTAAAAATCTAGTTGGTATTTTTCTGTTTTCTCAGTATTCTTTTTATTTAGGCCTCCATCGGTTGAAAAGGCTTCATCAAAATCATCTGGAGCTGCCGTACTGAGATCATTTTTAAAAAGAACTTTACCTGAAATTATGCCTGTACCATCTTCAAATCGAAATTGTTGGTTAGTAGCATAAGGTTCAGATTTCCAAATGATGCGTGCAACAAAACGAACATGCTTGATGGGATGGTTATCGAGCTCCAAAACATCATCCATAGGGGTCTCAGTATGGGCCTTTAAAAGTTGATGGACTGTAACTGTGCGAATTGCGCGTTCGGCGCTACGATCAACTTCTGGGTTTGGCTGAGATGAGGATGTTCCTGCATTATCAAAGTAACCTCCTTCGTAACTCATTGTGATATATGAAAGCAAATATATGAAGTTTTTTTTGTTATTGATGAGAATTGGTGGCTATTTTTTTTTAAATGTAAAAAAAAAAAAAAAAAAAAAAAAGAGAAACGATGTGTGTGTGTGTTTATTTGGTGGTTTAGTATGAAAAAATGAAAAAAAAAAAAATAAACGCCACTGAGACGCGACGTGGTCGTGTTCATTAGTCATAATTAGTTAATAATTACGTTTAATGAGCAACAATCTTAAAATAGAATATCTACTACTACTACTACAAAATGTCACGGGATTCTTTTTTCTGTAATTGCGCCCATTTTTTTTTTTCAAAATTTTCTCCAAGTTCATCTATTTAAAAAAAAAAAAAAAAAAAAAAAAAATCTCACCATCATTTTCAATTCTTCAATTTCAAACCAATTTCAAACCAATTCCAAGTTTCAACTTTTTTTAAACTCTTTCATAATTTTTACTCAGTTTATAAACAAGTTTTAAAGATTGCCTGAAAACCCACGTTTTTATTATTTATCTGTTATCGGCACACTTAAACTTTTTCTTCTTCTTCTTCTTCTTCTTCTTTAAAGTTTCAGTTTAAGGCCTTGAACTTTTTTTTTTTTTTTTTTTTTTTCAAAGGCCTTGTTTAATTCTAACTAATTAAGTTATAACTTAAATCCTTAACTTCTGTCTATTAGATATCACCACCACCACCACCACCACTACTACTACTTACACGGGGCTCTTTTAGTCGCCCAAAATAAAATCCCAGGGCTTTCTTTTTTTTTTTTTTTTTATTGTCACCTTTTGATATAAAATCTCCCGAATTTTCCTCTCTTTTTTTTTTTTTATTATTATCATTGTTTTTTTTTTCCCCTTTTTTCTAAAAGTTTTTCCGTCAAAATTTTGGTTCACTGTTTTCCTTTTTTTTTTTTATTTGTTCATTTTACTTGACAAATTCTTTCTTTATTACAATGACATGGCTT